ACAAGTAAGTTGTAGTAAGACATGTATTGACACATGCTATGCAATGACTAATAGTGTAAACATATTCAATCTGTCAACACAATTTTCTGATCTGGTTAAAGCATGGATGGATTTACTGGGGGAGGGATGTGTGCAAGGGATGTTCCATCCCCAAAATTGTTCAACTCCTCTAAGCCTCATTTTAACCCCCCAATTTTTAGCAAAACAAATCAATAATACAGTTGAACCGAGTTTTTCAGGGTGAAATTTCAACTATCTGCACAGCTTTTGATGGCTACACCACAAAATTGCACTAAATTTCAGATCCTTGGTTTGTCTTATGTCACTTTATTACCAGCTCACCCCCTCCCTAAAATTTTTAGCTCCACCCAGTAAAAAATATGAAAGTCTGTTTAAGGTTCAAAGTTAATGCATGCTCATTTATATTAATTAATAATTAGCTCACCTCAATTTTTGAAGCATAACTGCTGTTATAAGAAATTCCTTCTGCAAAGATTCGTCTCAAACTTTCAGGAATTTGATCGTGTTCAAAGCCAGAATCCAAAACGAAGTATAGTTGTTGACCCAAGTAACTTTGGACAACAGTCATTCGATTTGTGGTTAAAGTTCCTGTTTTGTCTGAGCAAATTGCAGTTGCATTTCCCATTGTCTCACATGCATCTAAATGTCTTACAAGATTATGATCATTCAACATTTTCTTGACAGAGAATGCAAGAGAAATGGTCACAGCAAGGGGAAGTCCTTCAGGAACAGCAACAACTAAAACTGTTACACCAGTGATAAAAGCTCTGAGATAGTCAGAAATATGGCTGTTTTTGAAAGATTCCTTATCCACATGATAAGTTTCAATAGAAAATCGTATCCAAGTAACAACAACAGTTAAAATACCAGCACCAAGGCCAAACCATCCAATCAAAACAGCCAATTTTGTTAACTTGCCTTGCAAGATTGATTTTTCATCTTTACTTCCACTTTCATTATCTTTTTTTTCTGTTTGCATTGCTTGCAACAACATGCCATCTTCAGTCTCAGGTATCTTTGCTTCAACAGGTTTAGGTGCTTTATCAGCCCCAGAGACCAACAGTTTCAAAATTTGGCCAGACCTGGAGTTGATACCAACTGCAGTAACAATCATTTTGCCACTTCCTTCCATTACTTTAGTACCAGATAAGATAAATGGATTTGCATCGCCTTTTCGCACTAAGTCTGACTCTCCTGTCAAAGAGCTCTCATCAATCTTTAGATCATTGTTTTGAACAAGAAGTCCATCCGCAGGAATCATGTCTCCATATTTCAACTGACAAATGTCACCAACAACAATATCACCATTAAATATTGACATTGACTCTCCACCTCTGATCACAGTGAATGTGTGTTCACCTTCAATCTTGCTTTGGAGACCACGGAACTGTTGTTCTTTAGTGTAGTCATTGACAGCAGTAACAAGAGCAACAATGATAACAGAAACAAATATTGCAAAACCTTCTATCCAAGCAGTACTTTTTTCTTCCTCAACAGTGACACCAAGAATCAATGATACCAAACCAGCTACCATGAGAATTATAAGTAATGTATCCTTGAATGCCTCAAACAAGAATTGCAAGAAAGTTTTTGGAGGCATAGGAGGAATGTAATTTGAATCAAATTTTGCTTTTCGACGGTTTATTTCGTTCTCGTTTCCATTTATACCTAGGGTAACTGAGCTCTTTAAGCGATGTACAACTTCGTTTATACTATTAAACTTTTCTTGTAACAATTTTAAACCATCATCTCCTCCATGCATTATTTCTTTTAAATCTTCCTTTGACACATCAATATCATCCACGCCGCCATCAGATTCATCGATGCTAACACTGCCAGCTCGAGATCCGGGCACCATCACGGATTGAGTAAAACAACAATTAAGTTCACCAAAGAAATCACGCAACAATTCACTTCCTCAATGGCACAAAGACAAGCTAAAATTATTGTAATGATATCTACGATAAGTGAAGCAAAGAATAACTCAAATGATTTTATGACAAACACGTTAATTTACGTTTTAAATGTTGAAAGAACTTAAAATAGAGAAAGAACTCACACGACAAGGTGCATCAAATACACTGCAACACTTTGAAATCATCCTACGTTAGAATTCGCATGATTCAGCAGTAATTTATGCTCAAGGAAGCGTAAACGCAGTTGAAAGAAATTTCACGCTTGGGTTTTGCAACGTGCAGTATTCTATTCAATATTATTCATGAGTATGTTCTGTGGATAAATATTTCCGTCAAATAAACGTGTTAGCTGTGTGAATTTCTCGACAGTACACATTACAGTACAATAACAACTAAGTATTTGTCCTGTGCTTAGTTGAACCGTTGGTAAATGGACCTAGTTATTACTATGTAATGGACCCAACCTACACAATTAGAATGTATTTTACAATAAAAACCTGAACAGGCAGTGGTGTTCTATTTGGAAGTGGCTGCAATGCAAATAATACGGTTGCAGATTTTAATACAACATGTATAGCATCAATACTTACCTCGGCGATTAACAAGCTATTTATTTGTTTTTCAAATTTATTACAGCTCTGTAGGTCTTGAGATTTGTGTTTGTCAGATCCTGTGAAGTCAAGCAGACTCAAGCTAACTTCAAATTTTATCTGGGGATAGATTAGCACAACCTACACAGAGATCAATGAAATTCTTAAGTGGTATCTTTCAAATGATGAAGTTATATTTTTAATCAACAAAAATGAAAACAGTTGTGCCAATGACTAAGCACACTGCACAAACAATATACCGGAAAAAATGATCCTTCAACTATTTCCCCAAATACGCTGCGTCAGTGTGACAGTGTGTGAAAAAAAATAAAAACAACCCGTGATATTTTCTGCAGCTTTGATTGGCTAAGCAAGCGCTGTACGCAATATGAGAATGCCATTGGTCGCGTGGAAAGCGCATGAACATTATGCTATCCTTTTCTCAATTTTCCGAAATAATCTCGTTTTTAGCAAAATGATTTTAAGGCTTTTCATAAATTTAGCTCAGGAGCACTGCCTTACGAAAAATAAATAAAGGATTGGCCTTCTCAAGCAATAATTTTATGCGAATTATTATAATAATTTAAAACATTCATTTTGGACTCATCCATCAGCGTCTTCATTAGCGAGAGAAAACATTCATTATGAGTAAATAAAATTTTGTAATTGTTAAAAAAAGGGAAACTTGAAGTTGCAGAGACGCTTTTGATAAAGCTGGCTTTTAAAACATCTTGGAGCGGTGAGTTTAATGTACGAGTTTAGACTCCTACATAAGAACTCGCATTAGAACATTTTCATGTTTCAAAAACACAATCAAATTGCTACCGGCTATCGCAGTGGCATTAGATGCAATTTTTAAAATTATTTTTCAAACGTACATGGTTCTTTTTGACTAATCGCCGTATTGAAGTTATCACGTGAAACAGGTGAGATCACCCTTTGACTCATATAAAACCACTGATGAAAACAACTAAATGTTCATGAACCAATGTTCAAAACAACTAAATGTTTCTACTCAAAACACGAGCTTTCAACAAATTAAGCGATATTTAAGATTTTTAATTTAATACAACGTTCCAGGTGCATATGCAGTGCTTCAATATTTTAACTATAGAAAGACAAATTATGAATATTGATCACTGCCTTCTGAAGTCTGTTTTTGAACTTTTATCAGAGTTGCAAAGACTTCAAGGCAAAGAACCAAATCGTTAAAAAAATATTGTTTGCAAACAACGATCAGCCGCTGAATTGTCTACTGCATGTAGTGTGTAACAGAAAACCGCCTAAAGACGATTTTCTGTACAGCACTTCATCGCTGTAATCTCATAACCATCTGATTTCTCTGCATAATGGTATGATTGACATTACGCATTGGCACAAGTAAATCATGCAGAAATCTACGATTAAGAAATCACGTGATGTGAGACGTCAGAGAGAATGTGCTGTGTGACATTTACATGACATTCTATTACATGTGCAAATTTATCCTACTACAAGTAAGCTTTTACAATACCTTTATATTTGACGGCTTTTTTATAAGCACTGTGCTGGGTTTTATGTTACTTATTAGAATAAGTTTTCTAAACTTGGCGATACTCCAACAAAAAATTCCTGGTGATACGCCTATACATGACAAGGCTCTTCAAATGTGATGGTCCACGGTGCTACGAAATGCCCTCATCACATCTATCTAAATTTATCAATATACAGTAAGACTAACACAGTGTTATATTTTTAAGTCTGTCAATATACAGCAAGACTAACACAGTGAGTTAGGTTGACACGATTATAGTGACTGACCACACACAATTAACAAAAGGCTAATTTAGTGATGAGAGCAAAGTTATCTTTGGTCGAGATATTTTTACTATGGTTGATTTCACAAAAAAAAGAACTTATTTTGCAAGTTGCATGAGATAAGACGCAAGCAAATACGTATTTGAGAGAAAATGATGATGGTGTTGGCTTGAGTAATCCTTGAATCATCGAAAATGTCAATCTGTTCAGTCACTTCAAAAGCCAAAACTACTTGCTTGGAATACAAAGGCAATAATTTCAAAACGAGACATTCAATAATCATGCAAAAATAACACTATATACGCTATTTCTAAGGACATTTATAATAATTGATCTCCATAACCATTGCTAATCAGAAAACATAACACATGAAAACGTAATATTCACCTGATGTTGAAACCTAGTTTTATTACGTATCCAGTGTAGACAAGACATATCTGGCTGTGGTTTGGTCTTGTCGTTACCAAATCGACAAAAGAAAAAGTCTGAAACAGTAGCAACAATTTGTGCAATAAGCAGTTCGGTAAAGCCCAATAAAAGGCACCACGCCCATTGTTGCAGATTTAAATTTTCACAACGAAATGCCAGCCCAGAAAAACACACAAAAATTGCCTGAATTGAATAAAAGTTAAGTTTTAAAACATGTTAAGAAATTTTTGACATGAACACAATAGTATCAAATATGGACCTGGACAAAAACAGTTCCAAACCAAATGACAAGGAAGATCCAGTTATTAAGAATTCCCTCGAAGACATTACGCTGACCGTGAACTTTTCTTGAGTTGATTTCGTTGAAAAGTTGCATAAAAACAAATGTATTAAACATTATGGTGAAATGAACAGTGGGTTTGCCGTGATTTTTAAAACCAGAATCAATGTCAAACAAGGTAGGACCAGCTTCCATCAAGACAAGAAGAACGATGATCTGATAAAGACTATGCAGCAAGATATTCTTCGTCATTGTTTGCGAAATAAGGGGTTTTGTACGACCGTATGGTTTACGGGTAAGTAGATCGTCAGTTTGTGGTTCACCGTATGGTTTACGGGTAAGTAGATCGTCAGTTGGAGGTTCAGTCGCTAAGGCTAACGATGCAAACGAATCCATTATAAGATTTACCCATAACAGTTGTGTTGCACTAAGTGGACTTTCCTAAAGAATATACGGATAATATTTCTTACTTTATACTTCGTATTTAAAAATCCCTGCCAATAAAATGAAGACAAAAATAATTGGTTACTTTTGGTTTAGCATAGTAGTGAATCAGTGAATAACAACTTACATAATGTACAAGTGCACCATAAACACAAATAAATACAGCAACGAAGTTAACTGTAAGCTGAAACTGTAGAAATTTTGAAATATTATCATAGACGTTGCGTCCCCATTTCACAGCTTTAACGATACTGGTGAAATTATCATCAGTCAAGATGATGTCCGAAGCCTCTTTTGCAACATCAGTTCCAGCTATGCCCTGTAAAACACAGTGATTAGTGATAATATGAAAAGCATCGTTGTCAACATTAAAAAATCACACACAGAATTCTTCATCTAGAGATAAAAACCAACCATTACAAATCCTACGTCTGCCATTTTCAAGGCTGGAGCATCATTTGTACCATCTCCAGTGACTGCTACAATTTCGCAAGTTTTACTGAGTTTACTGTCAATAATTCCTTTAACTAGATTGTATTTATCTTCAGGTGATGAACGAGCCAATACACGTAGTTTGGGCCAAATTTCGTCAATTTTAGATTGAATAACCTTAAGGCAGGAGAGAACAATTAGAAATCTAGATGGAAATTACAAGTACAGACAATAGTATATAGGCAGTACTATATACCTCCCCCGTATTTTCATCGCGAATCTTTTTGTTAAACTCTTTTCCATCTAGCACCAACAAATTATGATGGTCTTCACTTTTCAAAATATCCCATTTCCTAGCAATAGATTTAGCACGTTCCACTTCGTCAGCAGTCACAATTCGTACAGTAGCGCCCGCACGTTGACATCTTTTTACGGCAACAATCTGGTATTGTAACATGTTATGCTTAATACAATTGATACTCTTCCAGTAAACTATGAAAGTGTACACAAATGATTGACAATGAAAATAATACGACAGTAAACAGCATATTTAGTTACATAAATGGCAATATTGATAAATATTCATGAAAAAATTGACCTGACCTCCGAATCTTCAAAGCCAACGATTCCGAGGCAAATCAATTCACTGACAACAGATGATTCATCATCCCAATCTTGACCAGTATCCTTTGGAAAATCTTTATACGCTAAGCATATCGTTCTCAAACCATTATCAGCCATTGGTTCAACCACATTTTTCACTATATTATCTATTTCTTTACTACTCAAGGGATTTGTTGTGCCATCGGGTCCAATAATGGATGTGCACTTGGACAACACTATTTTAGAGGCACCTTTGCAGTGAATTCTGTAACCTGTCACCTCTTTTTGATCATCAAAGATTGGTACCACAGTTGACATTGATTTTCTTGAAGAATTAAAGGTAAAAACTTTGATGAACTCTTCCTCAGGCATATTTCCACGATAATAGTTATAATGATCTTTAAGTGGTCCATCAACGAAGCCAAGTAATGCACAATCAGTTTTGTTGCCTATTTGATTGTCCAATTCTCCTTTTTTTCCACCAGGCTACAGTTGAAAAAATTTATTGTTTTCCTCCGAAGACACATTACCCTGACTAATTCATCGGAAAATCATTTCAATAATAAAGTCTTACTATAACAAATAATTACATGTTTGTAGATTTTGATTGTCCAGGTTAGTGTTTGTCGACGGTACCACATACTATGTGGTAATTATTTTTCAGGCAAGAGAGGAGTAAATGAAAAAGTCGCTCGTTCTCTAACAAATAATCGATGTTTTATGGTCACATTGCTAAGTCTTTTTTTTATTGTCGTTGATATTTATTTATATATGGAACTCGATTGGTTCTATTTATACAAAAAAACTCTGTTCAATATTTCTCTGTAAAAAACCTGCGGTTAACAAATTCTTGATATTTTCCTCCTTTACAAAAAGAATTCACAGCATTAGTTTTTATTTGTTTCAACCATCAGGCAACAGACCAATGCACGACAACGATGTTGGGATCAAACAACTGGATTGGAAGAAAGTTGACAAGAGAATTCTACAACAAAGGAAAGTGCTCAACAACAGAGTTGAGAAGCTTATAAAGAATTTACTAGTGAAAGGTAATCATTGTCTTCTGCTGTTACAGACATTGCAATGTTGTTCAGGTGAAGGCGTCCAAACACAGCACACAAGAGTAGATTGTTATAAAAACCATTTCGTAAACTGTACGTGTTGTTTCCTAGAATACTTATGGTTGAATGTAACTTTTTGGGATAAATGGTCATGTGTCAGGTCAAGATTTAAGTTCGTATCCAAAGGATCACCGGATTGGCTTTATGCTTTATTTTTTACGCTATTGCCGGCACAAGGCAAACTGTAACATATCTAATGTAAGAAACCAAAATGAAAAATTCCGAAGGAATTCATTGGAATGACGACTAGCAAACTTAAGACAATATAAAACAACCACATGTAATCGCTTGTAAACATTTGGTTTGCCAACGAGGTGGGTTATCTAAACTTGCCTGGGATCAAAAGACAAAAGGCAAAATCTGTATGTCTTTGTTTGTCTGAGTGTGTGCATCCTAAACGTTTTTGTCATTAGAAAAACAATAAATAAAATTATTTTTCAAAAAAAATTAATGACAATTACGCTGAAAATTTTACAAAGATTTAGCAGGGTAAGAATTCAACGTCACTTGCCAGTGATTTATTATTAATTGTCAAAGGTTACCTTCAGTAAAATACTACCCACTGCACAACGAGTATCAAATTCATAAAAAAAGGCTGACATTAAACAGCAACACCCTCAAAGAAGTCACCAAAATTTAATCCAAAGTAAAGCACCCCAAGATCTCCCATAAAAATATCATCCTGAATCCAGGGGTGTGTGGATGGTGTGACACCCCCAGATTTTGTGATATATGTATAAAAGTTTCGTCCATATAATCTGATAGAGCATAGAGAAAGTTAGACCTGATAACATTTTGAGCTTCCCTAAGAAATAAAGACACTACAAAAATTGGTCCAAGAATATTTTTTTGAGGGATGTGCACTCTTGCCAGCATCTATCCCTGTATTAAAGGAAGAAATCTTTTGCAAAAGAATGTGCTTTATCATATAATTTTAATGGAGGGGATCTAACATATGTCAGATTCACTGAAGAATTTGCTGAAATCACCTTACTTACTAATATGAATAATGTACTTGTTGATTAAAACCGACAAAATGAAGCTAGATAAGAAGTATTTAGTGAGCCTTAATATTAATTTTCAAGAAAGTTCATCTTATACATCCAAGCTCATTAAATTCAGTTAAAGAAATATAGTTGCCTCTATGAATGAGTGACTTTAATTAGTATGAAGTGCTATATTGAAGTTTGTAAACACATTTATGTTGATATAGTTAGCATTAACAAACACTCACTTAAATCAATAATTGGCTTACCTCAAGTTTTGAAGCATAACTGCTGTTATAAGAAATTCCTTCTGCCAAGATTCGTCTCAAACTTTCAGGAATTTGATCGTGTTCAAAGCCAGAATCCAAAACGAAATATAGTTGTTGACCCAAGTAACTTTGGACAACAGTCATTCGATTTGTGATTAAAGTTCCTCTTTTTTCTGAGCAAATTGTAGTTGCATTACCAATTGTCTCACATGCAACTATATGGTCATTCAACATTTTCTTGACAGAGAATGCAAAAGAAATGGTCCCAGCAAGGGGAAGTCCTTCAGGAACAGCAACAACAAGAACTGTTACACCAGTGATAAATGCTCTGAGATAGTCAGAGATGTGGCTGTTTTTGAAAGATTTCTTATCCACATGATAAGTTTCAATAGAAAATCGTATCCAAATAACAACAACAGTCAGTATACCAGCAACAAGACCAAACCACCCAATCAAAACAGCTAAATTTGTTAATTTGCTTTGCAAAATAGATTTTTCTTCAGTTTGCAACAGTGTACCATTTTCAGCATCATTGGTCTGCTTTGAACTTCTTCAGTCCTAAAGACATGTAATTGAGCAACTCTGGAGTTGATACCAACTGCAGTAACAATCATTTGGCCGCTTCCCTCCATCACTTTAGTACCAGATAAGATAAATGGATTTGCCTCGCCTTTCCGCACCAAGTTTGATTCTCCTGTCAAAAACTCTCATCAATCTTTAGATCATTGTTTTGAACAAGAAGTCCATCTGCAGGAATCATGTCTCCATCTTTCAACTGATAAATGTCACCAACAACAATATCACCATTAAATATTGACATTGGCTTTCCACCTCTGATCACAGTGAATGTGTGTTCACCTTCAATCTTGCTTTGGAAACCACGGAATGGTTGTTCTTTAGTGTAGTCATTGATAGCAGTCACAAGAGCAACAATGATAACAGAAACAAATATTGCAAAACCTTCTATCCAAGCAGTACTTTTTCCTTCCTCAACAGTGACACCAATAATCAATGATACCAAACCAGCCACCATGAGAATTATAAGTAAAGTATCCTTGAATGCCTCAAACAAGAATTGCAAAAAGATTTTTGGAAGCATTAGAGGAATGTAATTTGAACCAAATTTTGTCTTTCGATCCTTAATTTCTTTCTTGCCTCCATTTATACCTAGAGTAACTGAGCTCTTCAAGCGATGTACAAGTTCGTTTATACCACGAAACTCTTCTTGAAGCAATCTCAAACCATCTCTCTCTCCATGCATGATTTTTTTTAAATCTTTTTTAGACACATCAATATCATGCACGTTGACACCATCAACTTCATCAAAAGGAAAATTAACACTGCCAGTTAGAAGAGCAGACGCCATCTTATTAAACCTAACAAAGAGGAGAATATTTCAAAGAAACCCATGGAAAAATTCACGTCTTCAAAACGTAGCGACAAAAAGATTAGTTAAAATATTATATATTGTTATATAAAATGAAGATGCAGCAGGATTTCTCTTAAGAAAAGCACGATCTTTTAAATTCAATGAAAGTGTATTTGCACTGAGAAATGAAAATAACTTGCAACAAAATATCGTTTCCTACCTTGACCTCTCCGTGAACTTCAATGTATTTTCTCGTTCACTTCACTCTCACACAGGCACAATTAACTTCTAGGTATGTTCTTCAGTTTTAAACAAGTACGAAAAGATATATCCTTGTTAAGACAATTAAAAGAACGTAATATCTGGAAATGCTATCAAGTTGGAAAGTACCTACCGATAAATATGAAAGTTTTTCGATTAGATAATCACACAATCACAATAGAAATGTATGCAAACTATTCGCTCTTTCGATTTATTATTTCTAAAGCTTGTTGTCTTTTATTGTATTTCGAACCAATCAAACCAATCTGTAACTAATTTAGCCTAAGGTAATTGAATCAAATAGAACTTTAAAAAAGTAAAATGCAACTTTACAATCCATCAAACGTTCATGATCTTCGCTTTTTAGTTAAGAGTATATCGCTAGGTTTTTGCGTATTTGTGTATTTATTAATTACATGGACAAACGATAACTTGTTTATTTTTGAATAAAAAACAAGTGGCCATTACATTTTGAGACAATTTGTTTTTATTTTCCTCTAAATATAATCACAATACTAATAAACTACAATTAAATTTTATAGCCATTTCAAAGGCTTTTTAATGTATGATTAAGTAAATCATTGTTCATTAACGCTTGTCAGTCGGTCTTAAAATTATTCCATCGATTGTTCAGAAACAGCAGTAGGATTATAATGTCCTGGCTTGTTAATAAATGAGGTTTCCGCCAAATTATTTCGAGAATCATATTCATGTACATCTGATTTACTTTTCCTAAAGAATAAAGTAATTGCTTAAAGAACCATAATCAATGTAAAATATATCAAAGTTTTTTGTGGTTGTCTTTATACGGGAGCTAATTTACAAATTAACACAAAATGCCTAAATTAATCTAGCACAGAGCTTCGTTAAATTTTGTCTGTATTAAAAAAAATTGCGAACGTCAAACTCTATCTTCTACTGTTGGTTTACAAGCATTTCCAGTAGGAGAAAACAAAAATTATCTTCGCTGATTAAGTTAAATTTTGTTTTCATTGAAAACGAAGGCCTTTACAGTTAAATAGAAATTAATTTTATATAGCAGCTAATTAACTTTATATAGCAGCTAATTAACTTTATATAGTAGCTAATTAACTTTATATAGTAGCTAATTAACTTTATATAGTAGCTAATAAACTTTATATAGTAGCTAATTAAATTTATATAGTAGCTATATGGTAGCTAATTAACTATATATAGTAGCTATATAGTAGCTAATTAACTTTATGTAGTAGCTAAAGTCATTTATTACAGGGTGATAATTTCACCAGGTACTTACGCTTTTCCAAGGGAAGAATCATCTTTACGCCTGAACGATGGCTGTAGTTCTTTATTTCTGATAAACACAAACATTAAAATGAGCAAATTCTAGTTCAAAATCACATTACCCAACAAAATTAATCAATCATTATGTACAGGCGAAAGCTAGACAAGTGTGCTAGTTTCTTTACACGATCATTCATAAATGTTCAACGTACCTTCGACGATGTTTAAATACAAGAAAAACTATGATGACGAAAAGGAGGAAAATGAAAAACGAAGACGCAAGAACGGGAACAAGAATCTTCCAGGTTTTATCATCACTTTCTTGATTTTTCGAGGAAATATTATTCTCAAGCTTGTCAAATTACCAAACATCGCACCACCAGATATGTTGAGAAGCTCTAAAATCACAACTACTTCACTCATGTGCGATGGCATAGAGCCAAAATTTAGCTCAACAGAAGAATTCCATTGGCCTTCAGCGAATTTCAATACACCACTCGATGGAGAGATGGAAAATGGAATCCTTGCACCCATGTGACTAGAGACAGACCACGTGACAGTGACGTTACCAGTGGAGCCTTTTCGTCTGGCTACATCAAATATAATCTGTTGAGGATACTTTTGAGGACTGTACAGAATATTATTGTAATCTTCGACAACTGCTTGATGAGACTTGTAGGTTGAGTCAACTATAGAAAACAACCATGAAATTAGTCACCACATTCTATAAAGTGGTCTCATTATCTACTGTTTGGTTAGAAGTGTCCCCATCATATATTTGCTGGTGGTACAAACAATGAAGTCGAGGGATAATTGGCCTCGTGTACACAATGTAGTCGTACTTTAAAGTAAATATTACGGTTCGAGACAGTGAAGGCTATACCTTAATCTCCATAACTACGATATAATATATTAACGTGCAATTTTCAGATGCAGCAATAAATTTTATTGTTACCGTTATAGCTTCTCTCAAACTCTACAATTCCGTATTCTGCAATAAATGTCCAGAACAGCGCAAACTGAGTTAAATGACAAACTTTGACTCGCAATAATTTGGCTGCACGATCAACTTGCGACCATGGCTTTGGACACGTTTTAGAGGCATCATACCTGATGTAAAACAGTTTTGTTATATATAAAAAACATTTAAATTTGAAATATAAATCTAACATCGTATTTTACAATAAATCCTAAATATTCACGTGAAAATTTAGCTCATTTATTGCAGTAAAACATACCAGGTTTTATTAGTAATATCCCACAGTAAAAGAACAGGGTTCACGTCATTTGTTGTCACATCGTTGCTGACAGTTTTCTTATTGGCATTTAACATTTGATCAACATCATAGAAAAGCGTGATGGTAACGGGCTTCTTGAAGTGATATTTAGACATTAAGGAGTTGTTCTTTGGTTCGTATGCTTTGATTTGGAAACTGTAGTTGCCAAGTTTAAAATGCTACATCGTAGAGAAATAGAATACTCTCAAAACAAAGTCACGAAAACATGTATGATGTATGTATTCATGTATTTCAAGGAAACGCATTAATGACGTTCGTGTCGCAATGTTTTTGTTGCAATATTCGTGTTGTATAATGATGAAAGCCTTTCAAGCTGTTTGATATGAACATGTAAAAAACGAAAGAGAATGACACTGGTGTTCAGTTAACAAAAAAGTCATAGAAATCAAAGATTCAAATGAAACAAATTAAGTAAGTTTTCAGTTTTGCATATAAAATATTTTCCAGAATAAGTATCGTTACCTTCGGTGGTGTAACTACTTGTGGATCAACAATTGTCGTATTATCATCAGTACCATTTTTCATTTCCTTTTCCCCAAGACTGTATACTTGAAACTTCACTTCTTCATCTACAGCACCAGAAGGTACATCCAACGTACCAAACGTGTTGCCAATTTTGGAAGAATCGTTTTCCATGCTTTCGTTTGCGTTGACATTCACCGTGTCAAAGAAGAATGACCCGGAATCGTTTTTAGCAAAAATGAATTCCGTTCTTCCAACAACAATTCCATTAGAAGACATCGATTCCGACTCTAAACCAGCAGCATTGATTGCTATCACAGTGATGTAATATTTATTGCCTTTAATAAGGTCTCCGAGGCTGAATTTAGCGTAGTATGCTTTAGCGTTGCCGATCTCTTGAAACTCCCAAACGTCATCAAGTCCAGGCGATGAACCCCATCCAATTTCGTAAGAAACAATTCCACTCTCAGGATCTTCAGCTTCCCAGTTACCAAATATGATATTGGTGAATACCTTGGTGAAAATTCAATATAGGAACTTATTGCACTGAATATAGACTTAGCTTTTTCTTATAGTACATTTGAGCTTGCATAATTAAAACCCTTTACTAAAATAAGCAACAAGTATTGAATAGTTCCAACGTTATGAATACTTAAAATGTTCATTTGTTGCATTTAACTTCATTTCGTATTGCACATTTCTTACAAGAAAACAAACTTACTTGAAAATCTATGTCTGGTCCTATCAATCCGTCTCTTACAAAATATATTACAGGCGGTGTGGTGTCAACTAGAACACCATCACTTGACCGTGCAGTACACAACCCAGCGTAATTACACGCCAACACAGTGACGTAATAGGTTTCATTATGGCGTAATGTCAAACCAGTTAATGTTTGATTGGAATGACTTGTTGCGTTTTCACACGCCATTATGTCGTCTCGGAGTATCTTGGAACCAATGCACCAAAACACATTTTCAATGTCACTTTCGTTATCTCGAAAATCAATCCAGCGAGCGCTAATAGATGCTGTATTGTTCGTGTAATCTAAATCAGTCTCGGAAAGACTTCGACTGGAGCACTGATGTTCAGAGCTAAGCGTGGTATTGGCTGAACAGTTTCGGTTTTCATCGCTACCTAAACCATCATAGACTAATCCTGCCTCAGGTGAAGTGTTATCGAGTGAGAAAGGAAAGCTATCAGATACCGTTACAAGACCTGATACAGATTTCTGTGTGATGCGAATAAAATAGCTATTTTCTGAGCCAGGCTGGTAGAATCCATCTTCTTCAAAATCTTCTACAAACTCTGTAACGGTTATATTGTCTTGAGAAATATTTTGCTTTATTAATCGATCGTGAATGACCTCGCAAGGATATTTATCACAATGAGAAACTCGAAAGTTCAGAACGTTACGATTCACACATATTGTCATATTACAATTAGTGCATTTTTCTTCAAACCCAGGATACGCTTCATGGTCGGAGTCACAAAGTTGACAGTTGATATGATGTTTGTTTCCATACAATTTTCTACGGACAGAATTTTGGTTGCAAAAGGTCGTAGCATATACGCGCCCAGTCCCCGCTTCGACATAGCTGCTCGGCCAAGTCAGTAAGCCGGGACTTCCAATGAACACCATTTGATCCACAATTGCTACTGATGCACCCATTTGACCTGAGTCGTACCGTGGTCCAGTCTTTGTGACAACTGTTCCTATGCGTTTGCAGCTTTTTTTATTTTCATACATCAATATTTCGCACCCATCTTGTCCATCTGAGGACATTATACCAATAACGGCAATTGTTGTGTTCCCTTCCATTACATCTAAGGAGCCGGTCAAGAATATAAGTGGTGAAACTATGTATCGACAATCTAATACCACATCATTTCCACTTCCAGTTTTCAAATGAAAAACCAACAAGCGTCGATTCTTCACCGATAACACAAAAAGTTCATTTTTCTTTGTCAAATACATGTTATCGACGGATATAACTTCATTTGACAAAGTACGTGAAAGTTTTTTATCATTTCTCCAAATATCGTTGAATTTTTTCGCGTACACATTAATTTCGGACCCAACAATAACTATGAAATCATTATTAATGGCAATTACGCGTATTGACGACGAAGAGCTTTTATTTGGTGCCAATACTTGCAGCAATCTCCAATCTCCAGATTCGTTTGTAAAAAGTGCAACGACTCCATGTTTCTCAATCGGATGAAGTCCACTCACAGCTATTGTACTAGTGCCATCAAATCCAAACTGTTCCCCAACAGTTCTCGATGTAGACCATTCAGCACCTTTAACACAACTCGCGGCCTTGTTGGAAGATGTTGTATTGCAATTTGTAATTATCAAAATTCTGCTTGTTTCTTTTAAATCTTTTTCGTCAATTTTAAATACCATCAATTTTCCATCTCCAGACAGCAAAACTAAATCATTTTTTCCCGAAACTTTCACATATTTCTCATAACTTGAATTCAAAGTAACGAGAGTAAAAAGAGTTGTTTCATCTGAAGATGTGGGGACAATATAGGCAGAATGTTTCGAAGAAACGGCTAGTAAGCCATGATTTAAACTGCTTATCGAAAAACCAAACGCGTTGGTTCTTTGAACTGGTTTTATCTGTCGATCGGGATGAACAACTCGTGGATTATCATTTGTCTTTTTGCAGCAAACATTATTATCATTATGGATGTACGAATGATTGAATATAGTTTTGATATTAATTGTTACATTTCGGGTTTCATTTTGTCCAGATAACACTCGGTAAACGCTTGCTTGGTAAGTAATTTCTAGATTTTGCTTCACCGACGAGTTGACATTACTCACGTTTGAAGAGTGTGCTTTAACTTGTAAAGATAATGGATCAGGGATGTAGTAAGTTTCTTCAACCATACTACGAGGTACTTCTGGGATCGTGAAGTACTTTTGCCATCTCTGTTGCTGTGTGCCAGCAATTGTGTCGGTTGTATCGATCTGCGTGACAAAGAATCACATCATTAAAGAACAAGAAAAAACAAGCATTACATACAAGAGAAAAATCTTACGTAATCACAAAAACACAAAAGAGTGAACTTTTACCCACAAAATTTCAACAATATTTGAAGATGTGCACATGATAAATATCTTTCACAAAACGATAATTTTACATAGTGTGTGAAAGAATTTAGTAACTAGACACGTAAGACTGAAAAACACAACCGTTATATAAGACTGAAAAACACAACCGTTATATAAGACTGAAAAACACAACCGTTATATAAGACTGAAAAACACAACCGTTATATAAGACTGAAAAACACAACCGTTATATAAGACTGAAAAACATAACCGTTATATAAGACATAAAAACACAACCGTTATATAACACATAAAAACACAACCGTTATATAAGACTGAAAACACAACCGTTATATAAGACATAAAAACACAACCGTTATATAAGACTGAAAAACACAACCGTTATATAAGACTGAAAAACACAACCGTTATATAAGACTGAAAAACACAACCGTTATATAAGACTGAAAAACACAACCGTTATATAAGACTGAAAAACACAACCGTTATATAAGACTGAAAAACACAACCGTTATATAAGACTGAAAAACATAACCGTTATATAAGACTGAAAAACACAACCGTTATATGGCTAAGACTGAAAAACACAACCGTTTTATAAGACTGAAAAACACAACCGTTATATAAAACCGTTATAGGTTAAGTTTCCATTGTATTAAGATTTTCCGCTTTCCTACCTTAAAAGCAGATGGTGCATCTGGCGCAATCATGATTCCATCACTCACAGAATCATAACACAATTGATCTTTGTTGCAACTTCTAACAAGAGAACGATAAACAGTATATGGCTTGAGTTTATCACCGCTGAACCTTATGTGTTGCTTTCCACGTGGAATATCGACAAATTTGAAAAGAAATGTTTCGTCATGCCATTTCTTGAAAAAGGATTCAGTGGCATTCGGATATTTTGGTTTCTCTGTCAACGCTGCCTGTATAGATGAAAACAAGGATGATGTGTTGTCTCGAGAAAACCATGACACGATTATTGATTCGGTGTTGGCCTGATAATCAATATCTGACGATGATTTATTCAAATTTTCAACTTCTACAACATTAAAGCCTGAAGGAAAAGCTTTCATTGGACTACAAGGATCCGACTTGATAACTAAAGTATTTCTTGCTCCGTTGGTAAAGCGAACAGCGATTTTAACGAAAGAATGATCCTCAAGAGAGACAATTGCAGCAACTTCAGTTAAGTTGATTGACAAATCCTCCCAGGGTAATATGTCACACTCGCCATTAAGACTTTCAACGCACCATTCAAGTTTAAAAATTCCAGATTCTCTGTCCTCATATTGTAACCATGATGCTTTGACAATCTCTTTGCTACATGTGATTGATACAGGGGAACTTGCTTTCGTGTCTAAAAACAAATTGGGCATTTAGCTATATTTAATAACTGTAGCTATGTAAACTTATTTGAATGTAAGTTAAGATAAGATAATTTCAGTTTACTTTCCTCGTACTTATACATAGAGTATTTCAAATATTAAATATCTAAAGAAAGTAACGACAATCTGCGCATATTTGTACCTTGAGTAGTATTGCATTTTCCAACACCACTGGAACAATTGTTATTTATGTCAGCGGAGTGCTCGACGATCTGCTTTATTACCAGCGGTGCAGTAAGATCAATTTTTATTTCATCAGAAGATACAAGTGTCGACATTCCTGCTTTATTTGTGGCTTTAATTGTGACGAAATACGTTTCATGGTGACGCAAGCGAAGTTTGGTGAGAGTGTGATTTGTTTTCCTTCCAACGTATTGAAAATCAATCTCATTACAAGTTTCCTGAGTAGTACCGAGGCAAATTTCATATTGAGCGATGTCCGATTCGGGATCAAAAAAGTTTTGCCACCTACACAAATGATGTATATATATGAGAATATTTTAAAACATTTTTCTGTTTCATAAAAGTATAAACAGAAAAGAAAAGTAGACACAAAAGTGGACAAAAAATAGACAAAAAGGTGGATAAAACGTGGACAATAGGTAGACATATAAAGACAGACATAACTCGTATTTCTCCCCCCCCTGCTTTACATTAAATGAAGTAATTCTTTAATTGACGAATAATTTTATAAAAACATTCTACTACGACAACAGCTCTATATCTTTTCGTGAAATGATTTCCATATGTATCATGATGCTAAATTACTGCTTACCTCACAGAAAGATGATCAGATATCGAAGTAAACGGCAGCAATGAAGAAATGAAAACACGTCCTGATTCCGGGGCTGTAGCATCGACTATAAATCCATCTGAGTTTACACGATTACTTAAGCCAGCATTATTAACAGCTCGAACAATGATTACGTATGCTACACCATTCTCCAACTCTAAACCTGCAAGTAATAGATCAACATACGCTCAAAGCCTCAAATACAGTGCTTCTGAACATTTAATGAAGGAAGGTGCAATGTTGTTTACATCTTCATGAACACCGAACACGTGAGAAAGAGGGGACAGTGCTGTTTAGTAAACTTTTTAATAAACATATGAGGTAGAGGGGCAGTGCTGTGTAGTAAAAACTTACGAGGGAGAGTGGGCAGTGTTTTTTAATTACACTCCTCAATGACCTTATGAGGGAGAGGGGGCAGTGTTGTGTAGTAAAAATCGATAAAATTAAGTTTGACATATGAGTAAACAAACCTGTAATAGTTATATTGGTTTGAATTCCTGTATTTGAAAATGATTTCGGACAAAACGTGACATTTTCTTTCTGACATAAAGCAAACTGATATGACTGGATGCCACTTTCCACGTCTTGGAAATCTAACCAACGACCATGCACTGTATCACCATCTTTTACATAGTCAACATCAGCATCCGTACCATCAATAACCAATCCACCTGTGGGAGGTGTATAATCAACTGTAACACCATTGGAAGCCATAATGGTCTCAACACCAGCTCCATTGGTTGCATTTAACGTTATGTAAAAACGATTTCCATTATCAACAGGTTGATCAAGATACGCAGATATTTTAGTAGCACTAATTTCCAAAGAAGCACTGGATTTAAAATCACATGAACCGGGACTGGAACCGACGCACCATTTTAGACTAATGACGTCACTCTCGGGGTCTTCAACTTTAAACCAATTGGCTGATACACGTTGACTGCTTTCCTGGAAATCGACGTCTGTCATCAAGTGGGAGCCATCAAATACTTGACTTGGAAGAAGTGCTGAATAAACATATCAACATTTTAAGAAAATGGATAACACTAGTTTACGATTATTTTTAAGTTTACCTGTCTTATCCACCGTCACTGGTTGCGATGCAGTTAAATTAGTGGAAAGACCAGCATTATTTACACTCATGAGCGACACAAAGTACTCTTCATTGTGAACAAGACTTAAATTATACCACGCATAACTTGAGGTGTTTACGACAGCCTTCAACTTTGAAACATCACAGATCATTGGTTTTGTCCCCAAACATACGTAATAATTCGAGATTCCGGACTCAAGATCAACAAAACCACTCCACCGCGCGATAATATCGGACGAGACAAACATATAATGATTACCCAAAGGATTTGAAACTTTTATTTCACCAATGTCTGGTTCAGTTGTATCAATAATAAAAGTAGATGAAGTTAAGCTCGTGGAAAGTCCAACTTCATTCAAAGCAATGATTTTTATTACGTAGCTTTGACCTTCAGTAAGTGACGGTTCTTCGATGCATAAAGATGTTTTGTTGTTAAGGTTACGATTTGAAACAGGACAATCACCGATATTATGTTTCCAACAGAGAGAATATTGATAATTTATTACGTATGACTCGTTGTCATTAAAGTACCATGATGAACAAATATTTCTTTTGTTGGTAAGGTATAAAACTTCTCCTGCAGAGATTATCTCTGAAGTAATTTCAACCTAATAAAATAAACAACATAAAAATACATAGTAACCTAAGCTGACAAGTTTTGATACTGATCAAATCCAATAAAGTCCGTTTTTGTCACTTTCCTAACTTGGCAAACAGCTCCCCCCCCGTAATAAACCCAAACGTAGTATCAAAAAAGGTGGGTGATTCCTGAAAAACCTACCTTGCTACCGACAGGTGGAGTGCTATCAATTAAGATTCCATCAGAATACACTTCAGTCATACCTCCACCTCCATTATAAATTTTCAATGTAACATACACGATTGTACCAGAGCTGACAGCTGGATTGATTTGCAACATCGCAGTTAATGATATTCCAAGTGACGTCAGGGGTAAAACGTCACAGGAGCCACGAATGGTACCTGCACAAACTACGTACATCGAAATTCCTGACTCAAGATCAGAAAATTCATCCCAATTGCTTCTGATGAATGTATCATGCAAGGTTATATCCAGATCAGTTCCCTCACCATCCCTAATGACTCCACCAACAGGAGAAGTCAGATCAACAGTGATTCCTTTGGTGGTTGCAATTGAAGTAAGTCGAGCACCATTAGTTACTCGAACAGTAACATAATATGTTTCATTATGAGTAAGGTTAAGGTTAAATACAGTGGCTCTATTATTTAAACCATAATCTCGGAACGGTGTGACATCACATATTCCAGAGCTTAAACCAACACAAACTTCATATCGTTCAATACCACTTTCTTTATCTGTAAATCCTCGCCAACTTGCCAAGATTTCCGAGAATGAGCTCTGGTACAATCTATTTTTAAAATTAACACTTCCAATAAATGCGATGCCCGACTGTGGAGATGTATTGTCCATTACAAAAGAGTTAGAAATCCCTATCATCTCAAGTCCAGCTATGTTTACTGCTTTGATGACAAGTTGATATTCTGCCAAAGGTTCCAAAGCAAGATCATTTAGCACAAGACTTGTATTTAAACCAGAACTTGTAAATGCCGATAAGCAGTTGGTCTGTTGATTTGCCAAGCAGATTTTCCAATCATATTCTTTGATATTACTTTCAGGGTCATAGAAGCCTGACCAGGACGCACTAAAAAGTTTTTCTTCGTTCAGGAAAACTGTTTTTACTTTATCGTCAACTTTAACAGTTCCCCTATGAGGTGGAGTTGTATCAACTAGAATTTTTCTAGAAAAGGCAACTGTCTCCAGACCAGCTCCATTCTCGGCTTTGACTTTCAAGAAAAACACTGTTCCAGAATTGAGTAAAAATTTAAAGATTATATCTACTCTTTCTTTGACATGTTGAACGACTTGCCATCGGGATAAATCACAATCTTCTTTAACAGTAGTGGCGCAAATGATTATTTTCTTAATATCACTCTCATGATCAAACACAGAATGTATTACAGCTGAGATCTTCAAGGATTTGTCAATATAGCAAAAATATTTGAGATGCTCACATTACTGTTCATGTTGTTTGCCGTTAACGTTTCTTCATTGGAAACGATGTCATCAGTTTTAGCAGTTTTGTTGCCTGAAGTTATTTGAAGTGCAACAACCGACGTCGCTACAATTCGGTTAACTGTTGGAGGAGAAGCGTCCATAACAAAACCGTTTGAAGAACTTGTCGTTGACAAACCAGCTCCATTAACCGCAGTTACTATCACAAAATACCTAATTCCTTGCTCCAAACCAACTTCAAGTTTGGCATGACGATCGAGATTAACCGAAGTCTTATTTGTGATATCACAGGTATCTAAGTAATAAAACAGAATGAAAATAGCATTGTTCATAATTAAATAAAAACTTTTGTAAAGACAATGTACAATACTCGTAGCAAGCTCTCTGAATGCCCATAAAGTATAAATTGCAAAATAACTATACCTGGGGAGGTTCCAATACAATATGAATACTCATTTACACCACTTTCTGGGTCAAGGAAAGCGTCCCACGATGCTGATAACTGATTTAAATTACTCTGATAGTCCACATCAACGGTATCATTTCCATCTCTAACACTGCCTGGCGTGGGTGGTAGTCGATCAACGATTATTTGTGGTGAGGTCATGGTGGACTGCAGGCCCAAAACATTCTCACCAATCACAGTTAGGTAAAACATCAATCCATGGGATAAATTAAAATTAATTTCAGCGAAATCAAGCGATAGGTTGCCACCATCCAGTTTCATGAATGAATACAAGTCATCTTTCCCAGGAGCACTTCCAATACCAAACTGATATTCTTTCATAGCACTTTCACCTTCATGCATAGACCACGTGACGATAGGAGGAGTAACGTCAACAATATAAACCACTCGTGTACCATGTGATCCTCCAACTTTAAAAACTCCAGAAGATGGTCCAGTGCGATCAACTGTAAAACCATCTGAGAAAGCTGAAACAGTCTGATGACGTACGTTGGAAGCTTTTACTTTCACACTATAATGTTTTCCATGTAGTAAAGAAACATTGTGGAACTGATGAGCTGTTGTTTTCAATGGAGGATTAACTTTAGTTAAAGGTGACGAACAATTAAAATCGTCACCTGCTTGCTTAGTTGCCTTTCCATAACACCATTTATAATGATCTATACCATAAACAGGATCTTTGAAACCGCTCCAATGTAACCAAACTGCTTTGTCATCAAGTTGAAAGTCTCTGTCATAGACAAAAGGACCATCGTAAACAATGCCTGGTGTAAATTTACCTAATCTTACCAAGAACTCATTAGAACAGCTGGTCCTTGATAACCCTGCACCATTCATAACACGGACACATACGGAATACTTTCGACCAGAGTAAATTGTTTGACCTTGAATCACATAACCGTTGATTGTGCCTGAGATAAAATGTATACAAAATCAATGAATGTTTTGGTTAGTGAAATACAAAATTTTAAACTAATATGACATATGTGCAAAAATATAACTTGGTATTGCAGTAACATGAATTATAATAAGCCAATCGTGAAATTTATTAATAAAGAAAGCTGAACATGGCCATCATAGAAGTGTCGACACATGCAAAAATATCGTTAGATAAAAACGAGTAATATATAAACTTTCCAAACAAATCCTACTAGAAAACAAAGTTCAATTAAAAAATCAAATAAAAACTCACCTGTAAACTTTATTGGTGAATAATAAGCATCACTTAAATTTTTAATCAATTTGCCAGATGATGATATTCCCCAAGCATAACTTCTCAATCCACTCTCCATATCAACAAATCCGCTCCATTTCACAACAAACGAAGCATTGTAAGTCACGTTAGGATTACCATCATAATTAGCAGGGACAACAAAGTTTGCAGACACCAATCCTGGGGACGGTGGGCTACGATCAATAACCACCCCACTTGTCACAAATGTAGAATAACGCTGAGCTTTATTCGAAGCTCTTAAATATATGTACACAGTTTGACCAAGCTTAAACGAAACGCTGGAAATTAGATAGCGAGAAACATTGTGAGAAATGTTGTTAAAGTTTTGAGGATTTTCCAAATCAGGAGATGTATCGATCATCCATGAAAGACTTTCGATACCACTTTCCAAATCATGAAGTTGCCATGTTACTAAGATGCCATTCATTTGAACACGAAACAAAGTTTTAACATCACTAAATATAGGAGGTGTTGTATCAATGACCACACCAGATGTCCAATATTCTTTACTCAAAAACACATTGTTAGTTGCACGTATTCCTACGGCATAGCGTCCACCATTTTGAAGTTCTATCGCTTGTCTTCCTGATCCATCAACAACAACACGAGTCGAATATATGGAAATACCTTTGATAGTATGAAATGACATAATGTAGTTTGCCGTATTGATATCCTTAATAGCGAACTGATACGATCTTATCCCAGTCTCAGTATCATTACAATGAAATGATATGATAAGCTTCCTAACTTCCCCAATATAACTTGATCGCTTTCCATCTGTTGTGACATCATTTACGTTAAAACAATCTGGTCCCGTGCCATCGACAAGAAAACCATTGCTCACCCCAGTTGTATTAAGGCCAGCTCCGTTTTGAGCTTCAACTTTAAAGGCGTATCGTTGGCCGTGTACTAGAAGATTTCCTGGAAATGAAACCCTGGTTGGTCTCTCAAGGCCTCGAATTGCTAAAGGGTCGTAAATGTTTAAGCCATTGGCAACATCAATAATGGCGATCCTGTAGATTGCAATATGACTTTCTGGATCAGTAAATTGCAAGTTGGCATTCACTTTTGGACCGAGTGCCATGTATTTATAATCCTGGTACAAATTATCTCCATCATTTATGTAACTTATGAGAGGCGGTGTTAAATCAAGAGTAACTCCATCACTAGACATAACTGTTTGAAGGCCAACATGGTTTATGCACTTCACCGTAGCAAAATAACGAAAACCGTGGATAAGAGTAATGTTTTTCATCTTGAACGTGGTTTGGTAGGGTAAAACATTCTGGTAAAAGACGACATCTACCATTCCAGGCAAAGTACCAAATCCAATAAGTACTCGAGCAATACCAGAATCAGCATCTTTACAACGCCAGCTTGCACTCAGCGAGTTCGTCTGACTTGTGTAGTCATGATCGAAAACAGCCCCATCATAAATTGATCTGTTGAACACAGGCGGAGTGGAATCCACAATAATCCCGTTCGATGTTGCAATTTTCGATGGAACACCAATTACATTTACTGCAATGACTCGTGCATAGTAAGTAATGCCATTCTGGAGTTCAGACACTTGTAAGTTTGAGCTGACAGAGGATGTGTGTAAGCCAACATCAGTGAATGGTTGGATATTAGAAGTATTTGGTGACGTTCCAAATGCTAATTCATAATGGTCAATGGATGTTTCGTTTTCATAAAAACCTTGCCATCTTGCATAAAGTATGTTATTCTCACGCTGAAATAAAACATTCGTACCTTGATTTCCATTGAATACACTACCTCGTACAGGAGGACTGGTATCAAGTAAAACACCATTGGTCCAATAGCTACCTACGTTACCAGCTCTATCTGTAAGTAGTAGGTGAGCAAAACAATACGATCCAGATTGAAGATTGAGATTTGTGAAAGTGTAAGATGTTAAAGAGTTTGGTATCTTTACAAAGGCATGTACGTCACAAACGAGAGTTGGTCTTGAGCTTAAACATACTTTAGTTTCCTTTACGCCAGAGAAATCCGTGACACCAGACCAATGTAATCGATAAATGTTAGAAAATGATTGATATCGAGCATCTATGGTATCCCATCCGTCAAACACGTATGCTACGAAAGGAGCTTGGTCATCAAAAATCAATGGTGTCGACGAAGAAACAAATGATAATCCTGCCGAGTTGGAAACTTTGACAGTAATGTAATATTTTCGACCGTTCATCAACTTTATGAAATCGGATAATGTCCAATTCACTTTAACGACATTGCCAACATCATTTATTTGACTTGAAACAAATCCTATGACATCATTACCTTGGGGATACGATGATACTCCTACACTGTATTTAACTATGTTAGAATAATCCTCCTCCATCTCAAAATAGGCGGAAAATACATGACTTGAATTACGAGTGAACATTATTTTGTGTCCCTTCCTCCCATGATGAAGTGTTAATATTTTAGGAGGTGTGACATCAACTATAAATGGTTCTGATACCGAATTTGACTTCACTCCGGCACGGTCTTCAGCTTCAACAACGACTGAAAATGCTCCATTAGGTATAGCAACGTGAATCCCACTTACTGCAACCCTTCCAACAGTTTTGACAGGTGTAATGAGCTTTGCCGAATCATATGAGAAAACAGATAGTCCAAAATGTTTGACTCCTGAATGGTTATCGTAGAAACTTAACGCATTACATGTACCATCAGTTATCTTAAGCTTGTCCCTGTCGGCAGGACACCAGTACCAACGTGCCCAGGCGGCTTTGTTAATCCACGTGACCTCAAGAGGTGGACCACTATCACCAGCTATAACTGTACCAGTATGTGGTGGTGTAAAATCTACCATAGCTCCGTTGCTGCTTCCATTAACGCACATATGAACTCGATTACATGCAGTTACTGTGATATAATACTTTACACCACTCTCCAAAGAGCTACTGCTAATTATTGCTTGGGTATTTAAACCATTGCTTCGCATTGGTGTCACGTCATCTGAGCCCGGTGTCTTACCCAGTCCAACAAAGAACTCACCAATACCACTTTCTGCATCGGAGAATGCATTTTCCCAGTGCGCTGAAAATTCGTCCACCTGTGAGCTGAATCTAGCATCAATACCCTTAAGTCCATCTCTGATGTACGTAGGTAAAACCGTGGGACTGGTTGTATCAATTAATATCCCATCTGTAAAAATTGTCTTAATAAGCCCTGCATTGTTTTGAAATTTTATTGTAATATAATACCTCACCAATGACGTAAGGTTAACATCGCTGAATGTCACCCATGTTGCATTAGAATGATGCGATTTAAAGGTGGTCAAATTGTCAAGATTAACAAATGGATGAACATTTTCCCCACCTGGATAAGTACCAACAGCAGCTTCAATGAAACGGATGCCACTTTCTTCATCCTTACATGAAAACATAGCAGTGAGATTAGTGAGATCGCGTACAAAGTCTTTATCAAAGATATCATTTGGAGTAAGAACGTCAAGAGGACGACCATTGCAAGTTGGAATAGTGTTATCAGGAACAATACCAGATACATTTACTGTTGCATAAAGACCAGCAGCGTTCGTTCCTTTAAGTAATGCTGTGTACTTTTTGCCTGCAATTAAGTTTAAATCAAAAAGTAATGGATATCTTTGTGTGATTGGTATCATGACGAATGATGTTGCATCACTTCCTGTTTTTTCGTCCATTAGCTTCCACTCGTAGCGAACAATGGGACTTTCAATATCTAGAAAATCCTGAAATTTCCCAGAAACACGTCGAAGAGAAGGAACAAAACCCATGCCATTTTTCCTACAACAAAGCCACGTGGTATCGGTGGAGTAGTGTCTATTGTAACACCATCACTACAGGCTATCGTAGCCATTCCCAAGAGATCAGTGATTTGAATTCGCATGTAATATTTGCCACCGTTTGGTAAATTCAATTCAGTCTTTTTAATTACATAACTTTCACCAATATCTCGCATGCTTAAAACGTCAGCTTCATCATTAGAGAATGTACATCTTGGCCTTGATGATACCCCCCATTTAATGCTGGAAAGATCCCCAAATGTACCTACAAATCCATAATGTACAGCTAGATATGTCTGATCGGATTGAAAATCAAGGTCTTTAGAAGTTTCACCATCATTAACAAATGTTATAACTGGAGATCGTCGCTTTGCTGTAAACATAGGACAATGAGCAATAGGACTTTTCATACCCAAACCATTGTAGGCATATACACCTACATACACAGGTCGTCCATGCATTATGTTAAGATCTGTAACGAGCAAGCTTTGTCTTTCACCGTGAATAGAAAAATGATCATCACCAGAACCTCGGATGGAGCCAATTATTACGACATAATTTTGAATTTTTGTATCTTCCGCAAATCCACGCCATTGGACGAAGTACTTTTTACTGGCTACTTGCTTTGCACTACATTGCCCTATTCCAGGGGTGTGGTATCTTTATCACGCTTGCAAGTGCTAACAACAGTTTTGTGAATAGAGCGAGTGGACCAACTCCATTCTGCAAATGTTTTCTTACGACACCAGCGTATCGAGATGCGAATTCGAAACCATTTCTTGACTCGGATCCTGATACAAAGTAAAAATCTATACCATAACCATACTCGTATCGACAATGGTGTCATTTGCATCTTCATTCGCAAACATGCCCGTAATGGCCATTTATCAACCCGTACAGCAAGTTCTGGGATGAAGTAAGTCTCTAGCAACCTCGCTTCGACACTCACTCCTCCTTCAACTATGAGAATTACAAGGCTTGCTCCAGCTTCTACATTAACCCAGGCCCCTGGAATGAGCGCAAGACGGACTTCCTTCTCACGAAGACACAATGAGATCCTGTAGTTGGCGTACAAATTAACATCAACACCAAAGTAGAAAACAACTGCTATTCCAACCACGGGAACAATCAAATATTGGCGAGGATATAGGCAAAGAGCCTAAAATTTAAAATTTATGGCATTTAGCTTTACTCTGTCTACATGAAAAAAAACAACCTACGTATATCTCACGAGTAAAGTTGTGTTTAACAAAACTACACCAGAAAAAACAAATGAAAACGCTCTCAACAGCGAAAAACATGGAACCCTTTTTTCAGATTTTATGCTTACAATTTGAAATAAGACATTGAATGATCCCATTTTACAAGTTCACGTTCATTTTTACGAAAAGATGTTGCACTAACCTATTTTGGGTTCACCCTCAAAATTCCAAGAACATGCAACACTTTCTGTGGAAGGCCCTCGTCGTCTTCTTCGATGCTCGAGTTCTGCTCTGTACACATCTGCATCAATTGATAGATCAAAATTGCTTATTTTCTTGCGCTCACCACATTTCATTTCTCCAAAAGAAAACAAACGTTTGGCTGGAATAATCCAATCATAGCCAACTCTAAGGAACAGACAATTTTCAGTGATGTCAAAACCAGTCGAGAGAATTGGTACCTTGAATTTGAAAAATCTATCCTCAAAATCGCCAGCGATTCTTTCAATTTTATCTTTCTCTGCGAATGTACCACTAGAAAATGCGGTGACAAGATGCTCAGAATCAACTGTCTGTACGGCTTCAAGACCCGTGGGAGTTCTTACAACTCTGTGAACTGTAGATTCATCCAATACATTAGATTTAAGACTGTGGAATTCAAGTCTACATTGAAAAGCAACAACAAGAGCACACTTTGCCACAGCAGCATAGTCGATACCAAATTGTCGAACAATTGTAAAGCCACGTACATGTTGCCCAGTCTCTACTGTACGTTTATTTGACAATATTCTACCAAATGGACTTACATCGTAAGAAAATGCCTTGAAATTTCCGCTATCAACAACCCATACTCGACTATCACGACTGTCGTAGGACAATGATGTGGCCGAGTGAGAAAGGGATTTAGTTTCTCCAATATTTACCGCAGATGGCTTTGTGATTGACATACTATTTCGAACATCCGACAGTTTTACTGCAAAGAGAGTATTTCCCCCACCACTCATCCAAAGGTACGTACTCTTTACAACCGCTAGACCACCCATGTCTCCTGTAAATTCTTTACCATTGTTTTGAAGAACAATTATCTTGACAATTTGAGGATTTGATGACCTGATGTCAACAATAACTAATAGAGAAGGCTTATTGGTGTTTGCTGCGATACCACGCATGCCCAGTATAACTTCGTTCTTGGTTAATGGAGCAATGCTGCGAACTTTATAATCATCAAAAAGACCTGGAACCAACCACTTTCCACTTGAACGGAATGAAGACAAGTCATCAAGATGAGGGAACTTCCAAACAAACACTGTCTTTAAATACAACTTTGACGAGCGACGTAGAAATCTTAAGCATACTTCCGAAGAGCAATAGGAATATTGATTCCATGGTTTATAATTTCGAATGTCCAAACCTTTTTGTCTCAACTGAATTCTATTCAAGAATGATATAATTCTATCAAGAAAGCCGTTCACATCATTAGAAGCCTTTGTCACTTTATCACCGTAATCCTTTAGTTGGTCATCAAAAATGTCAGTGAAGTCAGATGTTTTGTCAAATAAATCAAGAATAGTACTTCGCAATGGAACAACAACATTTTGAGCGGTCTTGGTGAAATCAGTCATAGATCCGACAACATTGTCTACAGCTTGAAGACTAGGATTAATGATGCTCGTTTTTCGACTGAGATCCGAGGCTAATTGCAATTTTTTCTGGACATTTTGCAAGTTATCTTGGAATGGTTTGATGTTTTCAGAGTAAATACTTTTTAGTTTGCCAAATACTTCCTCCACAAGTTTTTCAATTTTCATTTTCGTCTCCTTGGCTTTCTTGATATTCTGTGCAAAATCTTTTACTTTTTTCATCAAATCACTGACGGAGCGTTTTTGAATCTAATAATGTACAGGAAAAAAACAGGTCAGTAGAAATAACGGAAAATCTACATCTAAGATCTAATATATAATTGTCCCCGAGCACTAGCTTGACTTGAGACGACACTTATTAAAAAATATTTTATGAAAACATAAACACATGAAAAGTTTCTACCTTATTGTCATCATGTGAAAATTTTCCAGTTATCCTGCGAGATAAGTCTTTTATCGTTAATATTTCATCTTTCAGTGAAAATTCTTGCACTAATTTTGAAATATTTCTTACTCTATCTACAACATCGGAAACATCTTTAACAGCTAATTCGCATGGTTGTAAGCTCTCCAACAGTTCTTTGCTGTCAATTTTCTTCTTTAAAAGTTTGATTTTTTTTGAAAGTTCTCGTGCTTGCATGATAAAAGCCTGCGATAGACAAGTTCCACCTCTTACACATTTTCTTAAGCTTAAGTTTTCCCACTCGTTGGGCAAAAGATCAAAAAGGACTTTCACTTCATTCCTCAACGATTTGTACTCGCCATACGACGCTTTTCCAAATGTTTTTGCGCTCTTACTACATTTGCTTAAAATATTTTTGAATATTAAGTTTATGTTTGAGCAGTTGGGCAAGTGACTAACTTCTCGAAGAATTGGTGAAAAATTATTTGAAAATGGCTTTATTTCAATGAGCACCGCTTCCACTTCGGCAACAGATTCAGAAATTTTTGTCAATTCTGCACGAACTTCGACAAGTGGTTCTTTCAATAGGTTCAGTTTTGCAACTCCTCGTTCAACTAAGGAATCTGTTTCTTTTGTTACAAACTCGCGGATTCTCTTGAACAAGTTATCGCCTTTAATCTCACGAACTCCTTCATTGGCAATGTTATGAAATTCGTTACAAAGCTCACGAAGTTGCTTGTCGAAATCTAGTTTGAACTTACGTCTCAAATTCAACCTGTTCATTTCTCTCTCCCATCGTCGAGCGTTAACAGCAAAGTCAGCAACTTTGTCAGCAGCTTCACGTGCTTTTTGAGCATGTTCAGGCAATCTGTTCAAATGCTCCACTACTTCGTTAATAATACGTGACGTTTTGTGAACCCTTCTCCAAAATTTATTCTCATTCTTCAGTAAAGCCAAAAATTCTTCAAGCGTTTCGGAAACTCGCACAAACTTACCAAGACGTTTTCGCAAATTTTGTTGTTGCCAGTTTTCGACATTTCTGACCACAGATTTGAAGCGGTTTATAAAATCTTTGATACCCCGTGAGTTGGTAGTTATAAATGTAGTTAATTCTTTTACTGCATCTTTCGCTTCAGATTGAATATTATCCAATATTTCCCCTGACAAATCAGCAGTTTTGTAGCAAAATCCCGACAGTTCATTCGTTGCATTTCCAGCAAACTCTGCAACGTTATCAGCTAAGTCATGAACATTTTGCAGCGAAAACTCCAAGTTTGTCAAAAACCTATTCACGAACGTCTTGGTAGAGAGGGAAAGATTATGTTGAAGTTTGTTGATAAGATCTTCCACAAAAATCGTTACATTCACGACTTCTGATAAAACATTTTGTGCTTCATCTTCAATTTTTCTTATTGAAACTATTGTTCCATTTTCTAAATTTTCGCCAAACTTTAGCAATTTACCAGAGGATTTTAACATAAAGTCCTGGAATTTACAAATGTTTATGAGACCTCTTTTTGAAAATCGTCCTATCTCCTTTAAAAGTTCTTTTAAAAATTCCCCAGTTTCGCTAAAATTTAATAATTTTCCATCTTCGATGACAAGAATATTCTGAAAGTTCTGCAAAATTTTCTGAAACCATTCTTCGATTTTGAGATTTGTAGTGTTCGTGTACAAACCAGGGTTCACCGATATTAAGTTCTTCCTAAAACTTGGTAAAATATTTTGGAAAAATTTCTCCAAGTCAAAACTTGGATCATCGAAGTGATCAAATATTTCAGACAAATATTGAAAAAATTTTCTCAGCTCTTCAAAACCTGAGTCAGAAAATTTAACATTAAAATTGAAACGAACTTGCCAATCGAACGATAATCCGAAATGAAAAAGTTTACTTTCGCCAGGGATTGCAAACTGTGGTAGACTTGGACGAGGTAATTCAATTCTCGAGATATCTCTAAACTCTGCAAGCATTCCCAGAAATTGGTTACAGAAATCAATTAGAGCTGTTGTCACAGTATTGAACTCATCAAGAGAAACTGGAAAGCGCAGGGAAAATTTAAAATGAATCATTTCAAAAAACTCCGATGGAACATCGACTCCCAATTTCTTGAAATAATCAGCAACCGCATCTCCAACAGAATCAAATGATCCGGAGATATGTTGAAGAAATTCTTTGATGTTGAAACGAACAGGAAAACCACGAGGAAGATCGACGTTAATTTTCAAAATGGTATCAACCAATTCTGTCAGGAATTTGAAAGCTTCGGAAAATGAACTGTTGGAGACTTGCAAGTTTTTAAGATTTCGCAGAAGAGTCTTGACTGCAGTAGCAATTCTTGTCCATAACTCATTAGAACGCAAAGCTTTCTTTATATTCATAGCAATATTACTAAAGATTTTACCAAAGCGTGTTGCTTGAAGAGAACGACGAAGGAACTCCACTGTTCTCTCTATGAACTGTAAGAATGCTTTAGCATCTAATGGAAGATAGTTTTTTAATTTGTCAATAAAATTTTGTATATGTTTAGCAAAGATGGATGTCAAGGAGTCGATGTTCGAAAGAATATCATCTGCCGAATCAGCAATGGAGTGAATTAAATCTTTGGGAATGTCATTCTTGAATCGCGCTGCCATTTTGAAAGCTGCCTTGCCGGAAAGGACAACAAAACTCCATTGCAGGACATGCGCACGAAATAGAGCACGATTATCCAAGTCTACTTCAAACTTACCGCCAAATATGCTGATCTGTAGTTTTACTTGATTCACAAATCTGGAAATAAATTACAGGAATGATATAAGTAAAAACAACCTTACCAATGACCTCATAGCTGAGATTTTACCTGATCAAGGCTTCAGCTCCTGCGCGTTTACCGCCAAAACCTTTCATCCATTCTTTCTTAGGACCTAAAACAAATTCGCGAGGTTTGAGCGCAGGAATTAGCGCTCTCTTTTTCCTCCGAATCGCTTCTCTTCGCTTTCGAAGTTTTTTTATAGTATGATGGGAATCTTCGCCATGTTTTTCTAAAAATTCAGTGATTTTTGCGTCAAGTTCATCGCCTTCTTCAGCAGACCAAAGTGCATCTTCAATCCCATCTCGCATTTCATTCGTAATATTTTGACGTCTTTCAAGAAACACTTCTACAACACCAGCTTTTACACTTCTATGATAATCTTTTTTCAAAGTTAGCAGTAAATGATGGTCAGTTTGAGAAGGTGGAAGTTTCCTCAAAGCAGATACTGCCGAGTAGCGAATACCAGAACTGTCGTGGTCCAAGTGACGAATAATCGTTGACAGTGATGAAATATGACCAAGATTGCCAAAAGCCCATAGATGATTACGTAAATATGTCTCGTGTGATTCACTTTCATCGTCATGGAAACGAGCTGGGTGTGTTTTAAAACTGTAAAGAAGATGGCGAGCAACGGTATCGGATAATGATCGGTTGTAGCCTGCTTCGTGAATACGACGAACTAAACCAGACAAAACCAACATGGCACGGACAGTCACTTCGTCATTTTTGCTGCTATTCTTATGAAGATACATCAAAGCATGTATCAGTTCCGGGTACAAAGGACCGGCCGGTATAAAGAAAACTGCCTCAATCAAACTAGAATGTTCTTTCACGGTCAAAGGACGAGGATTGTCACTTGTTAGTAAATGCGCCAATATTTTCTGTGTTTGATGGTCTCCTTTGACCACGAGAGCTCCTACCAGTCCAGACCAAGTCGAAAAATTTTGATGCGATCTTGAGAGAACAAGTTGAACAATATTTCGGTGAGCATCGTCGCTCAGTCGTGCCAAATAATGAAATTCTTTTACACATTGTGATAATTCGTTCTTTTTTACTGAAGGATCCGAGTAACAACGAAGTAATTCGTAAAAAGTTCGCGTTGGTTTTTTTGGATCGCCATAATCTGACCATCGAATATGATGAAAATGGGAACAAGTGAGAGTGTCTTGTTTTAAATCAGATAAGACCGACTTGACGCTTTGCTGCCCTGTTGATCGTTTACTCCTTTGAGATTTGCTTATGCATTTGAGAAGTGTCAGGTGGCTTTCTCCTGAAGCTTTCAAATTGAAATCTGGTTGATCTTTAAAATCAGGATTATTGACAGGATATTTGAACGCAGTTTTGTCATGAAGTTGTGAGAAATGTGTTCTTTTAACTGATTTAATGATGTTATCTTCAATTTTTACAGCTGAATTGTAGTGACTTTTAACATACTGTTTACCTTCCACAGGTCTGCCATCAGCATGCTCAATAAAATCATCACCACTCCACTTTTTTGTAAAATCAGCGTGAGATACGTTTCTTTGAATGATGTCATAATAGGTCACGTGTACACCAGAATCATCCTCTTCCTTGGTGTTGAATGACGTCACATTAAAGTCATCGTGAAGTTTCAAATGAAATGCACTTACAACTCCTAAAACATGATAAATCCTCAATAAATTTTATTTTTGATAAATCGACATCAGTCAGGTTTTTACTAGCCAAGGGAGCACTCGCCAAGTACTATCAAACAAAGTTTTCACTTCACCTCAATTTTCTTTAAGTAAACCGTTAATAAGCGACCTGTTACGCAGTGTGACAACAGGTCAAGCTCCAGAAACAATAAATTTAACACATTATTATATATTCGTAATGAAATCATTGGACAACAAGCAAATGACAAAGGTATCTTTAAACACGATTTTTTGATTTGTAGTTCAAGGACAAAATTTGTATTTACCATCCAAAGATGGACATATAAGTCCTTAACTTTTAATATATTCTTTAGTTACCTTTCTTTAATCCTACAAGGTTAGGGATGTCATCATGAGGATAGAACACGTGAGAAACCATTCCTTTAGAATCTTGTGTAAAGAAGAACGGCTTGGATAGTTGCTCTTCTAGATTGTGATCAACAACGTGTTTGATGGTTCGACCACCTTGAGTTCGTACGACTCGAGGACTGCGTATTGTTAACTTTGCAACATAATCGTTATTCTTCAATGTCGTATCATCCATTACGATCACATTGATCTGGAAAACATTAGTAAATTTTAAACCAAAAAAATATGATAGTTTTTCACAATAAAAAATTCATTTAGAGCCGCATTTATCAACTATAATAAAGGGTTTCAATGGTTCTTAAGTTGATGTCCGTATTGGTGTATCGAGTCCAGTAAAAGATGTGTAAAAACTTCCTAACCACCAGTGCAGTAGCTTGCCTTCATAGCAGGGGGGAATATTCCTGTATGCATGTTTAATCCAGAGAAAATCGATTTTTAAAGAAACTTAATACGGAAGAACATGAACATTGCCCTCCCGCCCGCCAAACATCGAGTGCTAGAGCGTATTTATAAGAAACTGCTCTACAGCTAATTTTCTTTTTAGGCATGTTGAGAATTCCCTCTAAAATATTCGATTGGTCAGACTAAACGAAAGACAAACTTTGAAAACCGCACAATTCATACGTGCATATTCGCATGCAACTTCCTTTATATTTCGTCAAAATAAATTATTCAAATACAACGGAAGTATGAAAACTACTTTTTCTTCTCACAGAGAGGAGGAAAACCCTCTCACATGCCACTCAACTTTTCTTTGATAACAAACTCGTCTTTGTTTTAAATTTTAAACGCGAAAGTACACTCACAGTTTGAACCGTTGAACCGTGCAATAGTGTTATATTGTATTCAAATCTCAAATCTTGCTGGCATACACTTAGTATTTTAACAAAACACCGAACAAAAAATTAATCACTCCTTAGTATCATTTGACAAAGGATTTATTTTAAATTAGGTTTTCCATTCTGAATTAAGGCCTTGGCAAATAAAATATTAAATATCTCTTAGTGCATTGAACTCGAATGAATGTAGAAAAAATTCAGGCACTCGTCAAATAACGAAATTGGTCATTTTTCAAGCCGTTTCTTTGAGCAAACATAAATAGAAAGAGTCATTGGCACATGCTTTATCGGAAGTTTGATGTCATAGCTAATTTATGCGTGTACCATTCCGCCATTCGTTTTCAGCTGAAATTAAAAAACCATGTTGGAAAAACCGAATCCGAAATTCGCTTTTCGTTTTTCATTCAAGTAAAAAATCGTCAAACACCAAAAACAAAAAAAAATTAATTCGATATTTGATATGAATGAAAACGAAACACGCATTTAATTTATATATTTGTGCTTAATAATTACATTCCTTTTAGTCAGTAAAAAAACCAACAGTCTTTCTTTCATAGCGTAGCAATATATAGCACTCAGACGAAATGTCTACATCTTTTTTCTTATTGCCCGCATATTTTATGATTAAACAAATTTAACTGTTGCCATGAGGTCGAAGTTTTCAGTATTATGCGTGTTTACATTATTGCTACTTGATGGTAATGCGTTCCATCATGTCATCGACAAGCAGATAACCACAACGTTCTTTTGTTTTGGGCCCACCAGCATGGCGTCATAAAAACCCACAAAATATGCCGAATGAAAATTCCGAACTTACCTCATACCAGCATTTCTGCAATGTGACCTTGTTTATGATATATTAAGTCGAGCCTCTGCATGTATTAGCTACAGTGCAACTTGTTGAACTGTATGTTATATAAAACTTATTTTCAGCAAAAATATTGCTGTTAATTACAATAATTGCAACGGACTCAATCTTATATGAAAATTTCCAAGCATTGTGAGGTTTAGCCGCTAGTCATGAAAACATACCTTGGTGTTGATTTTGAAATTCAGTTCTTTAGTAGATCTATCCCCACGATGAGTGTGAACCTCTAGGTTATAATCGTAAAAGCAATTTAGACCATGATGTATCCTCAGATGGGCCACAGCATCACTAGTGTGAAAAAATGAGAATAGAATCAGACAGCCAATTAGAAGCATTTTGAAGGCTAAGCTATCAGGTCCATGTAAACTACTAAATATTAGAAGGACTGTGGGATTCTGAAGAGAATCTCCAGCAATATGTCTCAACAACTTCCTGTTTCCTGTTTATGAGTTCTTGAACACCAACGAGCTCAATTGAATGTAAATATCCTACGCAAATTGCAGACTTGCAGCGCATATCAGCGCTTTAGTGTTTTTGAGGCTGAGCTTCCAAATAGATAAAACTATTCTGCTTAACCGAATAGATGAACAATATAATTTAAAGAAAGGAAACAAGAGGCTAGGAAGAACATAAGGTAAGCAAGGATCGGTTAAAATTCCAGTGATATGCCGAAAATTGAAAAGAAATCACCTTATATATATTCATGGCACGGAAGCATTCATGTATCACGGTAAAAAATATCGTTCTCGTTCTATAATAAAGATAAGAAAGGATCAACTAGCATTAGAGTTAGTTAGGTTTCAATTAAAGTGGTTATTGAATATAAAATGTATTGCGACACTCCGTTCCAGTCTTGAACAATTTTAAGAAAAACATAGATTCGTTTTTTAATATTTCTTCCCTGAAGGCAAAGAAAAAGGTGTGCTTAATGTGGGGTTTTTGTCTGAGTAAAGAAGTGAAAATGAATAAAGTGCATGTTTTCACTATAAATTTTCTTTACAAACTAAAATGCTCCTCTCAGTAGGAAAGGAATTTTTCAATTAGTGCTGCACACATCAACAAGCATTAATAAGCTAAAGTAAACAGAATTCCAAATGAAATTATAAACGAAACATACCCACTCAAACATAAGTATAATTATTCGCATTGACGTAATAAAGGTCATCAATTTTGAAACAGGATATTGCAACGATGGAATGCAAATATGATATAGATACAACATGTGAATTATAAAACGTCAATGGTGAGGGTAAAATGTCGAGGGTGAAGGTAAAATGTCGAGGTGAGGGTAAAATGTCGAGGTGAAGGTAAAATGTCGAGGTGAGGTAAAATGTCGAGGTGAAGGTAAAATGTCGAGGGTGAGGTAAAATCGAGGTGAAGGTAAAATGTCGAGGGTGAGGTAAAATGTCGAGGTGAAGGTAAAATGTCGAGGTGAAGGTAAAATGTCGAGGTGAGGTAAAATGTTGAGGGTGAAGGTAAAATCGAGGTGAAGGTAAAATGTCGAGGTAAAGGTAAAATGTCGAGGTAAAGGTAAAATGTCGAGGGTGAAGGTAAAATGTCGAGGGTGAAGGTAAAATGTCGAGGGTGAGGGTAACTAGTTAAGCATCAAGAAGCGTATTTATTTCATACAGCGATGTAAATATTGGATAAACCAGTATATATAAGCCCGTATTGTACTAACGTACTTTGCGAATGTTAAACATACATACTTAAATCCTCGATAAATCTAAGAGCACTAGGCACGAAGCCCCTTAAAAGATCATAACAGACTAACAGACTTATGGTGCTAAATTAAATGAAGATATGATCATAAGACTCAGAAGATTCATAAGATCATAAGATTCGTAAGACTTATGGTGCGTTAAATAATACTAAGTCAATGTGAACGCTATACGTGATGCTAAAATCTATAGGTTAAATTTCCGTTGTCCAATTCCGAACACATTGGTTTTGTAAATGCAAATTACTACTTGCATTAAAAAAAGAAAGCTTTGTTAACATGAATGACAGATATTAGAATAGGAGAAATCAGTTTTCATATTTCACATTAGGCAGCGTGCATGCAACTGTGCACGTGTGAATTATGCGTTGAAAAACACTTTCCTAAACCTCTCTTTCATTGAATTTATGCCAAGTAATAGTAAAATTTCAGTTAAGACTAGACACACACAAAAAAATTATAGTAAACACGCGAAAAACTGAACACAGCAATCAAAACTGGTTTAAATTAGCAGTATACCGGAAATAAATAGCAATGTAAGTATGTTTGCTACAGGAACTTTTTCTACTAATAACACACCTATAAAGCTCGCCAAGACTTTTTATCCTCGACCCTCGACAATTCAAAATGATTTGATAAAGTCGACTGAAGCTACTCCAACAGTCAGACATTAATTTGAGAAGCAATCCATGGACAAACGAGAACCAGAAGATCTTAAATCGTTCATTTTTGATATTAATGCAATAAGAGCATGAAAATTGGAGGTTTGAACTTTGAGCGAGATTTAAATCAACATAAGATTGATAACTAGCGGTCTACCGTTCTTAAATAGTCTTTATTTTTTTAAAATACATTCTGCTCTTTGTATAATCGTTTAGAAGGCGTTTTGGTAAGTAAATATATCCATGAATGAATTATTGCTTTGTCTGGTTTTTTAAGCTATGTTTTCAAAGTCACGAAATATAATGAATGCATTTTGACAGGACTACAACGTCGTCATTCGCATCACTTCTTCAAATTTTGTGAAGTATGAAGCTCATTCTGATTTGGATCTTCATGGCAATTTACTATGTGGAAGGATGGCGTCGTCGACGTCGTCGTCGTCGATCGCCACCGCCACGCCCACCAAGACCATGTCGAGTTGGGCCTTGGTCAAGTTGGAGTAGGTGCAGCCATCAATGTGGTAATGCAGGAATACAGAGTCGAACAAGAGTAAAGACAGTTACAGAATGTTGTGGAGGAAGATGCCCATATCACTTTAGGGAAACCAGGCCATGCAACAGGAATGCATGTCGCAATGGAGGTCGACCAACCAATGGTAGATGTAACTGTAATGCCGGTTGGACTGGAACCTGTTGCGAGAGAGGTAAATGCTTCGTAGATACGGTAATACGCATGCGTTTCGTAGGTGTAGTAACACGCGCGCTTGGAAATGCTCTTGCATGTTATTGAAAGTTGAAAATGTCAGTTGAGTGTTACTTTTCTACAACTTACAAAAGTTGTCCTTAACTTTTAGTTATAAGAACGTTTATAAGACTTAGTGTCATCTGATCCAGAGAGGTGACATTAGATATTCGTATTTGAAATACATGTTTATTCTTGGATTAAAATAAATCACCACGGAATCATGAAACAATGTGACCCGCCCACGTCAGCTGGTGCCAACAATGGCATTGATAAAACATTCTTTTGTATTTTACCAACAACATGGCTGCCGTGACGTAGCATGCACTCCTCCTATTAGCAATGAAAGATTGATAAGTCTTTGAAGTGCATTGATCTATCCAGACGCGCTGAAACGCACCCACGTTTAGCATATTAAGTATATTGATTTGGTATCTTTTCGCAAGTTTAATCTCTTCAAAAATAAAGCTTATTCTTAATAACATGACACAAAGTCAATACAATGAAATATTTGTACACATTGAACATTGTATCTTTGCAATATTGTCCGTTAATTATTAATTATTAATAAATAATTCTTCGAACTCTGCCTGTTATATTTTTCTTACGCAAAATTGTTAAATGTTAATTTGGATTTGTTAAAGAAAAATTAAAATTATAAACTACAACATACAAATATAAATGTTAAAAACTAAATCAAAGATAACTAACATCAATGTTTAAAATATCCATGATAAAGGGACAGTCAAGTGTAAAGACAACTTTCCCAATAACCTAGGTCAATATTTAAAGTATGTTCGCGAGTTGAGGCAGATCGACTTCCTCGTATCGCAGTAATTGCTGACCTAATCAGTGCGAAAGACAGTTTACAACGCATCCACGCTAGCGTGATGCCATATTGCAGCTTTCTCTTTTGTGCCAGCAGATCAGCTAGCCGCTTATAAGCAATTGCCGTCTCTTTCCCCATACCACCTGATGTTGAAAAAACCAGTGGTGTAAAAGCAGCATATTCAATCTCTCTTACTCGATCACCATATTCCCTTTTCTTAGCCATCTCATGCTGACGATAGAATGCAGATGTTAAAGATGTTTTAAAAGCAGTTTTATCGCAAAGTTTAATGTTTATATATTATTTGAATTATGTTCATCGATCCATTTCATTCCAAGCCCTGTTTTATTTGCTAGAGTATGAACTTCGAGCTATACGTATGTATTGGACGTTGCATGGTTGCAAACGTACCTTTTTTAGTAAGGCATTGTAGTTAGCCTGCGTACAGGTTAATCACAAAAATTTACCAGAGTAAGAACGAATTTATGTTCGGCTCAAAATCATTATTTTGGAACACAAAATACAAAATCATCAAAGACGTTCCTTATTTTATTAGATTTAACATATTTACTAAGCAATGTCACTGTTTTTAGATGTGAACGAATGCTTAAGACGCCCCTGTCAACATAAATGTCATAATGTTCCTGGGAGTTACACTTGCAGTTGTTACTCTTGCTACACTAAAGTTGGTACAAAATGTGAATTACGACAATGCCGTATTTCTGGCGCGTGTTATAGCTACGGATCAGTAAATCCAAGAAATCAGTGCCAGGTAGGCAACCTAAAGCTACGGATCAGTAAATCCAAGTAGTCAGTGCCAGGTAGATAACCTATAGCTTCAGATCAGTAAGTCACGTAATCAGTTCCAGATGGATAACCTATAGCTACAGATGCCAGGTAGATAACATTTAACTTTCATAGCAGTCAAGGCCCTTTGCGTTTTACTCACATTACATTGTGACACACAAAATTCCCTAAAGGTTTTCAACATCGTTTTAATTGGTTGCAATTTTGTTTGCGAATAAAGGATTGTCAGAAAAGTAAAAAAACATCATGGTCAAATAATGATAAATTATCGTGCAGCGATGGAAATTTGTGCACACGAAATGATCGTTGTATAAAAGGCGTCTGTACTGGTAACTCGTTCACGTGTAGGTCATGTGAAAGCTGTGATGGAAGTTCGTGTAAAATAAAACCTGGTTTCTGTGTTATTGATGGAAAATGCTATTCCCACGGTGATCTAAGATCCGGTAAACCATGTCAGGTAATTATATTTTTTCATTTTTTGCACCATATACTAGACAGAGCGCCGCATGCTTCATTTATAAACCACAAAGCTGAAAACTTACTCAAAGTCAAACTAGCATTTAAAATGTTTCTCATTAATCTTGTCAGCAATGTAATAGTAACAATCCAAAGAGATGGACTGCAAACAACAATTTAAAATGCAGTGATGGCAATGTTAAAACGCGAAACGATCGTTGCGTCAACGGCGAGTGCAGTGGTACACCTTTCACGTGTTTATCATGTCAGGATCATTACAATGATGCATGCAAGTTAAAGTCTGGATATTGTGTAATTAAGAATGCTCAGAATGTTGACTCTTGCTACAGAGCCAAATTGGCAAAGCCTGGAAACTCGTGTCAGGTAAAAATACACGTAAATTTCCTAAAACCCAGCGTCGTTTTTTACTTATATTTGCCTAAAATTTTGAAGCAAAAAATCCATGAAGATTTGCTGGGATTTCAGATAAAACTGCATTCAATATAAACCTTCTCTCGTGCAGTAGGAAAGACAAGTAGTCGTAACTTTCGGCTGGAATGAGATCTTTCAACCAAAGTTAGCAAACACTACATATGATTGATCAGATTTCATATATCTAGTGGTGTGAACCCAAAGTGACAACATTCGCTTGGACTAACAGAAATGGAGTATCTTGCGACGATGGACAAAAATGTACAAGACAAGACAAGTGTAAGAATGGTCAATGCCGGGGAGCTAGTTTTAAATGCAACACATTGTGCCAGTATTGCAATGGTAATGGATGTAGTTTAAAACAAGGCTTTGGATTTGTGAATGGAAAATGCACTTGTAAAATAGCCGGTCAGTACACTTTTCATGCAATTTGTGTCAGTTCAAAGTTTTCAGTTATGACCAAGGTAACCAAGGTAACCTTGAAAGGATATTTCGAGGAAAATTTCTGTTTTTAACCGATTTAGGTCGAGACTACAGTCATCAACAAGTAAATCCAAGCAATCAATGCCAATGGTGTAATTTGTACGACAAGGCATCTAAAAGAAGTTTAACGTGGAGCAACAAACCTTCCGTATCCTGTAATGATGGAAACGCGTGTACGAAACAAGATGTCTGTCAGACAGGTCGTTGTGTTGGTAAATCTTACAGTTGTCAACAAATATATCCAAAAGCTAGTTGTATAAAACGCTCAGAATGCATTGGAGATGGGACGTGTAGGGATATCATGAGAGACCGTGATACGATATGCAGGTCACCCGTTGATAGATGTGATCAACCGGAAAGGTAATGAGCTCTTGTCTTAAAGGTAACTGGATGGACGCTTTTCATATGTAGCTAGGTCTCAATTACGGAGAAAAAATCAATTAAATATTCGATAAAATATGTCATATTATGAAATCGACTTTGAGTACATAGTGAAACTCTCGGAGATGCTGGGCAATCTAATTTTTCGTCAAACCCATGGAAAAAATCTCCAGAACGCCAGAAACATGATATAAATTAAATGCACGAAAATACTTTTTGTTTCTTACTTTTCAGATGTGATGGTGTTCTGGGAACATGTCCACTCAGGTCTATTGACGTGATCACACACAAACGAGGGGAAGTCATGTTGACATCTTTAGATTTTGCCTCGTCACTATCCTACCAAGCAACAACAGATAAATTTTATTTAAAAATCACAGGTTTTTCAGTTAACTGTGGCACACTAACATTAAAATGGTCACTTCTGAAAGGTCAAGAGAGTTGTAGTGCAAGAAATGTTTCAGGGACTCTTCCCAGTACTTCTAATCAAATATTGAGTGGTTTGTCACTAAAGAATGGCCAAACGTACAAAATATTGTTACAGTCCTACGATATGCGAAATAAAGTGAAACAGACAGTTTGCAGTAACGTTGTTACCATAGATACGACCAAACCGAGTGGAGGTTGGGTTCGTGATGGTTTGGGCACGAAGGACATTCAATACCAATCCAGTAAAAAGGTCAGTGCGACATGGGGCGGTTTTACGACCACTCATGGCATCAAAAAATACGAAGTAGCTGTTTACTATAAAAGCAAAACTTTAACGTCGTTCATTAATGTGAATCTGAACGCATCATTTAGCAAGACAATTTCAACCCTCAGAGATGGCAGCCAAATTATCATAAAAGTTAGAGCGTTTACCAAAGCAGGCCTTTATTCTGAGGTTTCCAGTAATGGTGTCATTGTAGATACATCCAAACCTAAAGCTGGCATCATTTCAGACGGACTGTCGATTGATAAAAAGTATGCTAATTGGACAACAACTTATGAAGCAAACTGGCAACCGTATTCTGACAACGATTCTCCCATAACAGAGTATAAAATTGGAGTAAAAAGAAAAAATGGCGCATTAGTGTCGTCTGGCTTCATTTCAGTGGGTAGGCAGCTGAAAGGGAAAGTAACAGGATTATCTTTGACGTCTGGTATCGAGTACTGTGCTCTAGTAAAGGGAATCAACGCAGCAGGACTTAGTGCACAAGCTGCTTCAAACTGTCTTCTTATAGATCATATTGCTCCTCAACCTGGAGTTGTTAACGATGGAGCGTCTGATGACATTGACTATCAATCAGCAGACAATGTCTTCCGAGCGAATTGGAAAGGTTTTACAGATGGAAAAAATGGCAGTGGAATAATGGAATACATGCACAAGATAACTGACAACAGCGGCAGACAAATAACAAACTGGTTTTCTGTCGGTCTTCAAACTAAAGCGACAGTAACTGGTTTAAATCTCGTCAATGGTCGTTCGTATTTTATAACAGTAAAAGCCATAGATAAAGTTGGTCATTTTGTTGAAGTCCGTTCAGATGGCATTTATATTGACATCAGCCATCCGGTTTATACAGGAAAATTACTAGTTCAAGGAGAGACTGGTGAAAAGAACGGAAAAAGAGTCATATATTTGAGAAACAATAATTCGTTAAGTGTCTCATGGCCACAGTTTCTTGATGAACAAAGTGGAATGCTGAAATATCAATGGTCCATTGTTGAAGTGAATTCAACAGTAACAACGTGGAGTGATGTGCCAGGTGTAAAGCTTTCCACAAAAGCAGTTTTAAGGTAGTTGAGAACAGTTTTTGTCATTTTATTTCTATTAAAGTAAATGGTTTGAACTCGGGAGTATCGTTACATGTTTGTAAATGTAGATCGTCCAGGTTTGTATGGTCCTGAGAAGGACTGTTGGTGTTGATGTTGACTGACGTTTCGACAACCTTAGCGGTAGTCATCTTCATTTTGACTCTGAAGATGACTACCGCTAAGGTTGTCGAAACGTCAGTCAACAACAACAAAAACAGTCCTTTTCAGGACTATACAAACCTGGACGATCTACATTTACAAACATTTTATTTCTATTGTTGATAAAATGCGAGCTTAGAACACTGAAGTGTTTAAAATTTCACTGCGAAGGAAACGGTCAACGTGATGTCATGACAAAATTCTTGTCCTGAAAGGGTACCTACAATTTTTTGCTTTTTTTTCTATATAGTTCGTTATCATTAGAAAACAACAAAGAATATCGACTTACAATACGTGGTATAAATAATGCAGGTTTATATTCGGATATCAAATCATCTGTTCTCATCCCTCAGAGCGAGGCTCCGCAAGAGGGAAACGTACTAGATGGAGAAGATCCAAATGTTGACATCGATTACCAAACAAATTCATCCATGATTCAAGCCACGTGGTACGGTTTTGACACACCAAATGTTAAAGTTCGAAAGTATTATATTGCCGTGGGAAGTTGTATCGAAGGTAATTATCATGTTACAAATAACGGTTTCGTAGCCGTACACCCAATGACAGCGACTTCCTTTGAATTACACGATCTAAGCTTAGTTAACGGTCAAAAGTATTGCATTAAAGTTAAAGCTGAGAATCTAGCTGGGGTGGAGACAAAACCAGTGTCCTCCGATGGTTTTATAGTAGACACAAGTCCACCAGATTTGAGTCATGCAATGGTACTAGATGGTAGCGGAGAAGATGACGTGGATTTTCAGTCCAGTACAACGGAGATTTCTTTTACATGGAGTGGAATCAAAGATCCTGATTCAGGCATAGAGCATTTTGAAGTTGCTATCAGCCGAAATCGGATTGGTCAACCCGATGTAACGTCATATTTTAATGTTGGCCAGAACACGTCGGCAAGCCTGTCGGGGTTACGTTTAAGTAAGAAGGTCTATTACGTCATTGTTTGTGCTTTAAATATGGCCGGATTAAGATCGTGCACATCTTCAGACGGTGTCCTCGTTGATCCAACGCCTTCCACAGTAGGCTTTGTGTATGATGGTTTATTAGCACCAGATATAAATTATCAATCTTCACTGACCAAAATGAGTGCAAATTGGGAAAGAATATGGGACTTGGAGAGCAGAATTGAAAGATTCGAGTGGGCGATCGTAGACAACTATCAAAACATGGTCATGAAGTTCGTTGACGTTGGCCTCCAAACTCATGTAACGACAGAGAAAGCTCTTAAACTGATGCATAATCGTACATATATTGTTTATCTTCGTGTTTATAACAGAGCAGGTGGTCTTCGTGAGTTGCATTCCAATGGAGTGACAATTGATACAACTTCACCTATCCCAACTGACATCGTGCTTGGAGCAAAGTGGCGGTTTGATCAGAAGACTGGAAACTACTATTCATCAAGTGCAACAGGGATAAACGTGACTTGGAGGAATTACAAAGAATTTGAAAGTGAATTGTGGTACTACAAGTGGGGTATAGGTACATCAAAATGTGGTACTCAAACACAACAGTTAATAAATATTGGTTTATCAACAAGTACGAACACAAGTCGAAATGAGTTAGTTTTTCAACAAGGTATACATTATTATGTAACTGTAGTGGCTAGGAACCGAGCGAACCTTGTCTCACAATCCTGTACACCGGGATTAATTTTTGACTATTCTCCTCCACAAATTGGACGAATCCATATTAAATCGGAAACCAGAGATGACAAGACTTACTTCAATTCACTGAAAGGTCTTCGCATAACTTGGCAAGATTTTATCGATCCTGAAAGTGATATAAAACTTTTTGAAATTTCTCTAAAACAATCAAATAAAACAATTAGCAAAAGTATCTTAACAGCGAGTAAAGGACCATTTGAATATTACCTTAATGGTTTGTCTTCTGCTACATGGTATTTTGCAGCAGTGAAAGCTATAAACTATGCTGGTTTGGAGACAGAAGGCTTTTCTAAACCATTCATCATTGACGAAACTGTGCCATTTTATACCGGTCGTGAGCGTGGTGTTCCAAAAAAACAATACCAATCGGATACAACGTCTGTCAAAATCACTTGGAAGACTTTCGACGACAAAGAAAGCCCCATTGAATACTATGAAATAGGTATTGGAACAGGTCAAACACGTGACAATATTTTCAACTTTACAAAGACTGGTTTAATTAAGGAAATCCAACTGAGTAACTTAGAACTCCTGGAAAATAATGCATACTATGTTTCAGTTCGAGCAACAAATGCAGCTGGTCTTTCAACTACCCTATATTTGTCCCGTATATACATTGATAAAACTCCACCATTTGGTAAGAACACAAGTGTTAGAGATGGTTTGTCAATGTACGATATAAACTTCATTTCCTTAAATGATTCGGTGTCTGCAAATTGGGATGCCATAAAAGACGAAGAAAGCGGCATAGAAAAGTATGAATACTGTGTTGGGACAACACCCTTCAACTGTTTAGTGAAGCATTTCACATCTGTCAATAAGAACAACTCGTACGTGTGTAATGATTGTCAAGTGTATGCCGACATGAAAATTTACACGACGATTAAGGCTACAAATGAAGCTGGTTTGTCTGCAATGTTCACTTCGAATGGTGTGAGAGTTGACTCAACCCCCCCGGAAATCGGTGATATTCTCGATGGTGATGTAGCACAGAGACCTGATGCTGAGAACGTTGATGCAACATGGACACCAGCAGTGACATGGTATGGCGTGCGAGATATACAAAGTGGCATTCAGGGATGTGAATGGATAATTTTGAGAAAAGGGGAAGATATCCCTATTTTCAAGAAGAGGCTAAACTCAACTAGTTACGATAACCGTCACACGGAAAGATTAAGCGGCCCCATTCAGAATACAAATGCTTCATATGTTAACTTAATCCGTTGTACGAACAACGCAGGCATGGTCAGCGAAAGAACTTCAAACGGTTGGTCAGTAGTAGAAGAATGGCCTGTCATTTTGTACGTTCATGACGGTAATGGACCGAGCGATATAGACTATGTCACAGAAGGTGAGATCATTAGAGCTTCATGGAAGATATTTAATGGTGATGGTAAAGATCCCGTTGTTAGTTATGAATGGGCCGTTGGAGACATAGTGGATCCCAAGGCAATTATGGAGTATGAAAATGTCGGTTTAAGAACGCAAGTTTCAAAATCCTTAGTAGAAAGTGACGCTGAACTTCAGCCTGGAAAAATGTATTTTGTCACAGTTCGTGCAAGAGCATTGAGTGGTAGGATGAGTAATAAAACATCAAATGGATTCATGGTGGATAATTCACCACCAGTTCCAGGTGTGGTAAAGGTTGAACATAAAATAGTAAATCAAACAATAAATGAATTGGATTATTCACTAAATTGGGATAATTTCAAAGATCCTGAATCCGGAATACGCGTTTACGAATATTGTTTAGGTTACGTTAAAAATGTTTGTGCAACTCCTCTTACTAGTGCAGCTTTAGAAAACAAGCAACTGTGGTTAATTTCATTCCAGTTGATGTTAAAATACCATTTTATGGAATCGTAATAGCAACCAACAACGCAGGCCTAAAATAGTCGTCAATTCGAATGTAATTCAAATCGATTTCACGCCACCTAAAGCCGGCAAGGTGATTGAAGGAGTTGGTGATGACTTGGATTACATAAACGATAGCGTAGCCTTGGTTGTCACGTGGTCAGGTTTTAATGATTCCGAGTCGGGAATAAAGAACTGTCGACTGAGTATGTTTGAAAATAGTGACTCCTTACAGCCATACTTGGTGTTACGGAAAACGGTTAAGCCTTATGGATCTTTTGTCTACAATTTTATAATCATTTCAGGAGTTAAATACATGGCAACTGTCGAATGTACAAATAATGACGGGTTTGTCATATCCTCTTCATCTGACGGAATAACTCGTGACGATAGTCCACCAATCACAGGGCAAATATACCACGGAACAAAAAGTGTCCCTAACATACAATACCAATCATCAACAGATGTTCTACAAGTATACTGGAACAATTCAAAAGATCAGGAAAGTGGTATTAAAGAGTATTTTATTGGAGTTGGATCAACACCAAATGATGATAATGTTCGCCCTTTTACTCGGTTGGTAGGACAACCAAGACAATAATTTCGAACGTAACGATGACATCAGGCTTTAAATATTACGTCACATTAGAAGTAGTAAATAACGCCAATTTAAGGTCACGTGTTTCTTCGAGTGGTGTTACAGTGGATAACAGTTCACCAATCATAACAAAGGTACGTGTGTGTACATACGTAGCTTATTTTATAATATCCGTCTTAATTTTGTTTGTCATTTGCGAGTTTCTGCTTAGCATCTAGTTCAATAATCTATCGAGATCATCGAAATAACGATGTGTCCTCCTGACCTTAGAAAAACACTTTGTGTTATCTTTTTCACAGTGATTGGTCAAAATTTTCTAGAATTTATACCAATAACAATGCAGTAAGCCTTTTTTTTAAGAAAATAGTTACTGTGGTGAATGTTGATTGAAAGAGTGTGAAAATCACCATCATTCAGGATTGGCAAAAATTTCTCATTATAAAACAGTGATGAATTATTCAAACAAGTCAAGGGACGCACGAAATTATTGGGTGTAGCCCCCTTGATAATTATTTCGTTTTGGAGGGTGGGTGCAGCGTCTCCTCAGCCTGCCTGATTCGCCTGTCCCTGTCATTAGCTTCACATCTTATTTCAGACTCAACTTCAATCCTCAACGCTGTCTGGGTTTATTGGACCTGAGGAAAGATTGCGAGGAAACTGGAGCAGTTATGACGACGAGAGTGGTATAGACTTTACAGAGTATTGTTTTGGTACAACTAAGGGTGCTTGTCAAACGCAAATAATGGAACGTACGCGTGGCAACGACATGCAAGTCACGTGCAATAAATGCCAGCTAGAGAATGCTCATACCTATTTCATGACAATACGTGTGTGGAACAAAGCGGGCTTGTTTAGTTTGCAAACATCTCAAGGTGTGACGTTCGACATGACTCCACCAAAAGCAGGTAAAGTGCTTATTGCAAAAAAGTACATGTCTTGTTTTGGAAACTGCAGTATTTCTGGAACACTGAGAGAATTTGAAGACAAGAAACAAAAATAAAAAGCTGCCAATACAAAATCGAAAATGAAAATGGTTCTGTCATTTATCCGGTGAAAGAGACAATTAATAAAAATACAATTGTTGCAATTAATTTGAACCTCACTCATGGGAAGCACTATGTTGTTATCGTAACATGTAAGAATTATCTTGGAATTCAAAGTATAGAAGTGAACTCACCTTCAATAATCATTGATAACACACCACCTGAAAAGGTAAGAGATCAAATATTAACTTATCAGTAAGAAAAATAAATTATAACTTTAAATATAATCAAAACTTTAAATGTGTACTTAACAAGTATAAGTACATAAGTAAGAATATATTTGTTTGATTATTATTTAACAAATTAAATTGAGTTCTTCCTTTCTAGGGACTGGTCATTGTTAGTCCAAATCCAAGTAATGACATACATAAAGTACATCATGGGTGCCATTATCTTAATTCAACACTTCGCATTTTTTGGAATGCTTTTCGAGACAAGGAATCTCAAATTGCTGGATTCAAGGTAGCAATTGGAAGAACACAATTTGGTACAGATATCATTCCATATCGAGATGTGGGCATAACTTCCGTAGCTAAGTTTGAGTTAAGCAGAATGTATGGCCTGTCACCTGGAGAAATCATATTTGCCACTGTTTCAGCTAGCAATAGGGCTGGCCTTACTTCAATTGTATCATCTGCACCTACTAGACTATTATCTGATACAGAACAAAGCTTGCTTAATGAAAGTGACTTCCAATGTGTTAACTTTTTTTAGGCATACGTCCTGTACACATTAAGTAAATACTCACTGTGTAATTTTGACAAACTTCCACAATGTGATTCGACATACTTGTATTTTCATAAAGTAATAATTAGTAATAGCAAGACTCATCATACATTTACACGTAATTAAATTACGATTGAAATATTTATGTTTGCAAGTTTATTCTTTAAGTGTGAATAAATTTAGTTACAGAAACTACTAAACCTTTGAAATAAATCTTTCTCTTCCACAGATGGTGTGTTAGGAAATTATAAAATGTCTATTTTAACCAATTTACCAACAACTCTGTGTCTGTTTGTATACCTATTTATAATGTATTAAATCGTAAACTCTGATACTTTTACAATCTCTTTAACAAACAGGATATTGTGTGAAATTACGTGACCACATTTGTACCACGTTGATGATAAAAATGAATGTCTGCTTCACAAGATACACTACTTCATATTTGCGTACAAATCATCTAAAACATAATTACATTATAAATTATGCACTTCCTCAGACGAGAAGCATTTTTGCTAATTTATTTCAATTGTTTTGAACGTTTTAGACTGTTTAATTTCTCCAAATGGGGACATTAAAAGACGTCATGGCATTGGAAATGTTTCAATAAAATTGCTTACATTTCCGTTAAAGTTATCTCATTTTCATGATTTCTCGTCGCCGTTTTCAGATTGGGAATTGTCGTTAAGTTCCTGACTTCTCGTTTGTTCTTCTTGTTCTTTTATTGTTTCTTCTGCGTCCTTTTGCATTTTCTCCAATTTTTCCAACGTAACAGATTTTAATGGCATTATTTTTGGTTTACAAAGCACAGGCATTGGACTCTGCTCAGTGAAAAGCAAACCATACTTTGGCAAGACTTCTTCAACAGAAATTTCAGAAATGTTCGCCATGTTGTTTCCAGTTTGTTTCCCAGTTCCCAAGACAACTGCTGACAACAGCAACGTGTACATATTATACTTCATGTCATACGCATGTTGTAGGTAAATAGCATAATTTTTAAAAAAATCAACGAAATAACCAAATCCTTTCTGAATTATAAAGAAAACAGTAAATTTTAAAACTAAAAAAATTTTAATCAAGAACTATTGTACTACTAAAATAAATCAATCCTTAGAAAACTTAGAAGAAAATATTCGGGCCAATCTAGAAGTTTCATCACTAGTTAATGGTACACTTCCTGTACTTTTGATTTCTTTTATTTTCTTCCAGTCAATAAACGACTTTCTTACGCCTTTTTCTGAAGAAGTAAAGACTTCATGGTCATCATCATTTAAACGTTTAAGTTGTCCTTCTTGTCTAGGGTGTTTTCGAAATGTTGCAGCAAGTCGTAAGGATCTCATTGATTGTTCTAAATCTTTTGGTGGCATAAAGAAGTTGGGAATTTTTCTGAATTCTATGGTTAAGAAAATTACATAAATTCAAAAAGAAGAACATACTCTGAATACAACATGAAAAAACGTTATTGAATAAAAACTATCACTTTATATTCATCCTCAATCAAAACTACGAAATTGAATAGGAATCATTAAATTAAAAAGATACGATTCTTGTGAATACTTCACGGGTTCATTTTGAGACTCCAATTGTTTTAACTGCTTTGTTGCCTTTTGTTCGAGCATAGACTGATTACTTCTTACCAAGACAATTTTTGCCTCTGGTTGATCAGATATATTAAAACTGACTTCTTCATCTGCCTGAGACTTTATTTTCAATGATGTACCACAATCGAAGAAACTATCAAATGATCCTTCAGCCCTGACTCCCCCTGAAATACAATTTTCTTCGCGATCAGTTTCTTCCTCGTTTCCAGTCCTACGATCTTTAAATACCCGATCCTTTAGGTCCTGGTTATAATCTGTTCTGTCACTATGGTCGCTAACAGTTGATAAAACATCCACATCATTATCACTAAATTTTTCTTCATCATCGGAACTTCGCGTGATAATTATATTGGTATGAATATGATCATTGCAGGTTTCTTTTGTATTCAAGGATGAACGGGAAACATCCAAAACTAAGATATCGTCTTTAGAGTTATTACTGTCATCTTCAAGAACATTCTCATGACCAAAATTCATATTATTGGACTGTACGCCATTCCTTTCATCGTGTCTTGACAAAAGGCAATAGGAACTTGTGTCTTTATCAAGTAAAATACTTTTGCTTTCATACATACATATTCTATCATCATCATGAGCATCATTGTTCAAGGACAAATCATTCACTTTTTGTCAAGGTTATGATCATAATGGCTGGAAATTGCAGTATAGTCAGTTTTGCTAGCGATGGAGTCTTTCTCTTCCCTATTGTTATGTTTGAAAAACATATCGTCAACAACTTTATCTAGACTATAATCATCACTTCCCTCAAACTCAGTAAAGTTTTCGTCCCGCAAATTAGGACTATTGACAACAACATCATCTTCACCAACCACATTATGCTTACTAACAAAATCATGTTTACCACCAAGATCATGTTTACCATCAAAATCATGTTTAACACCGAGATCATGATTACCACCAAGATCATGTTTACCACCGAGATCATGTTTACCATCAAAATCATGTTTACCATCAAGATCATGACTACCACCATAATCATGTTTACCATCAAAATCATGTTTACCACCAAGATCATGGTTACCACCAAGATCATGTTTACCATCAAGATCATGTTTACCACCAAGATCATGTTTACCATCAAGATCATGATTACTATCAAAATCATGTTTAACACCGAGATCATATTTACCATCAAGATCATGTTTACCATTGCCATTGTGTTCGTCAATATCAACACGTTCTACATTTTTAATGCTAGTGTTGTGAGAATTATCTCCATCGTGGACAAAATCTTTTTCATGGAAAAATTGCGCTGCGACCTTTTTATAATTCTCACCAACGACACAATTGTCTTTTCTTTCTTTAAAACCGTCAACTTCACAATCTCCTTTTGCTAATGTAGATAGCATGGTCGTACTGTTTTCTGATTGTGTCTCTGATTCCAATACGCAACAATCAGATTTTGCATTAAGTTCAACGTTTAATCTTTTATTTAGGTTTTCTTTAACAATATCAAGATCATTTAGGTTTTGTCTGAAATAAAAGACAGGTTATTGATGTTACAGTGTCCAAACAATCAAATCGTCATCAAATGTAGAAAAGTTACGACAATGAAAAACAATCTGACCTTAGTTGACGCAAAAGAAAAGATTTTGTGGTGTCTGGAATTTTTAATGAATGCTGCACCCACTGTTGTTCAGAACCATTCAGAACATTCGAAAGTCTTAATGGAGATGATTCCTTTTCCACAATAGAAATATGGAAATAGTTTCAAATATGATTAAGATGAATTAAAATAATTTTCTTTTCTGATTATTTATGTCAGATAGAAATCACAAAAATGATGAAAACTGAAAACTTACTTCATGGACTTTGGTAAAAATTCCATTCGATGAGACTGAAAGTAGAGGTACAACACCGACCTTGTAAACAAAAAAAGGCAAGACGTTTTATGAATACCAAATCATTAATTGACTATGTTGCTATGGCAATGCATTTTGAACATTGGAATGATGAAATTAGTTGTTGTGCATTGCAAAGTGACCTTAATTTGTCCTTGAACTTGTCCACTAAAATCTGTGATATTATACCAGCCCATGACGTGTCGAAGCCCGGACACCAAGGAAGATAGATCAACAGTTGCTATACCAAGTAGTTTGTTCATTGATAAGTCAGTTTCTCCTATTTGAAAAAGTAAACAGCAAATAGAATATACGAAAAAAGCTGTATTTTGTAGGTCATGTAAACAGTACCAGATAATTTATGATCTTCGTCGATGATTTTAGAACAATCAGGTACAAATTGATGCCACACTTTGAATACCAATGTCTAAAAGGAAAAAAATTCAAATGTATGAATTTTTTTACAAGGATCACATGATCCAAAAACCTGATTTTAGAACAATAGAAACGATCACAGATTAGCAATAGTATACAACCAGAGTATGTATTTGCTTACGATACACATTCAAAATTTTGTTTAAAGATTTTTTAAAATACGATGTTAAATATGTCCTAAATTTATCACCCCTAACCTCACTGAAAATTTCTTGTTTTCGAAATTTAACTATTTTCTCATGTTCCCAGAGAGGAGAGACAGATGAAGGAACAACTTTAGTTCTTATGGGATTCCGCTGACCGTTCTTTTGGTACGTGACGTAAGCATTAGGCTCTACACTAAATATTGAAACATGATACAAAGCTTATGATATATGAATTAAAATCACAACAGCGGGCAAGGCCCATATTGTATATGAAGTAGAATTGAAACAATGACATTGCAAAACCTTTCATTTTGTCGGTTTTTCACGCACGTTAGATGTAGAGCCTGTTGAACAATGACATGCGCCGTAACAACGTCATCCTCATTATCTTCACTTGAAGCAGAAGGTTGTATGTCATTATTATGATCATTTCCATCTTCAGCAAGGCTTTCTATTGATATACTATGTTTTTTGTCCTGAGATACGCTTGCTTCTGTTGACAAAATATCATCATCCACTTTGCTATGCTTGTCGCCCCAATCCTGCAAAGTTAAAAATGTCAGAAATGTAATCTTGGCTATGATCTTGACTTTCTCAAAACATGAGACGTCGTCATTGTTTTGTCGGTTTAAGTTGTTTTTCAAAAAATACGTACTTAAGTTCAAACGTACCTTTTCAAACGAATTTGGTTTTTGAATTGTCAAATGAGCATGCAAGCGAGCACCATGCAGATCTACAGCGCTACTACGAAACAGAGAATAAAGACCACTACAAAAAGAAACAAAAGGAAGTTTCAAGGTTTTTGAATAGGAAAGTATGTCCACTTAAGTTCTGAAAAATTCCAGGCAAAATTTTCGAAGATACAAACATCTTTGTACATTTTACCTTATTTGCGACATACTCCTACATCCGTCTAATAAAGGATACAGTTGAACAAATGCTGAGCCAAGAAGTTTATCTCTTTTATGAGGTATTGAATGTTTTTCTCCTTCGTGATTGCTTGACAGCCAAACTTGAATCTCCAAGCGTTCTTCTCGAATGTACCTGTTCACAAAATCAGAGCATTGTTTCAAAATTTATTTCAGAGAAAAGTGAAGAAGCTTGTCGTTTTACCTAGATATATATATAAGCATAATAAATAATTTTACCAAATAAATGGTTGGCTAGATTTCACAAGAAGTGATCGTCTATGTCTTATGTCCGATAGACTAATTTCAGAATTCTTCACATTTTTTACTTGGCAAACTGTCGAAAATACTGCTTCTAGAAATATGTAAACAAAACAATTTACGATTCATTATGAAACTTTATACATGGTATTATATACTATATGACAATATACACTTACTGGTATCATAAAACTTGTAACGAATGTAACATCCCAAATGTTTTACTCCCTGTCTCAATTTCTCGTCAGCAAGCACATTTTTGGGAATCCAAACTTTACTAACATTTATTATGAATGTAACACCTTGAGCAACATTGATCAAACCATTTTCCAAGGTATCATTTAACCATTCGCCAGCTTCCAACTCGTACCAAAGAGGTGGAGACCAGCCAGCTGCTCGACCCCTTTCAATAATTTTCTCCCGATCCAAAGATTCGGCAAAGTTCACGATTATTTCCAGTCCACCGATGGTTTTCTCGGACATATTTGCGAAGTCGTTATTTGAGAGATTTTCAGTTGAAGCAAGAATTTGATGCCAGCCACGAATACCTGTAAAGCATAAAATATGGCGTAAGTCGTGTGGAAATAGTGACATTAGAAAAAATTCACTATAAAATATTCATATGCACGGCGTACTTGTGTACACAGGGGTGTATAAAAACAAGTTCTTACTTTACCTGTATGGCTGAAGAGTAATTGTTGGAAGGGCACTTTTACCACACCAAGAAGAACGTCGGCGGTTTGCTGGAATTGACGACAACAAAATGCATTGCCAACTATAATTTGATCATCTGCTTCGTCTAAACTTGATCGACGTCTTTGATGCCTGAAGACAAAAATAGGATGGTCTTGAAAATTGACAAACAAACTCGGTAAAAATCTAAATGTAAATGACAACAATTTTGAAGGAAAAGCAGTGTTGCTATTTTAAGCGTAAAATCATTGTAAGCGATAAACATTTCAAACTGAAGAATTTTGCGTTATCATTCCTTTGCCAAGTTCAGTAATTCTCTCCTTGACGAGTAAAAATTGTTATAAGTGGAAAACAAAGTTGCCTGGAAATAGTATATAATGTAATATCTATGGTAAAGTGATCATTGCTTACTAGTATTGATCATAAAGGACAAATATATTGACATATAAGGCTCACCAAATTTCAAAGACCACTTCTCCAAATTCAAGACATTCAGCTAAGGTTCCAGAAAATTCCCTCGTTTCTTGACCAATAGCAGTATTGCGTAAAACAAGTGGAAGAATAAATTCGATTCTGTAACTAAATTCTGGAGTAAATGTTCTAGCAATCGTCCGCGTTACACGTTCACTTCTTTTGATGTTGAACGGTAGTTTGATTTTCACGAAAATATTTCCACCCACTTCTGATGCATACGTCAAGCTGGAATCCTTCAGCGCCACCTGATTTAATGCAGCCTGGAAAACGATTAAGAAATTTTCTTTCAGCAAAAAGCTTTCTAAAGACCTTGGCTTCACATTGAATATTAGTATGGGATTAAACGTGCTATAATGCTAATTATTAGCTTAGGTATAGGAACCATACCCCATAAAAGTTGCAATGCTAAATTTCAGTAAGTGTAAGATAAAGTATTCAATCGATACCTTGAGACCGCATGCACGAACGACTTCAATTGACAAGCAAACGTGATCCCTTAAATCAACTTCATCAGTTTTATGGATTGTATGAGTGCGTGCTAGTTCAGACAGTCGGTACTTGATCACCACTTCTAGAGATGTGTCGGGATCCGATTTTTCGCAATCATTTGGTAAAAATGTCAAAGGAAGCGAGAAGCTTTGAATGCTAATTTCACCCGGCTTTCGCATCGTTACCATTCCACACAATTTCGATAATGAAAGAGAGGCCTGTTAAAGAGTATTTAAAGCAAGTGTAAATGTGAAGTGTGTGTGAATAAAAACCACTAAATAATAGTCCATAGTTTATACGCAGTTGAATAGCAAGTGTAAATGTGAAGTGTGTGTGAATAAAAACCACTAAATAATAGTCCATAGTTTATACGCAGTTGAATAGCAAGTGTAAATGTGAAGTGTGTGTGAATAAAAACCACTAAATAATAGTCCATAGTTTATACGCAGTTGAATAGCAAGTGTAAATGTGAAGTGTGTGTGAATAAAAACCACTAAATAATAGTCCATAGTTTATACGCAGTTGAATAGCAAGTGTAAATGTGAAGTGTGTGAATAAAAACCACTAAATAATAGTCCATAGTTTATACGCAGTTGAATAGCAAGTGTAAATGTGAAGTGTGTGTGAATAAAAACCACTAAATAATAGTCCATAGTTTATACGCAGTTGAATACAAACGATGATTCAAAACTTTTCAACATTTTTCAAGAAATTTATAAGCCGTAGCATCCATTTGAAAGTAAAACACTGCCTTTCAGAGTTATACTTTCATCAACTATAACCATAAAAGATAGATCAAAATGGTAAGATAACAAAAGCAGGATAAAATCTTAATGAATAACACTTTTCACGCGACACATGTCTCAGGCAAATAACTTCAATCACAAAAGTAGAGGCATCACAATGGCCGCTCACTAAATACGCCGTACATACCTTAGCAATGAGTCGATCTCTGACGTTAGGATAATAGCATCTTTTCCACAAATCAAAATTGACAACAGCTGCAGTTGAAACAGCTGACCACGAACCTAGATATGCAGCTAGTAAAAATCTTTGAACTGGCAAAGCGCGAGGTAATACAACACAATAGCGAGCAACGTCATCAAAAGTCGTCTCTGATGAGTACACTGTGGTTGGAGTTCGATGATTTTCCAATCGAGGCACATCTACGTAAGTACGACAGAATTTAAATAATTAGAAAAATCTTTCAAAGCAATTGCATAATGGCGGAGATGTTATATTGAAAAGGAGGATAATTCACAAAAGGAATATGTAAAAAAAGATGGAATGTTACCTTGGTTAAAATCAAATTTTGAATCAAAGTCTTTATCATGAATCTGATAAGGAAAGTTGTACTGAACAAAACAATCTGCTTCACTTTCTGATGGCCTCCTCGATTTTGGAAACTTTTTCACATTTTGAATAGAGATTTCAAACCAATGTTCGACTATTAATAAGCAAAGCAGATTAATAAAATAAAATATCAGTTTTAGGTAACCATGCAGCAACTATAGCGAATTACGTAGCATACTATAAACACGAGAAATGATCACGTGTCTCGTTGCTTTAAATAAATCACAACTCACCAAATTCTTCACTGAGATGCTTGCCTGTACTTTCCAAGTTATTTGGGAATCTAAGAAGAAACGCAGAAATTAAACTACAATTAACTGCTTCAATTAAAGCGAAAGACACATAAGACAAAACATATAAAACAGCAATTTAATTAGTATAGTGCAGCAGCACGTTCCCGGACTAATGAAACATGTATAAAGTTGAAATGTACCTCTCACTCAGTTTAAGATCACCTCCTTCATTAGAACATTGCTTTATATCAAATAACCTTTTAATCTAAAATAAGATAGAAATGAAAGAAATGTTAAATATTATAAAATCTTAAATGTTCCATACATCAATGAGATAAAAAAACATACTTGAACTTCACTACCCATTGCAGTCAATACATGAAGTTCTCCTTGTGATGAACCATTAAAGGGATTGACTACATTAACCCAACCATCAATCCCAACAACTGGGAACTAAAAATGTATTCATTGTATATTCATCAGTGATATTGTAGTGTAAGAGAGTGTAAAACATGTTATGGAAACGTGTTACCTTTGATTTAAGCAACATTTTTGTCGTTTTCTCCTCTTTATAGGATAAATAAAATTGCTGTAGTGGTAGTTTAGCAATTCCCAAGAGCTAAAACAAGTATTATTGTTAAGCGGAAACATTAAAAAATACTAGCTAAATGTTTGCACTGCTCCACGCAATATCTGAACGAAATACAAATTACATTCTAGCTTGAATGGATGCAAGACAGTATTTATACATACGTCTATGCACTGGCATAGCAAAACAATACATTTGAAAGGAGCTAAACACGGCAAAACTGGGAAAAACATGCATGTCATATACGCGGTGGAGTTTGCTAAGCCTACGTATATATCATCTATAGTATACCTCATATATGACATCATCTTTAGCATAGCTCATTTATGACATCATCTTTAGTATATCTCATATATGACATCATCTATAGTATACCTCATATATGACATCATCTTTAGTATATCTCATATATGACATCATCTTTAGTATAGCTCATATACATATGACATCATCTTTAGTATAGCTCACTTATGACATCATCTTTAGTATATCTCATATATGACATCATCTATAGTATACCTCATATATGACATCATCTTTAGTATATCTCATATATGACATCATCTTCAGTATAGCTCAAATACGTATGACATCATCTTTAGTATAGCTCATATATGACATCATCTTTAGTATACCTCATCGTCTTGCGCTCCACTGTGTTTGCACCAGACTTCCAAAGTGAGAAAATTGTTGTACATTCGATTTAGAAGTGCTTTTGTGAGCAAAGCAGGAAACACCTATAAAAATCATTATCATTAAAAACGAGATTGTGGAAAACAACCTTTCAAAAGAATCGTTCATAACGGCAAAGTCTTTAAAAAAAATGATGTAATTTAAAAACATGGCAGACTCAAAATACCAAAACAAACTAAATTCACACAACAATTTGTACGTACGATTGTAAAAACATCATTAACATGCAGACAAATGAATAAAAACATTACGGAGTGATCGACACCCAAGACCGTTTACCAGTGGCGTACGAAATTATTAATGTCTTATCAGTGAGCATGCGCGTTTATATAATCAATAAATCTAGGTGATTTTATATAAAGAGTCGGTCCGAAGTCATTTTTTTACCATATACACGACGGATGTCTATATTTTGTACATTAAAATCAGTTTTGATTCGTGTATGTTAAGTTGCACTTGAAGTAAAAAACCGCCAAATATGAGTGATAAAAACACTCATTGCTCAACTTTTCTACAAGTCTAACATGACAATGTACCTGTTTAAAATTAAATATAGGATCATTTTGTCCCCAGTAAATTGACGACCGTGAAGTGTCCATTGACCAAAACATGCGGAATATCAGGTAGAAGTTATTACGTATGATGCTTCCTGTAGCCTGTAAACCATGACCTCTCCTCGTTATATTTCTTCCTTTAGATACCCAAAGAAGCGTTGTCAACGGAAATGATGGCGGATTATTTTCTATAAATAAAGCAAGACATAAGTCCATGATTTTAGGATTGGCAGAGTTTTCAGTGAGACTGTCAATCACTTGACAAATTGTTCAAGTTCATAAGATAGCAACGATCGACTTGAACTACTTTCGGAGTAAATAACTCGCTTAGTCATAAATTATCAGAGAAATCATTTGCGCATGCCCAGACAATTCGACAATCTATCCGAGTTAATGGCCATGGCAACGACCAACTGGATCTACTAGCACCAATGTTAGAGTAAATAACACGCCCAGTCGCAAATTATTAAAAAATCATCTGAGTATGCGTGGTAACAATAAGTTTTAAACTTATGAGCATATACGAAGAACTAAATACATAGTATAGTATAAGTCAAATAGCAACGGTGGCTGAGTGTCATCAGGTTACAGTGGCTTAAGGGTCGAGACGTTGGTCGCAATAGCACTCAACCCCTCGGTGGTCTGCAAAGCTTGCTATTGGTATACCCAGTAGGATAGCGTGGCAAGAGCCCATATCTCCCAGCGAAACGTTAACATGCAAAGCTCTAATGCTCAACTGTCTAACGGTATCGGGAGGCATGGACTGAACGGGATTGTTTGGTTTCATAATTTTACTTCATGTATACACAAGTACTTCTCAAAAATAAACTTATAACATCGATGGATGCAACGAAGGTTCAAACAACTTCTGCCTTTTTGACTTTTTAGCCAACTTCAAAAGAGGGCTTATCGAATTCTTCATCAATAAAATGCCTCTATGACGTAACACTTGATGTTGAACACTGCTTAAAAAGAAACCGAGTGTTTTCATACAAAAACATTTTGAAATGCACGCGCTTTTCATGTTTGTTATTAGCGGCTCAATGTCAATACATTCAACCTATTTCTATAAATGAAAAGTTAACAGACTCAGCACATGATTTTACCTGAATTTAGAATATAATTGTGAGCAGTAAGTTTAGTTTCTGGCAGTATTCGTTCTCCTTCCATTCGTCTGAAGACATTCCGATGCTCATCTTCATTTTCAAATATAACATGCTCCTTTTTGGGCGATTTATAATTCAAATCCTTTCCATTGGATAAAAAGTCAATTTTCACCTTCAGAATTTTTAAAACAAATCTATCAATTTGGTAAAATCATACAGTTAAAACATAACGTGACACTGGCCATACCTCAAGATCCCCCATCTTCAATGATGATCCATTACTTTCATCATTGCAAACATAAATTGTAACCAAGTTTTCATACAGAAGGTGCCCGGATGAAATCACGTCGAAAAGACGAAGATGTCCATCTCCAATCATAATTGGCTGAAAACATGATAACATAGTTATGCAGCTACGATGGTTGAACATCGGGAATAATCCTTAGTGTAACCAACATGGGATATCATTGGGTTAGAAATGGACGTGTAGTCAATGCTGATTTTATGGTTTTTTTTAATCTTTAAAGATTCCTATCGAATTTTGAATTTGCTAACATCTACAGTCATTATAAAACTAAACAAAAGTAAATTTTATCAGTCACAATCTAAGAGTTTATCAAAATAATATAAGTTTACTTACTGTTTTGTGCCCAGATTTTCGTTCAAATATTTTCACTTTTAGTTGATAATTGTTCCACAACTTTATTGATTTTGAGTCAAAACGAACAGGAAAAACTGAATGATGATTGAACATAACACCTGAAATGAAAGTAACGTATTTTTTCAATGTTTCATCAATTCATATTGTCACTAAACAAGTTGAGTTTCGACCTTACATAGTGGACTGAATTTTCTTGAGACAATCCTGGTAATCTCTACTCCAGTGTCGCTATCGGAGTGTTTCTGAGTAGTCGTAACAGGAAACTCATACTCAACAAAATACGTCCTAATAAATATACGGTAGCAATGTAAATTTAAAAATTATTTGATAAGTAATAGCGTTCACCATCCAAGAGTGAAGGTTTGAAGAGACATAACATTTTTGGTGGTTTTAAGCAAGAGTAAAAAACTTAAAAGTTCTATGGTTGAGTAGAGCTCGTTAGAAATTATAAGTGAGTAATAGAAACATGAAATTAAATTAAACAGTAAATTTTGCTCATGCAGTTGACTAAAGTATACGCACTCGTTGCAACATTATCAGCATGCAGTTTATATTAATTTTAGCGAGGATAGACGAAATTTATAAATATTGTTTCACACATTTGGTCAAATAATAATCTTAATTTGAAGCAACTCTCCTGGTGAATCCTCGACTAATGGAAAATTTCACTGAACAGCAATATAAAATTGAACATTTATATAGACATGGTACATTGTATACATGGGTAAAAAAATTGCGATCACCTTTTCAAGGTGGGATCCAACACTTGTTCTTTGACCAAATTCAACTTATTGATGTGTACCCTAGCAGCAGTAATTCTTCCAAGGGCAGTTATTCTATCAACACCAAGCTTTGCCAAAAAATAATTTTTCTCTTTTCTCACTGAAAGCCAGATATACCAAGTGACGTAAAGTAAGTTTTAAAAGACATCCAGCATAGCTATCAATTATGCTAATAAAACACCTGGAATTGTACTTTCATGTTCATCCTCACAATCATCATCAATATCAACAGGACTGCTCTCTTTATGTTCATCAATACTATGAATATTAGGCTTCAAATTTGCAGCAGAACTTGTGTTTCCTATATATTCCTATAAAGAGAAATTACGCTACCGTATATAACACAAGATAAGTGAAGGAAATACATGACATGTTAGATACATAATTTCCAACCTACCTTTCGTTCATTTAGTTTATTTTCTTCATTTCGGTTTGAGGACATTCATTTTCTATTACATCTTTATCGACACACTCGTCAACCTCTCTTTCAAAGTTGTCAGTTTGGGTCGACTCATTAAACTGAATAGATTCAGATCACATGCTTAGTTTAAACTATAGTCTGCACGGCAAAATGGCTAGGGTTAGGAATAAATTGTATGAACGAACCTTATTGTTCATGTAAAATAATTCTTGTAGTAATGTTTCATCTTTAATTATTGAGTCATCAGAATTGCTATCATGACTACATGAAGATTCATATAACAACTCGGGTTCCTCTTCACCAGTCTCCACATCATCAAAAGTCGTTTCATGAAACGTGTTTTCTAAATCAGATTTCAGGATTTCCTCAAACAGACCTCTTGAAACACTGTGAAAAGAGAGTACAAAAAGATTATTTATATGAATGCATACGTGAAGATAAACGTAGTTTGCTAGCATTATAATAAAGGAAAACAAACTTTTTTGAAAGATGGCTCGTAGCATCGCCTCTCGTAATCAACGCATTGCTAGTATTAAGATTTGACTCCAGGATAGAGTTCTTTAAAGATTGTCCTTTTTTAATCAGCGTCATTATCACATCGTCATCATCTGTAAAATCTTTTGATAAGAAACGTCAAAGCATTCATTCATACATTTATAATAAAAACACATTTCACTACACATAGCTAATCAATGGACAGTCAGTTATCATACATATAACTCAACGATACAGACCAAACTCCTTCCCAGCTAAAACTAGCAGGTTGCGAAATATAACATGCTCCTTTTGGGCGAATCCTATCTTCAATATAATCTGATTCGAAATATGTATTTATATACAAGACCTTTGGTGTCATTATTTTGAATATCATCAATTTCATTCTTTATGGGCGGTTTGTTGAAAATCTCCACAGACTATATAAGCAAAAGAACAAAATAATTTGTTGTTAATCATTTAAAATATGACGCATTTGAGTTGAAATATCATTTTTTTAAAGTTTTCAAAAAATGGCAAATAACTATATATGAAAATACCATCTGGTTCAATTGCCATTACCATAAGCACTCTGCTTCTATTTTTAGTCACATTATTTTTACACTACATTCAATCTCACATACAATTTGTATGTTCCTTACTTTCTTTGTAGCAACATTCACTGCCGAGTCTGGTTGTAAATCGTTGAAACTCTGATCAATACATGGCACAATTGGTACTGATGGTACTCCTGACATTGTTTGTACTGATGGTACTCCTGACATTGTTTGCACTGATGGTACTCCTGACATTGTTTGCACTGATGGTACTCCTGGCACTGTTTTTACTGCTGGTACTTCACAAAAATTTTTTACTGATGTAGCCAATGGTACTGTTGGCGACTCTGTATGATGACCTAAAAATAATTGCATGTTGTACCATTATAAAATTTTATGATAATTTTTTGTATATAAATATTTTGTATACTGTACATTCTTGCATAAATTGCCAAACTCACAGAAAGGCAAGACAAATTTTCAAATGTATGAGTTTTTCAACAAAGCAATTAATTTTTATAGCTGAATTAAAACATACCATAAAATGCTTCAAGTTTAAGCTCAACATGGAGAGTTGCAAATAGCACAGGTTGTACAGAATGTGAATACACAGGAAACCATCTAAGAATATGAAATATTCAATTAATGGAAAACTTTTCACGATTCTCTAATACAATGTTGTTAAAAACTGTGTTCCAGCAATTTCTATTGCATGGATATAAATATACATACTTATTGATAGTATTAGTGGCATTTAACTCCAAGATATCATAAATTTCCACTCTACCAAATGGTTTCATCGACTTCTTATGGAAAACATCCAAAACTAGTGCTTTCATATCTTGATAAAAAAACAAATCAGCAAAGTAAAATAACTACATAAGCCATCTTTCTTGTAATCTAAACAACAATGATGCACATAAAATCTATTAAAGCTCAAAAAGGATATATTTCATGTATTTACAACAACAAAAAACATTAAATGACTGAAGAACTATGAAAATAAAATGAACCATTTGAATTTTTTTTGATAAAAGTGACATTTTATCCTTTTGTGCATAATCACCTTGAAGATAAGCAGAAAATTGGTTGGGTCCACAACAAACTGGAAACAAAGCAGTGCTATTTGATGTCGTCTTATTTGATGAAGTCTTTCTTGGAGAAGGCCTGTAGTTAATTTGATAACAAGTTACATAATCAAACAGCATATTGTCTAGTAGTTGAGTTGTATTCTTGTACACCAGAAATAAAGACAATAAAAAATTTATACCAAAACATTGTGCCATTTCCTTTCTCACCCCACCATCGAAGACAAACTTGAACATTTTTGGGGTGCTTCTCAACTTTCCATTTTATTTGATCAATTCTTACTGCCAGGTAACATTGAGCTTGTCCTTGAACCTCGGGAGGTAAGCTACTTTGTAAGCGAGGTTTAGCACCATCATTTTCGTTGCCAAGCACTAATGGAGCTGCTTTTAACAGTTTTTTCGATGCTATCATGCCTTCCATTAAATAATTCAACTGATTTTTACCTCATTTTCAAAGTAACTTCCTTTCACAAATCCTTATCGATTCATGGAAATGTCAATCGAGTAGGCAGTAAGACAACACAACACAAGCGATTATTTTGAAATACGCCTGTGACTGTTAGCCAACAGCTACTCATTTCATTTATATTCACACTTATAGATTTGAAATCCCACTTCGTTTTTTTGTGCTAATTGACCATGCTTTTCAAATTTTAAAATTGTGTTATTGTAGCATATTGTCCTATGGCAGCCATTTAAGCGCTCATTTTAAATTTTTTTGCTACTCGTCTCAGGCCCCCTCCAAAGCCCCTATAGAACTTCCTAATTCTTCGATTGGTTTGAATAACTAACCATTTCACAATACAAAAATTTACTGCACTGAGGGTGTCAGTTACAGGTGCTTAGGGCCCAGAATTAGGTCGCAACGACAGCACTTTCCTTGTGTACTCCCTAGGTGGTCTCATGGGCTGAAACATGTTATTAGCATCGCCTGACCCCCAGAGACGAGATCTTCGATCATTTTTTCCTTTTTCTACACATACACTTTTCATTTATTAAAACTATTACATCTGGCTATATTTTTTTCATTCTACTGGAGAGTGTATATGCATATAGTTATATTTACTTGTAGTTTTTTCCAGGCTTACATTCAATGATTTTGTCTCACATTTTATCATCTTAAAAGTTAAGCGTTGTTTCAAAGATGTTCGGCGTTTTTTGGAAACAAGTTATTCATGTTAATTTAATCGTGGCGCATCATGAAATATATCTTGCTGGTGACGTACACGCCATCACGTCTATTTTTCTATAATTTCCAAGTTCACATCGACAGTTCAACATATATTGTTTATGACGTCGGTTCGATGTTTATTAACTGACATTACGTGAAAACTGCACATCTTACCAACTATGCAATAAAAATGGGGGCAAAATTTCAACTTTATGAAACATAGGGAACAAACCTCGCACCCCTGTTTCACTGGGCCTGACTTGTGCTGTGTTCTGGGATTCCAACCCAAAAACCAAAAATTGTACATTTTGGTCCCCAAATATGGACACAGTTTTTTTTACGTTATGAAAAGGAAGGAAAACCAGCGAATCCGGGAAAAAACCTTCCAACCGTGAAATGATCAACATTCAAATCAACATTTTAAATAGGTTTTTGTTTTGATATATGTTTTCATAAAGTTTTGGAATTTATTGAGCAAACGACGTTTCGTCTTCGGAGGATCTCAATGGTCTTTTGAGAGAGAAAACTAAGTCTGTGTGCAATATTTCAAGCATGAATAAAACATTGACTTAAAAGTTAATCTTATATTAAATAGAAGTTCAAGAAAAGCCAATCAATCCTGTACGTACAGAGTGCAAAGCTACAAATCAACTAACTGAACTTAGGTAGAAGTGCACCTATTTTTGTACTAGTTATTCTAGGAAAAACTTAAAACCAAAACTCAAGTCTTTCTTATAATCTGTACATATCTCCCCTTTTGGGTGTTCTTAGACTTGCTTAACATTATTGCAGCAAGGTTCTTTTGATTTTTCCACAGGATTGCCATTATTTTTGTATCGGTTAAGATTTTTTAACCAGTTTTCGTAGAATTCAAAGTTCCATAGATCTTGACTTGTCATTGAAACCAATTTGGTCTTTGAGATGGTCTTTATCATATTTGGTCTTTGAGGCGTACGTCGCGTATCTGTGCGTAGCCTTGCATTTGTGAGGCTGTATTTTGTACCACAGACGATTTGAAAAGTTTTTCTTCTATTTTTAACAACGATTGACAGTCATTAGATCATGTCAGGCTTGAACGATGGACAGGAAAACATTAGACTTCTGGAAAAATGACTTACTTACTCAAGCATTAGCTACTGTTTCTTGAATGTGTTGAAGCAAAAGTATTATTGTGAAGTATGAACGAGATAAAAGCTATAATAGGTAATATATCTTAAAATGTCGATGCAGTGTATTAATAATGCAGATGAAAATTGCCATGACTAATTTAATTAACTTAATATTTGAGTACTTATCAAAGGTGGTTTTCAATTTATCGCCTCTGAAGAAACTGAGTGATCAGAATTACTTGAACTTCTATTTCCAAAAATCAACACCCATGAATGCATGCACCTGTCATCTTTCGAATTATTGTAATGATATCGACTTAAACAACGTTAAAACGTTCTTACCAAGACCACCGAGATCCATCTCACATCCACATAAATATCACACGTAAATTTCCCAATCATGTGATTGTTGTGGACGTGAAGCATGTACTACTTTAACTTATCACTATAAACCTGAATTGCTTTTTGGTCATCCTCTTCGTTGTTGTCGATAGATCACTGTCTTTTTATGTGTGCCATTGCCATACCTGTCAGCATTACTGTCCCTGTATTTTCCCTTACGAGTAACCATTGCTTGCTCTGATATGTATTAATCTCCTTAGTGCTCTTTGCCACCATGTGCATAACCACCGTTTGCCATACCATCATCATGGAGTATGATGCCCTTTCCATTGATCGTTTCACACAACGTAATAGCCGCCCGCTCTCAGTTATGTATACCATCATACTCGACATTGTGCTCCTCTATATGCATGAACTTCTGGCTAACCAACAAAGTACATAGATTGCCCTAGAGAAAGTTATTCAAAAGTTTATCATAAAGTTATTTAAAATTGCGACAGTAAGGCCTGCCAGAAGATTTACAAAGTTTCAATTTGAATTCTGAGTATTTCATACAATTACCATCGCAGTGCCAGCCAGTATAACCTGTCCGACATATCCGTAGCATGTTGATTGTAGTATGAATTCAGTGTGAATATCAGCTGATCAAACACGCAACAGTGGGGCCCTTCACTGCTACATACATGAACAACTGCATTCACAAGAAATCCAAACTAGAGAAAAACCACGTCACCAAATAATTTGTAATTATTGTCCTTCGTTGATGCAAAAGTTTCCTTGTAAAATGAAAGATATACGTATTAACAATACACAACAAAGTTTGTTTTATTAAACCATTCAAAAAGAATGCTGTCATTAGTATTTCTGTTTCGTCGTTTCAGTACAAGATAAGCCAAGTTTTCATGAGGTTACATACCTTTGACAAGTTCGTTCCCTAGTAGAGATCGTTATCATGTACCTAAGAACCGAATCCCGTCTTCAATTCAAAAATGTTCACACAAAGCTGTCAACACTGATTAGAAGAGCAACTTACAACAAACAGGTGGCAGACGAGTTTTCACACAAAAACTGGAGTTTCTTCAGTACTAAACTTTTGCCAACAGACGAGTTCTTGCAACATACGTTGTAGCCAGCATTTATATAGCGCAAAAACGTTAAAACTGCATTCAATATGATTAATTACATCAAAAACTTGTGCTCTGATTAGTTCTTTGATGAAAATTTATTGTTTAAAATGAACAATAGGGTTTGGTTGACTAGGTAAAACAAAAAAACATCAATCCAGAAATTTCTTTCGTATATTGTTTCGTTGAATCTCTGGACGGTAATTTTAAGCTTCATTATCTTGTGTCGACCATTTTCCCATCTGCTGTCTTTGAAAGATGTGCAGTTGACCATAGAAATATAGAACTTCGAAATAAAACTTGAAGTGACATATAATTTCCTATTCTTCATTGGAACAATTAACAAACAAAAGAAAACCTCAATGCTTGACTTACAACCATTCTCTTAAGATTTATCAGACAATGTTGCAAGCCCACGTCGGCTGGTGCTCACAATAACACTGACAAAATATTCTTTTGCATCACACCACCAAGTTGGCTGACCTCAATTAGCGACGCCACATTATTTAAACGCTAAGAAGTACAATCATGGATCGTAAATTTTCAAGGGTCGTCCCGCTTATGACTTTATGTATGTATGTATCTAAAATTCATATATCGGCAAAAGTTCGAGGCATAAAATGCCAGACAAATGTATCAACTTGTTCACCTCATTGTCGTGGTGCATACGACAAATGATTTAAGTCTATTAGAAACTCAAAAAACAACTTCAACCTTATTGAATTTTACAATGGTGGAACCATTTTATTTAAAATTCTTACAAGTAAATAGGACAAATCCAATAAGAAGTTAAATCATTCGTCTCTAGAATAAAAAGCTAAAAAATGGAGAAAACGTCATTAGATTTAGAATGAGAAATACATCAGACTGTGTAGAGAAATCGTTAACGTACGTATGTTTACGTATGTAGCTAAGTTGAAGGACTGTTTTAGCAAAGCTTTCAATTTTTAATAATTTGAAATGATAATATACTGTATTACACATTTATCATTTGAATACTTGTGTTATCATTTGAATACTTGTGTTTTCCAGTTCCATCAACGATCCATCAACGTGTTACAAAATTTCCCCAAGAAATCATTTCGACCCAAATATTCAATTATTATGTCCTAGAAAATACCTGTATGGATAGCCATGGTATTTCGAACGAAAAATGAACAACAGCAAACTGAAAAAGATTACGACGGATGCAAGACCTCCAATAGTAAGCACTAAAAATAAAAAAAAGTGATGTATGATTAGGAAGCATTACAAATCCAGTCTTTAGAGACAAATTTACATTTCTTTTTATTTGAATCAACAGCTTCTATTGCTTTTTCATTCAAAAGAATGAGGCCAATGGTATAAGCTGCATCTTTAACGTTCAAGTTAAGGAGTGGACACATTAAATAATTATAAACATTTCAATTAGCAAGGAACTTTTCAAGCAAAAGCAAAAAGCGTAACTAAAACCCACTGCATTCAATACAATGCACCTTCAAATAAATGAGCGTATTGTATGAAGCAATGAAGAGCAATGATTATTCAAATACAATTTGCTACTCAAAAAGAGCAATGCTATCAAAACGTAAATAAAGACTTTATTGATAAAGATACAAAGACCAAGGATGATATGAGTTTCAGCAATGAACTGATATTGACTACTGCCATGGATGTAGTTCTAAAAAATCAAAACAATTGTTCAATTATACAACTATCTTTCAGTAAATGTTTTGTTTATAAAGACTCACCACTTGTCCATTTTCAGGGTTTCTGTGAGCGTAAGCTGGACCACGAATGTGATTCCACATCTGGCCAGACAACATGCAGAAGACAATGGACTATATAAAACAAACAAAATGATTATTACTAGTACTACTAAATTCAAATATTTCTCTACATGTATAAACATCGTAACTACAATATGCTACTATAACATATACAAATGACAGTGTCAAAGAAAGTTTATGATAAACTGACAAAAGCAATTTTCATATTAATTGCAGACAATGATAACTCACTAAAGCACAAATTGCCCAGAAAGACCGATTACAAAGAAATCCTAAACATTAATTGCAAACAATGATAACTTACTAAAGCACAAATTGCCCAGTAAGACCGATTATAAAGAAATTCTAAACTTTTTCTTTTGACATAAAGTAAACCACCAATGATTATAACTAAGGTGCCCAAAGCAAGAGCTCCCATGTAGTTGGGAGGACGAAGAACACGAATCTAAAACAAAGGAAAAATTATAGACAAATTAAAGTGGGTACTAAATATAAAAAATGAGATAGCAATTAACTTTCAAAAGTCAGTTTACATTAATGTCAGTTCTCTCTGCAACCCAGCGAGCAAGATTGTCAGCTGAAAACCCCATCCTTAAAGACATAAAAATAGTTTTGAGTGTCCTCTTTTAAATTTTAGAATGAAATCAACACCAGAATCATTGGCAGTGACAAACCTTTGGATGTCATAGCTGTCACCTCTTTTTGCTTTCCCCTTTGCAGGAATATGCATAAAAACTGGTGCAGAATTTAGTTTCAGCTATAAAGAAGGGAAAAAACATGAGAAAATAGGGAAAACGTATTTTTATTGCTGACAGTTACAATCATACTGCTTGGAACACATCAGATCCTTCATCAAAATCCACCATTGCAAAAAACAATTGGTTTGAATAACTTGGAGAGTAGTGCCATGAATTGGCCAGTATTTGATACTCAGCATTTGCCTCCCTATGAAAAATTACACAGTCATAACACTTTAATTTGTCAGTTGAATATAAACCCATATATTTCTTTTTTCTCCACATAAAAATGTAGAGATGTTAAGACAAAGACAAGTCAAGATATACAGACATAAGTTTATGAAATAGTTGTTGATTCATGGATATAAATTAAGCAGTTATCTCATGCCAAAGTCAGTATAGTTATATATTTTCATTAAATACGAATTTTCAAGCCAAGTAAAAAATGAATAAGATAGCCATAAACAAAAATGATACTATTATTTTTTGAAGTGAAGCACTTTAATGTATAAGTTCGTTCATTTAAAACGACAATACAATAATTATGTTCAACAGAGCAAGGCATTCTAGGAAAGTGTATGACAAAAGTACTGTATTTAAGACTTAAGAGCCTTCACAATCCAGGAAAAAATTTATCTGAATGTAATAAGAGTATGCCAGAGAGTTTAATCAGACAATGTACACGTTTTATTTCAATTTGGTGTATTAACACAGTTTTACTCTGTCCACAAGACTACACTAAAAATTACCTACAAACTGCACATTTCCTCTGCGGAGCAAGTGCCGTTAACATCAAAATAATAGAGTAATTCCTTGGAACTCCTTTTACATATAATCTGTATTTGTCACCATTCATTCGGATGATAGGTCTTCTGCTTGTCCAGTCCACAAGTTGCTTGACTTTCGTTTCTAACTGAGACTTAATTAACGACGAAAATGGACATGAACGAAGAGACAAAACAGGTGAATTTACTTATTGTAAATTTTTCAAAATAGTTTTGCAAAGTTAATACCATATTTAATCGTATACCTCTTTGGTTACTTTCCGTTTGGCTTCTAAACAAGCAAAACTCAGGACAATGAAAACAAGAACACTTTTTACACGAGCCATCTTGAAGACTGCTTGTTACTCCAAATGCGCCTGCGTTATTCAACCGCTGCAACACTTTTATTGATTTCATGAAATTCACGATTTTGCAGTTTGCTAATTCCTTCGCGGACATAGGCGTAGGGGACAGGGGGGAGGAAGCTTCCCCCAAGAAAGTTTTAAGACTGAAAAGTTGAGCAAACTTTTTAGCGTTGGTCGGGTGAAAATACGGCGGAACCTTCTTTGTGAGTTGGGGAAAATATATACACCCTCCCCTAGAAATGACAGATCCCGTGGAAATTGAGTTAGCTGGCCTCCATCGAAAACTCTATCACAACACGAAATCAAGAGAGAAAAAGTATCTAAGTCATACTCTTTAAAAATGTTTGTGTTATCCAGATGTGAAAAATCATCAGATTTTCTACGGCTCTTTACGACTGAATGAACTCATATCTGTTGCAAGTATTGAAATGTTTTTACCCCCGCCAATGTAACAGTAATACAGCTATAACCTGCTAAATTTGTACAGGCCGCAAGCATAACAGCCTTAAAAATGCTGAACCATTTAATACAAGTATTCTCAAAATTCAGCAACTTGCACAGTTAAGTTAACATTACATATATACTTTCTAATAATAACAACAGCTAAGAAGAAAAGTTAGCTTCATGATAAAATAAACATAGCTAATACGTAAGAACTTAAATGATAATTGTTCGTCTCCGAATTTCCTTATATCAATTCGGAGCTCATCGTGTTTACATAATACCAAATTGGAAGCAATTACTATACATAAAACTATAACTAGCTACAAAAGGCCAAATAAAATTCTTCATCGTTCTGGTATACCACATCTTTGTCATAAAAATTATTTACTAGAAATGTTCGAAACAGCAAAAGTCACAGCTATCCTAATTACAAATGCCAGCAGTGGCTGCGCATTTTAAACTAGAATCTGCCGCAAACAAACGACCATTTTCACAAATACAAACTTCCTTCGCATTACTATTATTTATAGCTTTACTTCCTCTGACAAAAGGTAAGTCGACGAACTTGATTATCTTTCCGTCAAATACGAACTTTAAAAAAAAAAGTTATAACAATGTAGCTATATAAGTATTAAAAATAAAGTAGCATAATTCACGTCAATCATCTATGAATAATATTACATTGATGCCATATGTATACAGATATGTACCTATCTAACGGAACGGCCGTAGATCTCTTAACACTTTACGTGTACCAGATTGATCTCGGAGCAGGGTAATTTTTTACGTATTACACGTCAATGATAAAACACACTTAAATAGACTCCAAGTAATAATACGCATATATGTCGAGCTGTTTCTCCTTTAAGCAAAAGATGCCATGATAAGCAAATCCAGTAGAAAGGCAAAGCCAAGAAAAACACATGTTACTGCATGTGAAAACGTGGTAACTGTATATTATTTATTTATTATAATAAACAGCTGGCATTCTACGTGAAAAACATGGCAGTTTTTTCTCTGATTTGAGAAAAAAAAACTTAAAAGTAGGACCAGTACAATGCGAACCTAATAGTTAAGATCATTCATAACTCTATAACCTTTTCTCATCCACACTGTCAACGAAACATGAACTGATCATAAAGCATAATAAAAAACTTAAAAACACATCTTTACCTCTTTGGATTCAAATGAAGCTGAGCTCTTGCTTTGAACAAAAATATCACCACCTTTCGTATTAAGATTAATATGCTTTGGAGCTTGAAGATAAACAGATCGGGTTGGAGAGTGAAGTTCAAGATGTTTGTATGGAGGAGCACGGACATCCTCAGTTTGCAAGGCTCCAGTAAAGTTTGCAGTTGTTTCATCATCTAAAGATTGAACAGATTTGTTGTGAAGTGAGTAAAGTTTAAACAAAACATTGTTGACGTTTTGCATCGTACGTACGTTCACATAATTTCAAGGGTAGTTTTGACTTGGCTTTCAAAGTTTCGTTACTTTGAAATCATCAAATATACGTAATACATTTTACTTATAATTTCAATGTTTGTGTTTTCCTTGAAATGGCTTCATAAGTTGTAAGTTTGTACTTATAAACAGAATGAATCAGAATCATCTAAAGAAAAGAAACTACTGACTAAAGTGTAAATGCACAAAATTTTTATTGTCTTAAGTAAAAAACCTTGTAAAATTGTAATGGTCTAATAAACATTCTTTTGAACAACATTGTTTTGTATGCTTACTAATCAAACAAATGAAAATTTGTGATGTAAACTTTAATTATTCAATACTCATGCAGACATTGATGATGGTAAGAAAGATCAAAAGATTTTTAATGAAAATTTCACGTCACAAGCAAGCATCAAACGTAAAGTTACTTTTACACAAAAGACAAAAATGCCTTGTTGTGCCAAAAAAATACATGAAATTAATAAATGGAAAAAACTAAAAACAAAGTTTTGTTTAAACAATTGTTTTAGTCACATGGGTATTAAACAAAGAAATATACAATTTTTATAAACCGCATGGACAATCAGGGAAAAAAGTATAAAGAAATCAATCAAAAACTCCATGCTCTTATAGGTTAAAATGGTCCTTTTCATCTGATAATGTGATCTGGGTAATTTATGTCAATATAAGTCGAATTATATACACACGTCATCCATAAAAGAAAGTGGTTGGTACATACTTGCAAATTTTATCATGTCATATCCAAAGCGAATCTCATCTTTATCTGCATAGAGAAGTTCTTTTCCATTATTTGAATGAACTTTGAAAACTTTTTGTTTAGAAACAATTTCTCCCTTTCCAACGACAAATTGTGATACTATCGCGCCACTTTCATTTCGTGAATTTACTGTCACATTTGCTGTTGACTGGACAGTCAATTCCTTGCCCTATAAAATGGGGAAAATTACAATGAAACCACTTCTCAAAGAGTGAATCCATTAAAGTGGAATTTGAGTAGCAATAACCAAAATCATAATACATAATACCTTTATTGTTTCAATGGATTCTGCATGAAGTGATTTCACAAACTCTGCATTTCCTTGAAGTAGAACACCTTTGTTGGTGATTTTCAGCTTTCCCATTCCATCCTTAAAAAAGATAAATATTGCTTGATATAGAGGAAATTAGTTTTCAAACATACTCTATGTATTTTTTAACATATGACAAGTATAACTACATCTACACTAATAACTAATGATTATGTATAATACATTGACATTACATAAATATTCAAAAACTAAAGATAGAAGATAACACACTTACCAAGTTAAAATTCATGACATGCATGATCCAGATAGTAAGAGATAGATTAATTATTGTGACGACTGTGACAATAAGAACAAGCAGATACAAGCATCTTTTTCTCCAACCATAGATTCCAATTTTATATATGATATTTACAGGATCATGCCGTTGATAATCAATGTCATCATTCAATTGGTTTCGATCTTGCTGTCCAGACATGATTTTGCTGGAACTGCTGTTGATTGAAAGAGTATATTTTTCTCAATGTCATAGTTTACACTTTGGATCACAATAAGACATTAATAATAATTCATATCAATAGCAAATGCTTTTGAAAGAAATCATAACATCAAAAAAGCAAGAAATGAAAATTCCAATAAACTAGAAATATCACATACTTACTAATTTCAATAAACCTAAAAACCTTCGCTCAAATCTCGCTGAAACACTACTGTTAGACAGAAGAATACGTTTAGATTGCAGCAATAAAATTATAAGTCCCATCCATTGTTATGCATATATGATTTTCCTGTTTCAATAATTTGATATTGAAATGTTGTAAAAATCATTGTCATCGCTTTCCCTTTTAACTCTCATGAATAATACGTGCAATGAATATCATTTTATCATAAATAGTTAGTAAACACAAGCTTTTCACCTTCGTTATTTTCTAGTTCACCTTATATTAGAGATATTACTAACTACGAAGCATAATAGTATGAGTCTGTATATAAGTATGATTTTAAGAATCTGCAACTAACATTCCATCAATCATGAGAAAGGAAACAATTATACTTTAACACGCTAAGCAACAACAGTTTTCTTTAAAAAATGATATTGGATTTCGCAAAATCCAGCGTTAATATTACAGGGTTTGATATTTTCATTATCCTTAGGTGCTACGCAATACAACATGATAGCCACATCTGTTTATATCTTGCATGAATGAGACTTGAATTGATTAATGCATCGCAAGTATTCGCAACTGGCCAACTACTTTAATGTAAATGTATAACACACAGATAAGTATGACGCTTTTTACTTAAATTTGCTCCTAAAAGCCACACAGACGTTTACATAAACGATAAAAAACTGTATTTCTAGTTGAGTACATTTTTGGATAAATATGACTACCATTCATAAAAACATTTTTAGCGCACATTTCATCAAAGTGATAAACTGACTATCGTGTACCACATTCCACATTGTAAATGTAACTTTTATGTTTGATGTATTAAATTTCTTACCTTTTTGACGGAAAGATGTGTATTTAGAAGATTCAGACCAGCACTTCAGGGGTGAATTCCGATCGTTCAATACGAAAATACCTCGAAAGCAATGAAACAGACAATTTTTACACTTCTAGATTTGAATGGAATCTGATAAAATTTTGCGATTAGCATAATTAAAGTTCAAAAAAAGGAAATACTTCGTGTTGTATGAACATTATGTACGAGGAATGAAGGATACCTCACTCGAGAAAACTCAAAAGTTGAGCATTTGCCGTCTTTCTTGTCATGGATGCAAGAATTAAATTTCGAGTGCTTGTTCCGCTTATGGTGGCAATATTAGTCATGTAAGTTAAAAGTAAATTTGACATAGAAGACTGTTTATCACTCATTTCAACATGTACCAGTTTTCAATCACGCAGCAATTTTTTTTCTTGCTGAACCCATGGATTCTATTTTGTGAATCATTTTTTTTGAAGGTGTGGGAGGGAATATTGAAATGATTCTTGGTTTATAGGAAAAAAGTTTCCAATGGGCTTTTCGTGAAATTTGTGAGAGCCATTCTTCAATTTCCTGGAATAATTGTGATGTGATAGACCAGCAAACTCATAGAGTTTTTCCAGGTGTCACCCAGTTTTAAAACAAATCTACCCATCACCCAATCTTTTGATACTATTTTAAATTTTGCAGTGAAAGTTTCTTGAACATTTTCAAACATTTCCTGAACTAATAGCATGGACGGATTTACTAGGTGGGGGTGTGCAGGGGGGGGCTTCCTCCGAAACATCAGATTTCACCCTCCCCCTCTAAAGAAATTGGTCTAAGCAGTAGTACAGATGAACTAAGTTTTTCAGGGCAATATTTCAACTATCCCAACAGTTCTTTTCAACTATCAACACTACCTTTGATGGTTGCACTGACTACCAGACCCCCCTAAATTTTAGATCTTTTGTTTGTTTTATGTCACTTCATTACCAGCTCACCACCCTAAAGTTTTGCCATGTGCAAGCAATAAGATTTAATAAACTTAGAATAAAAGCAACAGATTTATTGAAATGTAAAATTCTTTGTCCACCTCATATTCATCAACAGTAAATTTTGAAAATGATTTCAATACACCAACCAGGTCCAGGTTCAAGCCATTCTTGCTGGGAGCCTATATCACCCAGAACAAAATAAATCAAAATCACCTGTTAAAAATTCAGTATTTTGATTGCATTGATAGGATTTTGTTTTTCCAAAAGTTAATGCATACTCAAATTAAAGTCATAAATTTGGTCAAAGAAGTGAAAGGTACAAATTTTCAACAACTTATACTTAACATCATCTCAATTATTTTGCTGCAATTTTGAAATCTTTCTTTTGAGCCTTACTTTTGCCTAAATTTGATAGTGAATAGTCCCCCAATAAAAAATATGCCTCCTGGTCCCTGTACATTGTTATTTGTACACCTGCAATGTGAAAATGTTAATTTTACTGTGATTTCACTGGCACAAACCGTTTTAGATGATTTTCACAATGAAGGAGAAATTACTTCAAAGTTAATGCAGTCAAAAAATAAAGCCAACATAGCAAATGCAATGAAGAAACAAGAATTTGAGAAAAGTCCAAAGAAACTAACTCAAATGACATCAATGAGTTTTCCAAGGTGAAGATTGAGAGCTGCTTCTATATAATCCTTTGTTACAACCCTTTGCAATTATTTATACTACACAAGTGAAACTCTATAAAAAGCATTTCCCCTGTTTTCTGTGAAACAAGATGTTGTTGTTTAAATACTTGGGTATCTTGCATAACTGCGAGTAAGCGTGGTGGAATCCATTGACTGAGTAGGGGTGGGAAAGGAATTTATGTGAAAACGCCTGAAGTGATACGCTACTTGTCGTTACATCTGAAAAAATGTTTTGATCGTCTTGTACGAGCATTTTCTGTCGTTTTTTCGTCTTGTGAAAATGCATGATATTTAATTCATGGAAAATTTTTGGAAAAAAACCCCTGAAAATTCGTTTATTGCTCCTTACCAACTGTCCCAATATTACATTATATTCAATTTTCTAAAAGGAAATGAATGCCGACAGAACGCATTAAAAACAAAAAGGAAATTAACTCATTATTTTTTGTCCTTTATCAATTAACTCATTAATCTTTCACCTTTATCAATAAACTCATTATCTTTCGTCCTTTATCTACGCCTTCGGCGTATGAAACGGAAGTTCGAGTTCTAAAACAGGCCTAAATTTTCTATAAAGAACTATAGTATTGCTTATTTTTTCTGTTCATTTTGTAATTAAGTCATGTGTTTTACCTTGATTACAACGGCAAAATTCTTAAAAACTTATCATACGTATCTTGAATTCATAGAATGATAAGTGGAGATAAATTGGTACACTTGGATTTGAAAGGTGCAGCTCCAAAAATGCTTTATATCATAAAGGTACAGTGAAATAATTTTAACCTGGTGAAGCACTACACACATTGCTTGTCTAAAGAACTCTGTTATGAATTTTAGTTACTGCCGACGTTGAAGTCCTTAGGAGCTACGGGATTGTTGGTTGAATATGAAGATATGTTCCCGTATTATGATGAACTTTCTGTGTTAAAGTCGCACAATGCATATAGGTATTGACAGAATCTACGTACAATAGAAAATATGACTTTTTTGGAAATCAGTTGTGTACAGTTTGTTGTCGTTGCCAACTTCATTACGTCATAGTTAACGTTTTTGCTAAGTTTGCAATTTGATTTGATGATTTGAAACAAGCTTCAGAAATAGCAAGTAATGCAGAACAATAATGAAAACATTTACTGTAGTATTTTTGTTCGTTTTTGATAGTCTAGATGAAATCAAAAAATTTCTCATTGAAATAAGAAATAATGGTCTTTTAATGATTCCTCTTGTACAAACATTTGGTCATATGGAGGTAGAGATTGCATCTTTTTACTTGTATTTTTCATTTTCTGATAAAAGGTGATATACCTGAAATAGACTTTTTTTTTAAAAAAAATAACAGTTTGTCCTGAAACACAAGAAGTTCTCTCATCTCAGACATGTTGCTAATATGACAACTGCCGTTAATCCAAATCATGAAGGTATTTCTTCATCTATGTCAAACAAATTACGTGTAATCTCATTTGTTTTGAGACATTTTAGATTAACTGTCTTTTGTTTACATGTCTAGGCTCTTTTTCTCTGGTTAAAAATATTATTGATCAAATCATCAAAATACACGAAGGATATATTGAATATGTGCATATTGGTGGTGATGAGGTAACCGCGACTTACAAATTTTTGTTTTAAGTATTTATCAATTTGGTGGTCAGTTCTTGTCGTCCGTCAACAGTCCTGAGTGGGTTCTGTTAATGAGATAAAATGTCGGTGATTTTGTTTTTTAGATTTTTCAAATAAATTTGCTGCAGCAAACTTATAAGCAAAACAATACCAACTACCATCGAGCATGTCTATCTTCTTTACCGAAGCGAGATGTGTGCTATCATTTTACATGTCCCTGTTAATATTTAATATTATAGGTTTGGAGCCTTAAAGATTGTTCATCTTGTGAACCTTCCAGCAAAGTTTATCTCAAGCATATGTTACCTGTCATTGAAAATGTTGTATCGAAAAAACTCACGCCAATAATTTGGGATGACATGATGAGAAGATGGAGTGTCGAGAACTTGAAAAGTAACTAACTTTTTCTCAGCTTATATTTTCTTGACTCAACTTTTTGATGTTAATATTTTTAACGCACTTTTTTCAAAGAGATCGGATCAAGTGGTGTGCAACCTATGATTTGGGCTTATCCACCTCAACTTGACACATTTTTTCCTGAAGGTGTTCCACAATGATCCTTTAATTTTTATATGTAATTTGAAGTAATTGTGATTACCTGTACTAATAGGAATGTGGCGTAGATATTCTCGGGCTTTCTCGTCAGTGTGGTTGGCGAGCGCCTTTAAAGGTATTCTTTTTTTTATTGGTGTTATAAAATTGGAGCGATAAATACATCTATGTCTGCTTTAATCAGGTGCAGAAACACCATCGACAAATTTTGTTCCCATTTCCGTTCGTCTTCAAAATCATAGATCATGGATGAAGATTTACTCAAAGTTATCTCGACATATAAAAATCAATGGAATTGTTCTAACTGGATGGAGTAGGTCAGAACCATTTCATGTTAGTTTTAGTTTATGTATTTCACTTTCACAATTTCTCTTCTTTGGGGGGTAACTTGATTGATCTACAGTAAATGGATTAATCTTGAGGATGAGTAGATACATAAAGGGATATAACTTTAGGGGTTGACGAGAACGAACAGGTACATATTGACACGATAAGTTAGGTCGGCGGGTAAGTAGTTATTAACTTAGGAATGAAATAAGTTATTTTGGTACGTCTCTTCATAGTACATTTGTTTTCTGTCAGGTTTGATCATTATGCGTCCATGTGTGAATTATTACCTGCTGGTCTACCTTCATTGGGTCTCTGTTTGACTATTTTAAAAGAAGGTATGTTTAAATTACTTCTTTAAAATGTCCATTAAACACTTAGCGGAAATTTATTTTGTGTTATTAGTGATGTCACATGGGGAACTCGTCTATTGTATTTTTTTTTAAGAAATAGATTTTTTGGACATCCACGGCACCACACAATGTGTAATGCGATGAAACAGCTATGCTTTCGAGGAGATTATCTGTAAAATATAGTGTTTTCTAATCTAAAGCGTGTTCACAACATGACGTCTGATCTGTGCTCTCGCCCTAGTTTTTTTTGATATCACGGTCAAATTACCGAACTAGAGCTCTAAAAAAATCTACGAAGATTAAATTTTGGAATTATAAAATTTATTGCAAAAATTGCAATTGTGTAAAATCTTCTATCTATATAGCGCAATTGCGAAAACATGATAAAGGCTTTGTAACTTTTTAATGTATTATGTTTGCTAGTTCTCTCCTGGATCTGAAACAATATACGTTATACAGACTCACCTCAAGTGGCATTTTTTCTTTCAGGCTCATTAACGAATAAATCTTTATGGCAAGTTTCTACTACCCTTGGCTTCAAATCACCCATCTTTTTACACTCTTATGACATTCCTAAGTGAGTGTAGAAAGTAATATTGTCATGTCTTAGTTATCTTGTATTTTTGAATAAGAAAATGACTGAAATTTTAAGAGATGTTAGCGAAAAAGACGAAGGAACATTTCTTGGTCACGACATTTATGGAATTGTATTGAAATTGCGAAGAGCGTATAATGCTCTTGAGTCAGTTGAAAAACGGTAAAGACTAAAGTGTACCTTCATTTCCAATTTTTCCATGTATTTTTCCTCACGTACACTATTTAAGATGAACTTACTGGGTGATTTTAGAATTCCTGCCTGGTTTAATCGCAGACAGTTTGCCACCTCAAGAATCAGTATTTATCAACTTACTGTATCTTTCCAAAAGTTAAAGAGGTGAGACATCCTTTTGCCCGGTTATGGCCTATGAATTAAGATTAATAAACTTCTGTTTCTCGTTGCTAATTGCTAAATGTGCTACAATACATTGTACAATGCTACATGTTTGTAGATGTAGATCGTCCAGGTTAGTATAATCCTGAGAAGGACTGTTTTTGTTGTTGTTGATTGACTTTTCGACAACCTTAGCTGAAGTCATCTTCAGAGTCAAAATGAAGATGACTACCGTTAAGGTTGTCGAAACGTCAGTCAACAACAACAAAAACAGTCCTTCTCAGGACTAAACTAACCTGGACGATCTTCATCTACAAACATGTAACGATACTCTCGGGTTCAAACCATTTACTTTAATGTACAATGCGATGTTATGTTCCCATTTATATAAACAATCGATATATATGTTTGACGACGTTTTGTTGTATTTTTTATTACAATTAGAAATGATTATTTTTACTATCTTGTTAGCAGAGAATAACGGCATTGTATTCATATTTTGCCTCTTTTGTCTCTTTTAGTGCAACGAACCGACTTACACCATTAATTAACTTGGTGAGGGAAAAGTTCCCAAAAGTATATCATGATGACACGACAGAGGAATGGATAAACGATAAAATAGAAAATGTGTTGACTCGAGCCGTAGAGATAGAAAAATATTTGAACAATATTAAAAGTACCGTATTAAAATTATAAATTATATTTTGTTTGAGAACATGTCATGTTTTTTCCCCTACGAATTTGAAATAGGTACCACGTACCAACAATAAATTTTAGATAAATGCAATCACGGGGCACAGTGAATCAAATTTCAGGAGGAAAACTATTTTGTGTTCTCATTTCTCCCCGATCGTACGAAATTGTATGTTGTATGATGACGTTGTATAATTTGTAATGTATATTAGGAATTAGAAATGGCTACTGTCTAATCTCAAACCCAGCAATATTTAATGGGTCATAGGTATTCAACGGTAGTCAAAACTATACAAGACAATGCTCTAGTTATTCGTGATTTTACTTCGCTCTCTTATGATGGATTAATTAGTGAGTTGAACGAGAATTACACAAATATGTTATTTCATTGAACGTGTCGTATCCGTATCGATTGTCTAAATGAGGAAGTTAAGTAATTTTTAATACGATAAATTTTTAGGCTCGTGGCTATCTGTCTTATCGTATTTAAGTTTAGTAAAGCATTATTTACAGCTTTGTAAACGTAAATAACTCTCAAATTTATAGCAAATACGATGCCAAACAAAACACAATTACGATAAATTGTAATAATACAAATTGCAAGTCTGAAAATTAACGTTTTCATTATTTAATAAATTGCTTCGTAAATGTCTCATAATCTATGTTTGTTGTTAATTTGTCGATTAATACTATGATGTTGTATTCTGAAGTGGTAATTTGGTGTAAATTATTGCTGACTAATTAAATACATTGCATTTTATTTTGTGCAGAGGCTGTAGAAGAGCTAAACATCATGTAAGTTTGTGAATAGGTGTAAATCCTTCGAAAAATAGATTCAATTCTCACTGCTTTTCATTTGTAGCCTAGATGATTTGGCAAAATCAGAGAAAAATGATTTTCAGTTGTTATTTGCTGTTTCATCTGATGATACTAGCTATTTATGGAAGGCATTAGTTAAGATTACGTGTTGCAAGGTATTGAATTTCATCAATCAGAGTATTTAAATTCATTGATACATAAGTCTAATTTATATACATTTTAGATAAATAAGACCACAAATTCCATTGAAACCGAGAAATGTCTTGATCTTCCACGATTTCTGAGAATATATCGCGAACTTAGTAAACGCTATGCCAAAAAGAGTCAGTTAGTGCAGGAAGACAATGTATGATGTATTTGTATATGTATATGTTTGACATGATTGTATTGAAAACAGTATTTCTTTGTTGGTTGGGAATGATGTTATCTGTCTCCTTACCAAAGCAATAGCTTTATTTTTAAATTTATATTCCAATTTTTAAGTAGGGGACACAAGAAATGTACCACCTGAGAATTAAAATCTTAGGGCAATATGGCCAGCCTGCTTCCCTAGCCCCTGTTTCTAATTTTTTATTTGTTTATAATGGCAATGTTTTTATTATAGACATCTGAGACTAATGACGATCTTACAATATCTCTCATCCTCTCAAGGTGGTACACTTTAACACTGGCTTGATCATATTACCTGAACCACATATACTGAAATTGCATGTGCATATTTATTTATAAAATAAAAACAATAAAATGTGCTTGCTGATTGGTCTATAGCTGTGTTTGCATTAGTCTGTGAAAACAGTCTGAGCTCAACAAATCAAATCATTCAATCAATGGAATTTGCAAATCAGCCATGAATACATTTTAAAAGAAAAATTAAAACATTTGTTTTGAATTTGTCTGTTTTGCATTATCATTATTTTAAAAAAAAGTAAAAGATGTTTTTTGTGTTCGCACTGGCTTAGGTAAACCTTGGCAATGTTTGTGAGAACTCTCAAGAATGTGCAACACTTGACCTTTAGTCTAGGGCTTACACTGATCTGGTCATGAGTTCTAACAAAGGTCTCCTCAGTTTGCGTAAGCTTGTGAAAATATAGTAAATATCTTTTGTTTCTTAAATAATTTATAAATTGTCAAATAATGCAATGTAACAACATTTAACATACTTACCATTTAAGTGACACAATTATTTAAAGTATTTTGAATAGTTATTACATTGATTTAATACATGTTGGCTTCTTCATATATTCTGCCAAATACACAATAATCAGGTTTGGCTATCTTGACATTTACATAGAGACATAGATTTTCCTATTTTAAGTATTTAAGAGTAATTTTAATAAGATCTTTCAATATTCTAGAGTGGATGAAATACAGAGAGAGGTAGTGGAAGAGTGCTGTATATGTATGGAGAGAAATTCAGATGTTTCATTAGCATGTGCTCATAGTTATTGTAAAGAATGTATTCATCTTTGGTAAGAATACTTTGTTCCTTCATTTCCTGTGCAATCAACATTTTATTTTTCTATTTTTATCTTTACAATTTAAGGTTTGATGAACACAATACCTGTCCCATTTGTCGTGAGACGGTCGAGGGACGAAAGGAACTCTGGGTATTAGCTGATAAACCTAGCCAAATCGAAATAGCGGATTATGAGATGGGCTTCAGTGATGACCATTGATGTAAATATTTATAGGAAAAACAATTAAGATATAGTCTGTAAATACTGCTGTTTATTTGAGTAATGCCTGTTTTTTTCGCTATAGACATTTAAATTATAATACCATACTTTTGACGGACGTGTTTGTAATGCTTTAACAACAAATAGGCGCTACAAATCTACTGGTAGGAAATCCTCAGAATGATTGCCTGGGGCGTGGCAAGCGTGTGTTAGACACATGACTTTTCAAAGAAATGGTTTTTAAATTTTTTCTAGATGATCGTCGGTTTTTATTTTAACCAAAACTGTCGGTAATTTTTAAATTCACATCGTTCTTTCATACTACGATTTCCAAAAACCGTAGAAAGAGGCTTTGTCGTTAAATCATTAAATTAAAACATCTGCTTCAAAATAATTGAGAAAATCTCCCCGATTTGAATGTTCTCTGTACGCCTATGGTGATTACCTTAGTTCCATGAATATGAACAATGACATTTTAAAAATTATGTACTGATGTTTTGTAAGATTAATAAAGCTCCAGCGACGGGAGCTCATTAAATTCTGAAAAGAAAACGTATGTTTCATTACTAGCAATATTGAATCGTGTCAGACTGTCAGTTAAAGCCACTAAGGTTGTTTCTTTCCTTTACTTATTTAAAAAAAGTGCGTTATCCAATTAACATAGACGCACATCGTAGTTTGCTTGCTCTAATACGAACTGTAAATTATTAATAAGTGAGATCCTATCTTATAATTATCGTTTCTAATTTTTCGTGTTTGATGAAAAACAGCTCATTTATATCATTCTTACAAAAATTGTACCTGAGATCTTTCATCCGATAATTTCCCGTCTGACAATTTTAGACAAATAACAGAGTAATAATACATAATGTACTGGCATTAATGACATTGTTGTATATGAATACAAAGAAGGAATAGTGATACAAAGACTACGAAAAGATTATTTACTGCTTTATTTACTCGAAGGAAAGGATAAGTATTATACATAATCTTGGTAGTTTTTTTCAGCTACGTCCTTATCTTCACAGTAAGTTGTCACTTTATTCACGTCAACTTAAAAATTTACATTCTTATCAATTAAATAAAACTTAATCTGTGCCTAGTGTGTTCTTTATACTGTACTTGTTGTCAACGGTTGTCCTAAAGTCTATAATATCAATCAGTTTGTGCTAAAATTTTTGGGAGCAGCATCTTACGTTCTTATGGATTATAGCCTTTAGATAGTAATATTAATAGCGAAACACTTACCAAAACGTCGACAGTTACGTGGCAGAGTCATGAAGACGTAATTTAGTGAAGCGAATCTATAGTCGATTCAAGCATCAATTTATAGAGCAATGATAGTAAATTTTACTATTCTTTAATGGTACTTTATTCATACAACCTACAGGACTCGAGACAAGCAAAATTTGTAACAGATAAAAAATGCAATCGAATACGTCCAACTGCTGCAGGGAACAGCAATACTTTGAGAAAGCTTGGTTTCGTTTGCCCATAGATGATTCTGAACTAAAGGACCTCACTGATGTAGTGCAACTTGTTGTCGCTGCTTTTATCGTCATTGGATTTTTTAATAATCTTATCTTACTCCTTTTAATTTTGAGAAAACCTGATAAAAAACCGCTGACATCAAGAGCTTTGCATCTCGCAAATTATTGCATAGTGAACGTGATAGCAACCTTATTGGGCTCTATCTGCGTACTCTCACGTTATACCGAGCAAAACTTGTGCAGTTTTAAGTTCGAAGCAATAATTTTTCCATAGTATTACCTTGGTACTACCCTGGAGGATTCCTGCTTACGTTGACACATTATACAATCATAGTTAAACCATTGAAAAGCATCACAATTGATCCACGCAAGGTTAAAACGACCGTTCTACTTTTACTTATACATTGGTTTGCGGATTGTCTAATTTTGGTCATGGTTCCCAACTTGGTTGAAGATTTTTTATTGTACCTTAAAGTGATGGTAATGATAATAGTGAGTATGTCTTGGATCTTCACCGCAGGAATTACTTTCATGGGAATCCGTATGGTGCAGGAACTTTATAAAAGAAATAAGGTTGTTCACAACACGTTCAATTTATCTCAGACACAACAACACACAATGACAAAACAAAATGCCAGATTGGTCAAAGTTATTCTGTTCTATTTTTTGACCATAGTCATATTTTCAATGCCAACAAACACCGTTTACCTTGTAATTCTTTATTGTTCTGAATGTAATCAGCGTTTATTGGTCAAAATTTGTGCTTACACAATGCCAGGATTCTTAGCTATACCTGTAGTCCATCCTGTCTATTGGGTGGTTGCAACTCCTCAATACTACATGGAATTTAAAAGACTCATTCACAAGTTGTTGTTCACATCATTCTGTCAAAAAGATTAAATGGACAGTTTCATTCAGAGATTCCAACAAATCGTTGATGATGCTGAATTAGCTGTGACAGTGAGCTCGTTAATAGTAATTCGTTCATAGGAGAGAATTTCTATGTTTATTGATAAATTTTTTCTAAATATTTGCTAATAATAACAAAAACAGTATCAAAGATCTGTAAGTTAATGTTGTGCAACGTAGTTCATACTTCATAATCATTCCCAACCGAAGTGTCTCATTTGCGAAAAAGTAAAAAAAAAGCAACACAATTTTTAAAGCTTTCATTGAAACTTTATTATATCAATGATGAAAAATTAGTTATTTCACTTCTCAACCGCATTGCGGATGTGAATGCAGGCATTTATGTAAAACCTGGTGCCCAAAAAATTTACAAAAAAAGTATATAGGTTATAGTTGGGCATTAAATCTTAAAGTTTTCACCCAATTACTATGGTGATTTCTTCAAAAGTGTATGATGATTTAGTTATCTGTCTCAGTATAGCCTCACCCCATTGTGAATTTGTGAGCGACTTAACAGAATGTTTTCTGTTTTCAGATATAACCATGTATATTGTACGCATTTAATTATCATCTTTTTGCACACGTCTTGCAATAAAAAGAAGTTTCAACTGTTTCGCAATTTAAATAAGAAAACAAATAATCCACAACTATTCATTGCAAACAAAGACCACACACGCATGCACGCACACTAATTACTAAAGATTAAAGTCTACGCTCTATGAAGACGACGATCAGAAGACGTTGTTGTAACTTCTTTATTCAACAGGTTACGCATTACATATTATCTTTGAAAAAGCTGCATGTTGATTTGCTTGGTCAAATTTCACTGAAAAGAACAGAACTTTATCTGTGTTAAATGTGCGTGTTATTTCTTCGAATGGTTTGAATTGTTTCGGTTTAGGAAACCGAAACGTCAGACAATTTCATATACTTTTGGTAAATACAGCCTCAAATATAACAACAGTTTGGAAAATTCTTGAATATATCAATTCGTATGCGAGTTATGTTGTAAATGCTATTTTCCTAACTTGTATTATATATTGTATTGAAGAAATCGCTTTTTTGAATAATTAAGCAGTTAAGGTAAGAAATACTTTATTTTCTTCAGATTATGCGAAAAATATAAACGTAAACAAATTTACAAAAACCAATAATTTATATATAACAGTACGTCATCCCTTATTCATAAACCTTTTTACAGGACTTACGAGACAAGCAAAATTTTCTACAGATAAAAATGCAATTGAATACGTCCAACAGCAGCAGAGAGCAGAGTTACTTAGAACTGGCATGGTTTCGCTTGCCCATAGATTCTGAACTAAGGGACCACTTTGATGCTCTGATACATAAAATCTATGTTCTAATCATCATTGGATTCATTAACAATCTTATCTTACTCCTTTTAATTTTGAAAAAACCTGATAAAAAACCGCTGACATCAAGAGCTTTGCAAATCGCAAGTTTTTGCATGGTGAATGTGATAACGGCATTAGTGGGCATGATTTGCATAGCCTCCCGTTATACCGAGCGGAATTTGTGCAGTTTTAAGTTTGAAGCTATTGTGTTTTCCATTGTATTACCCTTGTACTACCCTGGAGGATTCCTACTAACGTTGACACAGTATACAATCATAGTTAAACCATTGAAAAGCATCACAATTGATCCACGCAAGGTTAAAACGACCGTTCTACTTTTACTTATACATTGGTTTGCGGATTGTCTAATTTTGGTCTTGGTTCCCAACTTGGTTGAAGATTTTTTACTGTACCTTAAAGTGATGGTAATGATAATAGTGAGTATGTCTTGGATCTTCACCGCAGGAATTACTTTCATGGGAATCCGTATGGTGCAGGAACTTTATAAAAGAAATAAGGTTCTTCACAACACGTTCAATTTATCTCAAACACAACAACACACAGTGACGAAACAAAATACTAGATTGGTCAAAATCATTCTGTTCTATTTTTTGACTATAGTCATATTTTCAATGCCAACAAACACGGCTTACCTTGTAATTCTTTATTGTTCTGAATGTAATCATCATTTGTTAGCCAGAATTTGTTTATACACAATGCCAGGATTCTTAGCAATCCCCGTAGTCCATCCTATTTACTGGATGGTTGCAACTCCACAATACTACATGGAATTTAAAAGAATTATTCACAAGGTGTTCTTATCGTTCTGTCGGAGAGTGAATCGTAGAGAGAGCTGAACTGCTGGTGAGCACGAGTTACCCAAATGTTTTCAAAATAAGACCTGTAATAAAATATTTACTCGTTTAAGCACATTTCTCAGGATGGATTCTTACGAAAAACTCCACAAACTTTTCATTAATACTCAGATTTATTTTAATATCTGAATCAGAGAATGTCATTTTGATATACTAAAGGCAGTTTTAGATTTTCATAAACACCGTCTATTTTTATTAACAAAAAGAATGAAAAGATTACTCACAACACATCGCAAACAATTTGTGGTTTCAATACAATATCGGACTTGTCAAAACTAGTCGTTACTTCTTTTTTTACCGCAGTTGTACAGCGCCAACAAACACATTTTACCTTAGTGCTTCACTTCATAGAAGTAGAGCATTTATGTCAATGGTGTGTATTGATTTGCAGTTAAAGGTATTTCAGCAAACATTAGATTGCCGTAGAGCCCATCACCAGAAATAGAAGTGAAAAAACTAAACCTATGACTGTTGGCGTCATTTTGTCGAGAGGAAAAATTATTCAAACAGTTACCCTTCTTGCTGACATTGAGATTGAAAGCAATAATAAATAAGGCCAATTATTATAGCTTACTTAATATTCTCATGCAATAATATTCTATTGTTCTTACCAAGAAATTTGATGCACAAAAACAATCGAATAAGACGAGTTGATTTTGCTAGTGACAAAACACAATGGGAAAACAATCTCGGGAGAATCAGTGAGACAATACTAACAAAATAGTCAATGTTCTAAGTTAAGCAAGTTACATGATGATCGTTTCGTGCCGTATAATGCATTTGTTGATTTTATCTAGCAAATATTCTGTAGTATATTCTAATAAAAGTATAAGTGGCTGTATAATAAAAGTATAGTTGCTGTATAATAAAAGTATAGTGGCTGTATAATAAAAGTATAGTTGCTGTTGACTGTGGGTTTATTTAGTCTTGACACTGTATAGAAACAAACAGTAGTCCCACTTCGCTGTACAACTTAGTCATATATATATAAGTAGATCACTGGCTGCAGCTGGCCACCTCAGCGCTCCTATTGGTCAGAAAATGCGATTCACTGGCTGCCACTATGGTAATCACATGCGTAATAAGATATGCGCTACACAAACAATTTCAATAGAGTGCGGCTATAATTTGTTTCTATACTGTGGTCTTGTTGTGAAAATTCTATGTGCTTACTTACTGTGGAAACAACAGATTTCCAAAGAAATCGATGTAATGTTAAAAACTTTACTGAACTGGCTTCGGCAAAGGCCGTTGAGATAATTAACTTTATCATTTAAACGGTCAACATGCACGATAAACACAAGAGCGAACTCATGCGCATGCGTATTTGTAAGGAGATGACACTCCTGAATCACTGCTCCTAAATAAGATGCTATGAGAAGATTAAACCAAAAACAATGACGCAATCAAAATATTCCGGCAAGGTCAAATGATTTTGCCAACTGAAACAGTTGATTAGACTACTTTGGCGACGTTTATAAAGTGAAATACACGACAACGTTCAGAGAATAAAGACTAGGTAAGAATAGAAGGAGCACGGTATTGTGATATCGCTCGATGAGCAGGTGTTGCATGGAGAAGTTTTAGTTTCATACAGTCCATCTTGCTAACATTTCTATCTTCAAAAATCTGTATATTATTATTATTCGCCTGAAACAAACATGAGGAAAAACAACGGTGAGAAAGATACTTACAAAGGTGATGTACATAGGTGATGAAATCGTTAAAAAATCTTCTTAAATATAACTTACAAGCTGTAGAGAAGCAAGAAAATAACGACAAACTTCCCAAGGCTCCTATATTCACATAAAAAAAACAACATTAAAAACATGTTGAAATTCATCTACGTATGTATCTCAGGTACAGTTATGGGAGGAGTATGGAATAGAGATGATGGAATACCTGAGTAATCAGGAACAGTTATGGGAGAGGTATGGATTAGAGATGATGAAATACCTGACTTGGCACGATATCTTCAAATGATTTTACCGGCGCATCTTTAACAAAAAACAGAACAAATGTTGTAAAGAATTGCTGGCTCAACCATTAATACATGGTAGGTAAAACCAATTAGACATTCACCTTCAAATCTCGTTAAAAGTTTTTCTCCATATTTATGAATATCGTATGACTGATGAGTATCCTGAAAGATGCGATCTAACTTAGAATGATAGCTTACATAATAGACAGTTTTAAAGACATACAGCTAAGTATAAAAGATGCATTCTAAATTAACTCATATGATTATAATAAAAAACCAAAATCAAACAAAGTATTTTTCACAACAAAATTGAAAGTGAATTTGTTCAACCAAACAACAGTTGCTATTATGTAATGGCCGTTTCACATACCTCATTTTCCAGCTTAGGAAGAACTTTTCTTTCCCACTCGACAACTCTTCTGGATAAATCTGTTTCTTGCACGTATGTTTGAGCTTGCACAAGAAATCCTTGCTAAAAACACAATAAAATATTTGATGTTCGCATCAACATTTTGATATAAAAAACCGGGATCAGGGAAGAAATACACACAGGCTGTATGAACACGTACTATATATTATCATAAACACTCCCTACTTCTATACGTGTGACACCGCATTTTGGGGGGATTTGAGATTTGTTTTCCTCATGCAAGTTTCTATTTCTGTTCATACCACATATTTTCGACCAATTCCTCGTAACTCGACACAACCAAATCATCCGATTCTTCAAGAGCTGTATGTAAAAAAAAATTCAAATAAGTTAACACATAAGTACGAAACGAATAGAATGAAACTTTTGATGTCCAACTGCATGGCAAGCATTGTACGTACGTAGCATATACGAGATGTTTTTCAACAGGCAGGCTAGTTTAACAACTACATTATTGGATAAGTAAAACATTAAATTGAGAATTGTTGGCAAGTCTGCATTACTGTGGATGAAAAGGTTTTCTAAAACATTCGATACTTTTTTTTATTTTACTATGAACTAAATAAACTTTGTTTGCTAATCTTAAGGATATAACAAGCTCTTGTATAGATGACATTCGTAACGTGTAGATTCCGGTAAATTGTCATTTTTGGCTACAGGTTTATAAGCAAGCACTTTGGAAGTTGCACGAGAAATTTATGATGATGATGTTTTGAAACTCACCCATGGGTTGGATCCCACCAGTTTGAATGCCGTTCACGTTGTCTTGGAAACCATTCGCGTCATCATCATTAACGTCACCAGCATCATATTCGTCATGATATTCATCTAAAAATTATAAAGATCACCATATTTTTATTCTTATTTAGTTGTGGTAACCTTTTATAACACAAAAATGTTCATATGAACACTGTTCAAAGTAAAATCCGTTTTACATAAAATACAAAAAGGTGATATGGTCCTTTCCACATTTTAATTAAGTCCTAGGGAGCAGAAAGATTTTAGAAATAAATTGATAAGTAGTACTGTCCTTCGACATGAGCTATTACCAGATTCTTCATCTAAACAATCATCTTTGTTTTCTTGAAAATCGTCAAAGAATTCTCTCCTAATTTCATCATTTGGAACACCTTTCTCTGCCTGAACATAAACAACACATAAATTGTACATTCACTTCAATTATCTTGTTTCATGATAGCAAGTTATCCATTGAGATGTTTTTATTCAATGTCCTAAATTGTATCTGGTTTAAGATTAGGAATCCTTTCATCGACAAATAAACTTTAAAGGGCCTGTACAACGAAAATTTTGCTGTTAAAATTTTAGTTTCATTGAAAAGATCGTGTAAAACAACAGCGGACTTCCCAACACAGTTTAGTCATATCTCTTTTTATTCTTAACATATTGAAGTAAATGGTTTGAACCCGGGAGTATCGTTACATGTTTGTAAATGTAGATCGTCCAGGTTGGTACAGTCCTGAGAAGGACTGTTTTTGTTGTTGTTGACTGACGTTTCGACAACCTTAGCGGTAGTCATCTTCAGAGTAAAAAAAAAACAAAAAAAATTTCATTTTTGACTCTGAAGATGACTACCACTAAGGTTGTCGAAACGTCAGTCAACAACAACAAAAACAGTCCTTCTCAGGACTGTACCAACCTGGACGATCTACATTTACAAACATGTAACATATTGAAGTTGTGTAATGTTAGATTTATAGAGAAAGTGATGTCAAAATGCAAAATGAGTCGCTGCAAATTTATAAATCTCCTTTAGCTTCCTGGTAACTTTTGATGAAAGACCTATGCAAAATTTTATATCATTAACCTTTAAAAACGACAGGAACTCTGTCCGGTTCATGCTACATATCAGCATATATTCTTCGTAATTCAAATTCTCACTATGCAATGTGACGTCACCTTCTGTATGAATCGGACATCACAAAACTTCAATATATTAAGAACGAAAAGAGATGAGACTAAACTGTTTTAGAAATTTCACTGTCATTTTTAGAGTTCCCTTCAGTGAAAATATAATTGAAATAGCAAAATTTTCGTTTTACTCACCCCATAACTGTCAGGCAAAAAAAGCGAATGATTTTACCATAGCTTTTCGACGTTTTCTGTCCAGTATTTGCCGGCGTCTGAACTCGTTCCAGAAAATGTATTCAAATTCTGAATGTAGACAAAAAATTTCAAATAAATGTTATAATGACGATGTTTGAACTGTATTTATCGCAATGATTCAGCAAAATTGTAAGTGAAACGCTTTATTGGTTATATCAAACAAAAAAGAAGGAAAATGGAAAAAATGGCAGAATGCTTTTATCGAAGGTACGTAACAGCTCGCTATCATTCCTTCAACAAGCAATATGCCATCGTACGTAAATAGATAATTAATTTACTGACTTACCATGATATAAAAGAGTTTTTAACGGGTTTTTTGGAAGTTTCTTTGCTTGAGAATGATCTAAACAATTATCATCATGTCGTAAAAGCGTGCTTTTATTGATCACAATCATTGATCATAGCCCTGTTGCGTCAAGTTGTACATAATGAATACCTACATGCTAACTTGCAGAACTCTGCAATAGAAATCAATTTCTCGTCGTTCGACGATGATTCTTGAGCTCTTCGCTTTCTTTTCTTTACACTAACTTGATCGTCCCGAATTGACAAAGGAATTTTGAAAGGTCGTCCTTTGAAATAATAATAAAAGGCGTATGAGATTAAACTTTAAAGCAGCCAGCGAACGAAAGGAGTATAAACAACGGACTGATCTTTCTAAATACATGCACAAGCAAGTATCAATTATTAAAACAGTCAAAACCAACATTTATATGTGTTCTGTGATATCAGAGATGGCTATACCTTTTTTAAAAACCTTTTCAACACCACCATTTGGATCGTGAGGATCAAGTAGTTCCCATGGATCTTTCACCTAGATTGCAGTCAGTTTTAAAGTAATGCAAGGAATAATTTCAAATCAAAATCAGATTTGAATAAAAAGTTTAGAAATAAGTTTAATTATAACAGTAATCTTCACATACTGTTTTTCTAGAGGATATTTGCTCTTGTTGTGAAACTTTTCTCTTGTGCAGCTGCATTCTTTCTACCATTACATCTTGGTTTATAGCATCAGTTCCAGAGGAAAGAGTATGAAGTTTCTCTTTATCTTTAAACTCCACGTCTTCACCATTACTGACACACATTTCATCACCATCATCGAAATGATCAGTTAAATCATCTTAAAAAAAATTTAGTTATACATACATAAGTTGAAAAATGAAAGTTTTTTTTTATTTTTAAATAATTTATTGAGCTTTCAACTTGGTGCTTCGAGCCTTCTTCAAAATAAGGAAGTTATTATCTATTGACAGCTGTTTTAGCTTGTGTACGTTTAGTGCATATAATACATAATTATACATACATACATACATTAATATACATACATATGTATATCTATTTTCTGCTTGTCAATTTGTTGCTAAAATTTTTGCTCACCCATATCTTCAATGTTGGTTTTATCTTTAGCATTTTTATCATTTGCTGCAATATACATTTATTATGTAAGTACAGAAACCTAGACACATTTTGAGATTACATAATGTTCATAGCAAACATCTTAGATGGAAAAAAATATACAAACAGATGTTTTAAAATACCTTCTTGGCATTGTAAAAATGCACCAGCAGTTAGAGAATTAAAGTTCGACGTATCAAGAATTAAAGCACCAGAGCTTAAATGAACTGAACATGTGTTCATCTAAAATAAAACAATAATGGATTGGTGTTTTGATAATATTGAGTACATATTTACATGTATAAAAGATGTGGCAAGAACAAAATCATGGAACTGCCATTAAAAAGTGCAATGAAAGATTGTTATAAATTTACCTAAAAGTAGGATACATGCTCTAAAACTGCCTTTACTTGTTATGGTTTATCATTTAAAACACACAAAATCTCAAACACAAAGTATTTAAACAACACTTACTTTAAAATCATTACGATTGCCAAGAATTTCACCTGTAAGACTAAAATTTCAGGTTGACAATATGCTGTAGCAAAATCCCTCAAGGCAATCAAAGTCACAGCAACATTAATATGAAATACCTTAATAAAGCTGAACCTTTTTTTGAGTCATCAAATGTAATCAAAGTAATGGGTGTTCTTGGAATTAACTGTGAAGTCTGAAACATTTCATACACATGTATGATATTTAATGACGTTTTGATTATAACTTTGCTGGTTTTTTGTCATTCATTTGATATGATTTACTATGTATGCATTTAGGGTGTTGTTACTGTGAAGGTAGTTTTGCTATAACCTTCATCTCACCTGTTGAATCTTGTCTTCCTTTAAGTCAATATTTTTGGCTTCTTTGATGTCATCCAAGAGTAAAAACTGAAATGAATTTGAGCATGATCTTAAATAATCACAGAAAAAAATTAAATTAAATTTTCACATAAAAAAAGTATTACATGATCTTGCTCATGCGCCGAAACATCTTTATCTTTCCCATGGTCATCTACAGATGGCATTTGCTGAAGTTTTCTAAGATAGTAAGCAAAAAATAGAAAAGCAATTTCTAGATACTATAAACAATTTATATTGCAACACATGGAAATGAACCAAAATTTTTAAACAATATTTTGTATTAGGGAATACCTATTGCTTGCAGTCAAATCCAATGTTTGGTACACAAGTTTATACAAATATTCAACCTAAAGAAAAATTTTAAATGCACAAAGAAAACATAACATTAGATATTATTAATATACTTCAGTTGTTTTTCACATACCTTTTTACTGTAAATGCAAGCAGATCCCTGAATAAGCAAGGCTGCTTCAGCAAAATTCATTACTGTTTCTCCACAATCAAATGAGATCCTTATATGTTCCATCTATTAAAATAAAATGTTCACAGTGTAGATGTTAACACAATCATCAGAGAAGCAGTAATAGTGAAGAAAGTCAAATTGTTTTATTCTTTCCTTGTAAGAAATACTTCAGAAGTTTGTTTGGTTTGTACATCAATAATTACTGAAAACATTTTGTGTTTTTCGATAAAATAGACCTTTCGATAATGTAAAAATTGAAATTCTGTACAGTCCAACTCCAGAATATGCCAAACATGAAACTAAGCTGAACAAATTTAAGCTTTCTTTTACAAACCTCGTTTAAATATTCTTCCAATTCACCAGCAATATTTATTTCCCAATTTTTACACAAATCCCGAATTGGTTTCAACAAATAACCATAACGAGACTGAACATCACTCGAATGATCTCCTTCTTGCGACAGCATAGTTATAGGTTGTTATCACTGTTTCAATGTTAATAAAAATGATAAAAACGTTTTTAAAAAGTATATCGTGTCTTTGTTAGGCTCTGGAGTGTGGAAGTGAATGAATTTGGTGGAATTTGGTTGCAATGATGGCCGCAATGTTGTTGCAATTGCAGATTTCGCGCCTTATACACACGAGCCAGCGATTTAACAATGACAGAATTTTCCCCTACTTCATGAGAAGAACAGTGTGAAAATTGCATTATTGCATGATGTATTGCATAAGTTGTTTACACTTTACAATTCGTTGTTTTACATTCTTACTTGAACGTCCCAACTTTTGGGAAAGGAATGCAGCTGAGCTGTATCAAACGTATGTTTAGTTTCTGATGAAAACTGTAATTATTCCAAGCAATGTTGTGATCTCCTTAAAGGAAATGTTTTGAAAATTATTTTGACACTCACAAGTCACAATATTTTTATAACAGTAATATCACACATAACAATGTCAATGTCTGTGTCAAAAAAGTTGGATCATCGAACTCTACACTGGTTCCGTAAAGGTCTCCGTCTGCACGACAATCCATCTTTACTAAATGCATGTGAAACCAGCTCTCAGATTTGGCCTGTGTATTTTGTCAATCCAGAGCTTATCACTCATGGCGAAAATATAGGTTTTAATCGTTGGAGATTTTTATTGGAATCATTGCAAGATTTAGATAACCAACTGAGGAAGTTTCAGTCAAGGTAATTGACGTGGGGAATGTTCAAGATCATTTCTTATAAATTATTTGAGATATCCTTTATGTGCATATAAATGTTTTAGATTGATCGTAATTCAAGCAGATAATGTCAAAGAAATACTGCTTCACTATGTAAAAGAATGGAAAATTACAAAGTTGACATTTGAAGTAGAGACAGAACCGCATCGTATGGAGCGAGATAATGATATAACTAATTGTCTTCAGGAAATGGGAGTTGAAGTTGTTTCTTGTCATTCACACAACCTCTACGTTTTAAATGAGTAAGTCAAAGGAAAATTGAACCGTGTAAATTAATGATCTTGGTGACTGCTGATATTCAATTATCAATTATATCTCTTAAAATGTTTTAGAGTGGTAGAAAAGAACCATGGTGTACCTCCTCTAACTTATCAAAAGTTTCTAACAACCATAAAATCTTTGGGTCAACCTAAGAAGCCAGTTGCTTGTTTGACCGCAAGTCATTTTCAATCTTGTAATACCCCTCTAGAAAAATGCAATGATAAATTGTTTGAACTCCCAACTTTAGAAGATTTAAAACTTTTTGGTAGAGATGGAGTGTGCAATGAATCTAAATTTCCAGGAGGAGAAAGTGTTGCATTGCAAAGAATGGAAGACTATCTCAAAAACGAAGTACCTATATAAAAATGACATAGGATGCAAAATTTTGTCAGTTGTAACTTTTAATCCAATATATTTCATTAAGGGGTGGATTAACAGTTTCGAAAAGCCAAAAACTTCACCAAATTCTCTGGAACCCAGCACAACAGTACTTAGTCCTTATATAACATTTGGCTGCCTCTCAGCAAAAACATTTTATTGGAAATTATCTGATGTGTACCAGAGGGTAATTATGTTCTGTCTAATAGTTATAGTCGTTAGTTGGTAGTCTTTGCTTATGCATTTATAATTGATGATTTGCTAATTGTAATGCAGGCAAGGCGTCATTCTTCGCCTCCTGTTTCCTTACATGGTCAACTTCTGTGGCGAGAATTTTTCTACACAGTTGCCTCCGTCACTCCTCAATTTGATAAAATGGAAGGAAATGATGTGTGTCTGCAAGTACCTTGGGATGACAACAAAGAATATTTGAAAGCGTGGAGTGAGGTGATTAATTTGGACACAAGATTGCATACAACATTTGGTTGAGTAGTTTTTATATTTTCTTCATTTTTCAAAGGGAAGAACTGGCTATCCCTTTATTGATGCTATCATGACACAATTACGTGCAGAAGGATGGATACATCATTTAGCACGTCATGCTGTCGCTTGCTTTTTAACTAGGGAGATCTATGGTTAAGTTGGGAACATGGTTTGAAGGTTTGTTTGAATTATTATTTAATTGTGAAAGTATTTTTCAACTACATAAGGCAAGGTATGTCATTGTGACAACTGACTTGATATATTTACCTTACATATATGCATTACAAATTCAATTTAATGCATATGGCTATGAATGCTGGCTAGTGCCTGACAGCAACATATTCAAAAATCTAAAAAATCATTTTGATTGAGTTTATTACTTAAAGGTTTTTGAAACATATCTTTTGGATCATGATTGGAGTCTCAATGCTGGGAATTGGTTATGGCTTTCAGCAAGTGCATTTTTTCAAGCTTACTTCAGGATCTATAGTCCAGTTGTATTTGGTAAAAAGACAGACCCCAATGGAGATTTTATAAGGTACAGGTGTGCATTATGCCAATGGAACCACTGGCACTGAATGGCACTAACTTGTCCACTAGTATAGTACTGTCTGTGTTTTAAGATTGAAAATTAGTTGAGTGATTCAGAAATTTTTTATATTGTAGAAAATATCTTCCGTGTCTTGCAAAGTATCCCAGAGAATATATATTTGAGCCATGGCAGGCTCCACTGGCAGTTCAAAAAAAATGTGCATGCATTGTTGGAAAAGATTATCCTCGACCAATAGTCAACCATGATCTTGTAAGACCAAGAAATATTGAACGCATGAAGCTTGCATGAAAAGAAAAATATGCCAGTGAAACTTCAAATAAAAAAGGTTGGCATTCATCTAATAATTTTTAAACATTGATTATAGGGCTGCATTCTTCATTTCTGAAAATGTTCTTCTGATTCGACTTCGTCCAATCCATTACATTGAAACGATCAAGTACTTATTGTTTCAAAATAATTAATGAAACTAATCAATTTAAGATATCTTCATTTTAACAGAAAGAACCTCTCCTGGAAAACGAAGTAAAAATAGTAAGGAGTTCATTTCCAAAAAGCGAAAACAAACGAAGATAACGTCTCAACTAAATGTTAAAAAAGAAGGTGAAAGTAGTTAATAAAGGCGATGATCTAAGATCAAAAAAGGTTATGCTGCATCAGAAAATTCTAAAACGATTGTCTGTATTTTTTATTTATTCGTTCAACAAACTTTTAAGGGGTAGTTTTATTCATAAAGACTTCCTCTTTAACAATAGTATTTGATTACACCGTGCAGAAAAGCAAATCTTAACAGTATCAAATACACACGAAAGACCATATATTGGCTAATATTGAGAGCTATTCTTCTGTAGTCTCATCTTTCTATGAAAAGTTCGTATTGCTATTAAATGACAGCATGAGTGAGTGTGGCTCACCCATCCAAGCGTTCCTTTATAAATCTTGGTTTCAATGGAAATTTGCCAGTTTTGCAACTTTTTTGCACTCTAAAAACTTGCACGCCAAAAATACTCAAAACTAACACTATCAATTATAGTTTTTTTCTACGTAATGTGTTTTCACATCAACACAAGGAAACCACGAAATACATACAAAGACCTGGTTGCAATGAAACTACATCAACCAAAGTAGGGTTGAAATATTTTATAGATTTTACTATTTGTCAAAGCTAATCACTTTCCCACCAGTTAAAGCGGCACTTTGTGGTACGTTTTAAGGTTCTTCATTGCTTTGGGAATTTTTTTTGGATATAGCATACGTAGTATAGTAATTTCTTACTCGTTAGTGTATCCTTGTGAGATCTTCTACCAGCTTCACAAGATCTTCAACATTAGCTTGTTGTTTCATTCCTTCCACCTCCATCTAAACAATGTGACATCGTTTCACATTTACATGTACATAACATGTCGTCATTGTAAGTGTTTAAACATTGTATGAATGAATATATAACATTGCCTTACATACATGTATATAAAACTGGAAAGTAGTGTTGGTGTTTTTCTAATCACTTTCACGGTGATGACATGCGTACTGACAATCAACTTTAAACGGCATAGAGAGCATGCGCATTTACCTGCAGGTTGGATGCTACTTCTTCCATTTGAGCACGAGGAAGATCCAGAAAACTTTCCACCAAATCGCCATCAATAAACCCTTTCGATTCTTCCGTTTTACGCTCGGTGGAAAATGATCGCCAGCTTTTTTTAGGAGTAAAGCAAAACTATCTCAGAAGCATAATTAACGTGATTATTAAAAGAACAAGAGAATGCTTAGAAAAATAATACGTGTAGCTCACGTACTGTATTATATTATATATTATAATATTCCACGCAATTATATTGTTTAACAAAACTAAAAAATTAACCTTAGCTTAGCTTTATTAATTAAAAAAGGATACAATGAATGGTCTATTTTTCCAACACTTTTGATTACTTTATTCATTTGAACTTGTAATTGAAGAAGAAATTCATATAACTTTTGCGATATCTGCCCAATAATACCTGGAAAAATCAACATACGCGTGACGTCATTATGGAACAAAAAACTAAATTACAAAAGATTTTCGTTGTTTGTACATCGCGTAAAACTTAACTGGTAAATGCGCAAAGTGATTGCATGACTGCATCAAAATCAACAAGAAAACAAAACAAAAACAAATCAATTTCTACCACAAATAAGTAACGTTTATAACCTAGATTACTTCTGTATGTTCTGTTGAGTAAAACCACCAACAACATGAAGTAATACATAAATAAATAAATATGTAGCACACTCACCGATGGATCCTGAAATCGAACCATAAATAACAGTCCCCTGAAATGGATTGGATGTTTCTCCCAGTTGTTCCATAACCAGAGAGCCTGAATTGTAAATACAGTCATTGTTATTTAATCATTCAACTTGTACGAGTGTCGAGAAAAAAGGTATAACACAATGCCTTACCATGTCTAAATACATTAACACTTTCTCCTAAATGATATTTTCCAACAACTGACAAGGTTCCATGTTCATCTTCAGTTGAGCAACCACTATCTTTCTGAACGGTAAACAAATTGAACGAACTTTCGCTTCCAAGAAATGTTTCGTCGTCTAGTATTTCAATTGCCATCATCCAATTTGGATTGTGGTCTACTGCGATCTGTGAATTAAATTATAACAAAGCTGTCAAATGACCCCGGCAACGCACACTAACCATGAATTGCCAGTTTCAAATATTATTTACCTCTTCTAACGATCCTTCAACAGGTTTGTAAAGTAATAACTTCACAGAACGCATCAAATCACCAATCTATATGGAAATATAGGAATAAAACTGTAAAAATGTATGTTTACACATTTACGTAAAAAATGAAAAATCATTATGAAAAGTTCTTTGACAGTAATTTGAATCTAACTTCTTGTTATGAAAGAAATTCTTACCAACACAAAATCTCCTTTACATTTAATATATAACGCTAGAACATTATCATGAAAACTGCATTCAACTTTTAGTTCTCCGTTAGTTGTCCATTCAAATACACTGACCTATGAAAAATTCAGTGCAGGAAAAGTGAGTTTTCAAATGAATATTACATTTAAACAGAACGTACAAAGTGCAGATACATACATACCGTGCTGTTTATACCAGCAACAATCTTATCGTTAAATTCTACCAAAGCATAAACTGCACCCTTAACATCCCTTTCGGCAATTAAAGACAATTTTCCTTTAAGAAAATCAAAGGATTTCTGTTATTGCAACAAATTATAATAAATTATCTTTTGAATAACGATTAGAGAATAAGTAGTTGAGCAGTGGCGTGTGCTGCCTTGCGAACGCAGAGAGGATTATGGGGGTCGAATTTGGGTTGGAAAAATGCATTTGAAATCATAAAGTTAGTTTTATTATCTCTCAAAGTCAAGGAAATGACCATTTAGAGATTCATACGTATTTTATAAACTCTCCTGTGGATCATGCCCTCGGACACCCCTAGCGTAATTTGAACCAACAGTGCCTCGGCTACGGCCTTAGTTTCTAAACAGTCAATATTTCTGAGGCACGTTTTTATAAAAAAGCAACTTCCCCCTCCCCCCCAAAACGTAATATGACTAAACGACGAGAAAATCGTTGGATATGAACTTTTCCACCAACCATCATCCAGTTGAAACAAGATCAAGCGACCAGTTTTTGGTTCATCTTCATCGGGAAGAACAAATGCAGTGCCAAGACAATAATATTTCTGTTGATCATTCGTCAATGAACATGATATCAAACTGAGAGGAATTTCCGTGTCTCTTAGATGGAAAGAGTGCGTCACTAAAAACGAGTAGGCAACAATAAACTTAGATGGAAAGAGTGCGTCACTAAAAACGAGTAGGCAACACTAAACTTAGATGGAAAGAGTGCGTCACTAAAAACGAGTAGGCAACAATAAACTTAGATGGAAAGAGTGCGTCACTAAAAACGAGTAGGCAACAATAAACTTAGATGGAAAGAGTGCGTCACTAAAAACGAGTAGGCAACAATGAACTTAGATGGATAGAGTGCGTCACTTAAAACGAGTAGGCAACACTTAACTTGAATTTGCTATGGAAAGCCATCAAGCTGCAGTTGCACCCCTGGCCTAAGTTGAATAACGGTGTAAATACCTTCAAACGTGTGTTGATCAACGATCAAAAAACTCCCGCACTCCACCTCGTTTCCAAACGTGATTCCATCAGGTGTAGGTGGTCCTCTATCACCACAGCTTACATTCTTGGTAATATTATGCGCAGTAAGACTGGCACTGTTTCGTAATGGTCTTGATTCAACGCTGAGTGGATCTTGTGTTTCTATTCTAACTGATGCAACACCAAAGGTTTGTGTACTTTCTTGATAAGCAATTTTACTAAAAAAGATCAATCATGTCGTAAGACGATAAGACATACCCTGGGCATGCGCAGGGACCAATATTTCGAGTTCGTTGTCATGGCAATGACCAACTGAATCTATTTACATCGATTTCGGAGTAATTTGCGGTAAATAGCTCACTTACGTAGTAGCAAATTGTGAGAGAAATCATCTGAGCGTGCGTAGTTCGCTCGAGCATGCTCAGTGATCAATTTTTCGAGTTGATAGTCATGGCAACGACAAACTGAATCTATTTGCACGGTTTAGGGAGTAGTTTATCTCTTGGTCACAAATTTAAGAGAAATTATCTAAGCATGCGCAGTTCGTGTGATGGACTAAAGCTTGCTGATCATTGTTGCCAATGGATACCCAAGTAGGATAGCGTGGTAGAAACCGAAATCTTCCATCGAAACATGCAAAGATCTCGTGCCCTTTCTGTCCCAGAGTATCGGGAAGCACCGACCGAAAACAGGATTTTTTGGTTTTAAAATTTTTCTATTGTATACAAGAATTCTTCTCATAAAATAAACTATAATATTGTTGTTTATGAATTTTTAATTTGTTCGTCGTCGTATTACTAATTGATTAATACATTTAATGTTATTCTTTTTAAAACGAAACCGAATTTAACACAGAAATCGAATCCACCGAGTTTTTTTTCCGTCCAAAAAAAACCGAATCCAAATGGTGGAATCTGACATTGCACAGCTCTACTATGTGCCACTTACATTACACCACTAATCCAAAAATTCTAACACTACCCACTATTCATTCCACTCCAGTATTGGAAGAACTGCATTGGATGCTTACCGTGGGGACTCAAAAAGTGGCACTGAGCGAATGTGAAGTTTTTGTATTTCATCAATCGTTCCAATTGTCAAAGAATTTGAATTGGAGAGCGCCAAACTAAAAATATAGATAAAAATATGGAAGCGCAGACAAAACCATAAACTTTTTCGTCGGGAATATACTTACGTACAAGAGACAAAGTTCTCATTAGTTGCTGAAACTTTCGAACAAAAACATCACATTGTACAATACGTACTTCAAAAGGACGACTTACCTTTGAGGATAACCTTTGGTATTGAGCGGACACATGCAACCAACTTCCTAATAAAATTACGTAACTTAAATATTAAAATAAATATTTTACTTTATTGAGGGCAAAGGTGTATAACAACTAGCGTTGGATAGAAGTACGCAGATTCAAGTTATGCATACGACAACATTTAATTTGTAATTTGTATGTTGTCTTCTTACCTTAAGATTAACATTGGAAAAGACCAATTTGTGATTGCTGGAGTATATAACTGTAGGACGGTCAGAACAAGCAAAAACATTTACAGTTGAAAGGGAACGAAATGTTTTAAGAATAGCTGCTTGAGTTCCAAGAGTAATTTTCTTTTCTCTGAGAGACAACCTGTATATAACATTGAAAAAAGCAACTGAGAAACAAAAAAAATACTCCATCCCTCATTCTTTCCTACATAAGAACACGACTGAAAATAATTGACCTTGTTATGAAAGTTCTAATGTACCGTAATGTCAGATCCCAAGCGGCTTTTGACGTAAGTATGAACACCTACCAGAGTTATCCATAATGAAATAAAAGAACGTTCCATCTCCAAGAGCACAAAGTAAGTATTTCACTCCCTCAAATACAGCTGTCAATACAGACCGAGGAATGATATCTGAAAAGGTATTCGACGATTAAGTGAATTTCTGTATAAGACACAATATTCAGCCTGAATAGAAAGGTTAACATCCACTAACCTCCACCCAAATTTTCAATACATAATTGATTCAAGCTTGGAAGTTGAAGAACTCGAATAGAAATATCTATCCACAAACCAACGACTACTATTTTAGATTTTTCTTCTGATTTTTCTACAACACAAAGTGGGATGAATTACAACTAAAGCAACTCAAGCTTATAATTTTTTACTTCTATTCATCGGTTTGAGTTGAAATGTTGCAGTGACTTACGAGGAATAGAAATATCCATACAAGCAACTTCTTGATCTAACGTCGTCGTACTATGGATAAAACAACAGAAGTTCACAAAAAAACAGCACTTTGTTACAGACAATTATAATTTCATAATCAACATATTAGAAAATTTCACGTATTGAAAATGGTGAACGAGACACCATTTGTCATAAATGTAACTTATATGTAGCATATTACAATATTACAATCGTACAAGTAAAAAGATGTAATTATCGATTGAACAGGGCTCAAAATAACAGCCAGCAGGCCGCAATTTGATGCGTGGTAAAACGTCACCACGAGAATCTACCTGTAGTGTCAAAATTTTTTTATATGTTTTACGTACGGTCAAAACAGACTTCAACCGAGCTTAACTGAAGTTGACCACTCATCTCAACCAGACACATTTTAGTCAATAATTGAGACCTGCAGACTTATAGAGCTAGCATGCATATACACATACGATTGCATACAAAGAATTTCGTTTTTTTCATTAGTAACATATATTGAACACATTAATTGGTCTCCAACCAAACACAAACACAGACTCATTTAGGCACTACTAAATGGGATACTTGCAACAAAAAATACATTATTTCATATGTATGTTGTTATGTAGCAGAACCACTGACAATGAGCAGTCGTTCTGGGATTTAAACAACAATATTCACTGTTCCCTCGTAGATTTAAAACAATTTGCATCGTCCACAGTTAAGGTGCAAACTGGCAGTTCGAGGGGATTAAAAACTTTTGATGTATTGTTCTTACAACAGGCGAGAAAATCCAAAAGAATATTCGTGACAATACCTGATTTCATTGATATTTTCCTCTTGAAATTCGAGATAAAACAAATCTTTCCAACAGCAACAACGATTTGTTCCATGTTACACGAAATCACGCAAATCGTCTTGTTGTTTGGAGGACGCCATTCACTGGGAGAAAATGCGGCATAAAACGTTGGTCTTAACTATCAAGTATATGCATCCAGAAAAAAAAAACATGCTAAAACACACCAACCAAATTAGTTTTAGAGATTCACAGCTTACTACACGAATTGAGCTTGATGTCACCTATAAAAATACAAACTCATATTAGCTCATTATGCTGGTAGTCATCCTTCAGAAGGTACGTAAAATGCTTGCCTGAACAATTTTTTTCCCACAGATATTTCCACTAAAATATGTCTGTTCATCACCAGCAAATCCATCGATTTCCGTTTCCTCTACTTCTTCATCACTCAATGTTAAAACTCTACAGGTAAAATTCTTGTCAATTTGTTTGGTAAAATATGTTAAGCCATGCTTAACGGTTCAATGTTATTACCGTGTTTCACCAACAAATGATAAAATCAATGTGTCATCATAATCAGAGTCTGGATCAGATATCTTTAAAGCCCACATACCTAGTTGTATATTATTCATAAGTTAAGATTAATCACAAACAAGTCCATCATAACAACATTTAGAAACTGTGATGATTTCATAAAATTTGCATTTTGCAATAGATTTGCATACCCCTAATTCCAGGAAGATCAATGGTTGCAATCTCGTGAATTCCAATTCCATTTCGAATGATTTTCAATGAGCCTTCTTTACTTGCCCCAGAACACGTAACAAGCTGCAAGAGATCAAACTCCAATCAAGAATACAAATTTTTTAACAAACATTCCGGTGATAAAGTAGCTACTTTCATGTAGCCTGCAAACATTTCAATATGCACATTTTCAGTGTTGGAACTGGCATTATACACCTGGTCCTGTAAGGGAATAGGCACTACATGCTTGGCCTTGTGATAGAACCGGCACTACACACTTGCCATGTGAGGGAACTGGCACTATGCACCTGGCTTTGTGAGGGAAATGGCACTATCCACCTGGCCTTGTAAGGGAACTGGCACTACACACCTAGCCTTATGAGGGAACTGGCACTTCACACCTAGCCTTGTAAGGGAACTGGCACTTCACACCTGGCCTTGTGAGGGAACTGGTACTACACACCTGGCCTTGTCCTTGTCTTTCCAAGTCAACAACAGCCATATCAATGATTGGACCAAGATTTGTAAAAGAGTCCATCACTTGAACATAACTGCCATGTTTATCAGCTTTTGTAGTCAACTGAATCAAAATTTAGAACATTTTACAATTCAAACATGTAAATATTACGTAGTGTAGAGCACAATAAAATAAGTACAACTTCCATAACATTCCTACAACAATCATACAATCCCTATTAAACTTTGTTGCACAAATGTTACCTTAACCAACTGTGAGTCACCTAAAGCAGAGCCAACAAAAACAACGCCATTATCCAAATACCTCAAACAATGAGGAACAGATATCTAAACACAAGTTATATGTAAGTGTTTTTCAGCATTAACTTTGCATGGATTATATAATATGTAGCTTAGTTCAGGGTACAGATACAGTACCGTTAGCGTATTTGTTAACATAATTTTGCGTATCATACGGGTTTCATACATGTACCGTATGTTAACAAATACGCAAGCGGTACTGTATGATAGCAATGCAATGCAATAACAAATCCATCGAGCCAAATAATCTATACATTTGCAGCATTTACAGACATTAGAATGAACTTCAGCTATAGTAATTACTATAGAAATAAATAAGATACCTCTCCTAGTGTCTCAAGCATGATATCTTTGACAGCCATAACTCCATTAACTTCATGTTGCTCAAGTAAAAGCATATACAACATGCCCTCAAAATCACCCAATAAATATCGCGAGCCATTTGCATCAATTTGACCATAGCATACAGTAGTACTTTGCTAAAGTATGCAAAAACTTTGTTGAGTATTATGGTAATACATATATTCAATCATTCACAAAATATGAAAACAACAAGTTTACAACAGCTAGAGATAATGTTTAATTAGGTAATATACAGGAAAAATAATTGGGCAATAGGTAACTTGTTTTCAAATTTTAAAAATGAAGCTTACTTTCAAAGATGCTGGTGCTATAGCATGATATTGCTGCCCATTGTGATAGGTTATTGATTCTTGACCAACAATTATCACACCACCAAGAGGTTTAGGAACTAAACAATAATATTTAGTTAGTTGAAATAATTAGTTCCTGATTCATAATAATAAATATGATGAATGAAATTGAAACACATGCATGATGTGTTGTACAAGTTGATGTTTATAAACTTTGACAATCTCTTCATAATGTATTCCATGATTCTAGTAACTTTTCTCTTTAGAATGTTCATCCTAGTTTTATACCAGCTATAAGTATTGATGCTTCAACTTCAATATCTTCCTGTTGCCAAGGAATGTTAGAAAACTCTTTATCTTTCAATGATACTTCAGCAGTTTTCACATGGCGACCATGATTATCCTAAAAACACACAACACAAATAGCAATACAACACATATAAGAAGAAAAATTTACTGTTTATACAAACCTCATAAATAAAAGCAACAGTAGGATTAGCACAACCATGAAGAAAATTGATATCAATGACATGGAGTTCTTCAAATCTAGAAGAGAGTAATTTTTCCATTAAAGCTGTTTTTGCTAACCATTCTTATGTTGTTCTTCAAACACATTTGTCTATTCACAAAATATGCAATTTTCCCAAATGCCCAAGTAAAATTTCACCTTATATTAAAAGCTTTCAATTCTTTGGATGAATCCAATTCTAGCAAAATAACTTTAAATAAACCATCATAAAGACGTAAACCAATGATACGACACTCAGGATCAATAATTGCCATCAATCCAGTGTCTGAAGGTCTACCAATTTTATCCTGAAAAAAAATCACATATTTAGTACTCTCAGAATTTTTTATGTCTCTGTAAGTCTTGCTTATTCAATAATCTGTACCTGTACATCACCATAAGCTCTAGTGATAATGTCACCAGAGTCTGGTTTATAACTAAGAATTAGTGCTTTATATCTCCATGTTAAAATAAACAGAAGATCTTGCTGCTCGCCCTAGGAAGACAATGAATCATATCAGACACTTAACTTGTAAGTAGGAATTCTGTTTACAGACGTCAAATTTTGGAAGCAGAAAAAAAACGATTATGAAGGATGCCAACCACTTCGTATTGGTGAAGGCTTGAACACGCTAAGTAATTATTATAAAATATTAACTCTCAACCTTGGGACGAAAAAGATGCATTCTTGCGATTTTCCCATAAATGCCGACATCAAGTAATGGTCTTAGTCCTTCTGGGGTAACCAGATGGATTTCAAGACGTGTGTTCTTTGCAATCAAAAGGTTGAGATCTTTTTCTCCAGTAAAATTGCCAACAACAACAGCAGACACTGCTGTTGACTTTTGAGCCGTAACAACGTAATTATAAGCCATAACTTATTCTTTGGAAAATAATTTGGTGAACAATCTTACAAGCACACAGTTACATATTGCTTTACACAAATAACCTTCAGCTTGTTGTTATAAAATGGAAAGATAAATTACCTAAACAGATATATTGAACATGTGCATAATGTCATTATAAAGCCACGCGTGGATCTGCGTGATAGACAACGTAGACAACATATCAACAAATAAATGCCCTTGAGCATATGAGTGCGCAGTGCCCAGATGATAAAAAAGCGAAGTTATATTTTATGAAACAACAAATACTTTCTGTTTTCTAATTTGCATATTTCGCAACTCGTCACAACTTTACAACAGTTTTTATGATGCAGTGGTGGTGTGCTGGTTGTAAGAAAAAAATTTAAAAGAAGATGAAAAATCAATCATGAAAATACAATCACGTTTATATAAAATATGTCTTTGTTTTCATAGATCTAACAAGTATATTTATAAAAAAATTGAAATTTGTGAGTACAGGCCATACAGACGGTAGTAAGAATGAACTGCTAGTGTGTAAAATCAATGATCAAAGTATCTAGATTCGCTGCACAGTGTAAGGATTAGGCATTGGTGATTGAAAAGACAGCCTCTGTTGTGAATTAAGTGCCGCCAAGCCTTGACTAAATCTTTGTGAAGGAGAACTGAAATTTGTAGCTGGCACTACTCGAATTGTTCCACCAGTTTTGCTAGTTCTAACCTTTGAAAGAAGAACAAAGCGTAAAATTAACAGTAACGTATTTTGAAATATCAGAAAACATCAAAGAAAGATACTTTTTACAAACAGAATCAACAGTTGATTGAAATGCAAGGAAAGAAATGGAGTGAAACAAAATACTTATTTTTAGCACTTTTCAGTTATAGTAACAAGTATATATAAGCAACAACCTTAAAAATTTTCCACCAAAACATTCAACAAGTTCACCTTTGAAATTGGTGATTTCTTGCTTTTCCAGTCATCTTCTGGAGATTTCGGTTGCGCTCTAGACTGGGCGTTGTCTGTTTTTATACCATTCCCAACACGTGCAACACGCGTTTGAACAGCATGTGGATGAAGAGAATGATCCGTTGGTAAAGAAAATGGCATTCCTTCCATTTTTACAGCTTTTAATGCACTGAAGTTAGAAAAAGATTACAGCTAACAATAGACATCATTATCAAAATTGCACACGTAAAATCATTTGTGACCTTTCATTCAGCTCATCATATTGGGGTGAGTCCCCCTTTTCTCCTCGACTCGAGATTGGCTTTGGTTCTCCAAAAGGAAATGCAGCAGTGGTCCAGGCAATTGCCTCAAAAAAAGATCGGAATGTTAGGTTTGTAAATTATTAAAAACATGCCGTCATAATAAAAACAAAATAGTAAACTGAATGTGTAAAACAAACTTTTATTACAGACATGTTTCGGCAAACTTATGCCATTATCAGTGCGAATGAATGTGTAACAAAATGTGATACTTAAATATATAAATAGAGATAAACGACTTACAGTTAATTGTGCTTTTGCGTAAATATAAGAACAAAATATTTACAATAACAATAGGGATAGAGTCGAAACAGAATACGCTGATTTATGATGGTTACAAGTTTAAACAATAACGAAAGAAGAGAACGATAAAAACTCCTGGTTATGTTAAGGAGCTTCAATGAAGTATTTGTGCACAATCAGCTAGTGTAGTACTCAAGTGAGTTGCATAAAATAAATTTACAAACATTGTAAAAATAATCAGAGAGATTTGAGTCAAGTCCAAAATACCAAAGTGATAAGTCAAATGAGTCATAAACTTGAATGTTGAATAATGAGAATTAAGTGCATTTAACTTTAGTTTACTTTTAAAAAATTTATCGAACATAATCACGTGTGTTAATGTAAAAGCAAGTGTGTAATAATCCTGAACAGATTATTTTGTCATCTTCAGGACTTTATTATATAATAGGCGATGACTGTTACCTGTCCATTTGGTTTGCAAAGAATTGTCGTGCATTCTGAACCTGTTCCCCATTTATGTTGATCCTTCCACAGAAAATCGGATGGAGGATTGTGGTGGGCTAAACTTGATGCTGACCATACCTAAAAACATTCAACACTCAAATCTCACGTTTGATGCTGACCGTCATGATACAAGACATCTTATTTTAATCCTGTGGTTGAAGTTTCTTTGTCATTCTCAACACAAATACAATACATAGCAATATTAACCCTCCCTCCCCTTGGCAATAGTAACATCCCTCCGATAATTTTCTCATTAGTCACTCTTAAAAAAAATTTAACAAGATAAACACATCATTTTAAGTAGACCGTAAAATCAATTGTCAGAAGATAAAAAATGGAAACATGCAGTTATCATTGTTGATTAAATAGACATTGAAAAATACAAAACCGTAACGTGAGAATTTGCTTTAAGCTTAGTTCGTGGAGGAAATCTGAAAACTGTCACAGGGTTTCCAGACACGTTTTGTTGGATCATGTAGTTGCCAATTTCTTCATCCTAAAATCAAAAAATATGATAATGATAAAATCACAGGAAATATTGAAACATTTGAAAGTTTGACAAGGAAAATCATATAGTTGCAATAATTTCATTTAGGTTTCCTTCAGCTAAGTGATACGAAAGAACATGTTATTCAATTCTGAAAATATGGCAAAAATTATTAAAAGAATTGCATGTTCAGTTGCCTAAAGAGCATTTTTGGGCCACCAAGATAGACGTCAAGAAAAAAATCGGAGAAACATATTCAAACAAATGATTGGGCCATTAGCACGTCAACACTACACACATAAATCTATTCAAACAAAACCATGATTTAAAGGAAAAAAATACGGGCCAACATTGATAATATCGGTGAGAATGATGACCTAAAAGACTTACTTCAAATGTTGAGTTGTTAAAGAGACGAACATACTTTCCAGATGGATTGACTTCAAGGATCCTCACGTGACCCGTATGACTACAATTCATGAAATTCAAGGACAAATATTCAATGATTGATTAAACATCAAAGTTTATCCCAAGTAAAATATCAAGAATGCTTCAGTAAAAAGTAATTATTTAAGTGATTTAATGTATATACATGCAGTTGCTTTAGCTGACAGCTTCGAGAGGTTCAGTTTACAGAGAATAATACGAAGATAATGGTTCCAGTTTTGACCTACCTGGATGTTGGAGAGTAAAAGTCAACGTAGTTTGGAATATACGATATGTTGGAAGAAACTGGCAGGGATGTCGTGATTGGTCGAGTACCTAAAAATCATCAACGTATACACAACTGAATTTATGCGGTGAGTATGAACGAGCTAAGGGTCGTGGAAGGGGGCTTTCATTTGTAGCTAAAAAAAATAACATTTATAATAAAGACTTATGGTTACAAAACTAAAAAAATGATGTTAGTTTCACAGTTATTTTGCTTTTCCCATTGTTAAAATGAACGTACCTGGAGAAGTTTTTGGTCTCAACTTTTGCTGAACTTTAGTTTCTTTTGCAGTGTGAACATTTGGAAGGCTTGTTGAATTGCGTATTAAAGAGTTTGTCATCACTGGTTTTGGGGTCGTTAAAGATGCTGATAAAATAGATGACCGATATGTGTTGGTGGGTTTTTTGTTTGATAAAGATAATGCAAGTCTAGGAAAGAGAAAATAATTATTATTTTTTTGATGATGCATAAAAAACCTATAACAATGTGCAAAAATGAAAAGTCAAACCTTTTCTCTTCAGCTTCAAGGAGCGCGGTAAGTGAACCAAGTTCCAAGTCAATAGGTGCATGCATACTATAGGCCAAACCGAGTTCACGTATTTTACTCATCAACGCTTGTTGTACTTCTCTTAACTTGTTCTCAAGAGTCTTGATGGTATTTGTTGATTGATGACGTTCTAATTCAAGACTTTGAATCAAATTTCGGTTTTGGTTATCCAATGTTTGACACTAAATAAAAACAAATCAATTGTTTTACGCAAATACTAAAGTATCCTAAATTGCTAACGGACGTAAAAACATAACAAAATATAATAAATCTATGAGCTATCAGTAAAAACTTCAACAAAGCCAAAGTTATATGCATGGTTACCTTTGATTCAAGACCAACGCATTTGGTATTCATTTCATCCAGTGCTGCCTTGAGTTTGATGTTTTGTTCCAATGCTTCATTTAAATTTCTGGTTTCATCGGCCAACTCACTTTGCATTTGTGTTATCTATGATGACGGTTATTTTAAAACAATGTCCATCAGCTGTGAATCATAGGTGCATGATCGTAAATAAGCATATACAGACAAAACCTACGTGTGATTGATAGGAACACTCTGATTCATGTTTGTATCGTCGTAACTGTTCGTCAGAACGAAGTTTAAGTTGTGCTAACATTGTTGAGAGATTTTCATCTACAATATTATGTTCGTGTAGTCTTTCATCAGCAATAACTAAAGCCCTTTCCATCTCAGAAAGACGAAACCTGAAGTCCTGAAGTTCCTAAAGAGAGCAAATATTTTGGCACTCAAACGACGAACTCTTAGCAAGAGCATATCACAAAGCATGATACCTTTTGATGAATTTCCTCATCAAACCTCAGTTTGTCTCTTAGACTTTGTGCCGTGGCCTCTAGGTTTGACCTGACTGCACTTTCGTTATCTAAATCATGTTGTGCTTGAATTAAATGATTTGTGACGTTATGTCGGTCGCGTTTCGTATCCTCGTGTGAGTTCATGTGCTGTGCTGTTGTAACTCTTGCTTCTTGAAGTTGCACTTCCTTTTCAGCTAGTCTACGATACGTGTCTGCCAGCTCGTTTTCTACCTTTTTACGAAGATTTTTTTCTTCCGCCAGTCTGTATTAGACATTAGGTGATAAAAATATATAAAATTAAAATTTGTAACTATAACGATGTGCCATCCGTTTATCACCTGAATGCAATGGTGTCTCATGCACTTGGGAACAGGACTTGTATGTACTTGGTAATATATATGATGGTGGTTTGTATGATGTCGAAAAAAAAACACACAAAGAGAATAGCCAAGAGACGATGCTTTATATCATTTGCTAATTCAAAATGGACATGCTTTTTGCGTTAAAATCGTTACGGTCCAATTTATTGTCTGGCTTTCTTGTTGTTATAATATACTCAACTAAACACCGCAAATTCCTGTGTATGCTGGAACCTAGCTCTTCGGATTAAATTTTTTAAAAATAGTGCAATTGAAATATCCAATCTCTTACCAAGCTGCTCAATAAGCACCTGTTTTCGCTATCTACACAGTACCGTTTGGCAGCTGAGTAATGTTGGTATGTAATCTTGTAATTAAGAAACACAAATATCTTTTGATGAGAAAACCATTAATCCGATTCGATTACCATGCTGTTTCAGAGGATACGTAGATTCATAAGATTAAGCGAGGCAGCATTTTCATTGGTGAAAGGTTAAACTTCTCCATTTAATATATATTTCAAGGCAAATCGACACAATTACATTATAAAAACTAAAAACAAACCATAATTTCCCTATCTTCAGATACTGAGATTGTCATGTGAGAATAAAATAACACGTGAAAATGTTAAACAATACTCTTCAAACAAAGTATTACTTTTTAAGGGATAAATCTTTGTTTTCCAATCAATATATAATCTGTATTCTATGGATGACGATTATTTTTAGAAATCAGACAATTTTTTGGTTTATAGAAGAGTTATAATTTGGACGTCAAACCTTTCATTTAAGTCTGTTAATTGAGCTGCTTGCTTGGATGACATGATCTGAAAGGAGCTCTTCTCACGTAAGGTATCTTCCAACTGATTTCTTAGGTCTTCCAGTTGACGTTCGTACATCGTTTTTAGGGAAGAATTTCGTCTTCCAATATCTTTATTGTGCTGACAAAGTTAGCATTATCTGAATGTATGCTCTTCTCTCTCATTTCTCTCACTCGCGATAAGTAAGCGGCGAAACGGTCCGTAAGATTGTTAAGAGCATCTTTCTCTGCCCTTTGAGTGACTAACGGTGTCATTGAATGGGAGGAAATCATGCTGGATTTCGTAAGAACGCAAGCTAACAACTCAAAATGTTTGTAGCTAAATCAAGAAGTGAATTTTCAACATATAGCATAGGTACACACAGACCTGTCTAGAATACACATATTTCCATAGCAACAACCGAAGTAATTCAATATATATATATTTATATATTGTCGTAATTACTGTTGTCATGAGCGAGAAAGCAGGTATATATTATAGCCAGTGTATGAAGTACAAGATGTTCTTTATTGCCAATATCTGTGAAATTTTTTACATTCTAGGTAGGATTGAGTTAGGATAACACTAAAGTTAAGAACCTGCAAGCCTAACGCTGGACTTTTCAGAACTACGTCTTTGTAGAGCAATAACAGTATAACAACAGAATTTCTATGACCCAAAACAAAAACTAAGTTAGGAAGCAATTCGCAATTCAAAGCTCAAATATATATAATAACAACGTTCAACATTTCACTGTATTTAAGTTCTGATAAGATGGATTTATCAATATATGTCAGTTGAATAAATTATAACTAGCAACTTTAACTGAATAAACATAAACATAGTACACAGAATCTGCTTCTATCCTTGTTTTGGAAAATAATAATAGATGTATGTCCACAAAAATACAGTGAATTTTTTTTCGGGCTTTAATCTAAAAACGTAATCTTAGGGAACACGATTTCGTATACGACATAATTTTTTCTTGTAATGTGTTATGTCTAGGAACAGCTGTACAGCAAGGCCTACTGTCACAAATATATTTTTACGGAATTCACAAGATTCCTAAAACCCTAATGCCTATAAACTTGATCAATGTACAATAATTACAATATCGCATATATTATTTTCGAATCCTATTTTAAATGTTGATATCAACATAGAATCGTCATTTACGAATATTTCTTTAATGCATGTGCGTCGTTAAACTAAAATGGACGATTCGTCATCTTCGAGACCAAATGACAAAGTCATCATTTTTTTTCTTGTCATTATATTCTTTCTATCGTTTCCCTCTTCTTTCATTTCCAAAAGAGACATCGGCGAATTGTCAGTAAATTTAGCGTTATTTGGCGTAAATTTGGTGTAAATTTTATCATCACGTTTCAAAGCATTATAACTATAAAGTTTTGTTTCTTTACCTTTAGTTAGCACTGCAGCAGACTCTATAGCAGGATAAGTTTGTTCGTTCGAGCCAGAAACACCAGACCATGCGCGACTTTCTGTTTGAATAATTGAACTGTCATGTACAATGGACTTTCGTTTTAATAATTTTGAGTTTAAGATATCAAGTGTTGACTGAAGCAAGAGAAGTTGATTATCAAACATTTTCATTTGTTTGCAATTATATTCCAACTCCGCCTGTAATCTTTGTCTTGTATTTTTTTCCATAACTAAATACGCGTTGTGTTCTTTAGAAAGATCTACAATGGCCGCAGATTGCTTCTTCACAAGTATTCCCAATCTTGTTACATGATTCTCAATCATTTCGTCTTCAGTTAAACCATCCTCGACATCAGTATTATCATAAATCTCGATACTTGAATCAAGGAGGCTAATCCTTTTGGAAAGTTCTCGTATTCTGTTAGTATACAATAAATCTAAACTTGACTTGTTTGATCTGAACTTATCTTGACTCTCTTCCATGCTGCCATCACTGCTGATATTTGAGCTGCAACGCTGTTTCGTAAACAGTTTGTCAAGTTTGTATTCACAGGTATTAACATGAAAGGAATGCGCTATTTTATTCACAGGAGGTTTAATTAAAGTCGATATGTCTTCGTCCAACGTTGCATCTTCATTCACATCATACATGTATAACACGTATTAAACCAAATATCAAATTATGTTTGGAGTCTATCAGTTGTGATCGTCAACAACATTTAGCGCATACAAAGCAAAACTAAGCCAAATAATGAAACCAAGCTATGCTAGACGTTTATCTCTATGAAAAGACAATATAAAGTTCCAACGATATATGAAAATATTATACGTAGAATGAAACGTACTCGACGAAACAAGTACCGACGAATATTTCAATATGATAGATCATCGTGACGCATAGTAATAATCGGAATACAAGCAGGTATTTGTCATTTCCAGCATGATACTCACGGAAACTGTACAGGTTCGCGTACTCAGTGATTTGGGACGTATTTTCTCAAATAGTTTGGAAGTAAAATTATCACAACACAATTAATCATGAGCATTGAAAGACAGCTGTGCCTGAGGTCTCAAAAACACTAGAACATCTTTCAGCCATTGCACAGAATCTCCGAATCTTTTCAAGTTTTGAGAGGCCAAAAGTTTATTTTTCACTGAAGGCGCTACTTTACAGTCCCAGCTTCCTGAGTGAGTATTCATAAAATCACTCATTGACCATCTTCGTTCCTTTGGTAAATAATCCGCATACTGCTTCAAAAATTTTTTAATGAATTCATACCTCTCAATTATTGGAAACTGAAGAAACTTGTGTAGTTTTCGTAAACATATTGGACAAAGAAATGCCGGTTGGCTTTCAGCTTCATAAACATCATTGCTTTCATTCATAAGACAGCTATAAAACGTACAATGATGCATTCCAAGCAAATGGCACACTTCATGAGTGAGAACCTGTAATAACAGATCAAACATGATTTTCAAGTCAGGGACTTTAAAGTATTGATTTCCCTGAAACATTGACATTGACTTTCTTCGACAGATATTAAAACATTGTATTAAAATGAGTGAATATATTTTTCTAGAATCACAAGACAATGAAAACACTGCTAGAACTTGTAACGAAAGTGTTCGTAACACTTAATTGATATATATGTACCTTTGGTATCCTCCAAAAAGCTAAGTCATGAGCATTTCCACAATTTTCTGGTTGACTAACTGATGAAGGAGATGAAAGATTAAAACAAGACTTGGTTTTAGTAAACTGTTTCTCATTTGACTTCATTTGATTTTTAATAACATTCATATTAGCAATACTGGCATAGTGACCAAAACTAATAACAGCACATCCACTTAAAAAATCTGCCTCGCCCAAGACAAAGTTCATATCGGAACAAGGATATAGATCCAAACTTGACCACCCAATAATGCAGAATGCATCATTTGGTCGAATTTTCTTCAAGTATTCAATTATATCTTAAATTAAAAGCAAGACAATAATCAAAAGCCAGAAGCAAGAAAGAACCATAACACTAGAGACAAGAATAAAAACAAATTGTGGAAACTGAAGTATGGTTGTTTGCAATGAAAAAGCATGCATAACACAAGAATAGCAATTTAGATAAATATACACCCATAAATGCACATTTGGAACAACATGCCTAAGTGTAAACTAGGCATTGTTTTTTTATAATAATAAATTAATAAGTAAATATTAAAAAAATTCCACTCACCAGTAACCAACACCTGTCTCTTTCTTGTTTGTTTGTTGATTCTCATTGTAAAACCAAGACTTTCAATATTTTGGAAAGAAAGAAGTTTTACATCCATACCGTGAAAAAATAATGTCGTGTACTTTACAACGAACTTCATTAAACTTTTGCTGTTTTTACAGTCAAATTTTTTCTCCATTATGTCATCGGTGTTTCCCAAAGGTAAAATATACATTGCACGATTTCTAAACCGTCTTCTGAAACGCAAACTATGCAGTTTTTGAACATCACACATAACTTTCCATTGTGGATAAGTTTGACCAAGTAATCTTGGTGTGTGGGTTTCTTTCCGTTTTTGACATTTGCATGAGATACTTGCATAATCAAACGGTCGAAATAGTAAAGCAGTTTTTTTACATTTCTCACAAAATTGGAACTGGTTGCTAAGCGCAAATAATCTTTGAATTTCAGGAGAAAATTTCTTTATTTTACCAATAATTCCTCTCTGTTTGATCACCATCTTTCTAATTACATAGTCATAATCTCAAATACTTCGTGTAAGCGTATAGTAACATAGTACACCTCAATGGTACCACCCCTCTGGTATACCCTAGCTAACCCTAACCCCTTCCCTCCAATTTTTTCTGAACGATAAACAGTTCTCTGAACGATAAACAGTTCTCTGAACGGCATGGCTGAGAGACAGTGAATTCAGTAAGTTCAGGTACTATTCCATTCACCCCTCCTTTGCGATCAATTTCGTGGCGTATGGCCTGAAATTTTTAGTAATGTAATTTGTAAATCAATGTGTTAATATGATTTGCATATTGAATACCTTGCGTGAATACATGTTCATCATACAATTCACATGATAAAGTCAATGCGCAATAGAAACACTGTTTGTGGTGGGGGAGTCATCTACAACGGACTAAATCGAGTTTTATTCAACACGTATTCTCACTTTTCTTCGTCATCTTCTTTCTTTAGGATAATTTTCTTTGTTTTGGCTTGTTTTTGCTTTTTATTGTTAGGTGGAAGAATATCCTCTAAAAGAATAAAAAAATAAATATATATTAAAAATAGAAAATATTATTACAACGGGCCCACCCGGGAATTGAACCCGGGACCTCTCGCACCCTAAGCGAGAATCATACCACTAGACCAGCGGGCCACATGAATAATGAGAGAAATATTTAAATACATAATACTACAATAGTACAATGTCATTTACTAAAACATTGTCATGATTATACATCGAACATTGTATGATTTAAACTGTATATAGAAATTTAATACATGCAATAAACTTCATTTCAAGTAAGATTCAAAAAAGAGGTGCTCATGTTATTATAAATACATATTTATTGTACAATTAATAGGGGCGATGTTAGTGGCTCTGTGGAGGATGTCAAGTTGTGACACACACACACACACACACATTTTATGAAAATTGATCGGTACATTATTACAACGAGAACTAAAAAACATAGCTATCACGGTTTATTACGTCGAGTTCACTTTTCACTTACATTGTGAAACTAAGCTGACTATCCCTTCACCCTCCCCTCCCACCATTGCATTGGCATAATTAGAATTTCATCACATATCATTTTTAATGCAGGCTGATTGGCAGAACAAATGGTCATCTGTTTTTCATATCAAAACCATTTACAAACTAATTGGGTAGTTATCGTACCCAATTAAACTTTTTTCATTTCAGGCATACTCACTGTCATGATCGATCACTGGCCTATGAGAATACAAAACACCACCATGTCCCTTGTTTGGCGGTCGTTGTTCTGTAATTTGAAGCACATTATCATACTGTGATTGTCCAAACTGGTTTTGTATGTTTCCATAACCTGACGGATATTGACCATTATTGCCATAGGTGTATGACCCTTGGTATGGCCCTCCATCTTGTGCTTGTGCGTTAGTTGACATAACATACTGACGAACTTGAGATTTTTCAGTTGAAACCGACTTTTGTGTTTTGGAGCGTAATTTTATAGAATGTCCTAATAGTAATTCATTACATGTCGATATGTGAGAAAAATAAAGTTATTAAACTTAACTATATGAAGAATGCGTTCTACAATCCTAAGATCGTATTTATATGAAAGATAGTATTACCTTCACAGAGCCATACACAAATTAGCAAGAAAAACAGGAACATCAATGTTATGCTCATCCTTGGCATTTTTTCACTGAAAAGTTTTCATTTTAAAAAAATCATTAGTTTCGTACAATTAATAAAAAATGTTCAGTTCGTAATTTACAAATCACAGGTTGATTTTGCCAAAAGAAAGGATAAAAGGACAGTCTGAGACTCTAGTACTTTTCATGTAAGATAAGATATGTCTCCAATACTCGTGACAATAATTTGGCTCAATCCGGAAATATAGGAATCTGAATGAAATACCTGTATAAGATAATGAAAAAAGAGAAAAAGAAGCCTGATAATCTACATGAGTATTTTTTCAGAAACTCACTGAACCATGGTATTAATCTGTATTTATCTCATTGCTGCCACCTGTGTGTGCTTACAATGACTAACTTTAAATCTCTTTATGTCCGGCGGGTTTCACATTCGTTTTTCTTAGCGTTTCTATAACAAGAAAATAGAGAAAAAAAACTTACAACAAGCCATATGGTGATGATGATACAATTTGTATAACAGAAATAAAAAAAACCTTCATAGTTTGAAAATGATAAAGTGTAGTGATATCACATTAACCAGTTTTAAAGCAATGAAGACTGAACCTTTGCAATGAGCACTAAGCGTATTATACGAAAATACAAATTTACAAGTCTCCAAGTTCGTCGTCATGGCAAAGACAAACTGTATGTACTAGTACCGAATATGAAGTAATTAGTGTGCTCAGTTAAAGTTTTCAGTATACAATATTTTCATTTAGCATTTTCAAATCACGTAAAAAATTTCCTTCACATGACCAAATTACCGTCTATTTAAACGATGTATGTAATAAAAAGTTACCTTGACAACTGAAGCAAACCTTCCTTTTTCCAAGCATTTGCAACACCTCAAATTCATTCCGAACTCTTGAATTTTTCTCAGCGTAGCCGAAAGAAATGGCCATCAAATAAGGATACTCATCTCCATCATCACAGCCATTTTGATATCTCTCGTGAATGAACGTGAACTAATGCTTCTACAATCTCATAGAGAAGCAGCACTTTTCTTTGTTGGTCCTTGTGCTATCCCTCGTCAATAACATACTCCATCGGTATATACAAACTTTGCAGAGTACACTTTGAATCTTCTGGCAAATCTCTTTGGTGATTGCTCCTCTTCACTTTCGAAATCAGATTTCTCGTCCTAAAGGAAAGACGCTGGTAGTTTTTTTACATATCTTCAGCAACATCATGAACAATTCCTACTACTATATACCACGTGAGCCAACAACCTTCCAAACTGTATTTGTGATTCATCGATATTTCTTTTGAATATCTTCAGTAGACTCGATGTTATTAATGGATTGTTCTTGTATTGGAACCTCGTCCTTGCTAGAGCTTTTATCGTCGTCATCATGCTTGATTAGAATCATTCGTGTTTTTCATTGGTCAACGAGTCCTCATCCAATACGTTCAATTTCATCAAGCTATCTTCAACAAGGCGTCGCTGTTTCTCCTCTGTCATGCTTAATTTTGTTTCTCTGTTGGAAGTTTGGTTTTCAAGTATTTCTTCTACCTCAATCCACGAATTATAATATCTGTCGTAAATATTACAGCATTGTTTATCCACAAAATACGCAGATACTCAAGTTTATGGCTTAATAGAGAAAATGGTGCTGTATATCTCTGATGACTACTGGACCAGTGGACACTACCTCCCTCCACTGGCGCCACCTGGACAATGACCTGGACCACTGGGATGCCATCTCCCTCCACATCAAAATTTCTCAATGCAAATGTCTCGTTCATAGTTCAATATGGCCGCTAAACTTATATCTACAGATTGGAAAAGATTGCCATGTGAGATAGATCTTTTGAACTTAGGAATCACTCTTGCTTGTGGTCAAGCATTTAGATGGAAAAAAATAAACGATGATGAATGGCGAGGAGTGTTGTCTGGCAAGGTTTGGACTTTTAAGCAAAGTTCCGATGGCATATTTTACAAGTTTACCTGCAAATTAAAAGAGATTCCAAATCCCGCTCACGAAGCCATTCTTCACGAGTACTTTCATTTGAATATCGACGTTCGTCATCTCTATAAACGCTGGAGCAGTAGAGACATTAACTTCAAACGAGTGGCATCCTCGATTTCAGGCTTTAGACTACTTCGACAAGATCCAGTGGAAAATTTATTCAGCTTCATATGTTCATCCAACAACAATATTGAGCGTATTAGTTCTATGGTTGAGGCAATGTGTGTAAAATATGGCGATGTTATAGCTGAAGTTAATGATGTAGTTTATCATAAATTTCCATCAATTGATACTTTAGCCAAAGCAGAAGTTGAACAAGAGTTGAGAGAAATGAAGTTTGGGTACAGAGCAAAATATATTCACGAAACAGCAAAGGCCCTTCTGAAAAAATCGAATAAAAATTGGTTGCAATCGCTAAGAGATGTTCCTTATGAAGAGGCCCATGCAGGTGTATTGTCTTGAATTTTTAAAATGTTAAATGGCATTTTTTTATAAAGAATAAAGTTGATCATTTTCGTTGTAGCATTATGTGAATTGCCTGGTGTGGGAGCAAAGGTTGCTGATTGTGTTTGTCTCATGTCATTGGATAAAACTAATGCAATTCCTGTTGATACTCATGTCTGGCAAATATCTTGCCGAGATTATCAAATCCCTGAATTAAAGGGAGCAAAAACTCTTACAAAAAGTATTTATAAGGCAATTGGTAATTTGACAGCATTTTTATGGAATGTCAATACTTCATGTTATTGTTATTATACATTGTGTTTAAGATATTTTCCATTTTTATAGGAGATTACTTTCGTCAATTGTATGGAGAGCATGCTGGCTGGGCAAATTCGGTAGTAGTTACAAACATAATGAACAAATATGTTTAGCTAGGCATTGACTATTGTTTCTGTTTACTCTGTGAAGCTAATAACTAATGTCTGTTTGATGTGGTGATAGTAATTTTGTATCATTGTTTTGTAATTATTGTCATTAAACTTTTCATTAGGTTTTGTTTAGTGGCGACCTTAAGAAATTCAAAGATTCTCATTCAAAGGTTAGTAGAAATTGGCTAGACCATACTCTGTTATCAATATGGTCACGGTTAGTATCAATAAAATGATTTCTCGATGCAATGATTGCAAATGCACAATGTTAAACATTTTTTATGTGCCAAAAAAGCAATGTTTGAAGAATGTCAATTTTATGTTATGTAAATTATATTTCAAGAGACCAAAGACAGTTCACTGTCATTTAAACTCTTCTTTGTGATATTTTTTCTAAAACACAATGATAATATGTCATAAGGAACTGGCATAAAATTTGTCTTTCCTTTACAAACTGTATGCTGCACAAACTTTCTGATAAAAATTGATGTCAAAAGCACTCAGATTTAAATAGCTTAAAATTATGCGCTAGAATTCGTTTAACCTTTCTCTGTAATTTTAGAGTTCACCTGCAAAAAGTATGAAAAATAGTAAGGAATTAAAAAGAAAATCTGGGACTGAGAGAGTTTCTGTTTACTCTAAAGTCAAAAAGGAATGCAATAGTTGAAAATTGGTACATATTTATTGACGTTTTAAATCATTTCTAACTATTCTATTCAAAGTTTATCATGCATACATATGTTTCAACTTACTACCACTATGTTATGTAAAAAATTGTGTTGAATAAAAAAATTCTACATGTACTACGAAACAATGATGTAAAAAAGAGAGGAGTTCGTGTAGTTTCTCAAAAATAGCTTTCTGTCGTATTTCTGTTTGACTTTGGATGATCATCAAATTCTGGTGCATTATAATTGTATGGTGGAGGTGTTTCGTAACTTGCTGCATCATAACTGCCTCCGTTGCTTTTACCATAGGACGAATACATGCCTATTGCAGGCGAGCCGTGTTCAATTGAACGTCCGCGTCCAGAATCTTGTTCGTCTTTTTTCTTTCGTCGTCGGCATACGCATATTATTATGACACAGATTAACACTAAAATGATAATGGAGACACCGACGCAGATGAAAATAATGTGAAGATCAAAATCATCCGATTCTTCGCATGCCGGGAAGCCATCGTAGAATCCGTGTAACTGACATCTTGAGACTAACAGTACTTTTTGACAGTAAAATGCGAACGTGCTAACGGAAATTTTGCTATGAAGAATACTTCCTGAGTTGGTGACATCCATAAGACATGCTTGGTAATAAAATAATGTTTGAGACACCAAATATTTACCGCAGTAGTTGTAAAGATTTCCAGTATAAAATAATTTGTAACATTCGTTTTTGGCATTTCTTTCGAGCTCACTTGTTTCAAAGTTAATTTCATAATTACCAACGTTTGGATAAGGGGCACCGGATGGTTTCCAAAGTGGATTGCCATTTATAGGTTTCATTTCGTATACGATAACTTGATCAGCGGTGCTATGTTGTCGATAGTAATATCCTGATATCGTTGCATTGTCACGCAAAGCAAAAAGAGTACCATTTGTTGTCATACCATATCCCTCATCAAACCCACAAAATACAATTAATCCTTCAATGTATCCTTCTCTTTTCAGGGTCATAGTTTTTATTAAATCAACACTCTCACGAGCATATTGCCAAATAAGAAGTTCATCAACTTCTAGAATAAGCTCAGTTCCTAACAATACAGTCGTTCCATCGTTGCCAATGTACATTCCTTTATCTATATAAAAAGCAGCATTGATGTAGAAGCCATAATGAATATACGTTCGTTGATATCCTTCAACATAAGCCAACATGATCACCACTCGACCATCACTATTTCTCCAAGTCAGTGAGAGATGAACCCATTCAAGATTTTTTACTGTCAAGCCAGTGTTAATTACACGCTTTCCCCATTGAAGTACCACTTCCTTGTCGTACAACAACGTTAAATTACCATCTTGTTGTACGATGCTGTACAAAACACGCTTTCCTTCAAGAATTCCTTCAGCCGTCAAGTTAGCATTGGACCCAGACACTGACAACTTCACCCAAATCTCGATGCTTACTTGTGAGAGAATAGGATAGGAAAAGTTTACTATCAAAGATAGATAGCTGTTTCCAAAACCTAACATATATCCACCACCGGTCCTATATGAAGCAGCGTATTCGGTTATCATTCTTGTTTTCATTTTTCTGGTCATATTGTTAACATATTCATCATGAAGGCTCTGTGTTAAATTTCCAAATGCTTTGGTTGTTTCTGTATCGTTTACGTAAGACTCGTTGCTTAGATTTAAAATATCTCGTTCCCACTTTCCATTAGATGAGCCACAAAGTACTTGTTCACTGGTGTTTAGTCTTCTAGCTGTCTCCACCGCAACGGCCAATGTCTCGAAGTAAGCCAAAATTGTAAATGTTGTTTCATCTCCGTCCACTATCTCTAGTCGATTGCGATCCAACCAGCGGTACTTGGCTTCGCCAAGAGTTTGCCATTGTGTAGAATATCTGTTACAGAATTGAATAATTTCAGTAATTGAACATCTTATTGACATCTATATTTCAAAGATTTTCTTTGAATGAATACAATAGCACTCACAAAACATTAAACTTTCATGGTAATGGTGGTATTCTTATGCAAGTAAATATTTTCTAAAATTGTTATTAAAAACAATGAAATGGACTTTTTCTTACGTGTATATCATTTTACAAAATTGTTACACATATCGAACTCGTGTTTTAATTACTGTGGTCGTTAGGAAAAATAGACAATTAGAACTACGTGTTTAGTGAATACATTAATAAAATTCTCAAGCTTACCTTAAAGTAGTTTCTGATGTGAGAGTTGAACTGAGATTCGTGAATATCACTCCAGACGATCTCATGGAAATATTTAAAGCTTGAGAATTCAATGTTATTTCCTTAATTCTCTTGCATTTGACTGAGTTAGGGCAAGGAGCTTCCAAGATTTCCATTTCACTTGAACGAGACCGAAATGCAGTAAATGGTCCATTGATGTCTAAATGATAACTAGCTCGACTAAAGGTCGTCACGTGAGGATCGCCAAAGGCAACGCATATAGCTTTGTTGTTTAGAAAACTTGAATTGGAGAATTCTTTCTCTATACTGATTGAACAGTTCTTATTGTACCAACCTGAAGTACAAACTGAACATGGTATTTTGAGAGTTGTATGGTTACCAACATTTGTGGTTTCACCCCTCCATCTTGGATCACAAGTGCATGTACCATTTAGCGTGTTACATATCCCATTCTTACTGCACACATTCCATATCCCACCGGGACACAATCCATCACATGTAGCTCCCCAATATCCATGTTCGCACACGCAGACCAAGCTTCCATTCTTCATACCAGGCGAACCAAAAACACAAGAATGATTACATTTAGGTCCAATCCAGTTAGGGAAAGAAATTCCTGAAAAAAGATCGCAAAGCTCACGGGCTGGCCAATAGTTTAGATCGAGAACATCCTCACAGTAATCAGCAAACGCAATTACTGCCTCCAATGCCATAGAAATGTTGTTTGTTAGCGTAACCTCTGATACACAAACTCTGAAATAAAATCCGGCTGCAGCTGGTCCTAGAGATACACAATTATTGTAAAGGGGACCAGAGAGAATTACGGAGGTACAAAATTCTTCAGCAAGGGTCAGATTGGATGAAATATCGACTGTGAATTCTTCGTTCAATTTCTTAATCGGTATAGGAAGGTCGGAAAATTCCCAAGTTGGTTTATTAAAGAGAGGTAGATAAATCTTCTTGCCAGATACAAGATCAATTGAATTGTTTCCTTGCAATTGCTCAATTTTCCAAAGGTGCAGTAAGCCAGGTAGAGACGGGTAAGCATTAGTGTTCCAAAATCGTGTGATCAAATCAGGTGTTGACTGTCTCTTCCAAACACGAATTTCATCAATATAGCCGTTAAAGTCTGAGTTCGGTACTTCGAAAATGCTTTTTCCTCTCCATGATCCAATGTAGAGCCGACCTTACAACAAAAAATGCACGTCGTTAACAATTGAAATTAAAAAAAACACGAGCAATACTCATTCACCGAAATCTATCCCCAATTTACACCACCCCCTCCCACCTGTTTCACTAGCTTGACGAATTAAGGTTCACTTAACCGTAATGCCTTTAGTTTTAAATAAAAAGAAAATATCTGCGATTACAAATATAATAGAAAGAATTGCTTTTCTTTACCTTCACTCGTAACTATCTGTGAATTGAATTGATAAGTTCTAAGCAATGGGTATCCAAATGGCGTCGAGTAATCATGATAGTACATTTGAAGCACATATGATGATTTTATCCACACGATGGAAATTTGAGACCATCTTCCAGGTGTAAGTTTTATTCCAGTTTGATATGAAACAGATTTATACAAGACACGCATGTTTTGTTCGCTCGTGATAATCAAATAGTTATCATCCTTTCCGTAAGCAAGCAATGTTCCTCCATAACTGTTGATTTTAACAAATATTTCAATGGTAATGACATCATATTTACCAAGAAACAAGACATCCGAAACAATGTGCGTGTCCTTAAGGCGTAAGTTACACCAACTTCCCAAGATGTGTCTGAATTCGTTGAAATACTTGTGTTTGTAAATAAAAAAACTATCTGATTTGCCTACTGTGCCATTAGCGATTGCGTTTTGAAGAGAAACACTATCGGTTGTATTTTGATAAGACAGACGCTGTTTACATGCACCAAGTATTCCAGACGAGTCACGACATAGCAATGTTGGTAATCTCAGACGTATTGAAAGACTTTGGCCGACAGTCAGTAAGAAATGCATTCCATTCAGTCCAGTGATCTCATAACGGTTCAATGCAATTCTCGTCATGCGCACAGTTTCGCTGAAGATCGTAACATGATCCACTCTAATTGCTTTACCATTGATCCACACGAGTGGATAGAAACTCCTGACGTTGGTAACTGGAGCTCTTATTGAGACAGTCAGATAAAGATTAAAGCGTATGGATATAGCTGTTGTACATATTGATCTATAGATTTCATTAAACATGCAGGGAGTTTGACGAACTTGCACAACAAAGTTGTTAGAAATAGACCTAATGAGGTAGAATTCACCATGATATGGAAGATAGAATGAAACACCAAGGAAGGTTGTAAAATATCCCTGACCTATGATAGAAGCAAAAGAAAACTCTCTTTTTACGATGTATTGATTAGCAGCATATTGACAACGTTTACCAAACCAATTTGTACTACACACAGAGCACGTGACATCACCACGCCAATTCACATCACAAGTACATATACCATCAAGAGCATTACATACGCCATGTCCATTACAGGGATTGACGTGACCACCTGGACATACATTTGAGCAATCGTCTCCCCAGTAACCTTTGTAACATCGACATTTGTTCTTTTTTGTAGGATGTCTTTCTCCGAAGAAGCATGGTACGTCGCAATTATCGCCTATCCAATATGAGAACTTAATACCATTAAAGTGATTGCAGAGCTCTCGAGCAGGCCAGATAGATAATTTCAAAGATTTTTGGCAATAGTCAGAAAACTGCTCTACAATAAATACTGTTGACTGCAACTGTGATGTTCTTGATACGGTTTGAACGCAAGTCAAGTAATAAAACTGCATCACTGCTCCAAGACTTCTGCAATGAACATGTAGTGGTCCTTGATAGAACAGAGCATTACACCATTCTTCTGCCGTAGTTTGAAATGATACATTTGCAAAATGTTTTTCGAAAGGTTTGTCGACGTTACTTAGGTTTAATGCAATATCTGCGTCAGAAACAATCCATTTAGGTGGCGACCATACTTCTGGTAATAAAATCAGATGCTCATTGGTGATGGCATTGTGTACAAGATTTCCAGAGCCTTCGTTAAATTTCCATAATCCAGCAAGAGACGGTGTTCTGGGTAGTACGTTCATTCGCCAATTCTCCTGGGCAGTAACTGGATTAAACGCCCTATGCCACACTCGTAATTCATCAATGACTCCAGTAAAACCGTCTTGAATGCGAGCCTCTGTGTCGCCAGGCGAGGGTTCCCAATACCCGAAGGTCAAGATTCCCCCTGGCTTGAATGGATTGTCTGAAATGGAAAATCTTCTTCTCTGCGTAATACCATTTGCTGTAATCACATAGATCTCAACCAGATGGAGGTCTTTATGCCAGATGATTGTCAAGTGGTACCAAGTATTAGCATTAATGTAAATCTTGGTGTCTTTGGACCAGTCACTGCCAAACTCAATATGTAGGGTGCCACGGATAATTATTCCAAATGTTTTGTTTCGGGCATAGGACAACACAGTGCCGGTAGACAATGCTTTGAAAAGCACTTCTATCGTTAAGTCAGTATTATATGTAAATGTTTTGACAAAAACGCGAGAAATCACACTGTTTTTATTGAAATATAGAGAATATTTGGCAGCAGTAAATAATGTTCTTCTCAGATACAAATTGTCGACGACCGCAAACAAACTATCCTTTAAGTCAACTTCAAAAACTCTGACCAATTCTTTATTCAATATTCCTTGACTTACGTTGTTGATTCCAACACTCGAGTTTGTCAACGGTAGGTCGTTGTAAGGATCATTATCGCAATTACCCAGAATTCCACTTGCACTACAGTTGGATTTTCTCAGTTGTACATTCAGCGCAAGAGCGTGGCCAATCACTCGAATACTCAATAGAAATATCTCTTTATGCCTGATGTTAAACACTGAAGATGCGTTTCTCGTGATGATCAATTCAGAATTTCCGTAACCAAAAGTAGAAGACGCAACGACCGAAACTTTTGCATCGCTCACCCATATTATCGGCTGTTGTTCGTTTACATTTGGAGAATGAAATACCAGACGTGTTTGCGAAACTTGAACTGCTACGGCAACAATACACACACTTTGGAGACCGCAAGGTGCATGACGAACTTGAACTGTGATGTTACCATACATGTAAAGACGAGTTCTGAAGAGATAGTAATCCCCAACCACAGAGAGATGAAAAGCCAAGCCGTCAAACGTTATATAATGAGCACTGGTATCAATAACTGCATAAACGAACAACTGTACGGTAGTTTTTGTCACAAGAGCCAGTGAACAGTCCACTCCTTTCCAGTCTTGCGCACAAACACTACAATCACGAGTTCCACTCCAGTTTTCATCGCAATGACATTGTCCAGTTGATGAGTTACAGATTCCATGGTTATAACAGGGATGTAATGATCCACCAGGACACACATTCTCACACTCATCACCCCAATATCCACGCTTGCATATACATTTGATGGTAGAGGCTACGTAATCACGATTGTAACACCTAAATATAATGACGTTATTTAATTTGCATTCACGTAGGTAAAATTAAAACATTATTGATATTTTACAAACGGGAATGTACAACTTTTTTTGAGAGAAACATGTTTATTTTTTAAATAAATGATAAAACAATAAGTCCATATTAAATATTTTTTTTAATTTTGAATGATATTGTGACGTGTATATCATGAATCAAGTGGAAGTTTGCCCATGTTGACTAACAGCTATCTTTCTCTACCTCACTCGATATTTTTGAGTATAATTCGATAAATAGAAATATCAAACAAAATAGAAATTATACTATCGAGAAAAAACTTACTTTTTATTGCATTGTGTTCCATACCAAATAGGAAATTGTTTACCAGGGAATTTATTACACAGCAACTGTGCTGGCCATGAGCTCAAGGTAAGGACTGATTGGCAGTAATCTGAATAAGCGATTATTATTTCTAAAGAAGCTCCAATATCGTTTGTAGTCGTAATAATACTCACACAAGCCCTGAAATAATAAGTTGTTACAGCTAGTCCTAACGCGCTACATGAGGATTTTAAAGGATCTTGCAGGATAAGTTCGGTACAAAATGAATTAGCCACTTGTTCGTACGTGCTCTGAGGTAATGACGCGATAGCCGCTCCAGGTAGGGAAGATTTTAGTTCAAGTTCGGAATACACCCAGTTTGGACTTCGCCAGGGAGCCGTCTCTAAATTAAGAGCACTATTGTTCATTGCTTCGTCTGCGTATAATCCTTCCCCTTCGTCAAACTTCCAAAACCTAGCCAAGTTTATTGTATTCACCCTCACATTTCTCCACCATGCTTGACTCACGAGAGAAGGATGATAAGCCATTTTCCAGATTTTAAATTCATCGACGTATCCCGTAAAGTAATTGTGAAGTTGTAGACCTGAACTATCGAGAGATGGTTGCCAAGCACCGACAGCTAACACGCCACCAGGAGGGAAAATGTCATCACCAATAGTTAAGTCTTGCCTTGTCAGTTGTCCTTCCAGGTTAAATTGATAGAGCTGTAGAATATAAGCAGGTTTTCTAAATACCAAAATAATTTGACTCCAAACATTAAGATGAACTGCGATGTTGGTTTTGAACTGTTCGTCTCCCCAATATAGGTTAAAATGAGTGTTATTAGCAAAAAATACAAAAGTTTTTATTTTAGTATAAGAGAATATGACTCCGGCCTTTTCCAGCTTGATATAAAATTCTATAGAGATTTCATTGCCTTTGAACGGTTGATGAATGACTCCAGAAACGACGGCTGTATGATGGAACTGTAAAGCGTAGATAGTATTAGACTCTCTGTATTCACGATATGATTGATAACGATAAATGAATAAACTATCGCACTTATGCACTTCAACATTCTTTATCAATTTTCTTATTATCACGGCCGTGCTATTCTTAATATCATACGTATCTTTGAGATGGTTTTCATTTCTAGATGTCTGGTTGCTATAAGTACAATTACTGAGTGAACGGTCAGGAACTAAACTTGCCAAGAATGGTTTGTTACAAGATCCAAGGATACCATAAGAATCTTGGCAGATCATGCCAGAAACTTTTGCTATTAGGCTAAGGAAACGTCCTAGTACTCGAATAGATAATTGAAAAGAGGAGAATTGGAAAATGTAGACATCCGAGGAATCTTTTCGAAGATGAAATCCGTATTGGGCTGTTGTTACACTATTTCTGTCGATATCAAGGAAGGATCCATCAAGCCATATGACAGGAGAGCCATTATTAGTGTAAGGACCGTGAAATACTAAGGCATGAGCTGCTGTACGAAAAGCGATTGAATTCACGCATGATGAGTATCCATAGCAGTAGACGAGCCGGATTTGAATGTAAAAATAGAAATGTATAGAGTAAAAGAGATAATATTCTCCAATGATATTAAGATTAAAACTGTGACCATCAAGGGTTGCAAATAACGAAAGACCAAACATACCAGAAAACCGAGTGCCTCTGTTGATGATACTAACATCTAATATAGCCAATGAACAATCACTTCCCGTCCACTTTCTGTCACACGCAGAACACTCCAGGTTTCCGGACCACCCAGGATAACAATGCACCGACCTGATACGGGATCACATGTGCCATGGTTATGGCAAGGTGATTTACTTCCTCCTGGGCAGATCTGATCACAGGCCACACCCCAGTAACCGAAATTACATTTACATTTGTCACTATTCAGAATCGCTGGTTTTCCAAATATGCAAGGAACATTGCAGTTGTTGCCTATCCATTTAGGGAAGAACTCTCCGGGAAATTTATTGCATAATGATTGTGCAGGCCACAAGAGTAGATTAAGCGTTTCCATACAGTAGTCTGAATATAATAACACGCTTTCCAGACTGCTCGTATTTCGTCCAGTGTTGGATACTGTTTCAAAACACATATCGAAAAATTGTCCTTGTATTATGGATGGTAAACCTGAACAATAGTAGAACAGAGGACCATTGAAGAAAAGATGAGAACAAGTGTCGTTTGCTAACTGATTCAAAACATCATTTTGTGAGACAGGCAATATGGCAGCAGGTGAGATCGGCAGATCCGATGAATACCAGATGGGTTTATTCCACGGGTCACCAGGGAAATACAGATGATTCATTCCAACAAGATCATTAACGTATGTACCAACTCCCTCATTCAATTTCCATAGTCCACTCAGACCATCAATATCAGGTGTCAAATTTGCTAGCCAATGTTGCTGCAACAATGCATAGTCAAATACCCTCTTCCATATTCTAAATTCATCAATTTCGCCAACGAAGGTCGTATATGGTACAATTCCAAGCAAGCCATTGGGAGATGGCTGCCAACCACCTAACGCTATGATTCCTTCCGCTACGAAAGGATTTGAGACAACTTTAAAAGATTTACACAGCAACACACCTTGAGATGAAGTAAGACATACACTCATTTCAAGTTTTGAAGCCCAGAACATTACCGTAACCTGGTTCCATTGATTTGTCTCAACAATCCATGTTGTATCGTACATTTGAGTTCCAATAATCACTCTTAACGAGGAATAAGTTGATATATAAAACATTTCAAACGAAGTATACGAGAAAATAGGTCCACCACAAATTGCTGCGTTACAGTTCATTTTTATGACGAGCTCAATCGTGAATATTTTTCCAATAAAGAGGTTGACTATCGGTCTTGAGAATATTGCCGTATAGTTAAAGAACAGTGAAAAACCACCACCGAAAATACGTCCAGTCTCTTGCCGGTTTTTATCAGATGAAAAAAGTCGAGAAGATAGAGAGGAGATGCCAAACACTCTTTGAACAGTTACGTCAATGTTGCTCTCATTTAGTAAATCGTTTAATGATGGAAATGATGTATTACTAAAAGACGAGTTTTTGTTCACAGAAGCAGTACCAAGAAGACCACCTAAGCTTCTACTCAAACTTGACGACATTTTTAACCCAACAGTCACGTGCTTTCCATTTGTGTTTACTCGTACTCTAAGCTTAGAACCATAATTAACTTCGACTTCTTGAGGTGATGGTAAAGTGATGTTTATGCCAGATAATTGTGTATTGACTAGAGCACGACTTGTTCCATTAATACTAATGACCAGATCGTTTCCGGTTTGGTATGGTGCATGTATGCTGATAATTGTGGAATCCAAAGACAAACCAACTGCAGTGAGGCATAAAGATTTTCCATTATAACATGGCACTTGACGAACTTGGGCTTCGATTCTTTTTCCTTGCAAGATTTTAAACTCGCCAGCAACCTTTAAACGGAACGCAATTCCTTGGCCTGTGATTAAAATACCACCAGATCCTACGATAGCCGTCACAAATTCAATTGGTTGAAGAATGGTCTTTGCAATAGCACAATCGTTTCCGTCCCAGCCTAATGTGCAATTGCTGCAGTCAGAACTGCCTTGCCAATTCCGGTCACATATACATATACCAGTGGTTTGCTCACATTTACCGCGATTGTTGCAGGGTCTAGATGCACCTCCAGGACATTCTTGCGAACATTTGGTACCCCAGTATCCATCATCACATTGGCAGGTGTTGTTTTTTGCGACACCAAATAAACAAATTACGTCACAAGCATCACCTGACCAATCGTCGTAACGCTGATCAGTGAAGACATTACACAGATCACTTCCGGGCAAATTTGTAAGATTTCGAGCAGCTTGGCATTGGTTGGCATATGAAGTTACTGAATCTTTGGCTCCATCCCTCAATCCACTGGTCTGTACATCAGTTAAGCATGCCTGGTAAGTAAAACTATCTTCGCCATTTGTTGGTCCACACCAGTCGTTCAAAGATTTTGAACTATATATTCTCCTGCACAGTGATTTAGTTTCATTATCAGCTCCCCCAGTATTATTGGTAACACCAGATTGCAATGTTATAAAAACGTCAGATGCTACCCAAGCTGGAGATCTCCACGGTGGTCTGGGAAGAACAAAATGTAAAGAACCTACAAGATCTCTGGCAATCCATCCCTTACCTTCATTAAACTTCCATAGTCCTAGTAATCCCTTCGCAGTGGTAAGGATATTTTCATGTAAATTGTTAATGATTAATGCTGCATCAAATCGCATGTTCCACATAATAAGTTCATCAATCCAACCAATAAAGCCTCCAATAGAGATGTTAACTCCTACTGTAGCCTGCCAAAGACCAATGGCAAGTCTTCCCCGTGATTCAAATGCTCCCACTCCAATATTAAACACTTTGGTCACCAGCACATTCTGCGAAACTTGAATATATATCTCCAATATTCCACTGACTCGATGATAGACGAATGTACAGTAATTCCATGCTTCGATGTCTGGAGAAATGCCCATGTCAAAAACTTTTGAATCGAAGTGGATTTTCAACGTTCCGTTAATTCTGAAGGCAAAGTTATTGTTTAAAACAAAAGAGAATATTGTTCCAGTAGTATGTATGTCTTTGAATTTTAGATAAAATTGAATAGTGAGGAAATCTCCATGAAATACGTCCACAAATGGAGGCGTGATCAAAGATGTTTGTGAAAAAAAGAGACAAGTACCAGCTGCAGTAATGTTGTTTTCTTTAGCGACTGTCAAAATATCGACGAACGCACTTTTATTTTTGGGAATCAACCATGAAGTCATGTGACCATCAATGTTCGTTTGTGTGATCAGTGATTTGTTAAAGCTTTCTAAAAGTCCAGGAGATGTGCAATTTGTGCTGTTCAAAAGACCACAGCTACCAAACAATCCACAAGAATCGCGACAAAACGATCTATCCATATTTATTTCAACTCCAAAATATACCAGCCTGTCATAGAGTGTCATTAAAAAGCCTTCAGGTCCCTTTACTTGAAGTTTATTGCGCGAGTATGGACGATACACAAAACCAGATCCTATAACAATAACCTTGTTTTTGTCGACAAGGTTTCCATTAAAAGTGATTATAACTCCTGTACCCACCCTGCAGTAAATAGCCAATACACCAACTGACGTTCTCACGACTACACCGCGAGCCCTGACTCCAGTACCATACGGTACCTGCCGAAGCTGAATTCTGACATCAAGCCGTGCAGATATAATTGCATCAAACTCGCCGGTACCACGATACACCCAAGCTGTACCACCTAAACCAATGAAATTCCCGTTACCAGATATCGATACAGATGCTTTTCCGCCAGCGATGGAAACTCTTACAGCACTTAAAGAACAGTCAAGTCCATAATAACCGGCATTACATCGATCACACAACGTACCATACCAATTGTACGCACATGTACATAAACCAGTTGTTCGCGAACACACACCATTTCCATAGCAACGAGTATTGATACCACCGGGGCAAACACCGGAGCAAGTGGAGCCATAGAAACCCGCCAAACAAGTGCAGCGACCATTAGTGTTTCTTATTCCAAAGTTACACGCTCGGTCACATGAAGATCCAGACCATGGGATATGAGGAGACTGAAGAAATGATGGCTCATTACAGAGAGCATGAGATAGTGAAATGATTAATCCTAAAGAAACCTGACAATAATCTGAGTAAGCTACAACAATATCTACACCGGCCTCCACAACACCATTCAATGATGCTAGTGATATGCAAGCGCGATAGTAAACAGTTTGAACAGGCATTCCAAGTTGACTGCAGGTCTGGAAATACACCGAGGTGAGAATGTACGTTGAGCACCAATTTGTGACTTGTGTGGTTGATACAGGAGTCACGAGCGGTAAAATATCAATTGAAGCGGTACCATATACCCATTGAACCTTGTGATTGACGTTTTGAATGTATAAGTGGACCCCAGATTTTAAGTCTTTCACAATCATATTTCTTCCTTCGTTGAATTTCCACAATATTACCAAGTATCTCGAAGAATATTGAACGTTCACTTGCCATGATGACCTGACATCTGCACCTGACAACTGTTTATTCCAGATACGAACCTCGTCTATCCTTCCTTTAAAACCAGGTGATACAGATACAAGAGTACTACCACCTGGAATCCATTGTCCAATGGCAATCTTGCATCCACTTCTAAACATATATTTGAGAGAAAATCCAACTTTTACTGTCACTTGTCCTTGGTTGTTTATATGATAAAAGAAGATACGCCCAGTTGTGCGATGATATACTAGCGATATTTGATTCCAAACGTTCAAAGATGTCTTTATTCCTGAATAAAAAAAACGCAGAAAATGTTTTCGGAAGCTTTGCATAAAATATAGATTACAGTAATTACAGAAATATGGCAACAAACCTGTGCAATCAATTACATCATTTGTAATCAAGCAAAACTCTCCATTGATGAGAGAAATGGAGAAAATTGCTCCTTCACTGTATGTAAACAATGTTCCGTTGTCATGAAAACTGAAGTAAAGCATCTGAATTGTGACGTAATTACGTGTAAACAAATCACCAATAAGATTGGTTGTTATGCCAACACCATCAAACTGCAAAGCAAACTCCGATCCAGTTACGATAGTTAAGAAGTTCTTGAAACCAATTGCAGCTGAGAACAAGCTTCGGTCAGGCAAAACCCGAAAAAGTTTTTCAAATTGAGGAGATGAAGAATCATTGCGGTCATTACGGGGTATCGAGTCACAACTACCACCAAGTGCTATGGATGCATTACAGATCTCTTTGGGAGCAATAATAATATACTGTAAACCACTCTCAGCAATTCTTATTTTGACCATGATGTTTTTGATTTGTGAACGGAGCTCTAAGGTTACAGATGAAGTCTGAACTAAAGTGAATCTGCTCTCACCAATTGAAGTGGTAATGCCGTTGAGTTGAGTTCTTTTCTTGTTTAGCCAAAATATGGGATGATCTATGAGAGGAAACATAGCAAGTACGAAACATTAGAGTTAGCAGTGAAATAGAAAGAGAAATCAACTGAAAATTTACCTTTTTTATATGATTGAGATAGTCATGCACAGTTTTAAACTTAATTGGGTGTATTCATAAAATTAAGCAGTTACCTTCTCCTGGAACTGACGCTAGAATAACCAGTTCATCTTTGCCTTCGAGTAAAAATGCAAGACCATCAATACAACGAGATTGTCCGTTATAGCAAGGAACTTGACGAGCATGAATAATGATTTCAAAACTAACAAGGACTTTAAACTCCCCCGTAGAAAAGAATGTGAACCGAATTCCATCGAAAGTTTGGTAATTTCCTCCAGTTAAGCCAACTGAGGATGCGTTGCCATGGGTAGCTGACGCCACATTACAATCACTTCCTTCCCAGCCAAGAGAGCAACCTGTGCAATTTTCATTACCTTGCCAGTTGTAATCACATGAACATCTTCCTGTGACTGGACTACAAACACCTCTGCGGTTACATGGATTAAGAGCTCCTTCAGGGCACACAAATGAGCAGTTTTTACCCCAATATCCAGTGTCACACACACATATTTCAGATTCGACATGCCCAAATACACATGTGATGTTACAATGAACGCCCTTATGCACTCCTATGTATTGTTTGGGTAAGTCATTACAGTACTTATCCAAAGGCCAGGTCTTTAATTGAAGAATATTTTGACAATAATCGGCGTAATTGACTATTGATTGAAATGCTGAAGATATGGCATTCGAGGATTTAACATCGTTCAAGCAACTGGTGTAGTAATATTGACCATGAGCCAATCCCAAACGACTTCCACATTTACTCGCATGCAAATAATTCATGATAAATTTATTGCAAAGATCTTCGGCTTCTTTTTTCAAGGAGTTGTTTTTCCATATCAAATTATCAATTGAGATATTAGGTATTGTAGTACGGGCATAACTGAACACCCAGGATGGTCGAGCATTTATTTTTATAGGAAATGTGAAATCCGTCCACTGATAATATCATGTGCAATAGTACCCTCGCCTTCATCAAACAACCACAAAGATAACAATCCGGGAACTTTATACTTGATATAGCGATCTCGACTTTGTTTGACAAATTCCGGTTGAATAGTGATGTTCCATATTCGTAATTCATCAATGAGACCATAAAAAGGTTTTCTATTCACAATCGTAACACCACTACCAGTACTTTGCCAGTGACCAATGGAGAGTACTCCTCCACTTGTAAATATTTCATATGGAACCAGCAATATACGGTTATACATCACGCCATCTGCTTGCAAGGAATACACACGCATTATCCGAGTTGTTCTGCTGAATGTAATTGTAAGCCAGTACCATTGACCAAAGATCATACGTATCCCAGTGTCCAGTACGTTCTCACCAAACTGAATTTTTATCGTCTCGTCATTTATAATTCCAAATGTTGTTTGCGCAGCATAGGAAAGAATTGTTCCACCTCTTTTTTCAATTTTAACAAATAATTCACAAGTCACATCTTCACTGGTAGTAAAAGAGTCATAAATTGCTTGAGTTTCAATCGATGTTCCATTATATTGCAGACAGTATTCTGATATTGAAATTTCACGTTTTTCTTTTTCTTTATATACAAACATAGAATCTGGCGGTAGAACATTCCATTTCTGTACAAACGCTGAGGTAGATTCTCTTTCAGCATTTGTTGCTCTTTTACTTCGACGCAATTCGTTCGTTATAACAAAATCATTTTCAGTGTTGTTATCACATGACGAACACAGCCCAGAAGAATCCAAACAGGTTTTTACATCACTAAACAAACTAAAGCTGAAGTATTTTTCTTGCATTCTCACTTCAATAATTGGAATACTATCTTTTGTAACTTCAAATAACCCTGGTTGTTTTTGCCTGAATCTGTAACCACCCTTTATGGATTTTTCAATTGTGTAGTCTGTTTTATATTGATCAATATACAGTAGCGGGAGTCCCCTTTCTTCATATGATGCACGTATGGTAACATTTACTTCTTGAAGACGCAGTGCAACGGCCGAGGTACAAATACTGGAGTTAAGGCAAGGCTCATTGCGGATTTGAGTGATAAAGTCATTTGTTCTTATCAAATAAAACTCACCAGCTGCTTTTGCATCATAATTACTGCCATCAAATGTTGTTATGTGCACCGCTCCATACACTTGACATATCGGTCTTGTACTTTCCTCTCTCACATTTTTGGTTGCTGCAATCGAGCATTGTTCTCCTCTCCATCCAGACGAACATGTAAGACAATCACCACTCACGTTTGCATTTAATGGGCATGAGCATGCGCCAGAGATTTTATCACAATCACTGAAACCACCACATGGAGAGATATTACCACCAGGACATTCTCGAGAACAGTTCTTTCCATAAAAGCCATATTCACATTTGCAGATATCACTATTTACAGAACTTCCAAACTTGCAGCTTTGTTGACATGACAGCTTCATCCAGTTAGGTAGCGATAAACTTTGTAGCTCGAAGCAATAGCTCTTCCCAGGCCATTCAGGTAAACCTAAACTGGCTTTGCAGTAATCTAGATAGGTAACAGCACTCCACAAGCGCTTCTCAATATCTGTGCTGCTTGACATCAGCTCATAACATGCTACGGCAAAAAAGATCTTTACTTTATCGTCCATGTTATGACATTCACCCTCAGCTTTGACAAATACTTCATTCCTACACACGTCCTCGACTGCGGATCTTTCTTGATGACTTGATTTACGAATTTCGCGAATTGTAAGAGGAAAAGTGGAGAATACCCACGTTGGCTTGTTACCCCGTGCAGGAAAGTGGAAAAGAGCTCCTGAAACACAATCTTTTGCAATGTTGCCCTGACCTTCGTCAAACCTCCATAAGTTTGCCAAACCTTGCAATTCGCATTTTAAAGCAGAATTTCTTGAGCTGAGTATGTCAGCGACAGATCTTCGTACATTCCATATACGCACCTCATCTATTTCACCCTCAAAAGCTCCAGGAATTAACGTAGTAACCCCACCTGTTGGATACCAATAACCAAGACCTAATGTTCCACCAGATGCAAAGATATCTTGCTCGCCACTTAATCGGAAGTTTCTTACATGATTTGTGTTAGAATCTTCAATCAGCACGAACTGAATGGCACGGTTTGTCTTCCTCCATATTAACACTATAGTATTCCATTGTTTTTTCTGTAATTGTAACAAAGTATCAAACTCTTGTGTCCCATAGTACAACCTCACAGTCGTCTTGATGACGATTGAGAGCGTTGATGTCGTTGCGTACGAAAACAAACAGCCATCAATTCCATCCCATTTTACCATCATCTCCATGGTTACATCACCACCACTCATTGTGAAGAGGTTTCTACATGTAAGACCAGAGTCTTTGAAACGTACGCTGTAACCAGAATCTGTCTTGAAACGAGGTTCGTTCAGTTCATTACTTTCAAAAATAAAGACAGAAGTGGAATTATCTTCTATTTTCCAAGATCTTACAAAGTTGTTAATGTAATCCTGGGAAACTTCATGAATTGTTGATAAGTTCTGATAAATATTTTGACGATTTCTTTTGTTGAAATCATTCAGTATATTGCCATCACAGTTTCCCCAAAGTCCCATGCTGTGCAAGCACCAAGTTGAATTAACCACGGTAATAGTCAGATCAATGTAGCGACCAAATATTCTCATATCTAACAAAAGGTTGTTCTTTGAAATGAGCTTGAAATGCTCCAGAGATACTCTCGTTAAAACGAATACGTTATGATTTGATTGAAAAACTGTTTCCAGGGATGATGATTTGACTTTATCAACCCACACTATTGGATCGCCACCATTTTCATATGGTGCATGAATAACTATGGTTGATGTCATGAATACTAAAGCTATTGTGTTGATACATCTTCTGGTGTGATAGCAAGGAACAATGTTGATTAAAATCTTGAGATCGTTAAAAGAAAACAGTACATGTTCTCCAGACTCTTCAATCTTATATCCAACACCATCCAGCGTAATGATGCTTCCATATCCAGTACAAATTGCACTAACATTAGAACGTGGAGTAACTACAAGTGAACAGTTTTGACCAGTCCAACCAGGTCCACATGTAGAGCAATTCAGATCACCACGCCACTTTGGTTCACATTCACATTTTCCAGTTGTTTTGCTACAGATTCCGTGGTTATAGCAGGGTGACAAGGCTCCTCCAGGACACTGTTTATCGCAGCTAGAGCCCCAGTATCCTTCATTGCATACGCACATCTTCATTTCCTAAAGAAGAAAAGATGACTCTTTCTAGACTTCAGTCTAACGCACGCAATGTTACGTAAAAACAACAACACTTACTACTTGCGTCAAGTTTTCAACATCAGAACAGGCCGAGTATGATGGAAAAGTTGGATCATACTTCACAAAGTGTCTTGAATTTGACAAAGGATTATCTAATACCCAAAATACGGGATCTGATTTCTTCAACCTACAAAAAAAAACAAATGAGAAGCTATTGCTATGTTTTCTTACACTGATTAAACCTTTAAAAAACAAAAGATTTCAATGGCAAAATATCAAACGTACGTCAGGGAGAAGACATTCTTATTTTCGCCAGGTAGGAATTTTCTTGTTTGCCCCATATCTTTTCTTATTTCAGAGTTGACTTTTCTTGTGCTGCTGGATATTAGAAGAAATCCCAATTCGCCACCAGGCTCTATCGATGGAGACAAAGCACTGAAGAAATTTAGTGGACCAGGTTGAAGGTAAACATTATGTGTGTTTGTATTGTTATATCCAAACCAAACCAATACATATTCGCTGGATTTAGATGAAACACAGTTCACCATAGGTATTACTGCTCCTTTATTCATATTTCCATCACGTGGGTCGCTATAATGAGCATTGTCTGTATGGCAAACCACCTCACAACGATCTCCAACATGAGTTTTATCACATCTCTTGCAGTCGGGCTGATTCCAACCTTCTTGACACGCTGAGCAGTCTTCTCCTTGCCAAAAACCAAGCGCAGTGTCGTTATGACACACACAGTTGTCTTGTCGTGATCCAACTGCATCTCCATGGAAACACGATACATTACATCCAATTGGCCAACCAATGAATCCAACAACACACTCCTCGCAGTTTGTTCCACTGTACCGCTGAGCACATTGCTCGCAGGCCTGTCCAATGTAATTATGCTGACACTTGCAACGAGGGACGTTTTCACCATCAAAAAGTACACATTCCCCACGGCTGTTACATGGAGGATTTCCAGGACATAGCAGCTCACTACAATTAGCTCCACCAAAGCCAGGATTACATAGACATTCAGGAAGGACACTTTCGGATGCTCGAACACACACACCACGTTTAGAACAATCAGGTTCACCTGGACAATCAGAGATGTCACAATACTCCCCTCGCCATCCTTCATTACACACGCATTTGTTGTTTACACATTCCCCACGAGATGAGCATTTAATATCACAAGCCAGACCCTGGTAACATGAATCACATTTACAAATAGCACTGTTGGGCGGATCCTCTTTACCAAAAATACAAGGTAGCTCACAAGCTGTACCCATTGTGTTATCAGTGCAATTAATACATCGTGGTGGTTCTGTACTTCCATCACATGTTCCTTTACCATTACAATCAGGAACACCAGGACAGTCAGGATTTTCACAACCAAGACCTTTCCATCCTTTGTCACAGTGACACTCTTGTTCCAAACTCAAACATCTACCATGTCCACTGCAATCCTCCCCAACTCCTGGACAACCAATTCTACCACATTTCTCCCCACGCCATCCCACGTCACATCTACAGGTTCCATTATTGCAATGACCACGCCCATTGCACTCTAGTGCACAGTCCACTCCACTGTAACAAGAATCACACCTGCATTCTTCATTGCGTAATGCCAGGCTATTGTCAGTAGTCTTAATTACACTTCCGTTAAAGCATCTTCTCTCACATCCTCTACCAAAATAGGTATCGTTGCAAGATATACAAACTGGAGGATCATAATTTGTACCATCACATATACCTTGACTAGTGCAGTCACCACCACCAGCACAGTGTGGTATCTCGCACCCTCTTCCTTTCCAGCCAGCTTTACAATTACACTGTTGCAATGAAGGAATACAGTCTCCATGTCCGCTGCAATCACTTCCCAAACCTGGACATCGTAAAACATCACAAGTTTTACCTCGCCAACCATCAAACCCACAATCACAAGTATCATTAATGCAAACGCCTCTGGATGAACATTCAACATCACAACTTATTCCATTGAAACAATCATTGCATGAACAAAAGTCTTCATTATTTTCAGTTCTCATTACGGTTCCATTAAGGCACAGTGTTTGACATGCTTCTCCCATCCAACCTTCGTCACAGGTACAAGCAGGGATATTTGACGTAACCACGCATTGTCCATGATTACTACACTGTGGTTGACCGGGACATAAAGGAATATGGCAACCAGACCCAGTCCAACCCCTATTGCAATCACAAACTTTCTGTAAACTGAAACAGGTTCCACGATTAGAGCAGTCGATGTTGTTTAATCCAGGGCACCCTAAAATGATTAAATTTACATTCAAACAAACCATTTGCTTTTAACTGTTTGTTGTGAAAGCGAAAAACTTACCAGGTACATCACAAAGATCTCCTCTCCATCCTTCAAATCCACAAACACACTTATCGTTGACGCAAGAAGCATTAACACGACCTGAACATAACTGGTTGCAACTAAAACCTGTGTAGCAAGGATCGCAAACACATACTTCTGGATTGTTCACGGAGGCCTTGCCGTGCTCACAACGAGTCTGGCAAGCTCTACCTATCCAACCTTTAGCACAATCTACGCATATAGGTCTGCCATTGTCAGCAATAACACAGCGTCCTTTTCCATTGCAATCAGGTTCGCCAGGGCAATCCTTATATTGACAACCATTACCTAAAAATAAATGGATGGATTGATTTTCTCCATGAGTTTGATAGTTGATTCTTTTTTTGGTAGAGAAAAAGCAATCAATGCCATGCTTTAAATTGCAAAATTTGCTCATTCTCACAGGACGGCTATTACCTCTCCAGCCAGTTTCACATGTACATGTCTGTGTATCAGCAAAACATGTCCCATGTCCAGAACAGTCAACGTCGATTCCCGGACATCCTCTTCTTTCACAAAACTCACCGCGCCAGCCATCAATACCACAACTACACTTTCCTTCAGTGCAAATATTGCTTCTGTTAGAGCACAGTGTTAAGCAATCTGCACCGTTATAACATGGATCACATTGACAGATATAGTCACTCGTGGGTTTTCCATGAATGCACGGAGATTCACACGCTTCACCCATCCAACCTTTTGAGCAGTTGCACGTGCCTTGATTACTCATACTATTTTCTACAAACATAATTAAGAAATAAAGCTAATGAAGCAATACTCACTTTTTGAACACGTTCTCTCGAACGCGAGAGTGTTAAAGTGTTAAATATAGCAGTAATACCCAGTCTCGTGGTCAGCCTGCATTATTGGTCATGCTATGCAAATATTTCGTGTTCACAGTAAAAGAATTCTAAATGCAATCTATCCATGAATAAGAATACCTGAAGGAGGAATACATATCCCGTGATTGTTACAGTCAGGCGTACCAGGACAATCAATCCAGCTGCATGATGGTCCTAGCCATCCAGGATCACAGGAACATTCTTGGGTTGCTAGATTACATGATCCATGTCCGCTACAGTCTTCAGGCCATCCAGGGCAACCTGGTCTTTCACATATGTCACCTTTATATCCCAAAGTAGAATTACAAACACATTTTTGATTTTCGCAACGACCATTATCCGAACAAAGTTTATCGCAGCCAATTCCATGATAACATGGCTGACAAATACAACCAGAAGCATTTCCATAATTTTTACCATGAACACACCGTACATCGCACGCTTCTCCCGCCCAATCTGCTTCACAATTACAGCGACGAGGAATTGCAGCAGCATCACAGCTACCATGACCTGAACAAGGTGGATCACCCACACAGTTTGCAGTACCACAGTCAGGACCAATCCACAAAGGATCACATTCGCATTTTCGGGTGTTTGTGTTGCATAAGCCATGGGCATTACAGTTGCCATCTGGTCCAGGACATCCATTAAGCTCACAATTTATTCCTTGCCATCCTACTTCATTACTAAAATGACACTGACATTTCCCATTCACGCAATTTCCTCGTCCTGAGCATTCTAATTCACAACCACTACCTGTAAAACAAGGATGACATTGGCATACTCTGCCATTTTGTACAGGGTTACCGTTTAGACAAGGGTCATTGCACGCTGGTCCCATCCATCCCGTAGAGCAGTCTGTACACTCAGGAGTTTCTCGATCAGTCGTATTGCAGAATCCACGACCAAAGCAATTTGGTGTTCCTGGACAATCCGGTATGTGACAACCACTACCTGTCCAACCTAAGGAAACAAGTTATTATTAGACATTCTAAGCAATGGCTGCGTACATTCATTATTTTATCATTCTTGGATCTGATTATTATAATCATATATACCTGGATCACAAATACACATTCTGTCCGCACTATTGCAACTACCATGTCCACTGCAATCCTTTCCAATCCCTGGGCAGCCTGGAACTTCACAAAGAGATCCTCGCCATCCACTGAGCTCATTACAAACGCATGTCCCATTTTGACATTTGCCATTACCAGAACATTCTTGAGTACAGCCACGACCTGAAGAAAAGTCGTCGTTAATTTATAATTACTCGTTATAATGTCACCTCACATAAAAAAAGAAACATCATGCTATTCAACGTTTTATTCTTGAAAAATTCGCACTGAAATACATACCAACATAGCAGTTATCACACACGCAAATACCGCTGTCCATTGGAAACTGTTTTCCATGAATGCATGGATATCCACAATCATTTCCCATCCATCCAAAAGAACAGTTGGTGCATTGCGGTGGATTAAATGTTGTATTGCAGAAACCTTAAATGACAATAAAAGGCAAATAATTACAAAAATTCAGAGATCATAAAACGAAAAACAAAATTACCTCTGCCTAGACAATCAGGATTTCCAGGACAGTCAGGTATTTCACATCCCGTTCCAGTCCATCCGTTCTCACATGTACACTGATGTAACGCACTGTTACACTCTCCATGACCACTACAATCCTCTTCTAATCCAGGACATCCTGGGTTATCGCATAATTTACCTCTCCATCCTTCGTTGCATTTGCAAATTTCATTTAATATTTTGCCATTTTCGGAGCATTCACTATCGCATCCCACTCCAGCCCAGCCTGGTTCACAAACACAGTTACCGCTGTTCATAGGTTCTTGAACACCATGCACGCAAGGATCATTACAAGCAGTGCCCATCCATCCGGTCAGAACAATTTTGACATACAGGAGGATCAACAGTACCGTTGCAGTAACCTCGATTGAAACAATCTGGAGATCCAGGACAATCGGGTATCTCACAACCTGTAAAGAATTATAACACGTGAATTGATACGAATTAGATGAGATATTTCTTGTCGCAACTTATCTATCACAGAAATGGAATGCATATATTTTTAATCAAAAACAAAAACAAAAATCATAAATTTACCTTCGCCAGACCAACCGTTAAAGCATGTACATTTTTGAATCGCCCCATTGCAGCTTCCATGTCCTGAACAATCTTCGCCGATACCTGGACACCCTGGTATATCACACAATGTTCCCCTCCATCCAATATCACACTTGCAGGTACCATTAAAGACTTTCCCATGTTCAGAACACTCGCTATCGCAGCCCACACCAACAAAACCAGGAAAACAAACACAATTTCCACTGTCCATTGGTGTTTGAAGTCCATTTATGCAAGGGTCATTACAAGCCGGTCCCATATAGCCTCTTGAACAATTTTGACAACGTGGTGTTTGAAATGAATCATTGCAAAAACCACGCCCAAAACAGTTTGGGGCTCCAGGGCAATCAGCGACATCACATGCTTTACCAGTCCATCCTTCATCACAGGTACACAAATGCCGGGCAGCATTACACTCACCATGGCCACTGCAATCCTCCTTTACCCCTGGGCATCCTGGTATTTGACAAACAGGACCGCGCCAACCAACATCAGGATCACAAATGCATGTAGAATTGGAGTCACAAAATCCTCGTTCCAAACATAAGCTTGTGCAACCTTTTCCACCGTAACAAGGATCACAACGACATAAACCACTATTCATAGGAGATTGCACACCATGTAGACATGGTTCATCACACGCTGCACCCATCCAACCTTTAGAGCAGTTCACACATTTCGCTCCGTCAGCACTTGATACACAAACACCCCGCGCGTTACAGTTTGGTGTACCAGGACAATCAAGTATACTACAGTCATCACCTTTCCATCCTGGATTACAATAACATTGATGCAAAGCACTGTTACAAAGACCATTTCCTGAACATACTGGTAAACCAGGGCATCCTCCACGTTCACAGTGACTGCCAAACCAATATTTATCACACAAACACGATCCGTTTACGCATCTTCCATGCCCACTACATTCACTCTCACAATATTCACCAGAGTAGCAGTTATTACATTTACACATATTTTCCTCACATGTACCACTTCCAGAACATAAATATCCACAGTTGTCCCCTCCATAGCATGAGTTACAAACACATTTTCCAAGGATATCACAAACACCATTACCACTGCAGTCATGAAATGAATTGCAAAAATGCTCACAACGGAAACCAACATAACCATAGTCACAATTACATCCACCAAAAGTTGTACATTGTCCATGACCTAAGCAGGTGAGATTGGCTTCACAATAATATGAACAACTTACACCGAAATAATTTTTATTACAGACACATTTTCGCTCTTGGCTTGACCATATTCCATTACCACTACATTCGTTACCTGAAAAACATACCTTGCCAGCTTCACCCGCTTTAGCACTACCTCCACCAGATCGTCCACCGGCTACAGCTGTACTCTTATTTGCATTTGTCAGTATTGCTCGGTTGATGTACTGGGGGGACTGAGTACGTATATAGCCTCCACCTCCACCTCCACCGTAACGATGAATATTGCAGCCATAAATGGTGGTAGTATAGTCACCATTTCCACCTACCACTTGCATAGAACCATGTCCATCAATGGCTTCACCATCAAACCATACACTACCTCCGCTTCCACCGCCTCCACCATTATTTCCTGCATTTCCATTTGACACTAAGAGTCCTTCGTGATCAACCAAGGTACTTATGAACAAGCGCATGACACCACCACCTTGACCACCATGGCCACCAGTACTACCAGATAGAACGGGATTACAAACATTACCGTAGGTTATTCCACCTTCAACAAAACGATGAGTTCTGCAGCGATTGCCACTTCTACAAATACCACTTCTACCTCCTTTTCCACCATGTCCTGCACCGCTTCCAGCGACTCCACAGCTAGTTCCAGGCCCCAAACCGTTACTTGCTGCTTTACCAGAACCAAAAAATCGGGAATCGTGTTCAGTTTTCATGTATTTTGTTTGCAATTCCATAGCATCGCAAATAACCATTCCGTTATATTGCACTACCGTAGCACTGGTGTGGATCTGGACTGCTTTACTTACATTCGATTGAGCCGACACAATTTCAAATTTTCCTCCAGCTTTTACAATCACTTGATTAAACCAATATTTACGTCTTAGATCTGCATTCATATACTTACTAGAGCAATTGAAACAACCAGAATGACCACTCAAATGTAATTTTGCGTGACTTGAAGAGTGTATCCTGAGTTCTCTAATGCCGTAAATAGCACCGTGGACCTCCAATGAAGGATTGCGCTTTCCCACTAACTCGGTGAGCAGTGGAAGAATCAATTCACCACCTTGTTGGACATCAAAGTTTACCAATGAGCGCAGGCGTTTGATGTTATGGTGTGTGTAAACACGAGTTATCGAAAGCACATCAAGTACGCCAGTTCCGTCTCCCGAGAAGTGACGAACTGTTATCTCCGGTACGCGTCCCAAAACCTAAAAAGAACCAACTTGTTCAAGCATGATATATAGCTTCATCAAGCATGATATATTGTGTTATTCCGAAGCTTATTTCTTTTCATATGGAACAGTTTGTTAAAGAAATCGTTTGCTTTACAACAATTTTGCTTTACCCTGACCTGAGTGATCAAATTCTAAAATTTTTTATTTTGGTGCCTTGCGAGTGGCAGCCATTGACCATAGCCAAACTAAGTATTTTGCGTTGGCTACATCCACTGACGATAAAAAAACTGTAACAATAGCAAATGTAAAATCCAGATTGCTGCATAAAGTCTTTACCTGTTGTAGAGATACAAGTGCTTTACCACCTATTTCCAATGTATCAAAAACATGATAATATCCTCCAGATTCATTCAAAAACACCTTACGTCCTGTCTGTCTATTCTGACCATATACTTTTAGTATTCGCTTTACTGAAACCCCATTACGGATCTGTATGTAAGTTGTGCCAGGCCCACCTGGGCTAGAACCATTGCCTCCGTAAGCACCAATGACTCCACGGAAATCAAATGGTTCAGTCAAGTACGTAGCAATGCGACCTCCGGAGCCAGCACCGAGGACTGAATTTCCTGTTAAAGATGTATTTTGATTTCATACATGTGAATGAACTTCATCTTGGCAACCATTTTAAAAATGTATATTTAAAAATGTATTTTTCAGTAAATCTCTTGATATGCGTGTTTTTTCTTTGTAAATAATTTAAGCATTATGTGAAAAATTTATCAAATCTACCTTACTCTTAATCAAGTGTCACTGATTCACTCATTGAATAAAGTAAATCAACATTACCGTTGTAATGCAAAGCTCCACAGAAACGTTTACGAAAATCGAAAAACAAAGTTCAAAACATGCAATTTTTTATCATTTAGATAATAACTTATGATAAAATCATGTTTTTATGAAATCTTTTGCAACCGAAATTCTTGCAAACAGATTTTACTGAAAAAGGAACTAGCAGTAAGTTTTTTGTCTCACCTCCATTACATATAATTTGTCCATAACCAAGCAGGAATGGTGAGTATATCAACAGACTTCCACCACTTCCACCACCACCAGAACCAAACAAACCAGAATTACTTAATGTACCATCCACTTTGACAAATCCCCCAGCAGTAACATTTATCCATGAACCACCAGATGCAGCATATCCTCCACTTCCTGGATGATGAGGTATGTAAAAGGATCCATAATACTTTTTACTTGCAACATTCCCTCCAAGAGATGCATAACTTCCTCCTTCTCTATAAATTCCTGCACCAGGACCTTCCCGTGCAGAATACCCCCACCATCTCCGTCAAGTTTTGCACCACTTTCAACAACAATTCTATCCAAGGTGAAGAACATTTCTCGAGTGTTGACTTTAAAAACACCACCTTAAAATGAGGAAAATAACGATAAAAACATAAAAGAGAGAGAGAGAATATCAGAGTCAGGCAGCCTCAATTACAGCTATTCTTGCCTTCACAAAACCATACAATTTAATTGGAAAAATAAACACTTAATTGAGATTGAAAATTTTGTAAAATGATAACAAATACATCAATATGTGCTGCTATATTATCATTACCTTTTTTCAAAGTAACATCAGACGAAACAAACTCACAGCGATATGGATTTAGAGCAACATTAAGACGTCCAGCATTTGTAACAACCAGTTCAGGAATCAGAAGTTTCCCAGGAAAGAATGGCTCAAAAAGTTGGTCCGTATACCAAAATGAACGATTTTGAAGAGCATTTGTGTGGGCAGTTCCACTGATCACCAGGTTACCATTTCTTTCAATAATCAGTCTTTCAACTCCAGTCAAACGACCCTGTAAAGTCGTACTTTCGGCTCGTAAAATAACCTCGGTTGGAAACACGGCTTCAGCGTATTCACTGATAAAGAATCCACAGGGAACATCAAGATATGTATGTGTGCTTTCAACCACAAAAACAAACAGTTTTTGGCGGGCAGTCATTTTGATAACCCCAGTTTTATCACCGGTCACTTCGTGAGCGACAACTGTTACGTTTCGAGCTCCAGTTGGATGATAAAAAACTACGTGAGCGTTTCCTTCAACTTGCATTTCATCAAATTCATAGAATACAGTTTGATTTTCCATGACTGTAGCAGGAAAATCTGTGCTATTTCCTTCATTATCAATCTTTAGTTTTGAATGTTCGGGTTTAAAGTCAGTAAGGTTTCCTTGTGGATTGTATTTTATCTCACGATATTGTGGACCACGACTGCTCTCGTATTTATAAACAGTTCCTGCACCACCATTAAGCTGATTTGAATTTGCAGTTCCACCAACTGCCCTGAACACTCCGCCATATTTGTTCTTGAAATCAACGTGCACACCAATTCGTCCGCCTGCTCCTCCACCACCTCCATTCATCCCATTTCCACCATTGACATTTATTTCACCATGCCCACTCATATTTAATGCTTCCACAAGAACACTTCCGCCACTTCCACCCCCAGAGCGCAATGCTCCGTTTGTCCCTTGTGCTGTAATCAAACCGTCGAGGTGTAAATGGTCTTGTGCTTGCCAACGGATACTACCACCACCTAAATAATAATGAATGATTCTTGGCTGAAATATATTTTTAAGGTTCATTCTCTAATTTATGTGCAACTAACTGAAATATATCGTCTTTATACGTAGCATTATTTTACATTGTTCGTAAGTAGTATTTTATGAGCGATTATGAAGATATGAAATATTTACAAACCTTGTCCTCCCACACCATTAACACCATTTCCTCCACCACTTCCTAACATTAATGGCTTAAACACAGAATCATAAGCCTGCCCCTCAATATCATTGACTGCCCCTCCAAGGCCTCCATGACTTGCACCTGTTCCAACAATACCAACCCGAATACCTTTTCCAATACCTGTGGCAGATGGCAATCCTTTTCCATACGAATCCAAGAGTCCATCTGTCTCTACATCTCCAACAGACGTATACAACACACCATGATTCATTAATACCTTTCCTTTGTATTTAATTTCAAAGAAGCTTGACTTTACTTCAATGATCACGTCATTTTTGCGTAATAAATCAAGTGTACCACCGTTCTTAACCACGATTTTTGAAATTGATATGTTTCCAGGTCTTGTGAGATCAACGTAGGTACGATTCTCCAGAAAAGCAGTCTGGGCAGTGGATGTAATTCGAACATTGCCACCTTCTTCGACAAATAAATGATGAACACCGGTAATAAGACCATGAATTTTGGTTCGTACACCATGAACATGAAACTCGTAAGGAAGAATTACTTCGGCGTATTGATCGATCAAATAGCTACAAGGTGCTTCAGTGCGGTTATTCTCCGACTCAATGTATTCAACAAAGACCCTTTGATGTTGCCGAATATGAAACTGGCCAGTACCATCTCCAATAAACCTATTAATGAATTGATTCATTGTTCTTATATGAAGCTTTGCACTCAATAACAAACATTAATATTCAACATAAGCACATAATGTATGTCAGTTGTTTCGAGAAATGAAATAAATATTGTTAAAAAGTTTGCACCGAAAAAAAAAGTAATGGTGAAACTGACTCTCGGATAAGAACTAATCAACTTGTTACTTTTATTTACCTGTGAACAGTTGCAGTAACATTGGTCACATTATCAGGATGATGCAACAACAATCTTGAATATCCAGTTAATTCCATTTCATCAAATTCATACTCTGACGTATATTCTTCAATCAATACAGTTGCTCCTGGGACATTATAACCTTCATTATCAATATGGACGTATGTGTGATCGACGGCGAGATATGTCAAGTTTCTGCTCTTGCTGTACTTCAATTCGCGGTATTGTAAAGGCCGTAGGTTTTCTTCTTTGTAAATAGTCCCAGCAGGAGCACCATATTTATTACCCTGTCCACCACGATCAGAAAATTTGCCACCAAATGTGTACCTCCATCTGCAATGAATTGCAACTCTACCACCAGAGCCACCCCCACCATTTCCTGCACCTTGACCACCTTTAACGGATATTCTACCGTGACCAGTCATATTTGTCGTTTCAATTAGTATACTTCCACCGCTTCCCCCTCCTGAATTGGGGCCTTCTCCATTTTTACCGTTTGCAGTAAGCTCACCATTAAGTTCTAGGTATTTACTGATCTTCCACACGAGATAACCACCGCCAGAGCCGCCTGTTCCTTGACCATTGCCACCTCCACTGCCAAGATGCATTGGTGAGAGCACTGAACCATATGCCTTTCCTCCATTATGCCCTCCAGTACCACCATATCCAGCGCCAGTTCCAATATTTTCCTCTGTGGTCCCTGAACCAGGTCCTTGCTCAGCAGAGAAACCAACGTTATCCATACTTATTACTCCTTTACTATCAAGCCATCCGTATGTGCTAAAGATCTCACCATGGTTAATATTTAACTTGCCATAATATTTCACAGTCAGCTCATCACAGTTCAAACGGAGAAAATTGCTCACTCTTCGAAACTCTATATCACCTCTTCGCTTTATAATCACATTAGCAAACGAAAGATTGCCAGGTTCAGATACAAACACATATGTTGCGTTTTCAACTAAAGCTGTTTGTGCCGTCGAGGTGAAGTCAACGAAAGCACCACTAGAAACAAAAAGACGATGCACTCCTGTTATTAATCCTTCCAAAACTGTGCGAGTTCCATGAACATGAAATTCAGAAGGAAGAATCACTTCAGCGCCAAGGTCAATACGGTAACTACAAGGAGCTTCCGTTTTGTTGCTAATTGATTCGACCACTTCAACATACACTCTTTGCTTGTCACGAATGTGGAATTGTCCGGTTTTGTCGCCGATGAATCGATGAACAGTAACGTTAACTACACTGTTATTGGGATGGTAAACGATCAATCTACTGTGACCTGTAAGCTCCATTTCATCAAATTCATATTCAGTGGTATTTTCTTCCATAATCATTGTTGCACCAACTACATCATATCCTTCATTGTCAACATGTAAGTATGTATGATCAACGGCAAGGAAAGTTGTGTTTGTTGTCTTGGAATACTTACGATGTCGGTACTGCAATGGTCTGAAATTTTCTTCCTTATAAACAGTCCCAGCTGGAGCACCAATCTGGCTGTGACCACCATGGTCAGTGAACTTTCCACCATATTTATATCTCCATCTACAATGGATACCAACTCTCCCACCAGCACCAGCTCCACCAACACCAATACCCTGGCCACCAGCCACCGAGATTTCGCCATGCCCGGACATATTAGTTGTCTTAATAAGAATACTTCCACCACTTCCACCACCAGAATTGATACCGCTCCCGTTTTGACCGTTTGCTGATAACAGACCATTAATTTGAAGTGACTTTGCTACCTCCCAAAGAAGGCTTCCTCCACCAGAACCACCAACACCAAGACCACGACCACCACCACTACCTAACTCACGAGGTTTATAAACTGAATCATACGGTAATCCACCGCCGCTTGCTGCACCTTCTCCACCATGACCTGCACCACCACCAATGTTGTTGACTGTTTTGCCTTTACCAGGACCTTCTTCGGATGGGTAACCTGTGCCGTCAAGCTTTAATAACCCTTTGCTTTCTACCCACGCAAACGAATTGCGTATGATACCATGATTCATTACCATAGTACCTTCATACATAACCCTAAATACTGCGCTGTTTAAAATTAAAGTGTTATTTACTTTCGTGAATATAATTTTTGAGCCCCTTTCAACAAGGACGGAACCAAATGTGAAATTACCATTTTATCAATACGCAAATATTGTCTATTCTCAACAATGGCAGTTTGAGCAGTCGATGAAAACTCTATAACGCCTCCAATTGCAATTATGAGATCGTGTACACCCGTAATGCGTCCGTCAATTTCCGAGCGCGTGCCATAAATATTGACCTTGGATGGAAAGACAATCTCAGCACCTTGATCAATTTTAAAGCTGCAAGGAGCAGTTGTTTCGTTAGTTACTGATTCTACAACTTCCACATAAATAGTCTGATTTTTTCGCATATGTGCTCGTCCGGTTGCATCGCCAAGGAAATGGTGCACAACTACGGTTACATTGAGTGATGTCAACGGATGGTCGACTTGAAGATTCGCATGACGAGTTAAGAACATTTCATCAAACTCATAATGGTCTCGATTGTATTCCACAAGTCCCGTGGAGGACTTAGTCTGCCTATTCCAGTTGTCGATATGAATAAATCTATGAGTGGATGTAGTCTGAGTCGAGTTTGTCTCTCTATCGTATTTAATATCAGCATATTGCGGTCCTCGGGCATTTTCTTGTACGTAAGCAGTACCAGAGGCACCGTAGGTATCCCCTGATCCCCCGTATGTTAAATATGATCCAGAAAATTTATGACGAAATCGTATATGAATTGCAATTCGGCCTCCAGAGCCACCTCCTCCTAGACCTTTCCCTGATCCACCAATCACATTAACGCTTCCATAGCCAGTAAAATTTGTGCACTCTAAAAACAAGCTTCCTCCACTTCCTCCACCAGAATTACTACCTTTGCCATCAGAGCCTCGTAATGAAACAACGCCATCTAATTCAATTGTTTGTCCAACAACCCATTTCAACTTTCCACCCCCATTTCCACCCGTACCTGCTCCGTTTCCACCACCACTTCCCAAGTGATCTGGTTTTAGGAAGGATCCATACCATTTTCCACGGTTTCCAAAATTCGACCCACCTTCACCACCATGGCCAGCACCAGAACCTATCAGCGAGTGAGAACTACCTTTTCCAGGACCAGTTTCACTCCCATGTCCGGTACCTTCTAACAAAACCTGTCCTTGGCTTTCAACCCAAGCCCACGATGTGTCAATTTTACCATGATTGATTCTAACTATTCCCTCATACTTCACGCGGAATATGCTTGCAGTTAAAACCAAAGTATTGTTATTCCTAGAAAACGATAGCAGTGAGCCACGTTGCACGACGAGGGTCGAAAAAGTAATATTGCCTTTGGTTGTTATGAATGTAAATGTTCCATTCTCTCGTATTCCAGTTTGTGAGGTTGATGTAAATGAAGCAGTAGAATTCTTAGCAACATAAAGACTATGAACACCAATCACTAAACCATCAAATGTACATCGAGTACCTAGAAGGGTCAAGGTCGAAGGAAATGTGATCTCTGCACCTGAATCAACTTTGTAACTGACAGGAGCAATTGAATATCCCTTGTGCGATTCAACCACTTCAACAAACATCTTCTGAGTTTTACGTAAATGAACCAATCCAGTCCTATCGCCGGTAAAGTTATGAACCACAAGCGTTGCATTGTATCCACCAATCCACAAAACAACATGATTTTGCATTTCCAGTTCATCAACCTCGTAATACTTATTGGTTTCTTTTTCGATCAAAGTTGGTATAAACTTATTGCGGTTTTGATTGTCCAATATCAATTTTGTAAATCCCTCTCCAAATACAGTGTTGTTGAACTTGTCAATTGTTACAGGTCTATGAGAAAGTCCTGAATTTGTATCTGTATAGTAAATTGTTCCACATGCACCAGCAGGATTACCATAACCTCCAAGTGCAAGATATGTTCCTGAAATAAAGATAAACAACTTTGCTCATGGATGGGATTTTGTGAATGAGAAATATTCATTTCAATACATTTTAGTTCTAAGTCAGAGATGAAAACTCGAGTTAGGGTTAAAACGACAGACTGATTAACGTTATATCGATTGCATCAAAGGAATAACAAAAAGTATTAGTATCATGTAACACAGGGAGTTATTATTCATCTTTGAAATATCACCTGTGTATTCCCGAAGCCAAGAAACATGTACAGCGAGTCTTCCTCCTGAACCTCCACCACCACTACCTTGAGCATTTCCTCCATTGACTTGAATACTTCCATGACCAGAGAATTTTAATGTTTTGATAAAAATGCTTCCACCACTACCACCACCGCTTCCATCTCTTGATGCATTTCCGCCATTACTTTCAATCAATCCATCAAGGTGAAGACTATATCCAGATTCAATCTAATCGTTTAAAATAAAAAGTTTAGTTACCATAAACACAATGTTTCGAGCTATAAAATTTCAAATTTTAGAAGATACACTCGAGACTATACAAGAAATACAATAAGCTTGCCTTTATCAAATTTCCTCCATTTCCTCCTCCTGTTCCTCCACCTTTGCTTCCGGGATGAGAAGGTTGACTGTATGATCCATAAGGATTACCTCCTCCAATGTTGTTAAAGCCACCTCCATAACCACCATGACCACCACCAGATCCAGTATCACCACTGTTATTTCCAGATCCACGACCTAGGCCATTAAATCGCGCAGTGGTACTTATTATTCCTTCTCCTTCAATGTCAATGGAGGTTGATTTAATTGAGACGTATTTTGCAGAAACTCTTGTCTTCTGACGCATTGTTAAATATCCAATATCCATCTCTCCAATTTCAGCAAATTGCAACTTAGCATTGTATTCTAATGTTAGCATACCAAGATTAATTGCGACTGATGACGAATTTTCACGATGTATTCCGACTACGACAGAGCCAGTTGGGCCAACTTGAAACACTTTAGACGAACTTAACGTAAGCTTGGTAACTCCACGGAGTGTCCCACGGAGATCTAAAGCTGGGATCTTACTTCCACTAATACGCAAATCATTGACTGAGACTAAGTCGCCATGCTCTTCCACATAAAAGTTAACTTTAGGATTAGATCTCTTGTTGGTAGCTTTTTGGTATTCACAATAGAAACTTTGGTTACTTTTAACATAAAGAAAAGAAGTTCCATCACCGTATACCAAGCCAATGTATATTGAAGGAATCAATGTTGCCCTTTCAGAAGGTTTTTCGATTTTGAATACAGCCTGAAAGAAAAAAGCAATTACTATCGCATACAATAACCAATATATTTGAACTCGCTAAAATTTAAAAATCGTATTAATGCTGACCTGATTAAGCAACATGAGCTCATCAAAATGATAATTTGTTAGGATACCATCAACTCGTTGATGATAACTTTCACGTGGATTTCTTTCGTCTAAAAGAAATTCTTTGACTGGTAAAGCGTTGTTGTTATCAATATACAACCTAGTATGTATGTTGATGCCCTTTGTCTCTTCTACGTAGACTGTTCCTGAGCCACCATGTCTTGAAGCAGAGCCTAAACCACCTAAAGCTGAATATGTTCCTCGATACTCGTCTTCTTTACGCATGTGAACAGCTATACGCCCACCTGCTCCGCTTGCACCAAGTGCCGATGCATACGTGTTACCTTGACCTCCACGTGCAGATATCGTGCCATGACCTTTGAAATAATTCGTTGTAATCCATACACTTCCGCCACTTCCACCTCCGCTACCTAAGGATAAGTGATTGCTTGGGTGAATGATTTGTGCTAGTGATTTCTCAATAACGGATATGCAAAAAATATTCAAATATGAAACTGAAAGATGTTCATCCTCCAATCAGAATAATGATGTATTTTAGTTGATAATTTTGACAACACATATATTTGATCATATCCATGATATGAATATTGTAAATTGAATCCTTTCAAAAAGCTTCATTTATTTCGTAAAGTGTTGAAGCAAAGACACAATCTCAATTAAATCGTAAGCATTCTACGACTTTAATGAAACATACCAGATCCAGTGCTGGCATTGTTTGCGTCAACATTAACGATCCCGTCCAAACGGAACGATTTCCCAACAATAATTCTAACAACACCACCACCACGAGCACCAAGAACGTTATTAGAGCCCATTCCACCACGACTGCCAGCACTAACTGGCTCATACAAAGAGCCATATGTTTTTCCATGTTTCTGATTGCTACTGTTACCTCCTAGCGTCGCATGGCTAGCCCCAGATCCACCATTAGTAGCATTACCTCCTGCACCAGCAGTATAATGAACGTATCCACGACCTTTGCAATTGATTTCTGCGTCAATCTCAAGGAAAAAGTCTGTTGCTTGAATTTTGAAGAACTCTGCGTTGAACTGCGAATCATATTTTATATCCTAAAAAGAAAATATTTATATTTACAAATAATTAGGAATCGTGGATTAAACACCATTTGAAGAAGTATCACATTGAAATTACAAAAAATCAAGCTTGAGAACTTATAATTTTATGCTCTAAAAATTCCACTTTCCTTTTCCGCACGATTGTAAACAATTGTTTATAAACAATTTGTTGATTGTTAAAATAGTACATAGCTATAAATATAAAATTATCAAAAAATTACTCTTTATCTGTTTGTTTATGTCTAAATTAACACATTTGTATGCTTCAATGATTAGTAATAAACACATACCAAGAATCCTACTGTGAAATGCATTCCATGAGGCGAAGGATAGTCTACTAGAGATTTGCTGCCAAACTCCAAAGTTGTAAAATGAAAAGTTCCTTCAGTTTCAGAAGAGACAAATTTATTGTTTTCAATAGTTCCAGTGTGAGCCTCGATACCAATAAATGCTTTTCTCTTGTAGGCCAGATGCAAATTCATTACGTTTATTAATCTTCCTTGCCAATGAAATGCGACTTCTCCCTTTCCTATCATGTGCACTACTGTTGACATTATAGCTGATGAACCTACATCTAACTTAAAGTTTGTTTGAGCGCGAGTTATTGTGCGTCTGGCATCCTGGACTTCAGCAGTTAAAACTTGATTCTCATGCATATGAATGAGGCCAGTGCCATCTCCAAGAATTTTATGAATGGTAACATTTGATTGCTTTCCATCTTTTACTATGTGAAGTGAAGCTTTTCTCTTTAGTTGTACCTCGTTGAACTCGTATAGAGAAATAGACTCGTTGAGTGTAACATAATGACTGAAAGGTCGATTTTTATTGTCTATGACCAAACGATTGTATGGCATTTGGTTGATAAGTTCGTTGATATATACAGTTCCAGGTCCTCCAGAAGCTCGACTCAAATCATTCATTAAATTCCCAGCTGTACCACCCAATGCAAGATATTCTCCAAAGAATCTACTTTTCGATTTAATATATAGTGCAAGTCGTCCACCTGATCCTCCACCGGACTCATGATATTTGGCATTTCCTCCAGAAACATCAAGAACTCCATTTCCCGTGAACTGCAAAGTTTCAATCAAGATACTGCCACCGCTACCTCCTCCAGAAGTATACGAACCGCCGTTTTGACCATGGACAGTTAAATTACCATCAAGATGTAAATTGCTGGCAATAGTGAGGAAAAATAACCCACCTGCATTACCATTGATGCTTCCACCACCACATCCGTTGGTACCAAATGCTCTTGGGAAATACAAATTTCCATACGGTTTTGCTGACGTGCTTGATTGACCATGAATTCCACCTTCACTAGCATATCCACCACCACCACCACTATTACAATCGACTACAGGTGAATTTGCTTTAATAATATTAGGTCTATCTTTCCCTGCAGCTGTCATTTCTCCACCTGTTTGGACATTCAATGTTGTAATGTCTAAACAAGAAAAAAAACATATTTCAAATAAATTTGAAAGACCTGTGCAGTTGAAAATCGCAAATAAGGGTACAATTTTTGAAACAGACAAATTAAGAAAGATGTATTGCAACTATATTACAGCTATTTTTTACTTACTCAAAATGAACTGATCAGCAAAAATCTTTGCTCCATATTTTATTTCCATTTTTCCTGCTATTCCTTTCATTCCATGTTTTGTGTTGAATGTTAAACGAGCACCATCATGAGCCTCAAATGTAGCAAAAACAAACGTTCCAAGTGGATCAGCAACAAGCCTATCATCTTCATATTTTATTGTTTGAGCTGTGGACATAAATAGCATCTTACGTTCCCTTGTCAAATATAAATGTTGTACACCAATAATTTGTCCGTTCAGACGCAATGCATTCTGGTTTGGGCTTGACGGACTGTCACCAACAACATAAAGGGATTTGTCGAAAAGTGCAGTGCCTTGAAAGTCAATATTTAAATTTACAGCAGGTCTTGAGATATCACCATGGCCCGTCGATCCTTGGATATTGAATGTATGATTCCTTCCAATATAAATATACCCTGTACCATCACCAGTTAGTTTCACAATTTTCAGGATTCGCGTAACGCCATCTTCTTTAAGTTTTAAAGCTGTCGTTTTTTCAAGTATAACTTCATCAAATACGTATTCTGTTACATTCTTTTCATCTAATGTTACAAAAACAAGATTACTTCCCGTCCTTTCACCAAACATCAACTGAACATATAAGCGTTTGTTTTTAGGATATTGTTGAAATATTGTGCCTGGACCACCATGTCGTCCCTGTGTTGCTTTACCACCAGATGCATGATAAATTCCGCGGTATAAATTATCTTTCTCGATGTATACAGCAATCCTGCCACCAGAGCCACTTCCAGAAAAACTACCTCCAGAAGCTCCACCACGAGCATTCATCACACCATATCCACGATATGAAAAGGTTCGCACGAGAACACTTCCAGCACTACCACCTCCTGCATTGCTACCAGATCTAGCTGATCCTCCAGAAACTGTAATGGTTCCATCTACAATGAAACGAGATCCAACTGTTATAAGAAGACTTCCTCCTCCATGACCACCTTTCTCACCCAAAACGTTGGAGCCACCGGCTTTGCCAAGTTCAGTAGGTTTATAGAGTGATCCGTGGTATGAACCACCTCCAAGAGTACCATTTCCACCATCACTACCATGTCCGGCACCACCACCAGTTTCAAGTTCTGTTGCCATAGTTTTGTTCTTTGTTATGACATTGTCTCCAGAACAGTCGATACGACTACCAATTTCAACATGAAGGGTGGATACACTAAACTCAAGTGAAAATGAAATGATGGATGCGTTGTACTTAATGTTGACACTTTCAGCTTGAATTTTAATTCGAGTCAAATCATCAATAATCAGAGAGCTGCTGCTGTGTAGAATAAGGGAACCAAACTCAAGTACTCCTTTTGATGGTGTAAAATCGCTTATATCCTTTTTTATATCAAGTATTGAAGTGTCATAAAACCTAACCACTCGATCACGAGCAAGTTCCATGTTTCGAATGCCAAGGATGGTGCCAAATGACTCAATCGAGTATTTCCGCAAACCTACCACGATTAGATTTTCTGGGACAATAACAAATCCACCTTCATCCACTTTAAAACTCACAGGTATGCGAGCAGGGGTTTTGTCGCTGACAACTAATGTCTGATTTCGGTGGATGTAAACTAAACCAGTTCTATCTCCTGACAAGAGTCCAACTTTAAGTATCTGTTGTTGATAAGGATGTTTCTTTAATTGAAGTGATGCGCCTCCACGAAGTTCTAATTCGTCGAAATTATATTCCAGATGGCTTTCGTTCAAAGAGACAAATATATCTGGATTGGCAAAACGATTATCTACAATAATTTTTGTATAAATTCGTCTGTTTTTTACTTCGTTGACAAAAATAGTTCCAGGACCTCCATTGTTCTGCCGATTTGCACAATTAAGACTAGCACTGCTCATCTTACCACGATATCGGAAACGAGATTTTAAGACAATGCCAATACGCCCACCACTTCCACAACCACCTCTACCATCTCCTGTACCACCGTTTGTAATGATTTCACCTTTACCAAGAAGGTTATCTACTTCAATATAAATACTTCCACCACTTCCTCCTCCTGCATTTGTTCCTTCATCTCCACTACCTCCATTAGCAGTAAGTTTGCCATCAAGATTAAACAATGTTGCTTTGATTACAATGACACCTCCACCTTTGCCTCCACTACCTGGTAAATATCCATTTCCACCAACACTTCCTGGATGTTCAGGTTTAAATAAGCTACCGTACGATCTATCTTCCTCATTCTTACCACCTGGACTCGCGTAGCTACCTCCAGATCCTATATTTGAATCCAACAGTCCAGAGCCCTGACCACCGGCTGACACATCGTCGGCTGAAATCATAGCTCCTTGTTCAAGCGTTATTGTACCAGCACTTATTTGTAAGTCGTTCACGCGAGTAAAACCCCATTTTTCACAATCATGGACGCCACTTGTATTCTTAAACTTTGCGGTGCACTGAATTTTGATCCACTTTTTAGCGTTAGGCTTCCAAAAAGTTGATTACCCCGCTTAGAAACAAATACTGAACCAAATCCTTTCAGATAAACTCCGGTCTCCGAATTTTCAGAAAACGTCACACTACCACCTGTTTCCAGAGTAAGATCTCTTACATTCATTAAACGCCCCTTTACAGTTAATCCTACACCATCAATAGAAAGTTTTGAAGCTGTAACAAACAATCCCATTTCCTCGACAACTAGATTAGTGCGTAGTGTAAACGACGTTTCCTCTGATTCACTTGCAGCAGAGAACATAATTTGATTGGCTTGAATGACAATTTCAGCTTTACGGTCAGCTTTCAGTTCTGTGACAGAGATCTCCATTCCTAGTGTGCTTGATTTGTTTTTATTTACGAACCACACGCTGGCTGGACCTTGAACTCTTAACTCATCTAATGAAACGATGGCCATGTTGGTGTTCGTTAAAAATGTCTTCGGTTTAAGATTTGATGTTCTGATATGATTGTCAACAATAACAATCTTTTTTGGAATACGATTTTTGTCTTCCTCAATATATACCGTTCCTGATGATCCGATGTGTTGTCCTTTCCCTCCCTCAACTTGAAAACGTCCTTGAAATATCATTTTATCGTTGAGATGAAGAGCAACACGCCCACCACTTCCACCACCACCATTTCCAAACCCATTTCCACCATTTGCAGCTATACGTCCAACACCACGAACAGTTCTAGACTCTATGTAAATGCTTCCACCACTTCCACCGCCACAAGCAGTCAGTAAACAACTACCTCCATCCACTGAAATTGAGCCATCAACGACAAAATCTTGACTCGTTTTTATCTTAATATATCCTCCTCCTTTACCTCCATAAGATGAAACATTTCCACCTCCACCACTACCAAACTCGTTTGGTGTAACCATTTCGCCATACCACGTTCCGCCAGAACTATCTTTACCACCTCCTATACCAGCATGTCCAGCCCCATGTCCATAGTTATTCTTAAATGCTCCTCTACCCTCACCAGAACCGCCTTTATGTCCCATCTCACTAAGGTCTATCTTGGCTCCCAAGTGCACAACTATGCTCACAGCCTGAATATTAAGCCAGCTTCCTTTTATTCTAGAGCCGTATCGTAACTCCAATGTCGCAAACGACAGTGGCACTTCGGTCTGGTTAGAATTTTCAAATGTCAGTAAAGCGTTACTTTTGAGAAGCAATGATGCAAACTTGTATTCACCTCGTCTTGATATAAATGTGTAGTTACCATCAACAAAAAGTGCAGTCCTGGCTGAATTGGACAAAGTTGTTCGCCGACCTTCGCCAATAACCATGTCAAGGACACCGGTGATTGTTCCAGAGAACTGGTTATCAGGTCCTAGAAAAGTTACTGATGAGGGAAGTCGAAGTTCACCATGTTTTGCTACGTGGAAACTGCAAAGCGGGCTTGCTGCAGCAGAACTGGTATCAATTTCTACAACAAGATTATCAGGTATGTTTATCGTGGTCTGTGAAGTACTTATTAGCTTCTGTATTACCATGTGATGGTCCGGTGTCACTTTTATGTTACCATTCAAACGAAGTATGTCGATTTCATAAGCAGAGATAGTTTCATTAAAGAAAACCGGAAGTTGTTTAGTGGAGCTAACGTTCTTGTTATCAATAATTAATGTTTTCATAGTTCGCGCATTACTTCTTTCAAGTAACCATATCGTTCCAGGTGAGCCAGAATTTAAGTTCCGTCCCTCTCCCCCACTTGCATCATATTTACCTAAAAAGCTGTTTGTTCCAAGGGATTCAAGGTAAATGCGACCACCAGAGCCTCCTCCTCCGTCAATTCCAGATGCACCACCTCGGCAAGATACTTTGCCGTTGCCTATAAATACATTGTCTATTCTCATATAAATACTTCCACCACTACCACCACCAGCACGTCCCTCACCATTACCACCATTACTTGTAATCGTTCCATCCAATGAAAGCGATCCCACGCTAAGAACAATAACTCCTCCCCCGATGCCTCCTTTACTTCCAATTTCTGAACCCCCACCACTTCCAGGCTCTTTAGAACCAAAGAGCGAACCATAAATGGGGCAAGATTCATCTCCTAGACTTCCTCCACAGCTACCATAACTGCCTCCTTCCCGTGCAGATAATGTTCTACCAGTACCAGGTCCGTGCTTATATCCAAGAGCATTTGATGTTATTAAACCCCCCAAACGAATAAGCAACTCAGGAGTCTTAAGAGTGACAAAGGGACTTTCGAGAATGCCATTATATTCAATACTAATTGAAAAAGCACGCAATTCAACATTCGTCTTTCCTCCGTGGTTGATAAGAATATGACCTCCACTAAGAATTTGGAGAGTGCGAAGGGTGAGAGTCCCTTTCTGTGAAGATTTTGTTCCAATAATTCCTTCAGGAGAAATCCTTACTTGAGCATTTCGACCAACGATAATTTCTTGACCACCTTGTACTTTTCCTTTCACGTCAAAACTTGGTTTCAATGTTGTTTCTTTTACACGCGGAGCAAGAATCATTTCTGCACCTTTCTCAACAGAGACAGCAGATCGTAAAACAAATGGTCGTGTGCTAGTGCCTGATCCCAATGATAAAACTTGATTGTTGAGAACACGAAGTTGACCAGTCGCATCACCAATTAAGTTTAAAATGCTTATGCGAACAGCAGTCTGATTGGATCTGTCACTTACTATTTCAACCCTTCCTTCTCGAATGATCTTTAATGTTTCCAAAGTATATTTAGTAAGCAATCCATGCATAATAGCAGTAATTCCTGTACTTCTGCGACCAGCATTATTGATAATAGTTGTCTCATATGGCAAACCAACTCGAAATTCGCGAATAAACACAGTTCCAGCAGCTCCACATGCACTGCTACATCCACCAAAAGCACTAAAAATTCCCAAATATCCTTGTCTATCTTCAACGTACATAGCAATTCTTCCACCTGAACCCCCACTCATTCCGTTGGCTCTTATAATTCCAGAACCATTAAAAATCTTGGCTTTAATCAAGATACTTCCCCCACTTCCACCACCATCCATTTGCGATCCTAAACCATCTGCGTGTACTTCACCATTTAACACAAAATAACCAGCAACATTTATGATAAGTCTTCCTCCACCATTGAATTTTGCACCGTTGGATCCAATACCACCACTTCCATACTCAGAAGGTTCAAAAACAGAACCATAAACCGAATTGCGTCGAGCATTAGCAGCTTCGCCTCCATAACTTCCTCCGATGCCAGATATATTACTATATCCTCGACCTTTTTTGAATCCTCCTCCAGTCACGCCAATAGATGCAAAATTATGAATTTCTAGCGAATCGGATGTAATGTTAAAACTTTTCAGTTCAGATGTTGAGATCAACTCTGAATATGCTTCGAACACTAACTTAGTACAAAGGAATTTAAATTCCTGTGTATTGACTTCTATTTTCGCGTGAGGGCCGACATTGATTTCTGCTATATTAAGAGTCGACAATCCAGACAACAAAGCAATGGAATATTGTCTTAATATCAGTTTTTCAGTTTTTATCACACCTTTGATTAATTTCAAATTCACAACTTTGCCTACAGTTAGTCGAGGGACTTCCATTTTCCCATATAAATTAATCGTTCGCAATATGCTTGTTGGGACGTGGATTTTTAACGAGCCAATCACATTTAATTGGCAAGAAAGAATACCATTGGATGGTAGTTTCATTATTTCCAAATGATGATTAAGAGGGATCATTATTTCACCACTTCCGTCGGTATTTAATAATCCAACTGTCAGTTGCCGTTGAGAAACTCGAAATTTGGCTGATTCACCAACGCTCAGTGCATCAAATGAATTCAAACTTGCGTTGACTGGTAGCATAGAAACTTGAGATCCTTCGCCATTGATAATCAAACTTCCATTGATACTGTTTTTATCTTTGATAAAGATCGTTCCTGGCGAGCCGTTATATTTACCTGTACCACCATACGCTGTGAACTTTCCTTCAAAATCGTCTTTAGAAGAGTTAATATGGATCGCTATTCGACCACCACCGCCTCCACCTGAGCTTGCTATTGAGCCGTTGCCACCATTAGCAACAAATTCTCCATCACCTTTTAAATCATTGGCAAACAAAAGAAGACTTCCCCCACTGCCTCCTCCTCCTGTGGTATCACTACCACCACTAACATCAATAACACCATTGTGCTGAAACATTCTTGAAACATGTAAAGTGATCTGTCCACCACCTTCTCCAGATGAACTACTACCACCTCCATTAGAACCAAAGTTTTCAGGCAGTAAAACGTCACCATATATATCATTTAGGCTACCACCCCCTCCAGTACCACCGTATGAGCCTCCAATGCCATGAGACAAGACGCCTGACCATTTTCCTGATAGCGCACGCAGATATCCACCAGAATATATTTTCAGTTGTTCAACGCGAAGAGAATTTTTGATGCGTCGGTTTGCATCAGCCTTAAAGCTCATCGTTGCTTCACTCAAAATTTCCAATCGTCTGTAACTGTAGCTTCCAACCTCAAAAACACAACTTTGGCCAGGAAGAAGCCGAAAGTCTGTATAATCACAAGTAATGTTATAACTCTGACGATATCGTGTCTGGTTTTCAAGGCGATACACTCCACTAGCATCTGACAGATTTACTTCAACCTGATATGGGATTGGAGCATAGACTGATGACCGCCGTCCCTCTCCACATGGATTGTAGTCCACATTCTCTGAAGTGTGATGAACAAAACCGTACGGACAGGAATTGCCAAGTGAAGATCCTCGTTCTTGCTCTATCTTATTAAAGTAATTCGTTACAACACGGGAAGAGACATTATATTGAGCACCGTAATCTAACTGAAGAAGTTTAACAGTTAATTTCAAGCCAGGCCAATTGCTAGCTTCAAAAAATCCACCTTGTTCAACACGCAAAAAATCAAAGTCAAATACACCAGGCTGTGATCTATACTTTGTGCTTCCGGGATAAGTTGCATAAAATTTACTTCGCTTCGAAACAGTAATGTTTTTCACACCAATTAGACTTCCATTAACAAGTAAACTGACACCTTTGCTCAGCAAGACAATGTCAGGAAGGAGTACAAGTCCATTTGGGTTGATTTCAATGTTGTTTTGTAGCTTAACTTGGTTATCATTGACATTCGTTGACAAATACACGTTTTGTAGACTATCTACGCGAAGTATTCCACTTCCATCACCACTAAATGTTTTCGTAACTTGTAACGTCATTTCCTGATTACTGGGGCATAACGTCATGGTTAGCTTTGCAGCTCTCATCAGCTTAATTTCATCGAAAATATAGTCTTCATTTGGTTTACAGACCAAAGTGGTAAATCCCGCAGAACGCTGTAGGTTGTTATCAAGCAGAAGTTTTTTGTTCAAATTAGTTTTGTGCAGGTAAGCCATACCTGACGCACCTGAAATATAACCAGCTCCTCCTGCAACTTGAACATCCCAAAGTAACAAACCTTCACTGTAGTACAAAGCAATCATTCCACCACTTCCTCCTCCTGCATTATCACCACCGTTACCACCAGAGACTGAAAGAACACCGTCACCTTCGACAATCTTAGTTGTAATCCAAATGCTACCTCCTGCAGAGCCACCAGCTTGTGTGCTTCCGCCGAATAATCCTCTAAAAAACAAGTAATGATCAAATAATAACCTGATAGTCAATATAAAAATAGTGGATTTCTTCAATTAAAGTAAAACATAACAAAGATTGATGAAATACAGTCGAAATTAAAACAAAGAAGCGATGAGTAAAAAAACCTCGCTGATATTTCTCCATTATTGATAAGTCGTTCTTTAACTTGCGCTCGTATTACTCCACCACCAAGTACAACCGATGACGACTGATAATTTAACACACCTCCACCTTCACCAGGAAGTTTAGGTTCCAATATGTAATCATAAGGTTTGCCAGAAGACCGCTGACCACCATAGCCTGCATGGGAACCACCTGACGACCGTTGTCTTTGCCCTAGATTGACATTTGTTTTAATAAAGAAATTGACATTTGTTTTAATAAAAATTGACATTTGTTTTAATATTATTGGTCAATTTTATCGCTCTTGACGATCCAAGTATGATGAAGAAAATAAGTACTGTTTGTGTTTGATGCAAAATTCAAAGAATATCAATGAAATTTCTTGATATCAAAGAAAAAATCAGTTTGTTGATTCTAGACCTAAAGATTAATTTAAGGACTAGCAGTTCTAAAATGAAGGTAAATCAGACGTTAGACTTAAAAGCTATATGTTCTTACCCTCACGGGAAGCCACTCTTTGGTCAAATCCTTGGCCGTCAACAGTGAACTTCCCAGTTTCGTTTAAGACCATAACATCACTTTTAACAGTTAAATTTCTCGCTTGAATCAAACCTTTTGCCATTATGAGAACTTCGTTTGTTTCCAAAACATTACCAAACTCAACGTTTTTGAAAATAATTTTTCCTTTCGCTTTTACCGTTACACGCTCAAAGACAAAACGACGTGGACTAACAATGCCTCTAATGATCGATCCACTGTTCAACCCAAAGTTCATTGTCGTATCAGAAACAGTCAATTTTTTAATTCCTTTCAATTGCCCATCGCAAATAAAAGTTGTTTTCTTAATTTCAATGTTGGATGGTAGTCCCAGATTACCGCCTTCATATACATGGACATGAACGGGCAAAATATCATCACTTTTACGGATTTCAACATTTTTTTGTGTCCCAACGTGCAAATACCCTGTAATTTCACTATTTATATCTTTATTCGTAAATCCACGTAGTTTTCCAACTGTTACAGTTTGAAAGTTCAAGCCAGATTCAAGAACTAAATGTGATCCATCAGATAATACCAATTCATCAAAATGATAATTATTGTTAATCAATGACGGAAGCCATGTTCTTGCATTATCTGTAGGTAGATTAGCGAAATCAATGACGGTTGTGAGCGGTTTTCTGTTGTTATTTGACACCCATAAATATCTTAAATTCTTGTCATAATTATGTTGGTAAATCGTTCCAGCAGCACCCGCCTCGTGCGATGAGTCTCCGCCATATGCCGAGATTCGACCAGTAAATGAGCTAGAGTGATAGTACACCGCTATGCGTCCTCCACTTCCTCCACCACCAAAATCATGACCAGGGCCACCGGATGCATCAATGACACCTTCACCAGTGAAGAACGTTGTGTTGATGTAAATACTTCCTCCACTACCACCTCCGTAATTTTCCTTCTCATCCAGACCACCTTTACACTCTATGTTACCATCCAGATACAATTCTGTCGTTGTGATTTTTATCACACCACCACCTGGAGAGAGACCACCACCTCCAACACTTCCAAATGAAGATGGATGAAATACACTGCCATAAAATGCTCCAATGAAAATATTTCCCAAGCCGCGACCGCCTGTACCACCATGACCAGCGCCAGATGAACCACGTGGACTATATTTACCATTTCCTGAGTGTGAACCGACGATAGACAACTGTAACCAAAATAAAAAAAAACATTTGGTTTTGACGCAATTTTAAAAGCTTGTTTTGAATTTATTGATTTACGAAAATTTATTACTTAAGTATTTGGTTTTACATTTGACAAGCTCTATATACAATCCTATATTTCCTTCAATCTTTTTTTCTCATTTGTGTTTTCACTGATATTTTTACCTTTCCCTTGGAATTTGCTTCTAAGACACCAGATTGATCAATTCGAACAACATTCGCTATAAGATCCAATTTTGTAGCAATAAAATTTCCGCCGCTTCTTATTATCAGTTTGTTACATGAAATAGAAAGACCATCTTTGTTGCTTTCGACTTCAAAAATACCACCACCTTGAACATCGATGACGTCGAATGATGTATGACGGGATACATTGCCACTTGGATCAAACATTTCCCTGATATTTAATGAATCAAAGTAGTTGAACGTAAATGAAATGAAGACTAGCAAAGTCTACGATCACTGGATTCAATGGCAAAAGTTTATTTAGAATAAAATGCTAGCAATCAGAAAGAAGCAATTTTATTATCATAATAACGATGATATTTTCAAACTTTATTATAAGCTAATTGAGCAGTTTCGTATGTGCTTGCAAAGGAACATCTAACTGATACACAAGCATAAAAAAATAAAGCTGGAGGAATTTAAAGTATAAAAATTGTATCTGGAGGAATGAAAACGATTTATATTCTTACAAAGCAGACTAAACACATTACCTTAAAATGACTTTTCCACCATTTGCAACAGATAAATTTCTTGCTCCGTTTAGGCGTCCAGATGTAATAATCTTAATCCCATTCACAACGAAACTCTCTGACAAAGTGAGCTCACCTCGGGGGTAAATATTGATACCCCATGGTAAATCTGGTGATTTGGTTTGTTTTTTATCGTTTCCAGTGATTACTAATCTTTGATTGGCGAGAATATGCAACAACCCAGTTTTATCTCCAGTAATGCTACCAACATCCCACTCTAGACTATCTGAGGCATCATCATTTCTTAGTGATGCTAACTGGCCAGAACCACGTATATCTAACTGAGTAAGAACCAGTTGTTTTGTTCCTTTGGTTGGAGTCAACCATGTCCTTCCTCCATCGCGTTCAATGTCTGTGATATTATCCCCTGAGCGTGTGTCAGTATTTTGATTATCAACAATAAGTTTCCTGAACGCGCCGTCATTGCTTGCCAAATATACTGTTCCAGCTCCTCCAGAGAATAGATCACTTCTTCCACCATAGGCTTGAAATGTACCAGTATACGTATTGTTTGTAAAGAAGCACGCAATTCGCCCACCTGCACCTCCACCACCGTTTCTGAAGCCATTTCCACCATTTGCAATCAGTGAACCAGTTCCAGTAAGGACTTTGCTTTGTATCCAGATGCTACCTGCACTGCTACCACCAACCTTTGATTTGGGGCTATCACTACCACTTACTGTAACTTTTCCATCGATGCTGGCAGCCTCAATAGCACTAAGTTTAACAACACCACCACCATCAGCGCCGTTCGTACCAGCAGTACTTCCATACATGGAGGGTCTTTCAAAATCACCATATGCCCTACCAGGACGGTCAAAATGAGTTGAACCATGACCACCACTTCCACCATGACCAGCCCCTCCATTGCCTAAACAACAAATGAGGAACAATTAAGTTATCTTGAATAATGATAGATCGCATCAAAATATTCGAATTTTGGTTGCTAAGACAAAACAAACATGACAATGGCTGACAAAAATGCTTTTACCGACCTCTTTCAGGGCCTATGTTAAATCCGGACGACTTTGCTTTAATTTCACCAGCAACTTCTATAGTTATATTCCGAGCGATGATATTGAAATTTTGACCTCTTACTTTGCCACCAGGAAAGACATGAAATTTATCAGAAATATTCATCACCAACGATTGTGAAAGAGAGTTAGGTTTATTGAAAACGAGTTGAGCGTCAGGCATAACGGTGAGAGACGTAAAGTTAAAGTTGTTATCCATCAAACCATACGAACTGGCCTAGAATAAATATTGAAACATAGAAATTTAAACAGTTGCAAGGAACGCTTGCCCAAAATTTTCAGGTCTACGGAGTCTTGTTAACAGCATGTACCTTGTTTCCTAGCAACAATGTGATGTCAGGTCCAATACGAATATCTTCAATGCCACCGAGTTTACCATCAATAACTAAATGTGAATGCTGTGTCTTTACAAGATTAACTACTTTAGGCAGCGATAATACACCTTCTTCATAGACATGAAACCAAGATGGAAACTCATTAGAGGCTGACTTAACGATCACGTGGTCACCCGACTTTACATGAAGCAAGCCCTTGTTGTCACCCGTTAACATTTTGATAAATACGTCTCTTTTGATAGTGGAAACGAAGGATGCATGAGCCCCATTGCGTAACTTTAGTTCATCATAAAGCAGATCTTTATCTGACGATATTGGAATCCATGTTTTTCCTCCGTTATCATATTGGTTGTCACTCACTAAGTGGTTATCAACAGGATTTTGTCCGCCATTGTCAATTGTAAGAGTGACAAATGACTTGTTACCAGTTTTGATTATTTGATAGATAGTCCCTGCTCCTCCAGGCTCTGTGAAGCTTGCACCTCCTTTAGAGGAGATTTCTCCACTAAACTTTGATTCGTTAGTATGAATACTGATTCTTCCAGCAGCACCACCACCACCGTAGTTCGCTGCATTTCCACCATCAGAAAGCAGTTTTCCTTTTCCTATAAATCTATTGGCTGTTAGCTTCAGACTTCCTCCGCTTCCACCACCACCTCCTGTCAACGTGTTATTACCACTCACATCAACAGTTCCGTCAATATCGATGACATCAGCTTCAAGAGCCACGACGCCTCCGCCAGATCCACCGAGCTATGAAGAGAAATATTTTACAATTTAACTTTCTTTGCTGTGGAAATCGAGCGTAATTATGAAGCCATGTTTAAAGTAGGTTTTTAAATGATATTTTTTGCTCTAGCATTTTTATTTTAAAAATGATGCATACCAAACTCTTATTCCCACGTCCTCCACCACTGCCAAATTCGTGAGGATCAATGACTAAATCATAAGACACTCCAACTCTTTTTTGCATTCCACGCCCTCCTGTACCACCATGCCCAGCACCTGATCCTCCTTGCAACGAGGAAACACCAGCACCAGGTCCTTGACCTGATGGGTAACCACGACCACGCGCTGTAACCATGGAAGACGTATCCAGTTGGATTTTCCTCGCCTATTGAATTGTTAATAAAAAATAAAAGACGAAAAATATAATTTATTGAAAGACGTAGGATGAAATATGATGAAAGTTTCACATGCGATTGCTCAAAGCTAACGTATAGCCACTTCATTGTAAAAATCCACAGGAACTATAACATGTCCAACCTTGAACGTAATTCCACTGACATCTATTCTCCCATAAGCATTAACAGTTAGATCATTAGTCAAAGTAATAGTGGCTTTTCCAACCGTCTTATCACCCAGTGATTGTTTTAACGTCCCTCCTGCAAGTACTTTTAAGCTATCAATGTCCATATGGCTAGCTGTTTTACTATTTACACTTGCTTCAGGGAAAATATCAACGATGCCACTTTCATCAATAACTAAACGCTTCATTCCATTGATTTTTCCATTCGACACTAAAACGCCTTTTGTAACATGAATTTCATCAGGGAAAACAATGGTAGATGTCTGAAAATATAAAACTTTACTGCTGAAAGACCATGTTACAGGTAAACAGGCATTCTAAAATTCAATTCATGCAAAAGATGAAAGAATATTTCAGTGCTGAGTGCTTGATTGTTTGTGAATGCCATTGCAGCTTTCACGCATACGCTGAAATTTGTAAAACAATTAACATTCATTTTCAAGAATGCAGTTTGAGTGAATACAAGTAGAACTATATTATATCTCGTAATTCCGCAATTCGTTTAACGACGTCCAGACATGTAGTGTCGTTTCTTTATATTTACCTTGTATGCTTGAACATTGAATGGTAATATGGTTGTTTTTTTAGTTGACATGTTCATGTTTTGTTGAGAACCAATGTGAATGCTTCCTGAGTGGTCCCCAGTTACATCTGTAATAACCATATTACCACTGGAAAGGATTTTTTGTGATATACCAAGATGAGCTGCGCCACTGATATGCATGACATCGAACTCAAGTTCACCAGAATCTTCAGGAAAAATCCATGTTCTCGCACTATCTTCTTTGATGTTTTCTTCTGTGAAATTACCAGATTCCCGACCAATAAATAGCTGAATTTCAGAAAGTGCAGTGTACTTTTGTAAAGCTTGAAGATTGACTTCTATTTTAGTTAATTTATCATTAACTTGAAAATCATAAAAAGCGTTCGTGTCGAAGCAATTTCTGTTCGAAATCGATGATGGTTGTAGTAGTGTCTTCGTATGTGCAGTTGTTACAGAAACGTTCAAACTAACTGTGTAGTTGAAAGAACATGTCTAAAGAAAAAAAAATATTGTCAAAATTCTTTACCAAACAGACCTTTGAAAAGCACTGCATTATTAAACTTACTGGATAAATTCTAATGAGTTGTATCCAGGTTGCTCGGATAAAAGAGATTGTAATTGTTGTCAATTGAGAGGTTGATGCAAATGATGTGTTGAAATAACCGTCAACTAAGTTTTTCAGTTTATAAAAAGGAGAAGCGGAGGTTGCTACAGTAATACCCCCACGAGCTCTATATAGCGTCGAAGAACCTTCGCCACCGCTACCAGAAGATAATTTTAATTGTTCCAACAGCTAAAATGAAGAAATGAATAACGAATCAATTCAATAGTATGAAATAAGGTGACAGTTTTGTTCTAAATTCAGAGATGCGAAACACAAAGAGCTATATTCATACCTGGTTCACTTTGCCAGTTTGTGGGGAATGTCCATTATTGCTCACAATCAAAGTCTTATTTGTAGTGTTGTTTGATATTTTACGATGATGATAAATAGTTCCGGCTGCTCCATATTCATCATTACCAAATCCACCAAAAGCCTCATATGTACCATCGTAATCCTTATTGTCACTATAATACAACGCTATTCTACCTCCAGAGCCTCCACCTCCACCAAACTGTCTATCACTGTAACCATTTCCACCATTCGCCTGAAATATGGAGAAGGTAATGTGTTGACTGTCATTGCATACCAATAATCGTCATTGGTCAATCGTAGTTCAATCTCAACAGGTTTGTTTGTCTTAATAATCGTTTCACTGCCAATAATTATTGTTAATAGTTAAAATCTTATTTTAAAAATACTCAGTGTCAGCCATTGAGTTTTAGTTAAAGCATTTTGTGGAGAAGCTAAACTTTAGTGTAATAAAGCGATGACATGCTTTCAGGTTTTCACATGAGACCAGGACGGGTATTATTCACAGCAAAAGATGGCACAAACCTTGATTTTGCCACTTCCGTCCAAACGTTGAGTAATGACGTAAATACTGCCAGCACTTCCTCCACCGGCATACAATCCACGGGCATTTTCTCCATTTACTGAAAGATCGCCGTTTACGGTGAGGCGATTTGATACATTGAAGAAGAGGATACCACCTCCAACGCCACCATGACTGGATACACCGTTGCCACCAGAACTTCCTGTTTAATAGAAATTCAAAAAATTAAAGTTAATGCAAAAGAAATTCATTGAACACAAATCTCAATATACCAAAGTTCAACGGCGTCAGCACAGAACCATAGGTTGCTCCTGACAATATTTGTCCAGCTGCCCTACCACCACGACCACCATGTCCTCCACCAGATCCACCGCCTGGGAATCCTGGGATAGAATCTATACCTTTCCCCTGTCCTAAGATACGTTGAAATAATTTTCTTTAGATTTCCAAGAAAAAAATTCTAAAGAATTCAGCTTTAATACTTATCAAACTTTCGAAAGGTCTAATTACCTGGCCAACTAAAGGTCTGCCCAGACAAAGTTGCCTCAAAAACAGCCAATGTATCAACAGTGATATTGATGACGTTTACATGCAAATTAACCCCGGAGAGTTTACCCCCTGCATGTACGTGAATGGAGCGACCATTGAATTCTCTCACTTTTTCTTGATTTGTAACCCGCATTGTTCCATGATTACGAATACTGATCTCTTCAAAGTCAAAAGTCTTCAAGTATAAAGAAAACAAAAGGTGGTATGACATAATAACTCATACAAAAATGCAGTATGAAAATCCAAAAGAATCTTATTGTGTTCACAATTAAAAAAGAATAAAAAATTGTTTCCAAGAATTCTTACCTTCGTAGATAAGCCATTGATATCATACATCTCCTTCATTTTCACAGTGCCACCATCAGCAATTGTAATTTTTTGACATTTTTGAAGAATACCATCAACATCGACAGTCACACCAGCAACAAGCAATTCACCTTGCATTGTAGTAACACCTCCTTGGAAGATCAACAAATTGAATGGCAGATAGGAGTTAAGTGAAAGGAATGACTGGTTATAAGCAACAAAGAATGAGCCACTACGATCGCCTTGCATCCTACTTATTTTGAGAGACAAAGAATGTTTGGGTTCCTGAGGAAAAATGAACAGCACTTCCGCTCCTCCGTAAATCTGTAATTCACTCAGCCTTATGTTGTCATCAGAGGGGTCCAATGTTACCCATGTGCGTCCTGATCCTGTTATAAAAGAGTCGTTGAAACTAGAGCTAAGGTCAGCAGGTCGAGGTTTACGATTGTTCGCGTTTATGTAAAGTGTTCGATTTTGAATCTCAAATTCTTGGTCATTATTAGCAAAATTACGTGGAACCAAACTCTTTATATTACCCGTCTCGTTTACAGTAACTCGTTCAATAAAGACAGTTCCTGCTCCTCCCGGCTCATAGTTACTTTCCCCACCAAATGCTAAATATCGACCAATGTAGTTGTTCGCTGTAGTGTAAATGCTTATTCGACCACCAGCACCACCTCCACTATTTTCCAAATCACCACTTCCTCCGGAAACATCAAGCAACCCCTGACCATGGAGATACCTTGCATAAACCAATATACTTCCACCACTAGCACCACTTCCTAGTAATGATGTAGTCCTACCACCTATAGCAGATATTGTGCCATCAACGTGCAGTGAATTTTGTGCTATCAACTCAATAATGCCTCCACCGTAACCAGGAACTCGAGGATAAATCGGTGCAGCACCGGGTCGTCCTGTAGATCGAGGAACTTTAAATGCACCGTAAGAAACACCAGGTACACTAGAGGACCTTCCAGAACCACCATGACCACCATGACCAGCACCACTACTTCCCAGATTACCTGACTTACCATCACCATCATGATATCCTTTGGGCATAATCTTATTTTCCGTTGACAAGATAGAGAAAGGTTCCAGAGTAATGTTGATGAAATTTAGTTTCAACTTGTTACTATCAACCTAAAACACCAACGTTTATTTTAAAATACGTTACAGGAGCATGACAGTTCAAGCCTGCCATACGTCATCCATGAAAAAGTCCCTCACGCAAATAAAACATGTACTTAATCAATCTGCTTACCCTTGCACCACCACGAACATCCATAGATACTCCGTTAACTACGACTTCGCCATTTTCTGCAAGTAGTTGAAGACGACCGTCAGTTTGGACAACCAATTTATTTATTGATAAATTAAGACTTGTTTCTTTCTCCTCAATTGAAAGAAAACATCGAGGGCCGACAGAGACTTCGTTAAAGTTTTTTATAACGCCGCGTGCGTGAATATTCACAGAATGGCAATTAAATTTCCGTGGAAGATTTAAGGTAGAGTTGACATTTCCCAGTAATTCCGTCTTGAAAGAGCCAGTCGTACGATTTACGGAGAGTTGTTGAGAGGAGCGTACATGAATCGATCCGGTGCCATCACCATCCAGCTCGTTTGTAATGAGGTGAGAATCGTTACCTGAGCAACTTAAATGCCCTCCTTTCCGTAAAATGACCTATGATACAGAATGTAATAGTTATTAAACAACGACGTGAAGGACTTACGAGAGTAAGGTGATAGAAGGTCTGTTATTTCCTAAAACACATCATCATTCTCAAAAATGTTCATAAGATCATTTTACGTATTTGTTTTTCAAGTACAAGATACATCTACATCTCGTAGCTAACTTGAGATGCAATAAGACAAGTCTAACGAGCCTAAAACTGACTGAAAGACCTCACAAGCCTGACTGGTTCCAATCACACCCAAGACACGCACATGCATGTATTGTGTTTCAACTTATTTTTGCCTTCTAATCAAAACTTTGCATTAAATTAATTTGTTTGATTAGTGAATTCCACTGTTTAAGTTCAACTATGAGTTCAACACACTTCGTTAGTAAAATTCCAACTTCCATTTGAAGGAAAATAGTTTTCTTTTATCTAGTTTTTACCTTGTCAAACTTCAAAAAGTCATTCATCGTGTTATTTTCATTTTCAACAGAAATCCAAGCTGCAGGTGTTTGAATCAACATCTGAGAAGGGTTTGGAAACACTTCTTGAATAAATAATTGTACTTTGCTCAGAGCGGCATATGAAGAAACCTTCGAAAGCGATATCACGATCTACAGTAGAACAAGAAGAGAAGAAAACATTTTATTACTGGTATTTTTTATTTCCAGAATGAAAAACCATTCGCTACCCAGCTTTGGATGAAAGATTCATAAAAAACCATCTCGCCATCCTGTTCATAATTTTTGGCATATCTAACCTTATTTATTTCTTTTTGCACATGAACAATGCCATATTGACCTTGTTTGCATTGTTCAGTCGATATCCAAGATGTTTGTTCAAGAGCGAGGCTGCTTCCAAATAGGGCACGAATTTTGTAACTTGTGCTAAAGTCTGAATGACATTTCGGGAACATTCTCAAATGATCAATTGTGATAGGATATGGGAATGTAATGGTTATCTCAGGAGTTGAATATGTTGTGTAGTAGAAATTATTTGAGCTATCAAACAAGTGGGACAAGCGATTATTTTGATATCTACATTCATTTATAATGCCAGAATAAATACAGTACGGTTGACCCGTTGTTTCGATACTAAACCCTTCCAACGACCGATAAGATGTTGCACTTTCAGTCGAGGTTCCCGTGATTATTAACTGCCTAACTTCAACAATCCTCGAAGATGCTGTGTCATGACCGTTGTCGATAATTAGTTGTCTTTTCGTTGTATTACCACTATCATCTTGGATATAGACTGTTCCAGCAGCTGTAAAAATTTATGATTAAAATGTTGTGTGAAATAAAGTTATGAAATTGAGGTAAACAATATTTCTGTAAAGTAAGACAGTAGATAAGTAAATATTTCAATAAATAATGTTACTGAATTATTTAGGTTATCTCATCACGTACTTAACTTAATGTAATAGTATCTAAAAAAAGCAAAAATTTCTTTACAATAAACAGAACCTAATATTGATGCTGATAATTATACCTCCTCTCTCAGAAGCACTTTCTCCCCCAAACGCTTGAAGATCCCCGATGAACGTGTTTATCCCTGAATGATACACAGCTATTCTGCCTCCACCCCCTCCACCGCCAACGGTAGATCCAGTTCCACCTCTTGCTTCTATTGTTCCCATTCCATCGAAATGCTTAACATAGACGAGAACTGAGCCTCCTGCACCTCCTAAGTTAATTTTTTTACAAAAAAATAAACATCACCTTATTATCATTGTAAAGAAAACAAAACAACTTCAGAGATCTTTCTAGGTCAGCCGTCAAGGCTATATTTCATAGTTATAAACGTATGGTATGCAAGAGACATCAAATTTCAACCCAAACAAGATTCATACTTATTGTTATTATGCCACATAACCAATCAAATAGATCTAGAGGAAATTCAGAAACCAAATCTTTCTTACCACCAGTTCTGTGCGAATCACCGTTTGCACGGATATTTCCTTCCACACGAAACAGATCATTTATATTAAAATGAAGTACTCCACCACCTGATGCGCCACTCCCTCCACTGCCTGCCATGACAGGAGTATAAATTGAATCATACGCCAAAGATGATCGCAACTGATATCTTCCACGACCACCATTTCCACCATGGCCACCACCAGAATGTTGACGAACACCACGTGCATACGAAGGTCCTCTTCCGGCAGCGTAACCAAGTCCAGTGGAACTTATTTCACCTGAAACAAGTTTTTTGTGTCAGCAGGAAAATTATCACATTGTTTGACTTAATACCGTTTTGTGCTTAATGCCTAATAACAAAAAAATTTGACCGTACGTGTATTTCAAAATATATTAAAGTAGCACTTCGATTGACCATATTCTACTTTCAATATATTTATTTATAAATAGAATAGCAAAATTTATTTTGCTAAACGCTGGACAGTCACTGGTTTTACTTTTACAAATATCTCTTCTTTTCACACAAACCTTTTTCTTATTTCCTGAAACATCCTCAATTCATCATAACACACCTCTTCCCTCCCCCCCCCCAAAAAAAAAATAGCAAGCTTTTTTGATCTTACCAGCAGCATCAACAGTGATGTTTGTAGCACTAAAACGAACATCATTTGATATGAACTTGCCCCCGGCATTGATCACCATCTTAATGCATTGTACTGCCATTTTACCATGTCCAAATAAGGTGGTCGCAGTCAAACGACCACGTGCATAAATACTGATATTCCCAAAGACAAATGTTCCTTCCGGTTCCCCTTCACTGTTTCCACCAGACCACAGATGTAGTTGCCCATCCTTATCAACAACATATTCCTTAGAATCTGACAGAGAACCGTTAACATACATCCATACTTCGCGCAGAGATACACGTTTAGGTAAGAATAACGAGCCACGTGGATAAACAAACGTATTCACAGGAAAGTAAACATCAATATCGTGAAAATGCACTTTTTGTAAAGCCCCAATATGCAATACGGCAGACCGATCTCCAGTCAAGAGATTTGCTCGCAAATATACATCCTCATTGGATGCATTACCATAAAGAGCAAGGTGCGAGTTACCTTGAAGTATGAGTTCGTCGAATATATAGTGTCTTGCTTCCTTAAGCCATGTCACTGAGCCAACCTGATCGATATTTGTGTAGAGGCCACTAAATATGTTCAATAAATTACCCTGACGGTTCATTGCTTTTGGCAAAGACAAACCTTCGTTGTCTACCGTTAGTCTTCTCCATAAGATACGAGTACCATTTCTCTTTTCTAAATAAACTGTACCTGATGCTCCGTCCTCTAATCCATATCCACCACGCACCGAGAATGAACCATTGTAATTGTGAATAGCACTGTATTCAACAGAAATTCGTCCTCCGGAGCCACCACCTGCATTCCCAGTAGATCCCGATCCACCACGTGCATAAATGGACCCATAACCGTCAAGTTCATCACATGTTATCCATATACTACCCCCACTTCCACCTCCAATTCCACTACGCTGATCCCAAGTTGGTGCATTCTGACCATTGACCGAAATTAACCCGTCTACAACAAGTCGTTTGCACGTAGTCCTTAACGATCCACCTCCAATACCACCCAAACCTCCAACACTCACTTCATTTGATTCAGGAGTGGTTGTTCGATAGCGGTAGCTTCCATAGTAAAGTTTTCCTGAAAACAAAGTATACAATACTCACACTAAAAAACTGTATATTTTGAGTCAATATTTGATGTCCTAATTTCAATTTATACGACCATCTTACCATAGTCATATCCAAATCCACCAGGGCTTCCAAAATGAAGAGGAGCGTACAATGAGCCATATGTTTGTCCTGCTATAAGTGTACCAACTCCTCGACCACCATTACCTCCATAACCACCTCCAGATCCACCATTTACGTGACCTGTTCCACGACCGGGACCAGTTCCAGTCACGTATCCAGAATGATCTTGTTGTAAGACGCCACCAGAATTCACAGATACTGTATTCATAGCATTGATTTTGAGACGACCATGTGATTGAAAGTGACCTCCACCATAAACCTATAGAAGTATTCAAGACAACAAAAACATATTTATCATACATAAACAAGACATTCAAAACATTTATATCAACAACACATTCAACAGTTTGCTGTCAGGAACCAGCAATGTGTAAGTTTTTTAATATGGTTAAGTAAAAAAACTTTTTGAGTTGAGTCGATTGAAAATTGATCTAACATTGACGAGATTTACTAAATAATAAAACTTATTTTACTTTCAGTTCGAGTTTTAAAGACCCATATGTCTAATGGCTACATTCATGCATCACAGTTAAAATATCAAATGATTTTGACCATGACAGGAAAAATTTTAACCCACCGTAAAGTTTGTAAGATTTAAATAAAGCTCGTTCATGCGATGTGATTCACCAAGCTTCACAAAACCCTTGTCTTGAACGTATAAAGATGTCAAACTGTAATCTGACTGTTTGCATTGTGCTCCAATGCAGCTGGATGTCATGCACTCAAGACGACCACCATCAAGAACATAGATTTCTTTCAATCCGGTCAACTAAAAATATAAAAAATTCAATCAGCAATGTTATTTTAAATCTTTTTTGACAACAGACTGTCGCACTTTTAGAGATTTTTGAGCTGCTGTTGGTGAAACAATAAAACAAACCATGATATCATAGTCGGGTATCAATATAATTTTAGGTTGATAAAAATAACTGTATTTTATTTTACTTTTACCTTGCCAGAAAGATATATACCAACGCCTTTGAGAAAACTCTTTCTGGGCAAAGATAGCTCGCCTTTCTCATAAATCCTCAAGCTTAAAGGTATGTCTGGATCAGTTATTTCAATGGTAAAATTTTGATTGTAGCCGACATGAATAGTGGCTGATTTATCGCCAAAAACTCGCCGATTAAAGACAGAGATATGTGCTTGCACATCTTTGGGATTTTTGAAGGCTGCCTGAGCGGATCCTAGAATATGCACTTCGTCAAACTTGTACTGAGATGAGTTTAAAAGAAGCCAAGTGACTGCTTGATCCACTTCGAGATTTTCATAACTAAAAATACAGTTGAATGAAATTCAAAACAATATATTTTACAGAAACTCAACTCTAAAATAATTACCACTTGAAAAATAAATTGTAAGGGAACTGACATGATTTTTATGATCACACCAAACTTAATTCATATCATCAACATGTGAGAAACTCAACCCTTTTGATTTGTTGCATTCTCATTCAAATTGCTTTGAGAAGAAAAGGAATCTTGCTTACCGCTCCCAGGAAGACGACGTTCCTTCAAAGATTTCAATTTCTGCCAAGCCAGTATTTCTTAATGTATTACTGGATAACTCTATATATATTTCAGAAGCATTTCTCATAAACATAACGTCTGTATAGGAGCCAAGTGTGCAGCCATAAGCCATGTTAACGTAACTTTGATGGATGACAAACGATCTTCCCGCTTCATCCAAACCACTCAACTATGTTTGGCAAGAAAAAGAAACAATTGTTAAATGATGATGAACTTTGATAAAAATGTTGACGAATGTTGTTTGTTGTCACACTTTACAGAAGAGTGATATAATTTACTTAATTAACTGTTTTCTCACCTTGAAGTTTGAAGGTCTAAGATTACATATCGGAAATATTCGAACATGATTAACAAACATCACTCTCCTCAAATTAATAGAAAGTTTTGTCGATAGCGCTCCAACAATAAACCAAGTATTTGGATTGCCATCAAACATGTCACGAATTTTAAAAGCATGATAATTTGGCCAAGGTCGAACGTAATAATCTTCTGAACTTAAAACAACGATTCCATTGGGTATCTCGTATCTTTTTCTTAAATAATCTCTACCTCCTGATGTTGATACTTTTCTTCCTTCATTCTTAATGACATCTCGAATGGGCCTTTGTTTTTTATTATCAATACGGAGAATCTTATATGAAGTTGAAACATGCTCAAGGTAAGCTGTTCCAGATGCCCCTGGTTCACCACTAGCCTTAGATCCGCCACCATTAGTTTCAAATGCTCCAGCAAAGAAAGCTGTGGTCACATTATTTGAGTAGTATACAGCTATTCGTCCACCTGCACCACCACCCCCTGCATCAGATGTTCCTCCTGTTACACGTAAAGCTCCTGTATGACCACCAGTGAATATTTGAGTAGAAATAAAAATACTTCCTCCACTACCACCACCACCAGCAACATTGCTCTTCTTTACACTATTTGCTTCTATGTATCCATTTAGCTAACAAACAAAGAAAATAGTTTAAATGACGCGGTGCAAGCCACACAACTTTGATATCAAAAAAAAATCCTACCGTTAAAGTATGACTGACATCAATTTTAACTTTCCCGCCACCAATTCCTCCAGATGTACCATCACCTCCACTACCAAACTCGTCTGGTTGAAACATGTCCCCATACGGTAGTCCCTTAGGCATTCGACATGTTTTGTAACCATAGCACGATGGCTGTCCTCCTGAGCCACCATGGCCAGCACCACTACTTCTGAAGTTCTTTGTAATTACAGTTCCTGGACCTTGCATGGCCAAAAATCCGCCATTGTTCAAATTTATTTTACCACCATCGTCAACGGTGAGGTTAACGATCCTCAAATGAAGATTGTTACTTTGAATCTCGGCTCCTCCTAAAAAATGGAAAAGTTCAGTTTTTCTAATTTATAACCACGCGTATGAAGATCAAAATGAATAAACTCACAACTTAAGAACACATAAATAGCCATAGGAAAAATACTAAAATAAATTAAAAATTTTGATACCAAGGTAAAACACCAAACTGTAAAAATCAAAATTACCTTCAATAAGCAATATTTTGCTTTCTAAAGTAAAAGTCCTATTGTCGGCATTAGCACTGTGGGTGACTATTTTTGAACCAGCCATAACGCGAACTGTCTCATTAAACCGTAAAGTTCTTACAAGCGCGTTTTCTGTATATCCAGTGATGTAATGATGAAACATTCCACCGTTGAGAAGGGTCAAATTTCTTACGTGTGCAACAACACCAGCCAAATAAAGATTGACTTTGTTTATCTCTGTAACTTCAGCAAGTCCAGCATATCCACCATCGTAGATTCTCAAATGCGCTGGGAAATCAATAAATCGTCGACGTAAATCAAGCTTTTGCCTATCACCAACATGAATAGTACCAGAGCGGTCACCGATCATAAAACTGAAGAACAACGAGGTGACACGGTTTGTTACGTTGGAAAATGTAATTGCAAGATGCGCACTGCCGTAGATTTGTAACTCCTCGAAATGAAATCGATCTGCGTTATCAGCAAATAAGTGCTCGCCAGAGTTGCTCAGAATCCACGTTTTTCCAGTTTGATATGAAATATCTTCATAGTGATTTACTTCAGGAAATAACGGTTGCTGTCCATTATTATCAACAAAAATTGTTCGATGAGTATGAATAAGATGGTAATAAAATGCAGTTCCTGATCCTCCAGCTTCGACATTGCTCCCCCCACCTTTCGTTATTGTTTTTCCAGTGAAGGATGAGTTGCTGTTGAAGTAAATACTGATACGACCACCAGCTCCTCCACCTCCATTTGAAGATCCACCACGACCTCCAGCAACGGATACAGAACCAGTGCCCGTGATTTCATGACAAAGTACATACAAACTTCCTCCACTACCACCACCGTTTGCACCATTTGCTGCATCGTCACCTTCGGCACTAATAACTCCATCGATGTGTAAAACATTGGAGACATTGAAGAAAAGAACCCCTCCACCATTTCCCGATTTCAGACCACCTCCACTGCTTCCGAATGTCGTTGCTTCATATATATCCCCGTATGCCACTCCAGATTGATTGGAGCCTTGACCTTGACCACCTGTTCCACCGTGACCGGCACCAGAAAACGTTTTCCCGCATCCTGGATTTACTACTCCATGAAGACCATTAAAGTATGTGTGGGTTCTGTTATAACCTAAACCATTCGCTGAGATAACGCCACCATCGTCAACTGTAACATTTTTAGCTATTATAGTAGGTCGTGTAGCACGAAACAAACCTCCTCCTTCAACATGAAGAGCTCGGACAGTGAGTTTAACTCCAGGATGATGCACTGGTGACGTAAGACCTTGTACAAATGCATTTTCTTGTATTCTCATTGTGTCGAAGTGGTATGAACTGTTCGTTTGGTTTGTAGTACGGCCACCATGATACATCCAGAAAGCGCCACCATGATGCAACGTCATGTTCTGAACATGCGCAAGGTGACCAGAAAGATATATTGTTACTCCATGAACTTCCGTGTATGGGGCAAGGCCAAGATAACCGCCAAGATACACATGAACACTATAAGGTAGATCTATCTCCTCTCGCTTCAAGTCCATCACTTGATTAAGACCAACATGAATCGTACCGCTTCGATCACCAATCATGTGTTTGAAAAACAAAGATGCTGGCGTGCCAACAATCTCAGTTTGTACAGCAAGATGACCACCTCCATATATCTGGAGTTCCTCAAAGTGGAAATCTTCGCCCTTGCTAGCAAAATGGTGTTTCCCAGATTCGGGTAAGATCCATGCTTTGCATCCATCTTTTTTCAAGTCACCATAGTCCACTATTGCCGATGCTAAAGGCTTTTGACCACCGTTATTTATCAACAATGTCCGATGTTCTTTAATCATGTGATACAAAAATACAGTTCCAGGACCACCAGCTTCGGCTCGGCAAAGATCTTCCCGTCCTATCTTGCAACCATGTGCCGCACCTCCGCGTGCCTCATACACAAAATACGTCGATGTTTCATTTATCTGGAAGTAAATAGCAATTCTTCCACCTGCTCCTCCTCCGGCAGGATAAATACTACTCATGAAACCACTCCCACCGTTGGCAGAAATTTTGCCATAACCCATAATTCTTTTGCAAAACATCCAAATACTTCCACCACTACCTCCCCCACTTCCTTCGTTTGGACCATTTTCTCCACTTGCGGTCACAATTCCATCAACAGAAATTGTATTTGTGACATTCATCCAAATAACTCCACCGCCATTTCCTCCTCGGTATATGTTCCGTAAATCTCTTCTTCCTCCTGCACTGCCAAACATATCTGGTTCGTACAAATCATCGTAAGCTGCCCCTGTTATGACAGCGCCGTTGTTCAAATTTCCACGACCTCCTCGCCCACCATGTCCTGCCCCAGAACCACCATAGAACGACCTTAGACCAGCACCTGGATTTATCAATCCATGTAAGCCTGTCCCACTAAAACCGTGTGATGTATTGTATCCAAGACCATCTGCTGCTAGTTTACCTCCATCATCTATTGTCAAATTTATTGTGGTAAAGGTAAGTCTCGAGCCACGTAATAAGCCACCACCTTCAATGTCCACAAACTTGGTAAAAAGTTGAATACCAGGATCAATCACTGGAGATGTGACAGCATGAACAATGGCGGTATCTTGTATTCGAACAACATCAAATTGGTATTGATGGATGGCCATGTTCGTCGTTCGACCTCCATGAAGAAGCCACAATTGAGCACCATGATGAAGGGTGATATTTAGGACATGCGAAAGTGTACCACGTAGAATAATTTCAACACCGTGAACATAGGTTACAGGAGCTAAACCAAGATGAGCATCTTTATACACATATACACTAAAAGGTACATCTATCTCTTGTCTTTTTAAATCTAAGTCTTGGTTAGGTCCCACATGAACCATTCCTGAGCGATCGCCAATCATGTCACGGAAAAAGATGGAGATATTGATGGAAGTGTTTGAAGGCCAAAATGCAAGATGCGCACTTCCAAATACTTGTAGTTCCTCAAAATGGAAATTGCTTACAGTGTCAGCAAATGCGTGAATTCCAGAGTCAGGCATGATCCACGCTTTTCCTCCTTCACGGTCAAGTTCAGAGTAATTCATGTGCTTGTTTAAAGACGACTGGCCATTATTACCAATAAGAAGAGTTCGATGTTCGTGATATAGATGATATAGAAAAACAGTGCCAGCTCCACCAGATTCAGCTCTAGGAGATACGTTTCTACCACCGTATGCACGGTAAGAAAAACTTTTAAAAGTTTCATTCTTTTGAAAGTATACAGCGATTCGGCCTCCAGACCCTCCTCCACCATTAGCAGTGGCTCCTGCACCTCCGTTTGAAATAATTGCACCATATCCTTTAATAATGTTTGTGTATATCCATACACTACCACCGCTTCCTCCGCCACTATTTGACCGTCCATTTTGTCCATTGGCTGTTATTTTCCCATCGACTTCAAGAAGATTGGAGACATTGAGGAACAGACGGCCACCTCCGTGACCTAAAAGGAAAGCATTGATATTTAATAAGAATAACGTGTAAGTCATAGATCAAAGGAGAAGAAACTATTTTGTAGAAAAAATTTGATTGGGTATACAACAAATAAGACACACGGATTTTAATAGATTTTTCAACCTTCTTGCCCTTGATTTCCTCCTCCGCTGCTTCCAAAATCTGTTGGCTCATATACATTTCCATATGGTAATCCTACATACATCGTAGCTAAACCTCTCCCTCCAGAGCCACCATGCCCACCACCAGATGATCCACTTTGAGAGCTAAGTCCACGGCCAGTGTTAATGCCACCATTAACACCTCGTCCAGTGCCATCAGATAATTTGTAACCTCCACCAGTCAACGAAAGTTCACCTCCAAAGTCAATCGTAACATCATTTGCTTCGATGTGTAAATCATTCCCCTTCATTTTACTACCTCCTTCGATAGTTAAACTTGTGACACTTAGATTCATTCCCTTGTGAGTGACTGGAGAGGAACTAAATTGAACTAAACCCAAGGCCTGAATGCGAATGGTCTGAAACCTGATGAAAATAAAAGTTGTGTGTTATTTATGAAAGCGATTGCAAGTGCATTAGCGTCAAACAAAGAACATAGAAGAAAAGCTATCTTATGTCTCAAAATTATTACCTAAAGTCATCTGGTAAATGAACATTACCACTCTTGGCTCCCTCATTCAAAAATAAATGTCCATTGTGATGCAGTAACAAGTTCTCAATGTTTGCAATAACGCCATGGACATGTATGTTCACTCCATGTACCTCTGTATACGGAGCCAACCCCAAGTATCCTTTATCATACACGTGAACGCTAAATGGTAAGTCAATTTCTGTTCTATTGAGATCTAACAGCTGATCACTGCCGACATGAATTGTGCCAGTACGATCGCCAATCATATGACGAAAATATAAACTAGGTTTTCCTCCAAACTGTTCGTGAATTGCAAGATGTACTCCACCATAAATTTGTAGTTCTTCAAAATGATAATTTAAACCTTTTGCGAACTCGTGAATTTTGTCTTCAGTCAATAACCAAGCTGTCCCAGGAATAAGCGATAAGTCTGTATAATTTGTTATAGGTTGATCTCTAGGTTTAAGAGGAGAGCGTTGTTTGTTGCTCACAATTAAGGTTCGATGATGGTGCACAAGATGATATATAAAAATGGTACCAGCACCACCTGCTGTACCACCACGTATACCACCATTACCACCGAAAGCCTCAAAAGTTCCACTATAAGTGCGGTTGTTCCTGAAATACACTGCCATTCTTCCTCCAGCTCCACCACCACCATCATAGTAAATATTGGAAGACCAACGATAATTAGCATGACCATTGCCTCCATTTACCTGTAATCTACCATAACCTAAAACATACAAAAAAGGTCAATGCCGAACTGCAGTTGAATGGCAGTGAGGAAATGAGCAGTTGCACAAGTCAATGGATTTCCTGCAAATTACAAAGTCTGCTTTTGCAAAAATGACCAAAAAATCATAAATAAGTTTGAACCTTGTATTAAGTTCGTTTCAATCCACAAGCTTCCCCCACTGCCACCGCCTGATGCAACTGCTGTTCCTGAAGATCCACTACAAGTTATTGAACCATCTAACTTCAGCTTGTTCGACACAGTCATCTTAATTATTCCACCTCCCAATCCAACTCCGCTAGCACCTCCACCATGACAACCAAAATGCCGTGGTTCATACAAGTTTCCAAATGGGATGCCAACGCGTTTTTGATTAGAACCAACTCCTCCAGAGCCACCATGACCGGCACCAGATGAGCCGTACGTAGAAGATAAACCATTTCCTTGTATACAGCTGTAACACATTATGCCGAGGACAAGAAAAATCAAAAACTTATATTTACATTTTCAGATTTAGTTTGGAGAAGATCAGTCATTTCAGTTTAGGAAAGAAAAGTATAATCAATTAATGAAATTACCAACCTATTATCATAAACATCTCCTTGTACAGTTCCAAGATCATCAACAGTAAAATTTGCGGCTTTGATGATCAAGTTCGTCATATGTAGATGGCCACCTCCTTGTACATTACCATCATCCATTACCAAGGTAATACTGGAGTTTCTGACGTCATCAGTAGATGTTAATTCCCCTCCGTCGGCTATGATCAGGTGATGAAATTGAAATGTGCCCATTTTCCTTGCAAGTCGTGTTGTACCCGTAAGGGAAAGTAGTAAATGACAGTCACGTGCAATTGTGACATCATACATATTAATTGTTCCCCTATATAAATAAAGCCAATTGGGTATTTATTTGAGCACGTCGTGACAATTGTAGATGTAACTATGCAGAGTTGTTTAAAAATAATATAGTATATTACCTGTTTGTTAACTTTATCTTACGGCAAAGAAAAGATTTCGGAAGATGAAAAACACCATCTTTATACACATATGTGTTTACTTCAAATTCACCGTCATCAGCAAACTGACCAATCACGGTTTGTCCTGGACCCACGTGCAACACACCAGTTGTATCACCAACAAACTTGTGAACTCTTACAGCTCTAAAAATGTAACGCATGTTACAATGTGTTAACATACATCGCAAGTCTCACTTTCAGTTCACTAATACAAACTTAGATGTAGGTACATGCCTTGTAACATTTGGGAATAGTGAAAGTTCCCCATGTCGAATTATGTGAACTTCTTCAAAATCCAGTTCACTTTCATTAAAGTGAAACCAAGTTCGACTTCCTTCGTTCTTGAAGTTCCAGCTTGAGAAGTCAATTTCAGGTGATGGAGGTGAATTGTTGTTATTGTCAATAATCAAAGTTCTGTTCAAAACTCCATGGCGATTGTCCTATATAAATAAGGCAAACTTTTAATCAAAGCACTTAAAATTTTAAAGCAGCTAAATTTAGACCAATCAATTCCTGTGAACCAATGGTCGTTGTCCAATACATGCACAAGTAACCTGAGAAACTGGGAGAAAAAAATTACGACTTTTACACGCGCTAAGATATTTATTTGATAACTTTAGGAACGGAACGCTTTTTGCCAATCAGTAAACAGAAAAACGACATTATTGGAGCCACTTACAAAGCAAAAACAAACAAAACTTGCCCAAAAATACCAACGCTATAAAATGACCTACCTGTAGATAGATGGTTCCCGCTCCGCCATATTTTGAAGAAGAACTGACACCACCAAAGGCTTGAAGCTCACCAAACCACCATTCTCTGTCTTGCCAACGAATAGCTAATCTACCACCAGATCCACCTCCAGCTGCTGTACCACCGCCGTTAACAGTAATCTTACCAGAACCTTCCAATCTGTTCGTGGTAATCATCACACTGCCACCACTTCCTCCACCATGATTGGATGAACTCATACCATTAGCTCTAACAGTACCTATAATGAGAAAGCTTACAAATCATTTTTGCTATTCTTGTCACTTTCAGTGTATGTACATATAATTATTTTCATACAGGTGGATTGTAATCCCCCCCCCCTCAAAGGAATTAAAGGGCAAAGAGATTATCGCCATGTTGATTGTAAACAAGAAAAATACTTTGAGTCAACCAAGATGGCGGCCGTGGGGTAACATGCAAACCATCTATTGAGTATGGTAAGCCTTTGAATACTTTTAAACCATCATTGTAGAACGGGTAAAACATACCATCAACGACAAGTAAGTTCTTTGTTTCTATCTCCAAATATCCACCTCCACTTCCTCCATTGCTTCCTCCTCCACCGCTACCAAACTGGTTTGGACTAAATAACGATGAGTACGGGCTTCCAGGTGATCGTCCATTCGTATCACTACCACCACTGCCACCATGACCAGCACCTGAGCCAGGTAATTGCCCTGCACCAACACCCTGATCTATAAACATGGAGTAATATAAAAAGCATAAACAAAGAGAGGTTAACCTTCTTTTCTTTAATGACTGTGATGATACTTCAACAGAAAATACAATTGTGAGAAATTTTTGGCATAAGAGGTTTTGTGAGAAACTTTCTACGTGAAAATTAACGATACGTCACTCAAACAGTATTGGAGCTACCCATTTTGTTCAATAATAATATTGTATTTCTTCACCTGCTATATAACCTTGTCCATTGAGGTCAACATAACCTTCGTAATGCACATCAACTGACTCAGCTGAAAGTTTCAAACATCTTGCTTCCAAATGACCTCCTCCTTCGACAGTCAGCTTTCCATCTCGTCTTAGTGGACCTAAATTTTCTTCAAATTTATATTCCAACGATCGCTCGTGTTTCCGTATTTGCTTTGAAATACTAATTTTCCCTTTTTCTGTATAGTAATGCCAACAAATGTCAAAGATCTCGGAGCTATATCTGTAAATGTCAATGTAGCTCCGTAGCCAACCATCAAATGTGCTAAATTGCCAACAACTTGCCCCCAGAAATCAATATGAGTTGGTCTTTTCAGTTCAGGATACTCAGCGTTTACTAACCGGAATTCAATGGTGGCATTAGGAAGAATAAATTGTGCACCATGATATACACGAGGTGCCCACGTGACATTTGTACGACGATATACAGACTCGCCAGTTAGTCGCAGAATGTTTCCGGGAGCAATATGAATAAAGCCAGTGTCATCACCTTGAACAAAACGAGCTGACATTTCCGTCCTGTTGCCATCGATGTAAAGATGTGACCCACCATAAAGCTCAACAAAAGTAAAATCTAGCTTCATGTTTTTTGTTTCGGGTGCAAGATAAGCAACAGCTCCTATATAAAATACATAATTTCACAATCTTACTATTTAAAAGTAAAAATTCATCGCAACGAAAATCAATTTTTCTAAGGTATTGTAAAGAGTAAAAGAACATATCAGTATAACAAAATCGGTTTTGTTTTGGTTTCCAGTTGGTTTGGTGAAAATGATTTTGTGAAAGTTTTTTCATTCTGTGAAGAAGAATCATACCTGTTGATGCAAAACTTTCAAAATTTTTCCCATCGTAGACCTAAAAATACATTAATATTCATTCAATGATGAAAATCTATGTTAAGTATAATATATATATATATATATATGATAATGATAAGTTTATATATATATAAGTTTGAAAATTTGTAATTTTGTAGTTTCTGATGAAGGCTCGAAGCAACGAGTCGAAAGCTCAATAAAAATCACTTAAAATCCGGTATGTAGTGATATTGAAAAAAATCACGAAAACTACACTACAGATTCATCCCGACAAGCCTGTTTCGTAAATAGTAGATTTAAATCCCCTGAAGAGTGAGAAATCACGAAACAGGCTTGTCGGGATGAATCTGTAGTTTTCGTGATTTTGTCAACAACACTACATATATTTACGCTCTGCTCTCGGGCATCAAGCATTTTTTTTTACGGAGAATCATCACTTATAAACTTCCTATATTTAAATATATACATAAAAATAATAATTTGTAATTGACGATATATAATAATTTAGTTAGTTCGTTAGTTCAATACGATTGCTGAAAAAATATTTATTCTTACCAAAGCTTTCCTTCCTTTATTATCAATCCTCAAATTCTTGTTCACCGTCGGCAGTCTTCCTTCTAGATACACGATACCAGGACCGCCATTTTCGGCATTTTGACTATTCGCTGTTCCTCCATGTGCCCAAGTATGATCACTATGAAAAATTCCTACTTGGTAATTCACTGTGATCCTACCTCCACTCCCAGCACCACCTTCTCCATAACCATTTCCACCGTTGGCAGAAAGGTGTCCTTCACCGTTCAATCGAGTGCAGTTTATCCATATTGATCCACCACTGCCTCCACCAGCATTTCCTCCCTGAAACAAAAACCACATTTACTCCAATATATTAAATTTATTTCTATAGATAATGGCGATTTTACAAATGTAAGCAAAAATAAAGTCAAAAATCTTCATACCTTTCCAGGCTCCCCAGAAGCTTGTATTTTTCCATCAACCTGAACTGTTTTCATGACTTGGAGATATACAATTCCTCCTCCTCTTCCTCCAGTTCCACTCTCTCCTCCGCCACCACTACCCCAAGTTCCACTACTATAAATTGATCCGTATGGCAGATTATGACATGAAGTACCCGCGCCTTTTCCTCCCCTTCCGCCATGACTTGCTCCAGATGATCCCAAACTTGCACTTGAGCCAGCTCCTGGTCCACGACCACCTACATATCCACCCCAGTCAACAGTTATGATGCCATTTTTTGAAATCGTAAGATCATTAGCAGACATGTGAAGTGATCCTGCTTGAATTCGTCCGTGAATAGCAATGGAATACGCCATTTTAATTACAGAAGGTTCACTACCATCATTTTTATTTTCTAGTTCTTCTTGATAGTTTAATCTCAATAAACCTCCGTCATTTATCGTCAAAGTGTCACCTGATAGAGTCATTTTATCGTCAAATGGAATTTTACTTCTCATCGTCCCATCTATAACGGTATTATTAATTTTAAAGGCTTCGGCAGGTATGAATTCAAATGTTCCGGTAACTATAAGATTTTGCCAGCTATATCCGATTGTAAGTAAATTAGTGACAACATTTCCTGCCACCGTCACACGAAGGGCAGCAATTTTTGAATATCCAAAACACTTTCCAAGAACAACATTAGAACTTGGTCCGAAATGTGCGTGTGCAATGGGCAGGCTGTTTTGTCCCTCAATAATGACTTCTTTATATGATGTCATGCTTCCATTGACGTAAAACTTGTTGAACCAAAATTCACCAATAGGATAAAACCTAAAGTCACCTGACTGATATATACGCAAGTCATTAATCCCATGCGCAATAGATAGTGGACCTGCTTCAAAAATACCACCAATTGTAAGTACGTCAACATGTATTTCAGAGAAATTAGTCGTATTACCACAGCTCACGTTGTAGTTATCTGCCATGAACTTAACATGGCTACCAGTCCCCAGATTCATCACGGATGCCGTCCTTTGAAGACCGTAGCCATGAATTTTTATTTCATTTTTAACAACCAGACTTCCACTAATCAACATCTTGTCAACATGAAATGTCTCGTTGAATGAGACTGTCATGTTTCCTTGATTACCAATGGTAAAGGTGTTCCATCCTTGTCCTGGAGAAACGATTCCAGCTTGGAAAATACCGTCAACTAAAACTTCATAAACACGCAAAGAGGAGACTGTTTCGCTTTTTAGTGAATTCAACGTTATCCGACCGCTATTTCTAATTGCTAGAAGTCTCGTTTGCATTTCTGTCTTGCCCCGAATACTAACTGAATTTTTGATTTCAAGTGCTCCAGAAACGATAATTTCATCAGTGCGTAGCTCGTTAGTCAAAGAAAGGATAAACTCGCCACGTGGTCCAATATGAATATGTTGCCAACCTTCTAAAGCGTTGACCGTTCCTGCATGAAATGCACCAAATACTCGAATATCTCTTGCACGTATTTCTGAAAAATTTGATTGAGGGAAGTTTGAGTTGCCGAGAATTTTCAGCATGCCGTTGTTATGGACATTAATGTAAACGTCGGAAGCACCATTTTTGTCAAAAAGTTTAAGAAACCCGTTTACCAACAGTCTTCCAGAGACATTTAAGTTGTTCGCCATTATTGATATATTAGAATTCTGTAAAGTGAAATTTCCATCCACCACAATATCATTCGCTCTCAACTCTTTGCTTACAATTCGAGTATCTAAAGACCCTTGTGTTTTTATTGTTAATGATTTCCAGTCCATGCTCGTGAATTTTGGTGCAATGAACAAACCATTGATTATCACATCTTCTGCTAGTAATGTCAACTCTTTTTTGGTTATGAATGCAGAACCAATTCCCATGATAAATTCTCCACTGGTAACACGTAAAACCTTTGTGTTGTTGTTTTGAAGCAAGTCAACTTGATATCCGGGACTATCGTTGATGACGAAATTATTGAACTTAAGTTCATTTGGTTTTGATCCAGGATGCATTGCAAATGATCCCCCATACCGACCCATTTCGACAGCAGGAGAATTGCTCAAATCTAATTCTCCATAAATGTGGAATGTTCTTTGAATCGTAACTGCAGCTCCAGTTTCATTACCAATTACTATAACGCTTGAGTTAAATGCATAAAAACATGGTGAGATTTGCTTCGATACTTTTACCGTCACCATAGGTTCAACAAAAACCTGACCACTAGAATCACTGCGTATTGAGTGTAAATGGAGAGAATCCGATTTTTTCCCACTGACCAATAAACGAGCATTTCCGCGAATGTCAACATTATTAATGTATGATTTTCCTTCTTCTTCCAATATCAACCATGTCACTGCCCCTACATTGTAAGGAGAGTTCAGAACGGTTACCGTAAATGCTCGTTTTAGCGCCGCTCCCACTTAAGCGCCGCATCTCAGATATTGATACAGTATAATTTTGGTAATAAAATGATATATTGGTTTTTTGTTGCGCATCTATATGAAATTATTTTCGTTAAGTTATATTATTTTGTATCAAGTAAATAGATTTTTTCTACTTGTTATTTTTTGGGAGCAATATATATATTTGGTGTGAGCCTTTAGTTGAAAATTATTTAATTAGCGCATCTCCCTAATAAGCACCGCATTCAGAATAGGGAAAATTAAATAAGCACCGCGGCGCTATATCGAGCATTTACGGCAGTCGAAACTTTTTGATGTCATAAATGCAATTGATCTTAAGTCTAAGAATACTGAACTGAACATACTCTAAAGAGTTATCCAGTTATTTAATGAAGTTAGTGTATATATAAATTGATGTGAACGTACCTGTAGTCTTAATATGTTCAAATTTGCTTCTGCTGTTCATCTAGAAAGATTCCAGCAAAATATTGAAACATAAATTTTACCTTTGAAGGTTTCTTAGGTTTTACAATGTTATTCCAAAGCCTTGCTATCACTATTAAAATGACGTAGCGTGATATTTTGAGTTGGGGGGAGGCGGAAAACGCAAATTTACCAACAAACACGAAGTATTTCGAACGCATTTGATGAAAAATATGTTCAGCTGATGCAATATCATGCTCAATAAATTTGTTACATACAAAACTTATCTTGGGAAAATGAGATAACATTATTTATTGTCGAAAATCGGTTTATTAGTTCAAAAGCGATGTGAAAATCGTGTCATTACCGACCAAGATTGCATTTCTCCAACCACTTCCCAAAACTGGAGGGTTTAACACCCACCCTGTATGATACGCCCTTGATTAAACCTAAGTATTGGATCGTTTCCCAGAAATAAGGTATTCAAACTAAAATAAAATGCTTTGCTTGCTCTTACACGAATTTTGTTGAAATCGTTGTTGATTTGAAGTGTACTGGTTGTTTTTCCATCATTTTGGTGAGAACGATACACTGTACCTGCGGCACCAGGCTCGCCAAGATTTGCTTTCAAAGAAATAATCAAGTCGTTAAGCGAAGATTAAAAGCATTAGTTTATTTACTTTTCTGCACATGTTCATTCTTTAATCTTACCTTCCCTTGTTGGAAGTGGATCAACACAGTTTTCAATAGATTTTGGTGCTAGAATGAACAACGCAGTTGCATTAGGTTATATATTATTTAGGAGAGTCACTTAATTTTATTTTTCTCCAAGCATTTGAAGCCTTTGGCATGGATAACGGATAAATAGATATGATTTTTTACGTGTTCGTCAAGGTAACTTTGTAAAAAAAAACTCATTGCATCTGCACCGTTATAGTATCTTCTACTGTCACTTTCACAGAAAAGTCAAATCGCCGATCTTTATGAATACTCATATGCTATCTTTGTTTTACATTAGATACGACACTAGAGACTTCAAAACCCAGAATAATCATTGGATAATAAGTAAGTAATAACATACGGTTTGTGTACACGGCAATTCTCAAAGCTGTTTCGTTGTTCCAAGACTGGGGATAAATACGCAATGCTTTCACAGATAATGGAGTTGAAAAAAAGTTCTTCACAATGGATGAGGAATCAGAGTTCCCAACGAATATTTTCTTCACTCCGAATTCCTACATCAAATGCCAAAATGTTTTACTTTCGTTCTCCGATAACCCAGCTTTTCAAGCCACGCAAAGTGACAATTTGAAATTACCTTATAATCAATCCATGTATTTTCAACTCGATATTGTAAAGTGTAGTTTTGAACAAATTTATCTGCATTTAAGATTCTTTGTCCTTTTGTTGCGATTCCTGTGACGATTTTGCTACTCGTAAATTCAACCTAGAATGAACGAGAGAAAAACTGAAGCAGTTAAGTATAGTCTTTAAAACACACGTAGACAGTTGTAGAGTTTTAAGCTGGACATTTTACACATTAGGCAGAACTTAAATGTTTGCTACCTGAAGGTATTCTCCAAGAGCAGATTGATTAGGAATCCAAGCGCTGTTACCATCAATCATTGCATTACTCGGAAGAAAGTTTATAATTTGATTTCTGTGGGTTGTAATGCGTTTTGAAGATGATGCCGACAAAACATAAGAATCAAGAGGAACCATGTCTTCCTCTGCAGGTCAAACAAAAATAAACACTTGATGAGTGTAAAATGACTTATAGGAGTTTTTAAATGTTAATAAATAGTTGTCATAATAATTATGCAAAATATTTCCAATTTTAGATCCAAAAAATCCCTTTATGAACTTTGTTATATCTCAATCCCCATTTAAAATGACAAAACCACGCAATTCCTGAAAGCTTAAAAAAAATTGTTGAATGTTGAGCAAATTTTAATTCTTCAACAATACTAGAAATGTGGAAGACATTTTATCATTTTAAAAATATCAAATAATAAACTTGAATTTTAAAGAGTGTATGGGGTATAAGCGATATTGCAAAGCTATCTCATGCATTTGCGCAATTTCGTTTTTCCTCATTGCATTAGAAACACCATTTTCAATTTAAAACCGTTCCTCACTTATAGATAGTCAATTGCCTTTTAGAAACTTTCACAATTGTTCATCAAATTATAGACGAGTTTGTTCGAATGTCAGAAGTCGAGGATAAAAAGTCAGAAATGAGGGTGAAAACCGAAGACTAGAGGAGACAGGGGAGAATTTGAGAGGTATGGCTCATGCGATTTTGCCAATAAAAACATAAATAATTACAGCACCCCTTTTCTCATGGAAATTAAATACTTCGCCCTTCAATAAACCTCATCTCTCCCAGTAGTGACACCTAATTTACGGTTCTAAGAAGAACAAGATGGGTGTCAAATGCGAGGATTAAAGATAAAAATAATTAGAGGAAACTATGAAATAGAGGAACAAAAAAATGGTTGTGAAAATTCATGGGTGAGAATCGTAGTTTGAATACATATTTATAAAATACAGTGTTATAATTTTTGGCAAAGCCATCCATTTAAATTGATTTTCTCCATATCATTTGGAGCGTATTAGCAAATTTATTTTCGTATTTGTCAAGAATCGCCAATACGTTGTTGAAACCTCAACCAAAATTACGTCGCAGGAAAGTGTATCTTGACACACAATTTACACATGCAGACGCACCAATATTTCGTGAAACCCAACTAAAATCCTAAAATCTGAAAACTTATTTCCCCTTCTCTCATATAAGAAACAATTCTTTGTTTTGAATGCATTTAAGTAAATTACAAAAAATGTTCACGTGACTATGGGACGAGTATCTTTATCATTGATTGTGTTCAGCATTGTGGCAAAAAAAACATTAGTCGTCTCCAATGAAAATAGCTTTACAAAAACAAAGTATTGTTGATTTAAAAAACGTATCATAAATCTTGTTATGCTTTTGTGTTAGATATGTTCTCAATGTAAGTTTCCATCAACACAAAACAAACGAAACCATAAAAGAGTGTAATTTAATAATATGTATTTACATTAAGATTAGATTTTTATTTACCATAAAAACCTAATTCTTTATAACTCTCATCCTCGACTTTTTATCATTAACCAGGAATTATAAACCCCATCCTGGACTTATTACCCTTCGTCTTCGACTTATATTACCCTAAATTTCGACATATTTCGTTCAGCTTGCACTTTCTCCTCTAACAACTCGTCAGTTACATAAACAAAAAGGCCATGACGGAAGCTTAATCTTCGCAAGTGTCGGTCGACAACAAAGAAATGTTTTATTCATTGTTCAAGCAGTTTTTTTCATGTCTACTGTGACTGGACTTGAAGCACGCAATCGCCGTAAAAAGAAAACGCGGAGACAGGGGAAGTTGTAAAGAGATTTTCTGGTCGAGATAAACCCCGCCCCATAAACCCTTTGTAGCAAAAGCTTCAAAAGTCTAAGATCGCAGTTGAGTCTTCCCCCCCTCCCCCCCCCTTGTCTTCAATCATGTTCCCACAGTCAAGGCTTAAAGGCTTGCTCATTTTATGGATATGGGAGTCCTGACGCATGCTAAAATAAAACTATTGTAGGAATTATGTTTAAAATCAACTGAAACAATACGCATATTTTTACATAATCATGCCTAACACTTTTCAATACTTGCAACCATTTCAATTTGCTTTTCATTTTATATAATTTATCATACAACGAAATCAGGAACGTCGAAATTTCTGCCGCCAATCTACACCAACGATAAATATGATACACGCTTTATTTAAATGCGCCTAAGAACTACTTTGACGTGTTGTTATTTGTTCTAAGACGTGTATGAATGCATGTTTGAACACGCTTCACTTATCCCATTTAATCCTACAACATGAATGTACATGTTGAAAGTCGCATAAACTTTACATAAAAAATAGCCATTCACACAAACATGAGGTGAAGGAAAGTCACTTTCATTTCTAAGAAGAAAACTATAACTAATTATCACTGATGTCAGCAACACAGTTGTTGGAAAATACAACGGAAGTGATATTAATTAAAATCCAGAAAAGAGTCTGAATTGCATTGGGTCAATAAAGAGCAACATAATACGTCAACAGTTTGTTCCGGCACTTGTAAATTTGTTTTTCTTACCAATTCATATATTAAACAAAGAAATAAAATCTCTTACAAACCTGTTTTGCCACCCTGAGCATAGAATGATCCATGAAAAGTATCACTTTTACAATTTATACTTATTCGACCCCCACTACCACCTCCTCCGTAGTTTCGACCAAGGCCACCAGAGGCTTGGATGTTCCCCACACCAGAAAAAGTAGCACATACAATAGACACACCACCCCCACTGCCTCCTCCTGACTTTCGATTTTTTCGACCATGTTCCCCGTTAGCCATTATTGAGCCATTTATGATAAGATTGTTTGCTCTAATTTTAAGAAGTCCACCACCAAAGCCTCCGTTGCCACCTCGACTTCCCAGCGTATTTACAACTGAGCTACAACCGTAAGGAGTATTTTGATGTACATTCAAAGTTACGTTGCTCTCTGCTCCACCTTGACCACCATGACTGCCTCCAGAGTTCCCAAATGCATCTCCAGGTGTCTTTGTTAGTCGGTTGTATCCCAAAGATAACACAGCGGTAGAGCGAAGTATGAAGTCACCAGATATAATAAATGTATGGTTTGCAATGGCCGAAGAGCTTTCAAGAAATACATCTGCTTGAATATCGAGAGATTTAAGCCTGTGCTCACCAGGAGAAAACTGACACGGCGCGTTGATGACTCCACCGCTCGGACAAGCGATCAAAGTGGCCCTGCTCCCTTTTAAGAGAATAAAAATAAGTAAAAAAATAGAAAATGCTTTAGAAAAATACCTTCCAATACAAAACAAATGATATGTTTGGTTCAACATTTTCCCGTCTTTTCCACCATAACAGAAATCTTGTACACTGTTATCCACGTCTTCCGACTATCGTCTACAACGATAAATGACTCAATGCAAATAGAGGATCTAAACCTTATGGTGCTAAGTGTTGCAGAACCAGACACTTGATATATTAATGAAAAGCGCACAGCAGGGATTGCTGACAAAGAATAGCAAAGATTAAAATCATCAAAATCCCCGTAAAAAAGAAGCTTTGATAGCTTAAAATACGTATGGTCAAAATGAGATGATTATCTTTGGGATGAGCCAAGATTTTTAGCTTATTTTATTTTAATTTTATGCGTGAAGTGCACATAATATCTAGATGGTGTAAGGAATTTTCCCAGGTTTATAGTTGCTGCAATTTCCAAAATCATAGATCAACTTCCATATTTATCTGCTGCTGCCACTTAACTTGCAAACGAGATTTCGATGTTTATTAAGACAGTGAAAGGATAACTTGTCAACGTGTGTATCAACGATATAACGAGTATTGAAACCACATAAACTAACCTAGCTTCGGTTTGATTGTCTTCTAAAGGTCTAATATTTATACATTGTTTAAGGTAGGTTTGTTTGCGTGCTCTGTAAATTTGTGCAATTGGATTGATCATAAATGTGTTCCGGCCTTGATAATTATTATAGGAGCAATTATCCAGAGGCAATCCACGAAACAAATTTTAATTATTAACCAATTCGCCGTTCCTCGATTGTAAAAACTATAAATCATAGGAAATGATCATGACGTCAATTTGCAATTATACAATAATATCTATACGTTTCAGCACGATAACCGCGACAATCTTGGCAATTGCACGTGCTTTTTGTTTCTCATGGCGTGGGAAGACGGAACTTTGCATAATATGAACTATCAACAATCAACTATCATGAATCTAATGCAGAAACCAAAATTATTTTGTGAGATTTGAATAAGTACATTGTAAAATGTCAGAACTCATAATTTATCAGAAACAGTATTGTTGATAAGAATAGTGTCAGGTGGTTTTAAACAAAATTTCTTATTCCTTTAAAAGCTAGAAAAAATTCGGTCTGTCCCTAATTGAGATAAGTATAATAGTTTCAGCGATAATTGTTTTCTTTGAATCTCAAAGCGGCAAACTCGACAAACTTATACTCCCACACAAACACAAAAACTTTAATAACTATTGTCAAATAACTTGTTCACGAATGTGTTTGTCATTGATTCTATAACTTTAAACTCACCATAATCTAAAGGAAAAGTCCAAATACAACCAAAGCCGATCCATAAAATTACTACTAGGTCAACCAGACAGCCTAAGTTTTCTGCTGAACCTAAGTATAATTTAGGCAATCATATCTGACAGTTATTAATTTGCATTTTTGTTATTGTCAGAAAATATTGACGCTATAACCACCATAATGGATCTTAGATATTATAGTTAATTATGTTTTAAATTAGATTGAAAGATAATTGCTCCTCCCTCCCACTTTGCACTTTGAAGGTGGCCCTGCTAATATTTACTAGGATGTTTAATAGATTCACAGCAAACAATGTGTTACTACCCCCTCCACACGCACAAAAATGATTAATCCTCTAATGGCCACCTTTCCTCACGAGCAACAATCGCAAATTCAGCCTGTCAAACGATTTGTGGTCTGTTTCGTTGTGCCCCCATCCCTCATTGGAGCTGTTTGCGTCTATTTGTTTCAAATGGAACGAAGACTATACAAAAAGACTTTTTTGTGAAATTTTGAAAAAATTGTTTATGTAACTTTATCTCAACCAAATGCAACAAAATTTTCACAGCACAAGTGTTATAGAACTACGAAATTTAGAAACCTAAATGTCCATAAAAATTGTTGGTTTTTCTGAGTTTTGCTAACGAACGATGTGGAAATGTGGGAATGTTTGTACTCTTTTTGATGGTAAAAAGTTTTCCACCGTGTATATTTGCAATATTTCCTTTTTGTGAAATTTTTATGAATCCGTTTTCACCCCATAAAGGACCCCAGGTGTTCTTTAATATCCAGTATTGTCCTACATTTCTCTCGATTCCATAACCAACACACACCATTGCGTGGTTAGATCTCTTTTCTACATAAAAAAACAAAGATTGAATTATGTGTCAGGTTTGACAATATGCTTGAATTTTTACTTAAATCACCATAAAGAGACTTCGAGTGTTACACAACAATGGGATAAATAGGTTCATTGGCTGAAAATATACGATTTCTTACTTGAAAAATCCAAATCATTATAAACCCCTGAAGAATAAAAACGTAACGTTTTTGCATCAGCGTTTATACTGCAAGATAATGGTCCATATTTAGCGATTGCCACTTTCATGGTTTTTATCGTATTTGGCTTCACAAGATGAAAAGCTTTCGTATTGTTAATGATGGTGCAATTGTCTCTAGGACTACAGTGACAATATGCTTCCTACACAAAGAATGATTTGTTTAGATGGTTTCACTACAGAAATTTATTTATTGGCTTACTTGTCCTAAGTAAGGTCCATAACTTTTTTTCGTCGCAGCACCGTTACGAACAACCCAAGCTAAGGCTTTTAAAGGAAATCCTCCACGGCAACCATGATTTCCGCTTCCCCAAGAACAGTCCAGGATTTGCTGTTTTGATATTTCGATCAATTTACCAGTCTATTTTGAAAAGCATATGAAGATCAGGATTGTTTCTTTACGTAGAGCGACAAATTTTTGAATTGTAATGGTTAAGAAATTCACAAAAACAAACCCAAAATCCATTTATCAATTTCATCAATTAATGTATCCGTGATAAAAAAGTTCATTTATTCTCAATGTCAGGTTTGAAATTAGACATTTATAGTCAACAGAGGATGGAGGGTTATGAAGGTGTAGAGGAGGGTTAATTGAGAGTAAAATGAAATACCTGAAAGAAATGATGTGCTTCGATTGGAGCAGCGATGGAAAAAGTCCAACAAGATCCACAGATGCCTTGGCTGCTAACTTTTGAAACCGCTCCTTTTAAAAAATAACACAGATGCTGAATTGCACAGCAACAAAAATTGCACAGAGACAAATTTTGCGACAGTTGGTAAACACAAAAATTACCAAAATCTCTCCAATCCAATTCACTGGGGATTTCTTTATAGTCTGGATCTTCATGTAAATCCAGAATAGACATATTTTCTTCCGTTTTCTTCTTGACATTGGCTTTCTTGGAATAATGATAATCTTTTTGAGAAAGTAATCCACGATGTGACTTCATCTCCTCTTCGCTTAGATCACTCAAATGATTCAATGAAAGAGAGTAACCATAGTTACCACGATTCCGAGAATTAATGAATCTATAAAAGTTTATTCGATAATTTTAGACTGCATGTATGTTGCAATTACAATAAAGAGTATAAACGTAAGGCCTGTAACATATGTAACATACCACAAGTATTCAGCATAACTAAACAAATATGTTATAAATGTATTACCACACCTTACGTTGTGTTTAAATATATGTTTTCTTCGCTCGTTTTCTTCGTGATATTTATAGTTCTTCAAATAAGCTTTCTTAAAATGGCGAAAATGTTTTTCTATTTCTTCATCTTTGGAGTGATGAAAGTGTAGGAACTCTGACATTGGATTCATGAAATATCGAGATTTGATTATTCTTGCTTTTTTTGCGCACCAGGTATCTGCATGGAGAGAAAGAAATTCAATATTTTGAAATGTAATATTGTTAAAACTTTTGATAATGCCTCTATTCAATGCCATTGGATAGCTACTGCACGGAAATCAACACATTATCGTCAACTCTATGCAAAGAAAAATTAACAGCAACGTACCTGCAGGAATTTTAAAAATAGAGAAGTTAAATGCCCAAGGTTTGAAGGTAACGTACTCAAGTACATAGTGATCGTAATGAGAGTTTAACAAGTCGTTGTACCCCATCATTTCATATTTCAAAGGTTTATATGGTTTATTATTAGTAATGTACAATGTGTATGTATTCGTTTTATTGCACTCGATAATCGTTCGCACGTATTTTCGACATTTCTGACCTTTGTAGTAACCAATACCTCGGAGCTAGAGAAAAAGAGAGAATAAACCGTTGAAAGCAAGAAAAACCAATGGTTCAGAGAGTTTCTTTCATTTTACAAATCTAAGCTAAAAATTTTGTTATTATCCGTCAGTCGAAGTCAGTGTAGTTTTAAAATGAGTTCAGTGTTGTTTTAAAAACCACAATAACAAGCGTCGTTCCTGTTTTATAAAAATATTCAAACTATGTTTGTTTGTTTCATTATATTCAAGTTGTATGTTGATTTGTACTGGAAGTCAATATTTTGCTTTTCATCCATAATTTCGCTGGCTTTTCCTACTTAAGAAACAAAGAAGTACATGGAGAAATGAATTCAACCAGAAATTATTTTGCATATTCATATACATAACAAGTGATTCAGTTTTAGATCAAATACTTAGTTATATAAACGTTTAGTTTAGCACTAAATTTTCCCCTTAAGAGCCTTCATTGATCATTCAACAGACTTTAACACAAACCTTGAATTCTGATAAATTGGTAGGAATTACACTCTGTCCTCGTTGTGAGTCTCTTGATTGAAGTTTTCTTATCCAACAACTTGTAAAAAACGTCTTTGACGGCTGAGGATCAGTATGTTTCGGAATGATTTTGAATAATAATCCATCATCACCCATGTCTCCTCGATGAATTGTTTTATCCATTCCTGAACCCAGTGAAGAAAACAATTTACTTCGTATGTTGATTTGGAGAAAGTTCAATTTTAATAAACACTCACTGTGGGACTCATGTGATTGCTGTATTAAAACATGTTGTGTGAAAAAGTACGTATTATGCCCAAAAGCTGGCAGCCTGCTAGCTTAGTCCCTAGTTAAGTTGATTTTTTTGTTAACTCACTTTCAAAAGACAATAAAACGGGTAACACTCAAAAGTTTACACAACAGGACAAAAAAAAAGTAGGCTAGCGACTCAACTAGAAGACTCATCCAATATATAAAGTTGCTATAGTTTTTTGCAAGATGAAGACATGTAGATAAATCCAAATCTTTGTGATACATAGGTTATTTGTAGCTATAGGCCATAACTTAGCGTGTTTAAAGTGACTCACCGTAATAGTAATCAATTCGACTCATATTTTTCTCTCCTGCATACCATGACTCAAATGGCTCCACTACATTATCGTAAGGTAAAGTTAAAAGACCCGTTGCATGATAATACCTTGGAAATAACTTATCATAAGTTATGTCAAAATCACCAACTACTGCATACTTCTTTACAATCACCGCAGTGGAACCTTTGATGTAATTTCTACACTCAAGGCAAAATCCAATCAAAACAACTAAAGAGAGAAATATGGTCCACGCTAATTTGAATCTTTTACCCCTGTATTCAGTTCTTTCGTGAAGCATAATTTATTCACAGTGCTTGTGGTTTAGTATAATGTTCCATTTTAATTAAGTTGAATCAATCAAAGAAGTTTTCAAGACTAAAGCAACTGTCACTTTTTTGATCAGAAGAACAACACATTCATAATGAAGATTTCATGTCTTTATAATGTTTGAATGGGCAACTTAAATTACGAGACTCTATCTCTGACTGCACTGAGATACGTGCATATATATATAGAATGTTACACAAACAGGATTTAAATTAATTACCTGTTGTGTTTGTGGCTAGATCATTGACATCATTTTCAAAATCAAAGATAATGTAAAAATGATAAAATTTAACGTATTTTTAATTATTTATCACTTGAATAGTCACAACATTCCTTAAATAAACTTCTACGTACAGCAGCAAATGCAGATGTCATTATCAACAACAAGCAAATTGACACGAATTGTCTAGCTTTTTTCCAGAAAGTGGAGACAGTCGTCATACATTAAACATCGAGTCAAAACTCAGACAAAGTTTTCTTTCCATGTTTAAGGATAACATCAAAAGAAGACTTTAACTTAAATATGTGTTCCATATCTTTTTGTCTATTTTTTCACGTCAAAACTTGTCATAATAAAGTAGAACAAAATTATACGCAGCATTTAGCATCATATCCAACAGATTTTTCAAGCCACCGTTTCTTCTTTTGTAGAAACACGAATAGAAAAATTGCTTGGTTCGTAAATGTAGCGGCTTCTTTGACTAGAAACTTTCCCTCTTATTCCTCTCAAAATATGGCACAATGAAGAGCGAAACTTTGGCAATCGATAAGCATAAACAACTGCATTCAAGACAAAATTGAGCAACTCTAACGGGAAAGATATGAAAGATGCATACTCCAGAGCTTTTGGTTTTGCATAGGATCGAAAGAAAATTTCGAAACCCAGGAATATTTGACCAATTATCAAGTGAGGTACTACGGTGATAAACAATATCAATGCAAGATAAAAGACGATCTTATTTAGAAAACTTTGATGTTGATTTTCCATTTGTGCCTTCCCAGATCTAATACTGCAGTGACGAGAAAACTGCTTTCCTTGGAATGCCTTGAAGGATTTTCCAAGTAAAATAATGATTCGCACGTATAAAAACAACATTACAAAGATGAGGAAGAGTAACTGAAATAAAATTCCAAACTTAATGTACTTATCGTACGGATGTGATAAGCTAACGCCAGCACCAAATATAAGGGATACAAGCCAAGTGACTCCGATGGCAAGAAAAATACGCTTGACGGTAACAATCGACTTAGCTTTGATAGGAAATTTTATAAAAATGTAACGTTCAATGGCCATCAGTAAGACGGTGATGAAGGAATTTTCCACACTTGCCCATATTGTCGACTTGATTACTTTAGATAAATAGTCGGAGTCGTATCGAGTAGCTTCTTTGGAACTACAGCTTTGAATGTGATATATTGAGTACAAACAAGACACAATACCTGTAAGAAGATCAGAAAACCCCAGACTAGTGATGAAATACATACTCGGGCGACGAAAGCATTTCAGCGGGTCAAAAAGCAGGACAATCAATAAAATTCCATTTGCAAATACAGCAGCAATTCCAACCACTAAAATGGCGACGAGGTATGGCAATGCCAAAGGATGTTTTAACGAGCACGTTTCATTCATTTCAAAGAAATACAATCTGAAAAATCAAAGAGACAAAGGCTTCGTTTTTATATATGAAACATTGCCCCATGATCACGTTTAGCCTAAATTTTCCACTTAATTATTTAGAAGATTCCATTAAGCAAATGTAAATTATTAATCATTTTCACGAGAAATATGAGAAAACTTGTTTACAGTTCAGTAGCAAATATAAGTTAACAAGTCACTAACTTTAACTTTTTACATCCTACTCCGTTTGAAAATGATCAAATGGACGCTCAATATTTTGTAACCTTTAAAACATGTTCATTGTAATTAAGCATATTGAGGTTTTCAACTTGTGCAACTATATATGTCAGTTTTTACGCTGAATAGCGAGGGTGTAATTGGGAAAATCGTTAGGGATGTTATATGTTAAACGAAACCAAACTTGAATGAAAAGTTAACTCGTGTACATGAGAACTAAGAACGACGTTTTGATATAATTTTGCTAATTATGGCTTTTTTTAAATGCAAATAATTTCAAAGTGATAATAATACTTTTGAAACCGCTGCTTCCCAAAGTCGTGTTGTGGCAAGCCGTTGATGAGACTCTCTTTTACGCCTAAAAACAATTATAAATACCATTGATTATAAGTGTAGTATCAGTTAAATGTGGTCAGTTTGTAATTTAACACTTGTTTCAAAGATCGTGAACAAATTGACTTATGAGCCCACAAGATGTGTATGAATTAAAGAATGATGCTAAAACCAAATTAATGTTTTACTTCCTTCCAAATATTTCCAATACCAACATGAGCTGTTGAATCGAACATTAAACATAAAAATCAGAAAAGACAAAATACACGATGTGAAATTTCGGAAATACCAATTAAAAATTTATTTTATTCGTTATCACGAGTCTATTAGCAATTTTAGACACTGACTGCAGGCCAATCTAGTGATAAAGTCTTTCATGAAAAGATGGTTATCAGACGAGGAGTATTAGTCCGAATCATACAAGATTGTAATTTCACACATTGTAAATTGCATGATTCTATAGTATACACAAATTTTAATTAAAATCACTCTAAAATAAAGAGTATGCCTTATATTGTATGTCTGTATGTATATTTCTATGTATGTGTTGCATCTATATTAGTTAACTTTCGAGATTGAAATTAGTACATAAAAAAACTGCAAAGTGAGTGCTATCACATGTGCCAGCATAAACTACTCAATATTTTGCATACGTTTTATACACCACATGCCAAGCAATAGAGTGGAGTAAAATTACTTTGTTAACAATAGCTAAATGCATGCATCACAAAACAAATCATATCAATTGATTGTAGAGTCCTATGTGCAGGCAGTGTAGTTTCCGTCAAATGAAATTTCGTCTTCTGATCAACGTTAAAAAGTAATTACTTGTACATAGCTGGGGCCAGATGTACAAAGGCCGAATAGGGCTATTCAATGGATAGCAATTTTTCTCAACGTTTAAAAACTCTCTTATAAGAGAAAAATATACGATTTGAACTGCGCAATCACTGAAATAAAGTATTGTTTCGAAGATTATTAAATTTCTCTGTCGTAAGAAAATAAAAACAAGTTTGAAAAATATGCTATCCAATAGATAACGCTATCCAGGCTTTGTCCAACAGGCCCCTGACCTATTAGTTAAACGTTGAAAGATGCAGCACAAATACAAGTTTCATGTAACAATATTTTCGGCAGGTATGACACTACTACTGTTTTGTAGATAGATATTGAATGCTTCACTCATCAAATTCCATTTAATATATACGTAGCAAAAAAAACAGTGAAACTTAAACTCAAATAAATAGTTTTCATAAATTATCAAATAAAAGGATGGAGTTAATATACTGAGAAGAAAAGTAAAATAGTAGCCAGTTGTTGAACATAGCTTTTGATAATCGCGCATAAACGAAAGACTTTGCAATAATGAGCGCATCCAAAAATCTTCCTTGCAGAAAGTTTCATAGTGAAAATTTTTTTTCGACCTTTAATTGATATTTTTCGAAAGTATTTGATGTCGTTCACGCTGCATAAATTCTACACAGTTCGTAATATATAATTACCTTTCAAGATGTTTTTTTCTTTTTCACAAATTTTCAAAATTTTGATTTCTTCTGTGCTCAACGAGATAGTGAGTTAGGATTAAGGAATGACCTTAATGTCTATATAAATGTACAATTAGAACCAGATGAAAAGAATTATATTTTTAAAGGTTTTTCTGAGAGTATCCGCGCTTTAATTAAACGAAAACTTCACGTCATTTATTCAAGTAATAAAACAGAACAACGTACAATATAACATACTGACGCACAAGTTGCTACACACTAAATTAATGTCCAGCCCATCTATACAAAATAAATAATAGCATGATTTACAATCAATTAGCACGGCCCAAACAATGTGTTCTTATAACATCACGTAACTTGTAATGAAACATTTGGAGCAATGTGTATAATATAGCATATATAACCGAAGAATTTATATTCACATCTTAAAATACATTTAAGAAACATGTCAGCCTATACCATCCCTACCAACATCAAAATTATGTAAATATTCTCTACTTATATGTCTAACAGGAACTAAAATCACCTATAATTTATAAAATACAATGCCACAAACGCTAATGACAACTTTTACGTCCCAACAATCAATAGTACTTGCATAAAAACACAAGCCTCCATATACATGTAAGAATTTCCAGCTTGCGTTAAAGAAGTAAATTTGCAATCCTTACTTGTAATGAACGCTATACTGGCACAGTATAGGGGACACTGCAGGGGCCTCATTTCTGACCGATAAAAACGAACCGAAGCCAGTATTCGCCTCACACATGCAGTAATTAATCCTTTAATGCGATTGTTTCAGCGCAGTCACGTTAAATAAACAGACGCAGCATTATTATTTGACATGATGTATCTTCAATGTTTTTACAATAATTGATAAAGAATTGTTCGTAATTTCATAAAAGCAAAGAACAACTCCTCGCATTAGACAATTTATGTAGTATATTGCATAGTAAATTTTTGTCATGTAAAATGAAATCTGCAACGTGAAATCTGCAGCTTGATTTAACCATGTTTTCCTATTGTAAGTTTCTATCATGTAATTATTCAAATCGTGGGTTTTCATCCTGTAGTTTTTACAACGTGGAAATTCAAATGTGTGACTTTTTCAAGGGATTCAGGAGTGCGTTAAATTTTAACGAGCACGTTTCATTCATTTCAAAGAAATACAATCTGAAAAATCAAAGAGACAAAGACTTCGTTTTTATATATGAAACATTGCCCCATGATCACGTTTAGCCTAAATTTTCCACTTAATTATTTAGAAGATTCCATTAAGCAAATTTAAATTATTAATCATTTTCACGAGCAATATGAGAAAAGTTGTTTACAGTTCAGTAGCAAATATAAGTTAACAAGTCACTAACTTTAACTTTTTACATCCTACTCCGTTTGAAAATGATCAAATGGACGCTCAATATTTTGTAACCTTTAAAACATGTTCATTGTAATTAAGCATATTGAGGTCTTCAACTTGTGCAACTATATATGTCAGTTTTTACGCTGAATAGCGAGGGTGTAATTGGGAAAATCGTTAGGGATGTTATATGTTAAACGAAACCAAACTTGAATGAAAAGTTAACTCGTGTATACGAGAACTAAGAACGACGTTTTGATATAATTTTGCTAATTATGGCTTTTTTTAAATGCAAATAATTTCAAAGTGATAATAATACTTTTGAAACCGCTGCTTCCCAAAGTCGTGTTGTGGCAAGCCGTTGATGAGACTCTCTTTTACGCCTAAAAACAATTATAAATACCATTGATTATAAGTGTAGTATCAGTTAAATGTGGTCAGTTTGTAATTTAACACTTGTTTCAAAGATCGTGAACAAATTGACTTATGAGCCCACAAGATGTGTATGAATTAAAGAATGATGCTAAAACCAAATTAATGTTTTACTTCCTTCCAAATATTTCCAATACCAATATGAGCTGTTGAATCGAACATTAAACATAAAAAGCAGAAAAGACAAAATACACGATGTGAAATTTCGGAAATACCAATTAAAAATTTATTTTATTCGTTATCACGAGTCTATTAGCAAGTTTAGACACTGACTGCAGGACCACCGCCAATCTTGTGATAAAGTCTTTCATGAAAAGATGGTTATCAGACGAGGAGTATTAGTCCGAATCATACAAGATTGTAATTTCACACATTGTAAATTGCATGATTCTATAGTATACACAAATTTTAATTAAAATCACTCTAAAATAAAGAGTATGTCTTATATTGTATGTCTGCATATATATTTCTATGTATGTGTTGCATCTATATTAGCTAACTTTCGAGATTGAAATTAGTACATAAAAAAACTGCAAAGTGAGTGCTATCACATGTGCCAGTATAAACTACTCAATATTTTTATACGTTTTATACACCACATGCCAAGCAATAGAGTGGAGTAAAATTACTTTGTTAACAATAACTAAATGCATGCATTACAAAACAAATCATATCAATTGATTGTCGAGTCCTATGTGCAGGCAGTGTAGTTTCTGTCGAATGAAATTTCGTCTTCTGATCAACGTTAAAAAGTAATTACTTGTACATAGCTGGGGCCAGATGTACAAAGGCCGAATAGGGCTATTCAATGGATAGCAATTTTTCTCAACGCTTAAAAACTCTCTTATAAGAGAAAAATATACGATTTGAACTGCGCAATCACTGAAATAAAGTATTGTTTCGAAGATTATTAAATTTCTCTGTCGTAAAAAAAATAAAAACAAGTTTGAAAAATATGCTATCCAATAAATAACGCTATCCAGGCTTTGTGCAACAGGCCCCTGACCTATTAGTTAAACGTTGAAAGATGCAGCACAAATACAAGTTTCATGTAACAATATTTTCGGCAGGTATGACACTACTACTGTTTTGTAGATAGATATTGAATGCTTCACTCATCAAATTCCATTTAATATATACGTAGCAAAAAAAAAACAGTGAAACTTAAACTCAAATAAATAGTTTTCAAATTATCAAATAAAAGGATGGAGTTAATATAGTGAGAAGAAAAGTAAAATAGTAGCCAGTTGTTGAACATAGCTTTTGATAATCGCGCATAAACGAAAGACTTTGCAATAATGAGCGCATCCAAAAATCTTCCTTGCAGAAAGTTTCATAGTGAAAATTTTTTTTCGACCTTTAATTGATATTTTTCGAAAGTATTTGATGTCGTTCACGCTGCATAAATTCTACACAGTTCGTAAGATATAATTACCTTTCAAGATGTTTTTTTTCTTTTTCACAAATTTTCAAAATTTTGATTTCTTCTGTGCTCAACGAGATAGTGAGTTAGGATTAAGGAATGACCTTAATGTCTATATAAATGTACAATTAGAACCAGATGAAAAGAATTATATTTTTAAAGGTTTTTCTGAGAGTATCCGCGCTTTAATTAAACGAAAACTTCACGTCATTTATTCAAGTAATAAAACAGAACAACGTACAATATAACATACTGACGCACAAGTTGCTACACACTAAATTAATGTGCAGCCCATCTATACAAAATAAATAATAGCATGATTTACAATCAATTAGCACGGCCCAAACAATGTGTTCTTATAACATCACGTAACTTGTAATGAAACATTTGGAGCAATGTGTATAATATAGCATATATAACCGAAGAATTTATATTCACATCTTAAAATACATTTAAGAAACATGTCAGCCTATACCATCCTTACCAACATCAAAATTATGTAAATATTCTCCACTTATATGTCTAACAGGAACTAAAATCACCTATAATTTATAAAATACAATGCCACAAACGCTAATGACAACTTTTACGTCTCAACAATCAATAGTACTTGCATAAAAACACAAGCCTCCATATACATGTAAGAATTTCCAGCTTGCGTTAAAGAAGTAAATTTGCAATCCTTACTTGTAATGAACGCTATACTGGCACAGTATAGGGGACACTGCAGGGGCCTCATTTCTGACCGATAAAAACGAACCGAAGCCAGTATTCGCCTCACACATGCAGTAATTAATCCTTTAATGCGATTGTTTCAGCGCAGTCACGTTAAATAAACAGACGCAGCATTATTATTTGACATGATGTATCTTCAATGTTTTTACAATAATTGATAAAGAATTGTTCGTAATTTCATAAAAGCAAAGAGCAACACCTCGCATTAGACAATTTATGTAGTATATTGCATAGTAAATTTTTGTCATGTAAAATGAAATCTGCAACGTGAAATCTGCAGCTTGATTTAACCATGTTTTCCTATTGTAAGTTTCTATCATGTAATTATTCAAATCGTGGGTTTTCATCCTGTAGTTTTTACAACGTGGAAATTCAAATGTGTGACTTTTTCAAGGGATTCAGGAGTGCGTTAAATTTTCACAACTATTGTATTAAGTTTTCGAGGGAAGAGGGCTGCAACCTGTCCAACAGCACGCTTCTTAAGGGCCAGAGAACTATTTAATCTTTGTTTGAAATTTCTATAACGGAATATTACACATTGAACATTTTCAATTCAATACTGAAATAGTTGATAGTTCTATGTATATAAAACATGTGGTCAAGACGACACTTAAACTCAAGGAATACTATACCGCGCAGCTATGTATAGCCTTTAAACCACTTTAAACCAGCAAGCCAACAATTACACTCCACATGAGTCATATCTTTTACACACTACGAGTGGGCGAGATAATCTCGCTATAACAGCAGTCTTGGTGCCATAGTGTTTTGACTTTACTCTAAACTAAATAGTATCAGAAAGTGCAAGGTTTAAATCTCGTCCAAAAACACGTGTTTTTCATCGGCGTAAAACCATGTCGGAATTAAATTTCTGATTCTCTCACGATGGCTTTCGATAAAAGTTCATCCAATGTGGTTCTAACCCCAAACAGATTTGATGTGATTTAATTGAACATTTGAAAAATAAATACTAAAATTTACATATATATGCGAAAATCAATTAGTGGCTAAGAGCAAAAATTATTTGCCAAAATCAATTTGCTGCTAAGAGCTTTTTTATAGAAACTTCAAACATCGGCTTCATATTGTTAAATTTTTTCAAATGCCTGATACTGTCATCTTGTTTTTATGGTATGGGCACGGATTTTGCATGCAGCGGCTCAACACTTTGTTTTCACAAGGAAGTAAAGGGGATGATTTGCAAAAAACAAGAGGGGACCCTCGGTCGGTACGCTGGTTTACTAAAACCAAATCTGCCCACGATACACTTACCTCACACTGAATGCGTTCTACCAAGTTGTTGAAGAACACATTTTAACGCAGCGTTTGTGAAAGGTAGGAAATGGATGGTGCCGGTTTACAGCAGTAACTGTCAAATGCATGACAATGAAGCAACTCTCAACCAGACTGAACTATCAAAGAGTGTCATCTAAAAGAATAGTTTAGTAAGTTATACACCAAGATTAACAACAATCAAAAATAGCTAATACGTATTACCTCGCTGAGAGTAATAAGCAATGAGCTGGTATGGAATTGGCCATGATTACCAACCAAGCAACAGTAGATATTGAAGAAAGTATTTGTACCACCTGCAAGATGCTTGTTCCATAATGCTTGGCAATAGCATTAGATCTTGATCTCTGATGGGAATCTGAATTTCTTTTGACTTGAGTGAGTAGTATTTAATGACGACGACAACCTTGACGTAAATCGTATTTTTCTCGTGACCAAAAAATAATATAAAAATCTATGAAGTTTGATGCCCTGCTCTTTTCACATATTTCTTGTTAAGAAATTTGAAAAGATAACATTGCTGAATTGGAGAAAGCAAACAAGTTAAAAGTTAAGGGAGCCTTCAGTTCACACCAGATGTATTCCAACTATTTTGTTTTAATGAATTACTTCTGCTGGGAACTTTCATCCAAAATCTTTTTCAAAATTTTTAGTCCATTTACTTGTTCAAAAAACGGTTCCATCTGCACAGAATATGCTTCAAACAACCATGATCAAAAACCTGCATGGTGTTTTGTATATCTCGGTTTGTTTGAAAAAATTTCAATGGTCACAGAGCTACGATTCAAAATGGATAGTCCATGAAATGAATAACATTGTAGTATTCTCATTTGAATGTTTAAAAAACTGCTATTTGAGGCTTGTGCAACTTGTCGCTGTAGTTCCTACAAGCTAAAACTAAAATGAATCTTTAAGACACCTACTTAATATGCATTCTGTTCTAGAAACTATTGGCCCTTTTACAGACTGAAATATGTTTCTGCAAAACTTACATAAAAATGATGAAATAGATGGAAAGCATGTTAAGGTATGACTAAAAACATGCAAAATTCCTTCAACCATGAATTGAAGTACACCAAATGAATTTGCTGATACTGATTTTGAAGTAGCTTGCTCCATCACAAATAATAAGAGAAATCATCTGAACATGCACAGTCCATTTGAAAAATTGTTCAACTTCACAGCCATGGCAACCATCAACTGGAACTACTTGCATTAATTTCAGAGTAAATAAATTCCTTGGTCAAAAATTAGAAATTGTTTGAGTATGATGTGGGATCCGCAAAATAGATTTCATCATGGCATGGAAATGGATAATTGTTGTAGCAAATATTATTATTAGATGATAATAAAGCGTAAATGAAGATATTGAATCAAGGTTCAAAGGTTTGATCAAATTTAAAAAAAAACACTCTCTTTTGACTGATAATCATAACATGGCATGGTGAAACTCAAAACATAGTTAACTTACCACATTATAACAATTGACGACCAAAAGAAAAAATGCATGGTTTGAAGACAGCAAGTGATTATAAGAGCGGTGATAACTGATAACAACACTCAAAATTTGTATGTTGAAACATGCAATTTCAACATATAAAGAGGAAATACAAACAGATAAAACCATTAATTTTTTTTTGACAACTGGCACGTGTTCTTTAACATATGTTCACATCATTCACATTTACATGGTGCTCCATGGCTCGTATGGTCATGCGCAAAGCAGCCAGAGTCATCAGTATTTACAACGGATGGAAATCAGTATAGAAAATCATATGAAGTCACGACCATTGAGTTTTATGGTCACGACCGTGTCAGTGTAAAATAGTTGTGTTTTGAAAACAGGAAACGTCATGGCACATGTGTTATTGTTAATTTTGTTTTGATTATAACCAAATAATCACAGTCAATGTGCCACACATGGAAGGACATTTCTTTCCTTGTTTTCTTTTATAAAAATCTTATATTACCTTTGTTAAACGCTTGAAACATTTTATAAATATGCAAATGTTTGACAGACTGAAGAAAACTGTTACATCAGTAATAGGCAATCCAGTTTGTCGTGAGTATGAAATAACAAATCAAAGAGGAACTTGTGGTCCTGGAGGTTTGTGGAAAATTTATGATGGCCGCAAGAAGTCAACTGGACAGGTAAATTAGAAGTAATTATTGAATACCCTGCCACTGACCACTGTGCCGCATACCTAAAAAACTACCTTCAAGCATAACACCTGAACCCTAATCCTTTTCCTAATCCAACCTAGCCTGATAAGTGATTATTGTGTGCTGTCTTTGTGGCAGGGTGTTCTATAATTGTGCCCACCATCAAAACTGTTTGTTAGAGCAATCCAAAAGAACACGGCTCAAGGCTTTACCATAGCTTAGCCAACCAACAAGTTTTGGTACTTCAATGTAAATTTCAGATCTTTGTCTATTTTCATTTCTTTAGTTTCAAATCTATTGTTTTCACTGATACTTAACACAGAAAAGTTTATGATCAAATTTGCGGACTGGCTACAATATTGAGTCTGACAATTTTCATGTGTTGTTTTTTCATTTGTTGCCATTACATTATGTATGCATCATTTCTTTTATGTTTCAAATCCTATGTTACCTCTTCATGACCTCCTCTCTGGCAATTTTTACTTTGTGTTTAATGTCTCGAAACTATCCGACTATATCAAAACAAACATGACAATGTCAACATTACACTGTAGGAAGTATCTGTGTTTGTTTTTGAGAAGAAAATTTTGGAAAAAATTGATAAAAAGTCAAGTGAACTAATATTAGAAGCAATGAAATGTGGACCTACAAATCTTGCTAGACTACGGCATCCAAGGTTGTTAGTGGTCCAACATCCTCTTGAAGAATCAAGGTATTGAACAAATTCACACTTATAGACTATAAGTGTCTACCTATTTCTTATGCTTAAAGAAATTTTATTGCAATTCTTAGGGATAGTCTGGCTTATGCTACTGAACCTGTGTTTTCTTCATTATCAACCATCTTGGGTGATCATGGAAACTTTGTGTCAGCTGTACCAAAAGATGTTCAGGTAATGAGATGTAGCATTATGCGTTAGGCCTTTGGAGTTTTTTTCACAACACATTTAATCCATTTTCAAGTCCTAACTAAATACAACTGTGGTTTCAGGATCATGAATTATATGATGTTGAAAAGGTTTATGGATTATACCAGGTACTAATACTCCTCTAAGATGTTATACACTTTGTCTTTTGATGGTTCAAATTCTGCTATTTTAGATAGTTGAAGGATTAGTTTTTCTTCACCAAGATGCTAAACGTCTTCATGGGAACTTAACAACCCAATCTGTTGTTATTACAAAGAATGGTCAGTGGAAGATTACTGGCTTGTACTTCAGTAAGATGGCAACATCTTCTGATCAACAGGTTCGCCCTTGGATTATATTGATTGTACCATGATGCACCATAAAGTAGTTATGTCACCTGCCAACACATATAACTCACTGTCACTGCAAATAGAGTAAATAAACACAAAATTATGCATCCAGCAACAATCTAGATTACAGATACTATTAGAGGCAGTATTGAAGTGTTATTGGTTACCAGGTCCCCAGTATCCAGATCCTGCATGTATGTACATCATTTTGGAATTCCAATCTTACTAACTTGTCTCAATTTCTTGATTCTTATTTTGCATGCAGTGTGCGAATTAGTTCAGAAAAAACGATGTGCAATTTTTTTGACAAAAGTGTTTCTTTATAGGCATAATCAAATCGATATTACGTTAATTATTGTATAGCGCTAATTGCTAAATTAATATTTTCAAACGTGAACAAATTCATATGATTTACGACAGTGTTTTTCGTTAAAACCGCTGATTTTTGCACATCGTTTGAAAAAGTGATGTGCAATTGTTTTCATTTTAGCTAAAACAATGTGCAAATTGCACATTGCACATTGTTTGCATATACGTACAATAGTGAATTGATGTATTTAAAGCAACAATGTAAATTGCATCAAAGTTTCAGGCATCATTTAGTTGCCGAGGATGGGACTCTCAATTGAATCCTCTGTGTCAACCTGAGCTGAACTATACTGCACCAGAACACATATTGTCAAGAACATGCTCAACATCAGCAGATTTATTTTCCTTGGGCATGTTCATTTATGCTGTTTATAATGGTGGAAAACCACTGTGTGATTGTCAGGGTGACATTTCCAAGTACAAGAAATTTGTGGAAAAGGTTAGCACAACTTTCAAAATTATTTTTTCTTATATTCCAAGTCTATAGGAATCCGAAATCCTATACCAGCATTGTATGTGTTATTTTGATTTCCAGATTAGTCAAACTTCCCCGTCTCTTGGTAATGTTCCTTCAGATGTTGAAGAACATGTAAAATATTTACTTTCCGTTTCACCAGAAAGGAGACTTGACATTCACCAACTTTCTAAGGTTAAAGTTAAATAAAATTCTGCATGCTCACTGGTTTGGCTTTTCTCATTATTTCAAAATATCAATGAATTTCATGCAGGTGCAATATTTCGACAACGTTGCAGCTCAAACTCTTCATTATTTGGACACATTGATGCAAAGGGACAACATGACCAAGTCACAGTTTTTTAAAAGTTTATATAAAATAATCTCAATGCTACCAAAGGTAAGCTCCTTAAAAGAATAACATAGATTATTAGTCGTGTGCATCCTAACACTCGTTGTATCTTTATTATATAGCGTGTCGTTCTTCAGCGAGTGCTACCTCATTTATGTCTTGAATTCAGTAATCATGCCATGATTCCTTTTGTTCTTCCCAATGTCTTACTAATCGCTGAAAATTGTTCCAACGAAGAGTATTTCGAATTGATATTCCCCAAACTTATTCCCGTTTTGAAAATTCAAGAGCCCATTCAGGTGTGAACGCAAAACACTACGTAATATATGTTGATTTAAAATTTACCTTAAAAATAATCATTTGATTATTCTACCATCAAGTTCCTTTGGAAATTACATTCAAAGCTTTTTTGAATTACATTCAATTTACAGAATTTTTGTGATTGTCTATAGAAGGACTTTTTGCGTAGCTACGATATAGATGTTACCTAGTGATTCATCTTTCCTTGCGCGTTTCTCTATGCAGGTTGTACTAATATTGCTGAAGAAGATGGAGCTACTGTTGACAAAAACACCAAAAGAATCAATTCAACATCATGTCCTGCCGATGGTATTTCTCGCACTGGAGGCGCCATCAGATCAAGTCCAAGTAAGTTATAAAATAGCATTTTGCTGTAGATTCGTTAATTTAGTTCGAATTCCGTGGTACATCGCCTTTCTCACATTATCTTTTTTGTTTTTAGGAATTAGCTTTGACAATCATTCCAAATTTTGCTAAAATGATCGAGTATGCTGCCATGAAGCACTCCATTATTCCAAGAATCAAAACACTTTGTCTTAAAACAAGTACATTTTCTGTAAGTTTAATCTATTGTACAAACATAAATATACTGTCTCTTGAGATGATACACAGCTATCAGCAAGTCGTCATTATTACTAAGTTGTAATTGCTTAAGTGAGAACAAAGAGAATGGTATGGATATAGTGGTGAATCGCGAGAATCATAGTTGGTATTGTATACAGTGAAAGTAATAGAGGGTGTTGTACGTGTACAACGAAAGTCATTATAGGTAACATACTAACAAAAAATTGAGGATAATGTATACAGCTAATATCATAGAAGATAATGTACGCAGCGACAAAATAGAAAGTTATTTATACAATAAATCATGGTGTGAGTTACATCACTTACAAGTAAATATTCAAACTTAAACTGGATATATGTAAACTGCATGGGATAGGTGAGGATATTGTTTGTACATTCATATAGGTTCGCGTTAACTGTCTCGTGTGCCTGGGAAAGATACTAGAGTACTTGGATAAGTTTCTTATAATAGATGAAATTTTTCCTCTTTTTCTGGAAGTGCCTAGCCGCGAGCCGGCAGTTTGCATGGCTATTTTAGGTAAGTTTCATATTTGAATGATACAAAGCTTTCCAAAACGTTCTTCTACCACTTGTTATATTTAAGAAATAAAAAATGTTTACTGTGTTTGCAATGGCTTATGCAAACCGAGGAGACCTTTGGGTGAAGTCGAGAGCAGATCAGTGCAAGCCCGAGACCGAAGGTTGCACATGCTTGAGAGTTCAAACAAACATCTCCGATGTTTCCATTAGCCAGTGCAAACACGAAAAACATCTTTTATTTCATTTACAGATGATAATGCGAAACAGTCAAATTTAAATTTCCTCTAATATATATTCATGGTTGATTTGCAAATTCTCTTTGATTGATTGATTGATCGATCGATCGATTGATTGATTTGATTGGTTTAACTCACATCGGTTTGCACTGACTAATGCAAACACAGCTATAGACTAATCACCGAACGCGTTTTATTGTTTTTTGTTTTTAAAGGTATATATAAGCAAACGACAGTACATAAGAAATTGAGTCTTGATAAAGATTATATAGCAAAGTCAGCTCTGCCGTTCTTATTACCACTGTCAGTAGAACCTGGTCTTAACATCTCTCAGGTAAATTTATAAGTCTTATGTTGCCTCTCTCATTTCACATTTTATTTCCTTATGGGCTGTTTTACCCAATAATTTAAACAAGCATGATATTTTTAATATTATATGCCTAGCATTTATACCATTTTTGAACATTCTAGTTTTCTCAGTTTATGTCTGTAATACGTGAATTGATAAGCCGTGTTGAAACAGAGCAGAAAGCTAAGTTACAGCAGTTGAAACAAATGCAAGAGGAGACAAAGTATGTACATCTTAGCGTGATTTGATTACCTGGTACTCTTGTTAGTACCTTTTAAGTTCATGTGCTAAACTTGCAGGTCATCTCTTGCCTTTGCTCAAGAAGTGCAGGACAGCAAACAAATGGATGATCTCATGGGCCAAGTCACAAATTTATTGTCAACAAGTTCTAGTGCAAAAACTGAAAAGAAAGGTACAAACAAATTTAGTCGAAAATTCCTAAAGTGGAAAATGTATTTTAGGATTTAGAAAAGTAGCGCTGTGAATGATGCCAGTAAATAAATGGTTTTGCTGCAAATGATAAGTAGATGGAAGCTTATTGTACATCTAAATAAAAATTTACTTCCTACATAATAACCTCGGGCAAATAAAGAATTCTTTTCTTTGTTGAAATTTTATTTTTAAAATTTTAGACGCTTTAAATTCTGACAACAAAAGTGGAGCTAATGGAAGTGCGGCAGTATGTAGACATACATTGTAATAAATTTGAAGTGCTTGGATTAAAGATAGCATAAATTTCCATGTACGTTTCTTTTAGTTCAACAAGTTCTTTGGTTTCACAAATGATGGAAACGAATCTCAGAGCATCAAAGAACTTCAAGTAAATCTGAGTGATACGACTTCATTGACGCCCGTAAAATCTCTTAATTCAAACCAACCGTTGACGCGAAGTGCGGGAACGTCCGCAACCACGAACACATTTCTTCATTCATCAGTAAATCGAAATCTCGATATGATAGCTCCTCCGGCCTCTCAAAATACCAAGTTTAATGGATCGGCTAACAACGTTGTAACGCGTAATTTTCCAACACAATCATCCGTCCTTCCATCGCAGCCTTCTCAACTAGGTTTACGTCCCAGTGGTGTAGGTAACTGGCCAATGGGTATGTTTTCTATGGGTGCTGGTGGATTGTCAAATAATGTAGGTAAGGATAATTAGGGTTAAAGCGTTATATTCTCTGATGCTTCACTACGACACGACACATGATATGTTTGCGTCAGTAATTTTTCAATAAATTCGTGTTTTTTTAGGAATGATGCCTGGAGGCAATGCCGCGTCATCGTGGAGACCGAACGCACCTCAACTAGGGAACACTTCATTTTCTCTGAATTCCTTGGAAATTCCGGGATTTCAGAGCAGCCAGTCACATACAAAAACCCTCAACCAACTGAAATCAATGCAAGGAGTCCAAGGACAAGTTGCAACACAAGTTCGAGGCACGTATGCACATAAAGTTGCTGATGTAGTAATTTTAATGTTGAATATAAATGTTGAAAGTTCATTGGCAAGAATATAAAGCCACGCAGCCAATAATACCTTTCTACAAACAGTGCATGTTCCTAAATTTAATGAGCTACCTTGAGTCCGATCTTAAATGAACTTTTTGTATATAGGTTCACCTAAAGTTCCTCCAGAGCTTATGACAACATCACCAATGCACCAATTATTGACAATGGGAAATCAAAATTCCGGATCAAATGCGCCCATCTACAATCAGAACTCAGAACAGCAACAAAATACTGATTTACTGGATATATTCGGATAATATAGGATTGAATAAGGATACCTTCACGTTCGCGCCCAATTAGTTTATATATAGGATTATTATTTAAACGATGAAAAAATAATCTCTTGAACTCATTTTACAATTCCTATCTTAATAACTTTACTACAATCTATGGAGATTCCGGTATACTAGTTAGAGGTAAACATTTCTATTTGGAAAGTTGTCTTTATGTGATTTTTCAGTGGTTTTTCTAAACTATTGAATTCGCACAAGGGAAGTGTCTATTACCTGCGAATAATTGAAAACTCTTTGAGAGTATGTAAAGAATCTATGTGAGAATCCGTAATATCGAACTTTTGAAGTTCTTATAACTAATTTATAACAATTGAAATGATGCATATTAATTGACCGTAATTGTTATTCTGTACAAGCTAAAATAAAAGAGTTGGTGTTTAATGACATGGGTTTGGGGTCAGTATGTTGGTGACAAATTGCATACTTCCTTCAGACGGAATTAATTTACTGGTATCATAACTTTTACAGGGTTGAACTGGTACGGAAGTTACGCGAGGTAATGCGTTGCCAAAAAAGGCATTTATTCTGGCTTTAAGAGTAATTCACCACTTAGAGTGGCGGTTAAAATATTTTTTGAACTTTAAAAATTTCAATGGAGGATGAAAACTTAAATTTGAGGGTGTGGCAGCACCCTCAATAAGTCCGTCTATATCAGCAAAGCTGAATAAACACCACTTCCTGTAATAGAAGTGAAATACCACAAGATTTTATCAAACTCAGATTGGTTGGCTTCAAGCAGTGACAGGTTATCTCTGTTCTTGTCTTCATTTCCTGCAAGCAAGTCCAATTTGGTTGCCACAGTCCCACAGATTATCAACTTTGAAGATATATTTGAAAGGTTGTACACAAGAAAGTTAATTGTGTTTTTGGCATGCGGAATTGTTGCTAGTGGTCTCAGTCTCACAGGGGTAAATTACAATGAACACCGCTTGTGCTAACATCAACAAGTACAAGTGCATACCCCAGTAGCAAACCCTAGACCAGCAACTGAGGCCTGAGTAATTAGAACTACATCCATAATATCCATCTCAACAACTTACCACAAGTTCAAACATGCATAGATTTGGGAACTGTATTTTTTAGTCAAAGATTCAAATTTAATTATTCATATAATGTTAAGAAAACTGTAGACACTTTCTTTAACAGGATATGTTCATAAACATCTCATATTAATTGTAATAATCATAACAATGCTGATATCAATGAAACTCTGATGCTATATTTTGTACAATTCTAGCAAAAATAATATTTAACAAATCTGAGCAGCCACTGAAATGTGAAGTCAAGTGCATTACGCAATGCAATCTGCCATTTATGATGCCCAATGTCAAGTTAACAGTTGATGAGCTATTTGTACCAATAAAGATATCCAACAAAGAAAATGGAGCTGTTTGTTTGAAGCTAAATCTTCCTACATCACAAAACTCAAATGGGAATAATTTACAGAGAGCTTCCTTTTTCAAAATACCATATTTTAACTTCCACAAGAGGTTACAATGAGCATTATTTTGAAGAGCTGATTGCAACAAATGCTCATTCTCTACCATCTTGGAGATAAAGTATTTTGCCTTACTCTTCAAATCATTAACTTGAAATGAAACACTGCAATTGCACAGGTATGCCTGCTGCATTTTAGTAGGCAATAAGGCCCTGTAATTAGCCACAACTAATAGAGGCTTTTTATGAGCTAGAGCTTTTCTACTACCTGCACGATAAGACATGATATCCAACCATGCTGTGATAAACAAGGCTGTTAAAGAGCACTTTTGTCGACTACAAAAGTCAAGAATTCTATGAGTATCTTGTTCGGTAAGAGATTTGAAAAGAATTAAAGGTTTGCAATGAAATTTGGGTATTGGTTTCTTATGTAAATATCCTTTCTGAGAACTCCCAGAAACAAAACTGCAAATTTTTCCCATCAGATGTTCAATCATCAGCTTAATTATCTTGGAAAATGAAAGCATCAAATAGCTTTCAGGAGATGATGGCAAATGCAAAGTTCTTGAGCAATCAACACGAATATCACAGTTCACAAGAGTACACAACATTGTTGTGAAGTCTTCTGCAAAATACAATGCTGCACTTCTATCTGCAATTGTAGGATGAAATAAAAACAAAAAAGTGTTGATATACATTTTTCTTCTGATGTCATAATGTTCACGCAATACAATGGTTTTCCACAGGTGGTCACCGTTAGATAGTTGCATTTGTGATGAAAATTCCTCCTCGAGAACAATTTTCCAATTGGTTGTGTTCACGAATCTAAGGTTTGGACTAAATTTTTCATGATGGTTTACTATGAATCTTTTGTTTGACACGTGAGAACGTAGTATTGGATGCTTCCTGGCCAACAATTCAAGTGTATTCAGCACATTTTGACGTCTAAGAACATCGACACACTGAAGGGATAGTACAGAATACACCATGCAATTGAACATGGAGTGCAGCTCCATTAGAACATTTTCGTAGCTCCCCATCTTTCGAAGTTCTTCACCGCCTGCACAGCTATTACAGTTCTGGTACACGTGGTTCGATTGCTGCCTCGTCTGAGTTATTTTAGTTCGAATTCTTGCAGGTAATTTTATTGCAATACTGAAGACACCGCACAAAAAAAGTATAATAATAACAAGGAAAGCAACATTGTTTAGAATAAATACCATTGCCCATAACAATTGCGAAAAGTTTAATCAGTTTCAACCTCCCTCGCTACCAGACCAACCACATTAACATGATAAGCGGGTCTATACTTCATTTAATCCAAAATTTTCTGAATTTTCTGTTCATTTAAATTTGTGTAACATAATTAATCAACTATTAGCAATTTCTTGCACAATTTAACAGAATGTTACTTGGACAAAAATCCAAATATTCTGTCAGGCAAAATTCAATTAGAAAAGTTATTCAAAAGTATTTGATTTTAATTATGACTTCAGCATAATTTAGAGATTTGGCGATGACTTGAACAGAATACAATGCCATTGAGACAACAATACATAGTACTATAAAACAGATGCTGTTGTTGAGTTTAGCATGATTACCCAAGCTGAATAGAATAATTTAAACACCCTTCTATAAAGAATGCAAATCATCTAACACACATGTTTACCAAAGTTGAACCATAAATCAAGGAGGTCGAAATACAAATTTCTATTGCCACAACAAAAAGAATCTGTATCTTTGGCAAGGCTGGGTTGAGCCACCAACTAACTTCTAAAAACTTGCACATTCTGTCTTTATTAGAAATTTTTAAAAATGGAATACACACTGATCAATCAAACAAGGACCACAGAAAATATTTTTCTTTGGTGGGCTATCAATCATCAAAATTATACGCGAGTTGGAACTCAGGGACAAATTTCAAAAATTCAACATCATCACAAAATTATTTGGGAAGCTATTTCCCCATAGCCCCCCCTTGCTCTGTGGTCAATGCCAAATCAATTTAACAAAAAAGAATGAGCAACAATTAGAGGAAAGGAGGGATAGGGGGGGGCATTAATAAATTTGTCCATAGCCAATAGGTTATAAAACACAGGAGTTTGGTTTAGTTTTTGGTGAGCAAGAGTTTCATGAGGGAATGGTTATAAAGAAAGGAAATTAATTGAATTTAATAACAATATTGTTGTAATTTGTAACTATAGATTAAACTCTAATTTAATTTGGTGGTTGGAACATCATGCATTAACTTTGTAATTACCTTCCGCAATTAGATCATGTTTCCTTTTTTTGAAGTTCTTCTATAATTTGTTTCTTTTCTTTAATAATTCTTTTCAGTTCCAATATCCTTTCTTCCTACGAAAACGAAACGAAATGTATAACGTAAATCAAAATAATAGAGAAAAGCAAATTTACTTTAATCTTTAAACAATTAGGTTCAAGTGCTACGCAGTTAGATTCATCATCATGTAATAGGAAAAGGTCATTGGATATTACAAAATCGTCCAATGATTTCATGCTAACTAATCAGTTGATTGGTTAAAATTCTACCTAATCAGTAATCACTCCACATTATACGAAAGAATATAAAGACTTACCTTTTCGACTGACCATACTTTATGTTGTATGTAAAATCCAATTCCTCCTCCCATAATCGCAGCAGTAACAATTTGAATAAACAGCGAAGTCTTTGGGCCGACCATCATTATTAAAACTTTGGACGTTATTTGACGAAAAACGAAAAAACAGATGTCCTAGTTACATGACTGCAATTTACATTGATGGCGAGTACATGGTTGGAAGAAAACTAGGTACGTGACGCGTACATGTGAGTGGGTAACCTCAGGTAGCCTTGGTGGCTATCAAGTGTAAGTGGTAGGCTACAAAATAAAGTAATTCATGAATATAGCTCAAATAATATACTTAATTATGTCTACATCAAACTTGTTTGAGATTTAAAACAATACAAACTTATCGAGATTTCTCACAAATTTATTCATTATCATTTTAACTGAAATCCATTTTTGCTATAAATATATCGTCAACAACCTGTCTTTCAAAACAGTTTTCTAAACCAACAACAAAAGGTGCCATGTATTTATTTCATTCCTCCATTATTTAACTCCCATGGTCGTTTGTATAACTTTTGATCAAGTTCTATATCTTTAAATAAATTCAAAATTCAATTGTCGAATTTCAAAAGTGAAAAATAGATTAATGGAAATAAGTGGTCCAATGTTTATCCACTATTGAACGCGCTAAAATGTACAAATCTCCTGAGTATGAACACGTAAATATCTTTATATCCTGATATATTTTAGTGTAAAGATTTATTGAAAAGATTGTATGCTGTTTCTAAATCAAACAGCATTTGTCGTGCTTGATCGTCCGACAGTTCATCGCTTGCTTTCATCCCTCCCAAGGTTTCCAACCTAGAAAATGAAATTAATACTGTTCAGAAAAGCATTAATAACCACGTTCCTTGTTGGTTCAATACACAAAATGATAACATCACAGCCAATTAGTTGGTGGCAATTATATCCCTGGGAGTAAGGGAACAATGGAATGCTCGCCATGTTGGATGAAATTTGCATTGTAAGATAAGGAAAATCCTTTGTTAAAATCATCCAACATGGCGACTATGACGTAGCTTGCAACACAAGAATAAGGCAAATATACAAATGTTAAAATGACTTACTTTCTAACAATTTATTCTTTGACTACTTGCGTAACGTATGCTTATACATGCACTATTTTGTATGTTGCACAAAAAACTGTTTTCAATTAAATCTTATAATTAAATGTTCAGAACAGCACGTAAGCAAAAATTTTTATGATTTAAATTGAGCTATAGGAATGACTTCATGACTAATTCAAATTCTCTCACCAATTTTTTACTTTAATTTTTCCCTCAAAGTTTTCATCCAACTTGCTCAGACTGTTCATTGTGTCAATTAGATCTCTCAAATCAGGATGGATCTATTTTTATAAAACAAGGTTAAAATCGAGTTGACTATACACATAATTTGCAAGAAATAACGTTGAAAAAATTTTGAGACTATACATTCTTGCGTTTGACGTTCTACGTTTTAAAACTTAACCATGTATCGCCAAACTACATTATTTTGGATGAAGACGCAAATTGTGGCCGGTCAAAATGAACAGCAAAGTAGAAAATTGGCAGGTGAACAAGTATTTTGGTTGGTCATTGTCCGTTGACCAGCCAGTTAAGTCTTAATAAATCTTAAAATAACTTTCAACAGTGTTACTAAACTTCTAGGAGATATAAAAACATCACTAGTAAAAGAAGTTAAAAATTGTCTTAAAAAAAAGTAAATACCATGGTGAATGGTCATATCAACTGAGCGAACCTTTCTCCTAAGCCTCGCCAACTTATTCAGGTCACGAACCTGATCATCATTATAACGCTTTCTTAAATAGTAAAACAGCGACTTTGTCATTGTCGTTGACCATTCACCATGGTATTTGCTCTTTTTAAGACAATTTTTAACTTTTTCACCATGACAAAGTCTCTATTTTACTATTTAAAAATACTTTGTAAACAAGGAGGTGAGTATCCCCCCCCCCCAAACACTAAAGGGGGTAAGGAGGACAGTGAACCTCCCCAAATATTAAACGGAGTACGGAGAACAGTAAATTCCCCACCCCCAAACACTAAAGGGAGTAAGGAGGACAAGGAGGACAATAAACCTCCCACAAACACTAAAGGGAGTAAGGAGGACAAGGAGGACGGTAAACCTCCCCACAAACACTAAAGGGAGTAAGGAGGACAAGGAGGACGGTAAACCTCCCCACAAACACTAAAGGGAGTAAGGACAGTGAACCTCCCCAAATATTAAAGGGAGTAAGGAGAACAGTAAATTCCCCTCAATATTTTTGAAATAATATTAGTATTACTACATATTGAATTATTCTTAGTTGTTTGGACTTGATTTATTTAAATTATCTTTTGAGCCCCTCTGCTCAATATTTTAAATTATTGTTGACTTCCAGTTTTGTATTGGTAATTATCCTCAGGAATTATTTCTACTAGAAGTCTTTCACTCATTGCTAATCAAATAATGAAAGCAAATACAAATAATAAAGTGATAAAAACCCACCTCGTCTGTAGCTCTTATTCCCAAACGTAATTTGTCCATCGCAGTTATAAAAAGCTTAAAAATTTAAGGAATTTATGAATTTGCCATATACAGCCAGTGCATGAAAAATAATGTTCCCTTTTTTTTTCAAAATGAAAAGGAAGAACCAAAATCTCAACACTCTCACCATTACAATGTCAGCAATACATTTGCTGGTATTTCCTTTATCATCTCGAATTGTGATTGGCCTGTCTTCTTTGATACGCTCTAATGCTGCAGGGCAATTCAACTGCAAAATTTATGGAAATATTTGCAAGAAATTTATAACAATTTCTTGACTTAACGAAACACATTAATATATTTTTTTAGCAATAAAAATTATAGCTCACTAAAAACATAAGCATACAAAGCTAGTGAATTCAACATCCAGTTCTCTTCAACAAACACAAGTTTTTTTTGTACCTTGTATCTATCCAAAAAACTTTCTATTGTGGGAAATTCATCATTTTGAACTTGTTTAAATGCTGCTTTGTATTGCACCAGCAACTTTGAACAAGCAGCTGTGTATCTGTTGAAAATATAGGTAAAAATTATCACATGCATTGGCTTTTTAACAGATAATATCATCATACAAACAAACTAAAAAGGATCATATTACAAAGGTAAGGTAACATTTTGATTGGTGGAACATCAAAATGGTTTTTCCAAGAGTTTTATAAGCTAAGATATGTAAACGTTTTGAGTAACCTATTATCAAATAAAGTATGAATGTAATGGTTTACTTTATCATTGCCTTACTCTTTGGGTGTTAGGGCATCCTTGATGTATGCTTTCTCCAAAGCTTGTAGTGTATTTATGACAGCAAAAAGGTCTGCCAAATTATCATATCTTTAATGAAAAAGAAAATTTTGAATGCCAGCATTTCTACAAGAAAAGTCTAAGATACATAAACTATATACATATTAAAAAATCATAAAATAATATTTCATATATAATAGAAAATTTTCATGTAATATCTTACTTTTCTCGCTCATGCCTGTTATTGTACAACTTAACCTCCTATAAAAAATGATTGTAGTAACATTGTTTATTTACTAAACAAGGGCAGTTATACTGGTCAGAGGCAGAAGAGGAGTAGCCTGTATTGCAGATGTATGTTAATAACTGAAGAAAATTAAATTTCAGGCTAGAAGAAGTGGAGGCATAGCAACATTTTTGCCCATGAAATAGGTGGCCTATGTCACAAGCCATGCATTGATGTATGTTTTGACAAACAAATTAGAGATATGTAGAGAATAAGCCAAGAGCATTTGTATTTATTGTTGATTTATCATTGGTAAAGCATCCTCAGTCTTATAACCATTTCTTTTTTAAAATAATACTCTACAGGAAAGACAACATACCTCGTACAATTCTGGTCTGTTGACTAAACAAAATAATAATTAAAAAATATTAGTAAACCTTGTTTGACAAGAACGTAATACAACGCACTCGTGTTGTTTAGCTACAAATTTACAAAGGAAAGTCACATTTCCTCAATCAATATGCTGACAAAAACACAAAAATATACTACTTACCTCTTCTTGCTTCTGCGTTAGAATTTCTGTTGTCTGGAACACTTTGAAACATCATTTTATTAACTTTCGTTGTGAAATCTGTGAGACTGTGAAGGAATATGACGTAATGCTTGTGTTGTCTTGTCATGACGTCATACGTAGCTGATTTGGTATAATATACGTTCAATAGATTATAAAATAAAGAAAATTTTATTCTGTTATTATGTTTGGAGGTATAACAGAACAATTTGTAAAAAATAATGATATTAAAAGCGTAATAAGTTTGTATTTAAAGATATCTTCTCAGAAGGCGTATCAAAAATGTTCTTTGAAGTGCAAGAATGCGAAAAAATCAATGTCGTGTGGTTGCACTACGCGTGCACTAAATTCTTTTAGATTTTGATATCTTGGTGGGTAGCATAGTCCATATTTTGACTGTTTTTAATTTTTTTGCACAAGCCTGTTTTAAAGGACTTTTCACAACAGTCTATCACACACAAAAAAGTCAGTGCGTTTTAGAAAATAATTCAGTGTAAACTTCGTGAGAACGTTTAAAATAAAAAAATTGAAATCACTAAAACTTATTGCTTTTCGCGCACGCGCCTTGTTTTGGAGAACGTTTTCCCTGATGATTTTACAGTCATCGCCTGTTCATCACTGCAAAGTAAAAAATATGGTGCACTACAAGATAATTGTAGCACTGGCTTAGGAAAACCTCGGACATGTTTGTGAAAACTCTCGAGCCGGTGCAACCATGGACCTTCGGTCTCGGGCTAGCACTGATCAGGTCTTGAGTTCTCCCAAAGGTCTCCTCAGTTTGTATAAGCCTGTGCAAACATAGTAAAAACATCGTTTATTTCTTAAATGAAGGGTTTAAAATTACAGGATATTCATTCTCCGTCCATTATTTTCTATCCTCATTCCTTCACATATTTCCCACTCCATGTTTTAAAAATAGTCGCATTTATCAACAATATATCCGACAATTTCTCACCTTGTAAGTTGTAAATAGCGTATAATTGTGTGACGTAATACTATGTAACACATTATTAGTATATGAATTCAAACTTCCTCTTCTTCCCAAAACAACGCTGTAAAAACTCTTTTCATATAAATAAAGACAGTACAACAACTAAATAAGAAATTACATGTTTGCAGATGTCCATCGTCCAGGTTGGTGCTATTCTGAAACGGAATGCTGGTCATTATTTGGTGTTGTCATCTTCAGAGTCTTAGGAGGAGTGTGAACGGGATTATAAAAAAAATTATTGGGTTTGAGAGCAGAGGTCAGTACGTGCTCTGATCACGTTTCCGTTAAATTTCTTCAAGTGTAAGATACAACCTTCATAAGGGTCAGAAACTTAACTTTAAAATATTTTTTCGCATACATTTCACACTAACGTTTCATTTACACATGATACAATAATGTAAAATTAATTTTATTGCGTAAAATCATTGAAAATAGTTATTTTATCGTAAGCGATTACATAGTAAATGCGAATCAAATTAAGCTGAAATCATTTATAGTGTGCAATATATCAATCCTTGTTTCTTTACTTTCAATCAATAGTTCACATCAAGACGTCTTGTAATCATCCTTCATAACAACATGGCCAAATTTGAACATAAGCTTTTGTCCAGGGATCTTTTGCACCTCACCATGTTTGTACTGGCGAAGAGCACGACTCAATTTGTCGTAATTCATATTAACCTTATTTTTCTCCTGTCCCCAGCGATGCGCTAGTTCCGCTGTTTGTACCACTCGGAAAATGTAGTTCTTCCTATCGACCCATTGGAGAAGATTGTCGTTTTCTTGATTTGGTGATTCAAGAAGACGGTATAAAAACTTCCACAAACTATTCTTTCTGTTTCCTGAACAACAAGTCAATCTTGAAAAGATTTCTGTTTTCATTGCGCGTAGTCTCATTTTGTTTATCGTTGTCATTTGAAATGATACAGTGATTTGTTGGACTAGATGTTTTTATGAGCTCACATGAACGCTCATTCTAAGTTTGGTGAGTGGTGAATTGTTTAAAATGGGATAAAACGCAATGTAAAAGAAAGAATAAAAGATCTTTACCTACTTCTTTTTGGCAGTTTTTCGTTCTTCATTGCCGGCTCCGTGAACCCTTAGTAAAGAGAATTGAATTCGAAAATTTAGTAGTGATGAAACCAAAGAGTTTTTATTCAAATAAACTTATTGCTTTTTAACTTCCTATTTTGAGTGTTATTACATGCTTGTCCGTCTTTTGTGAAGACAATTGATATTATTGTAAGTACTGGCACGTAGGTGACAAATGTAATTTAAGACACTGTGAATTAAAAAATAGTATAGGTTAGCACATACAAACACTTTGCAACAAAACATTTTGGTTTGGAATTAAAAAATCGCTGCATGAATGCGATGTCCATTTAAACTCAAGCAAAGGTTACCAAACGCGTGAACTTCATATGTATAACAAACATTATCTGCTAGTGTATCGACTTACCAACACTTGACTCACTTCCTGTCGGTAAAATTTCTTCGTTATGACTGACGTCAGCAACTTTTACGCCAGGTTTTATATTCCTGGTAATTGGTGCTCGAGACGGGAAGGATTGAGGTTCAACTTGTTGAGCAGCAGTGGTTGTTTCATTCAGATTCGTAAAAAGAGAGCTCTCGCTATCTTCCTCGATATATTTTACCAGAGGTGAGCAACACTCTAACAAGTCTTCATCACTTGGCAACTCAAAGGTAGAATTCTCCGAGGTAGAATTTTTTGATACATTCTAGAATTGAATGCAAGATGTTTCAGTATCAGCTAAGCTACACAACTATCATTATATTATATTAAACTGTAACTAAAACGGACTTATTTTCATGAGATTTTTACGCAGAAATTTTGCAAACTTTTTTTCACCATGCGGTATAGAAAACAGAATTTGTGCCTAACGTTGTAGAATCAATTGACGACGCCTTTACATTGATAATTATATTGTTGTATGATTTTATCACAACTTCAGTAATTACAGAAAAGTGATAATATGCAAAGAAAAAAATGTAGTGGTGAAACAAGAAGTTTGAATAAGCGTCAACGCAAACTCTTTTAAGATAATAGTTAATAAAGTTGCTGCTTAAATAGATGAAGGTATAATGAGATTTGATTGGCTAAATAAATATGTATGCATAATAGCTCGATGAGGCGACATTAGTTATTCAGTTACGTTAACAAAAGAGAGAGATAAAGTTCTTTACCTACAATTTACGTTCTGTACCTTCAGGTCATCAATATTAAGAGCAAACATTTCAAATCTTTCAATTAAAACTCTGGTGTTAAATTATTTAGTTGCAACCAAGCATTGATTTACGCGAAGTAGAATTAACTTAGGTTTGATCGGGTCAAATTACCTTTTTGCCGTTGCCATAATTTAGTGATCGAATATTTGCAACCCATTATGTCTGTATGAATTTCAGTGCTTTGAGTAAAACTGTTTGATTTTGATTGTTTAAGTTAAAATATTTATTGAAAGTTAGGAGTTGTCTCCGTATCAGAGGAAAGCGTTGTTTGGAAGACGCAGCTCTAGCGATTGTTATGATTTTGTAAAAACCGTGTGGGAGATGTCTTTATGATTGAAGTGTCCAATACAAGTCGAAGTTATTAAAAATGTCACTTTCTTGTAATACGTGCGACCGTGCAGTCGTGATTGATTTGTGACAATGCAGCCATTCGACTATTAGAAATCATTTGAAGTAGCATCACGGTAAAAAAAACATTTCCGTAAGATTCTTACTAATTTTATGATTTTTATCTAAGGCTTAAATACTATAATTCCAGTAAAAATTCTCCAGCACTTAACATGTTTTGGGTATAAAAGCAGTAGATTAAAAACAGCAACTAGATCGCCAGACTGGCCGCCTACTATGTGAATTACCGCCTACTCTGTGCATTACCGCCTACTCTGTGCATTACCGCCTACTTTGTGAATTACCTGTTGATTAACTACCCTAATTTGTGGAGTTAAGAGTCGTCGTTACAAGTGCCATAAATTTATTGGAATGAAAGCCAATGTCATGTCTCACGTCATGAATGAAATAAACAGTTTCATGAACGGGAATAATTCAAAAACTGCTTAAAAAAACATAGGTTTAAGTATCAATCAAGAGTCGTGGCCGACAGGTGAGTTGCAATGGTTATAGTGATTAGAAAATTATTACATATCAAAAATAATTATAACTATTTATTCAACAGGTCAATTAAATCTGTTTTACCTATCACAGAAATATTAAATATATTCATTAGATTAAAATCCATTTAAACGAGTGCTCTTGAATTGAAGTTCTTTACTCATGCACATATGAATAATTATTACAGAGGCCTACAAACAAAAGCTAATGATTTATTCTAGGTCGAAAGTAAGAGGTACAAGATAAAAGCCCAGAACCAAGGAATATGCGAAAGAAAAATTAAATGGAATTGATATGGGCGACAAGAAATATTTTAAACTTATAAATGATATCGTTGATATTGAAGGATAAGATATCAATTTTCATGTCGTTAAACTTCGAGTACGGGATGAAGCTGTTGGTTGATGTGTGTGAAATATTACAAATATACCCCGGATTATAGTCTTCATGTCGTGCCAGAGCTTTTCAATTTTCAAATTTACTGGCCGCATTTTTCACGAATTTTTTCGTGGCAAATTTCTAATATGTGTACAGGTCTGATAAGATCTTAATAAGTAATGCCTGCATTGGCTGTATTGCATTTTCCGAAAATTCAACTCATTTTGTCTCAGCAGGCGATTGAAGTCATAGCGCACGATCCGCTTATCATGCCATGTGCGCTTATCATGCCATGTGCGCATGTACGTGGTAAGTTCAATACACAAAAATTTCGTGCGCAAAAATCATGAATGATGAACTCGTAATGTAATTGAACTCGTGATGGAATGTAAAAAATGAGCGGGGGCTTTTCATGAAAATTGCTAATGAAGAACGTCTTTTTAAAACAAATACTTGGCTGTAGTTACAAACTTAAGTCTTTATTATTTTTCTTGAATATCAAATGTCCCGAGCACAACTTTTGTTGATGAATTGATTCATTTGCTCAAACACGTCGTGGTTGTAAGCTAAAGTTTACTGAAAAACCGAAATGTTAGCAATTTAAAAAAAAATTACAGTTTTTTAAATTCAACTCTTCGTTAGGAAAGTTGATTGTTTTAACTTCTTAGGAGGTATTTTTATAGAAGCAAGCCAGTCAGCCGGCTAGGGTACACGATGAAATTTTATATTTCTATAGATTATTAATTTGACTCTTAAATTCAGTTATGGGCTTGCTTATTTGATTTAACTGGTTCATGATAAAATTTGCACTCTTTTTTCGCTACTGCTATGTTATTGTTAGTACTCAAACTCTTCTTTCTGCGGCCATTATCTGACGCTCAATATTTCAAAAACTTTTATTTGGTTGCTGATAAGACGCGCACATCATTCAAAATTTTGAATCACTTGATTTTTGTTTATTTCAGTGGAGAAAATGTTACCTGGACATGTCAGGCGCATTTTAAATAGCAACTGATTTTCCCAGCTTTAAATTTATAAATGCACACGTTTAATAAATCTTTAATCATAGTGCTCATTATCTCAAGACATATGTATAAGCGTTGAGAACATGCTACACACTACATTTACTTAAAACCACATCAATTAATCTCCACAAATAATACATATAATTCATTGGTTGCACTACAAATATTTACCGTACATTGGTCGCTTGTTGATCGACCTTAATGAGCTTTACGATGCTACAAACATAGCAACAAAGTATCACGCACTGACGCACAGCGCATAGTGCAAATGAATTAAAGTAGAACAAAGGGCGAATAGCCGTGTATGACTTGCATAAAAAAAGTATATTTGACGTAGAACTTTTTGAATAATTGATATATCGACGAAAATCATGATGAGAACTGAGGACATTGAGATTCGCCTGCATGTCTCCAAGATTCGCCACGTGATAAAAGTGCAACTACCAACCACCTACTACGCATAATGTTTATTTATGTTTACTTTACCTTTTATTATCGAACTTTCCAAGAACAGTTTAATGGCGTTTTCAATCAAAGTACGAACAGTATAAAAGATGTCGACCAGTTCCTCGTGCGGTATGTCTGTCTTCAGTCCGAGTAGTGTTTCAGATAATTGCTGTTTAAAAATCAGCCAATCATGATCTAAACGTTCCACCTTTCAACTATCTTATTGGTCGTGACTTTAAATTAAAAGGTTAAGAAGAAGTCGAGCATGCGAACCGTTTTCACACATCGATAGTACGTTCGCTACGTTGACAACATAAACGACTTGTAAACTATGGAAAAGCATGTGCCACAAACACAATTTCTTTCATAATCTTTTGCTTTGCAGTGTCAGTGAGAGACAAAAAACTCGATTACTTTATTAATAATTACTTGAATAACCCCACACACTGATATAAACTCAAAAACCTATATCGTGAAGCCGCAACAACTGTCTTCAAATCTTAGAAAAATCAAAAATGTAATGGTTTTGTAACGTTTTATTGTAACCAGAAAGAACAATTGTCACCCCATGACTATGCAATCCACTTGATGTGAATCCACTTGATGATGTAAAATACAGTTATGAACTTTATTTCTCAGCTCTTTTATCAACGGTAACTTCCATCTACTGGCAGCCCATTGATCATCTCTGTTAAAATTTAATAATATATCGTTACTATTAGTTAAAGAACTCCATCATCACTTTAATCATCAACGCATTATATTTACCTTAAGTTTAATTACTTCCGAATGTTCTTTTTGAGTCAAGTTAATGAATTGAGATTACTGTCAATAATAAGTTTAGAAGCCTTGATAAGTCAATGACACTATTTAACGGGAATCCACTCGTTCGGTCTTGCTATCTGTTAACATTGTAGTCAAGTCAACTCAATTGTGCTTTGCAGCAAAAGAAAAGCAAAATTGCCCTGGAAAGTGGCAAATGCCCTAAATGGATTGGAAGGGGTCAAGATGTCGTCTTATATAAAATCGCAACTGTTGAAAAACAATTTTTGCTCTACTCAGTACATGGTGTGTACCACACACACCCCTTGTACAAATCAGCTACGGTTAATTGGGGTCAGCGTGTGTATGAATAAAATTTTTGTCGTATTTTATTTGAATATCGTAAATACCGTATTTTCTCTTATTTATAACGAGGGGGGGAGAGCGAAAAAGAAATTTGCTGTGACGTGCTAGAGAGAAAGATGTGGGTGATTTAGAGAGGCGTCTATTTTGCAATTAAACTCATCCAAATAAAATCAATAGCAATAACTACGAAAGAATTAACTACGAAAAATGACTACTTTTTTGACGCGTCAGTTGCAATAAAATTCAAAAAGTCATAAGTTTTCACTGTTATTGAAAGACTGTCAATATGCCGAACAAACATGCACGTGTAGAGAAAAATACGTAAATAGTTCTAAAGATCGCAAATAACATAGTGAATGGTAAAAGTAATATAATAAGTTGATACTTCTTTAAAGAACTGTTTTAAGTAAAGAGCACTATCCCAAAAGTTCTACCGATGCAGAGAGACCACGTATGTATGGACTCCACAAAGAGGGCGCTCCACTCCGACCAATTCTTGCCATGATTAACTCAGCTCATCATGAGTTAGCTAAACAACTGTCAGTCGTACTTTCACCTGTTTTAGATAAGTTCTCAATACACGCTTTAAAAGACTCATTTACTTTTACTAATCAACGTAAACAACTAGATCTTTCTGCTCATCCTAATTTGACAATGTGCTCTTTTTACAAATGTGCGCTTAGAAGAAACCATCGAAATCTGTGTTAATAAATTTTTTTTCACTCGGACATGGCTGTACCATACATGTCCGAGAAGGCTTTTAGAGAATTAATGTTAGCAGCCACTAGAGGAGTTGAGTTGAGTTTTAATGATAACGTGTACAAACAAATTGATGGCGTGGATACGGGTTCTCTTCTTTGACCAGTACTTGCTAATATTTTCGTAGGCTATTATGTTTGCCCCTTTTGAGCCTCCAGACGTGCTGTGGTACAAACGTTACGTTGACGACATCTTTTCCCTTTTTCGTAACGACAAAAATCGCCAATTATTTTTACATAAACTCTGTTCTCTTCACCCTTCTTTAAATTATACGTCTGAACATGAATCAAATTGTCAGTTAGCGTTTTTGGATGTTCTTGTCCATAAACGCAATGGTCAATTCCTTACAAGCATTCATCGCAAGGCAACTTTTACGGGTTTGTACACACGCTTTGACTCTTTTTCTTCACACAGAGAAAAGATTTCTTTAGTAAAGTGTTTAATAAAGTGAACGTTTAGACTGTCATCAGAGGAGTTCATTGAGGGTGATCTCAACTCATTGAAAAAGATATTTCTCTCAAATGGATATCCGGAAAAAATGAGCAGAATAGGCCTTTTGGACCAGCTAAGTGCCCTGTGTTTATCAAACTTCCATGGATGGGTAAGGCTTCTAATGATATTGAAAGGGAAACTAAGAATATTACGGAGAATTAGTTTTTTGCGAGCAATGTTATCTTTGTATTTTCGAAAAGAACTATTCTACCACCCATCCCAAAAGAATCTCTGCCGGCAGAACTTTTAAGCAATGTAATTTATGAATATAAATGTGAGTGTGATGCTTGCTATGTAGGTAGAACGTCACAAAGGTTGGGTGGTAGGATCAAACAGCATGTACCAGCTTCAATCAGAAATGGAACGGTCCCCTCGAGACAACAACCAAAACGTGATTGTAAGAAAACTAATTTAGTTTCATGTGACTCCGTGATAGGTAAACATCTCTCGAATAACTCCCATTGTGCTGATTCTTATTCAGACGACAATTTTAGAATCATTAAGAAATGCCGTTCATTCTTTCAGTTTCGCGTCATGGAGGCTGTTTTGATTAAGTTAACCAATCCCGTCCTCTGCCGACAAAAGGATTATGTTTTTAATTTATCCCTGTTTTGAGATTCTGCTAATTTTCACTTAGCAGACGTTTACACCCGAAGAGTAGTCTGGCGAAATGCATCGTGTCGTTTCATTTCATAACATTTATTTTAGAACTATTGGGTTAGTGCTCTTTACTTAAAACAGTTCTTTTAAGAACTATCAACTTATTACATTACTTTTACCATTGACTATGGTATTTGCGATCTTTAGAACTATTTTCAGATTTGTCACCACGACAAAGTCTCTATTTTATTATTTAAGAAAAATACACGTCAACATGTATGTCGTTATTTATGTAAAACAGGCATGCTGCCTGCAACCACATAAACTCTTCGATACAATGCAACAGATCACATTTTAATCTGTAAAGTCCAGTTTTGTTGCAGCCATTCTGGGAACATGATATAATCATTTGCTTTTGATGATCAAATTTTGACCAGATATTGTCTTTGTAACAATCTATTTAAGAAAATTGCATGGTTGCCTGACAACATTTTGTCGCTTCAAGATGATATCAATTTCCATAGTACATACTACTGGTGCTCCCCCAGAAGAACAACTGTAACTTTGCCAGCACAGCACACCCGTTACGCTTCTCTCTAATAGACACTCTCACAAAATTACCATTATTGCTAATAACATTACAAAAAAGTGGGTAATTTGTTAGGCTGAGAAACAGTATATTTAGTTAAACTTTTTTTTATTCATTAGTACCAAGAAGAAAGAAATGATACAAACGCCTCTTTTCCAATCTATTTCACTCTCTCTCACCACAGAATAGACATCTAACAGAAGGCCCAGTCGGCTAAAATCGTGGTGTATTTTTTCACTACGCATGCATGACTTCCCAGCAAGATACTTTCACAAAATCAATACGGAATAGTATTGCACGAAAATCTTATTTTACTAATAATTCACGTTTAAAGCAAACTTTTGCCGAAATTTTTATAAAGAGTTATCATCTCGCAAAGGAGATAAGGTTTGTATTGCGAAACGATATATTTGTAAAAAGCTGTATTTTCTATTGCGATCTATCGGAAGTATCTTGCTGGAAGGCGTGTCTTCCTTAGAATTTTCTTCAGAAAGAGGGGGGACACTAACATCAAAGGTTCCGACACGAGTGGACCTTCTGTTAAGATATCTATCTCTCGAATCTATTAAATACGTGATGTAAAATTACGTATAAAGACTTATCAATATGGCGGCACGAAATCCATCTCCTCCTCCAATTACAGACGAAGAGAGAGATGTTTTATATTCAGATAAAATTGGCGATACAGTATTTAGCAAGAGATGGGTTCTCCAAGTCCTGTTTAATTCAACGCAACAGCTAAAACTGGACGGCGATGGAATTATGGACAAAAATTTAGATTCCGATTTATGTAATCTTTGGGATATGTCAATGAATAAGGTAATGCATTGAGTAATTTTTGTAAGCTTTTTAATGAGCAAGATGAACTCCTCGATAGAAGTATTATGAATAAAGGCTACATATGATATGAAGTTGTCTTTTACGTTTCAACTTTATTATTCACCATTTTCACGCGTTTCTGATATACTTGATGATAATATGCTGCATATTAAACTGTAAAGTTTTTATCATGCTTGGAGATGTTGGTACGAACTCTCGAGCAAGTGCAAACCTTTGACTTTTGTTCTTGGTTTCCATTGTAAAAAAATATGTAACGCAGTGAACATGTGCTTCACTATTCCTGCAAAGAATCTTATTGATAATAATTACTTCATTCCTTGTGCAGGCCAAAATTTACTTTCTGGACATCCGACATAGAATCGCCGCATTGAGCAAGTAACATATATAAAAATTTTATTCGTATTTTTATATTTGGATCTTGTGTCCAGGATGTTGCCTTGTTTCTTCAAGAAGTCGATGGCTTGAACATATTTCTTAATATTATTCTTGAATCTAATTCACCACGATTAACGGTAAGTTAAATAGTCTCCTTATATGTTGTTCTTATTTTAATTTAGATGGGTTACTCATTGTTTGTGTTACTTTAGATAGCCAATTATAAAACATAACAATGGCCAAAATGGTCTTGGGAATTAAATGATGGAAAAGTTGTGGTTCACACTACAGCATGATAAAATCACATATTAGAGAATTATGTTTTTTCTCACGGATATGTAAAAACTTGAAGATTCAGTGTGAGGGGATGTTTTGATTGGTTATTTTGTATTGTAATTAACTGAAACAGATTTCTAATGTAGTTTATATGTAGTTTCTCCAATGTTATTCTACTCCCTCCTCTCTATTTAAAGGAAATTTCCATTGGCCTCATGGGCAATATGGCATGTGTTGAAGATATATGTAAGGATATTACAAACCGTCAAAAAATAATGTGAGTAATATTTTATACCTTATTAACAGGATTAACATTGATTTAGTAATACTCAATTTCATGAAGAATTTAGTGGTATATATTAGGGATGGTGGGGTACACATTAGGTTGTAGATGGTACAGTAGGGGAATATGGTAAACATTGGGTGGTGGGGTACATATTAGGTGGTGGGGTACACATTGGGTAGTGGGGTACTCATTTGGTGGTGGGGTACACATTAGGGGGGGGACATAACATATATATGCTTTTACTATTTATCATCCTTAACAATTCACGTGCATGCTCTTACAGTGACATTATGTTGTTGTTGATGGATCATCGCGATGCTTCAATTCTTATTGAAGTGACGAGGTACATTCTTGCAATGAAGGCTGATCTTTTCAAAACATAAGTTCACTCACTTCACGTATTGAACTTTTAGACTTGTTCATGTAGCGATAACAAACAATGAAACGCGGACAAAATGGATGGAAGGGATACAACATTCTAACCTTTTGAAGAACGCGATGTTCATATTTGAAAACTCAATGAATGGTTCGTGAAATTACGAGCATACTAGACAATTTTCCACGTAGTTTTTCAAATTTGTATTTTTGGTCTTGACCTACATATGTAAATTCACGTCTTGTCAAGATAAACTCTTTTAAAAACTCCTAAAGTAAATACGCATCTGTATTGTATTTCTCCAGATATAAAATTCATCCTTCACTCAAAAAAAACGCTGCTTACACTGTTTATATCTAGTCAAAGTACTACCTAGTGTGAATTTAACATTTCTTATTTCAATAGAAGAGTTGCTTTTGAACACCAGTCTATTGTTATCGTCACTGTTGACGTACAATCGATCTTTGGTAGAGTCTGAAGACGAACATAGATTTTGCAAGTCAATAGAAGAAGCAATGAAACAAACGAAGTAAAAGTTAATTTTTTATTTTTGAATAGAAAAATGCATATATGTAATTGCAAACAAAATATTTTCTTTGCTTGCTCATTTGCCCAACTATAACAATTTTGCTCAGGTTTCTCCCGTACTAATAAATAGTTATAATTAATAATTTTGTAACAGATAGCTACTGTAATAAATTATTTTATGAATGCTGTAGGGATGATTGTGAAAAGACCCGCGAATATCTGTCGTATCTATTTGAACTTTTACAAAAGAAGTAATCGATACCGAGAATGGACATCCATATGGCGGTTTGTGCCAGAGATAGCGGTTAGTGTCCACATTTCCCCCTCTTAATATCATTTAGGTTTAATATGTTGTCAATAATGAACACATCAACACTAGCGCGTAATGGCTAACGTAGTGATCTATCACGTGTTAAAATACAATACTGCATCTATACCATATGGACATTTTAAACAGACAACACTATTTTTTAAATTTTTATGGCATACTTCTCTCCCCCATCTCCGCTAATAATTTACACAAAAAAAGTTTCAAATATATTGTCGTCTTCAAAATGTTTATTTAATCAGGTGCTGAAAAGATAATATGGTATCCCAAGGACCGCGTAAAATCGATTATCTTGAAGGGGGGGGAGAGTCATATTCATATATTCATGCTATAACCCGTAGAAAACAATGGATTTCAAAGGAACTTAATGTGACATATCATACATGTATGAATATTAAATACCACCACTAATTATCGATCTTCTGCGGTCTCCGTATCCATTTTATCATTACCTATGAAAGTATATTTGACCACTCCAATCGCAACTTGCAAGTAAACTTGGAGAAGACAGACTCCATGCAACGTCCATACAAGGCTGAGAGTTTGAAAGTTCAAAAGTATTTGATATCTTTGTTGTAGAATAATTGTAGACATACAAGAAACCATTTGAGGAACCACTCGCCACCAAGCTACCATCTGGACTAATGTCCATACCAATATGATAACCAGAAACCTTAGTAGAAAAGCCCAAGTGAACGATGTTACGAAAACGTATATGATCAATCTTTCTTAGAATACAAATGAGTCGACAATGACATTTAAACATACAATTAAAAGTAGAACTTTCAAGGTTTAACTGGTGTTCAAAATTTCTTGGTGTTGTTAGTTATTCTCTGGAGGTTTAGCAAATATAATTGTTTAAGAAAAGCCTAAACGTGACGCTTTAGATTGTAACTTGTGAATACTAAAATGAATAAGTTTTACGTACATTGTGTCCTTCAAATCGTTTGTAGTGATTCAGTTTATAAGGCGATTTTTGTGAAAAAAGAGCAATGTATCCCGCATTACTTTGAGCAAGAAAAGTTGCATCTCTAGGATGGATTTTCAATGTAGTGCATGTGTAAGGCTCCTATAAAAAAAGTTGCTCTTGCTTCATTACATACACACTGCTGTCAGCTTTTGTAAAGGCAAGTCTAATTTTACCTGATAAATCTGATTAGATAACACAGTAGAAGTTTTGTAATCCCATACCATGATACCCTTGTCAGTTGAATTTCGTCTAGAGACTTCAGCGGCCGAGATGAAACTTTTTCCATCTGGTATAAAAACCAAATCTTGAATTTGACCAAAGAATGATTGGTATCTGCAAGTGTACTGTGTTCACAAACTGTGAGTCGAGTTAAGAAGTAATGACATCGAAGAATAAAATGTGCTACTGTACTATGAAAAGGCATTTATCCTTGGCATCCCAAGAAATAAAGCTGCCTTGGGAGGCTACTTTCAATTCAATCTTCTGTACAATCATGGAGCAGAAATCTTCATTAAGATTTAAGGGAAAATGGAAACATTTATTTTGATTTTTTCTAAGGTCTGCTTTATTGATAGCAGTAGACAAGCTTATAGGATTAGCCTGCTAAAATAACTAGATAATTATTTGTTTATTGTCTGACAAGTGTAGCTAAAAATTACCTAATTCACATAGGTCATTAACTGCATTGAAGAGATCAAGTATATACATTCAAAAGAGTTGACATAAATATGTGCAAAACTGATCTGTTACCTGTTGCATTCGGACATCCCAAGAATATATCCCATGGTTTGAGGTTCCTGACAGGTACATATTTGGATCAAATGGATGACAAACAACACATGTTACAAATGATGCATGATTATGAGAGCAAACCTCTTTTTCTGAAACAAGGAGCAATATTACTAGAAGCAGCCACATAGGATATAGAACAGAAATATGTGTTGCCATTCTTGATTATTATTTGACATTTCAGAAATTACTTCCTTGTTATTTTGGTGCCATGTTTTTAGTGCTTTGTACCACAAAATATCAATGTTGGAAAAATAATTTTTCGTTGAAAAATAACATTAAATAATAACTCAACGTTGGAAAAGTAAAGGATGTCAAATCATAATCCATAAGCATAAAAATGTGCCTGAATTATGTATTGTACACTTCTTTTGTGATATAGTTTAGTTTGATTATTTCTCATTTTCTATTTAAATTATGTATATTTCAACAAATGTGTATTTCCTACCATTATTGACATCTGTGATCTTTGAAGACTTATCATAGCTGGCACTCAAGATTTTCATCCCATCAAGACACCATCTGGCATCTTTTATAGCCAGTGAATGACAATGGACAAGTTTGATACAAGTCACTACAGCACTTTCAGTATTCCATATCTTTAACAAAGAGTCCATTGATGCTGATAGTAAATGATTTTGGTAACATGGATTCCAGGATATTCTGTTTATACAACCTTTGTGTGCAGTTGTTTGAGAAAGTCTTCTTTTTGGTGCGCGATAAGAAAAATTATTTGAAGGTGATAGTGTTCTGGCATTTTTGAAAAGCAAAGTATGGTCATCCTGTCTGAGATCTTCTGATATTATTTCCTTGTTTGTATTCTTACACAAGAGTTTGATTCTTTTTGCTTTCGATATATAAGGCATTGCATTTTCCTCCACAAAAGATACAAATCCCTTTTTTCTTGATTATAAGTACCCAATGATTTTGATCTTTTATTTCTCATTGTTTGATTGTTTGTTAATGATATCTTGTCAGCATTCAATGAAACTACATTGCTCATGCCCAATGGTTTTGACATGACTTCTTTTGATGATGTCAAACAAGGTTCTTGAAGTGATTTTGAAGCTTGTCCGTTTCCAAAATCTGGTGAAGCCAAGTTTCCAAAACTTAAATCTTTACCTTTCAAATTATTGGATTCTTGGCAATGCTGTTGAGCTGATCCTCTTCTGGATCTGATGAACTCATATAAGAGGAGAAAATAGCCTCCATATGATTATTACACTGACTACTATACGCTTACATGAACACCTACTTTTATCATCATTTTCAACTGTTGTAAACATCAACTCCGTTGGCTTCTTGTGGGAGCTTCGTTTAATCATATTTGTATTTTACTTCACCGCAAGGAAATAATTGAGCAGAGGATTGGGTTCTATTTGCTTTGTTGATACCGTAAATGACATAACAAACGCCCGGTGAGTTAAAAAATTTTTTGCGATTCTCCATTATCTGCTCGAATGAACATGGAACTAAGGTTAAATATATAGTTTCTGAGTACAATCAACAATCCACGTTTAATTATAATGATATAATCTTATAGACATGCAAAGACCGGGTGTTTATTGCATACAATAGAGGCGTTTATTGGATCATTAACGGTATGCGTCGTGCTTTGGTGCGCCACTTGGATGAATCAAAAGCATAAACGTCATGTAATCAAGCTAAATTATAACTAACCCCAAAAATGGACTGCTGTGTTTTGAGCATGGTGTAAACTCTGATCCCTGTCAAGCAGACATCTCTTCAGTCTTCACATTGGCAAAAGATGAGCAGGGCCGCCCTGAAGGGAGGCAAAAGGGGCAATTTTCCCCAGGCCCCAGGCTTTCAAGGACCCCAAAGCAAGATAGGAAGAACAATATATTGCTTTGAAAATACGTGCTTATAAAATAAGAGTTGTTACAACTGGGTAGTATAATTTTATTACTGTGAGATATTTTGGAGAGAAAAGGCCCCCCCTGCAAAAAGTTTCGCCCAAGGCCCAAAAAAAATTTTTGGACGGCTCTGACCAGGAGTGTCTACTTCAAAAATAGTTCTCTTTCTACATTTCCATATTCTATAGGTAGCTTAATAAGTTGGGCACATGTGAATGATTATAACAGTAAATTATATACCATTTAAGGATACTTTAACAACAGATTTTCCTTGATCTAAGATGAAAATAATTAGGAAATATTGGAAAGAGTTGCCAACTTATTTCCATGATGGTCGAGGGATATATAGCTCTTTATACTGATTATGACACCGAACAATTAATATTTTACTAGCGACTACTATATATTTAATAAGTTCCTTCAGTAAAGTAACAATAAAGGAGTAATTACACATGTAATTAGTCACATCACTGATGAACTGATTACTGATATGTTGAAGGTTCAATTAGAAAAAACAATTCATTCAAATCTTTGTCAGCAACGCCATATTATTTATAAAAACAAAACTTGAAATTAAAATGTCGTAATAATATATTTCTATGTATTCTTACGGTATCTAGTGTTTCTTTTCTCTTATAGTTTATGGCAAAAATCTAATTGACGAAAAATTTTAAAAGTTATAAAAAAGAGAAATTAGGAAAAGCACCTGCTTGAGAGTAATATATGGGGTAACGACACGTTCTTCGAGACCTATGTTACTACATGGAGTAAGCTGAATTTAAATAATAATAATTTGAAATTTCATACAAATCGAACATAGGTTATTTTTATGTAGTATTTGTGAGTTGTTTAGAGGAATGATAAGATGTGCAACAGCAAACTAAGCTCGTTTTACAAATAATCCGACAAACTCACTGTTTGACATATTGCCAACTTTTACTGTTTATTATTGTTTATATCAGAGAGTATAATTGCATTATTTACAAAATTTACAAAGAATACACAATGAATGCAATCAAAATTACAAATTATATTCTTTTCTCATGCAGACATGTCTGCTCATAATTTAAAGTTTTGAATTTTGACTAATCTTGAACACCAAAGAAGAATTATTGAGAGTGTATCGACTAGATCGTAAAAATATCAACCAAATGAATGACAATGTGCTCAGAACTGCTTACTGCTATGCATTTGTATTCGACTGACCTAAAACCTACGTTTATCTGCGATTGTATTTTTTTATCCTTTCAGTAGTTCGCTCTTTTCGTCATCACTGTGTTCGGCTAAATTTTTACTATGAGCTTCAGCTTTTTTTCTTAGGTTTGCAATACTCATAATCCTTGCCTCTTCGTCGTTTTTCTCATCTTTGCCAGACTGCTCTCCTTGTCCATTTTTTTTATACATTCCCAAGAGCCACCTTGCAGAGGTAGCATCCGATAGATGTGGTGGCAGCGGTAACGAATGTCTAACCATTGCACCGTACAAACCATATTCTGCCATGATGGATGTCTTACCCCAAACTTTTTCCTTCTTCCTCCACTTTGCACGACGATTTTGGAACCAAACCTGTGTTAAATTTTTACATTGAAAACTTTGTATCTCAACTGTGCAAGCTATTTTACCTATTATATTTGGTGGAAAAGGGACAGATGACTAGACTGTAAGCAAGGATTAATTAGGTTTCCTGTTGCCAAAAAAACTGGAGTCATTTGGGACCACAATTTGCTAGTGGATACAAGTCAAGTGTGAAAATTTAAAGGAGTTATCTAGCTTGACTATAGCGCTAAGACCTCTATACTTCATATGGATTTCATGCAGGCCTTTGTAAATTTAGTGATTTAGCCTTGCTTATCTTCATCTCATTAATCGTTCATTTCCCAAGTTGAATATTTAATATAAATTAAAAGTTTACAATCATGTAAGTCATCATATAAAAAGCATCTGCCTAACAGCAACATGCATAAACTTTAATTAAAGATATTGAAGATTAATTACCCAAGCAAGCATCAACTTAATAAACACAACTAAATATTATATTACTCGATCAATTTTCCAAGTTGTGCATCAAAAACACCGATGCAAAATGGAAATTTAGACTTCCTTCAAGATAAAACTCAAAAAAATTCAATAATATGTGCGTCCCCCGACGAGAAAAAAAAGCGTGTTGATTGTGAGGTATTTCATCATTGACTGATGTGCAGGTGGATTGATCGAATTGATCACTTTGTCGCGTTCGCCAACTATAACACTGGCAATTAAACATGGAAAATTTGTTGCTGTTTGTCAACAATAAATGTAGTGTAGATTAATTGAAAGTCATTTTGTTAAAATTATCGTTCATGAAAGAAATGAACGTTATACGACACAAGATTGGAGGCTTTTTTGGTAAAATAGATTCACTATGATTTTTCTAGTCATATTTGCGGTTATATTTGGTTGTTTCTTAAAATGTCATCGCATTTCTTTTTATGACTACGATGATGTAAAAATGGGAACAGCTAGAACTAAATCACTTTTCATTAGACAATAATTACAATAAGTCAAATGTGCATTGGCCATATCATCATTTATCATAGCTTACAATTTTTTTGTGTAATTAACAATTTGAAGGACAGTGAGTTAGGATTCGATTTGAGAAGGCATACTTTAATTGCATCATTTAGGTATATGCCAATATTTCATAACTACGAACATCGAAAAAATTAAATCAAACAATTTGTTCATCTGAGCCCTCAAACATGCATAAGAAAGGCTATCTAAAGCAATGGCGATTCATTTTATACGAATAGGAGTAAGAAAAGCATATCTTCAGATTGAAGAAACTTACCTGTATCCTATCTTCACTCAAATTCGTCTTACTTGAAAGCGATTCTCTGGCATAGACATCAGGATAGTGGCTTTCTTTGAAAGCATTTTCAAGCTCCTCCAGTTGGTGACTTGTGAAGATTGTACGATGCCGTCGTTTTTTATTCTTTTTTGTTGAATTTGTTGAGGAAGGCAATTTTTCAGGGAAATATGTCGGATTCATTCGATCAAGGTGCATGAAACTTGCAAAATGATTTGAGCTCCAGTCTTAAGGAAACATGAGAGAAAATTATTTTCTTATGTTCTGTAAGTCCGCTAACATTTTTGAATATCTTTTTGCTAATGAAAAACAGGACCTTATATATGAAAACAGCTAGCTTTATGACAGACAATTTTTTGCGATCATATATCTTAGAAAATAGTTCAATCGAAATGTAGACTGTATATTATTTACTACTCTTAATTATTTATCAAAAAATTTAACAACACCTAATATCAACTGTTATAATTAACATCTATATATAGGAAAATAACGAGTCTTCCCAAACCCCGCTTTGTACTTTCTATAACTTGAAAACTATTTTGTCAATTCAAAGAAGTAGCAATCACAGTGTTCGTTTTTATATTGAATTCATAAAAATTTTAAAGTATATATGAATATAGTTCTTCAAATAATATTTTTAATTATTACCAAAACTTGCTGCGCTGGGGCTTCCTGGCTCAATTTTTACAACTGCGTCTGTTTCTGGAAAGTTATTCCTTTCATTTAAATTATTGTCGTTTTTATCTTTTTTCTTCTTATCCAAACCAAGAATATCTTCGATTGAAAAGGAGTGTGAACTTGTTTTGATGGTCGGAGTTCGGTAATCGTCTGCGTATTTTTCGTTCTTTTCAGCGCAGGACATAATCAAACCGCAGACTGCTCAATTTATTTAGTAAATGTTGTAGTTTCTTTCGAGCGTCAGATGTCTAATGACTTTGTGAGCTTCCTAATCAGTTTTTTATCATCCGTTGTGAATGTAATTAGCCATTGTATAGAAACAGCAATAATTGTGAAATAATTGAAGAAACGCAAGGCAGGTGCATAAAACGTCCTTCTTTGCATGTGAGACAGTTCATATATTTCTTAATTATAATTTTTATTATTAGCTTTATTACAAAATAACCAACGAATATTCGCTCACATTCGATGCCTATTTTATAAAATTTGTATTCAAAATTTGAGGTATAACCTTTATTGTGTCTGAAACACTTGTGAAAGTTAAACCGGACTTTACTGTGAAATATATATTAGCATAAAGTCACGGTGTCAGAGCGGATAATATCAATCCATTCGTCATTTGTACTTTGGCACAAAGTTTTATGAATAACATTGTGTTTAGAACAAGCTGGCGATTCTAACATTCAAAAAATAGCATTTTCATTGCAAGACCTACTTCAAGAGTGCAAAGAGAAATTTGGACAACAAATCCGTAAAATTTTGATTGGATGGCGTTTAAAACCCATTAGAGATAACAAAATATTAAGCTGGTTTGTTGATTCAACAAACGTGCAGCTCATTAACAAGTACCCAATTCTTGTATGGAAGAAAAAGCCAAATGTCAACAATACTTTATGACGCTGTCATTTAACATGCAAATATTGGAGAAATTTGTGAACCAATAGTGAAACACTACAGCACCTGTTTTCCTTGCAGCACTTGAGGTAAAATAACAACCCTTTGGATACTTTATCTTTGTAATAAACTTTGCTTCACCTAATATTGCTAATCTTCAAGACAACTACAGTTCTTCCATTTTAACTGAATCAAGGGAAAGACAGAAATTTTGAAGAGCTAATATATATCGTTAAAAAACAAGTTGACAGTTTTTGTGAGACGTTTTTCCAGTTTATGTTCGAATTTGTTGGGAAGTATAAAATATATTATAATCAAAATTTATAACACTTTTAAACACTTGATACTTATTAATTCTTCCAATTTTACAGAACTCAAACGCTAGGCAAAACAGGTCATGTTTACGCATAGGATCGGTGATGAATACAACTCAAACCATGTTGCCAAGGAGATAATTATTCTGGAAAAAATCCACTTAAAGCAAAAAATTAAACAGGATGAGAAAAACGACGATATCCATGGATGAATAAGAAGATGTTTTTGCAGTATGAAAAGATAAAAATTAGATCCAATTAAAGTTGCTAACATGGAATACTTAGAATAAGTTTTATGGCAATTAGCAATCGTTTAAAGCAGGTGAAGGCGCAAGTCTTTGTCCTGTTGATTACCAACTGTCTGTTTCTCAAAAAAAAAGGAACTGCAGTTTGAACGAACTTTGAGAAAAAAAAAAATTGTTTCTTTAGCATAATTTTGATCATTTTGGATCGATGAAATTAGCTACGTTCATGACATTGAAGGGAAAAAAACAAATCAATAGATGTAAATGTATCCTGAAAGGCTGAAAGACACACAAACAAAAATCATACGCATGTATATATTACGAAAAGTTTATTTTATATATTATTCATAGTTTGCATACTTATTTTTAATTTCAATATTACGTATTTTTGTAATGATCAAATGGCGATCACACACGCACACCGAATGATCGCGAGTTCTTCAAATAAAGTCAGTTTTATAAGATTCAAGAAAACAGATTTGTCAAACATAGCTTCTTGCTTTCTCGGCTTCTCAGCTTAATTGCTACGGACAAAATCCTTACCAAAATATTACAACATTTCACGTTAAAGGTCAATGAAACTTTTTGGTCACGACTTTAAGTAATACTCACCGAAGCTGAAATGGGCTGGAAAAATAATTAAATAACTAACATTTTTAAATAACTTGAAGTTATCAAAGTCAAAATCCATGCTCAGCTTATTCATTAGTTTGGCGTTAATGATATGAATATTTATGGATTAATATTTTATAAAACTTTGATGGGAATGAACATGTTTACATCATGAAATGTTTAATTGTAACCAATCATTACATTCTATACTTCTTCAAAGTTTTAAGAAGGTCAAATTCAAGTGAATATTGACAACAAAAATATTACAAAATCTCTTCTACATATTTTGTTAAAAATATCATTCGTGTACGAAAATATTGCTTTTGTGACATTGGCAGCCAAAGCCTTTGAGTCTATAGCGCGTTTAATTAAAGATAATTAAAAAACGATTAAAATCCCAAATGAATGAGTGCAAAAATACCCTCAATATTTGAAACTGAAAAATGATGAAGTAAATGTTGTTTTTAAATGCTTTTGCGGTTTCACGTACCTTTCGACTTGTTTATTTTTGGCAATGTTACCAGAAAAACTTTATTCGCATACACTCTGTAATATAAAAGACATTTTGTCATGCAAGTACATTTTATATTCAGCATAATGAGAGTGTTTTTTAATGAAATTGAAGCTTTTTAGTTTCTAATTAATCATAAATAGAGCAACGGTATCCTATTACCTTGCAAATTTTACGCTTACATTGCATAACACTTGTGTTAGTAAAAAAATTTTATGGTTGCAGTCAAACTTGAATTCATTCAATGGAGAATTTTATGTTAACTTGGCATGAACGCAGTTTTAGAAAACATAGAAAAGTTTGAAAGAAGTTGATGTTGAGTTCTCGGAAAGTCTATGTATGCAAACTTGTGTGTGCTCTTGGAGTCAGCGTTCTTTAATTGCTGTCAACATTACAATATGTCACTAGTGCTTTGGAAATTTGTGTTTGTATATCCAAACGTACACATGTGTTTGATTTAAAGTAGTTCATGGTTGAAATCATACTAAGTTCTATACTTATTAACAACGGTAAGCAATTCAAGAACTACTCGTATACAAATAACTGGAATATATTGTAAACTTGACACTCAGAAGATATTATTAGATAAAAAAGGATTTATTATTTTGCATAAATTCTATCGCATTGGAAAAGGACATATTTATAGTTTTAAGAGGCGAAAAAACCAAACGACTTTTTCATATAAATTCTGCGTTATTGAACCCAAAATTTGAAATCAAATTTTTTGATACACGCTGGAGAATTCAAACCGGCAGCATTCTACATAAGGTAGGAAAACTAGTCAGGGACATAATTATGTGTAATTTATGCACGTGAATTTCACCAACGTTAAATACATTTATATCACTAATGTTGATTAAAATTAGTAACGAAAGTTATAATCATGATTGTGAAAAAATTTTGCAAAAGTTTCATGGAAGAGCACTGCGCAAAGCTGAAATTATGTAATATTTGGGTATGGATTTCGAAACATGTCAGATGTTTAGAGTTTGAGAATGATTAACGGGGGTTTAGTTGAATGCTATGTTTAGAAATCTGCTGAAATATCTAATAGCTATTCATTTTTAGTCTCGATTATTATATTTGATAGATTTTCAAAAGAAGCGTATTTCGTCCAAGGCCCATGCAATCAATCTCAAACGGACGAACCTTAAAAGAACATGATTTGTCTGGTATACTCTGACTTTTAAAATTGTTTCAATCAGACTCCTCTCAGTATTTTCTTTTTGATGATTGTTTCTTGTATAAAAACATCTGTGGTATGAATTCAAAACCGATACATGTAGGATGTTCAAAATATGTAGGATTATGAAATGCACCTGAATCATCAGTTTAGAACAAACTCAATTGTCTTTTAAAGCATCAGCTATTATTAAAAAATTTGGTTTAGTATGTTTCATCCTGTTAAATCTGATGTGTAAATTGACACTTGGTTTAAACAATTTTTTCAATTCAATTGTTTCAACAATTTTCTGTGTGTTTTGATGTTTGCATAGCTGTTCAGACTGTTGAAGAATTCAATTCATTGAGGCATCATGAAAATAAAGACTCACCACAGGTTGCATTAGTTTCATCTTTTGTCAATGGCGATGCATTAGGACATGTGGAGTTAAACAATTTTGTTTTTGGCACTAATCCACGGTAAACATAAACATATTAATTATGTTGTAAACTCAAAGCCCATTTCTTTCTCTTAATAAGATATAGTTAAAATGTTTTGTTGACTGTCTGTAGTAGAAACTTTACATTAATTGACACAAGTCTATTTTCTGTGTTGACATACGGAATTTACATTATTTGATTTAACAATTTTTTGCAAGATTTTCTAATTATTATTACTTATAGTAATATATATTTTTTCTAATATGAATACATTTTTGCTCTAGACTAGACATTCTTCACAGAGTAGTTGTTTGGCAGAGAGCGAATGCAAGAGCTGTAAGTCAGATGATGAATTATTGAGCATTTTATTTACAATTTGTTATATTTTGTACTGTAATATGTTTGTTATACTCAGGGAACTGCCTGTGTTAAAAATAGAAGTGAAGTTAGAGGAGGTGGTAGAAAACCTTGGCCTCAAAAGGGCTCTGGTCGTGCTAGGCAAGGAAGTATTAGAGCTCCTCACTGGAGAGGAGGTATGTTTCTCTACTCAAATATTTGCATCTTAATGTTAGATTGGTTCAGTTCTAGTAAAAATTTTAGGTGGTGTTGTTCATGGACCAAAGCCAAAGAGTTATGCCTACACATTACCAAAGAAAGTTAGAAGAATGGGTCTCAGGGTTGCATTGTCATGCAGGCTAAGTCAGGTAGTTTCAATTGCAGTTTTTAATACATAGGTATTGTACTCTTTTTAGCCAGAATATGTCCCTAACACACTTACACTGTGCTTGTTAGTATCCAGGTATTTGTCCAAAGATTGTTTGTCCATTGTTGTTCAAATAATTTACGTTACTGTATTTGAAAAGTTTGAAGTATCAGTTTTCAAAAAAGATTCCAGTACCGCAAGAAAGACCCATGTCAGCTGAATATGATCATCATAGTTTCTTTTAGACTTTAGTGCCTTTAGTACATTATGTTTAGCATTTTTATGGAAAATTACCAGAATATTTGTTTTACAATTTCAGGGTGATTTGAATGTGGTAGATTCATTAAACTGTGATTCATTATCAAACATGGTAGGATTGATAAACTGATAAAATTATCACATTTTAAAGAAAATGTACGCTTTGCTTTATTATTATTTCCTTGAGTACACCAACTAGGATTCTCAACAGGAACTGAGTCAACTGGTCGACAATTTTGCGTATACATCCTGTCTAGATATTGTTATAGGCGTTGATTGTATTCGTGGTATTTCTTGAATCCATTTCTTTAGGACATTAAAAATATATTCGACCAAAACAGTTGGGATTCTGTTGTTGTCGTTGATGGGTATGTGTAGCGAAATTGCATGCTGTATTTCATATGTTTACTTCTGCTCAGAAATTTCATCTAAAGAATTGTAATTGCTGCGAATAAAAACAGGGATTCAGGGAAATATCACATCTTTTGCAGTGAGTACAATGAAAATCTACGAGATGCAGTAAAGTCATATCGAAGCGTAGAAGTCCATAATACCATAAGTGAGTTATTTTAAGTGGATCAATGGAACATCATTTTAACACATCATTGATTTTTATGTTTGTTTATTTGTAAAAACCTTTCATTTTTCAGGTTTGAATGTTTACAGTATTTTAAAACATCGCAAAATTTTGCTTTCTCTGAATGCCATTGCAATGCTGGAAGAAAGACTTTGTGGCGATTACAGACTTCTCTGGCGTTGACTTCTGCCTTCTGTAATCTACTTCTCTAATTTTCTGTGAATGTGTAAATGGTGTTTTCTACCATTACAAGTGACAGCCGATGGAATGCTATCGCCATACGTTTCGTTTAAGAGAAGGAACAGCTGGTTGTTAACGAAGACATTGGAAGGTACTAAGATGGATCTCCTCTTGGTGGAAAGAGATTTTGCTTTCCTCACTTGGCGTATTTGGTGTAAACATGGCCTACATTCACGTTGAAAAAAAAGTTTTGGAAAGAAAGAAAGAGCACAGAGAACAATGTAGAAGCAGTAGACTTATGTTGACAAGAATGACTTGTCACATGCATCCATAAACATTTTATTAATCTCGCTGTTCTGACTTCTGAGTCTTGTATTACAATAAACTATTAACAACTAGAAATAAAACTCTTCTTTTTATCACCATGCACAGTCCGCGAAAAGAAACTAGGCTTTGAAGTAGGCATTATGATTTATGATTAAGTGTGTCCTTGTAAAAATCATAAGAAGTGTTCTTGTAAAACATGAATAGAAATGCGATCGAAAAGTTCCTTCAGACAGATGAGTCAAATATCAAACGCGTTTGATATTAGACTCATCTGTCACGAATGACAAATGTTGTTCAAACTCGGCGCACACTAGAAATTTGTCGATCGCACTTGTCACGAATAACAAGTGGCAAGTTTACCATGGCTTTATCACATGGCAGTAATGCTTTTGTAATTTAATTTTGGCTAAAGTATTTCCGTTTTGCACCGAAAATAATAGAGTGATATTAGGATGAAAAAAATTAAAATCAATCTAACCAATCGACATCGTTCACATGGTATTCTTGAAAACATAGGCGTACGGGAGAGCTATTATTTCTGGAAGGGGGACAGTAAAAAGATTCCACCGTATTTTCGCCCAGCCGCTAACGTTAAAAATTTTCCCAACTTTTCAATGTGTAAACTTTCTTGGCCGGGGATGTCCTCCTCCCATCCCGTATGCTTATGCTTAAAACAGAGAAATCAGGGAGAATGACTTGACTGCGAATGAGCCTGCAAGTTAGTAGTGTCACGGTTACACTGGTGTGAAAAATGTGGAACAGTAAGGAAGCCAACTGAAACTTATTGGAAAGAATTTTGAGGGTTAATTGTGTCCCTGTAAAAGTTATTTTTATAATCCTGCTTCTAAGCATCTACATGAGCTGAAGGAGAATTTTTTCAATGTTTTAAATGGACATTTTGAGAATAAATATAAATATGATAGTATTAATAGAAAACTTAGTTAGCTATGTTTACATGAAAATATCTAAGACGAAATGATCACAAATCACTAAGTTCTATAAAATAACTATTATTATGGAATTCAACGTCACGAACTATGACTTAATAACAGTTCAACAATATTTTGTAATAGATAAAATTTCGGTTATTTAGTCAGGCTTTTTTTTGACTATTGAGTATGCGCAAAACTCAAGAGTCTACCAATCCCGGATGTTCATGGTATACAAGATGTCTGCCGAGTAAGTGCATCGAAATAAAAATGTTTTTCTTTTCTATTTGTATTTCTCCCCAATCATTTCATTAATTTTTAGTCTCGAAAGGAAACAGAGGGATTCTGATATGAAAAATGCTATAAATAGCAAATTAGATGAAAACTTTGAACGGGAAAGGTTAGGACATGATTATTTATATCAGGCATTGTGGCATTCCAGGCAATTGAGGCAAATCACATGCTCGAATGTCGAGACTCAGTTCCCTCATTGCTAGGTTAATGGAATTGCTGCGAACAAGATTAAAGGAATGTGGATGGAGAGAAAAACTTGCTCAGGAATGCAAAGGTATTGTATGTCTTAAATGCTACGGTCATGATGTTTTGGCATTTGCCATTTGACATGTTGAAAAATCACAAATGACAATTTCATGCACTGACAAAAAACCAGCTTGTGTTCACTATAACATCACTGGTTTACAAGTTTGAAGTTATATAATTATATGCATGATCTTTAGAATAGTTTTGAATACATACGTACCTTCCACATATACTCATTTACCTGCATGCCTGATCCCAACCCTAACTTTAATCCTAATCATGAAACAGCCAGATGAAAATTTCAAAGTGTTTGTTGTGGGGTATTCTAAAAGTGTACCTGATGTTTAGATATCATTAAAGAAAAAGGTTTGGACAAAGTTACAGTTGATGATTTAGTAAATGAAGTCACACCTAAAGCTAGAGGTTTGTGTTTGAATCCTGTCTTCTGATTGGAAGTTTCTAAGAATTGTAAGTCACTGAATGTTGAAATTGACCATAGAAACTGTTCCCGATGAAGTAAAGCGAGAATTATTGGAGAGAATTCGCAGTTATTTTGGTGATAATGTTTAACATGTTCAAATAAAAAAAAGAAACTTTACCTCTATTTACAATATTGAACATGAGTTTAACATGTTCAAATAAAAAAAAGAAACTTTACCTCTATTTACAATATTGAACATGATAAATTTAGCTAGTCTTTGGACTGTAGTTATTTGTGTGGGATGTGAAATTTGAGTATGTTATTTATTGTTTATGGCAACGAATTTGGTATTTGGTGCTTTTGAAAGGCTTAAAAATTTGTGTATGATGAAAAACATGTGCATTATGAAAGGGTAAAATTTCCATTTTTGCAAGTATATTTACATTTACAATGTTCGATGAACTTGGTGTAGAAATTCTTGTAAAAAAACACTTGTACTACCTTTTTTTAAGACTGCATACTTGCATCAAATCGATTTTATGATTAATGATTTACACGTCAATGGAATATTGAAATTCAGAATGATTATACAAAAGACAGTAAAATTGATGTAGATAAGAGTTTGTACTGTGAGATAATGCAAATAGCATGACATGATTTCTAATAAAGTCCCGATTTTTACAAACGACAAAACAGAAGCGACGTTCTTTCAAGTTGTGAGTTGCGTAGTTTCAACGTAGTTTATCATTCACTCATATTTAAAAGTACGCATAAAAGACCCGTATGATTGGATGATAAATGAACAAGGCGACGAACATTAGAATGAACTAAGCATTATCACGCAAAAATTATGAGATAGACACATCAAATAAGAAAAACTACCTAGCAACCAGTGGCGTAGTTAAAAAGGAGCCTGGGGACGTGCCCCCTTCTCAAAAAAATGACGCTTAAGACTGGTCTTGACGCATGCGCAGTACTTGAAATTGACTCGCTCTTACCACGGCTTGCATTCCCCAGTCCAGGTGTCACCCCTGAAAACAGCTTAAATGGTTATTGTTTTGAGTCTCCATTGAAGATGTTCGTTAAAAATTTTCTCGACGAAAGATTGTACAGACATAAAATAAAAAATATATATAAATCTCGAATTTGTACCATATATACGGTATTATCCCAACGTATTCCTGTTTTTAGAAGTTCATATGTAAATGCATGAGAAACTTACAAACAGCCTGTTTAGAATGTGTAATTCCATTTTACATGATCAATTAAAAGAATTATTTAATTACAATTGTGATGTTAATCTAAACTAGATATCTGCTAGATCAATAGATCGTAACAGATGGAAAGCATTTTGAAATCGATGGAAAGCTAAGTATGCACGGAAATATAACTTGTGCATATGGAGAATGTAGTAGAAATTTCAAATTATTTAGAAAAGTTACCAAATGCCTGTTTTAACTTAAAGCAAACTTAGAAAAATTAGCTTGGTTCTCATTGCAAATGTTTCTAGTTGTTTATAATTGATTCAGATTAAATCAAAATATTTGTGTATTTTCGAAACAAAAGTTGCAATGTTTCACCAGTAAGGATTGTCAATTAAACAATGACTGACTCAAAAAATTAGAAAAAAGCTTTTTTAACGGTTGTGTTGTCGATGGTAATGGTACCTTCTCCGCTGTGTCTGCATCAGGGAAAAGTTTGCACATTTCGAAATAGTAGGCTTGAGCTTCAGGCACAATGCTGCAAAAATAACATTACTATAGTTAATTTTATTTGAAAGAGATTGTCTATCGAAAAGTCGACATTTTCCCTACATACGTACCACTGTGAATATGTAGCAACACAGTCTTGTTTGCTTATTGCGTACATTCGTAGCTTCATATCAGTGGAGCAAATGGTGCCACGTGTCAGTTGACATTGTACCATGAAATAGTTTTCCAAGCAAGAGTTGTTAACCAAAATGTGTTTTTCAAGGATTAAAGCTGCCGTATATATCAGAAGGAGAGCTCTCTTGGGGTAGAACTTGTTCAAAGCTGCAGGATACTAAAAGAAAATTGACGTTTGCGTAACATCACAGGCTAAATTGCAGAATACCCGTCCACTCGGGTTTAGTTTTGGGGTTAGGGTTAGGGTTAACGTCAAGCTTATATTATACGTGTATGAGTAGACGGGTGTTCTGCATTTGCAATCGCTCCATATCAATAAGTACATATCAATTACGCATAGACAATCTCATGACAACGAAATGATTTTACTTACAGTGTATTTCGACCTTGGACAAATTTCTGGGTCCATTTGCGGTGGTTTGGTACAATAATCGTAGCCTGTTACATCTTTTTGTACGAAAGAACAACCAAAAGTAAAGAACCGAGTGATGTTGATTGGACAAATCTGTTTAATTTTTTCACATGCCGCCATAGTTTTGTTATAATCGTATCTCAAGTTCACACCATACTTAGCATCAGGTGAACAAATAGGAAACGTATTAGAACAGTAGTATGTACGAACAGTGTCACGACATTCTTGAGTGACTGCAAAGAAATGTAGGGCATCCAGCGCGATTTTCACTGCTTGCAATTCATACGTCGATATTGCTGGGACGTTGTCTTTCAATTCGAGAATTTGATAATTGACAACATTAGAAGGACAAATTTCGTTTTCTTGGAGATCATGACAGTAAGGCGTTTTTGAAGCATTGAGGAGTAAATAACCAAAGCCAGGTTCAGTGACATATTCTCCATAATTACTCACCACCAACGACATTAAAAATACGACATATTTATCAACAAAAGACATGTTTCCAGATTGCATGCTATGCGTGAGCGTCTTGGTGCGCTTGTCATGTGAATTACCGACTTATATACAACCAACTATCACCCCATTATTTATATTTACACCACTACGTAATGTTTCAGAAAATTGATTGACAAGTGAAATTATTACACAATTATGGTGCAATCTCGATTGTGATTGGCTTAGAGCTACAGATAATTCTCGATGTCTTGGCACCTTTTAACGAACAGTGACGACATTATCTGTAAATAACGTAATTTTTAATTTGACTGCTGAAAACACAAACAATATTATTGTAAAATCTTCCTCGAGACTTACACGCGTTCCACAAACCTATTTGGCTCAAATTATTGAGAATAAAATTTGCTTCGGCAAGATAACATTGACGTCGCTCTGAATAATTCTTGATATCATAAGTTCAACTTCATCCGATAATTGTTAATTATGGTTGAAGTTCCTTTTCATGACCATCATGTGATTACCATGTGCTTAATTCGTGTTAATTGTAAAAGTATTCTCTCAAGCCCTGGCTGTCAAACATTGGCATGCGTGGAACACAAATTAGTGTAAAGAATTTCCTAGTTTTCTTTTCAAGATAAAATAAAATTATTATGTTATTGCCACAGTTATCAAGATCCTTCAGTATTAGCGCAATTTTCGCGGAGCATCAGGGCTGTTTTTTGGACATCAACTATTTCAGTACCAATGATATCAAAAATTGAAACGCCATTTCCGAATAATCAACAAATAGACTTGACTATGGCCGGAGTTACAGGCCCGGGAGGGCAGTAATGTATAATCAATTTGGCTTGATCAACCGACAAGGCATGATTACGGGTTTACTGTTTGTACTGAACATAAAAATGTCCATCTTGACGTTGTGGCCCCTTTAAAGTGTTTTTTATTATTGATAGACCAGCACAGGGAAAATAACTTAAACAAGCAACTTTACAGGAAACCGCTGTTCTTAAACATGTCTATTCGTATGACATACAGGTCAAGCTCACATTACATTAATTGTTTTAGAGAAACTTTGTAACAATGAAACAATATTCATAATACATTGTCAATAAAAAGTGAAGGTAATAGGCATGACCACCAGGATTTATTGACTGTGCCGATGGATATAGCTATAAAGTAAATGGTTTGAACCCGGGAGTATCGTAACATTATTGTGGATGAAGATCGTCCAGGTTAGTAGAGTCCTGAGAAGGACTGTTAGGATTGATGTAGACTGACGTTTCGACAACTTTAGCGGTAGTCATCTTCAGTGTCAATATAGGTATGCCCACTTCCTAGAACAGTAGGACAAAGGTCTTTGGTAAAAATCATATCTTGCTATAGTGGAAGTTTCATTTAGTGGTAATACCTTTTTATACTTAGTGTAATGTTGTATAATGGCAGTTATGAGGAATTTTGATAAATTTGCCTGTCGTAACCATTAGTCACGACTATTTTATGTTATTTTATGTAACTTAGTCATTGGGCGAATACCTTTCAACAGCTGAATCAACTCACTTCTCATGAAGCCTAAGTTGCCTCGCATGTGTATTAACGCCATTTTATGTTTGTGAACTTTTTTGTTCGAGAGGACACTTCAACCACAATGTCTAGTTTTTTATAAGGACTTGAAATTTTTAAAATTCAAAATTTTTAAAGACATTGAAGTTAAACTAAGTGGAGACAGGTTCTGCAATGACGGACATTACAGCCTTTTGCAGTGAAGAATTTCATATTTCAGAATCATTCGTTGTAATATTATCACGAGTTCATTACATTTGTAAAATTGTTATTTAAATTATGGCGTGAAACTGGTCGGTGCATCTTTTCAACGATTTTTACAAAAAACCAGTGGAACACATTTTTCAGGCGTTTAGTCCTCCAGTGATCGAAAACTTTGTTGCATTTGATCTAATAACTCGTTAAAATCAGACTTGATTTTCGGCTCGCCATCTTTCACTGGATCCTGAAATGTACATTGAAGACAGGATTAAAATAACCTTGGATTATTTTATTTTACAAAAACAGATTAATCATGTGCAATGGGGAAAATGTCGCCAGAACAAATTTCGCAATTTGACATGACTTCAGACGAGACACGATATAATTTGACATGTGACATGACATGTGACTTGACATGTGACTTTACCTGTAACATGACAAACCATATAATATCCCCCACCCCTGAAATTATGCCACACGTGGTGGTAGGGCACAATATAAACTATAAATTTATCAGATCAAACAAAGAGAAGCACCAAACGAGTTTTCATGTTTAGGAAACGATTGATGAAAAAAATATTTTCATACGAAAACACGTAATTTACCTTAAACTTCATACTACTCAGGGCGTACAAAATTTCCCCCATGTTCTCCTTGATTATACTCCATGTTATCTTGTTATCCGCATGCGCAGTCGATTCAACAGAATGTCGGGCCATCTCGTAGAACGCTATGATATTGCTAAGCATGCCAACCGTTTTATAAAATGGACAAAAGCGATCGTAAGGCGTGTAACCGTTTTGTTGGAGAAAATCATCTTTGATCAGTTTGGCAACTTCTAGAGTTATTTTATCCGATTCTGCCAAAGAACCCTACCATGGGAAGAATTTACATGACTAAATAAGTAATTCTGAAAATGTTCATTTTCATCAATTTAAGTAAATTCTGATTTCGCCAGGGAACCCTGTCATAGTTAACACAAACAATATTAAAAAATTCACACACATTGTCATGACCAGTTATAGTAAACAGAAGAGGAAAAAAAGATGTCTAGGTAAGACTAAACTCATAAGAGCTGCATTGCTTGCGAGGTCGACTGACACTATGGTTGACATACAGAATTTACCAAGGGATACAGTCACAAACAGATAAATGCGTTTACCAACCTTTCCAACAAGTTGAACAATTTCAGATAAATCTTCTTCTTCCTGAAGAATTTCTTTTATCTATAAAGGAAAAAAAGTCCGTTTCTTCATCTTCCATTAAGTGCGTTAACTTTATGAAAAGATCACATCACTGAAAGTTACAGTCATCACCTTCGCACGCAGCGCAATAAATTCAGGATAATTCTTTTCGTAGAAGTCGTCCAATGCCCGTAAATATTTGCTGTAGCTAATCAACCAGTTGATTGATGGGAAATGTTTTCTCTGAGCTAGCTTTTTATCCAAACCCCAGAATACCTTTAGAAAAAAACGTTATACGAAAGTGATTAGACAAGACAGAATAATATCCGTAGCACAGCAAGAAAACATTTACCTGCACGATGCCGAGAGTAGCAGAAGTAACAGGATCAGAGAAATCGCCACCGGGAGGAGACACTGCACCTACAATTGTTACACTTCCTTCCCTCTCTGGATTACCAACACATGTCACCTTTCCTGCACGTTCATAAAATGAAGCTAGACGTGCGCCAAGATATGCCGGGTAGCCACTGTCTGTGAAAACATCAAAAAGTAGTAATAAATTCTCTACATCACGAATGCCAATATTTTTGCTTCATCCACACGAACCTGCAGGCATTTCAGCTAAACGTCCAGAAATTTCACGCAAAGCTTCTGCCCATCGAGATGTAGAATCAGCCATCATACTGACATTATAACCCATATCTCTAAAGTATTCAGCTAACGTAATACCTAAAATAAATTAGATATACAGTCGCATATTTTTCTTAAATTATATAGCTGGTTCATTATATTGACTTTCTGAAAATCATATCAAAAATTAGAAAGCCAATAAAATCCAACGCGCTAAAAATCTATACTTTGTACGAACTTTGCAAACACTGCTAATCTATGCTAACTTTCTACAAAAAGGTACGTATTACTACGTAAGAGATATAAAATGGGTATCATAAAAATAAAATCTTGCTGATGATAGATTGTCAACGGAAGAACGACTCTGCTCAGTACTGAATGTCTATACAACACAACAGAATGACACAGAAGTAAGGTTGTAAGTTAATGATTAAACAACCATCATGAAATTCGCTCTTGATTTCAATGAAATATACAAAAACTTAAGTGTGTGAATATTGTATCAAAGAACCTTTGCCTAAATCTGTGACAGTACAGAAACTCGGAACATAAAAACTGAATTTCCGAAATCACAAAGAAGATAAATTTCGTTTATACCAACCGGTGTATATAGAGGCTTCACGTGCGGCTACAGGCATGTTTGATGTGTTAGCGACCAATGTTGTTCTCTTCATGATTGATTCAACCACTCCACCGATCTCAACTGTTAGCTACGGTTGCAAACACATCACAATAAAAAAACATAAGTTTGAATAATTATGGCAAGTGAATAATTATGGCAACTGAAGTGTGGTGCTCTTTAGCAAATGATAGTAAATGAAAAGAGGACACAACAATAAAATACAAAGATTATAGCTATGTAGATGTAGATCCATCGTTTAGGTTAGTGCAGTCATACAAACATGAAACGATCATAGTCCGCTTTCAAACAATACAAAGTTGAAAGAAAACTTGAAAACTTGAAAAAAAGTTCGAGTGTTAATTTCAAAATTCTTTTATGCTTTCTCATAAACCTACTAAAAAATTACTAGAAAATTTACGTCAATGATTAAATTACCTCTGGGAAATCACGAAGGACTTCAGACATCTCATTGCCTCTCTCTCCACAACCAACGTAAATAATGACGTCAGAATTGGAATATTTTGATAAAGATTGAGAAATAACTGTTTTTCCACAACCAAAAGCGCCAGGGATGGCGGTAGTTCCACCTTGCACACATCTAAAACAAGTATAACGAATATGCGTGGTAAAAATATGCAATTTTCTAGATTCATAGTCATATGACATCTTAAGAAGCTGACTTACGGGAAAAGTGAATCAAGAACACGTTGACCTGTGAGCAAAGGATAATTTGCCGCTAACTTTTCAACAACTGGACGCATTTGACGTACTGGCCAGACCTTGAAAATACGTAGTAGTTCAAATCATTAAAGTGTTTTCTCGATCTTTGACTTCTTTGAAGATACTTTGAAAATTTCTCAAACTACGTGACTCAAAATAAAAAATAATTATGGCCAAACCTGCAACATGGTATGTTCTTTTTCTTCTCCATCAAACTTAGTTTTCAACACAACATCCTAGAAAAACATGATAATCATGTACTTTTGATGTATGAAATTTTGCCTTCTATATATATCGATAAGAAACACATGTCATTTCAAATCAACAAAGAACATACATTAAGAGTATAACTTCCAGGTTCTGCGATGAATGAAATGGTACCTCTGTCTTTAGGATGCAGCATAATGTGGTGTTTAAGTAACGAGTTCTCCTGAACAACACCATAAATATCCCCCCCAGTAATATGATCCCCAACCTTTATAACAAAAATCACAACTTTTGAAAAGATTTTACATGACATAACTACATAGTGAAAACTGCAAACCTTAAAATCTGTAGGCTCAAAATCCCACAGAGCAGTTCTGCTTAAACTGTTTAAATTTACACCACGTGGAATGTAAATGCTTTCTGTTAACTCATTAATGTCCTATTATTAAAAAAAGTGAAGATTAAAACAAAGAAATTCAAATGTAAATTTTATCATTCATCAACTCAGGATTTAGATAGTTTAAAATATATTTGCCTTCAGCGGTCGCTGGATACCATCAAAGATACTACCCAAAATTCCTAGAAATATAGAAAAGGTTGCAAGTTATTTCAAAATATTCTATATACACTTGTTAGAAGATGTCTATTATTTTATGTTATAGTATAAAAAATTACCTGGACCAAGCTCAACAGATAGTGGTTTACCAGTTCTTAAGACTGGGTCACCAACAGAAACACCAGCTATGTACATCATTAAGAATAATCATTTGAATGTTAATTAAGGCATGCTGAGGAGACGGTTCCTTCATTACCTTAGCTTAAAAAAGGAATTATTTAATGCTTACTAGTCAATGAACTTTAAATTTAATGATCAAGGATAAATCATCAATAGATGAATAAAAAGATACATGTTTCCTCATAAACTTGAATGGTGGCAAAGTCTCCTTCTAATCTAATGATTTCTCCAACAAGTTGACTGTGACCAACACGTACCTTAAAAAATAAAAAGGTTATGTTACTTCTAAGCCATCAAAAAACTGGAAAAAAGTTTAGAGTGTTCAGTTGATATCTCTTAAACCAATATGAAAATTGAGAAAAATGAGGACTTTAACGTTAATCTTTTAAATACTTGTTAAATGCTTATGTTTTAAGAAAAAATCTTTTTTTTGTGATTTCATAAAAAAAATTTGAACATAATAGTTAAGAAAAAGATCTACGTTTTTCGAGAATATTGTTAGCATAAAACATGAGTAAGAAGCCAAACCAACATCCTACATTAAAAACCCAAACCTATATTAATGTAACAAATAAGAAAGTAAGAGAATATATCGTACTATTACATTAAATGTTTATGATATGATAAAAAAAGTTGCTGAGCTCACAACTAGTGTGATTATTTGCATGATTATTACTTAAATGTAAAATCTAAGCAATTCAAGGAAAAATGAAAATCATGTGCTTTGAAAGGGTTCTACCTTCATTCATATTCAACACAAACTTAGTACAAAATAGATAGAAGCAATTCATAAAATGCAGTTACAATAATGATATAGATTATTCATTAAAAAGAAAAACCAACAATTATTGAATATATGAAATATGGTAATTTGTACTTACCAATTCATACATAGCTGAGCCACTCATATAATTTGCTGTAACAACTAAATAAACATTTAAATTGAACTAAACGTTTCGCTCTTTCGTGAAAATATTTTTGCTAAAAGTCAATAAAGTAGGAAAATTTTCCTTTCAGCCTTCAGGTCACAAGACCGTAGTTAGAAATCACTCAACTGAAGTCATAAGAGTTGTGTAATAAGAAATCGAAAGATTTGAGAAAAAAATCTTTACCTGGTCCAGAAACAGCATGTACATAACCATATTCTGAATCTTTCATATTCAAATTTTTCATGGATTGCTCCATAATATTATTATAAAATGATAAGTAAAAATTATATTGACTAATATTAATAAGTTACAACAGAGATGTCAGAGAAAAGGCTATTTTATTTTCACTGGGGAGGGGTGGGCCTAGAGCTGGCTACAGAGAGACAAAGCGAGCAGACTTGACTGAGTCCACTGTTATCATTTTAATTGAATTTTTTGAGAAAAATTTAATGTAATAAAACTTTTTGATAAATAAATTTGCCATGATTTTGGTAATATGCCAGTAATGCCACTAAACATTTTCGAGTTTAGATCGCTACTTTTTCGGTGTTATGCGTTAGTAGGAAGACCTGCTAATGCCAGACTAATGCAGCTGCTCAACAGCTTAAGTGATCGCAGGCACATTTGTCAGTGTTCGAACTTCGAAGTTGGAAGCACTTTGAAAAAATAACGAAGAAAATGAAATATACCAAGAATCGAGATCCTGCTTAGGTGCATTGTTATTAATAATGAATAAATATTTTTGTTTTTCTACAGGACAAAAATGCTTGCTGCTTTATATAAGTATTTTAGTTGGATTATTACATCTTTCGTATGCTGTAGCAGCTAAAGTTAACTGCGATGATGAGATTATGATTGAGCACTTCAATTGTTCAAGTAAAAATTGTACTTATGGAGAAGAGTCAAATGTGAATTGTACTGTCCCTGACAGTGTGGGATGTGAGGTTAACTTTACTCTCATTTAATGTTTTGCACTATAATTGTACTATATTTCATGCACAATATTAAACATAGAGTTGCTATTTTGAACTATGGCATTTCAAGTCATTAATTTATGTCATTCTAATTATGTGGTGCACAATTTGCGTGTATTTTATGTTGCCATATTTGATTACGCACACAATTAATTTATATGTATCATGTCTTTTCAAAACACTGAATGTAAGCATTGCCACTTTCCCAACTGTGGCAGCTTGATATATGAAATTAAACTTGTATTGATGTTGTAGGGTGAACATTCTTTCATTAAGAAAATGAAGTGTCGATATTGCTATCAAACAGAACCATCAGAGTACAGTTGTGATATTAAAATATATTGTAAGGTACATATATCGTTGATAAAGTTTTTTTGGCCAAATTATTCTTATGCTCACCATATTTCATAGATTTAATATTGAAGTGCAACTGTTCACTTAAACTACAGGCCTCCATGAATCAGTTTTCTTTACTTATGCAAAAGTCATAATTAAATGATGAATGACTTGATGAATTCCAGGATCTAAATCTCAAATACACAGCCCAACATAGCATAATGTGCTTGTAGAAAGGCTTTAGTTGTAACCAAATGAGTTTGTTACTACTGCAAAATCAAATGTTTGGTCAAACTGATCATTGAAATGAGCAAAGATGAGCTGTGCGAAATTATGTGTTTTATAGTCTTTACTGAAAGAGAATTGTTGAACAAATACAAAATGAAAAATGCAGACACTAAAACAATAGTTACTTTTTGCAGACCGAGATTTCTTGTGAATTACACAACAAATTGTGCATGCTAAATTTGCAATCAGTAAGCCAGATTAGTGATCAGTAAGATCAAATGTTCAATTACTGATCAATAAGCTAGATCTATAATTAATTACCCATATCTGAATTGTAACAGTATTTATAATCAGTTTATTGTTGACACTTAAAGCTATACTTTAGGAACTATTTCTTTGAAGCTTAACTTATGAAATTTAAGTGATTGAAGTTAAATGATTCATCAGAAAAATGAATTTGTTTGGGTTAACTATAGTGAATTTTTTGTTCAATTCGTGAAATCTGGAGAAAATTTTACTTCAAGTTAATTAGTTTCTATAATTGGTGATTGTTTTTTATATGCTTAATAATAGTTCAGTGATCAATTTATAACAGCTAGTTTTTTATCACTTTAAGGCTGCAGAAATCCCCAGTAAACGACGTTATAGCACAAACTGCACAGTAGCAAGCAAAACAATGTGTCTTGGTATGTGAGATTTGCTTCAAAAAAGAAAGCTTTTGTTCTGTTTACACGAATTAGACAAAATTTTTATTTTTTTCAGGAAATCGGACATTTGGTAAAGTCCTGCTATGCAATTGGACGTCAGGTCACAGATGGTCAACCACAGCATTGTTGAGGTAAAATACATAAGACGTTATCTCTACTCTTTCTTTGGGACATTATTAAAATTTATAATTTCTTTGCAGCTTAACACTAGGTGGCTTTGGTGTGGACAGATTTTACTTGGGATATTGGAAAGAAGGACTTGCAAAGTTATTTAGCTTTGGTGGTCTTGGTGTTTGGACATTAGTAGATTTCATATTAATACTCACTCAGTATGTTGGTCCATCTGATGGCTCTTTGTATATATTTTGAATTAAATATTTTCTTTAACTAAAACTTGAGTTGGGATTTTCCCCGGAGTCACTGGTCAAAGTAATGTCGTTTTAGCTGCTTGCAAGCCAGAGTTTTAGATAGCACTGTGGTGCGTTCATATAAATGGTGCAGCTAGTACACACATGCATAGGAAGGATGTTATCAGACTTTTTGTTAATAACTTTTTTTCAGTACAGAGTTGTCAGTACAAAACTATGTTGAAGTACGAATTCCCTTCCTGATAAAGTCTGGCTGGTTGTAGTTTTTAATTAGTGGTTTTGAGCGAGACGGTCTCCTCAAAGAAATTTTAAAAAAGTTTATCTTTCAAAAACTTGGTTTACATTCTTTCATGAATAGTAACTACGCTCTGTGTTGCCGAATCGAAAATCGAAAATAATTTGGTAAGTTCAGGGAAAATAAATTTTTTATATTTATCACGATGAAAGCGAGGTCAAACCAAATGATTTCAGAAATTGCTACACTATTGTAGCTATAGCAAAATGCATGAAGTTGATAACTAGGATCTGGAACAAGCTAAGTCTAAATTTTGAATGTCGCAAATTAATCAAACATGCATGCATTAAATTGTGTATTAAACGAAGTATTTGAAGTGTAAGTGCCACGCACGTTATTACGCGTCACAATATGGCCGAAATGGAGGAAGATGAAAACTCTCGTTCTTTGCCTCATAGAGGCAAAAATACGCTCTCAGCGATATTTGAAGAAAGTATTCCAGGTATATAATTTTATTTGAAAGCAATAAATAACTTTACGATCAAGCTTGAAAATTTTACACCATTTTGGACTAGATTGAGAAGTTGGCATGAATGATAACAACAAATAAATCATTCAACAAATGATCATTTTGATCATTTAGCGCCATACATTAGTTATGTGTCATATTTTTAATAGAAACTTGAAAAAGCATTATAACTTGTGAAAGACTGAGAGCAATATAAGTTTTCAATTACTACAATTTAGATAATAGAATTATTAAAATTAGTCAAAAGCTTGAAATGTTAAGCTTAATTGCATAATTTATTTCAGATAACTGGAAAGAGAATCCTGATTTTACTTTGTATCTAACTGAATTGAGTTCTTCCAACTTGGACAAGCTTGGTATTTCATTGCTTCATGATAAATTTAATTAACTTTGAACTTCCCTTTGATAAGTTTGAATTGAATATTTTTCATTGTTTTACTGTAGTTTGATTAGGAGTGCACATCCTTAAATTATTTTTTCAACTCTTATTATAAGTGTTATATTGTTGTAGTGTCTGAACCAGAAAAATTATGTGAAGAAAGATCTCATCTTTTGGAGGAAACACAGGATCTAGCATTTAATAATTATAAAACATTTATCAAAACTGCAGATTGTTCCCGCGAAATATTTGAAGATGTATGAAATATAATTGCTTTTTCTTACAGAGAATTATGATGATTATTTACCAAATCACAATGTTTTTCTTGTTTACTTTGTTTTTGTGGATTGTTTTATATTTATTATTCAATGATTATTTGAATTTATTTTAGTTTATTCGTGTTGAGTCACAAGTAGATTCTCTTTTAAACACACTTCCTTCATTTGATGAGAAGTGTAAACATTTTCAAGATGTGGGTCAAGAAATAAATTTAAGGTACCTATGATAACTCTATTATACTCTACATTGTCTCAGTAGATTACACTGTCTTTGCTTTGTAAAAAAACGTAATTACTCTAAATAAAATACAATATCAAGCCATATAATCATGTTAGGTACAATCAATAATTGTTTACCATGGCTCATCAACTGAACATTATGTTTGCCAGTGACGGACACATAAAGGAGGGCTATAGCCTCCCCAGTAATTTTGAAAGATTAAAAATCTTGTGACAGATCCTTCAAATCACACTTATATAACATAACTATGGTCTTAAATAATAACTATTTGATAGATTTCTTTCCTGTACCCATATCAGCAGAGGCATAAGACCTTGTGTGTGCATGATTATGCACGTAGGAATACTTAAATTAAATTTCTGGACAAATTTTAAAAGTATACGGGTACACATGCCACCAGATCTTCCTAGAAATCTCATGCCTTGAGGACGAGCCCCCCCCCAATTTTTCATAAAGTGTCCACGACTGTTGTTTGCCAAAATTGTAATTTTAATTCCTTCAATGATTTCTGTTTGAATGTTTATGATATTATTGCATTTATTTGTTTTTAGGCGTTATTCCAATTCATTGATACTTAGTAGACACACGCAGTTACTTGAAGTACTAGAAATTCCTCAGGTACATTGTTGCCTCTAAATTAACTTCTGATTTCTGTTGCATGTTTTTCAAGATGATGAAATTTTAGCTTTGCGGATTTGCTGTTGTGTTGATTGTTGAGTTTACATCGTATCTTAATTGCTTGATGGAAGAGATATTTTGAGCAATCAAAATCCATAAATAGAGCAATGTATGTATAAGGTATGCAAAATTCTCTTGTTTATAGTCAATATCATTGTTTGTAGCTAATGGACACCTGCGTTCGTAATGGCTACTACGAAGAAGCATTAGAATTATCAGCTTTCGTTAAAAGATTGGAAAAGAGATTCTCAAACATTGCAGTCGTGAAGAACATTATTAACGATGTATATAGTTCAAATCAATTGATGCTCACGCAATTACTACAGCAGCTCAGAACAAACATACAGTTACCACAATGTTTACGAATCATTGGATACCTGCGCAGACTTGATGCGTTCTCTGAAACTGAATTAAGGATGAAATTTCTTCAGGCTAGAGATACTTGGTTATCCAATGTTCTTTCTGCAATACCCCATGATGATCCTTATCATCATATTACAAAGACCATTGAATCAAGCCGTGTACATTTATTTGACATAATTACCCAATACAGAGCAATATTCTCTGATGATGATCCGGGTTTACTTGCGGTTGAAGATGAAGATTTGCTGTCTAACAGTTGTTTGTTTAATGCTTGGATCGTCCAAAAGGTTGGTTAGAGGTTACACATAAAGTCATTATGTACTGGTTTCCACTGGTAACGGAAATCATCATTTTGTTTTCAATCTGCGACTTTTGAAGAAAATTTTAGCAACATTTACATAATTATCGGACGAATGCCGAATAGCGCCATCCACTGGACTGCAAATTTTTTTTAAAGTTCAAAAAACCTTTTAAACAGGAGAAATACACAACTTGCACTGAGCATTTTACTGAAAAAATTTTTGATTCCAAGATTACTTTTTTTACAAGTTTGAAAATGTGAGCATTTATCCAATGGTTAACGCTATCCAGGCTTCGTGCTTCTAATCAACAGGCCCCTGGTGACAAGCTGTGGGTGGCTAGTAAATATTTACTTAAAAATGCATTGGAAAAAACAGCTTAACAATATGAACTACAGAATATCCAATTGATATTTTACTTTTACGTATCTTGCACGAAATCAATATCAAACAAATGAATTTGGTGTATTTATGCATCAGTCATATTTTATGTTGTTTTTCACAAACATATTTTCCTCGTCGTTTATAGATATCTTCATTTTTATGCACTTTAAAAGATGATCTTAAAAAAGGTGTGGGAAGTCGATCGGATTCGTTATTAGGTCAATGCATGTACTTTGGCTTGTCATTTAGTCGAGTTGGAGCCGATTTTCGTGGGTTATTGTTGCCTCTTTTTCAAGATGCTGCGTTGTCCTCTTTATCTTCAACCATTGAAGCTGCCACTCAGAGGTAATGAAGGAAGCACACCGAATTGATTTTATATGAAGCTGAACAATAGTGATTTATGCAGATAGAGAAAGAGCGTCATTTATTCTTAACGCGACAGTATTTTTCAAACTCTATTCAGCTTTCTTAACTTTTTCGCATGAATTTTATGTCTTGGGAAAGTTTTCTAAAACTTTTCTTTCTAGAATTATTTGATCGTGTTTTTATATTCTGTACTGAATGTTATTTCCATAGCTTCAAAGAGGCCATGAATGCATATGAACTTGCATCTGTTTCTGCCACCTTAACTGCGACCATCCTGGCTTCAACTCCAAATAAGGTTTGATTTCAAACGAATGAATATATCCATCACATGACTGGTACTTTTTTACTGTTAATAAAAAACCTCATGATCCTTGATCCTTCTCGATATTTCAGAATGAAAAATTTTTCAAATGCTTATTTTTTGTATTTCAATTGAAGTTTCGGCGTTTTCAAAATCTGTCCAGTCATTTGTTGTAATATTTTTGTCTACTTTTCGAATGATTATTCTTGGTCATTTTGTATTTTGCGATACTTAGTAATTTTAGGCTTCCCTTGTGTGCGCTTTTCGTACCTATTTTTTTGTTAAACATGCATACCTTCTTAAATACATTACATAAGTCATGAGTGTCACGTAATTTTATTTTGGTTGCATTGTGTTTTAGTTGAATTCTTTGAAGGAAAATTTGTCTCCTCCAGTTGTGTTACTTGAACATCCTCCTTTGGCCTCCTACACAAATGTTGTTTTAACGTCTTTAAATGAACTTCGTCTGTGTGCGCCTCTTGGCATTGCCCAGTCTGTCATGAAATGCGTGGAAAATTCTCTTCGTCGTATTGTCTCCGAAACTTTGTCATTTTATCGGTAGTGTATTATCGTCATTTTGTTGTATTGAATGAAGTCCTTAAATAAACGTCTCATAAAAATTTTTCTTTGATTGTTTAGTACGGAAAGCAGTACCTTGAACGAGCAAGAGAAGGACATCTTCAAAAGGTTTTGTCATGTCTTGAGCAATGAACTTATACCATACTTAAACAAATGCTTGCAAATTTTATTCTCCACAAAATCACCTGGAGTTTCCAAAAATGCGCCGTCCGTTTTGTCTATGAATATTACTGACCTTGTTTCGCCTCTTTCTTCAATGATACCGAACGATTTGCTCAAACACAACGATATCATTGATAATGTTTCAAGCTTGGATACGGCAAACTACGATAAAACTGATTCGAGTTTGCAATATAAAGGAGGAGTTTTAAAGCGCTCAGAGAAAATTAGTAGTGAAAATGCATCGACAGAAGGCAAAATAACGAATTCAGAATCTATGGAAATGTTTGTAGACGGTAAAAGGTAGCAGATGATCCAAAAACTAACGGAGAAAACGTAGAGAAACCTCATACGACCGAGTAAACTCTTTCGTTAATTATTGGTGGCTTGTAGTACTTGTGAACGTTTAGATTTTTCTAGAGAATGCCTTAAAAACTCTATTTAAACCACCCCATTCAGGCTGCAAGATTTTAGTTCTTGTAATTGCTCATATCGTTTGCTCAATTTAATTGATATTAGTTTCTCTGCAATATATATGAACTTTACTAAGTAAAGCATGCGCTATGTCTAAAAAGTTTGATGGACTCGGCCCAAATTGTCATCATGTGTTTTTTAATTGTATTTCTTTCATTCAAAGTTATTGAATGTTGTAAAATGCAGAATTAATAAACATGTATTTATTTTTTACAATTTTCCAACTTATGATTTGTGTTAAAAAAAACGCGAGGATTTTAAATACTTAAAGAAAGTAGTTAAAGAATTCGTTTACTTTTTGACTTTTTGGTTTAAAGACTAAGGCTTTTCACAAATAAGTCACAGGGTAGCGTGGGATGACCGGTGACCTTAATTTGTTTTCGTCTCGTTTGTAGCATATTGTCCCATTTTATTTTGTTCGTTTGTCATTAGTTCCATTCCAGTGATCACTAAACAAAAATTGGGTGAATTTAAGAAAGAGTATCGCGTCACTATATCGTTCAAATTACTGTAGCAGAAAACTTATAATTTACTGTATCCTTCAATTTACTGTAGCTGAAAACTTATAATTTAACATTTTTTTCAATGTTTTTACTTTATGTATAATACCTAATATGTCTATTTTGATGTTCGTCCCACAAAAGACCGAAGGAGGATTAGGGGAAAGGTTTGTGATTGGCTGTTTGACATAAGAAAAAATCATTTAAATAATATACACAAACTAATAGCATAGTTGGAACATTAATATATTTACTCGTGTTTCCTTTACAAAAAGACATGTGTTTTTAGTGGTTCTAAACATGTCTCCGTTCTTGTGTGTAAAGAGGATGTTTATGATGTTTCTTGTTATCTTTTCACTCACGATTATCATTGCATCATCAGGTATTTTACTATGCGATAAATTCATCCTAAAGCTAAATTACCCGAACCTAGTGTATACTTGAACTGGTCAAGTTGTTTTAACATGCAGACCTCAATTATCAAAATCAGTGCTTGATACTCGAATTAAATCTACCTGATGTATTTTTTTCGTTCTTTAAGGATGTATTCTTATTTTACAAAAAGAATAACGTATATTCACTCATTCCATCAGGTGCCAAGTCATACCTTAATGATTTCTGGTACATAGTTGTTTCTAAGGGCGAGTGATATTAGCTCAGCTACTTAAGCATTATTCAACAGAGGGCTTAAAACTCGACTTATTTTTGCTTTAAAATATGTTTGAGTTCATCTTCTGTATTTAAATTAATGTATCCTAGCTGTTGGTTGATTCTTTCGTAGAAATATGCTGCTATTTAATTGTGTAAGCAGAAGACATTTGTTTTTGTTTTATGGAGAAGAAAGCAAAGTTGGCAATCCAATAATAAAGAATGTCGTCGTTAATCGTTCTTTAATTTTGGCTTGTCAAATTTCGACTGGAACTGACGAATTACTTCAATACACGTGGACCAGAGATAAAAGAGATCTTCAAAAAGATTCAAGATTTTCCATTCTAATTTGGGGCGGGTTGTTCATTCGAAATGTGAGAAAAGATGATAAAGGAACATACAATTGTGTCGCAAAGACGTTTGGTGACAAAACTTTTCCCAAAATCTACAAAGGAAAAATTATTCACTTAGATGTTTTATGTATGTTGATATTATAAACTAATATTCATTTTTTATTTCATTTGATGAAAGTGTAAACTCAAGCGCTCTCTTACATCATTAAAATTTCTGCTAATACATATTTATATTCATTTTATATTGCTTCATAATTCATAAGGTCGTTAATTGTATCGTAAACTCAACCTAAAAAGTTATCCAAAAATAACACAAATATCAAATGATAATTACACTACACCAGTCCTTCAGAAAAATATTTTGATATAAGTCATTTCAATTTGTCATTCTCGGCAATACCATACGTAACTTATTCTTCTACTTTGCACTTGTGAATGAGCTACGTTATTTGCACTTATGATAACATAACATATATTTTTGTTCTTTTAGATCCACCAATGATCACCTTAATTAAGCGACGAATCATTGCTAGAGAAGGTCGCAATATCCTTTTACCTTGCTCTTCAAAAGGAAACCCCTCGAAAATCACTACAAAGTGGTCTTTGAATGGAAAAAACCCTCTCAAATCATTTGGTACAAATCTACATCTTAATGGAACTCTTGTTATAAGAAAGATTAGCTCGCAGAATGAAGGTGTTTATAAATGTACCCCTTTTAATGAGATTGGTGCAGGGAACTCAGCGGAGACATTTGTTCTTGTTGCTGGTAAGTTTCTCAATGTTGTGTTGCCGTTCATTCAATTATTGATAACTGAGCTCTTGTACGTTTGACTTTATTGTTATCTTCAGCAAAACCAAAATTTACTAGAATACCTCCAAAAACGTTGACAGTGAAACTTGGCGGGACTTTCATGTTAATATGCAACGCTACAATCCCACATATTATTTGGAGGAAAATAAATGAATCGTTACCGGAGAGTCGGACGACGGTCAGCGGTAGTCATTTTTCTATTCACGATGTTCGAATCGAAGATAGTGGCACATATGAATGCCAAATTGGAACATTAAGATATGCACCACGAACAACAGTTGAAGTTCTTGTTGAATGTGAGTAGCCTATACTACACAAAAACTTTCTCTATGATATTTCTCATTTCATCAGCTTATTTGAGTTATTTTTGTACAGCAACTCCTGTCCCGCCCATCATCACAATGGTAAAAAACGTTTCCAAGTCTGTTGCAGTATCATGGAAGAGTGGCTACAATGGCGGTACACCTCAAACTCTTGAGATATGGTATAGGTTGACCAATACAGATGATTACCATTGGCAAATCATGAAAAATATTCCTGATCATGTCACATCCTATGAAATAGATGATATTGACAACCAGAATTCATATATCTTCAGTATGAGGGGATTAAATAATCTGGGATCTGGAGTCTTTAGTCCAATATTTTGCTCTAAAAATCGCCTATTTGAAGGCTACGGCAAAGATTCAGGTAATTTTGATATTTTACAAGATGTTTTAATTATGAAACTATGCAGTAAATATTACCATCACCTGAGAGTCAATCTAGCTAATCTAGAAAAGCTTCCCAGACTTAGCCACTTGCAACAACAAGCATTAAAATTTAAACTGCTTACGATCATATGATTTTTATTGATTGTATAATAATTTACAAACTTAATGCACAGAGTCATTCATTATACATTTCTTTTCACTATAGCTCCATTGCCCCCCAGAGAAGTCATTTGCACGCGAAAATTAAATGGATACAAAATATCTTGGCAACATGACCATACACCTGGCCGACCTCAAGTCTATTATTTTATCATTGAGTATCGACAGGTAAATTCATCAGCAAAGTGGAGGTCGTTGAAGCTACGAGTTAAAAGAAAAGAAGGCACATATCAATAGAACATGACGTCTTGCATCCCAAAAAACCTCTTGAATTTCGAATGTTTGCCTTCAGTAATACGTTTATACTTAGTGAACCTTCGAACGTAGCAATTGCGTCAGAGGAGGAAACAGGTAAATTAGTTTACTCCTTCGTAAGTGATGCAGATTTTCTTTGTTGATTTTTAAGATTTTCCCAATCGATTCTGCTTACTGGTCCAGGAAACCATTGAGACCACATTGGCTGGATACATCTGTTGATTATTAACATTGTTACTGATGAAGAATTCAATACACCACTTAGAGTTCTATACTGTTATAACAAAATATAAATTACGTTGCATATGGTTAACCTTGAACGATCTTCTGTTTTGTTCAGAAGAAAAACCTATGGGTTCTTTCAATGCTGTTCATACATGTGTATTAAAATGTAGATACGTAAATGCATTTCATCTCTGCTAAATATATTGCTTACATTGAATAAATGTATTTTCGATAAGTGATTAAGTAATCTTTTTCGGCTTTGTTTAGAATTTGTGGTACCGGAGGCAACCAACGAAGATAAAAATTTTTTTAAAGTAATAGCAATAAGTTTATCGTTAATGATGGCTGTTGCTTTCTTGGTGATTATCTGCTGCTGTCGAATGAGATGGAAGAAACAATCAAAATCTTGGAGAGGTAGTCGAGACAAGTTTTCATAATTACTGTATTTTATATGCATGTCAATACATCTTAGCATTTTTTTTCTAAATGATGATTGCTTTCGAAGCAGTTGACTGAATTTTATGATGATGATCGTGTTGTTGCTTATTAACACGGTAAAAAATTTCATACATTCTTTTGAAATATTAAACATTTCTAACAAAATATGACTGAAATTGTTAACGGTTGTCAACTGGATAAACGTATGATACAATTGCATTTTGAGATGAGCTTTTTACTGCAGAAAGTTTTATCCCTAGCTATAACCAAAATATCTTTATTTAGTTGAGAAAAAGATAAAAAAAAGAAAAAAAATGTTGATGCTGAGAAAAAGGTTGGTTTAAAATCTTCTGTATTTTTTTCTCCGTTTCACTCCGGTCTGAGTTGTTTTACAGTTTAATATGAAATTAGATATTAGATATTAGAATACGAAATTAGAAACGATAAGAATTCTCCTGATAAGAATTTTTATGTTTCACATATTTTGTCATGCATCATGGATAAAATAACAAAGAAAATTTGTACAATCAAGGGAAATTGTAAACAATTTGTCCAATGACGACTGTTTTCGTAACATATTGAAATTTCGTATCGGAACAGCAGTAAATTTTTGTTAATATACAATTTTATTGTTCGTATTTCAAATTTTCAACTGATTTCGGAGTTTTTGTTTACAAATGAATAAATTGTGACAGTGCGACCACATGCGGTTTTGAGCAGATGTTAGCTGACTGAGATCATATTGCATTTGTCGAATGGATATGGCGGTTGCGTAGGCTGATTGTTCGAGATGAAGCTTGTATTTTGATGATTTCTTATATGTATCAACAGCTTTCTATGGACAGCGCTGTTTCTATGAGCTTAGTGAGGGTTATTGCTATATGCCATTGGCTTGATATTCAACGACATGGGTAACATCAGCACAATAAGGTTTCTACATGTTTATACATGTTTATACATTTTCTTCATTGATTTGTGTATCTAAGAAATCATTTGCCGTGTTGTTTGAATTCTGTGTTGTGGGAAGCATTTTTCCGTTTATATTTTTCCGATCTTATGTTTAGATATACTATTTTGAGCTAGTAGCCGTTTACTGAAGACAAGGCTCAAGCGATTAGTTTAATGGATATGTGTCGGCTGTGCCTTCGTAGTAAAAAAATGGAAAATAATGTCGTGTCGATGGTTTCGCGAGGACTTTGAAAAGCTAAAAAAAACAGTGTAAATAATGAAAATAACTGTTGTCATTTTTTACCTACAAATTTCAAAAAGTAAATTTTATATTAATTGCCCGGAAATCTCATAGCGATATTATCTCAGTTCAGTTGTTGTTAAAATGATGAAACAGCCGATTTTACTTTTCTTTACTGTCTGTGTATGTATTTTGATCTATTTGAGGATCTAGGAGGATTATGTTACTACGATTAACAATGTTAATCATAACGATAAGTCGATAATATGACCGTTTAACGCAGGAATTTGTGAAAGTAATTGTTCATGTGTCGTATAAGGTGGGAAGAACCCCTCTAGCTTCAGTACAGTATATTGACAGTGAATATTTTTCATGAACACAAAATTACGTATACAACGGTGAATAAAAAACCAATGAATATTTATTTGCGTAAGATTATCAAAAACGTATGTTAATACTTGTTTCTAACAATGAATTTGGGTCCATCAATGCTAGTGTAAATGTTTACAGGTTCTATATGTGTGATGACAATGTTAAATCAAGATAAAATTCGCAAGTTTTGATTAATGAACCACGAGAAATTGTCGAATGGTTGAAACACATTTACGTATAAATTTTTAATTTTTTTTAAGTAAGGTCGTTTCTTGTTCTAACATTTAACTGATTCCTTCCAGAATATCACGTCATGAATGTTTATAAATTTGTTGTTGTGGATTTTAAGTGTGGTTTACCATTGAAATGATAACAATAATTAGTTAAGACAAAGTCTGCTATGTTTGTACCATTGGTTTGTACATTGTTCATCATCATAAGTTTTTCCAAAAGTCAACATGGTTGTAGAATACCAAATTAAAAATCATGTCATGCTTTGTGGTTCTCGTCTTCAAAACCTTCAAGTCAACCTAAAAATAATTTATAATTACTTGTTGACATAGAAATATTTATATTGTATTTTTCAATACTATATGCGTAGTGTCTTTTTATAGAATACGGATTTTATAGTTTGTTCATTGAGTGATAGCATATTGTTTATAAAATATAATATATTTTCAACATTATATTTTAACCACGCAACGATAGATCAATTACCTGCAAAGATTTTGACTTGAGATTTCCTCTTGCTTGAATGGCAATGCATAATCAAACAATTATTTTTCATTATCATGTATGAATATCCTTCTTGAGTACGTTTTGATGTTTTTTTGTTTCATTTATTTACAGTGCGACACAAAGTAATCGCTCTGAATGTGAATTTGATTCTTGTGACCTACAAGATGTAAAATTTATTCCCAATGCTTCATCGTTCATGCTGGAAAGTCAGAAACGTGGGAAAGAATCTCGAACTAAAAAAACAGGTAGGAAAAAAGGAAGACAATCTGACATTGAAGATCAAGTTCATGAAGAATTTCCCATCATTCCATCTTATCATCCTTCAGGAAATCTTCAGGACAAATCAAATACACTAAACCAGAAAAGGAGAATTGATGATAATTATTCAAATGAAGGCCATTATTATGATCCGCATACAGCTACCGGGTTTAGGTTTAGCATCGGACCTTTATTATCAGAGCTTCCTGAACTTCGTGATTCATACGATCAATTTTGTTCAGCAATAAAAGAACACGACTTACAAGATGAAATAGAAAAAAGATTGGATCTATCTGTTTTCAGTGTAGTTCGTGATCATAAATCTTCGGAGGAGTCTTTTTATTCCTCTGATGAGAGTATTCATGCGCGCAAACGTCGTAGAAAGATGGGTTTAGAGCAAATACAAGCTGAAGTAAAGAACAAGCGATGGTCATTGCCCGAGTTTTCGAAGCTTTTGGAATATAGCGAGACGTTTCCAGGTTATTGCAAAGTCAATTTTCCAGTCATGGACGAGATAGTAAACGCTAAACCAAAGGAAATTACTCGTACATCTATTCCATGTCTCGTTTTATCTTCACACGAGTCTCCTAAAGAAAACGTTTACAAACCACACGAATCTGTATCCAATGGAAAAACAATACTTGATGGTCTAAGTTGTCATCCATTTTCTAATTATCAGAATTCGAGTTATGATCATCCATCTGATTATGAATACTCTGATATCTACGATGACGATGATTCCTTTACGTCATCTCCAATGCAAAGCCGCATGTCGCTAAATACCATGAAAGAAAATCCTCAATCGTCTGAAGACCAGGCCGATATCAAGGATAGCGGAATTTATGCTAATGATGATTTCCATGGTAACGATTCGTGTAGCGACGTTAGTACAAATGATTCTGGTTTTGTTGATAAAAGCCGTACGATGGATAGCCAGAAAGATGAAATTGGACTACTTTTTCATCATGGAAGTGCTTCATGCCTATCGTATTGAACGTAAATTATATTTACGTATCACGGTAATGTATATATTATACAAGGAGCTAACGGTGGAATTTACAAAACGGGATGCATCAAATTGTTGAAGGAATTTACTGTGGATGAAGAAGACGAACTTTTATTTTCAAATTTTACTGAACTTTTAATGTACAGTTCATTTGTATTGACCGGCGTAATATATTAAATGATTTTTTGTGGGTTTTATTTGTGTTTAATTACTTTATTTACATTAGATAATGGACAATAGTTGGGTAAAGGAATGTTTCTTACTTCCCAGATAGTAATTTTTCTAAAAGAACAAATATCCAACAATTACAGGATGGCTTTATGCTTACGTGACGCTAAATAAAATCCAAGCTAGGTTTTTACCAAACTTTGAAAAAAGGTTTATTATTATTGTAGTTAACTTTTCTCTGTGTATGCGTGAAAAGTAATGGTTTACGAATTGCGTAATGCAGAATACAACGTATTTACGGCTCTTGTGTTGTAATATGTATGTTGGTGAGATAACTGTAGCTATATTCATTGTATTCAGTTGCTTTTAACAACAATCAACGTGTATTGAGTAGTACCTTAAAATGAATTTACCATTCGTTTATTTACCATGCATATGTGATGGAACTAAAGATGGAAATTAATTAAAAAATAGAGTGAAGTACCATTTTATTTAAACCACATTTACTTGTAAATTAGCAGGCTATGTAAAGTACAATTACATTATAAATAGACAATATGTTGATTAACAAGACAAGATTCTGTACAACACAGGCTTATACACTACGTACGTAAGTTCTAACGTGTTCAATAATCGACTTTCCTTAGCATAATCTATTCAACATTGGACATTTATTTGTTTTTCAGTTCGCTTCATAATTCTTTGAAGAGTTATTTCAATACTGCCCGGCAAAGGCCTTTCTTCAGGAATACCATGCCAACATGTTTCCATGACTTGCCAACAGTCGTTGCTGAATTGATGAAGTCGTTCAGGCCGAGTTCCTTTCTTGACACACGACCATAGGTGATCTTTACTAGCACATTGTTCGAAGTTTAGCGGAAGACGAACTTGACCAGAGCAAATATACCAAAACAATATACCAAATGCGTATACATCTACGCTGCCATCGTACTTTCCAGAGAATAACTCCGGGGCCATGTGTATGGGAGTTCCAACTATTGAGCCTGACATCATCGCTTCTGGTTTACAAAATCCAAGATCCGTTAACTTGGCTCGATTATCGATGTCAAGCTGAAAGGAAACAGGAAAAGCGTTAGTAAATAACACAATGTTTACTTCTCCAAGAATTCAAGGAATTTTGTAGTCGTATCTTATTCTTTCTCTTGTCATTTCGAACTTTATATATACACCCCACTTAACAAGAAATGAGTAAACGTAAGAATTACATTCATCTTAAGTCATGTAGTTTTTATACTTCATCCGCAGGACGAATACAATTATTTTTATGTAAGTTGTAAAACTTATTTTAGTGTTTAGTACACCCTACTATTCATCTGCTTATCTACTTCGTACTGCCTTATTCCTTAACTACGAGCTCGCCAAACGTTCCTTGCTTGAGTCCGACAAAAACGTAACTACGAATAATTCTGAAACCAAAAAACTTACAAGCACATTCTTCAGTTTTATATCTCGATGTATTAATCCTTGACTATGAAGAAAACGAATCCCTTGGATAACATCTAAAGCTATTTGAAGTCGTACAGAAAAATGTAAACCATTCTTTAAGCCATGATGTAGATCTCGCGTTAGTCTGTTCATAACTAACAACACAGCAGGACTACATCCTCCGCCTGCATAGGAATAGTCGATTACAGAGCCAAGAAGACCAACTATGCGATCATGCGCAGGCAAGGATCTATGAATGTATAATAAAACGAACGTTTTTGAGAATGTAAGAAGTGTATACATCTTCTACGTAGGTAGAGATGAGCAAAAGAAATTCAAACATCGGTGATACTATTAAAAATAATTGTTTGTCGCAGTCCGAAACAAGACAACTCCAGGGGCACAACGCTATATTATCTGAGCTATCATGCATGCAGTTGTGTCAATGGTGTGTTGAAAATATTAACGGGTCACATTTTAGGAGACAAACTTGTTTCTGTAGGTCCAATTTAGATAGCTACATAAAAATAGCTACATATATTGTTTTTTAATTTCCTGTTCAGTTATACCTGGATATTACGGTGTAAATTTCATTTCAATTTTGTGTTATTATTAAGCATTTTTGAAGTTCTTTCATCGATTTTGATTTTTTTAAAAGACTTTTCAAGTTCCCTTAAAGTTGAAAAATCAATTTTAAGCCTTTTCTAAGAGCTTTAAGTTCCCACACGAACCCCGTTCTACATTTTGTTTTGTGACTGTAATTAATAACTTTGTGAAGCAATTTTATGTAAACCTTGTGTAGCAGAATTCCATAGCAAGATCATTCCAATGTTTATCATCAGGAGGAACAACAGATTTCAATGCACATGGACCAACGCCAGCCCATTTATCACAGAGGTAAACAACGCCATATTGACCACGGCCAATTTCACGGCCCATTAATGGCATACCATAAAGAATCAAATCTCGCAAAGACGTACTCTCCAAGACGAGTCGAGCAACCTTCGGTGCGTACATCTTGCGTACCTTCAAACTTTGGGCTTCCGTTTTCTCCAATCTACCGCTGTGATAAACTGAGATTGTCTTCATAGATGTCAAGAATGCATCATGGGAATTCTTTAATCGTTGTTTGAATTGTGAACATACAGACTTGGCGAGTTTTGATTCACTTAGTTTGGCTAGTATGTCTAAAGAAACCTTCTTCTTCCATTCCACATCTACTTTCATTGGTGTCTTTCTTGGAAGATGCGTGAGTGCTTGCTGAATTTTTTCAAACAGAAATTGAGCAATGTTAACCGACCTTGCAGTGGCTTCCATTTGATAAGCAGAATCCAGAATCTTTAAAATAAAGTTGACAAATAACCAAACATTATTTAACTCTTAATGGTAGAACATACAGTAAAGATGGCAGACAAAATTCAAAAAAAATCACTTTGCATGAGTTGTGATTACAATGGAAACAACTATACCAGGTAGATTTTAAAATTTGGTTGTTGGAAGTTTCAAAATAAGTATGCAAGCAAAAGTTCACTAGATTGGCCGCACAAATATAAAATATCATGTCATATTTTCATATTTTAAGCACTGTTACCATGTACACAAACCTGTTTGAAAGCTCTAACTGCATGACTATTCTCTTCCTTACTCTTCTCTTCTTTGTCATAACTTTCTAGGCTTTCAATGCATCTTTGTAATGTACCAAGAAAGCTCTCTTTTAAACAGCGAACTGAACTAATTAGTTTTTGGGCAAGTGATCTATTCAATTGTCTTAGCAGAAGATCTTGAATTTGATGAGTACACTTCGTGAGATCGCTTGAATTAACAAGTTCACCACCATCTGTCAATTGAACACCAACAAACTCTAAGATTTCAGCCTCCTGAACTAATTTTGGCGTAAGAAAAATGATAGTTTCGTGGATTTCAGACTTTATTTCCTCTTGTTTTCTACTAGCACTGTCCATAAGGGCAAGAAACAATTCTTCTTCTTTTTTCTTTGCATATTCAAGTCTTTTTGGAGTAATGATCATATCACGTTGAAGATCATACGCAGCTGCAATGAACATGCCCAAGATACGACTATGATGTTTATTGAGAATGGAAGCACCAACTAGTAATTCATACTGCAATATATCATGTAAGTACGAATCGAACTCACAAAATCTTGAGATTTCACTGATGAATCTACTTTTTGGCTTTAGCCTAGAAAGTTCTGACTTTTCATAGCAAATTCCCCTTGCTTTTGAGCTTTTTCAGCACAGTTTTCCGTAGTCTCCATTGATAGAAATCCTATAGTAGACAGCTGCTGAAGTATTTTATCATTTTCACAGCTATTTAGTGCATCTGACATTAACTCTCTGTCAGATTCTATTGAATCTTGAGTCTTCCTGTTGCATTTTGCAAAGAAAATACTACATTCAGGATCCATTGTCTGTACACGTGACAGTTGACAACAATCCTTTGAAAAAATATTGAATTGAATCAACATAAATGCCTCTGTGAGCACCACATAGACTTATTGAAAGATATCATCAAATAAGTTTTAGTCTTAAGGTTGAGAAAGTAAATTTTGTTACCTGTTCACTCAACTCTTTGTGCTCTATTGCATATATCAGAACTGTTATGGCTTTTTCATTGTATCGCTTAACTTGCTCATCAAGATGTTGAATATACGAGTCAATATTTGACGATGTGCAGATAATTTGAGCTCCAGCTTTTAAAATTGGGTGAGGCAAAGTAACCTCAGCTACTGATAATGCCGATGTTGGATCTGACTTTTCATTTTCCTTTAACACTAAATCATCTTTTGAAACAAAATGACCCTCGCGTTCCAAAGAGCAAAGTTTGGAAGGCAGGACATAGCTATCTGGCAAAACTACACTCACCCCATAAATACCATACTTAAGACGAACAGTTCGCCATGATTCTAAGTCAGCATTCTCAAACTCATACGGAAGGACTGCCTGACCAAGTAGTTCATTAACAACGACAACTTTTGCATATAAACTCTGACCGAATACAACTATTGTGGGCGATGTTTCGCAAACTCGAGAAAGTACATCTAAATCATCGTTCGGTATTTCATAAGTTGAATCGCTATCTTGCGGCAAACAAGCCGAATTTCGGATTTCTTGTAATACCTTAGTTGTATCATATTTTATTTGTTTAAGAATCGAGCCTTGATCGTGATACTGTCCAATATCATCAATCAAAACTTTTTTAGCCATCATAGGAGCATGTTCTCGACTTTTCGTTTGTTCTCATTTCACAATATTCATTTTCCTATTGAGTAATTAATTTTGATTTGATTCTTGAGTTGGAAGTTAGTGAGTACAGCAGTTTCGTTCACTTTAGATTAGAAGACTTCATGTAATATATCTCTCTTAGAAATATAATCAAAATGTCTGATCCTAGTTCTGGAACTTCTTTTCGAGCCAGAAGGCGATTATTTGTTGGTGATCTGTACAAAGGAGTGTCAAAGGACAATTTAAGGTATAGATATATCTCACTAAGTAAATAAATGAGAATCACATTTCACCAACCTCACTGTATTTCCTTTTCAAGAATGAAATTTGAGCCATTTGGAGATGTCAACAATATACAAATAATTGAACGTGTTTGTGCAGGTAAATTATTATCATGCAATTTTTCAATATCATTTTTTCCGATGAAAAACTACTTCATTCAATGAAATTTTCACATTAAAAAAATATTGCTCTCATGAGTGCTTGTTTTTGCGAACATGGCAAGTTTTGAAGTAAATGGTTTGAACCCGGGAGTATCGTTACATGTTTGTGAATGTAGATCGTCCAGGTAGGTATAGTCCTGAGAAGGACTGTTTTTGTTGTTGTTGACTTTGTCCACTGAAACTTTCATTAAAAAACTAAGCACTATACAAATACCGGACAACTATATACTAGTGTCTTTTGATGTGAAATCACTGTTCACCAGTATTCCACTTAATCTGGCACTTACTTGTACAAAAACCCTCATTAAAAACACCAGGGACGTACTGCCATTATCGAAAGTAGACATTATGGAGCTACCGGAGCTCTGCCTCACCTCGACTTACTTCCAGTACAAAGGTACACACTACAAACAATTACATGGAACAGCAATGGGCTCACCTGTTTCTGTTGTAGTTGCTGAAATTGTAATGCAATCTATAGAGGAACCGGTGCTCACGACTTACAAACATGCACTTCCTTTTTGGTTTCGCTACATAGATGACACATTCACAGCTCTACATGCAGACGAGATTGATGACTTTCATACTCACATCAACAAATAGAACAGCCACATACAATTTACCAAAGATGTCGAAGAAAACGGAACTCTTCCTTTTCTCGACTGTTTGGTAAAACATGACAATCAAAAACTACGAACAACAGTTTATCGCAAGCCAACACATACTGACCGACTACTAGACCAATCATCTTACAACCCTACATCACACAAAGCCACCACAATCAGAACATTAACAAGACGTGCACAAATCATATGTGATTCACCGGACGCTCTACACAACGAAAACAACTATCTCAAACGTGTTTTTGACAAGAACAACTATAACTCTGACTTTATCAAACGCAACACTTACAAACCCAACGAACCCAACGAAACGAACAACTCAGTGACAACAGCAACGATACCTTACATCAAAGGTACGTCTGAGACTATCTCGCGTATCTTACGACCATACAACATACGTGTCGCACAAAAACCAATCACAACGTTACAACAAGTATTAACGAACATAAAGGACAAAGAACAACCCAACGAACGACAAGGTGCAGTTTACAAAATAAACTACTCCGACTGCCACGCCTCCTATATCGGGGAAACTGGCAGGAACTTAAACATAAGACTTACTGAACACAAACGAGCTACTAAGAAACAAGACAAAACTAATCACATTGCCGAACATCACCTTGGCAAAATGCATTACTTACAGTACTGACTATAGACAATGGCTTACATTAGAAAGCTGGTATGCCAACTTGGAACAAACCCCCCTGAACAGATCACAGCAATTGCCGGCACCTTACAAACGACTTATTCACAATACAAACAAACGATCAACTAAAAACATTACACTTCACACTAATTCACAATGACAATACACAATTGACACCCACACATTACAACTAAAAACATCACACCTAAATCACACATCACAACTAAAAATAAAATATTTCACTTCACACTAATTCACAATAACAATACACATTTCCTGTACACACAATACAATGACGTAAGAACCAGATAACAAATAAGGCTAACCTGACGTTTATTCCTCATTTGACTCTGAAGATGACTATCGCTAAGGTTGTCGAAACGTCAGTCAACAACAACAAAAACAGTCCTTCTCAGGACTATACCAACCTGGACGATCTACATTTACAAACATATAATTTTTTTGCAAGAAAATGTCATAGACGACGAATAGTTGCCTTCAAAATCATCAACTATTTAATACAGCAAAGAATGTTTGGTTTAATATTTAGGTTTATCTGCGTTCAATGAATGTAGTTGGAGAGGAGAGACAATGAGAGTTGCAATGGCAAAGGAATATTATCTTGATAGATAAAATGTCATCAACATAAATAATTAATTAAAGTATTAATCATACAAATTTAATAGCCATGTAATTTATAATTTATTTTTTTCATATGTAAACATTCAATTTAGATTAAGAAGAGAGAAGAAAAATTTTCAAAATCAAGATTTAGTCCCACCAAAAATACTTACATCATCCACAAGAAAGAATCAATCACCACAAGAGATTTGCAAGAAGATTCAAAGTGCGTACTCACCTTGTATATACAGATTGAGTATTGTGAGAAGAGTACTCTAAGGAATGTTGTTGATGAGGGATAGTACAAGGACCAAAAGAATGTGGCGGCTTCTCCGTGAGATTATAGAAGGATTAGTTCACAGGTAGAAACGTTTGATTATTGTATGAGCTAACTGTATGTATGCATATCAAACTCATCGTTGCGCCACTCTTAATATCCGTGGCAATGTTAGAAATGTTTTTATTTTCTCTATAACTTTGTATCTGCATGTTTTGGGCATAAACAATGCTGTAATATTTATAACAGATATTATAATTCGTGGATTTAGGTAGAAGAAATACATGAAAATGATACTTCCGACAGTGAAAGACAATCAAGCTTGACAGAGGAGAAACAACGAATCCAGGTTGAAAATAGCTTGAGGAAAATTGAACGTAGTTGAAGCACCTAGCGTATGCTCGAGAGGTTTGGATGAGGACTCGTGGACCAATGAAAACATGAATGGTTCGAAGCATGTTTACGACGATAAAAGTTCTAGCAGATCACTATAAAGTCCACGACAAGCAGAATGTAAACCACAATAACCTTGTTGTAATTTATTGATGAAATTCACCACAATTGTCATCATTTCTTCTTCAAAACAAATCAATTAGCTTCGAAAGATTATAAATCACCCGTATAGAAACTGACGTAAAAAGCGTTATCATCAACATAAGCCTCTTAACAAATCCCATTAAGATTTTCGTCGACAATTTGTCGATTGCTTTGTAATCTTATGTAAAGTTATGCGTAGCTGAAGACTTCAATATAAAACCTACAAGGGAACAATGTTTCAAATTGTTTTCAGGAGATTCTCAAAGTTAAATGTTGAGCCAGACCTTCTGCATAAGCTACCAAAAGTTGTAACCGAAGCAATGCGATCGTGACCGGGCCTTAATTCTTTCTTGAAGTTCGTGAAAGTGTTCGCAACAAATGGTTTAATATCTTCATTCTTCATTTTGACGCTTTCTCTGATCCAGAATTAGTAGAAGATTTATGTATAGCTGTAGAAAAGCTATTGTAATGCTGATATTTGTTAATACACTGGAAACTACAAAAATATTCGTTTCCTTTGAATACTTAATCCTATCTAAGTCGCTCAAAATTTTCTGTTTCCCGCCATATATTTGAATGTCCCGGCCAGTGAACGGTAATATAAACATGTGAACGCAAGCACCAGAGTTAACCATTGAGTTCTATAATAATATTATAGAACTCAATGGAGTTAACTGCATAACCCAGGACAAATTGTTTTCTCTCATGAAAACAGGCCCATAGTTGCATGTTTTCGACTTTTCTTTTATCTAATCTCCGAAAAAGCATCCTACAGAAGCAAGCTGTGAATTACCAACGCTGCATACGTCGCAAGCAAAAGGCAGAACTAGATCTAGCTTTCATCCTGAAGTGCAAGAAGTTAAATATTCACCCATTTCAGTGATTGAGTTTGATTCTTGAGTTGAAGTTAGTGAGTACAGCAGTTTTGTTCACTTTAGAGTGAAAGACTTCATGTAATATGACACTTTTAGAAATATAATCAAAATGTCTGATTCTAGTTCAGGAAGATTTCGAGCCAGAAGGCGATTATTTGTTGGTGGTCTGTACAAAGGAGTGACAAAAGATGATTTAAGGTATATGAATATATCTCCGTTAGCAAATAAACGAGAATCACATTTCACCAAGCTCTGTGTATTTTGCTTTTCAAGAATGAAATTTAAGCCATTTGGAGATGTCAGCAATATACAAATAATTGAACGTTTTGTGCAGGTAAAATATTATCATGCAACTTTTTAAAATCACTTCTCCTGATGAAAAACTACTTCACTCAATAAAGTTTTTATATTAAACAAATTTTGCTCTCACAAGAACTTGTGAATTTGTGACACTATTCTTGAGTTTTAACCCATAAAATCTCCAGAGTAATTAACAACAACACAAACAACATTTGTATACCGGCCAGTATTAATCCCCGCCAGGGATTAATACTTAGGGCTTTAAAAATTATTATCATTATTATCATTATTATTATTATTTTAATTATAATTATTATGGTTAGTGCTTTAAAAATTATTTGAACATTATTCGTTTTGAATCTGTATATACATTCTCAAGCAAACTAGGTCTGTTTTATTTTAAATTATTTTATTCTGGGAAAATGGCAAGATAATTTATTTGCTGTCATATTTTGCTATATTTTGTTATTTATTTAATATACTGTTTCAATGCTTTATTATAAAAAGACCTATTTACTAAAGATACAAGCCAAAGACATTAACATGTGTTAATTATAGATTGCCATTATAAAACGTTTGCATACCTTGATGTACTGATGTTAGAGAAGAATTTTCAAAAATGTAAGAAAATGTCATAGACTGCAAATAGTTGCCTTCAAGATCATCAACTGTTTAATACAGCAAAGAGTGTTTGGTTTAATATTTAGGTTTATCTACGTTCAATGAATGTAGCTGGAGAGGAGAGACAATGAGAGTTGCAATGGCAAAGGAATATTATCTTGACAGGTAAAGTTCATCAACATAAGTAATTAATTAAAGTATTAATCATACAAATGTAATAGCCATGTAATTTATCATTTATTTTTTTATATGTAAACATTCAATTTAGATTAAGAAGAGAGAAAGAAGGTTTTCAAAATCAAGATTTAGTCACACCAACAATAACAATGACATCCACTGTTGAAGATATGAAATCTGCCATTCCAGGTACACAAATAAAAAATAAACCTAACTGGATTATTGGTAAGTACGGCCGAGCGTTGCCTGTCATGTTTTTACGTCGGAAAGATGGTAAAAAGTTAGGGAAGTTTGACCCATCAAAAACCTCTCATTGCTTAAAAAAAATTTCTGAAAATGAACAAAGTAAACTTGTGGATGAGTTGACATGGAATCTTTTGGACGAGACTGCTTTCTATAACTCGGAAATATTAGCTAAAAAACGACCACATCCATATCCAGAAGATGAAAAAAATCATTCCAAATGTCTCCAATTCAACTCTGATGTATATATCAATAGAAAATCGGCCATAAAATGCGATATGTTAGGAAATGCAAATGATGATGAAAAGGAAAATTATGGAATAAACCATGCTCTTGATGGCGGATTTGAATCTGAGAACTGTGAGGATTTAAGCACGGAAAAATGCGCAAGTAATAATAATTCTCATACTTCAAACATTTCTTCTCACGATAATGAAAGATTTCTCCATGGCGAAAATGATATTTCCAAGTTAGTTGAAAAAAGCATCAACAAACCTTTGAATATCTCTCCAAGTTGTACAAAAACTGATTCAATGGAAAACAACATGTCGAGAAAATTAAATGATGAGAAGTTAGCGTCATTGACAAAACACGGGAAAAAGAAATAAGAAAGTCTCAATTTCTTTGACAAATCCTGTGTCCGATGAAAGCAAATATTTTATAATAAAAAGACAAAGTAATAAAGCTAGACTGGAAACTTTGGAAGCAAGAAAAGAAGTTCTAAAAAGCCAACAAGATATCGTCACAAATGCGCTGCTTAAAGTCGATTCGGGGTCCGTTGAAGCGAAGAACCACATAATTTTTGACAATGAAGAAAGCACTGATCATGTTGATATAAATTTTGTTAAAGCACATCATGGACAGGTAAGCCAATTTTTTTAATAATATTGAGTATTCTTTCTACTTTTGCGTGCTCTTCATGTTAACCCTTTATTGTCCACAGTTGTTGCTGCCGCATCAGCGTGGCAGCACTACTATCACATGTCTCGGCCGATTCCTCTACTCGACCTATATAGAGGTAAAATCTCGATTTGTGTCTGTCTGTTAACATTTCCGGGGGGGAATTTTACGGAATGAGGGGGGAAGAACAATCACAATAAGGTAGAACCTTTCGGAACTCCTGTCAGTTTCTCTTTGATTTTAAATGTCTGGAATCCGAATAGATATGCGGCCTAAACAACGTTATACAGTAGATAACAAAATCGAGTGATTACCGACATCAATTACACATATCTCGTTTGGCGAAAAACACATGAAATCGATTCACCGTGCCGTGTTTAGCCAGCTCAGTTCACATTTTATCTTGCGCTCTATGGTCAGACGGTGAGCAAAATATAGTGTAAGCATGTATTTATTTTCGTTAGAGCTTTATTAGTACTTGAAATATCGGTGTGGATTTAACAAAACGTCAAAAATAATTTAAACGCATGGTGCGAGTTCAACGATGAAATATGAATTATGAATATGATGAAACGTTTGCTCTTTGCGATAACTATACATCATTTTATCGCAGTCGCACAGAATCATCGGAAAAAGGTTCTATCAAAATGTTTATAAAGGAAATAATGGAAACAAAACTACAGTTTTATAATATAGTCCGTTTCTACGTTTGTAAACATGCGGACGATTGTTCGGTGGAGTAAACAACGTATCATACTTTTAATCAAAAGCATTTTAAAACTCAAAGAATCAAAACAATCAAGACATTTAAAAGAATCAAAAAATGTTTTTCATTCAAAATGGCAAAATTTATCTTTTAATTTTATGATGAAAACGTATGACTGACGAGAATCGATTGAGCATTGAAGCACTCACCTCCATATAAGGTGAACTGTGCGTCGTTTGTGCATGCCGATTGGATAGAAATTGGAATGCTATGATTAAACGATCGTGACCATTGAGTTCTATAAGACCTGGAGGGGAAACGTAAACAAAATTACTATAAATTATCAGCGCGCGGCCGCGTGGTCAAAAACATGGCGGATTTTGGTTGTCAAAGTCAGCGGAAAGACGCGGGCTCATAAAATGAAATTTTTTTCGCCCACCCGGATTTGACAACCACAATAGCGATTATATAAAATATCAATGCCAAACACAAAAACTTTTAGAAATTTTATCTTTAAAACTTGTTGCAAACTTGTTTGGTAGACGGATGCTGAAGTAATGCCAGAAAAGGAAACATTTCATGATACCGGTAAGCAACGTAAGATTGTTTACCATTTAAAGTGTTCAGTGTTTTAAGTCAATACTTGAAGTGTGATTGTATATATTTTGTGAATGTTTTTACTCCTAAGTTATAATTTAAGTTATGTTTATCCATTCTTCTTTGTTCTTTACTTAATCGCTTGCTAGACGAGGCAAAGCAACCAGTTCTTATCGAGATATGCATATCTTAAAACTCCTTGTTTCAACTGAGTTGAAATGGAGGATTTTTGGATATTTTCTGAAAATATGAAGCAAATATTAAGGACAGAGCTGTATTGAAATCAAATGCAGTGCAAGATTAATTAATGAGCTCTTTGGTACATGTCGTACAATAAAAATACCTGTATTAAACAGCTAGCCTGGACAATTTGACAGATTATGGACAATCATGATGATGGTGTGTAATGGTTTGCTTTATGCTAAAAGTTTATGAATGCCATCTGGTGTTTCTGTAAATGAATTGTTTGTTACACAGTGTAGTAAACAGGTTAGTACATCAAAATCAAGATAAAACTACTTTGTTCAATAATGTGCCAAATTTTGCTCCTACCTTGAAATATTTGCTCAAGCAAAGCTTATCATGACATGCATGAAACATTAAATACAGTACTGCATCATCTGACAAAGTCCATATGTTTTCAATTCCAGGTGATTAAAATTCACATAAGATGCATTGGTTGCAATGAAGTTGAATGTGGAAGAAGCAAAATTGATGACAAAGAACTTTTATGTCTTTTGAAGAATTACGATATCATTTAAAAGAATAAGAGTAGCAATCTAGTAAAAGAAGCCACATCTGCCTTCAACATGAGACTTTTCCAATTATGTATAGTTATTTTGTACAAAATACTATTTTAGATAAACTTGATTTTAAGTCATTTACTGATATTTTACCAAAGACAAAAGAAAAATTCAAGGCATAATGTAAAATTCAAAAATTTGTCAAGTTGTTTGAATTAGTATAGGTAACTGTAATTTGTAAGGACACAAGAGAAAAGTAGTGCAAGAAGGTTAGCATTTTTGAGAATTAATAAGTTCTTGACATACATTACACAAGACCATAATATTATAAATAATGTCTGTATAATAACAATTATACAACATGCTAAATATCTTCACCTACATTATAATTATTTAAACAGGTTTGCCTTCATGCAGCAATAAGAAAAGTGTTATGTCAGAGAAACCAATGCACTTTGATTTAAGAAATAGTATTTTCAATGGGAAATTAATGTAGTTCTGTTCAATAGTAGATCCATGGTTGTCAATGACAATCCAGTTACTAATATCTTGGCTCAAAACAGAACCAGCAACATGATTATAGAATTTTTGAATTTCGTTCTTTTGCTCTCCTAGTTCGAGATATTTTCTTCATAAGTTCTCAGTAGATTTATCAGAATATCATAATACCTTATAAGGCACCCAGAATCAATCCTACCAAAAAAAACTCAAAAAAAAATACATACCTACTTATAATATATTTCCAGTCGACTTAAGTCGTAGGGGTAAGCTAACTTTTTCTAACTCCTTTTTGGACATTTTAACTAATATTTACCCATCTATTCAAGAAAGACAGTTGCACGAAGCTGTTAAAAAATAGTCAAAAACACAAGTATTGCGCATGGGATTATGCATTAAAGCTTAACGACACATTGACAGTGTAAAGAATGCCGTTTGATATTTATTTCTAACATAGCTAAAGGATTACTTGACAACATATACGCTATTTTACAGTAGATTTATCTCATTTAAATGTGTGTGTCTATTTCACAAAAATCTGAAGCATTATTTTCAATATTTTATGCTTACGGTATCGTGGTTGTTTTCGCTGGTTGTCATTGATATAAGCAGTAATAGAGTTCCGGATTCGGGAGGGCAGATGTTAAAAATTTTTCTCAAAGTGGAAGTTTTGACAACCAAAATCCGCCATTACCGCCATGTTTTTGACCACGGGGTCCAGGCCCCTTTGCCCCTCCAGGTCTTATAGAGCTCAATGATCGTGACTAAAACACCACACGAGTACATACGAGTAACATACAAGTGCATACGAGTAACATACGAGTACATACAGAGTAACATACAAAGTACATACGAGTAACATACGAGTACATACGACTATTTTCTGGTCAACAAATGAGAAACAACACAATTTCTTCAATACATTGATATTTGCGTTTATTTTTCCTTGTATTTGTGGACTTTGGGCCAACCATTTGATGGATTTAAATGCTGAAAAGGTATTTTACTTTTATACTACATTCATTTGTATGTTTTAGTTGAATTTGTTATAGATATTTTGTCGATGCGATTTGCCAGTATTTGAGCGCTTTTGAAACACTTTCACCTAGGAAATACATATTTATGAAGCGATTAAATAAACAACGTATAAATAATGCTTTCAAAACGTGCTACATGAAATAAATGTACATTATATATATTTGAATTAAATGAGAGTTGCACTGTTACGTATAGTCCTGAGACGGACTGTTTTTTTGCTGTTGACTGACGTTTCGACAACCTTAGCGGTAGTCATCTTCAGAGTCAAAATGAATGTATAATCGCTTTCATAAATATGTATTTCCTAGGTGAAAGTGCTTCAAAAGCGCTCAAATACTGGCAAATCGCATCGACAAAATATCTATAACAAATTCAACTAAAACATACAAATGAATGTATTATGAAGTAAAATACCTTTTCAGCATTTAAATCCATCAAATGGTTGCTTCAAAGTCCACACAAATACAAGGAAAAATAAACATATCAATGTATTGAAGAAATTGTGTTCTCATTTGTTGACCAGAAAATATAAATTATCTAAATATGTACTAGTATATTACGTATGTACTTGTATTTTACGTGATGTACTGTATGTTTTCGTATGTACTGTATGTTACTCGTATGTACTTCGTATGTACTCGTATGTACCATTCAAGTTTGTATGTGTATAAAAGTGATTCCTCGCTAAAACAACTGAGTAACATGAATCCAGGTGAAAACATATGATATACTAACAAAGAAGCACAAGGAGACTTAAGAGATACATATATGACACCATATAATGATTTGTATTGATGGATGTGTTGATCTTGTGCTGTTGGCAACCAAGTGAATGAAATTCTGAAAATTTCATTTAAGCTCCTGTTAACATCATTTAATTGTTATTGGCGAGTTCTAAATGACAATATGCAAATTTTTGTAAAATGAGCTTTGAAAACTGTTCATCCAATTATTCCATTTTGAAATTAGCATAATTATACATACATACACTTCTTGCATCTACTTCTATAAATTGATTTATATGACAATTTGAAAAAAGATGACACAATTAGCTTGTCTTTATGCAATGACAAAGTATACGAGTTGTTGCGGTTTCTTGCTGTATTTTATTTTACCATTCATTATTGTATTGTTTATGGCAGATGATAAATGATGGAAAACACGCAATAGCAGTTTCAAACTGTTTTACCTTACTGGTGGAGGCAGCACTTTGCGATAGTAACTCCTAGTTTAATGAAAGCTTATAGCTTTGCTTAAATGAATTGTCAGTGATAATGTGTTTTACATGAAGTATATGCATTAGGTATTTGTGATAGGCACCATTTTGATTTATCTGTTTACATATGTTAAGTGATTTAACCTGTTATTTTTTAATGAATTTGGTCGTTTTACTGTTATAGTACTTATCATTTGTTATATAATTTTCATTACAGTATTTTTCAATTTATTCCACTATTGATCAAAGTTGCCAAATGGCAACCACTTAGAAATTTTATGTTGCGAATGTTAGCAAAAAAAAGTTTACACCATAGTGTTTTATAAAAATCCACATTATTACAAAAACTATAAAAAAGATTTTTTGAACGTTAACTAAAAAGTATGCAATAAAGGGTTAAAGTTTGCCTGTTTACTTGATCATTTAATGTTGATTTTATTTCTTACAGAAAGTTGTAGGTTCTAAAGCTCTTTCTTGGCTTGGGATGGAGATTTCTGGCAATGACGAGGAAAACAATTCTGAAGAAAATAATCTTGAAGACATTTTCCAGAAGAAACATTTTGAAGGAAGATCAGGCGAAAAGGTGATTGTCAGTTTAAGTTTCTTGGAAGTTTTCATCAAAATGGGCATTCTTATAAAAGTGTCAGATCTACATCCTTGCACTAGAAACCTGATTGGTCAATCTGTAGTTACATATATTATCTTTTCAATATATTTTATACTTTCCCCCTTAAAGCTTATGGCAATGCAACAAAGATTTGGACACGACATGCGTTTTAAAATGGACGAACGGTTTTTGGACAGTGATGACGAATCGAAATCAGAAAATGACATACGTATGGGCGATGATATTGATGAAGAATTAAAGCAGGAAAAGCAGTTATCGTGGAAAGTACTTCATGAAGTATTGGGTCAAAATTTTATGACGATCGAAGATGAGAAAGATATAAGAAATGTTTATCGGTAAGTTTTATCCTAAAGACTTAATTATTATCATGTTAAGTGGGTGGTTTTATTTAAATGTTTGAGCAACCTTTATCTTCTTAGCAATGACTTTCTTTATTGTCAAAATCTTTCAAATTCTAGGCAACTTAATTGAAACTTTGCAATATAACTATTGTTATTTGGCTCCTTAGTTCGACAAATGTGTTTTTTTGTAAACTTTTATAAGTCATTGTCCAAACTGTGGATGGCACTATCAATGTTTCGTTAAAATAGTAACATTTTTCATTGAAGCAATGTTCAATGTATCGTAATGTTTATATTTTTATATTCATTATATTTAATGTTTATATTCATTGTATCGTAATGTTTATATTTTTATTGAATAGTGACTCCATCGATGTTCATTACGATCCAAGTCGCCAAAATCATTCAAAGTTTGAAGAAGAGGTTAAGAAAAGAAAAATAGAGATGAGGCTACACCTGAGACGGAGGATGTCGGATTAAATGAAGAAAATCGTGTGATTTTTTCAAACGAAGGCAAATTACCGATAAAACCGGAAGAAAAATTTTATACAGTCTCTGATTCATTAAAAGGATTGTTTGGCAATAACGACAAGGTATGCGATTTTTTCTGTTTTTTTAATTCTACATTGATTTGTTTATGTTTGGTAAACTTCACGCAAATCCTTAAACTTTCTTCCATAAGGAGCGAAAGGCTTCGTAGAAACAAGATTTAGTTCTTATTTCTTTTGAGAAAATAGTTTTCTGTTTTCTATGACTTTGTCTTTGATAAAAAATGTAATTTTTTACAGGACGCTGAACTTTTTTCCTTTTTTTCTCAATCGAAACAATTGAAAGATGTAAACTGCGAGAATAAAGAAGGAATGAAAATTGACGAATGGAAAGGTCCTGTTAATCTTTCACTGCCATACGACAGCAGCGAGAGTGAATCAGATGATGACTCAGCATGCTCTTCAAAGTCTTTCACAGTGAAAACTAAAACTTTTTTATTTTACAATCCAAAAAACAGAAAAATGTTGGAGTCCTTGCAAGGTAAGATTGTAGCTTTGTTTACGGGTGTATTTGATAAGTTAGTGGAATTGTTTATAATTTTTTTATAATTACAATATAATATTTGTGATTGTAGACATTACACAAATGAAAAAAACTTTTCATTACGCTTTAAAATCTCTACTCTACTAATATGTTAGATCATGTAGATGGTCGCCTTACACTTTTCTCTTTTTTACAGCTGAGAGTTCGTCTTTTGTAAGAAAAGAATCAGTTGAAAGTCTCACTCAGTATTGGGTAAAAACGAGAAAAGAACTGACTCAGGATTACAAGAAAAAGAGAAAGGATGCTTTAAGAAAACGCAAGAGATTTACAAGAAAAACATAAGGTACAGTTCGATGTTTATAAACATAAGTTTACATACAGGAATTTTAAAAAACGCCTACACAAATGTCTTTCGTGTCTCATCTAAAAAAATCTACTGTTTTATGACTAATTCTCAAATTTCTATAAAGTAAAATAAATAATAAATCTGTCAATTACAAAGTGCACCCACCCCCCCTCTCCTTCTAAGAAAATTGTGAGGCAATGGAAGATCCGCACTATTAACACAGAGCTATAGAATTTTCATGCACTACTGGACTGCGATACTCGGGCCTTCATTGTTTTCAAATTCTCTCTTTTCCTTTTTTTTGGACTATTATTCTGGAGGCGGATGTTGATATTGAAATGGCTTTTCATGCCTTTTTATTGCAATACATATATGCATTTGAAAACGCGCTTCGCTTAAATCATTTTTTCGTCATAGTGTACATTGCTGAATTTTACCCATAGTTGCAACTGAGAGAACAAACTGACAACGCAAAAAAAGTTCTAACGAATTTTTAACACATTTATTTCTCAATTATGCTATTTTACAGTCATTTTATATCAGGCGTGTATTATTTATATACTTTCATTTAACGGTAAAACATTGTTTCAATTTATCATTAAATTATATAATAATTATTTAAACTATACCATTCTAATCTCCAACATTATATTCTTACTTAGTCATGATTACAACTGTTAAAATATTATAGAAACGACGTAGTGTAATATTCTTGATGATCAAAATAGTCACAATTATCCTACGAAAAAATTGGTCAAAACTTTGGGCCGCATCTTTTTATAGCGGGTAGTTTTTTTATCAATTTTTCATGCAATACTTTTTGAGTTTCAAGTCCATTTTTAATTGATGAACTTGACACGAACGTAGGTTTGTAGACTTTAGGCATCTTATTAAGTTCATGCGTAAACACTGCATTTGCGTTAGAACTTTTGTGAAATGTATTCAAGTGACTAGAATTTCACCCTGAATTTTACTGTACATACCGCTGACCAAAGAAACATGAAGTCACGACAAGTGACTTTCTGTCATAACATATTTTAATATTAATCTACTTCTTGGTTAAATAAATCTTGTATTTAACCACGTTGTTATACATAGCATGCTTTGACACTGATATATTATCTTCGATGTGTTCGTTCCGTGAACTAAAAAATGAAGTTGTCTTTCGTTGCACGGGACGTTTCAGAACCTGGTTAACAATCAAGGCCTTTAGCAAAATTGCTTGTAAATCAACAGTTTACAAAAGGTTAAATTTGCTTTCTTTTTTACGAATGGAATGTATGTTATGGAACTACAGGTTATGGTTAGGATTCTGAAAGTCACTCAGGTCGAGGTGATATTCCTGTTTTTTCTTTAATCCAATGAATTTTCTTCCCAATGTTTGTAAAAGCAAGATGCTGCGGGTCATTCTTACACTCTTTATCAAAATCAAAATCATCGGATTGATTATCATTATGCATAATGTAATTACCCCAGCTTAAGATTCCGCTCACGTAAGCAATGTTTCTAAATCTTGTTGTGTCGTGGACAGTGTTCGTGTGCTCATATCTTGTAAATATCAGTGGAGAACCACTATCCCCAGCGCAAACACCTTTTAAACCACCTGCGCAGATCATGTGACTCGAGAAACGATAATGCGTACAATTTCCTGCGTCACAAACATGTACAGTTCTCTTGAGCATACCATTTGGACCAATGTTTGTAAGAATGGTGGCTGCTTCGTTTTTGGTTTTTAAGAAAGTCATTTGCTTTCTATGGTTTGGAATGCATATAGGTCGTACACTTCTCTTGAAACTAATTGGTGCTACTAATTTCAAAAGGGCAATGTCATTCTTGCACTCAGTGATTTCTGGCTTACAACGGGAATATGGCATGACGTTTTCTACGTCAATTACTTTTCCATCATTTGTGCGTATCCTGTAATTATACATATCACTCATGGGATGGCCGGCTGTCAGTATCCACTTTTCACCCAATATCACCCCGATTTGTCCCCATTGCAGTATTTCCATTGACATCCATCCTTTTGTGACCAGCATGATTTGAACTATCCAAGGTGATTGATATACATCGACATTGCTCCAATCATTGCTGTTTTGGATTGTATTTTCCAAAATCCCGCATTCTAAATTTGCAGATAAATATTATTTTTTCTGTGGCGGTTTTTGTTTATCTCAGTCGGGGTTAAAGATATTGAAATGGTATGATGAACTATTGTTATGAACTATATTGCTGAAGACTCTAGTCATACTTAACACTTGCAAAACACTATATAAACAGTGACGTAATATTTTACCCGAGAAATCAATTCCTCTCTGACATGTTCTCTTATCTGCCGCCAAGAAAAAACCTTTATTACAGTCACAATAAAATCTACAAAGAAATATTACAATGTTATGATATTTTCTTTTAAGTTTGCCATCCTGCTGTCATTTTTAAAAAATTTCCCTCCTGCGATTTTTTTTTACAAACCTAACCCCTCTTCTATCATATATCTTAAGTTACCCCTTGCTGTCATCTTTTATAAAACTACCATATGTCTATCATTTTCATAAACTTACCCCATGCTGTCATTTTATATAAACCTACCCCTCCTGCCATCATTTTTTATAAACCTACCCCCCATGCCATCATTTTCATAAACTTACCCTCCTGGTCTGTTTATACATCTTTGTTGACAGACATTTGTACGGCATTCATCAATGTCAATACAAGTGTGTCCGTTTCCAGCCAATTTAAAACCTTTTTTGCACAAGCATTTATATGTTCCTTTTTTATTAATACAAACGTCAGAACATGGTCCCTTTCCATTGTTTTGCGCGCATTCGTTAACATCAATACACAATTTAGACCTATAACAGATAAATTTATCAATAATTTTTCCACCGAAATAAATACATAGTTATATATTGAGTAACAGCAGTGGAATAGAGAAAATGGTTGGTTTGGAAACAGATACTTTGAAGGCTTCTTTGGAAAACGTACTTTCTATCTTGCAGCTGAAATCCATGTTTGCACCTGCATCTGAAGGCCCCGGGCAAGTTTTCACAAATGTGTTCACATCCACCATTGTTGTTTGAACACTCGTCAACATCAAGACATGCTGTTCGATTGGGATTTTGGACATAGCCTTTGTCACAAGCACATTTGAATCTAAATGAAGAGGACATAAAGTAAATAATGATTGTTTTATGTTATAAACACGTATGAATATTCACTAACCCTCCAGCTACGTTGATGCACACATGGCAATTTGGGACTCCAAATGCGCATTCGTCTTTGTCGTCACATTTTTTAGGATTCAGATAGGATTGTACATAACCATGTTTACATGAACATTTGTAGCTTCCGTGAGTGTTCTGACACAAATGTTCGCATCCATGATTACTCTTCTGACATTCATCAATATCTGAAATGTTTTCATTAAAACAAATTGTTTCTAATTTGCAAAGATGATGAAGCCTTATGAAACTCTATTGACAAGCTATCAACTCATTTTGTCACTTATATTCAAGATGAAAAAGCTACCTTCACAAGTATTTTTCAAGTTTCCTTTGACAAATCCAGCACGGCATTCACATCTGTAGCTACCAACTGTATTAACGCAGATACCATCACAAATTGAGCTTTTTGCACATTCGTCGACGTCTAAGTTGTAAAAAATAATGATAATTTTTATTAAAAGAACAAGATCTTCCTGGTCTGTTAGCCTGTTGCTTATATCCGATATAGATATATCTTATTTTTCTATACGGCTTAGATAAGATTTTTCATATGATTAAGGCAAATTAAGGAATCGAAAATGGAATATAGTGGTATGAGTCCGTCTTTTTTTGCTAAATTTTCATTCTTATAAAACACAGTGTTTTGATTATGCACATATTGATAACTTTCCTATAACAATATTTTAGCTACAAAACTAAAACCAGAGGTGTGATAGGATTCAACTATTCTTGCATTGAGTATATTTTATTGAATTTATCTAAGGTTTGATCGATCATAAACAGCACGCATAGTAAATACCTTCACATGTTCCATCTGGTCGTACATAGAAACCAGGCTTATTGCACGGTTCTGTATGATAAAAGAGGAACATTGATGTCTTAGTTTTAACAATTAATATAAAGTAACATAACATATACGAGAAATAAAATAAATGAAAAATAAATCTTACTTCGACATGTTTTGCCATCGGTGCGCAATTGAAATCCAGCATAACAGCTGCATTTACTAGCTGCCTTGCCCGACTTATCTTTTGTCACTTGACAAACGTGATCACACCCGCCATTGTGAACACACGGGTCTAAATTGACGAATAAAAAGAGTGACTTATATGATCAATTAAACTGTATCGAATTATGCCATTAGTTAAATTTAAATCAATATCCATTTATCATGACAAACGGGAATCCTAGTTTGTTTTGTTATACCTGTACAATTGACTTCGTCCGAATTGTCGTAGCAATCGTTTTCCGTGTCGCAAACCCACGACTTTGGGATACATCTTCCGTTATTGCATACAAATTTGCCGTCACCACATGAGCAATTTTTCTCATCTGAAGCATCTCCACAATCGTCCACTCCATCACACCGCAGGAAGTTGTTAAGGCACTGGTTGCTGTTCTTACATTGAAAGCATGGTGCTTGTGTTGATATTGTTCCTAAGATGAAATGAAAAAGAAATACGCACATGTTATATTACATATTACTCTCCACATAGTTTCTATGTCCATGTTTTTAACAGTACGATTTGTCGATTACAGTTATTTACAATTTCATCATACGTACATTCTATTTGCTCGCCACATACATTTATTTCATTTAATTTACTATGCTGTCTTTTTTTGTAAAGCTTCTGCCATCTATTTAATCTAGTCCCTCTTGATGTTCCCTAGGTTAACACTCGATATCTGCCCAGTTTCAAGCTCAACTTATTTCAACACAGATTAATTCTATAAAGACATCGGAAGACAAACTATGTAAAGAGGATATTGACCATCTTCTGTTTGATGACAGGAATAAAACGACTTATTGACACCTTTTTTTACTGTGCATAGTTTAGATTATCTGTCAAGAGGTACTATTTTATTGCGTGGTTTGCGACGTGGGTGATTGCTAAAAACTTTCACTTATAATCTTTGTGTTCCCATAAACAGTTTAGAAAGTTTAGAACGTTGATGTTTTCATGAGCAGTACTTTATATAGGCTAGGAAATTTGAGAGGTTGATGTTTTCATAAGCAATACTGTACTTTATGTATGCATTGATGTTGCTCGATTTTCAGTTCTTAGTAGCCACAGTTTATAGATGGAGGGTTAAGGATGTTGATTTTTCCACTAGCAGTGCTTTTATAAATGCTCGAAAAGTTTAAAATATTGATGTTTTCTATATTAGTACTGTATGGGTATAGAGTGGCTGTAGTTAAGGACAGGAGTGCCTTCACTCGCCATTTTTTCATATATTTGCCAGTGAGAGAACTTCAATATTTACATACACGTAAATTTAAGTTTCCGCTACATTTAAATGTGGTGGGTCATACAAGTATGTTGCCCTGTGGCATTGTTAATTGTTTTTCTTTTTAATCCTTTGTTCCGCTTTTATTTACAACTTGTAAACCCTAATCACGTCTGATGCGTTTTGTTTTGAAGAATAACGCATCTGTTGAAGAGTTATGGAAATCATTTTGGTGTTTTAAAAGTTCATTGTACAAACATTTCAATAGTGCTCAGCATAAACACAAGTAGAAAAAATTTCCATGTAATATGTTCTGTTGCTAGTTTAAGTTGCAATGAGAAAGCTAGAATGAATAATCCTTTGATGAAAATTATTGTTGGCAATAGTCCTGTTGATATGCATGACAGATTTGCTAAAAACATGTATTTTGAAACGACTTATAAATCAAAATGCTTTACGCGACATTAGGACGATCTTTTAAATCCAATGCTACATGTATGGTTTCTTTTAGCTTTTAAGGTGTTCAATTTTCTGCTCTAAATGCTTTCCCATCCATGATGCACGGATATCATATAATTTAGTGAGTGCAATATTTGAATGTCAATGAACCCGATTATGACTCATCTATCATATTCGATTGATATGCTTGACGACTAAAACCGTTAATGATATTTTGTTTTCAGTATGGAATGTACGACTTCGAGGTCGCAGCATATTCTTTAATGTTACTTTTTTTGAAGCTTAGCCAACTTGTCAAGCGTGTGTTATATGTTGCATTTTAATCGTATAAAGTAATTATGAAATGCCTAAGTATGAATCAAGGTCAGTTTTTGGTCCATACGCAAAATGTAAGCAACATGATAAAAGTTATCTACATTGACGTTGATGATGACGTTGTTCTAGATGAAAACGTAAGGACTGCTTGCGTGTGTAAAGTGCACAGCTATGGCATCTTACTCATTACAGTACATAAAAACAGAATCAGAATTTTGTAAGACCACCATTATGAGGCCCAAAATCGTGAAACTGCAAACACTTCATGGTTCATACTACACTATTATCTGTCATCGTGAATTAACACTTCATAAAACGTTAATTAATGTATTTTAAGATAATTATGTGTTTGACTTGTGTTTGGATGCTTGACATTGGAAATCTAAAATGGTTTGCTCCTTAATCCGTTAAAACATTTTGCTCTGTGGCTGAAAAATGATTATGTAGCACGCCCAAAAAAGTTTTCATCTGACGTAGTCAACAATCTCCCTGGAGAAATATCTCGGATGCCTTTATTTCAATCTCTGCATGAAAAAATAAGCATTTCGTAATTTCATCCTCTTCATTACGTGTACAAAAATATTCAAAGACGTCTCATGATGTCTTATTACGTAGGACATGTCTGTAAAGCTCTTATTTATCTTCGGGCACGGCCCCACCCGGTGGGGGGTAGGCTGAGAGGACCTGTGCTACCCCACTTTTTTCCCCAAGAAGAAATTTTTGCAACTGATTTGTAGCGTAACCTGGGGCAAAGTAAGACGCAGTAAATTTAGTATCGCGACCAGATATTTTGGCGGAAACATTTTCAGACAGACAACAGTCGTTAAGAGTCAGTGTGGAAAAAGGGTTTTTGTCAATTTCGTGGCTCCGAACGTCTAGTTCCTATGAAAAGACGTGCGCAATGGTTATATTTAATTGCTACGTTATTGCACGCACCCTAATAAGGTCTTGTCAGTCTGCACTTCTATTCAAGTTGCGTTGCACGTGTTTCAGAACAGGGAGGAGGAAATTCTTGGCAATATAAATATATTAGAGGTCATATCCTTTGTGTTTTCTTGTTTAAAATAATTATGTGATAATGCCAATACAAAATCCGCCCGTATTAAACTAATGTATCTGTACAAATGTTGTTTCTCTTTATAGAGGTTTTTTGTTCACTCCTTTATAGTCCTACTTTTTATATGAACAAATGAAAGCCGCCGCTTGAAGTTGAGGAAATGAAATTGTTGCCAGCCAGCGACCATTTTGCTGAAACAATGGCGTCGAAATTAATGTTTAACAAATGCTTTCTAACCAGCCGATGACAAGACTTTGATTCTTGGACCGATATTATCGTATGACGTCTTATCGCATCTCTCATGGGAAAGATATGAAATGATTTTCGAATGCCTTTAAAGTTAGCTTCCTTTTTGTGCCGGAATTAAATTGCGTTAATGTAATATGTCGGAGTCGTCCAGCTGTTGTCAATGGCGTCAAATTTCTAATGTGAATTGTGTCTCCACATGTTTTTTTGCGATATACATTAATTTGAACTGTAATTTTTAAAAATTAAGTTGCGATAGTCCTAAATCTTCTGTCAATAAAACATTCCAGGTCACATCGAGATAACCTACTCAAGCTAAGTACTCTGATTTTTTGTCATATTCAAACAGTTGCTAAGCGCATTGAGCTATTTATAAAAGATAAAAATTAAAAGAATTCCAAATTCAAAACATTCATGTTATGATTCATGTTATGAACGCACGAAATTGTAAATTCAGTGAATGTTTACAGGAAATAATCTTGCTTAGTATTACGAATATTGATTAATCGATAATGTCAGCTTTGGAATACATTTTATCTAAAATCATTGTCTTTTTATTTGGGAAAAGGTCTGAAATAAATTTTGGCAACGGTTGAATTTACAAGAATGTTTGCAATGTTTTTTGTCACACTTAGCTAGTATAATCCTACCTGTCAATGGGTTGCCCAATGTTATGAAGACATGTAGTATTGATCTAGACATAAAAATTAGAACTTCAGTAATCATAACAAAAAACATTCATAAGAAATAAGATGAAAGTACCAAGGTAGCTACCATCTCAAACTATCACGCATGCTTGTTTAATAGCCTTACCAAAGCCATGAAATATTTTTTCTGAAACAATACTTGTCTATTTGGTCTTCGAGTTCGTGAAGTAACATGCGCGTTTCATAAATGAACTGCGCGCAATTTGATAGCGCGGTACACTATTTTCATTTAGAAAAAACGTTTACTTACAGACAAATAGCGATGAAAAATAGTGAACTGTTCATCATTTCCGTCTTGCTATGCTACCTTCTCACAACTGAATAATTTCACATGAAATACACATCTATTGAAGTTGTAATATTCACACTGTGGTTTGTGATGGGAAGCGTCCTCCTTTAATAGCAATCCACTTAATATTAATTATGCTGTGGTCCAATCAGTGAATGACTTTTTCTAGCCGGTAGTTCTTCAAATCCTATTATGATCTTAACCATTATTAAACCAAGGATAAATAGAAGACGCGGAATTATCAACAACGTGCGGGCTGAAGGTCAAAAATTCAATCACACAAAAATCACTTTTTTATGCAATATGGTATACACAATTTACCTAAGAGATAATTCTTGGTTTCTCACGTATGTGAACATGTATAGTTAATATTTCCACTTCATAATTAAGATACATGGATAAGAAATTCTTCTTCTCTTTACTGCATGCATTCATGACACCACACTTGTTTGTGCCTAAAGCACTACTTCTCTTATCAACAAAAGAAGCTCAGCGAAATAAACAATTTTCTTCCTTTTCAGTGACAGAAAACAGACGCAAATCTCCCAAGCGTGAATTAAGCTTTATACCACACTGCAAATTTCATGAAATAACATAAGCAACTGGCCTTGTGTGGGACCTACATGAATGTTTACTAACAGTTTACATAAAAGATCCAACACTATCCTATATATGTAATATCTCACGTTGTAACTGTGGTTGCAGTGAGCTGAAAAATGATATACATATTTCTATTAAAAGCAATGGTTAGACGTCAAATGATCCTACTTATTTTTGTTAGACTTCATTGACTCTTAGTTGTGAAAATCTTTGTGGTACATAATATTTTACACAATTATGCAAAAAATATTGATGCCGGTTAGTTAGTGCAGTTATTTTTCTCTCATGTCAATGTTTTGACACTGTAACCGAATACGGTCTTCAGTCTTATTTATGATTGTGGTTGATTAGCCTTCGAAGTTGTACATTTCAACGAATTTTAGAGAAAATGTATTTTTTTGTGCAATTAGCTAAAAAATTGAAGACGAAAAATGAAGATGAATATCAATTATGAACGACATTGCATGGATTCAACTCAAGCCACACTTCCTTAATATTGATGTTAACTGATGTTCATCCGGTAATCTATCAGCTACCTCCCAGGTTTTGTTGCTTGACCAATAACCTTTTATTCAACTAAATATGGGAATTTTTGAAAAGTTCCGTTCATATATTCAAAGAATGGGAAATGAATAAAGGTTATTAGCGGTATGGAGGTATATAACTCGTTTGCAATGGTTGAGAAGAATGTTGTCATTTATATGAGTAGATTTTCTGTACATTGCATGGGGGTCATTGTATTTTGTAGAAGGTTCTTTGTTTGACATTTAGTACAGTTGTGCCTGTAGTAAAAACATTTTTCTTGAAACATTTAATAACGAAAGACCTTTACTGTAATGAAATATGGTCATTTTTATTATTTTAAATATTACTTCTAGCTATACATCTGAATACATTTTTAATTAATTAATAAAGATATAATTTTGTTACATGTTCAAGTACTTTAATTCCATTATAAGGTATTGTAGCTACCAAAGACTTTCCCATGGCTATTTTAATTGTTTTTTAGTGCGCACAGTGTTCAATTATGTCGAGTCTCAGCAGTAAATCACCTTTTTATCTTGCCACATTTCCGTCAATGTTATGAGTGAGTAATGAAACAAATTATTTCCTTGTATTACTTATATAGAAAAGGATATAATTTCAGCATTCGTGCATTCACATTTATTCACGGATTTTTTTTCTAAGCTCATTCATTTTTCTTTACATTAATTTCCATAGCAACCATGGCAGCTACTGCTGCACAATAAAAACGAAAATCAGGATTAAAGACATTTAATTTCCTTAAAACTGTCATCGAGGTAAAATGTTTCATTTTTCGAAGTACGTATACTTATATATAATTATGACTTTGTGCACGTAAAAATGATTGTGTTACAGGTGCCAACTCTGTGCAATGTACATTAGCATTGACTTAAGTATACTTTCATGACATAACACAGCTCGAAGTGCTTTTCACTAAACATGCCAACCTAATAATCGACTAAATACAATGTAATATTATTTTCACACCTAAATTGGAGTGTGAAAAGCCAAATTTAAAATGATTTAACGATTTGATAGAATCTTCCGCCACAACTATGGCAACGATGTAAGGCTAAAGATGTTTCTATGCTCTTCTATTGCACGAATTATGGTAAAATTGTACGGCTAATAACATCTCATTATAATATATACGTCATTTATTAAAAGGTTTTTAAAGCTACAAACGTTGTCGTCATAAGTCTCGATTCATCAATCGTATAGAAAATTACAATTCCTTCATCAATCTGTGCTCATGTTGGAGTGAAAGCTTCGACTTCTAATTAACTTGAAGAAGTTCGTACTATATGAAAAGTTGAGTTACTGGTTTGACTTTGATGTATTGTCACGTGACCTAAACTGTTGAAAGCAGGAAGTCTCTTTAACAAGTAGTTACTGCTTGAAAGTGAACAACTTTTTTCAACAAATCTCATTGATATATGTTTACATGTATGAACGATCCTTTTCTTGAGAAATATCTAATGAACTATTCTCTCTTTCTGACTTGAAGAAGAAATCTAAAAGATGTCGTGATTAATTTAATCTGTTCGTGATCCATGTTCTCAGTGTTAGGGAAACTTTCACAACGACAAATACTAGTTCTGTTTAACAATTCTTAATTAACCAGGACGATGAAAAAGAGGAAACATAGTACGTTCACATTAATTGTACAACTTTGTGTTATACAATCGTTTTCTATTTTCATTATCTTTTCATCAAAATTGCTTTGTTTTTATTTAAAATTAAAGATATTTTTACATACTTGTACATGTATGTTTATCACCTTGTGTCTCGTTCACCCACGTTGCTATATTTTCTTTTGTCAATAGTAATGAGATAAAGGTTGGGAAAATAGACATTTGCAAAAATGCAAAAAATTGCCCAGAACTGTGTTTCTTAATCTAGTAAACTCATTGCTATTGGCTGATAAGCTTGACCTACTGGCTTGACCCGGTCTCGTGTTTCATTACAATGCAAATATATTAGGTGGGATGCGTCAAAAATCAACAATGCTTTTTTTGAAGGTCAAACTTGGGTTATCGCGATAAAATATCGAACTGCTTCGAGTCTGTCGTCGGAATTTAAATAATATGCATGGTTAATTTGTTGCATTACAATTCTTCAAATATAAAAGAAATTCTTCAAATTAAATATGTTCGAGAGGGTTTGAAACATCGTTAACTACAAAGTGAAATATAAAAATACTTCACGCAGTAGATTTCAACATCGTACTCGTTGATAGTCGTTTTCTCATCATGAATGAGGGGGGCTCTTGATGCAAGGACGAATATCAACGAGTAAAATTTAGGATTTATAAGTTATCTTTCCCCTACATGATACATTTGATGATTTGGCAAGATTATATTAATCTATAGAGTGATATTTTTTTTATATGAAATCTAACTAATTGTTTAATCTTATAGAGTTGAAATCCACTATTTTGAGATCTTAAGGGCAATGGAAATGCAGGGAATTTTGCAAGAATGAAAAAGAACTCCATCCTAGTTTGAAATATGGAAAGGATTTCGAATTAATCAAGTTTAAAATAGGTGAGTTGGATTGTACTCATGCCGCTTGCGCAATGATTGCATCCTTGCCGACAATTCTTGATTGTTTCAAAACAGGAAGAGAAGTGTTGATGTTAGATTTATAAATAATATCAGAGGGTTTTGCTGGTTTGCGTCTTCATTGTACACAGCGGGCAAAATGTCAAATCTAAATTTTGTTTTTGTTATCGCTCGGTGCTGTTATTTTCTTTGTGCAGTACCGACACACTAGGTCTTGCATTCTTGCAATTCTTCCAGGAATATTTTTAATGTTTTCTTTGGATATACAACGTGTGTTGAAGTGAACGCACATTTATGATGACACGTTCAGGATGCAACAATTATCCAAAAAACGTGCGTATACGAAACATACCTGGCAGGAAATGAAAATTCAATGCCAAGCATGAAAAACGAATTTGTTCACTACATATATCTACCGATAACAAAGATTTTTTCTCATGATTATTGTTATTTTAATATAAAGTGTTTGAGTGGTTGAATGGTTTACATTTTCGGCATTTTGTATAATTTCTATCGTAGCTGTTGGGGCTCCAATATCAAATGGTTTATTTAGGGTGATCAACTTTGGAATGAAGATAATTTTTAGCATCATGATTTTTTTTGCTTCTGATCGATTCAATAAAATAGACGTGTGTCGTTTAAAATTGCACGGGTATTGCGAAAAAAAATGGAGAATGGAATGCTTTTACGCATTTTGGGCGGATTTTCCCTCGTTGATGTGTTAAGTAATCTTTAATTTTATTTATACATGGAAGTTTATGGCGAACATATCGCACACGTTTTATTGTGAATGTGAACAAAAACATTTGTATCAAGTATAAATAATCCATAAAGTGCACAAAAAACATATTCAATTATATCGCCAAATCAAAATTCATGAACACATTTTTTTCTATATTTATGAGTTTGGCGCAACTCTAAGTCATCAGAATAATTGGATCATTGATTTATTTGGCTTCTGCAAAGAAATCTCAAAAAAAGGAAACAAGATTATTGCTAACTTTTAAGAAGTGATAACTTAAGCTATTAATCAACAACTATGTTTATGTGAATATTATCAGTCAGCTGACGATTTGTTACCGTAATCGGCTGTAGATTTATGGAATCTGCAATCTTAGTGATTGACATACTTCTCTAATACCCTTATGCTCTGGAAGATTCTTTCAGATTAAAAAAACACACTTGTCCACCTTCAAGTCCCACGGTAACAACACCTGTTGATGACGAAGCAACAGCACGAACATAACGATCAAATGTAAATTGCTCCATCATCTTGCCACTGTGCAGGTTCCATATACTTACAGTTTTGTCACGTGATCCAGACAACACGTGATCACCATTTGGTGTTATGCAAAGTGACCGAATGTCATGTGTGTGACCAATGAGTCTGAGGATTGGTGTTCCTCTTTCAACATCCCACAACATTATCGAATGATGAGAGCCTAAAATCATTCATTTAATTAGTATTAAATTGATCAGAACGAGTTGCATAAAAAATAAAAATTTCGGAAAAGTAGATGATAACAAATAAAATAATAAGGCTCGACACGTGCAACGTTACATGTAGCATTTAAGCATGGATATGTATGATTTAAAGTTTGCATGCATGTCACTTTTTTAGCATTTCAACAAAACACATGCAACATAATATGATAAATATTTACATTATTTTACGTATCTTACCTTTGGAAACAACGAGATTTCTTTCTATGCTAATGAATGACAACTGTTCTCTACCAGCACCAGTATGTAGCTCAATCGGCTTTCTTATATCATCTTCAGCCATGCTCCAAATTGCTATGCTGAAATTGTGAATGAAAGCAGCAAAAAGTTTATCATTAACCACCTGCAGAGCAGCGACTCCATAGCATCTATAGTTATACGTTTTCACAATTCCAGAGCCATTGAACTGATAAACCTGTAATCCAGTTAATCATCAAATGTTAATTTTGTTCATCTTCCAATTAATGAATTATACAATGCTGATAATGTTACCTCACTTCCACTGGACCCAATCAAAATGTCCTCTGCGTTTGGTACAAAAGTGATGGCGGAAATAGGACGAGAACTGCCAATGTTATGAGACCATAGTCGTGTCCATACGTTTGTATTTGGAACGTACCAAAGGTTAACCAAACCTCTTGCTGATCCTGATACAAAGAAGCGAGATGTTTCTTCACGTCTTTTTACTTGAGTTACAGCTTCAGAATAAGCTTTATGTCGATGCTGCCCATAATTTCTTCCATCTTCTAAAAATGAGAGCAATAGCAGTTCGCCATTGTTACAACCAAACAACAAAGACTTCTTGTCAATGGAAGTAACACAGTTTATTTTTTGCTCTGGTTGACATCTTTCAACTCTCTTTTATTTTGGCGACTCCTGATTTCAACATTGTTGTCTATGTCGATACTTCCAAAACCTGTTCTGTCTCCCAACATACAAAGTAAATGTACTGCGGCATTGTTTATCGTGCTTTGAAATTTTTGAAATGTTTTACTATCTGAGCTTAAATCCATATATGATATTGTTCCTAAACTGCTTCCTGTCAGGACTCCACCATCAGATGTAACATCAATTGCTGTAACCATGGATTCTTCAGGGTGACCTACATATAAACAAGTTGTATTATTTCCTTATCCATTATTATCCATGCAATACATCAGTGGAAAATACGTCAACAAAATAAATTGTACTACGGTAAAATATACGCATTATGCTGGTTATATTTCTATTCTTGAGGGTATATGGTGCTCTTCTAGTTATCCTTTTCTACAACATGTTTATGCACCTGCAAAATGATTAATTTCGCGTTTTGTCGACGTTTCCCAATAGATAAATGAACTATTTGACTGGTTTCCACAAAGAACAGCCTCAGCATTAGGTAAAAACCCCATAGAAGTCCATTTTGGACTTGGTCCTTGACAGGTCAGTCTTGGCGTTAATGAGCTGAGATCAATTTGACAAACTTCCATATTTCTACTGCACGTGTATATTTTCTCTTTGTGACAGACTACTGACGTGGTGGTAAACACTGGCATGGTGATAGAATGAACTGGATTGTTGAAGTTCTCCCAAGACCATATTAAAATCTGATCATTCTTACAACCTATTATAATTTTTTTTCCAGTAGAGTTGAAACAAAGTACTTCAGGTGTATTATTATCCACTTCTAAACATGACATTTCTGTACCACAATTTAGATCCCAAAGCTAACAAAATAGAAAATCAACAGTATGTAAGTGTCATTAAAAATTAATTGTAATATCGACATGACTTATAACTGACTGATCAAGAATTTTGATGAGTGAGTTGACTGTGATGTATAATGTACCTGAATGATTGAAGATGTTGAATCCTTTCCAATGCTGGCACAACGACGATCGTTTGGAGAGATTTTCACGTAAACTGCTCTTCTTTTTTTACCTAAGAATATGCCTTCATGTTAACCTTTATGTAGTTTATTATTTGTCTGGTTCTTATCAACATCATTAGTAAACAGCAAAATAAATTTACAACTTGTGAATTTAACATGAATATTATATTTTTGGCAATAACAAGTGATATTTTTTAATAAACCTTTCAAGGTAAAGAGCTCTTTTCCATTTTCACAATCCCAAATTTTAAAGTTTCCATCCATTGATGCCGAAACACATAAGGAACCATCCAGAGTAACTGCAATGCGAATGACATCTTGAGAATGACCACGTGATCTTTCCTCTTTGAGGTTTGCTTCTAAATCCCAAACCCGAAAGCTTTTGTCCTGTGAGCCAGACAACGCTTTTTTACCGTCTGGACTAATTTTTACGGATCTAAAATTTGCAAATGCTTAGAACCAATTTGGTGTTAAACCACCTAGCAAAAACTTGATGTACCTGATTGACTGGCTATGCCCTTTAAAATTGAAAAGTAATTTTCCTGTTTCAAAACACCATAATCTCATTATCTTGTCTGCTCCTCCAGAAACTATGTGTTTCGCATCAGAACTGATAGCAATGTTGTAAATTTCTGCCTGGTGACCTTTGAGAGTCCGTATCTCATTAAAATTATGTAGATCCCAAATCTTTATGGTTTTATCACCTGACGCTGATACAAGAAAGTGTTTCTCCCCTTCAATTGGTAAAATGAAAGATAAAGTTTATTTCAACTATCTCAACTATATAAGCTGTACCAATAATTATTGACAATCCTACTTTTCAAGAAAAATTCAATTGGTTCACAATGATCGGCAGTTGTTGATAAATTAAATAAATGAAGAAAAAAAATGGTTTGCAATATTTCCACAGTTCTACCAAGTTTTACAAAAAGTTTGCTTAGTCTGAAAATAATCAAAATATCAATCATTCACTCACTTGATTGAGCAACACAAACAACGCAATACACTATGTCCAAATGCCCTTTTAGTACTCTTTCTTCAGAGCACTGAAAATTGTCAGTGCTCCACAACTTAATGGTTTTATCATAAGAAGCTGTTGCGATATACTTCTCATCTGTCGTTGAACAAAGGCCACGTATTTGATCAGCATGAGCATCTATGGTCATATGCAGTCTTCCAGTATCCACATGCCACACTCTCAGTTTTCCTATAAAGAGAAAATGGCAGGTGTTATGAAAATAGATCAACTGCAACCAATGTTTACGCAAAAATTGATATTGATGCCTTCCTCTGCACTCGTTTTTCATTATGTGATGTGTTTTGACATAACGTATTTAATGATGATTATGGCATTCAAAATAATAAATTGTAAAATCTTTGCCTTATACAACACAATATAACTATGGCACCTACCATCATTAGATCCAGTATATAGATAAACATCATCGGTGCTAAAGTCTAATGCATTTACAAAGCCTCCTTCTCCAGATAAATCATGTTTCTCAGCATAGACGTCCATGTTCCAAAGTTTAACTTTTGTATCAGTTGATCCCGAGGCAAGGATTGTTCCACCGTGTGATAAAGCTAAGCAGCATACCGACATATCATGTCCTTTGAGAACCTTTAATTCTTTACCTGAAGTTATGATAAAATTCTTTCTCTAAAATTGTTTGTTAGTTTGAAGGTATTTTTACAAACCCAAATACTAAAACCTGAAAATGAATTTAAACGATTAATTGAAACAGTCGGCTAGTTTGCGCATACCAGTTTCCAGCTCAAAGATTTTGATGAGCTTATTTGCAAGTGCTGAAATAACCAGCGTGCCAGTTGAACTAATCTTCGTTACTAAAGAAAATACACCGTCCTTTATATTTGTCTGTATTCTCAAAAGTGGTCCCACTGGCTCAGAAAGACAAGCAAATAAAGGTAGAAGGCAATTCTTGTGCAAGCACGTTTTACGAACGTTCTCCAACAGCTCACGTATTCTTTGGTAGTCATTAACGTAAGGCAAAAGTCTTCCTGAAAATAAAATTATCAATTTTTTATATCAGATAGGTTTAGTAGATGAAACTATAGATAATAAATGTAGTAAGTCACTTTTCAACGAAAATTAATAAAATCAGACAATTTTGATACCATATTTTTTACCATGACGAAGCTCGTTACCATATAAAATGTTTACAACACACTTGTACGAGACTGATAGTTTGAAATAACGATGTATGACAATATATTACCCAGAAGCTGTGGGCCGATAAAGTCTGGGTTTTTTTCCATGACGTCAGCCGATAGCATCAAAGAGGATTTAAGGAGTTTGATCTCGTATGATTCATTGCCAATAAAACGAAAATCTGATATCAAGGATGGCATATTTGTCTGTTTCACCTTCTGATACAACCAGTGAAAGTCAAAGAAAAGTCGAAGAAGTTCTTCCCACATTTGCGCTGAATTTAAATGAAAAGGGAGAAAATTGAAAAAGTAATTCCTATTTCCTATAAATTTGTCCCATTCACGATTTTCACATCGACTGCGAAGTATTTTCAAGAACGACTTTTGCACATGTTTAAATCTTTTTCCCAGTGTTGCTTTGGCAAAATCCATAAGAACGTCATGAATACGAAAGCTGTTTTGTGTCGATCCTTAAAACAAAAACATCAAAATCTGTTCATTTGACTGTAAGAAAAAATCTGGATTTGACAATATTAATCCATTGCATTGGATTCTATTGATTATTTTCCCGGTTCTTAATTAAAAAAAAAAAACACTAAGTAAAATGCTTTAGAAAAAAGTTTACCAAGTTACACCAATAATCAAACAAATGGAATAACATTTAGGAGACAAGATAACCTAGTATATTTTAATGTGCGCAAATGTACATACTTATATAATGGCATCTCACCTTTTTGAAGTAGAGACTTCTTCTCGAGCGATCGTAATATATCTCTTCCTTTTCTATCGCTATCCAACACTTTCCGGCTCTCATCTTCTTCTGGTTCTTCTGTCCAGAACATAATAAGTATGTCAGAAGGCAAATCTGTGTCTTCAGGAAAAATAGCGAAATCAAGGAATTTCTCTTTTTCTAGTTCTTTTAGTCTTTCAAAACTAACGAGCATGGCTTTCAATAGATTGTCATGAGGATAACGGTCTTTAGAGAAATTTGATCTCAATTTCTCCAAGTCGGCGTTTTTAAAGTCATCTAAGACGTCCTGCCAATCTTCTTCTGATTTGGAATCGATTAAGATCGAACCCACCAGAGTCAAAGCAAGTGGCAAATTCCGACATTGATCTAAAAGCTCTTCTACGATTTGCTGCATGTTCGTACCAGACAAGAATTTTTCATTAGGTTCTACATGTGCTGTCAAATATAGAAGAGATCGTGACTCATCCTTTGTCATATGTTTTAGGTCATACACTGCAGAAGAAATCAAGCCATGAAGGACGTCGGCATCTCTTGCCGTTATTAACATTTGACATTTCCCTGAGAGACTATCAAAAACGTTAGCATATTCAACATTCCATACATCATCAAGGACGACTAAGGTGCTTTCATTTACCTTAAAATATAAAGTATGGTTTGTAAGGTGAATGTGATATGAACTTTTTTCATTTTTAATTTTCAATGTTTGTCTACATAACTTTAAACGTGCTCACGAAACTAACTGACTTTTTGTTATTAAATGATATTTTTACTGAAAAGAACCTTTAAAATGACAGTAGGTTTCTTAAAAAGTTTCTGCAGATCTATTTGCTTTCTCAACATATTCGGTTTTGAATGTACAGCTTACTCAAATAGTGACGTCACAATGTATAAGGAGTTGCACTTACTGAGTAAAACAACAATTTTCTTTGTAAGAAATGCTTATGGCTTGAAAACAAGTTAAAAAGACAATTTTATGCAGTAACTCACAGGATTATTTCTCAGCCATGTTTGAGCAGTGTTGATATTGCTGAACGATTCAGTTCCACCCAAAGTCTTGATAAGAGTGTTTACCAGTGTTAGACAATCAGGATTTTGACCTACATCAAGCCATATAACCTGACGAGTATGTGAAACAGTCCAAGCTACATCCAGGGCCAGAATAGTCTTTCCCAGTCCTCCCATACCGCGAATTCCAACAATGCTTATGCTTTGTCCTGCAACGTCTCCCATCCTACTGTCTTCAACCGTTTTAACAGGTGAATAATCTCCTCTACTTTTTTGGGTCTCTTGATCATATTTCGTGGGAGATTTCTTAAACCATATGACGCTACGAAAAATCAACAATTGGACAAAATTAGAACATAATACATTTGAACAAAGATTTAAAATTTCTGTAATGTATTAAAGCATTAACGGAGTATTCAGCATTATCTCTAATTAAATTAAGAAAAATCTTTCAAAGTCCATATCCTATACATTGTCTTTGATACAAATGCTGACTTGTTTAAGTATGGCTATTTCTTAATATCGGCAACAATTAACGCTCGCTTGTAGGTAACGTCAACAATGATGTATGACGGTGAACTAGCTCTAGCCATCAAGCATATTATGTGAATAAGAGTTTTATCATCAACTTCAAACCTTTTACAAACGAGCCACCATTTTCAATGAATTTATCGATGTGCTCGATCAAGTGTTTCTTGGAGCAATATTGCATAAGCTCTTTCAGCTTTGATAATTTTTTAGGAGAGATAATGCAATTTTCAAACAAGGCCTGAAAAATATCTAATGCACAAATCTTTTCTTTAGGGGAGGTACTGGTATCCGGGGGCACACATTCTTGCAAAAATTCATTCATTTTTTGTATAACTTGATCTCCTTCAAATTCATTTGACAGCTTCACAAGAAGTTTTCTGAATGATGTAATTTTCTCTTTAGAAGGGCCTGAAGTTCCAAGTGATAGAAAATTATTTTGAGTAATCAAACACAATACTTTACTACTTTCATAAAATCTGCAAATTAAAAAGTCGTACCTCCCTGAACTTCAAATTTTGTACGGACTTTATCAGCAACATTGTTCAACGATACTGCATCAAGAATCTCAGCAAATAGAAATGCTTCGTTCTCTCCAGGCGTATCTTTGTTAAGTTTGTTTTCATTTTCGAGCTTTTGTATCAAATCAAGAAATGTCTTATTATCATGAATACTAATGCCTGAAGTTAGATCGCAGAGCAAAAATTTCATCTGTCTTAATTTGTCTTTAGTTATATGTCCTGCTATCTCCAAGCAAACCTTCGTGTATATTTCACAGAATTTATTGTTGTCTCCGTGATAACTCATGATAGCACTTTAGTTTGTTTGTTAAAAACTTGAGATCAAGTGCCTGGTGGTCGCTGTGAAATTTGTAGATCTTGTTGTGAGATTCTAAGAACAAAATTTGTAAATGAAAGTACAAAACAAATTACTCGCGACTTGTGTAAAGTAATACACGACAGGCAGAAATAACCTTGTTGATAACAGATTTTTGAACAGCTTTTGTGTCATTTCTGTAAGAGTTGTTAATGTTGATGTACTCAGTATTTCGTGCACAACTATAGCTACTAATCTTGTCATAAAAATACACTGAACGAGTACACAACGACGAATACACGGTCAAAATACAAACGTTAGGAAGACCGGAACTTCACTTTTCTGTCTGTTTTGCAAATGATATTCCTTCAGTTCAGTACTCACATATCGTCCCTAAATTTGATTCTTCCAGTTCTCCGAGGTCCAAAATAATGTTGTAGTGTTCGTAATGCACTTTGATTCTTTTGTTTAGTTCGGTCAAAGCTGCATAAACATGAAATCTTTTCTGAAAATCGGTTTTACAAGAAATGTACTTCGTGGAAAAGTTAACCTCATGACCCAAACAACCACATGATGCGTTAATGAAGTTGGTAGCTATTCTTTATAATTCATATTTGCGCATGATCAATTTATGTTGTGCTGTTAGAAATATGGAAGGCGTGCTCCTTTAGGCTTTATCTTGATTTGAGAAATCGGACAGTGAGAGTTGATAAGTAAGAGTTGTGCTGTGAAAGCTGGGCTGTGAGATTTGGGTTGTAAATGTTATGATATGAGAGGTGGTCTAGAAAGTTAGGCTGAGAGAGTTTGTCTATAAGTCTTACAGCTGCAAGAGGTGATTCCACAAACCTTGATCAGAATTTAGTTTAAAAGATTTCCTTGAATTTAAGTTTACAAGATGTCCTTTTTCAGATTATGTTTTATTTTATGTAAGAGTTGATCGAATTATAGAGATTTTTTCTGTAAAGATTGGATTGTTATGATTTCATTGTAGCAGTGATTTATAATTGAAAAGAGCATATTAACAAAGTAGCATGAGTAGCATGAGGCTGAGTCTGTACATTTTTCGAAATCGAGATTTTAACACCTTTAATTTAAGGCTGTGACGTAAATTTTACCATCTGTTGTCGTCATATTACCATGGAACATTCGATTCATTAGGAAGGAAAATTGATATCCCTAACGTTTGATAGACTCTAACCCCAATATCATTTTACATGTCTGTTTCAAACGTCTGAAGCTCTCGCAGTGATTGTTTTGAGAAACGAAAATGTATTCACCGTTGTTTCTAACAATTGCGTAAGTAGATATATTTTGTCAGGAATGCGTATTTTGTCAAGTTTATGGTTTACGAACAAACTTTGAAAACGATGAAAATATTTATGCCCTATTTTTGCCTGTCATCGCAATTAGCAGTTGGGGAATTTATATTTTAAAGTGTTGTTATTTACCATTAAACCCTTGAATTGAAACTTTTAAGGTTGGTATTTCAAACTCCGTTTTTGAGCATCGCCACCATAGTTAAAAGAGGTAGGTTTATTATGCGTATTCACGTTCAATGTATTGCCAAATTTTTTCTTTATCAATATTTATATGGAATAGTGATCGTGACTGAGATAATTTTACGTGAATGGTAACTGTAGGAAAACTTACTCTTATAAAAGTGTCAGTTAAAGTTTTCGTTATGGTAGATTTGTAAGTCTGACCAGAGCAAGGTAATTTGAAAGAAATGGGAAGTGAATCTATGCCACTCTATATAGCAATGAAACATGTACAGCTACTCCAAAATAGGATTTGAATCAATGATTTAGTTTATTCATTTATAATTCATATGTCACTCACGTTCAACTGTTATTTAAAGGTGAAGAATTATTAATAAATAAATATTCCTTGGGACATGTTTTCATTATCAATCATATGTATAGTTTTCATCCAGCTACTGAAATATGATCTACAAAGTATTTAAAACCCACAGTTTTCGTGCGTGCGTTTTGTCAAATATTTATAGGAAGTCTTTTTATTCACGCCCGTGTTTACTCCACTTGATATTTTAAGGAAAATGTAATTTTAAAAAACGTGCATATTAATGCTACACATGCAAGCCTCTTCCAAATTACATATCATTTAAATTAGTCCAAAATAAATTTGAGTTCAATATACAACTTCAATTTAAAGATATAATTTGTGGACAAAGACATCGTGATGCTCCAGGAATCCTTAACAGTCCTAATTATCCAGAGGAATATCCTGCCAGCACCGACTGCTCATGGACTATATCTACCACAGCAGGAAAAATAATTACTCTGAAGTTTACGAAATTCTCGGCAAGTGTGCCCCATAAATAGATTTTTTCGCTGTGATTACAGATCCCGGTTTCACAGTGACGATTATAGAATGATGCATTTATAAGATTTGAGCACATTTTTAACTTACTTTCCAAACTAAAGACCAAAAGCTTCCAACTCTGTTGGTGATAATTGATGATCCGGTTTTATATGAAAATAATTGTGCGATCTTCTAAAGTTTGATAACATCTATAATTTTTGATTATTTCTTAGCTTGAAGCTCACCTCGATTGTTCATATGATTACGTGAAAGTTTATGATGGTGAAAGCCATAATGATGAATTGATTGGAAAATATTGTGGGAGTAACATCCCCGAGAAGTTAGTCTCGTCAAATTCCAAAATGCATATCGTATTCCATTCTGACAGTGGAGTGGAAGCTCCAGGATTTTCAATGAAGTTTTCATCTTCGTATGGTAAATTGTAGCTACATGATTTGTAAACTATCGCGAGGCGAATGGTTAACGATTATAGTTAGATGAATCATAAACTATAACCATAACTATCACCAGATAATAGGTAGACTATAGCTAAATGAATCGTAAGATGAATGGCTATTGATGAATCGGTGCACTATATATAGCTAGATGAATTGTAGGCTAAGTGGGCGTTGTAAAATGAATGGGAAACATAATCTAGTTAGCAAGATAAATTGTGAATTATAGCTATAAAAGCAAATTACATATGGACAAAAATACACTGGTCTGGTAACTTTTTTTCTATAGGCTGTGATCACTACTTGACGCAAAATTCTGGCGAAATGTTATCCCCCAATTTTCCTGCAACACACCCTCAACCAACTCAGTGTAACTATCTTATCAACGTCACAACTGGTTCAACAATCAATCTGACTTTTGTGGAGTTTGATCTAGAAAAAGGTTCTGGTATTAAACCAACATTATAGCTCAGCATTCAACGCACCTTGCATAACAATTTTTGTGTTGTTATCTCTGCATGATATTTACGCGACTTTAAACTCATGTTTTGTTTTCAAACAAGGTAACGGTAACGATTGTCAGTTTGACTATATTGAAGTATTTGATGGTCCTTCACCTCACTCAACAAAACTGGGAAAATTCTGTGGCAATGTCAAACCTAAAGTAAAGCGATCATCTGGACATATGATGTTAATCCGATTTTATGCGGATGCAACTGTCCCAAAAAACAGGATTTCGAATAAAATATTACGCCAAAGAAAAAGGTTTGGTTTATTGAATAACTATTGTTATGTAATGGTTAAAAACCTCGGTAATTTCAGCTCAAGGTAACACGGATGATCTTCAATATCCTTTAAGCTACTGCTTATTTAGTGTTGCAGTGCTAATTTTCTTGCTTTATTTGAGCACCCTGTGCTAACATTGGTATTCAACTATGCACGCATGCCCCCTCTACTTCCTAATTTCTACCTTGATTTTACCTTTCTCTAAGGGCATTACCTCTGTTCTTTGCATGGAGTTGAGCCACCTCTCTCCCTCCCCTCCTTGTCTATGCCACAGACTAAGACTTGTGGTCTAGCTATACGATATACTTTCCCTACATGTGTTTTGTGCTATAATTTTATTTATAAAGTACGACTGTAAATCTTTTTGATTACTAGAAGTTGTCCTAAGTGATGTTTGCAGCAGACCAAAATACACTGGTGATTGTCGTGCTGGATTTGATAGATGGTTTTATAATGCTGCAACAAAAAGATGTGAACGATTTATCTACGGCGGTTGTAACTCGAATGGAAACAATTTCGAAACAAAAAGAGAATGCTTGAAACGATGTCATGGTATAAAGACTTACTTGCCAGATTGAATTTATTCATTTTTATGATAATTTTTTGTTTGCAAAAGATATCTATAAGTAATAGGATGGCATTAAAGTTGATCAACTTAATGACAACGTAATGACACCTAATGTTCAAACGTTAGGTCAAATTTTCTAAATGTATCTATCCTGTTGTATCTTGCATATGAAATTATACTTTTCAAGGTAATCATGATGTTGCCTAAAATAATAGCTATAGCCGTAACTTAGCTTAGCTTAAGGTTCATCTTGTCTGCAATGTCAACCCCGGAAGTTAATCCCGAGAGAAACAGTAAGAAATATCACAAAACGAGGGATTCATATGGACTTAAGACAAGGTTTTTACCTTCAAATAAATGTTTTTGCCATAGAAACCTCCCACGATTTTAATGAATGTTCCAGAGAAAATGGACGATGTGATCAATCGTGTCATAATACATTAGGAAGTTATTTTTGTTCATGCTGGAAAGGATACAGACTTGGTGATGATCAACACACTTGTGAAGGTTTCTTAAAAAAATTATTCTTTTATTTATGGTCAAGTGTATTCTAGCAATAAAACTAAGTACTTTAATTACATAATTACATAGTTATTTAACATCTATCTTAGAAAACTATAAATAGTGCTTCTCTCAGAAAAATAGAGAGCAACAATTGGGAAGGAAAGTTCTGCAAAGGATAAAATTTTCTATTATTGATATAGTTTAACAAACATTTTTCCAAGCATTTCTTCATCAGCCAAACAGATTTTAATAATTTATGGTATCATTTACATTGTACCTTTTTAAAGAGTGTTTGCTTACATTACAAAAGACGCATTGTCGTCTGTTACTCGATTGATTGAAAGACCGACATGAAAATGTACGGAAATGTGTAAACTGTGTAAAGTTCTTGGTTTACGAATTATCTAATTTCGTCTAGATTTGGATGAATGCTTACAAGGTCGTGATGTCCATCATTGTCAACAAAACTGTACTAACATGCCTGGATCTTACTACTGTACATGTCAAAATGGCTTTATACTCAGTGCAAACGGACGAACATGCATTGGTATGTTACAACTTATAATTTGCATGCATTGTATCAAAGAAATTAAAATAAGGTAAAATCACTTATGTGCTGCATTAAAATAGAAAATCAAATGTGTTTAAGTGTATGGTCCATTTATTCATGTCCACATTCAGAATACCAATTTGTTTTTTACTGCTCATTGACGTTTCTGTTTCATTAACAACGTAACCTTGAGGGGGGGGGTCTTGGGGAGAGTGTAAGCATTTGCAAATGTCTTCAATTTGTTGTTATAAGAAAACGATTTCAAGCGCAAAACGAATTGTTAGGACAAATATAATTGCATTTAGTAGGCTATTATATGTGATATAGTTGACAACTGCACTGTGCTATTTCGTTAAAGAATGAAATGCACTATATGATTAAAATTGTTTACTTGCAACTCGTCGTCATTGTTAGTCGACAACATGATTAATACCGTGACCACAGCAGCCACAACACAAAATATATATGTAATAATGATAAATAATTATTGCTTATAAATAGAGAATTAAGTGTGAGATACCTTCTAAAAAAATTGAAGTAATTGCTCGAATTCTGCAAGTCTAATTGTCAATTTTTCCTTTCAAGCATGCATTTATCACAGCTAATGTGTAATCATTTAAAATAATAAAATTTTAGATATAAATGAGTGCGTAACAGGTGGAAATACATTGTGTCAGCAAGATTGTATCAACTTACCTGGAACCTATCAATGTTCTTGCTATGATGGCTATGAATCGTACCCTGGCAGACCAAAAGAATGCAAAGATATTAATGAATGTGAAAAGGATTTGGATGATTGTCATAACTGTACTAACACAGATGGAAGGCAAGCATTGATCTCATTTTACTAAAATTAATTTATCATTATAGAAGTTTATGCTTGGGGTCAATGCATGGGGTTAATTTATGAGTTGCTGTTTTGCTAAAGAACACATGCGCACAATCCATACGTATGCTCGGGTCACTGGGTTGATGTTGATTTATGACATGCTGTTTTGCTAAAGAACACATGCGCACAATCCATACGTATGCTTGGGTCACTGGGTTGATGTTGATTTATGACTTGCTGTTTTCCTGAAGTGTTCACGCTCAAAATCCAATCACGTATCATTCATTTGTGACATACGTATTTTGTCCAGCAGCACATGCGCACAGTTCCTAAGTATCGTTGATTTATGACAGGGGTCTCCAAACTTTACAGCCAGAGGGCCACATGAACTTTCATCCAGCTTGTTGAGGGCCGACGAATCGTACACCGCTGGTCAAAGAGCGAATATTTTAATAAAACGAAGTACATAACACAAGCTTCATTAGTTAAGAAAATATTATTCAAAATTTAAAGGTTAAATTTCAACCAAGTGTAATATCATAACAAAATCACAATTAGTCTGTTCAGTTTTCTCAATGTGAGTGTTGAAATTGGCTTTCTTAAGTGTCTCTGCGGGCCGGATTGAGAGGCCCAACGGGCCGCATCTGGCCCGCGGGCCGTAGTTTGGAGACCCCTGATTTATGACATGTGTGTTCTCTAAATTAGTATATCCATAAATTTTCTGTTTTATAATTTACTTTTTATTATAATTTAGCTACGAGTGCACATGTAGATCAGGCTTTGCTTTGAGTGAAGACAAAAAGTCGTGCTCTGATATTGACGAATGTCTCATAGACAATGGAGGGTGTTCACAGATATGTATAAATACACCTGGAAGCTATGAGTGTAAATGTCAAGACGGTTTTTATTCGTTAGATATCGCGTGAGTATACCAAGGAAATAATCTTTTATCTTTTAAACATTTCTTCAATTTCTCCTCACATCTACTCGTGAAATGATTGCGTACTAACATACCCGGGCTTATATAAACATTTCAAAAAGTACATTTAAACTTTAACATGGGCACTATATATGAACAAACTCACCGTCATTTCACATTTCTCAAATATTGATTTTTAAAACTAAAACGTAGTTACAGAAACTGTCTATAAAAATGAAAAATTACTTTTATCTATCAGGATTCTTTTTTACAACGTATCTGATTGGTGGGACAATCTTATTTTCAACTCAACTCTTAGGTCCATCAACTGTCAAGATATTGACGAATGTATTGATAATAATGGTAATTGCTCACACGAATGTCTCAACTCCATGGGATCATTTAACTGTTCCTGTCCCAGAGGCTATGTACTAAAAGATGAACATATCTGTCTTGATATCAATGAATGCATAACAGCACCGTGCTCTCACAACTGTTCAAACACAAACGGAAGCTTTTTTTGTCTCTGTGAAGAAGGTTTTCATATCAGTGATGATCGTGTAACTTGTGTAGGTAAGATCGAGCTCCTAGAAAATGAAATCGTTCTCAGCAGCTGGACAGTTGTATGCAGTGTATAATTGCGCATGAATTTAGGACGAGATGTAGAAATTACCTTTTGGTAATTTTTCTTACTTTAGAGCATGGCAAATGCCACTTGGCTAATCAGCGTCCAATATTTTGATATTCTATATCTAATACTGTCTAAAATTTATCTAGTGGTGTGGGCTTTGAAGCTCAGGGAAATTGCGCGATTAAAGCCAAAACAATGGAATACAGCAGCTCATCACTATCTAAATCTCATTATACTTTGTTCTATAAATCTAATTATTGAAATCTCATGCGAGAATCTGTAAATCTTGTATTCTCGAAATTTTATCTAAGGCTTGCGAATCCCATAGAACACACGTGATAATGAACTTTAATGAACTTTAATGACTAACAATAGGTACTCCCTATAGGGCTTTTCAGTAGCTATTTACAAAATTGAATACATATACATATTTGTCTTATAAATGTATGTAAAAAAGATTATTATTAAAAGGATTTTAAAGATAAAAGTAACATTACAAGATGGAACTACAAAAGATCTTTTAAAGCTTTCTTAAAAGAATCAAGAGACTTGGAATTTTTCACATCTTTGTTCTGATAAAACTTAAACCCTCACGTAAAAAAACTTCCATCATCAAAAGCTAATTCTCGATCGGTTAGGTAAAATACATTATAGCTGCTATACTTTTGTACTCAAAATACTTTTAAAAGGCTATTAATTTCAGAAGAATAACATCTTACAAATGGATTGGTTGTTGTAATTTACTGTGCCTAAAGCTAGACCCGCCATTTTCTAGTTCTAACATCAAATCTATAAAATTTGTTTTTACCTTAGATACAAACGAATGTGAAGGAAACAGTTCATGTGATCAAATATGTATAAACAACAATGGAAGGTAAAATATTGTATCGCTTTAGCGTGTTTTCTTTAAAGTGACTTACAAATTACCTTTTCCAACTGGAGCATTATTCATATTTTCTGTGTACTTTTTAGCTATACATGTGAGTGTCATGACGGATATAGATTGCTTGACGATGAAATGTCTTGTGTTGGTAAGTGAAAATGCATCTTGAAGTTGCATACGCGTTTGCTATGGTAAATGAGACCTAAAGTAACTCAGCCGTAAAACGTCTATTCTAAACTGTATTGTGTTAAAAATTCATTCAATAACAAATGAAAATTTTTTGCAGACAATGGACTGTGCTTGATATGACTTAATGTAAACATATTTATCTTAGACATTGACGAATGTTTGGAAGAAACTTCATGTTGTGATACACAATGCGTTAATGAAGATGGAGGATATTCTTGTAGCTGTAACGATGGCCATTTCTTGTCCAAGGATAATTGCACTTGCAAAGGTAAAACTAATTTTACACGCATTCAAATGCTCAGTTGCGAACTTTGTGACAATTTTAACGCAGCGAAATGTCTATTTTTGTTTTGAGAGAAGATAAAAAACCGCACTTTTTTAGATACAAACGAATGTCTCCTGAATAACGGAGGATGTGATCACCTTTGCAATAATACGAAAGGAGGTTTCAGGTTGGTTCTGCGTTTATAGTGAACATATATATAACGATTTTTTTCATTTATAAACTGGGTCGTATAAATGTACGTTGATCTGTACATTTTATTTTACTCAGTTGTTCTTGCCATCCTGGATATCAATTGGATCCAACAAACTCGAGTCGTTGCATTGATATAAATGAATGTTTAGTGGTAGGTCTTGTAAAATGTATTTATTGGCCAGAAAACCAGCAAAGTTTATGGGAAGTGTAGATTTTAGATTATTTAAGATGATGAAAAAAGTTATGTGTTGACATTCATAGAGATGTCAGATGTATCGAAAAAAGCACTTGACTATCACATAAATGACGAGTTATATACATACCCTTCAAATGTCGAACAAAGTAATCTTGCTTTAATTTACTAAGATGATAATAAAATTAATCATTTGATAGGAAAATGGTGGCTGCTCTCAATTATGTAACAACACTATGGGAGGATACGAATGTCATTGTAGAGTGATGTATGATCTTGATTTGGACGGAAAGACATGCAAACGTAAGAAAAGCTTACGTAGTATATATGATGATTGTATTCTATTGTTGAATTGTATATTTTTGACACAGCAGTCAAATATTGTATACAAAAAAACTTTTATTTTAGATTGTCCTACGTGTGAAACATTTGGAAGTGCAGTCAAAATTATTGAGGAACTGCAAGCGGAGGTATGAGTTTGGCTTTTTTCTCGTCAGTTTCTTACAACAATAATATACACTGACGACAACCATCTTAATGACCATCAAAGCAACGATATTATTACCGAAGGTTTTCCGAATAGTAACATTTTCAATTATACGAAAAAGGAAGCTATGTTTTTTTTACGAAAATAAGACTGATGAGATATCATGAAATTATATTCAAAATTTTAAACTAATTCGGGTCCAATTTTTCACCTATGCAAGTTTAGCGTTCATTGTGCTTTAATATTGATGGTGCCATGACATGGTGTATATTATGTTAGGTAGCTGAAATTTGGTTCTATTGCAGGTTAAAGCCTTACAAAGACGGTTTTCTCAATTAACATTGAAAAACGACGAATGTTTGTATAAAGGAAAAACTTATAAGAACAGAGACAATTGGGATGACGGTGAATGTCGTCGTTGCTATTGTCAGGTTAGGTGAACTGGCTACTTAAGTATAATTTTGAGAGACTTAGGTTTCAGATTTTGTTATTCTGTGTTTTTTGAAGAATGGTCAAGTGCTATGTTTTCAAGAAAAAGATTGCTTTCAAGCAGGTAAAGTAAAAATTGATCACATGACCGATATCCAAAAATGCGAAAGGCTGCAAAAACAACCGTTTGTCTAACCAACAAAAAACCAAATTCTTTTATAGACTCTCCAGCACTATATCCCGCAGTGGGTAGCAGCAGTAATCAAAAGAAGTAAGAAATTAAACGAACAGAAATTCAAGTAGGTTTAATGTAGGTATAACAAAGCATTATATCAAAAAAATACCAGTATTACATTTAAAACTTTCTCTAAACAAACATTTCAAACAACAATCTTTCATCTCATAAGTCTTGCATTATTTTTAGACTATAGCCAGAAACAAAACAAGAAATGCAATATTAGATCTAGTAGAAGTAATCTTTTTTGTATTAGAGACAAAATTTGCTAATCATTAATTTTAATAGTATGCAGTAAGAATATATTTAGTAATTGTCAACATGATAATAGAAAATGATTTACAAGACAGAAAAAGTTTGATAAAAGATACATGCGTTTTGTAGCAGGAAATTGATATAAACCGGATTTGTTTACATCTTTTTGTGTGATGTTCCTTTTGCCATCAAATTTTTCAAACAAAAAAGCAAACACACTTGCAACAGCGTGAATGCTGGTGGCTCAAAGAAACAGACCTACACAGTAGCTACAAGTATGCAAACGCGAAGGATTAAGTCGGTAAATTTCGTTTGTAAGGATCGACACACATTTTAAGCATTGTCGACATCTTTAGTCGCTCGTAGTCAGTAGTGCGACTTTATAAACGTACTACTCACACAGCCAGGCAAGAATTATTTTTCATCTGCAGTGCTTATAACTTATGACGAAATTTTCTCTCTCAATGTATTTGTCAACATAACCATTCCAAAATCTGGAATGGGTCATGGATGTTTGGAAAATTATATATGCTACCTAAAAGTCCAATGTTGATCCTTGCAACTTGCAAAAGTTGTTGACGAAGCAAAAATTTGAAGCAGGTGTATAACAACTCAAAGTTGACAAAAGTGTAATGAATTTTATAAATTGACAGTCGAGTTGTAAAAAATAAGAAATTGACTGTCGAGATTAGACAATTGGTTGTTGAGAAAAAAATGTTATACCGGAAATGAAAATTGATACTTGAAAAAATGGAAATGATGTGTTGAGTACTTGACTGTTGAGAAATATATAAATTGATAGTCGAGAAAAAGAAATCGTATGTCGAGATTTTTGACTGTACTTAGTGGTCATCCGTTTATTGTTATTTTCATGTCTATATTGAGTGCAAATTAATACGAACCTTGACATCTTCATATACGTCGGAAGTATTGCCGGATATACACAAAGTAACATCCCCCCCAAACCAGACATTTCGATGTTCTACAAGAACTCACGGTTTAAGTTGCAGGAGGAGACGACAGGTTCTGTTGTTTAAACTATCTTCATTAAGTTCATTTTATCGTATTGGATTGTTTGTCAATAATGATATTTGTTTGCTCAAAATCAAGATGTTATAGAGTAATTTTCTTTCTAATAATGCCCATAATCGTTGGAATATTCTCGCAATCTCTACCAAACAGTAAGTTTTCTTTGATTCATGCTTCTTATTTTAGACTTCTAGATAAAATAGCAAACGCCAAATTTACCAAAGAAAAAATATTCTTTACAATGACGAACACTACTTGCTTAAGGTTTAACACGTCTGTTTTAACATTTTTCTTAACACTGCACAATGCTATTTCTTTGTGTATTTGTTATGCTCATACAGTAATAAAGGCGTTCTTAAACTATTGAAAAATAAACGATGTGAAAGGATTTTCTCTTTTCACTTTCGCTTTCAATAGCCAGTCTGTCATAGGGTTTAGAACATATGGACCTTTCAATCTTTCGATTATGACCTTATTAGAAGCCAATAATGTCGACAGTGTTGCCACTGGAATATTTCATATTTCACTATATTTGTGATCAAATTTCAACAACACACAAAGACTGTCTATATTTTTAATTAAATAAATTTGTGATTAGTATGGCCACGCATTTTTTACTGTATTATGAACTTTAAATTCATCTACATTAAGACAAAATTCCACACTGTTAGGCTGTTGCTTTTCAGTCTGCACTCAGATTTGTTATGACACAAAATTCATGTTGTTATTTTCAGCCTTTACTTTTAACATAAAACAAATCATTTTGTGACCCAGGATACCAGCTACTTCGTGCAAGCATGACATTTGGAAACTATACTTGTCTCTGTAGATAACTACGAGTACAAAACAGACACACACTTAAGTTCGATCGGCTAATCTTATATTTTGCATTTTAAGTGCACTTATCATTTTGACTACAGGAAACGACGTGCGCGAATCAAAACATAATTATAAATATTTTTGCATTATCTAAAACTACTCAACAAATTGATTCTCCGTAATTGAGACCCAAGCAAAAGCGTTGTTGACCGTTTTGTTATACAACAAGTTAGTTGCATAACAAAAAAAATTCAGCAAAAAAAATTATTTAAAAGTTTTTACTGTAATTGCGAGTGCTGAGTTGGTACAAACTTCGAAACGGGCACAGGTACAAGTAAATTTCACTTTGCAGAACATATTTCTATTAAAATGCTTAGAAAATAAAGTTATTGTATGGAGAACTCAATGCTGTTATTTTTTAATGGCAATTTACTAATTTTTAGTTGTAAATTATAGACATAGGACTAAAGCTACGTTTTTCTTTTCATTCAAAATTTGAAAAAAATAAGCCGCAAATTCACTATCTGTTTGTTGTGCAATTCTATTTAACTCTTTTTATCTTATCCACTCCTGGTATAATTCAATATGTAAACGAATCCGGTCAGGGACGGATCCAGCAATTTTCGTGACTGATGCACCACTGCGAGCGCCAAAAGCGCTAGCTCTGTAGGGGGTCTGGGAGGATGCCCCCCCCCCGGAAACTTTTTATATTTTAGACCTTCGGAAATGCGATTTCCTGCGTTTTGACAACAGAATTTTTAAAAAAACTTGGCTTTACTTAGTTTGTAAGCTTTTCGCAAATTTCAATGATATAAAATCTAAAATTCCACTAACCTTTTAACATTTTCATTACTATTATCAGATTTATCAAGTTTCATACTTTCGCCAAAACTTACAATCAGAAAGGCATCATTCCAATCCACGAGTGATTTTGAAAAGGTAGAAGCATCGCACATTTTTTGTCGTGAAACGCAAAGAAACCTTTTATATCTTACAATTGAAGCACAAGTTTTTGACCATTAATCACACTTGATACCACTGGTCCAACAACAGCAAAAAACGATACGTAGATATAGCAAAGAAATGTTCACGATGTAATCATCGTACTAAAGGCAGGCAACAAGTAATGATAAATGTTATTCTTCTTCTTTCATTGATAATATCACTCCTCCAACAGCAGAAAAGATACGTAGATATAGCAAAGAAATTTTCACGATGTAATCATCGTACTAAAGGCAGGCAACAAGTAATGATAAATGTTATTCTTCTTCTTTCATTGATAATATCACTCCTCCAACAGCAGAAAAAGATACGTAGATATAGCAAAGAAATGTTCACGATGTATTCATCGTACTAAAGGCAGGCAACAAGTAATGATAAATGTTATTCTTCTTCTTTTGTTGATAATATCACTCCTCCAACAGCAGAAAAAGATACGTAGACATAGCAAAGAAATGTTCACGATGTAATCATCGTACTAAAGGCAGGCAACAAGTAATGATAAATGTTATTCTTCTTCTTTCATTGATAATATCACTCCTCCAACAGCAGAAAAAGATACGTAGATATAGCAAAGAAATGTTCACGATGTAATCATCGTACTAAAGGCAGGCAACAAGTAATGATAAATGTTATTCTTCTTCTTTCATTGATAATACCACTCCTCCAACAACAACAGAAAAAGATACGTAGATATAGCAAAAAAATGTTCACGATGTAATCATCGTACTAAAGGCAGGCAACAAATAATGATAAATGTTATTCTTCTTCTTTCATTGATAATACCACTTCTCCAACAGCAGCAGAAAAAGATACGTAGATATAGCAAAGAAATGTTCACGCTGTAATCATCGTACTAAAGGCAGGCAACAAGTAATGATAAATGTTATTCTTCTTCTTTCATTGATAATATCACTCCTCCAACAGCAGAAAAAGATACGTAGATATAGCAAAGAAATGTTCACGATGTAATCATCGTACTAAAGGCAGGCAACAAGTAATGATAAATGTTATTCTTCTTCTTTCATTGATAATATCTCCTCCAACAGCAGAAAAATACGTAGATATAGCAAAGAAATGTTCACGCTGTAATCATCGTACTAAAGGCAGGCAACAAGTAATGATAAATGTTATTCTTCTTCTTTCATTGATAATATCACTCCTCCAACAGCAGAAAAAGATACGTAGATATAGCAAAGAAATGTTCACGATGTAATCATCGTACTAAAGGCAGGCAACAAGTAATGATAAATGTTATTCTTCTTCTTCATTGATAATACCACTCCTCCAACAACAACAGAAAAGATACGTAGATATAGCAAAAAAATGTTCACGATGTAATCATCGTACTAAAGGCAGGCAACAAATAATGATAAATGTTATTCTTCTTCTTTCATTGATAATACCACTTCTCCAACAGCAGCAGAAAAAGATACGTAGATATAGCAAAGAAATGTTCACGATGTAATCATCGTACTAAAGGCAGGCAACAAGTAATGATAAATGTTATTCTTCTTCTTTCATTGATAATATCACTCCTCCAACAGCAGAAAAAGATACGTAGATATAGCAAAGAAATGTTCACGATGTAATCATCGTACTAAAGGCAGGCAACAAGTAATGATAAATGTTATTCTTCTTCTTTCATTGATAATATCACTCCTCCAACAGCAGAAAAAGATACGTAGATATAGCAAAGAAATGTTCACGCTGTAATCATCGTACTAAAGGCAGGCAACAAGTAATGATAAATGTTATTCTTCTTCTTTCATTGATAATATCACTCCTCCAACAGCAGAAAAAGATACGTAGATATAGCAAAGAAATGTTCACGATGTAATCATCGTACTAAAGGCAGGCAACAAGTAATGATAAATGTTATTCTTCTTCTTTCATTGATAATACCACTCCTCCAACAGCAGAAAAAGATACGTAGATATAGCAAAGAAATGTTCACGATGTAATCATCGTACCAAAGGCAGGCAACAAGTAATGATAAATGTTATTCTTCTTCTTTCGTTGATAATATCACTCCTCCAACAACAGCAGAAAAAGATAAGTAGATATAGCAAAGAAATGTTCACGCTGTAATCATCGTACCAAAGGCAGGCAACAAGTAATGATAAATGTCATTCTTCTTCTTTTGTTGATAATATCACTCCTCCAACAGCAGCAGGAATGTGTAGAGTGCAGACGTGCTATAAAAATATTGAAAACGTTAATCAGGTGAATCAAGGTCACTTATCTTCAAAAATATCAACAAACTGCATCCTGGAAGGGTTTTGCCTGGCAAATGTGCCGATAATCTCTTCCACATCAACGCTAACGTCATTGTTAATATGCATCATAGCGAGACCGTTCAATCTTTTGTTTGACATAGTGCTTCTCAACCACGTTTTCATTCGACGTAAGGCCGAGACTGTGCGCTCACATTCACAAGTAGTAACAGGAATGACAGCGAGAATTTTCAGAGCAGCGAAGATATTAGGAAACGCCGTATCATTGCAGTTATTTAGAGTATCAGCAATGTTGTCGTATTCTACGTTTTCATAGCCATTCTTCCAGCTCATCTCCCACAACTCTAGCTCTGCGTGAACAGCGCGAAAGTTTGGCATATCATCTTTGTAGGCAGTTAGGAATTTCATGAACTCGCTCTTCCAGTTAACACCTTCGCAATGAATGAAATTGTGAGGGATAACATAAAAGCCATTGTAAAGATTACACGTTTCCGTTGGAAAACGAGATCGAATTTCTTCAATGACATGGTCAAGAAGAGGAATAGTGAGTTTGACTCTGTAATAATCGCGTAGTGTTGTAACTTTAAAGTTTTCTCTGTTTGTTTGCCTGTTGCATATCCGAGGCATGGACTCGGGATTGACGAGCTTTACTTCATGAGCTAGCTCAAGAGCAGTGTCATAAAAGATGTCGTGGTAAGTGGCAGCAGAAGAACGTAACCTGACAAGTTCATCTTTCAAAAGGTTAATCAATTTGATTGACTGGAGGATGTCGATTTTCCGTTGTTGTAACTGAACAGTCAAAGGTAACGTATAATCTAAAATATTTTGAGTTATGACCAAAGAAACAATAAACTCAAAACTCTCAACGTTCCGAAAATGGGCTTGTGCATCACTGGTTGCATCTTTGAACTCATTGTTGCAACCTCCAAACTGCATGTAATCCAACGCATTGTAAATCACAGCATATGCATCCAGAAAACCATCAAGAGATTTTATTCGCTCTACCCAACGAGTTGTGGATGGCGACTTCAACTTTTTGAATTTCAAGCCGTATTCCATCATTTTTTCGCTAAGATACTGTGAACGTTTTGGAGAGCTGCTGAAGAAGGACGTTATCTTTTGAGCTTGACCCAACATGTTTTTTTACTGGCAAAAGTGAGCAAGCTTTGGCAACAACCAAGTTTAGCCGATGACTGGAACAATGAACATATAGTGCCTTCGGATTCTTCTCAAGTATACGACCACATACGCCCTTTCTTAAACTGGACATTGCACTAGCTCCATCGTATCCCTGACCTCTGCAATTTATAAGAGGGAGCCCAACGTTGTTTAATGTCTGTTCGATATTTTGGGCCAAAGCAAGACCAGTCGTCCCATTTTTGCAGTCAACAAAGCAAATGAATCGTTCGTTAACTTGTTTGTTCTGATCGACATAGCGTAGAACAATGGGCATTTGCTCTATATTTCCACAATCTGCTGCTTCGTCAGCCAGAACTGAGTAAATGGGAAGATCACTGTCGTTAATGGCAGAAACAATCTTGTCAGAAATTTGCTTCCCACAAATGGTGACAAGTTTGTTTTGAATGGTCTTGGAACGATAAGTTGCAGTCTTCTTAGCCAGTTTAAAATGTTCCGCCAGTACTTTATCTCCACTAGAAATTCTGTAATCAAGGAGGGCTTGAAAATTTCCCGGATTACTTGATGAATAATGGCTAGAATCATCACGGTGACCTCTTAAAGCTAGATTTTGCCTGCCACATAAAATAACTGTCTCAACCATAGCACGCAGAATACAGCGATTGTACTTAATCCTTTTGCTGAGGAGACTATCAGCTTGCTCATTTATACCATCAGCATTCCCAAGCATTACTTCTTCAAAACAAGATGCACGCAGAACAGAGTCTCGGTGAACGGAAGATGCTCTGTCGTGATGTTCAAGCCTTTTCCCCGCGTTCTGCCAGTTGGTCAACGGTTCTTTAAAAAGATTGGTGAGTTTGTTACCATTGTGACTAGTCTCTTTTCCAAACAGTACACATGGCAGACAAAATGCACCATCATAGAGTTTAGAATAGCACAGCCATTTCCATTGATGGAGCCACTGTTGCGAAAACTTACGACGCTTTGATTTTACAGAGCCAAACTCACGATAAGGAAAAACAAAAGATGGCGGAGGCTTCCAATGATGTTGTAAAAGATTGAACTTTTTGTCATCATCAATATTTGCCAGACCAACAAAATTGCCAATATCTAAAGGATCAACTTCACTGACATCAAGCCTTTTCTTCTTATGCGATTCAGTTTGAGCTTCCATCAAGTTACGATCGCGTTTAAGTGTGCCTAAACATGAAGTTCGAGGTGTAATTTTTTGGGTTGCCTTTAACAATCCATAAATATTTTTTTAGATAATTGAATCTAAGCATGGTAATGCCAGTGCTATACTTTCCCAACCAAATTCATGAGACCAGCTTTTAAGGGGAGTACAAGTACGTACCTAATAGCTAATACTATGTGCCCTCCTAGCTCCATCAAAGTGCAATGGTGAGGACTCCTATACATAAGGATCAGGATGCACATATGCAAAAATAAAATACGGTCATGTAATATACAATGAAATATGTTAAAGTATTACAATATAGAACTGTTGCTCTAATATCTTTATGTATATTGGGTAAGAGAAGATTAAAAGCAATATTTCAACTTCATATGAAAGTCATTATCAAGCTAGGTGTGGAAGAAATAAGAAAGAATTGTTGTGGCTGAAATAATATGTAATTACAGTTTGCTTTGCTAAATTTCAGGGAGTTGACAATATTAGGCATGCAATATGAAAATGAAAAACTCTAATGAATAACATGGTTGGTACAGCATAGCTCTTACATTCAACACATTGCATAGCTCAGAAAGTTAGTATTTATAAACAAGCAAAATGTATGAAAAATGTGCCCTCTCTGTCTGTCACATTGAGCACATATTACAACATATTACATGGAATATTTATAAATCTATGAAATATCCTGAAGTAATGTCATATTAAATTATTACCTCCTGTATTTTTATGTATATTAAGTAACTTTGAAATCACAATATCCGTGTGAGCACAATTAGAGTAGAGATTTCTCCAGGAAGTTCGTAAGACTTCTGCCAGTGACTTTAATCCGAAGAAATCTCCAGTATAAATATGCAGGATTACCCAAATTCAAACATGTAGTAGTGAATAAAATGTTTTGTGATCTTATGTTACATGACATTTTATAAACTTGGCACAACAACATGCATAATTATGTGCACACTAGTTATGGCATAAATCCAAAGCATTGCATTATACTACTGGCTAAATTTCATTGAGCCAACAATATTGGACATGGAGTTTGAAAATTGACATTGTAAAATACAATACAGTAAATTTCCATTTAATAGATTAATGCAGGTCAGGATGCTTTGAATTTTAAATAAATGCAACAGGGAATAAACACCCCATGTGCCCCTTCCCATCATATTCCTAACATTAAAGAGAGTAAGCCATAAGCATTACATAAATACAAGTATAGACCTATAGCTATGCATTACAATGTCAAGCATAGTAAGCAGTAAGCTTCAACCTACTTACTTTAAAGCCCGCCAATTATCTCCCATGCTTAGGGATAAGCAACTCTTGGAATCTCGCCAGCTTTCCTTTCCGAAACAGGTCTGTTTTAGTCGGAATGGCAGCAGAGACTTTTGCTTCATAATCCTTTCTTACAGAAGAAATCTCACTGGTTTTACTGTCTTGAATCAATGAGCCAAGAGCGTAAATATGCCTACTTTCAGCCATGATGACTTCAAGATATAAATAAGCCAAATGCCATAGTCATGTAATTATAATTTTGAAGGTTTGAATTATAACGCTGGCTCAAGTGCACCAGTCAGAATGAAATTTTGGTGTTCGTGGGCTTAAGTGCAACAGTCAGCAGCGATTTCCCACCGTGACGTAGGCTAAAAAACAATGAAATTCGTGACGTTTAGGTGGTTCACTCGGCCAAAGAGACTCGGGACTGTTGCACCAACTGGTGCACTTTTTCCCCACCGTGACGTAGTGATTCACTATCTAGCCACCGTGACGTAGTAATACAAATTCAGCTCAGTGTAGCTGGGTGATGAAACAAATTTTCACCAAAAATGTCGACACATAAAAACGCCATATTTAGCGACGCATTTTTTAATAATGCGGCTGTAATCAATATGATACTCACATGTAAACAATCTACGAAGGCTTTTAACAATATTTCTCAATGATCAATCTACATCTGTTGTCAATATATTGTCAGTGTTAAGGTATTTAAAGCATTTAGAAACTATAAACGTTCCAATCTGATATATTTCAGGCATTTTGCTCGTATTGATTGTAAGTTATAATGTTGTGAAATATTCAATTTTTTGACTGATGCACTCGCATCAGTTGCACCACCCTGGATCCGCCCCTGAATCCGGTGTTGTTCAACTTTACGTTTTGTACTTCCACGCTTAGGAAAGGACGCCATTTCAACTCAAAACTTTTAAAATTACTTAAAAATTTTATTTTAAAGTTGCCGGTTGGTCAAAGCTCCATGGACAACAAATAATAACACAAGCTGCCATTTTTTCGACCCAGAAAATGGCCGCCACGCATGATCAACATCTTGGTTGACACACATTCTTTAATGTAATATTGATAGTCACTGCCGAAAGCATACATATCTGCCAAAGATTATGCGTCTAAAACTACACAAAAGCGTTTTGAAAGGTTTACGTACCACCTCCTAATGGTTTATATTTTCTTCATATTTTCTTCTGATTTGAGTTTTACTTGTTGTTATCTAACTATTTTATGTTTTTGAAGTTGTCACAAAGGAAACTGGAACTCAACAAATCTTTAAGTGTGATGTAAGCTTGACTGGCGACAGCACTGTGAAATTTTTTCGTAACAATAAGAAAATAATTCCTAGCGACAGAATCAAAGTCAACGGAACATTTCTCATCATGTCTGATTTAAAAGTGTTGGATGGTGGGCAATATTCATGTAAATTTGATAGTAAAAAAACAATTTTCTTGGGTTATCTTATTGTCCAACCAGGTATGTGTGTCAAAACATTAATTAATACTTTCTTTAGTATTTTTTGTGTTTTGTGTTTCTATTACACATACCGTACACAAATGAATTGAGTTGCCTCATAGTATATGCAACCTCTTCAAGGCAAATAATACGTTTTGTCTAAGACAAAAAGTAAAGTTGTGCTGTACTGCTCATTGGCTTTTATGTTTTTGAAACAAAATAAGATGTTCTTTCGATTATTTATCATATCTTTGACATAGACTTTGTTTGCTTTATGTAACTATTTTGTGTATATTTAAATTTTAAAGTGGATATGTTTTTTAAGACAATACATAACATGTTTTTGTCCAATGTTTTTGTAAAAACAATGGTATTTTCTTTGAATTATTCTACTATTTAAACAAATAAGGTGTGTCTAAATTATTTTTTTAATCCAATTTCAGCACTTGTTATCTTTTCTTTTTGCAGTAAAAAAATATAAATTTACGATTTATCCAGAAGATGTGACCAGTAAAGTTACTGAAGGTTCAAACTTTGAATTTCGTTGTGAGTATGGAAAAGGATCAACAAAAATTAAATGGTACAGGCGACGAAGACTAAATGGTACAGAAGTTGGGGATTATGTTCCTGAAAATCTTATTACTATTAGAACAACTCTTCAAAAAAGTTTTGAAGTGTATTGCATTCCAAGAGTGTCTATAAACGATGCAGGTGTTTACAGATGTGAAGTTGATGGAAAAAATAACAGGATAATTTCATCCAATATACGCATTCTAGAAGTCATAGGTAAGTTCAATTTTGTATCAAGCAAAATCATGCAAATTCTACAATGCCAAAAAAATTGAGTCCTTAATGTTCATTGGATGATTAGAATTACATTGGAATTTTGGATTTATTTATATACTAATAAGATAATGATTGCATTAATCGTGAAGTTATAACATTAAATAGAATTGCAGTTTTTCTTTTTGATAAATATCAGCTCTACTTTGTATTGAGCACTATTTTATTCATGATTGACGATTATACATGAACAGGAAAACGTTCCTATAGTAATCAGCGCCCAAGATCAGCAAAAACCTTTGGTTGAAATAGGTATTTGTACTTTGATTGGTTCATCTGACAGCAAAATTATCGCCCATCATGACTATGTTTAGGACGATAATTATGTTTCCAAGGGGCACTTTTGAAATATTTTGCGCGCGAAAATGACAACGCTAAAAAGCAATTGGAACACATAATTGTGTTAAATTATGGCATATGTTGTTACAGCTAATAATAAAGTTTTGCAAAAATGGGTCAAAGCGTACGCAAATGCTAGGCATCCAAATCTCGGATAATTTTACGTTTTTCCTTTTTTTACTACCTTACTTCAGTGTTGCCATATGAAATTTTAAAATATTCATGTTCGCTTACGTCAAAAGTTTACAAAAATGAGAAAAAGTTCATATTACATTTACATCTAATTTTTAATGTCGGAAGTTGACGGGAAACCTTGGAATAACTCGGGATCTCACAATACTACGAATTTGTTCACGATCTGGCTAAACTGTATTCTTTCATCAATTATTCAAGTTTGCATTAGTACTCAAATTTATGCATAGTGAAAAATTCAAAATATTCTGCAATGTGAAAGCTAAACGTTTGCTTGCGCAACAGCCGAATTTTATAAAAGTTTGTAAGTTAGAACAACATCTCGTTTTTTGAATAGCAATGACTATTTATCTGTGCCATTGTCGTGCGCAAGCAATTTCTAAAATGCTTCTCATAAACAAAATATTCACACCAAATATTATTATTATATTTTTGGTATTTTTACTGTCAGATGAACCAGATGAAGTCCAACTACCTATTTGCATCAAACGTTTTTGCAAGTCAACGCGCGTTAATATTTACTTATTAAGAAAATTTTAAAGTTTATGTTAAATTGTTGTCTTGCGTTACACCAAGCGTATGCGTTAAACAATGTATGCCAAGTCCTTGATACTCATGTGATGATTAAAATTACATTGGAATTTTGGATATATGTATATATATATATATATAGTAATATGAAAATAGCCCTGGATAAAAGAACGCTCAAATAGGTAGAGGGTAAGATAAAATAAAATAGAATTGACGAGTTTTAGCTGTCGCTACTCGGGGTTGCCTGAAGATTGCCTTACGGCCTGAAACTCCGAGTAGCGACAGCAGAAAACTTGTCAATGCTATTTTATTATATATTTAATACAAACGACGATTTTTTTAAAAGAAGCATGTTTCGATATTAACAAAAAGCCATCTTCAGTTTGAAATGATTAATTCTACGAAGTATGATACAGTATAGGAAGATACGATATGGATAAATTATTTACATTGAAAGGGAATGTGATCTAATTAAAGTTATTTTTGAACAAAACTATTTAAGATGAGAAAAGTGATAACTGAAATTAGCCCTATTATAAAGTAAAGAAAGTGTTGTAATGGCGAATTTGAACATTTAGATCAGGATTAGTTTTATTAATGTGAAGAGCTTCATTGATTTTGAGAGAGAATGAAAAAGAATTACAGTTTTTCTTTTTGAATAAATAAATATCGGCTGTATATGTATTGAAAACTATTTTATTGGTCACTAACGATTATTTAAGAAATAAAAGATGTTTACTGTGTATGCACAGGCTTATGCAAATTGAGGAGTCCTTTGAGAAAACTAGAGAGCAGGTCAGTGCAAGCCCGAGACCGAAGGTTGAGGGTTGCACCTCTTCAAATTTTAACCAAAGCTTACAATGTTTTTAATTGTCTTTAGAAAAATTTGATAAAAAACTTGGATAATTTCATTGATCTAGCGAGGTTCTATACAATAATCAACTTTTCTCACACTCAACTTGAATTATTAACCAGTAAACTTCAAGCGTAGAAAACAACATTTAGCTATCGTATTTGTGTATGCAAAAATTGATCATTAGAGTAATTGTGATTATTTACTAACTATTTTACTTATTATTATAATTGTTTATCTGAGTTCAGTTTGAACATAGTCTTGGACAATGGATACACCGCCATATTGATTTACTTACTAATGTATGTCAGTATTGGATGCAATCTCTAGGTCATAGCTATATTTAATACTAAGACTTTTAAAGTTTATCTTAAATTGTTGTCCGATCCTTGTATGTAAAGAAACTTTAACTAACAAAAGTTTATTTTTTTTTTGTAGAAAGAAGAGCGGCTAAATTTAAATCTGTGAAAAAATCTTTTAATTTTAATGAAACTAAGAAAGCTGAGATAACGCTTTTTGTTGAGGAATATCCATTTCCAAATATCACTTGTTATAAGGATGGCAAAGAAATTATATTTTGTATTGGAAAGAAAATGAAAAATATTCCAAAAATCGATTCATTGGCCTGCGAACAGGATCAATATGGATCAAACGGTGTCCCTCAGTTGATTATTCAATCAATTTCTTTTGTGAGAGATGATGGAAACTACAAATGTGTTGCCACTACTAACAATCCTCCTGGGAAGGACGGATGTCTCCTAAATAACGGAGGATGTGATCACCTTTGCAATAATACGAAAGGAGGTTTCAGGTTGGTTCTGCATTTATAGTGAACATATATATAACGATTTTTTTCATTTATAAACTGGGTCGTATAAATGTACGTTAATCTGTACATTTTATTTTACTCAGTTGTTCTTGCCATCCTGGATATCAATTGGATCCAACCAACTCGAGTCGTTGCATTGATATAAATGAATGTTTAGTGGTAGGTCTTGTAAGTTGTATTTATTGGCCAAAAAACCAGTAAAGTTGATGGGAAGAGTAGATTTTAGATTAAATAAGATGATGAAAAAAGTTATGTGTTGACATTCATGGAGATGTCAGATGTATCGAAAAAAGCACTTGACTATCACTTATATTATGAGTTATGTACTCACCCTTCAAATGTCGAACAAATCGATCTTGCTTCAATTTACTACGATGAAAATAAAATTAATCATTTGATAGGAAAATGGTGGCTGCTCTCAATTATGTAACAACACTATGGGAGGATACAAATGTCATTGTAGAGCGATGCATGAACTTGATTTGGACGGAAAGACATGCAAACGTAAGAAAATCTTACGTAGTATATATGATGATTGTATTCTATTGTTGAATTGTATATTTTTGACACAACAGTCAAATGTTTGTAAATGTAGATCGTCCAGGCTGGTATAGTCCTGAGAAGGACTGTTTTTGTTGTTGTTGACTGACGTTTCGACAACTACAAAAACAGTCCTTCACAGGACTATACCAACCTGGACGATCTACATTTACAAACATGTAACGATACTCCCGGGTTCAAACCATTTACTTTATTACAGCAGTCAAATATTGTGTACAAAAAAACTTTTATTTTAGATTGTCCCACTTGTGAAACTTTTGGAAGTGCAGTTAAAATTATTGAGGAACTGCAAGCGGAGGTATGAGTTTGGCTTTTTTTCTCGTCAGTTTATTACAACAATAATATACACTGACGACAACCATCTTAATGATCATCAAAGCAACGATATTATTACCGAAGGTTGGGTGCAACTTGCAAGAAACATTGTTAATATTATCCATTAGACGGTGACTTTTTGACTTGTACGAAAATGGAAGCTATGTTTTTACGAAAATAAGACTGCTGAGATATAAAATTATATTCAAAATTTTAAACTAATTCGGGTCCAATTTTTCATCTATGCAAGCTTAGCGTTCATTGTGCTTTAATATTGATGGTGACATGACATGGTTTATATTATGTAAAATAGCTGAAATTTGGTTCTATTGCAGGTTAAAGCCTTACAAAGACGGTTTTCTCAATTAACATTGAAAAACGACGAATGTTTGTATAAAGGAAAAACTTATAAGAACAGAGACAATTGGGACGACGGTGAATGTTGGCGTTGCTATTGTCAGGTTAGGTGAACTGGCTGCTATGTATAATTTTGAGAGACTTAGGTTTCAGATTTTGTTATTCTGTGTTTTTTAAAGAATGGTCAAGTGCTATGTTTTCAAGAAAAAGATTGTTTTCAAGCAGGTAAAGTAAAAAATGATCCCATGACCGATCTCCAAAAATGCGAAAGGCTGCAAAAACAACCGTTTGTCTAACCAACAAAAAACCAAACTCTTTTATAGACTCTCCAGCACTATATCCCGCAGTGGGTAGCAGCAGTAATCAAAAGAAGTAAGAAATTAAACGAGCAGAAATTCAAGTAGGTTTAACGTAGGTTATGTAGCTACTATAACAAAGCATTATATCAAAACAATACCAGTATTACATTTAAAACTTTTTCTAAACAAACATTTCAAACAACAATCTTTCATCTCACAAGTCTAGTATTATTTTTTTTAGACTATGGCCAGAAACAAAACAAGAAATGCAATATTAGATCTAGTAGAAGTAATCTTTTTTGTATTAGAGACAAAGATCATTAGAGTTAGTAGTATAAAGTAAGAATATTTTTAGTAATTGTCAACATGATAATAGAAAATGGTTTACAAGACAGAAAAAGTTTAGTAAAAAACACTTGCGTTTTTTAGCCAGAAATTGATACAAACCGGATTTTGTTTTCAGCTTATTGTGTGAAGTGTGTTTTGTCATAAAATTTTTCAAACAAAAAAGCAAACACACTCGCAAGAGCGTGAATGCTGGTGGCTCAAAAAAACAGACCTACACAGTAGCTACAAGTATGCAAACGCGAAGGATTTAGTCGGTAAATTTCGTTTGTAAGGATCGACACACATTTTAAACATTGTCGACATCTTTAGTCGCTCGTAGTCAGTAGTGCGACTTTATAAACGTACTACTCACACAGCCAGGCAAGAAGTGTTTTTTATCTGCAGTGCTTATAACTTATGACGAAATTTTCTCTCTCAATGTATTTGTCAACATAACCATTCCAAAACCTGTAATGGATCATGGATGTTTAGAAAGTTATATATGCTACCTAAAGCCTGGTTTCCACATGATCGTTTCTGTCGCTAGAGTCGTTTCTGTCTGTTGAAAAAGTCCCCTGCGGTAATCAAACGACAGAAGCGATTATTGCGATGAACTGGTTTCCATTAATCGTATGCATCGTATCTAATTTGAACTAGTCACCAAACACTTGCTGTATGATGTATTCAAAATGGCGGCAGTCAATCGAAGAGGAAGACTTGTAGCGTGTTATTTTCTTTTGCGTGTGCTGAGAAGAAGGCGAGAGCGAAAGCAAAAAAGAAAACATCGTTTTTGAGTTCGTCCCATGTTTCAAAGAAGAGAACGTCTTGGAATTTTTCATACTCTTGTTCAAGAAGTACGTGGAATTACGGATGTATTATGGGATATATCAAGTCGCTATGGCGTAACGATCGTTTTGCACCGGTTTCCATTAAAAAAATGCAAGCGCGTAAAAGGTGTTTCCGGTCGTTTCTGTCGCAAGGATAGAATTCTAGTCTATCTCAAACGATCGATACGCAAGGATCGTTTCTAACGTAAGGATCGCTTTTGTCGTTTGAGTTGAGAGTTTCCATATGATCGTCTCTGTCGCTTCTACAAATTGCAAGCGACAAAGACGATCCTTACGACAGGAACGATCATATGGAAACCTGGCTTAAAAGTCCAATGTTTATTCTTGCAACTTGCAAAAGTTGTTGACGAAGCGAAAATTTGAAGCAGGTGTATGGCAAGTCAAAGTTGACAAAAGTGTAATTAATTTTATAAATTGACAGTCGAGTGAAAAAAATAAGAAATTGACTGTCGAGATTAGACAATTGGTTGTTGAGAAAAAAAGTTATACCAGAAATGAAAATTGATACTTGAAAAAATGGAAATGATGTGTTGAATACTTGAGATGAAAAAAGTGCCTGATGAGATACAACAAAACAAACTGTCTGTTGAGAAATATATAAATTGATAGTCGAGAAAAAGAAATCGTATGTCGAGATTTTGACTGTACTTAGTGGTCATCCGTTTATTGTTATTTTCATGTCTATATTGAGTGCAAATTAATACGAACCTTGACATCTTCATATACGTCGGAAGTATTGCCGGATGTACACAAAGTAACATCCCCCCAAACCAGACATTTAGTTGTTCTACATGAGCTCACGGTTTAAATTGGTTTAGCAGGAGGAGACGACAGGTTCTGTTGTTTAAACTATCTTCATTAAGTTCGTTTTATCGTATTGGATTGTTTGTCAATCATGGTGTTCATTTGCTCAAAATCAAGATGTTATAGAGTAATTTTCTTTCTAATTATGTCCATAATCGTTGGAGTATTCTCGCGATCTCTACCAAGCTGTAAGTTTTCTTTGATTCATGCTTCTTATCTTAGACTTCTAGATAAAATAGCAAACGCCGAATATGCCAAAAAAAAAATTCTTTACCATGACGAACACTACTTGTTTAAGGTTTAACACGTCTGTTTTAACATTTTCTTAACGCTGCACAATGCTATTTCTTTGTGTATTTGTTATGCTCATACAGTAATAAAGGCGTTCTTAAGAAAAATAAACGATGTGAAAGGATTTTCTCTTTTCACTTTCGCTTTCAATAGCCAGTCTGTCATCGGGTTTAGAACATATGGACCATTCAATCTTTCAATTATGACCTTGTTAGAACTAATTAGAGCCAATAATGTCGACAGTGTTGCCACTGGAATATTTCATATTTCACTACATTTGTGATCAAATTTCAGTATTTTTTGTTCATTTTACTGCCAGATAGGTTTTTTTGACATTGATTTACATTTGGTAGCTTTTTGATCAACATCACACAAAGACTCTTTATTTTTAATTAAATAAATTTGTGATTAGTATGGCCACGCATTTTCTACTGTATTATGAACTTTAAATTCATCTATATGAAGAGAAAATTCCACACTGTTGTGCTGTTGCTTTTCAGTCTTCATAACATTTGTTTTTTTACGAGTTGTACAGTCTGCACTCAGATTTGTTATGACACAAAATTTGTGTTGTTATTTTCAGCATTTACTTTAACATAAAACAAATCATTTTGTCACCCAGGATACTTCTATTTCGTGCAAGCATGACATTTGAAAACTATACTTGTCACTGTAGATAACTACGAGTACAAATACAGACACACACTTAAGCCCGCCGCATACTGGTGAACTTGCCGCGCGTATTGTTATTCGTGACAAGTGTGATCGACAGAATTTCCTAGTGTGCGCGGAAGTTTTGAACAACATCTGTCATTCGTGACAGATGAGTCTAATATCAAACGCGTTTGATATTAGATGCAGTCACGAATGACAAATGTTGTTCAAAACTTCCGCGCACACTACTTTTTCACACGAAATACACGCGGCAAGTTTACCAGTGTGCGGCGGGCTCTAACGGTCGGCTGAATGTTATATTTTGCATTTTAAGTGCACTTATCATTTTGACTACAGGAAACGACGTGCGCAAATCAAAACATAATTATAAATATTTTTGCATTATCTAAAACTACTCAACAAATTGTTATATAAAATGTATCTTTTAGGTACAAGTGAGTATTTTTATATTGTCAAAAATTTGTTCATTTTCTATCAATTTATTAAGAATTTCTAAAAGTTTTTTAACATTTCACTGTACATTTTGACTATTTCGAATGTCCTTCACAACGTACGTCACTACGCTCAAACCGATTTCATTACAAATATTGAAATTGGAAATTAAACGAAAAAGTGGAAGCTTGTGACAACTCCTCCATTCCTCAACCATTCCTCACTAACGCCTAATGGTGCTAATAGCTTGTATAATTTCTAATTCTCTTACGTCATTGGCTATTGACTTGGAAATTTGGAATGACAAAAAAAGCATTCATAAAATAACCAAAGGAACCAATTTAATCAAAACATAAATAAATCAGAAAACTCTATACAGTCACTCATCAGGTCAATGTTTCTAAAACAGCGTTCCACAATTAAAATTATGTGTATTGAAATGATAAAAGCGATGAAATGTTTGTACTTTTGACCATCCTGTAGCACCCATCATATCTTTCATATCAAAGTTTTTTGACGCAACTTGAGACGTTGAAGTATCCCCAGTGCTATGAGATGTATAAATAGATGTGTCAATCCAGCACGACTTGTATGAATGATATAGTTACTGCTCAAAGCGTACATATCTGACAAAGATTATGCGTCTAAAAACTACATAAAGTATTGGAAAGGTCAATCACTTCTTAATTGGTACATATTTTCTTGATTTTTTTCCGAATGCGATTTTTACTGGTTTTCACTGCAAGAAATCCTGAGTATATGGGACTAAAAATACTGAGTAAATGTATGCACCCATGGTGACTCTTGATTCTGCGTAATTGAGACTCGTGCAAAAGCGTTGTTGACCGTTTTGTTATACAACAATTTAGTTGGTTTTATGTTTTTGAAGTTTTCTTTAAGGAAACTGAAACTCAACAAATCTTTAAGTGTGATGTAACCTTGACTGGCAACAGCACTGTGAAATTTATTGCTAATAATTGCATTAATGACTCTCGATGAAAAAGTGATTTATTGGGTCAAATTCAGTGTCCAACATATGGAGTATGTTGTTGTGATATTTTTCTCCCTACCCTACTCTTTTGAACAGGCTTTGTTGTTAAAGAATGTATGTCAACCACAATTCATTGCGCGCTTTTGTTTATGTTTACAACGCAGTTAACTCTATAACAACGTTACATTTTTGAGCCATTGGTGCAATGAATCCTAGTTAGATAGTATACGTCATTTAATTTAGCTGAAAAATTCAGCAAAAAAAACATTTAAAAATTTTGATTGTAATTGCGAGTGCTGAGTTGGTACAAACTTCGAAATATTGTATGTAAAACTCAATGCTGTTATTTTTTAATGGCAATTTACTAGTTTTGTAGTTGTAAATTATAGACATAGGACTAAAGGTACGTTTTTCTCTTCATTCAAAATTTGAAAAAAATAAGCAGCAAATTCACTATCTGATTGTTGTGCAATTCTATTTAACTCTTTTTGTCTTATCCTCTCCTGGTATAGTTCAATATGTAAACGAATCCGGTGTTGTTCAACTTTACGTTTTGTACTTCCACACTTAGGAAACAACGCCATTTCAACTCAAAACTTTTAAAATTACTTAAAAATTTTATTTTAAAGTTGCCGGTTGGTCAAAGTTCCATGGACAACAAATAATAACATAAGCTACCATGCGTGATCAACATTTTGGTTGACACACATTCTTTAATGTAATATTGATAGTCACTGCCGAAAGCATACATATCTGCCAAAGATTATGCGTCTAAAACTACACAAAAGCATTTTGAAAGGTTTACTTATCACCTCCTAATGGTTTATATTTTCTTCATATTTTCTTCTGATTTGAGTTTTACTTGTTGTTATCTAACTATTTTATGTTTTTGAAGTTGTCACAAAGGAAACTGGAACTCAACAAATCTTTAAGTGTGATGTAACCTTGACTGGCGACAGCACTGTGAAATTTTTTCATAACAATAAGAAAATAATTGCAAGCGACAGAATCAAAGTCAACGGAACATTTCTCATCATGTCTGATTTAAAAGTGTTGGATGGTGGGCAATATTCATGTATTTTTGATAGTAAAAAAACAATTTTCTTGGGTTATCTTATTGTCCAACCAGGTATGTGTATTAAAACGTCAATGAATACTTTCGTTTGTATTTCTTTCACATATACCACATATAAATTTAAATGTATTTGTATGCCAAGGCAAACACTACATTTTGTCTTGATTCAATGCAGACAAGAAAATAAAGATGTGCTGTCAACTTGATAGGCGTTTATATTTTTGGAAACAATTTCAGAAGTTCTGTTCAACTTCACATCACATCTTTGACATAAACTTTGTTTGTTTTATAAAGAAAGAATTGAATGACTATTTTATGTTCGCTTCGTTTGAATTTCCTACAGCAGATACACAATGTATCACACTACATTTAATTTATGATAAAACACGCCATTTTATTTTGTTATGCTTTTGTCTTGCTCTAGTAAAAAGTACATGGCATTTTTTTTATTGTTCTACCATTTAAACGAATTGAGTGTGTCCAAATTTATTTATTGATTTCAATTTTAGTGATTGTTATCGTTTCTTTTCGCAGCAAGAAAATATAAATTTACGATTTATCCAGAAGATGTGACCAGTAGAGTTACTGAAGGCTCAAACTTTGAATTTCGTTGTGAGTATGGAAAAGGATCAACAAAAATTAAATGGTCCAGACGACGAAGACTAAATGGTACAGAAGTTGAGGATTATGTTCCTGAAAATCTTATTACTGTTAGAACAACTCCTCAAAAAAGTGTTGAAGTGTATCGCATTCCAAGAGTGTCTATAAACGATGCAGGTGTTTACAGATGTAAAGTTGATGGAAAAAATAACAGGAAAATTTTATCCGCAACACGCATTCTAGAAGTCATAGGTAGGTTCAATTTTGTATTAAGCAAAGTCATGCAAATTCTATAATGCCAAAAAAATTGAGTCCTTAATGTTCATTGAATGATTAGAATTACGTTGGAATTTCGGATATACATATATATATGAAAATAGCCCTGGATAAAAGAGCGCTCAAATAGGTAGAGGGTAAGATAAAATAAAATAGAATTGACATGTTTTAGCTGTCGCTACTCGGAGTTGACTGAAGATCGCCTTACGGCGTGAAACTCCGAGTAGCGACAGCAGAAAACTTGTCAATGATATTTTATTATATATTTGATAAAAACGACGATTTTTTTAAAAGAAGCATGTTTTGACGTTAACAAAAAGCCATCTTCAGTTTGAAATGATTAATTCTACGAAGTATGATACAGTATAGGAAGATACGATATGAATAAATTATTTACATTGAAAGGGAATGTGATCTAATTAAAGTTATTTTTGAACAAAACTATTTAAGATGAGAAAAGTGATAACTGAAATTAGCCCTATTATAAAGTAAAGAAAGTGTTGTAATGGCGAATTTGAACATTTAGATCAGGATTAGTTTTATTAATGTGAAGAGCTTCATTGATTTTGAGAGAGAATGAAAAAGAATTACAGTTTTTCTTTTTGAATAAATAAATATCGGCTGTATATGTAGTGAAAACTATTTTATTGGTCACTAACGATTATTTAAGAAATAAAAGATGATTACTGTGTATGCACAGGCTTATGCAAATTGAGGAGTCCTTTGAGAAAACTAGAGAGCAGGTCAGTGCAAGCCCGAGACCGAAGGTTGAGGGTTGCACCTCTTCTAAATTTTAACCAAAGTTTACAATGTTTTTGTAATTGTCTTTCGAAAAATTTGATAAAAAAAACTTGGCTAATTTCATTGATCTAGCGAGGTTCTATACAATAATCAACTTTTCTCACATTCAACTTGAATTATTAACCAGTAAACTTCAAGCGTAGAAAACAACATTTAGCTATCGTATTTGTGTATGCAAAAATTGATCATTAGAGTAATTGTGATTATTTACTAACTATTTTACTTATTATTATAATTGTTTATCTGAGTTCAGTTTGAACATAGTCTTGGACAATGGATACACCGCCATATTGATTTATATTTAGTAATATATGTCAATATTGGATGCAATCTCTAGGTCATAGCTATATTTAATACTAAGACTTTTAAAGTTTATCTTAAATTGTTGTCTGATCCTTGTATGTAAAGAAACTTTAACTAACAAAAGTTTATTTTTTTTGTAGAAAGAAGAGCGGCTAAATTTAAATCTGTGAAAAAATCTTTTAATTTTAATGAAACTAAGAAAGCTGAGATAACGCTTTTTGTTGAGGAATTTCCATTTCCAAATATCACTTGTTATAAGGATGGCAAAGAAATTATATTTTGTATTGGAAAAAAAATGAAAAATATTCCAAAAATCGATTCATTGGCCTGCGAACAGGATCAGTATGGATTAAACGGTGTCCCTCAGTTGATTATCCAATCAATCTCTTTTGTGAGAGATGATGGAAACTACAAATGTGTTGCCACTACCAACAATCCTCCTGGGAGGGACGTTGTTTCATTTTACGTCAATGTTGGAGGTACATCATTGATTTCTAATAGACTAAAACTCAATATACAGCGGGGTCTGGGGCCTGTTGTGAAAAACAAAGGCAACAAGACATTTTGGTTGAAAAACTTCAACTTTGAAAATATTTTTATCATTCACTCACTCTTGATTTTTTATCCACGATACCTAAACTACACTACAGGGTGTATAGAAAACTTAGCAAATAAGCAAACGTTTCTGAGGAAGATCTGTAAAATCCTTTGATGGAATAAGTAGTTGGACTTCCATTGGCTCATCTGACAGTAAAATGTTTTCAAATACTAACCAATTTCTAAGTGAGAATAGTGTTACGGAGAAGCTGTTTTGAAATAGCTTGTGCACAAAAATAAAAAACCTATAGAGCAGTTGGAACGCACAGGGTTAAAGTATGGCAGATATTCATAGTTCAAGTCAGCTAAGTTTTAGGAAATTTTGATTTCAGGTACAAACGAATGTCTCCTAAATAACGGAGGATGTAATCAACTTTGCAATAATACGAAAGAAGGTTTCAGGTTTGTTCTGCATTTATAGTGAACATATATATAACGATTTTTTCATTTACAAACTGGGTCGTATAAATGTACGTTGATCTGTACATTATATTTTACTCAGTTGTTCTTGCCATCCTGGATATCAATTGGATCCAACCAACTCGAGTCGTTGCATTGATATAAATGAATGTTTAGTGGTAGGTCTTGTAAGTTGTATTTATTGGCCAGAAAACCAGCAAAGTTGATGGGAAGTGTAAATTCTACATTAAATAAGATGATGAAAAAAGTTATTTGTTGACATTCATAGAGATGTCAGATGTATCGAAAAAAGCACTTGACTATCACATAAATGATGAGTTATATACATACCCTTCAAATGTCGAACAAAGCAATCTTGCTTTAATTTACTAAGATGAAAATTAAATTAATCATTTGATAGGAAAATGGTGGCTGCTCTCAACTATGTAACAACACTATGGGAGGATACGAATGTCATTGTAGAGTGATGTATGAACTTGATTTGGACGGAAAGACATGCAAACGTAAGAAAATCTTACGTAGTATATATGATGATTGTATTCTATTGTTGAGTTGTATATTTTTGACACAGCAGTCAAATATTGTGTACAAAAAAACTTTTATTTTAGATTTTCGGTTTCCCAGTACAATCAAAATTATTGAGGAGCTGCTTGCAGAAGTATGAGTTTGCTTTTTTTTCGTCTTTTATTATTATAATAATACATACTGACGAACTCAAGACTAACATCTTAATGGCCATCAAAATAACGATATTATCACCAAGGGTTGATTGCAACTTGCAAGAAGCATTATTAATTTTATCCATTGGACGGTGACCTTTTGACTTGTATTGAAAAGGAGGCCATGTTTTTTACGAAAATAAGACTGATGAGATATCATAAAACTATAATCAAAATTTTAAACTAATTTGGGTCCAATTTTTCACCTATGCAAGTTTAGCGTTCATTGTGCTTTAGTATTGATGGTGACATGACATTGTGTATATTATGTAAAGTAGCTGAAATTTTGTTCTATTGCAGGTTAAAGCCTTACAAAGATGGTTTTCTCAATTAACATTGAAAAACGACGAATGTTTGTATAAAGGAAAAACTTATAAGAACAGAGACAATTGGGACGACGGTGAATGTCGTCGTTGCTATTGTCAGGTTAGGTGAACTGACTACTTAAGTATAATTTTTAGAGACTTAGGTTTCAGATTGTTTTATTCTGTGTTTTTTAAAGAATGGTCAAGTGCTATGTTTTCAAGAAAAAGCTTGTTTTCAAGAATGTAAAGTAAAAAATGAATCCACCACTGATCTCCAAAAAATACGAATGGCTGCAAAACGAAGAAACGCAATATGAGATCAAGTAAAAGTAATCTTTTTTGTATAATTAGACCATTTAGAAGCTACACACAAGTCCATTGTAGAGACAAAATTTGCTAATCATTAGCTAATTTTAGTAGTATACAGTGAGAATCTATTTAATAATTGTGAACATAATAATAGAAAATGATTTACAATACAGAAAAACATTTAATAAATATACACGTCTTTTTTAGCAAGAAATTGATATAAACCGGCTTTCGTTTACAGCTTTTTGTGCGAAGTGTCTTTTGCCATAAAATTTTTCAAACAAAAAAGCCAACACACTCGCAACAGCGTAAATGCTGATGGTTTAAAAAACAGACCTACACAGTAGTTACATGTATGCAAACGCGATCGAAGGATTAAGTCGGTAAATTTCGTTTGCAAAGATCGACACACATTCAGCGATTAGAAACATAATTGCGCGAGGGTTTTTCAAATGTACATATGGTGCCTAAAAAACCGATACCTCAACGTTGAGGAACCACAAATCTTTAATCCACCTAGTGTAATTTTTTTACTTTTAAAGAGTGTGCACTTTAAAACTTTTTTTTAACCGGCTCTTCCTTTCTTCAAATTTTGGCAAGGGGTACGCAGTACGGGTATACATAAGTCAGTGTGGAGAAATTATGTTCCCAAACAATGATTTTATGTTTTGTTCTAAAGTTCAATCACCCTTGCCTTTTATGACCATAAAAAATAAAGATTTCAGGAAAGGCCCCACAAAGTGCTTTGGGAGAATGGTACTTAGTCGTTTCTATTGTGAATTACCTAAAATTTTTCTAATAATTGTTGCTGCCAATCCAAGCTACCACATATTTTTACTTGATATTGTCAGTTATGATGCAGGGCAGTGCCACGATATTGAACTAGGCAGGGATATGACTTACATTTACTAAATTTATCTTACTTATTTACCTATCTTACTTTGCATCAAGTTAGGCTTGAGCAAAATTTTATCTTGGGAAAAAAGTAGGGGAGTTCAAGCCTCCCCCCCTCCCCCCTCCCCTTTGGCTTCGTGCCAGTGATGGAAGGCAATAATCATCTTCAAGACATTCATGGTATCATGTGTAACACATGGAGTTGAAACTTTTCATACAAAATATTTATAGAAGTTCATAAGATTCAAATTACATGTTAACCCTTAAATACCCGGGGTGACATATATGTCACATGTCTATGATGGGAACATCCTTGTTTTAAAATATTTATTTTCTCTCTTTAATACCCATTGTGACATATATGGCACTCTTGGCCGCCATATTAAATCATTAAACTCAATAAACGGGGGGGACAAGCACTATATATTTTGATTTCAAAATGGCTGCCATCACGCTTCGAACATTGTATTGATGTCCTTGAGTTGTTCGCGATAGAAATTGCACTTAAACGGTAAAGCTATAACTTTTTAGCTGTTTCATATATACAAGCTATAGTTAAGGTATAAAATATAGTTGAATAATGGCATTAAAATAAAAAATTTTTATCGTGGAATGCGTTTGAATTGAGACGTGCCAAATATGTCACATTGTTCATTTATGAATAATTTTATGCAGTGCGGTAATTGAAATTAAATGAAGATATGATCTTCGCACTTTGCTGGACAATTTAAGCAATCGTCTCAGGACCTGAAAAAATCAGGTGACTTAACGGGATTCGAACCCATGACCTCTGCGGTGCCGGTGCAGTGCTCTTACCAACTGAGCTTATGAAGTCACTGAGTGAACTCAGTAAGTTCACTCAGTATGAAGGTCACTCACTGAGTGAACTTCATAGCTCAGTTGGTCAGAGCACTGCACCGGCACCGCAGAGGTCATGGGTTCGGAGCCATCACCATTGGAATTTTTTCATCAATTTGATACAAACGAGATGATTGAAAATATTTGTGAACAAACAAATATTTACAGTGTAGAAAATTATGGTGCTTCTGTAGATACATCAGTCAATGAGCTGGAGAAATTAATTGGCATGTATTTCCTCATGGGGTTGATTCAGCTTCCATCAGTGAAAGCTTATTGGGAAAGTGCCACTCGGTTTCCAGCTATTGCTGATGAGATGAGTCGGAATCGGTTCCAAAAGCTCCTTAGCTCACTTCATTTTGCTAACAACAATGAAGTTACTGATGATCAAAAAAAAGATGGGATTTGGAAACTGCGACCATGGCTAAATCAGCTGAGACTAAATTTTCTAAGAGTTACCCGTGAAGAGCACCAATCCATTGATGAGGTCATGGTAGCATTCAAAGGTAAACATGGTCCTCGTGTGTACATGCCAAATAAACCAACCAAATAGGGCTACAAGTTATGGGCACAGGCTTCAACAAATGGATTTATGCATGACTTTATGGTCTATGAAGGGGCATCAGAAGAAATCGTTGATTGTTCAGATGTTGGTATAAGCGGTGAGGTTGTATTGAAACTTGCATCAAGCTTATCTTCTGGTAAAAATCATAAGCTTTTTGCAGACAATTATTTCACTTCACTTCCCCTAGTTGAAAAGCTTCAGGAGAGAGGGATTCAATTCACTGTGACCATTCATAACAAACGATTGAAAGGATGTCCACTAGTCTCTGAAAAAGACCTAAAATCAAAAGTCTAAGGATCATATGATATGAAAGCTGACTTAAACAAGAAAATTGTTCAAAGATGGCTGGACAAAAAAGCTGTGACACTGATTTCAAGTTATTGTGGTGCACAGCTAATGGGAATGGCCAAGAGATGGAGCAAAACAAAGAAGAAGTTTGTTGACATTCCAAAACCCAAAATAGTAAATGAGTATAACAAATTCATGGGAGGGATTGATCTTATGGACATGCTCTGCTCTTTCTATCGATATTCGATCAGGTCCCGAAGATGATATTTGTACATCTGGTACCACACCTTGACAGTTGCCTTGGTCAACTCATGCCTTGTTTATCGCAAGCATCAGCAAAATCGTAAATTCATGAAGCTTAGCAAATTCCAAGCCTTGGTTGCAGAAGGTTTGTTAAAGGCTGGGAAAAGCAGGAAAAGAGGTCGTCCATCAGACACCACATCTCCACCATTTAGAAAGCAACCCACCGCAGCGCCGGTAGATGATGTGAGATACGATTGTGTCGACCACATGCCAGAATGGGACAATGAAAACCAGCAACGCTGCAAGCTTTGTAAAAATAATCGCTCTTATATTATGTGTAAAAAGTGCACTGTGTTTCAACAAGGAGAGAAACTGTTATCTGGAATATCACACCAGGCGATAACACCTTAGTTACTGTATATGGAGAATAATCAGTTGATACTTGACATACATTAAAAAATGCCATTTTTTTTACTATAAATAGTTCATAGACATCTTATGGGTGCTGTTTTATTAAAAGCTTTGGGTTTAGCACAGAAATTGGTGTTATTTATAAATTGCATGTTTCAGCAAAATATTAGAGTAGCACGCACCTAAATGCCCAATGTGACAAATATGTCACAGCATAGAAATGTGCTCTAAGTATAGAAATCTTCAAATTTTTTTTAAACTTTGAATTTTGGCACTATTTTCAAGAAAAATTCAAAAATTCAAATTTTTTTTTCAAGTTTTTCATACTTTGGGTCATTAAGGGTTAATATATATATGTCATCACCACATGAATGGTCAGATGCAAGCATATGAAACCTAGCATAAAATCACAGGACATGACCACCACAACTTGCACCTTATCAAGCACAATAAGTTTCAATGGACATATCAGAAGAGACAAGAGAGAAAAATTCACGTTTTACTAACAACTGTGGGGTATAAAGTTGTCACACTTAGCCATTTATTTACTGATTATACATGGTCAAGTTTGAGAAATATATGTACATGGATACCTGCCAGACTTCTTGAGTTCAAACTACACATCAATTTCTTTCTCCTGTATTTTCAGCTCATGTGAGGGAGGGGTGGGACCTTGATTATATTACTATGTAAACCTCATCAAAGATTGAATACTTATTTAAGCCAAAAAATTCAGGGTACAAAAATTTCACTTCATAAGCATTTTGAGGTTTTATGATTTTACTCCTGAAACATCTACATTAACAGAAAGTATTAATTACAGCTCCATAGTTCTCACAGCTTGCTTTTGCTTTCAGTTTCACATCCATTCTCATCATGAAAAAAGTTTTCATTCACAATATACATGTCACTTTTTCAATATCTCTACAGTATTCTGATTGTTCTAGTTGAGAAGGTGCTTTCGTCCAGCCAATATCACTTTCTTGTCAAACACTGGGAGATTAATTTTAGTATTATGCTTATAGAATGGGTTCATCATTACCTGTTAAAAGTAAAACTTCACTTCATTTTCTATCACTACAACATACATAGTTTTCACATATCAATTGCACAACTCACTTCTTTCCAATGCACATATTTACTTATATCTAACAAAATTGTGAAATCAATAAATGTATATACCTTAATAAATGTCTCGTACACGTCATTAAAGAAACTTTTAATTCCATCTTCATTCTTCACATCATGCAAGATCATAAATCTCATACTTGAAAAATGTTAAGGCAATGAACACACTGTCTGGGATATGTCTGGAACAACTATTATTGATGGTTTATAACAATATAATTTAAAGGATATCGCCAGCAGTAATAAATGCAGACACAAACCATTCATTAAAACGGTCAACAACCTTTAAATACCTGTAAAAATAATGGAAATATTAACAATAAAAATAAGAATCACTTATTTGACTGGGCATATGGGCAAGAGTAATTTTCTAAGGAGGAAAATGGACTTTACATATACATATTTATGTGTCCAGTATACACTATCCCAGTCTGCCTTTGAAATGAGCTCATTATACTAACATGTTGTTTGTAGTCCACATAACTTCATCAACAAGATCAAGGGCTGCATGAACTACAAATTGGTTCAAATGGGGATCATTACTTTTCTAAAAAAATTATAAAAGAAGACTTGCATCATTGCCCAGTACAAACATGGCATAGCATACCATTCGCAGAGAGTTAAAAAGTATAAAATTATTACACCTTTATCTGATCTCTTCCAGTGTCTGTGTTCGTATGACCGTGACTGAATCTCATGAGTGGAGAAAACTCAGTTTCATAAATTGGATTGTCATTGTGCCCAACGATGGCAAAATAATAAAAATTTGACATTATTTTTAGATGAGAAGTTTTTGCAAATCAACCGCCACGGGTATATTAAATATACTATACTTTCATGATGATAAAAAATAAAAAAAAAGTGAGCCTCGAATCTTTCCACGAAATATCGAAAGTTGCGAAATCAACAATAATATAGTGCCTGCAGTGCAGCAGGCAGTGGTCAAAACCATTGGTCAAAAGTAGTCGAAATTGTCCATAGGCTGAAAACAATATTGTGTATTCCAAAAATTGCTCTTGGATATATGGGCTAACCGAAAAAACGTTTTTTAGTTTATGAAATTAAGAGGTTTCTGTATTAAAAATATATTCATCACCATAATTTTTACAAAAATGCAAAAATGCATCGTATAAAAAAGTAATTATACTATTGAAAATTCATAACTTACCCCTCCCCAAGAGGAATATTGAATTTGCTACCTTGCTGTTGCCTCGTGTTTATCTGAGCCCACGATTGATCTCCAAGGAAAGCTTTATGGCGGGTATTCTCACCACTTGCAAGTAGCGCAGGTCTTTTTAAAAATTCCTTTTGTAAAATGATGTGATGCTTTTATGAAAACAGAAGCCTAAGAAAGGTACGTCAATGACATAATAATCTAAGGCAACTTTTTTTCTTCTTAAAACTAGCGTTAAGTTAAAATGCAATATAAAAGATTATAATTTTTTGCGAACAGACTGAGACAACTACAACAAGTTACTGAATACACATTGACTCTACTGCAGTTACATATACTTCTTCAATTCAGACTGATACTGATTTAAGCTATAGATTAATATAAGGCAAGAAAATTTAGCACTTTGGCAACTGTCATATTTCCATGCTCTGTGTCTGGATACCTCATGTTTATAGTGAAAAATGCATTTGTAGCTGACCATAGCGACGCATTGTGCTTTTGTACAATCAAACACTTTATTTGCATTTCATTACTGCAAAGTAAGTTTTAAGACCATGTTATGGAGTGCAGGCGTATTGTAGCTTCATCCTCAATACTTTTTGTCGAAAATTCAATCAGAATTTGTGAACTGCAATCGTTCCGAGATTTTTGGCGACCACTTTTGAGTTGACAAGTATGTCTTTTGCACTGGAAGACTTTCATTTTCATAACAGCATTGAATACCAAAGCATTTTTGTGAGTTTAGGCAACTCACTAAGTAATGAGGCATGCTATACTTGATGTTGGAGGAAATAGATTTTTTGGTGAAGCTGGTTTATTTGAGTTTTTACTGAATATTTTGCAAAACCAACATTTGTATTCAATGTTCACGATGACTGTAATCTGATATGATCAATTGCTTTGTTTTCATAAAAGTTGATTTCCACTCTAAGCGCAACAATAATTTTACTCTGAACACTAAGGATCTAGTTAAAAAAAGCAAACATACTTTCCAGACTGTTTCGGCAATGTCTATATCTTCAGGACAGAATTTTTTAGTATAGAAATGTATTTTGTCAATGTGTAATGTGCTTTTCTCAATGAACAATGCTCCAAATTGAATAATAATCAAAGTTTTGATGAAAACATAACTATCAGAAGATATAACAGACTTGAACTTTAGTACATGAAAGAAATATTATCTTGCTGTTTCTCTTATGCTCTGTTTATGTCATTGATTGATTCAGGAGGATTTTGTAGTGAAGGGTTTGCTCTAGTTTGTAGCCAACTTTGTTGGTGGTGTTATGCCATTTCATATTTTCTTATAAAATTCTGATTGGGAAATATTTTTGAGACTATTCTTGCCTGGTTTAAGTGGAATTAATTTTTGTAGCATCAAGCTATTTCTTATAATGATAGGAAATCAAAGTAGGTGCTACCCAATAAAAATGGCATCTGGTGGTGCACAATACAAAGACTATAAGGGAAAGAATGTTGAGCAGAATAAACCAAAAAGTAATAGGAAACCTCCAAGAAGTTATTCAAGTTTTAACGGTGACCTTAGCCTTCATGCTGAATTACAAAGAAATGAACATGAGGATTATGATTCACTTCCAAATAATTTGGTATGCAATACTAAAATTTTCATGGGTAGATGTAATTTGTATATATTTTAAAAGCTAAGATCAATATATTTTTGATCTTTGAAGTCATGGACAGGAAAGGAAAGTTTACAAGGAAGGAAAGCACCCTTGTTTGGAGACCAATTCTCATCTGATGGATCGCCTACTTCATTTACTCATAAGAAGCACACACCTGCGAATCTCCCCAGGACAAAATTTTCTTCTTCAGGATCAGCTCAACATTGTTCAATGGACAAATTGAAACAACATTTGACTTTTTCAAATGAAGATGAGGTAAAAACAATAAGTTAATAACTGGAATTTTTTGCTTATGAAGGCATTACAATCACATTTCTAAAATTACATAACTGAGCTAGCCATAAAAAAGAAATGTATTTTTAAGAGATATTATTGTATGTTTATTGATATTAATGTCAATTTTTGTTATCAATGTAGAATGAAGGGCAACATAACAACATCCCTGTTAACAATGAACGCAGCTTTCAAACACAACGTTCACCAACCAAAATTAGATCTTTCAGAAGGCAAGAAAAAGATGGTGCTGGAATTAACTCACTTCAACCAAAAATGTTAAGGTAGACATGGACATATTGTTTTGTCTTTATTTATTATTCAGATCATGATTCTATTGTTCTTTTTAGCCTGTTGATTATAGTAAAGCAATGAGTCGCTTGAAACAAGTGCGGGTGAGAAACTAGAAATTTTTGTATGTTCTCATCACACGGACGGTATTTACCATTAATGCATTTTCCCAACTTGCAGGGGTATCTTAAACAGGCCACTTCTCTTTACATAACATTGAGTAGCAAATCAACATCACCAGATGAAGCTACTGTAAGTAATTATACGATTCAACACTTTTACATAAGTACCAGTTGTACAAATTACTGACATATACAAAAGACATGTCATCATGTTTGTTGTTGTTTCTGGTGCATATGTTATCATGTCACAATTACTATATGCTTTAAATCCCACTTTGTTTATGAGAATTTTGCTTTAGTTTGTTCACTTTCAATTTACGTATTGCAAATAGAATATGTATGAATTTGTTCCCCTAAATTTCACAGGATGAAGAGTTAGAGCAAATGGATAAACTGGCTAAGTTAATTAAAGACTTAAAAGCCCAAGAGATGGCCTATGTAGATTTTGTGCAAAGAACTAACGTATGTAGATATTTTCATGTTAAAATTGTTATTGTGTGTCTTGTATAAATTTGTTACATGCAAGTTTACGTAATGTAATTTCTATTTTTCAACATTAACATTTAGACAACACAAAGAGAATCTTCTCTTGAAAATACACCTTCTGCAAGTGTTGTGTCACTGGATGTTGAAAATTTGGTATTGTCAATTGCTTTAGAAAATTATGTATAGTTTTTTTTGTCTTTCATGTTTTCTGTTTAGCAATTATCTTTCTCAATGTTTTGCTTTTGTCTTTCTTCTTTTCCTTTTCTTCTCTCCTCTTTTGTTATTGTCACTTTTGTTGTACCCCTTACGTATGTGTTTTACTGGATCCTGTCTAAAAGTAAGTATTGTAGTACTCAAACCCAATAGTTTCACTATCATGTATTGCAGGGGGGCTGAGTGTTGAAACTTTATATTTTGTTCAGGATAATGTTGACGTTGCTTCTGAAGATGATTTGGAGGGACTACGACAACAACACGCGTTATTGCGACAAATGGTCGAACAACAAAAACAGGTATAGTGTTCTCGCATTTACCAACATTTACTAGAAAAGCACCAAGTTAACTGTTTAGTGAATGAAGGTGTTAAATGTGAAAATAGTTAATGTGTTTTGAGTAATGATAAGGTGGAAAAAATTTCAGTATTTGAAATGCGGTTAAAGGCATTTTTGCTGCTTGTATTTCTCTCAATCTTTATTCCATACTTTTGGTTCAACTTTATGGTAAAAACCGTTTATTTTACACACGTAGTTAAAAGAACTACAAGAAAGGCAGAATGCATTACTTGACTTGCAACGTCACGCAGAGGATCAACTTAAAGAAGCTGAAGCTGAGGTAAACGTGCATGATCATTTTTTCTTCATACTGTCACAAAGATGTACGTTATTTGGTCTGCATAATGTAGAGACGACATTTTTATAGAGAGATTTAAGTACGTACATGAGTTTGTATACAGAGATTGCGTACGTAGAGCAACATAAACAAAGTAAAAAACGTATGATTTCGTGGCTGAAAAATAGTCACGACATCATAGTTTATAGCCGTACTGATCGACTTATGGTGACCTGTACATGTTTGTGTGTTGAAAGATCTAAATGACTTGGCAATGAATGATGGTTTTATGTTTGAAAGGGGAGACGAATTTCAAATATGATGAATGGTCACGGATTACACCATGGTATTGTGAATGTCGATGGTAGGGAAGAAGGCACGGAGATATCCGAAGACTCTCACAGTTTGCAGGTGCAATTACCTAATTTTATGATGAAAGATCCAATAGTTTTTTATAACATCTTTATAGTAAAAAAGTTTAACAAAAGTATGATACACACTTTAACTTGTTATTAACTTCACGAGCAATTAAATGATGGCTCCCAAGTTCATCATGAGGGAATTGAAAAATAATTGTTAGCAGACAAAAATGACCAAATTTAATATGTATTGTGCCACTTTTTGACCATTCTTTTTCTCAGGATAATGTTGCTGGTGGATCTGGCAATGTTGGTGAATTGGTTTCAAATGATTCACGTCATTCCAACGACCAGGTATTGTAAAGTAGCTACAACTACATCCCTCTACTCATATGGTATTGTAAAGTAGCTACAACTACATCCCTCTACTAATGTGTGTAAAACTGAAGTATTATGTAACTCTTTCTACGTAGGTCCAGCGAAATCGTAAAGCTTTCAATAAACAGAAGTGTGAAAATTTCAAAAACCGACGACTACCAAACGAGCAGGTAGGGTGTTTATCAGGGTATCTTATCTATTCTGATCATTCGTTTTGGTTTTATTCACTTAGTCGGTGCATTGTCTTTATCGTAAATTTTGTAACATTTGAATATCGGCTGTGTTACTCCAGAACACCCTATTGACCTACAGCGTTATATACGTATGAAGCCATAGATTTGTCCACGAAGACAAAATGCAGCCAGACAGTATTGTTTTCAAATGTTTAAACAATTCAGACGTGAATATCGGGTAAATCTTCAATAATCTACTCCATAAAGTCAAATGATACGTACTTAAGTCATATGACAAAATCCAAAAAATAAAATGTAGAGTTATGAAAGATGTGGACTAATAACAAATGTCAAAAAAATGTTTGAGATAACCAAATTCCAAATCAATTAAGGTTGTTGTTTGAAATTTTGCGCTTTCCTCGGATCCCAAGTTTACGATAATTTTATTTCTTTTTCAATGATTTCTGAAGACTGAATCTCTGTGTATATAAAATAAAAGTTAATACTTCTGTTTTTATTGAAAATGTTTTTATTTTCCATGAAGCCAAATTAGTCAATGGATTTTTACATACATGAATAAAAATTAAATGGGGTTTCATGAAGAAATAAAATAAATGTATGAAACATTTTATGGTTGATTCTAATTGCGAGTCAAAAGGCAGTGTTTCATTAAACTTTGCCCATTCCTTGAATCCTTGGTCTGTTCTACGTATGCTCAAGCAGTGACAAGTGCTTATCGCGATAAACATGATATCATACTGTGTAAATATGGGTGTTTTTATTGACACAGAGTTAAATCTATGGAAATTTTCCATACGAGGTTTACGTGTTTGCGTTTTTTTTGTAGCCTTCATGGGTTGCTGACTCAGCAGGCTCTATTACTCCTGATAATGAGGTAAGAGAAGTCGATATTTGTTTCTTGTTTAGATAGTTTGACTATGTTTTACGTTGTGTTCAATAATTAAGACCTTTATGTACGAAAGAACTTTTTATTATAGAGCCTGTAAGCACTCTGCACGTAGTAGAAATTATTAATTAAATTCCTGGAAGTTGAAAATTTCTACTGTTGTTACAGTTTAAAGTTATACACGTCATGTAATTATTGGATAGGACTGATAGATAAATCTAAAGGGATTTTAGAAACACATGTTGGACACTTTAGGTGCAAGCATTGGCCGCCGCTGATGCAGCACAAGAACGACTTGAGCTGGAAAGCAAGATGATGGATTTACAAGCTAAGAAGGAGGAAATGAATGTACTTGTTGCACACTTGCAACAATTGCGAGAACTGCAGCTTGCTAAAGGTGCGTTCGAGATTGTAGCTAATGCATTTTTAAATGTCGAGAAATGTTCACTCATATTTTTGGGTTACGTATCAAAATATAGCTATTACGTACGTATGTCACGCAAGGTATTGTGGGATGTTGGCATTTGGTTAATTTACTAATGGATCTTGTGTTCAGAAATGGCCCCTCCACAGGAAAGAAGTGTAAATGAAAGTAACGAAAACCAGGATGATGATGTTCCTCTTGCTACAAGATCAGCAAAAGATACTGGAGAAAATGTGGACGACGAGAAGATTATTGAAGCGTTGCAGTTACATAAAAAATTAAGGTTCTCACACATTTACTAGCTTTGCCGGAGTATTCAATATTGAATATATTTAATGTATTGTTACAATTTATATTATTGCAATAATTTATTTATTAGTAGAACATTGATTGTCAGTTTTGACGCATTGAATGTATTTAGAAGTTTGTGAATGTTGCATGAATTTCATTTAGGAAACTTCAGGACGTGCGTGATAAACTGGAAAGGCTTAAAAATCTATTTGATGGTCAGCAGGTTAGTATCAAAGTCATGTATTTCACCACACTTACAATATGCACCTACGTAGCTTATTTATAATTTGTAAAATTTACTAACTGCATATGTAATTTTATGAAAGATATTTAATTTTGGTGTTTGTTTAGTAAATATCGTGTTTTTCATCATTACTCAAAATGTTTTAACGAACGTCTATTGAGTCAATTTTACATTTATTGACGTACGTAGATAAATCCCAGCAGGGAGAGGGCAAGAATAACCGAAATTACAGAAGGACACGAGTCTTCGGACAATAAAGGTGATGAATCTCAGATGAGTAGTGTTGATCCTGATACTGCTTCTGATGATGTGCCACTTGCAAATATTGATTGGATTTTGAATTCTGGTATTGATGATCCAGAACTCATTGAGAAATTAAGGTGTGTGGATTTATCATTTGAACGGCTTAGATATTTTCGTTTGCACTGTAACTTACTATACATGTATGTCATAACTGTACGATGAAGTTTTGTCATCACATTATAGCAGATTGTGGATTAATTATTGTACTATAAATAATTATTTATTGTTCATTTCAAACTACTTTGTTCATTGGGTTTGCAAAATAAAGTTAGGAAACGAAGCTGAATTCTTGCGATAATTGGACTGTTGTTGTAGTAAAAATTTCAAATTTTTCTCTACGTGTTTTTTCATACTTTAATATGTAATTTTCCTCTTGCTCATATCTAGGCAAGTCAAAGCTGCAAAAGAGAGGGTTGCTCATTTAAAGCAGCGTAGCGAGCAAAATAACGTAAGATATTCTGTAAAAATCACGGGTTGTCTTCTTTAAGATTGTGTTTTTATTTATTCATGTTTGTTTACACAGGTCGATGATTTATCTTACCAAGCAAATGCCCTTAGCGTTCAAGCACATGGAGCTGTTGTAATGGACAATGATTCCGCTGCTCAGACAGACAATGAAACCACAGGCTCAGTGTCTAGTTCTCTTTTGTGGCAAGAGGACCCAGAGTTTCAAGAGAAACTACGGTTATTAAGATTTTTCATCTTTAATTTTGAAATTCAGACTATATTATTGATATTAAGATTTTTTTACTGTTTTTGGCGATGTCTGATTTGCTGGCATTGATCCACAACAAATATTTAATTAGAAAATTGCATTCTAATATTTCCGAGAATGCGTTCACATTATCAAGCAAACAAGACTGTGGACAATTTAGTAAATTGTTATATTCATAATTTGTTTTGATGACAACAAATTACACCTTCTAAAATAATATTATTCTTGTGGTGCTGTTTTAGAAAGTTGAATGTTGCCCGCAAGAAGTTAAGAAAGTTACAAGCACTAGTTAAAAAAACTGAAGAGGTGACGTAATGATAATTGTGTACATTTAACATTGCTGTTCTTGTTTTACTTACAAATTACTTCATGATTCATCATCATTGAAGAAAATGTCTCATACTCGAGAATTAATGATAATTTATTCATTGTTTTTATTACGTATAAAACTTTTGGTGATGATAAAAATTTTATTTTAGCTTCCATTGGATGCTAATGGTAGACCATGTTTGCCTGTGGAGATACCGGATATGAGTTTCTTCGGACGAGGAAGGCGAATCTAATGCTAACAGTGCTGGTGCTGTTGGTAATGATGAAGAAAGTATTGACAGCGAACAAGATGCAACAAGTGAAACATTAGTACAGGATAATCTTACATACAGGTGAGGATCTCGCGTTCTTTCACGCTCATACTGGCATTTAACACGCAAACAGGGATTTCACCTAAAATTTTGCCGGTGATCGTTTGCAATCAACGTTCCTATAGCATTGTGGTGTGTCATTGATTTATGGATAGAAATCATTTTTGTTTGTATGCGCCATAGTGTTATTTGAATCTTGAAGAGTAATTTTACAATTTGTATATTGTTCATTTTATGTAAAATAAATAGTTTCAAATGAACATTCGAGGAGCGAAAAATATTTTTAGTTTTTTTCTCAACGGAATTTCCTACTTTCTATAATCTCTGAAAATTCTGCATGTCACCACAATTTTAAATTTGCATTATTCATTCAGACAACAAGAAGATGACGAAAGTAATAATGTTCTTGGTTATATGAATACAATCGATGAACAACGAGCCACATTGAATCGTCTCTTTGCTGAAGAACGAAAATTACGTGAGACTCAGGCACATTTGAAAAAATTACAGCAACAAAACGATGCTATGACACAGGTTTATTTTACATCTATTAATAACATATTTGTCTGTGTTATCCTTTACAGAATATTCTAATGAGACCTCTGTGTTTACTGCATTCTCTTCAGCGGTAACTAATGTTATCAATGAAGATATTCTTGGGCTCCTAACTACGACATTCACCCTAATCTAATTACTGTTAAGCCGTACAATTTTTCTTTTATTCTGTATTATATTCCAATTTTAATGAAGGAAATGGTTGAAAATACAGTACAAAGACTTTCACGTAAAAAGTGTGAGATACAGTAGGCGCCTGTCCCTTTATTTCATGGCATCGATTAACTGACTGCCAGTTAACCATAGAATTTTATTACGAAAAGATCTTACAGATTGGAAGAGAAAGCGGTCGCCAAATTCTTATCTTTCTATTTTTTGTAAATGAAAGAATTGTATTTGTTTATATTATACTATATATGTGGATGAGAATTACTTATTGTTCATAATTTGTAGCTCTATCGCGGGTTGTGCTTTTACAAATACAAAGTACAATTTTTTTTATAATAACTCATCTTCCTGAATATTTTCACTGGATTATTATGATCACAACCGTTTCTACTGTTATGTAAGCGTAATGAGAATTCATTGTTGTTTCGTTCATGAATATCTTTATATTGATGATTTTATAGACTCGACCTCCCGAACGAAGTAAACAACATGATAGTTTTATCCACAATCCCACTGAAGCAAGCTCATCTGGACTTGTTGCAACTGCAGACTCAGCTACGCAAACGCTTTTCTCTTCAGACGTGCATTCTGGCAATCACCAACCAGGTTGTTCTTTGCTTTCATCAATAACTAAAAACTTCTATTGTGTGAAAATTTAGAAAACACGACGTGTCGTTTAAGACGTCGTGAAAGTTGTGTAGTGTGTGGACCTATCTACGCATGCGCACATCACGCAATTTTTACTTCGTATTCATAACGCCTTATTGATCGTTCTTGTTTATTAGCCAATGATGAAAACAACAATAGATTAAGTAGCCATTTGGTGTTTCTAACCAAACAAATATTTTTATTTGATACATCAATATAGTCGTTATGACGTCAAGTAAAGCATTTCATTTCAAATAGTAAACTAATTTGAAGATAATGCTTATCATAAAATGTTTCTATCAGTGATAATAATGGAAATCGAATGCATATTGTGCAACAAAACACTTTAAGATTAAGCATTTGCTCAATCGAAAAACAAAATTCTTTACTTTCTTTTTGTGTTATGCTAGTAGAGCTTTGATAGCAAGAACAAATTGCGTCAACATTTATCTAGAGAGTTTGTTTTATTTTTATAACACATTTAGATGATTCGCTCTCCAATACATTATTATGGCGAGAATTGCGCCGCCAACGTGAACTACAAGAACAAAAGTTAAAGAAACGCAAGGAAAGGTTGTTGTTAGAACGTAAAGCAGGACGAAGATTGCACGAGAATGCATCTGAAGATGAAGGATTCGGTCGTAGTACTTTAAGTGCTGATATCACCACAGCAACATGGGGTGGTTCTACACAGATGAGTAGTACACAAAATGATTCTGCTGTATCTGAAGGATCATCAAATGATAGTGATGAAGAAGTAGGTATTTATTTTATAATGATCGTTAGTCATTATGCTCATTGGTTTTATGTTTTTAGCTATTGGTTGAGGATGATGCGTTAGATGATATTGTTCAAGCTGAAGAAGAAGAAGAAGAGGAAGAGGAAGGACATTCGGAAATGGAATTATATCCAACTGCATCTAATGGTGGAAGAAAGAAATTTCCAAACAGTCAGAGGAAACAAAATGCAAGCCAAAAACGTTTGCTTTTTGGTAGGAAATTTATTTGTTTACATTCTACACGATAAATGGAGATTTGATGTGTAATATAGGAGTTTTATTCCAAGTAATTTATTCCTTGCCACAAACACCAACCCTGGCTACGATTTAAGAAGTAGTTAAGGGGAGATTGTTGTTATTTATGATTGAATCGCTGATTTCTAGAAGAATATCTTTAATACCACTATTGTACATGAAATTTACTTTTGCTTTCATTCACATCTTTGTAGAAGGCTTACGTAAACAAGATTTAGAGCGTCATGAAAGATTTAAAGGTTGGCAAAATTCTTTGTTCCCGTCAGGAAATAAGAAAAGTTTTAAAAAGACACAGGTAAAAGACAAACATACAAATGGATTGTATGGAAAACTAACTTTTCACATATTCTCTATGAAAACTAGACAAATTACAGGACGATACATGTACTTCAATTATACAACATATTATACTTACATATCTTTACTACAGAGTCTATATAAACGTAACCTACAGTATATATAAGCTTGCGTCGCCACTGGACCATTCTTTTCACCCACCTTTAATTTTCATTGATATTATGGGCTGGCATATTACATTATATTACGAATGTTAACTTTTCTCTACCCGTATAACAACGCTTAAATAAAGTACTAGCCTGAACATTTTTTGCAGCGTTATAGTAATCCTCGTGCGTATGACGATGAAGAATACTCTAAGACACGAGAGAGGGCTATGTGGGAGAGACAATTCAATGTTATGCAAGCACAGCTTGAGAACACAACGACGCTTTGTAATACTTTATTACGAGATCAGCAAACTCTTATATCTGTTCTGTTGAATCGCCGTGAACAGCCATCAACACTCGGTATTAGGTTTTTGTGTTTTCTTGCTATTTTTTTGTGTCGCATTCATCATACGTATAATGGCAATCAATGCAATATTGTTTGTCAAATACCTATTGCGATGTTCTTCATGTTACCATAATCGAGGAATCTATTATTACTTTATAGGCGAAACATCCTTTAGTCAGTACCAGCGAAGACAACAAGAAGCTTTACAAGGAATCCAAAACTACTTTGATCAACAGCGTTTTCTTGTTCAACAACAACAAATGTTACAAAATCTAACCGAGTGTTATTCCCAAATGCAACAACAACATGAAGACATGTTGCATTTACAACAAAGTTTTTCTCAGTTGTTTTCATACCCCTCGTCAGAAGAGAAAAATTGCCAACCTTCTCCTGTTTCAAATACAGTGACGTCAACATTGGAGAATTCCCGTACATCTAACTCTTTCAGTTTTCAACCAAGGACCTCCTACCGACAAAAACCCAATGTCTCTTCTGTTGCCCGTGAAATACCTCCACCTTCATCATTCACTTCCTTTCAGGTGAGTGAATTTTGCTCGAGTTAACAGCTTCAATCAGTTTTTCACTATTAACTGTACATCGTATTTGTTTCTTCTCAGACAAGACCTTCAGTTGAGCGACATGTTCATGATCATCGCTCAGCATCATCGCAAAACCCTCTTTATCCGTCCGTATCATTTCCCTGGCTACCTGATCTACGAAACAGACAGTTCCAATTTCAGGGAAGCACAAATCCTGACACAGGTGTTCCAAGCCCTGAAACAAGCAACAGTCAGGCTATCAAATCATCCGAAGTCAAACCAGTTTCAGCTCGAGTTGTGAGTTCTATCAGCGTCACCTCTGCCAACTCTTCACCTATATTTAACCGTGTCACGTACACTGGTAAGTAGTCGTATTTTAAAGTTACACTCAAACTCAACTTCAAGGCATGAGATTGCGACTAAGTGAGATATTTACCCCAAAAGCAGTGCTAGTAGGCCTAGTTGCTCTTTGGCCAAGATTTATGACAAGTGAACTGCGTATGTTCGAGTGAACTGAGCAGGCTCGGATAATTTCTTTAATACTTTGTGAATAATTGAGTTATTTACTCCAAAGTCTGTGTTAGTATATCCAGTTGATCGTTACTATGACCATAAACGTTTACAGTTGTTTAAGTCGACTGCGCATTTAGTTGGTCTTTGCCATGGTTATGAACTGCAAAATTGGTCAAGAGGACTGTGTATGCTGGAGCGCATTTCCTATGTACAGATTGTGAATAAGCGAGCAAATTGAGCCAAAATCGTAGCTAGTAGATCCTATTGGTCGTTTCCACGACAATATACTCGTTTCTTAGACCTATAAAGTTTTTTGTACATTCGGTTTACGTCACAGCTTCAGTGCTAATATGGTTTAAAAATAAAAGTCATTTACAAGTAATGTTCGTTGTTTTTGTAAACTTTTTTTCAAATCATGTTACTTTAGATTCAAAGGCAAATGACAGCAATAATGTTGTGGTAGGTAAACAATTTCCTACCCCACTCAGGGCATCTGCTGCTGCACAGCTTGCTGGCCAAGATCAGTCTAAGTGGCGTGGAGCTAAGAGAAGAAGACAAGAGGATAAAATAGAAACGGATTCTGTTTCTTCACATCAATCGAGTTTACCTGGCGACTCAGAGAAACCTGGCACGTAAGGAAAATCTTATTTTACGATCACACAAACTGATTCTTTATGTTAAATGCTTCTCTTTATCACATTTCTAGCGAGTCTGATGCCCAAAGTGATTATTCATTGTTTGAAGCTCTTCGTGATTCTATTTATGCGGAAGTTGCAACTCTCATTTCTCAAAACGAATCTCGACCACATTTCTTGGTAATTTGCATTACGTAGATAATATTTATTAAAATATGAAGAAGAGATTATTTTTTACGATGGCGACAGAAACAAGGTGGCATTAAAAATATTTCAACTTAATGTTGGATTCGAAAAAAATGATGACGGTCATCGTATTAAATTTAGCCTAGGGACCTTTTGTTTGAACAAATAAAAATTAATATACCTATGCTCGTCCGAAAAATCCAGTTCCCATAACAAAAAACAGACAAATAAAAATAGCCTTTAATTGTTTTGTAGATAGAATTATTCAGAGAATTACAGCTATTGGGCTCAGACTATCTTCGACAACGTGCATTGTACTCGTTAAGAGACTTAGTTACCCGCTTCTTGAAGGATGATCCTTCGGGAAGAACAATGGACTCATCTAAGGTAATTAATAAAAACAATGTTACATACAATGACTATATACAACTGGTATTGAACTATGGTGTACAGCATTCATTACTCATTTTGTTTGTGCACCATAAACACACGCACACTGTATTGCATATTGTTATGTTGTAATTAACGTGTACAATTGTTTTTTAATGCAAATATAGGCTGCGTATTCATGGCCTGTTTCTGCATCTGAACAAACACCCAGCGAAAGTGTTGCTTATTCAGAAAATGATCAAGACGAGGTTGATTCCTTTTTATGTAAAACATGTGTCAAAACTTGTTCTTTTAAGTAGATCTAATATGTTTTTTTTGTTGTGTTAGGATAAGATGACAGTACAGAAACTCTCAAGTCAAGGCATCTACGATTATGTCGAAGCAGTCGACACTGGAAGTTCTATGTCTACCCCAAATAGCGGAAACTGTGAACCGTTTGCGTCGGAGTTCCTCGGAGAAACTGTCATACACTTGGACAAGGTTTGTCAATTTTTAGTCTCGGTCTCTTCCCAATAAATACCTCATTAACAATATTAGAACTTTAAGAGTGTTCTCTCCACTTTCATATCCTTTCTTACCCCCAAAAAAACACATTAGAAATCCGCATTAACATACCTTGTATTTTAGGCGTTGAAATCAGTGCGAGAGAAGGAACGTGGTGATTCTGATTATTCTGGTGTTGTAGTTGATGAAGTTTCTCCTACTGTTGTTCCAGCTGCTGATTCTAGTTCTGCTGGTGATATTGCTAGTGAGTCGTCGCTACCTGATATACAAGTACGTATTTAGATTGATGTTGTTGTATACTATTGTACACTCGCGAAGCTCGAAGCATTGAAAGAATGTTTTTTTTACTGAGTATTATTGCAGTATTGGTTAAAGTAATTATTGTGAATATTGACCTCCGAATTCAATTCATGCTTATTACAACTTGGTTTATCTCCTTCGAATATAGTATCCAAAAATTGACACCCAAGCTTTGGATCGTCAAATAAAAAAGATTATGGCGGTAACTACATTATTTATTACGTTTTTCTAGGACACCATTGAAGTATTTCATACCCCATTGTAATGATTGATGTCCAATGGCGTACCAGAATGGTTAATGGGGAACAAATTAATATATGCTTGTTTTAATCCGTTGAAAACAATGGATTTCAAAGGAACTTAATGCGGCAGAACATGAGTATATGAATATGTGCTCCCCCCAATCAACGAGTCGGCTACGCCATTGTTGACGTCTCCTTTAGTCTGAAGATGTGTTATGTGATTTTTCTATGACTTTTCTTATGGCATCATGTTGGGGATTAATAGAAATTCGTTGTCTCTCGACACATCATTGGATTGTTAATGATTGATAGGAATTTGTATTTTCTCTTGCCAATCACTGAATACAATATATAATCATTTCTATTGAGTACGGTGCAAAATCTTATGCACATATGTCCAATAATTTTACTCAGGAGGTTATACCTTACCTAAATGATCACATGGAAGACACGTGCTCATTACATTTGCTGAATCATATTCGTAAAACGGTGATGGGGATGATCCAAAATAAAAACGAGGAAAAAGTGAGTGTTATGTATTTCTTTAAAACATAGATGTTCTTAGGTATACTATTTTGATTCATAGATGTACATAAGTGTTATCACGAATCCTATTTCAATGAGAATAATTTTGTTGTACCAAAACTTCATCTATTTATAAATTTTTACCTGCACATGTACCAGGAGTTCGGTAGATTTTTTAACAAGCAACTAGAATCCATACTTCAAGATTCTTTAGCAAAGTTTATTGGAAAACGGTTAGTGATGCTTTCAAAAGTTTTCTGTCCATTATGTCCGTTATTTTTCCATGGTTGCGAAGCATTAAATCATGTTTTTATATTAAATAGAATGAAAGATTGTGGTGAAGATTTGCTAGTTGAAATATCCGAAATACTTTTTAATGAGTTGGCATTTTATAAGCTGATGCAAGAGCTTCAAGGGTCAGTTTATGTTGTACACGCTTTACAATAATACTTCATCTAACTTTTCTAGCGGACGTTTGATTTTTATTTTAGTGGCACAAGGACAAAGATTTTCAACCAAAAAGAGGTACGTAGCAAATATCATATCAACATTTTTTTACTGGTTGCATTACTCCATCCTCATTTTCTTAACTTATTCTAAAATGCAGAAAAATACATCGCACAAAAAGCAGTCCACTAATGAAAATCTTGCGATGAACAGGTTTGTTTACATTAACCTGTTTGGCTTCATGCAGAAGGAGATTAACATGCCATTAAAGAAAATGAACGAGGATGTCACGATGGTATTAATCTGCTTGTTTTAACGCATTAGTGTAAACACTGAAGAAGAAATGAAGAATGATTTGCAGAATGAAGTAGAAGATAGTTCGTGTTCATCGTCAGAATGGCAGGTTGTTGAAGCTCAAGAAGAGAAACCACGTGATGTAATATCACGTGAACTACTCAGCGTGACGAGGAGACTTTAGGAAAAGATAGAGATGATGCTATGGCAGAGGAATTTGACGAGCGGAGAAAGTATGGGTTTTTGAAAGTTTATGTTTATGTTGTTAAAACTATTATTTAATACAGTGTATCCGGATTAAATTACAGCCAATCAGAAGTTGAAAATATTGAATCTTCCGAGGTATATATAACAAATTATTCTTTCGTATTTGTACTCAACACAAACATACTTTCTTCATTTTGCTTATTATAGTGCGTCAACGTCGTGGAATTATCCATGAGCGAGTCAAGACCACTTGCAAGGTACAAAAAGTTGAAACATTGATCGAAGATGTAATGCAGTGGCTAAGACATCTTTGACGTTTTGTTGTCTTGATCAACGTCTCCATTCACTCTTTTTTACGTTCTGCTTAACTTGAACTTTCATTTCCTGTCAATTTCACGTTATTTTCTTGTCCACTATACGTAGAATATCGATCGTCGTGTTTATTTCTGTTGCAATAGTTTATAGTTTAAGATTCATTATATTTTACCACAGTAGCGGTAGCGATGATAATGAAAGTGAGGTCGATATAGTTGTTGAAGTTCAACAAGAGAATGCCGAAGGAGCAGTTTGGAGTGAAGTTGTGGGAGGTATGAATGGAGGTCAAGATGATCATCAAAGTGACTTAGCAAGTCAAATGGCAACTAACGATCCCACAAAAACAGAAGAGGATCAAGGGGCAAGGACTTCTAACCCATCAAAACAAGTTTGTTTATACATTCCCAAAGAATGCTTGAGTGTTTTGAATTGTATTATGAATATGAAGCAATTGCTCTGTCTTTTACCAGGAAGAGGACGAGGATTTTCCGACTAAGTTCACAGGCTTGACTGAAGTTAGTTCTGAATAGAAAAATGATTTATTTAGGCGCGAACGTCTGTTGGGATCTACCATGTACAAATGTACACTGATATATGTTTTAGGCTGATTTACAAGTGAAGATTGCTGAGGAGCAAAGTCGTCATGATGGAATTCACGCGATCGTTGCATCAATGAATGATGGAGAGGGTGAGCATTGAGCAAAGCATCTTTCGTTTATTTGAAGTCCATGTCTCATTGATTAACCATTCATATTGGTCAATTTCTGCCTTACCTTTCTATTCTTTATGAGATTACTTGTGACCAACTTTGTTTTGTGGCTTTCGTCTCTCTCAGCGATCGAAAGTTAATTATTCTGAATCACAGTGTTTATATTTTTAGAACTTGCTGGCGATCCCAACACTGTTCCTGAACCAGGTACCTGCTTACATATTTCTAGAATTTTTCTTTGATCGTGGAAATATTCGCTGAAATGTTTGTTCAAAGATGGAGGTGTTGCGTTTTTATAGGATTCCGCATTTTCACAGATATTTTGTCAATAGACGTACTTTATTCCATGCTTCAGAAGTGGCGTCTGTTAATATAATCAAACACACTCACAACATTCTTTTCTCTTGCAGAAGGATCCGTTATTGTTAATGGAGATGTTATGCACGAGGCGGAGAACTAAGTTCTAAGTTTTTTTGTTCATTCTATTTATTTGTATAGTTTTTTTGTGATGTAGATTGCATGTTCTTTGTTTCATTCTACATATATAATGTTTGATGTTGTTAAAACTATTTCTGTGGTAAATTGTATTTGCGAATTCAAAGAAAAACTCTTGAATCTTCAAATGATTTGAAAGCAGAAATTTTAACTCTAAGTTATATAATCTAATTTCACGTATATATTGAGTATAAACAGACGTTTGTTCAACACATGCATGTATGTGAAGGTGTTGAACAGTAAGTTCTGTGTGTTTCATCAAGTGTTATTCATAAAAATAAGCTTTTTTTTCGTGAAGTTATTTCTTGTCAAGTTTTGATTCCCTCTGCAGATGTTTGATAAATGTTTTTTAACAACTACAAATGCAACATGTTGCACTGTTCACCACCTTCCGTTTTATCCATTTCTAATCGATAAAGATATTGAGGTTAATCTAAATTTCCTGTTAAATTTAAATTTGTCTTATATAGGGCACAGGAGGGTATGACCCATCTTTACTTGTACGAGTAGGTCTCGACATTCCGTGACCCTTTATATTTTCTATGTCTTGGATAAAAGCATAGCCAATGCCTTGACTAAATATATATCTGGAAGGCTACAGATTTCTGTTCTTGCATGAAACCAAAGTTCTGCATTTTAGCTGATGTTATCGTTATGAACTGTACTTAGGCCGTGCATACGTAGAAGGATTGGTGCTAGTTGATTTTCTGGTTTCAAATTTTGGCTTGAGGTTGCTTTCCAGATGTATTCAATTCAATGAACTGACGTGCTTTGTCCGTGACAGTACTGGGTTCTAGTCTACTTCCACTTGTAGGTGACAACCACAACCATAGTCATATAAGTCAAGTCTTATAGAAAATGGTTTAAATTGTGGCTGGATGATCGATTATTAGATAAAGAAGATATTTACATAAAAAAACTATATAAAAGTGTGTTAATTATATTGTTTGAATTGCAGTTATATATATAAAGTTGAATATTATTCATTTGATGAAATTTCTTGTGAGAATTGTTTGAACTGTTATTTTTGTGGCGAATATTTTTGTGAACCTTGAAATATTCAAATTCTGTTTTGTCCAAATAATGGCTCTAACGACAAATTGAGTTGTTGAGTTGTGATACAAGGCAGTATGAATGTCCAATGTAAAACTACATTAATCATAAATACAACTTATTACTTTAATTTGAGGTATTAAAATACAGTTGCATATGCCATTGCTTCAATTTACTTCTACTTTTGTTGCTTACCGTGACTTCATTGCAAAAAGATGGGGCTAGACGGAAGCTAGAGAGAAAATGCTATTTATTCATTAAATGACGCAATAATCATCAGAAAGCCTCGTGTGACAACTTTCATACAATTTTAAACAGACAGTGATAAATGTAATGAATATGGCTGCAGAACTGCGTCGCAAATTTCGCAACAGAGCGAAAAGACTGGAAATTAGTAATTTAAGAAATATGGTATTCAATGATTCAAGTATGTTATCAGATGTAGAGAAGCGAGACAAGAGGTATTTGACTGCTCTACATAAAGCTGCGAAACTTGGTCTGGATGATTGTGTGGAGGAACTTTTGAAGAAAGGAGCAAATCCTAATAGGTTCAGTCATTTTCTATTCTCATGTAGTTTTTTTAATTGTATGACAGTCATGCATTGCATTCTTTCTCGAATCTTGTTCACAGGAATGCCTTTTCTCTAAAATTTTGTTCCCGGTTTCAGACAGTCATCTCTTGGTACAGCTATGCATTTGGCAGCAGCCAAAGGACACGTAAAATGTCTCGAATTACTCACAACATACGGTGGGTTTTTACAGATGCGAGATAAGAAAGGAGAAACAGCTTTACAGTTGGCTGAAAAATTGAACCAAGAAGATGTTATTCAATATATTGCTCATCATCCTGCACAAAATTCCATGCAGATAAAGGTGATACCACAAGACAAAGTAGCCTTCTATTATTAAAATAAATGAACGTACTATGGGAAATTGCTATTTGATTTTCTCGTTTTTTTATCGCGGAAAATATGTCATATATACTTGATTGTTGTCACGAAAAAACCTGTTAATGCATGAATGTTTTACAATATAAGTGGTGAGTACTCACAAATTGACCGAATTTTATTTTGTCATTTGTCTAGAATTCACCTAGTACAGATAATATTGAGATCTTTGCTGATATTTATCATGGTCGTGAAAATTTGAAGAAAGCAGTTAGTGAAAACATGAAGCTTTTGATAGATCGACCAAGGGAAGAGGAATGTAGCGATACTGGTTAGTAGAAATGATCAGAGTAGATCAGAGTATTGTCTTCTCATCAAAATAATGAATTGAGTAGATCCAATCCAAATTTATATCCAAATTAATTGACTGGCAAGTCTCTCGCTATGAAGGTTTTTTGTGTTTGATATGAATACATCGATATGATATGTACCTAGCTCCGAATGCGCCATTGTTTCGGTCTTCGTCTCTTGTCAAAAAATTGCTTTAAATAATGAAAAAATATACGAAACTTTCTCTTCGTGGCAAATTAGATTAGCAATTTACATTATTCAAAGGATTCAGTGCATGTAATCATCAATGTTGAAAAAGTCAACTTACTAAAGTAACTCAAGAACATTGTTGCTTCATGAGTTACCGTATATCATGCAAGCTTTAAAATAACTGTACAACAAATCACTAGTGTAATACAGCCATTTATTGTGTTTAGATTTATTTGGTACATTAAATAATTATGGTTAACTTTTTAGATTTGAATGATTCATCAACGGTAATTACCGTACCAATACCAGAAATCTTTCCGGACGACCTAGAAATTCACGAGAACTATAAATATGCTGTCGGTCCTAAGACTCTGAGTATTATGGGCAAACTCAATGGAAGGATAGTCACAGTGAAAACTTATCATGAGAGACTCCCTGACAAAGAAATTTTGCAACTATTCTACAACGAGTTGGAAACTATAAGGTTATGTAAATGTTATGCAAGTTTCCATTTTCAACATGCATGTAGTCCTCAGATAAATTTTTGAGACGTATCAACTTACAACAACCAGTACTCAGACACAAACCTTTCACAGTCCAAATCAAACACGTCTGTGACGATTTCACATTATGTTGTTTTTTTATTTTAAAAACTTTCAAACGTGCTTTTTTATGTTATGGTGTAGGTGTCTTTTCCATCCTAATATAGCTTTATTGCTTGCTATATGTGTTGCACCCAGGGCAATAGAACAAAATCTTTTATTTGAACCTGTGGAGTACCATTTTCTTCACCGGATTCTGTTGGAAGAAAAAATAAAACTTCAGGAAGATGCAATACTAAAAATTGCTCATGATGTGGCGAATGCTATGCAATATGTTCACAATATGGGTTTTCTTCATTGTTATCTTGGATGTCAGAGTGTTATCGTAACTCGTGATTACACTGCCAAGGTAAAATTTTCTCTAATTTTTAAATATATTCTTTAAAACACGATTACAATGACGCTAACCTTAAAATTGGTTCCAAACTTTAATTTTCATATTCCATAGATTTGTAATTTCGAATATTCTTTACGAGAAGATAAGGGCCCCGTCCCTCTGAGCCACTGTACTCTTTTGCATAACTGGATGGCTCCAGAACAAATTCTCGGCTTTCCAATGGACAAAACTGGTGATGTGTTTAGTTTTGGTGTGTTATTGTGGGAATGCCTTATGTTGAAACGATCTCGACAGCTTTTCAGTTTGAAGCAACTTTCTGTCATTGGAAAGAGTGTGCACTACAAACTCCTAGACACTTTGGAGGGTATGAAAAATGTCAAAGTGGCCATAAGTGATTGCACGAAAATTTCAAGTATGAGACCCTCTTTTTATCAGGTAAATATGTTTTGCAGGAGTTACCATTTTAATTGTTGACATTATTTGACTTAAACTATCGTGGGGTTTTTGTGGATTTAGTGGGTTATTAAAGTCTTGAGTTATAGCTAATCCATCAATTTACCGCATTGTGCACAAAGTTTCACTAAACTTGCGGAGGTTGTGTAAAATAAGGTAATCTTTCGAACGCCCTCATTTTTTTGGCATTCCCTTGTTTTTTAAAGCGCAAATGAAACTATAACATTGTAAAGATAAGAACCCAACAAATTGCTTTTTAAGAAAGCTATAAGTGTTTTATCTTATATAGTATTGATTTAAAAAAGCAAGATAGGTTTCATCTTGCTTTTTTACTTCGTAACTTTTGAAACATATTTGTATGTATCTTTATTAAATATATTTGTATGTATCTTTATTAAATATATTTGTACGTATTTTTTCTCCAAGATTTTTGCGTGGCTTGATGGTTTGCTTCACTATCGTTTGGTGAATGTTGCACCAGTGACAATGGATGCAGAACTTCAAGCTCCACCTTTGTTTAATTTGACAAGAAACAACAAGCCACAAAACTAACCACGGAGCGAATGCTCAAATTTTGATTAAGGAGGTTTTTTTGATTTTCAAACGTTACTCGTCCTGTTTTTTATCAATAGAAGTTTACGTAATAAAGAATAATTCAAAAGACAAAAGCTACAGACTTTTTAAAAATACTCGATTCATATGTTTGAATTTTTCTAAACAGTAGATAACATCCCTGGTGGCTCATTTTTTCTTCGTTTGATAACAAGAGGTTTTTGACGTTGTCTACCCGCTTCGGTGTAATATGCTCTTCGCTGTGTTTGCATTTGAGCATTATAATATGCAATGGATTCTGGTTCATCCATTAGGTATTCAAGTTGCAACCGATCAAAGTTTTCTTGCTCATCTTCGTTAGTATTGCTCTTGCGTGACTTAGTTTCTAAAATGTCAATATCGACACTAGTTCCATTCTCCTCGCCCACATAGCTCTCTGCATACCAAATATCAAACTCTGTCAAAAGCTTTTCACGACATTGAGCTACAAGTTTTTCGCAGAATTGAACATCAGATCTTACATTACGTAACTCGTCAAAGTCATTTTCATATTGTTTCTTTAACTCCTGAAATTTCTGTAAATACTCGAATTCCTCCTCATCAATAACCTCCGTTTCCATTTCCGGCAATATAGATCCACCCATCTCTTTACGTTGTAAGCGTTTTTCACGAAGATTTTTCCCGACAACGTCCACCTCCAACTTAGTTGCATTGAGTTTGAGGGACAATTCTCGCGCGATTTTCTTCTTTTCCCGCAGTATTTCTAATAATGAAAGAATTGTTAAATGAAAAATAAAAAAAAACTAAGAAAAATTAAGAAATATTAAGTTCCACGAATAGATAGGACTGCTAAGTGTCATATCAAATACATTTTCGCCAATATTTTCCCCTCATTTTTATTTATCAGTTTTATGTATTAGGGTTTTTACCTTTGTTTTCATGAAGTATTCTGTTGATCTCGCTTCCTCGCTCTTGTTTAAAATCCTGAAATGCCTCTGCTTTTGTTGGCGGGGTTGTTGGTCTAAGACTGTCGCGTCGTTGCTCTTTTGTTGCAGATGTTGCAGTACTTTTTCCTTCATCTAATCCTTGCGTCTCAACCCGCCTTGTCTCTGTTGGATCAACTGGATCTTTTCCTCTACGACTTTTTATTTTTCCTCTCGTCGCTAATAAAGACGTTGCATTTGCTTTCGACGGGAATGAAGCCACTCCCAATCCGAATCCTTTATTATCTGATTCGCCAACTAACTTTGTGTCTTGATTGTTTGTTGCTGTAATTTTTGTTTCTAAAAATCGATGGAGATACATAGCTTTTATAGGAAGTGCGATTTCAGCAACGTGCAATTTCACAATCAACTGCACAAACAAACAACTCATATATATTACCATTTGTAACCAGATTTTTCTCTTGCTTTTTTTCTTTGAAAATGAACTTTTCCCGGAGCTTTTTTTCAGTTTCTTTTTCGACATTTTCGACTATGTTTCGAAATATCGCAACCATTTCTTTGATTTGCCTCAAGTTAACGATTTCCAATTCTGTGATATCTCTTGCAATATATCTTTCAATCTGTTTTTTCAGTTCAATTAATTGAGTCTGGGAGAGTGGTTCATAAACAACCTGACCTCTGTTTGTCAATGTATCATGCATGGCTAGCTCTCTTTTCAGAAATTTTATTTCTTCTTTATAACGCTGACATTGTTTAACTGGATCAATCACTTCGTTTACAGCAGGTTCACAAAGTACTCTTCGCATTCTTGCAGCAAAACGTAAGGTTGAAAGCTAAAAATAAATGCAATGTTACAGAAACATACCTATTATCGTTTATTATAACATCAATCTTCAGGAAGCAGTGTAAAGTTCAATGAAAAATCATACAAGTTTGAATGGAAGGCAAGACAAAGTTCATTGAAAGACACAGCAAGCACATTACATTTATCACTCGTTTCAAATACAACCCAACAGAATTTGACCATTTATTGTCCATGACAAGACATCCTTACCGTCTCCTCAATTCGACTTTCCTCTCCCCAAAGGTTTGCAATAAGGATCGTATCATTTCGACCACCAATAGCGTCACTAAGTAGATGCGTTAGTTTACTCTGACGATATGGTATGTAATCGCTGTTTTTCTCACCCAAAGCAATCACTACTTGCTCCAAAAATGTCAGCGACTTGTTCAGAAACATTGCTTCTTTTTGAGCTGTAGTCTGGACTTCAATTTTGTCAATGCGTTCAGAACCAGCTAGATCAACTAAATTGATCTTGGAAACAGTATATTTTGCATGTGAAACTACTCTTGATCGTGTCTCAACGTAGATCGTAAATATGCAATGAGATCTTGACGAGTTCTGGTTAAGAGTGTGGCTTGCAACAATGCGGTTCATTTCACCCTAGGACAAAGGAAATTTTTGGTTAATGTACTGTTGTTTATACGTATGAAAGAACTGGTTTTTCATCTTATTTAACGATAATGCATGAGTCAATTCCAAGCGTTACCATCCCCCCCGGGATACCCCTGGGCATTTGCCCTGGAGACCTTTCTCGGGGGTCGGGAATTTGCTCGTAAAAGAGATGCTCGGGAGCCGGGTATTTACTCCGGCAATAATACCCCCGGGGATTTGATACCATTTGAGTACGCGTGTCGCGACTATTGATTTCTATTAATCGCGACATTAAGTACCGATTCCCATCTCCTGGTATGCAGACGGACCATCGTATGGTTTTTTTCCTTACCCAGTTGCTGATGTAAAGAGACCTTGGGGAGGGGAGGATTGCGAAACATGCACGGGAGTTTGCTATGGGCATTATGTCACCGATGTGTCAGAGCTGCTAAATTTATATGCAGTTGGAGCCCGCCGCCGTCTGAAATACTGGCAGACTTTCACAAGAATCACAGTGGTGGATGTGTAGAGGATACTGACATAAGCGTGCTTGCCAAGAAATGTTTGCTGTCAACCAAGGATGTTAAATTGTGGCTTCAACACTTGACGCGAGAAAGTGGTGCTGGAAAAGCAAAAGCAACAAGAGAAAAGCGGAGCAAGGGAAAGTAACACAGGAACGAATTTCTTTTACTACATTTATTTTTTATAGGATCTCTCATATATCTTGTTTAATAAAGTATTAAAAAGTGTTCCTAATTTTCGTAATTTAAATTTAATTGGTCCCGGAGCGGGGCATTTGCCATTGGCAGCTTGCCCGGGGGCTGAGTATTTGCCTTCTTGCCTTTCCCTGGCAGCGGGGAAATTGAACTATTAAAACGAAAAAAATCAAATGCCCGGCCATATTCCCGGAGGGGGGGGGGGATGGTAACTCTTGGAATTGACTCATGCATAAATGGAGAAGGAAAATTGATTGAGATAACAAATTGCTTGCAACGAAAACGTTTTGCCCAAAATTCAATTTTGCCATATAATACCATTTCTGTAACTCAAAGTCTCAAAGGGAAATTTCTTGGAAACAATTTTGCGATGTGCCATTAGGAATCTATATTAAATTAGCATGCTCGATTCCTTTATATATATAGGTAGAGGAGCTACTAGGAAGATCTATGACAATATGTAAAGTTTCATTTTCTACCTCAAAAAACAGATTCAACGCTTCCTCTTCAGTGTTAGCGACGTGTTGAGACAAACCTTTAACTCGACAACCTGAACCTTCAAGCTCCGTGACTGTAAGTGGATGATGATTAACGACAGACACGCCAGGAATTGTTGTCAGCAGATCATGCAATGTCTCATTGTATATTTCAAGATATGAAATCCTGAGCCATATTGACAGCTCTTTTCGGGAAGAAATTTCAGAGAAGATTTTAGAAATGGCTCTTGGGATAATACCTCGCTGTTTAAAATTCTCACAAGAACCGCACATTGTAAAACTTTTACCAGCCCCTGTTTCACCATACGCAATAATGGTCGAATTGAAACCATCCAAGGATTTTATAACAGAATCTTCTGCGCACAATTTGAATACTTCCGACTGACTGATGTTGTGTAGTACATGATCAGTTTCAAAGGTCCAATCTAAAATCTGATTATTGATATAACCTCGCCGATTATCTTTTTTAGTGCGAATTGTGAGTGATTTGTTATCCGAATGTATTTCGATTGCTTCAGACGCAAACTTTGAAGTAGGTCTGATACGAGCAAAAACTTTAACATTCGTATTGGCGATCATTTTGTATCCAGTAACAATATGGTAACAACCCAAAAGTTCCTTTCGACCTCTGCAAGTTGCAAAGAAAAGCTTTTGTTTCTATGGTTGTTGCCATAGTGATTATTTCCTCTGATCTCTAGTTTGTGGATAGAAATTAAGGAATCGATTTTCGTTATGGCCGGGAAGAAGGATGAGAGAGATAAAGGTGTTGAACTAATCGAGAAATGCCCTAAAGATAGATTAGAGGAGGTCAGTGAATAAGTTAAATATCAATTGTATAGTATTTTATATAACACATAGAGTAATGTTTGATGCGAACAAAATAACATCAAAATTCCTAGGTTTGGTGGGAATGGGATTTGAGATCCTTCAATCTCAGCATTTTACCTTTAAGAAGGGAACAGTGGATTTTTAACTGCATTTCATGTGAACTGATTGTTCAAAGAAAGTCTCAATGAACTTCAATTCAAATTTATATGAAGAATCAAGAACATTTGCAAATTGCAATATTCTCTCTGGACTCTGCTCGGTATCCATGGTCTTGTGCTTTGCAGCTAGTGCTTTACATTCAGTTCTAATTGATATACATAATTAATTTTTACCTGAGAATTTTGTGCACTTGAGATTTGAAAATTTGTGGGCAAATATAAATGTTCCAACTTTTCACAAAATTGTGCAACCAAGATTTGTGTACATGATACAAAATTTCCAGTCTGGTCTGTAAGCTACCATATCATAACTAAAAATCATAATGCCACAATAGCAATTTAATAGTTTTTTCTATAAACTATGAAGTAGTTCAAAGATTGGTAGTCTATACAAATAATGTCAAGGTAAAATCTTAGAAATTGCTTATAAAGTGATTGTCAGCATGAATGTCTACAAGTCCTACATTATTTATGAGTTCCATAAGTCATCAGGCAGTGTGGCACTATTTAACATCTTGACTGTGTCCCAATGTATTTTTTATTCTGCATATGTTGCAAAGTTAAATAAAATGCTCAAATGTTTGTCCAGAAGCTCATATATCATCCAATCAAATTGTAAACTCAGTATCAACCTCAGTATTAAAGTCCATCATGATTGGTTGATACTTAAACTTGGAAAATAATGAACAATAAGGATACAATGAACGTGACAATATTACAAATCAGATACATTATAACTTTCAGTGCCAGAGGCTATTTAAGTGAATCTATTACAAGTTTATCCAAATCAATTTGAGAAATTATTTGTACATGGTATCAAATTATTTTCCAACAGGTAGTACATGGTATTGTTGATGAAATATGTGAACAAGGTTTTCTTCGTTTTCAAAGCTTCAGCAATATATGGCATATAAATGAGTGGAAAGCATTTAAATCTTTATGGATTAAGTGTATAGATAGTTATATTAAAGATGGTTTTCCAGAGAAAATGTAAGTACAAACTTACCTGTCTATACCTGGAATTTTTTCTTCATATTTCATTCATCAACTTTTCCATAATTTGCATTATGTATTTTTATTTCATCGGTATTAATTACATCAATATTTTGACTTTTCGCTTTCATAGTTTGAAAAACATCTGGATTCATTATCAGTATCAAAGGCTACACAGAAAGTAGTTTTTAATTGCCTATTGCCAAGAAAAAATGAAATCAAATTGGCTCAAATAGCAAAAACTTGTCGTATTTCCCAAGGTTCACTGAAAGATTTTGACTGGAAAGTGAAGGTGAATACCTACACTAACATTTTAACATTGAGACATCATTTATTTAAACTTTTGGCTCATTGAAATTCTAGCTCATCATGGCTACTGATAAACTGGCAAATATGAGGGAACCAGTGCTCTCACTTGACCTTGATATTCAAGATCAAATAGGAGTAAAGCAAGTTTCTGTTGAAATAAGCAAAGATGAATTAAAGGAAATAATTACCTTGTTAGAATCTGCCAACAAGGTAGGTAGTTTATAAATTATATTGAACTCTAATAAAGTGTCATTAGTCTGAATATATTGGACAATAATTTCCACTTGTTACATGTTTGTAAACAAACATGTAACGATACTCCCGGGTTCAAACCATTTACTTAATTTCCACTTGTGTTAAACTGTGTGCTCTCTCTAAATCTTACTGGCATTAATCATGCATTAATTGGATAAGAGAGACCATATTTATAAATGTTGCTATCATGGTATGCCTCACTATTTCCTTTGAAAGCAATGTCACTTCAACAAGAATTTACCCTGTCATAGGAGAATATTTCCCCCCTGGCAAAATATTGATTAATGCCCATGCTGAATCTGTTAGCAAATATCATGAGATAGTTTTCTCAATTTAAAATCCTCTTATAGGTCGTAATGCAACTGAAAGGATGATGAAGACTTTTGGATCATTGTTGATGGTTCACAATTTTCTCCAAAATCAACTCGCTGAAAAGAATCACCAAAATTGGTGGAACAAAAGTCAATTTAAATCAAATCAAAAAAATTATCTTAATAATAATTGAAACAATTTTCTTGTGATAAGTGGAATGTTACAAAAAATCCAAAACGTTTTTCGTGTCAGTCAAAAGTAATACTTTGGTCTACTTCATGGTTAGTAAGAATGATTAAAAATAATTCAATGATAAGTTAAAATTACTTGATAAGTTAAAATTCAGAGCAATGCTCATTGGAATTAGATTTATTAAAGGATTTTGTAAGTACAGGTTGAATTCTTTTCAGAAACCACATTTCGCAAATTGGTTTGAACGGTATGGTTCATTCATAAGAAAAACATATAAAAAATATTTTAATATTGGCTCATACAACAGCGAATATTAGCGAATATTGTTTTGATCACTGTTTTCTTTCTTTAATGTCCCATTGTATTATCGATCACATGTTTGTCGCTTTTTGTCCAAAACGTGTCACCATAAAGACTGAAGTGTCGATAAATCGCTCCACACAGTTAATAAGACACGTTTCTGTTCTTGAATCGAGCTTGTTTGATGGTTTGTCGATGCATTTTTCCCAACATGTGTCAGTAAACATGTGAACTTGATTTTGAAATTTTGCTTTCTGCTGCTCCACCAGAAGTGCCTCTTGCAGTTGCTTATCTACCTTGTTGTTATCCATAGTATTCTTCTGTATAAAAAATTGCGTCTTTAGTTCGGTTTGCTATAATAAAGAATTTAATGAAACAAGGGTAAATGAGGAAGAATAGTCGAAGTAAACGTTTATTTGCATTCACCAAACGGAATATAATTTTGATTGTCAACTCTTTCAATATTTTACAACTACCATTTCAAAATTATGAAAATTATGCAAAGAAAATTATTCAACTATGCTAGATTATTTTCCAGCGCATGCGTAATACAAAATACTGCACAAGAAAGACGGGAAAGAAATACAATGAAAATAAAAGAAGCGGGAAATGAAACATTTCATTGTAAAAGGATTTAGATTTATGTTGTTTTGAAGTAACATATTGCTATCTTGTGATTACTGGACTCTGTTCGCATATCAGTGCTGTTTTGCAATTTTTCATTTTGTAAGCGGAATGAAAAATGAAGAAAATGGACGAACGAAAAGGTGTCAAACAGTTTATTCACCATTTTGCTGTTATTTCATATTTGTATGTTTGCTCTACCACCGATAAATCTTTTTAAAATGGCATCAATTTGCTTAAAATGTATATTTAGGAAGAAGTTGGTAAATATTATTTCAAAATTAGCCAAAGAACAATCGAACAAGAGCCATAACGATGGAAATGAAGTGGTATGTGCTGTTGTCAACATTGCTAAACATTACCTCAATGGAAGGTAACTGAACTCGCTAAAAGTAGACAGCATAATTTTCATGCACCTAATGGAATGAGTACAATGGGTAACCTGCATTATGTTCTCAGAATCTCAATATAAGCTATATAAACTAAGCCCCCAAATTAATTGGAAGATCTGAGTCTGTTGGTCTTTTACCACATGGCGTTTCCATTTGGTAAGATATTAGAAAAATGATAATGTCAAGTGGATTTTCCAGCTTCGTAGTAGCTTCCCCCATCCAAGCTTAGTGTAATTTTCAAAGGAAAAACTGTCCAACTTTGCTGTCAGGTATAAATCTTAACAATACAAAGGGGCTATGTGACATATAAGGAAGATAGTTCAATTTATGAATGAATATTAAGTTTTACTGAAAATTTGTTTGATGTTTTAAAAAATATTGTGACTTTTTGTTTGAAAAATTATCTTCAATCATGGTGTAAGTTTTAACATCAAATGCTTACAAAGTTTCTGAAAAATTTGTAAATGGCTGAAGCTGAATATACTAAATTGTATAGCTATTAAGGAGATTTCTTAATCTGACTTTTAGAATGATCAATCTTTGTTGGATTGCAACAAGGAAAATGAAGTCCTTGTTGAGAGTACTGCAGAAGAACATATGGATTTAGGTTCTGAAAGGAAGAGCAAAAGGTAGTTTGTTTTTGATTTAAGAAAGTTTTATGAAGAGACTGAGACAAGTGCTGTTATTTTTATCAGAAAACCAGAAAAAACAGCCAAAATTACCCACAACACTTCAATCAATGCCACAACCCAGGTGAAGAACGAATGTGATGATGAATACAATGAAAGTAGTTTCACCATTGTTAAAGTACTTGATTCTGAAGATGATTTTGAGAACTTAACAGACAAAAAGGAAAACAAAATTCAAAATGAATTTGAAAAGAAGAAATCTCGCCCAACTAATGGTAAGGATTTCATATTTAATAAGATTCTATTCTTTCAAAATGTATTTTCTAACTGTTCATTACTAATGAAACAATTAATTTCAGAGTCAATTTCAATATGAATTATGTGCTACTTGTTTTTCTGATATAGATCTCAAAAATGTTCGTTGCACAGCCTGCAATAAAAATATTGAGGTCAAGAAGGGTAAATTTTGCAGACATCCCAGTCTTAATACTTTAATATGTAAGGTAAGCAAATGAAACTCATTTAAACTATCCTTGATGAATACAATCGTTAGTCTAGATCTTTTTGTCCTTTTATATATACTTTTTGTATAGAAATGCTTTAAGTTCTACAGTAGTGGTAAATTCACCAAAGATGAATATGGTGTTGAGGAGTTTTGTGCATGGTGTGCTGATGGTGGAGAACTGATATGTTGTGATTTTTGTGAGAAAGCTTTTTGTAAAAAATGCATAAGACGAAATTTAGGGAAATCAAAGCTGCAAGAACTATTGGATGCCGACGAAGATGAGAAATGGAAATGTTTTTGTTGTGATCCATCGCCCATTTGTCTATCATCAAATTCTGTGATCGAGTAATGAATATGCTGGAGGCAAACAAGGACAGTAAATCACTTTTTAAAGACAAAAAGCTTCGTAATGTTGTTGGCGCACCAACGATAAGTGAGAGACGAAATATTCTCACTGGTCAGACTAAGGAAAGATCCATCGAAAATAACTCAGAAATAACTAAGAAATCAGATTCAGGTGGAAAGTCGTATTCTCTACGTTGCTCAAGGAAATCAGTGGATACAACTAAATGTTCTGAAGATAAAGAAGAAAACGAGGAAGATGAAGAGGAAAGTGAGGAAGATGAAGAGGAAAGTGAGGACGATAACGTGAAAATTATCAGTAAAATAAAGCGATCTGAAGAACAATCTGTTGATGTGAATGTTTCCAAAGAAGAAACTGGTAGTAAAAGGAAAATAAAATCAGAGAAGAAAAATAGAGGTTCAAAGAAATCAGACGATCGTTCTGAAAAAAATAATAACTCAGGAAACCGAAATCTCAGTTTTAAGGGAAAGAAACGTGTTGGTAAGCAAAGGGACTCGAATGCAAGCTCCGATGACGTAAACCACGTTACAAGGAAAGACGGAAAGAAAAAAAAACTTAGCTCAAAGGCGAAACGTAGTATAATTGAAAGTGACTCAACAGATGAATTTGTGCTGTTTAAGAAAAAGAAAAAGTATTTCAAAAAGTTGTCACAATCTTCTGAAGATGATTCAGATGAAGAAAATGGTATAGACGATTCTTCTTCAGACGAGGATTCGAGTGAGGAAGACATTAAAACTCGACGAAAAGATAAGTCAAAAAAAATACGTAAGAATATTTCTGATAGTTCTTCTAGTAAAAGTTCTAGTGAAATTGATTCTTCCAATAAACGCCGAAAGAGGAAGAATAAGAGAAACAGCAAAATTGGCAAATGGAAGCTCAGAGGTGTGCGTGATAAAGATACGGATAGTGAGTCGAATTCTCACATGAATGATGAAAAGAAATCCAAGGGAAAGAAGCGAGTGAAGAAGAGTTCTACCAAAAAAAGGAAAATTAGTGAAGACGAAGATTCATGCAGTGATGAAGACAATGCGAATTCTAATAAAAAAGGTCGAAAAAAAATCAGAAAGATTTTAGATAATGAGAAGCTCACTGAAGCTACTCGTCATGCCCGTCAACTAGAAGAGGAAAGACGTCAGCGATTATTAGAAAGAACCAAGAACACTAATTTTGACAAACCAGACAGCTTTAGTATCCAAGAGCTTGTTCTTGAGTATGGTCCAGACGGTAAAACACCGTTGATTTACGTCCAAAACGATCTCGTAAAGCATTTAAAACCTCATCAAATCGAAGGCATAAAGTTTATGTACGATTGTACGGTGGAGTCTGTTGAACGATGGAAGAATAAAGAGGAAGGTGGAGGATGTATTTTAGCGCATGTTATGGGACTTGGTAAAACATTGCAGGTAAATGATTGGAGAAAAAGACTTCTTTTATTCTTCATCTGTGATAATCATAATTATCATGCTTACTTAGATTGTATCATTGATCCATACTCTGTACATAAGTGAACATATCCAGTTGAAACGCGTCATGGTTATTTGTCCCTTGAATACAGTACTAAATTGGGAGACTGAGTTCGAAAAATGGCTTAGCGTTGACGACAGACTGGATGTAAGTACTATAGAATTTTATATAGATGATATAGCTTTGCGCTTAATACAACATACATATGTATTTTACACTTTTGTGCAAAGCAACATATGTATGTTATGTGTTTTTACCTATCACAGATTACCACTACGTATGTGTGTAAAAAGGCGGAAGATATTAAAAACTTCATGTAGTGTTTAGAAAAATGCAGACTAGCAACTTGTACGTTTCACGCGTTAGCTACGTACGTATGTAATTTCATTTTCATATACTCTCAAATGCTGCCACAAGTTTTACAACTTTTTATTCAAAGTTTCCTGATTGTGTCCAGACTTTCTGCATCGAAACTCATTACGATGCTCCTATTGTACATTATTAAATTTTTAAAATTAACCATTGTTTTCTTCAACATCTTGTGTGTTAAGGTGTATGTAATGAATGAAGCAGGCTCAAACCATTGGCACCGCGCTGATTTTTTAAAGAAATGGATGGATTACGGGGGTATCCTCATTATTGGTTACACTATGTACCGAAATCTCTCTCAGGGTCTTCGCGTCCGCAACAAACGTCTGAAAAAGACCTTTCAAGAGTGCCTTATTGATCCAGGTATTGCAACGTTTAGCAAAAATACCGTCATAATTTTGCGCATTTGTTAAAAAAAGTTGAAAATTTATCTGTAAAAAGCACCAGGACTAATGCCAAGCACCATTAAAAGAAACTGCTTTTTCAAAACTCTTGTTGTTTCTTTAGTGAACATTTGGCCTTTAACGAAGCTTCTATCTCATTCAGATATTTTAAACATTGTAGCAAGAAAAATCAAGTAAATCTTGATTACGTTTGCTATATTTAACCTTTCGCTAACAATTTGTCGACAATATAAATAATTATAAAGTAAATGGTTTGTACCCTGGAGTATAGTTACATGTTTGTAAATGTAGATCGTCCAAGTTGGTATAGTCCTGAGAAGGACTGTTTTTGTTGTTGTTGACTGACGTTTCGACCACCTTAGCGGTAGTCATCTTCAGAGTCAAACAGTCCTTCTCAGGACTATACCAACCTGGACGATCTACATTTACAAACATGCAATATAAATAATTATAGTAAATAGTCAAAATTGAAAACTATTCATACTCTATGAAATCTTGCTTTTCAACCCAGTACAGTCTTTAATTATTATATGGCACCTTCCTTTAGTATCACTAAACTATATTTTGCCTTATGTTTTTAGGCCCAGATATTGTGGTTTGTGACGAAGGTCATGTTCTTCGTAACAGTAAGAGTGCCATTTCAATAGCAATGAATAAAGTCAAGACACGTAGACGAATCATCCTCACAGGAACTCCACTCCAAAATAATTTGTGCGAGTGTAAGTTATCTAGCGTGCGTCATGCTGTCATAGCAAGAAGCCTGTTCTTATCTTGGCATTATAAGTATCTATTAAATTTCAGAATTACCTACATTGATTGCATTCTGTATTTTCATTCACTTTCCCCAGTAGAAATGCTAGTTTTTCATATGATGGAATCATCATCAATATATATAGATATACGTAATTATAGCCTAAACATAAAATGTCATTTCTTGATTTTCTACCCTACAGATCATTGCATGGTGAGTTTTGTTAAACCAAATCTCCTGGGAACGTTAAAGGAATTTTCCAACAGTTTCATACGACCTATTGAGAATGGCCAGTGTGCAGACTCCACTGATTTTGACGTAAAATTGATGAAGCGGAGATGTCATGTACTTCATAAAATGTTGGAGGGCTGTGTTCAAGTGAGTATACTGTAATTTCAAGGTGGGCACGTAATTTTTGAATGCGAAGTCGCGTGGTTTCGAAGTCATGCAGTCAAGTGACAACAAACTGTTGTAGAATAGCGGATTGCTCTCAGCGTCATACCATGAAGATTTTAGTTGACGAGATGTTCATTTTTTATCCAATATCTTTCTGCATTTTAGAGAAAAGATTACAACGAAATTTCCAGATTTCTTCCACCTAAGTTTGAATACGTCATTAAAGCCAGAATGTCTGCGAAGCAACGTGAGATATATCGGTATTATCTCGATACCTTTCTTAATGAGCGTAGTGGAAAAGGTTTGTACAAAATACAGTTAGGATGTTTTTGCGTTGTAAAGTAAATATTGGAGGTGTGTTAAAATTGTGCGAATAAACTTAAATAGAATTTGAAGGGAATAAAAATCTTTACGGTACTTATCGTATTATACCTCCAGGGGTGAGCTTATTCTCTGACTATCAAGCTCTGATGCGAATTTGGACACATCCCTGGTCATTGAAGATTGAGAGCGAAAAAAAAGGCAACTTGAACTTTATCGATTCTGATGAAGGTAGCATTAACGATTTTATTGTGAAGAGTGGAGAGGAAACGACTAGTGATGAAATGTCCTGGTCATCATCAGAAAGATCTTCTGATGAAGGTATGAAGGTTTTCATTCTTCTCACAAACCTGTGATTTTTTCATCTCAGCAAAGATGATATAGGATTATTTTTCCTGGAGGGGTGCTCTATTTTAAATTAGATTTCAGGGGCCACTTTGTCTGTCTTGTCGAGCCTTGTGATATTTTTTTGTTAAGTTCTATCTTTTATGCCATGCTTGGGAGATATTTCTTGGAAATATGCTACATTAAAGTGCCCATGAAAACGTCTCAAAAACACAATACTACGAAAGTTTAGATGATTTTAAGAATTTTGGGATTGTAAATATTTTGTAGAGAATTGGCACCCCTTCTGCACCCCCCTCTAGCCAAAGCTAAGAGAAATGAACTCATCCCTTCCAAATGAATCTATCCCTCTCTGGAGCTCTGACATATTAATGCATTACTTTTAATTATTTATGTACGGCTTCAGTCATTTTGTATATATTATAATGATAAAGCCTATCGCAAAATATAGCTATGTCACGTAGGTATGCTCTGCATTTTATTAAATGTTTTCTTATGTTGTGTATACATATTTTACAATTTGCATAGAAAGTGAAGGCTTAAATGGCTCCGATAAAGCGTCGCATGATGGCGATGAACAACCAAGAAATATAAAAGGCAAGAAAAAAGAAGAAAAAAACGCAACGAATAAAAAAACACCATTAAAGTGTGACCCCGATGGCCCTTCGACATCTAAAGTAATTGACATTGAACCTCACGGCGATGATGAAGCGCAATCCTCAAAGAATTCTGTCAAAGCTGGTGAAGCTTATGCTGGCGATTACAATTCTAAATTACGTTCAGGACAGGAGTATAAAGATGACTCAGTTATCGAAGAAGAAAAAGAATGGTATGATCAATTTCTTACTGAAGAAGATGAAAACAATGTCGAATTGGGCACTAAGATTGTGTTGTTATTGGAAATTCTTGCCGACGCCGCTGCATTGGAGAGAAAGTTCTGGTGTTCAGTCACAGTCTTATCTCATTGGACGTCATTGAAATGGCGCTTGGTGGTGGAAAAGTTGGTGGAAATAGCGAAGACTGGTGTCGAGGATGCGATTACTTTCGAATGGATGGTAGCACAAGCCCACAAATGAGGAAACGATGGTCTGATATATTCAATGATGAAGAAAACAAGTCGTAAGTAGCTTTCTGCCGTCACCTCTTCATAATGAAGCATGTGATACGTACATGCAAGGTGTGCATGAGATGAAGATATGATATAAGTAATTTGTTTTTGTGTACGTGAACTTGCAAATCGGTAATGATAGAAATAATAATCATTTTAAATATTTTCGGTAATCATTTTCTTCCTCTAGGGCCCGCTTGTTTCTTATTTCAACCAAAGCTGGTGGAATTGGTATCAATTTGGTTGGCGCCAGTCGTGTAATAGTGTTTGACATATCCTGGAATCCATCTCACGATGTTCAATCGATATTCAGAACATATAGATTTGGGCAGAAAAAACCAGTCTTTGTGTACAGATTGATCGCAGAGGTAAAAATTTCAGAACACATTACATATTTTGAGGACAACAATATAAAGATAACCGACTGGTAGAGGGAAATGAATATTTCATTAAAAAGTGCGTGTTGTCGATTGATGCAACCATTTATAAATGAATTTGTTTAGGGTACTATGGAGGAGAAGATCTACGATAGGCAGGTTTGTATCGTATTAACACATATGTATTGAATTTGAAGATAATTTGGGAATATTTTACAAGTCTTTAGAAATCGTTGTCTTTTTTTCTGGTTGTGTTCTAGAGGAGGGTTTTCTCTGTAGTGCGTCAGGTTCACGAAATCAAAACAAATGTACATTGTCTATTCATTGTTAAAAGTCCATTTATTGTTCGACTTGTACAGGTGATGAAGCAGTCGATGTCCCAACGCGTTATTGATGAGCATCAAATTGATCGGCATTTTAGTGCGAATGATCTGGCTGAGCTTTATCGCTTTGAGCCAGATGTTTTAGAAAATGAAGACGATAAGCGACCAACTCCTGTTATTCCTAAGGTGATAAAATCCGTGATCTCACATCTGTTCCCCCAAATAGCTGTATTAAATTGTAATATCGTTTTGTAGGATCCTGTTTTAGCAGAATTACTCAATCGTCTTTATCCGAAATGGATTGTAAAGTATCACGAGCACGATTCTTTATTGCAAAATAGACCTGACGAAGAACTCTCTGAAGCTGAACGAAAAGAAGCTTGGGAACAATGGGAGTTAGAGAAGCAGGGGATCCTGAATGGACCTCAACTTCCCGCCGAACAAAGACAACGTATGTGACTTCTTTTCAGGAGATTGAAATATTTGTGAGAGAGAACATATTCTATAGAATGTGACCTCAGTGGATAACTCATTTGAGTGGAAGTTTACTTGCCAAATCACCCACTCGTTAGAGAGTTGACATGGTTAAGAAAAACGTTAGTGAGAAACTTGATTAACCCAAAACACGTTCATTAGCTTGTGAGCAAATAATACATTCAATAGCAGAGACGTATCGAAAAAGAATAGTTTTTTTCATTTTGCATGCTATCAAATTTGTGATCTTTTTAGAAATTTGTGTGTCTATTTCAACAGAACCGTTGATTGGTCCAGGAACGCGTTTTGTGCCTACTAATGCAATGTTCATTAATGCTGTTGGAAATAACATAACTGTCAGAAATCAAGGTGGGATTTATGGACATATTCCTACATCTGGTACTCAAACTTCGGCAAGTTTTCAACAGACAACGCAGGCACAACGACAAAAACTGTTTGAACGGCAAAAGAGTGTTGACGCTCAACATCAGTTACAACAACAAGAACAGCTACGATTACGTCAACTACAGCAACAGCTACTCGAGACACCAACATCACGTCTGCAACAAGAACAACAGAGATTACGTCAGCAACAAGAACAACAGAGATTACGTCAGCAACAACAACAGCATAGATTACGTCAGCAACAAGAACAACAGAGATTACGTCAGCAACAAGAACAACTACTGAGGTTACGTCAGCAGCAACAACAAAGATTACGTCAGGAACAAGAACAACAAAGATTACGTGCACAACAGCTTCAAGGTCAACAATTCTTGCAACAAATGTTGCGAAATCGAAATGCAACCGTGGTGCAACAATCAGGTCAACCAAACCAGACAGTGTTTCAAATTGTGATGCAAAATAACCCTGATAGGACCACGCAGCAAACCACGCAACCTAATCACTCACCTCCACGAATTATCGAGCTTCCTCCTGATGCGTAACGCGGTCATTGTAGGCGATCGTTTTGTGCTTGCATCTGTTCCCTGCCTGACAGTCGAAAGATATTGAAGTTTAAAAATTACACCCAAACACCTCTTTACTGTTTACTCATATCTTCATTTTTATTTATTTTAAATTCCTTGTTGTTTGAACACGCTCCTCCAAATCTAATGTTAGTTTAACTCATATAATGAACTCTATTATTAAAAGGTGATAAATTCTTCTAATTATCCACAATTTTATCTTACGTGCATTTTATAATTTGCCAGGCAAAAGCATGTTACATACGTAAGTTGTAAGTTTTTAGCAAGCCTCGAAGAAGGACACGCGTCACGTGTCACGCGTGGTTTTTTAGCATGCTTTCTGGACCAATCGTTGCACTCGTAATACAAAGAATAAATGTTATAATTAAGAACAATCTGTAAGATGGACGATGTTGAGCAAGATTCTCAACTGACGTCGAGCAATTTGACCACAGAAATCGATGTAGAAGGCGATATTACAGTTCCTGGTGCACCAGATAGTGATGATGAATACAGCACACTGGATGAACCAGTATCAGAAACATTGGTACCGTTTACAACTACTTATTTTCTCTTAATTATACGTGTAATGATATTCAGACTTCGCCACATAGTTGAAGGAAATAGTTATTAAACTTTTAAGTTCAATACGCTTTCTCTAATTTATAAACATTTCAGAAAAGAGATGCAAAAGCAGTTGGGAAGAAATTTTTTCATGTCTTGTGGCCTAGGGAGACGAAGACGTTATTAAGAGAATGTAACTATTGAATTATAAATTCTTGTCATTGATTAGAGACTTAAATATTGCAGTCAAAGAAACAGTACATGCAATACGGTCATACTCGCTGATTCACAACTTTATGGGTGAATTTTTCTTTATACAGTAGTGTGTTCATTGGATTTGTGTTCTCCTTACATGTCAATTCTTATTCATTTTTAGGGGACCTCTGGGGACCACTTATGTTGTGTATTTTTTTGGCTGTGTATGTATTATCTATTGTTATGAATTGAAACAATACAATGCATGAGTTGATTGGTCTATAGATGAGTGTACATGACTTTTGGTCTTGGGTCTGCACTGATCAGCTCTTAAGTTCTCACAAATGTCTCTTCTCTGTTTGCATAAGTTGATGCCTACACAGAAACATCTTATGTTTCGTAAATAGTTTATTATGTACCATATGCTATAAAGATGGATATTTCATGATTTGCCTATGTTGAGACAAGACTAAAATTGATTTTGGGACTTGCTTTTTCATTCAGATGCTTGATTTCAATAGTTATATATGTGCATGTGGTACACTTTTGTTGAATCGTACTTTAAAAAGTTTTGAAAAGATAAAGTATTGTAATCCTTATTGGTAGTTGAGTAGGAATGTGTGTTTTCCATTTCATTTCAGTGCATTCTAAATGCTTATTATATTAAACTTTCTGACCTATTATTAACTCCATACTGAAGTCATTCTTACTCTCACATTTTAAACACTTCAATGCTGAGATTAAAATCATTAAATTACATTTATGTTATGAATTACATATAGGATGCTACAAGGTACGCAAAGTTTTATTTCAAATGAAGCAGCTGGTGGGCCAGAGTTTGCCGAAGTGTTTGTCATTGTGTGGATAGGAGCATCTTTGGTGACAATTAATTCTAAACTTCTTGGAGGAACACTGTAAGATGCACTTCACTAAGTTTTAACTTTATAATTATTATAATACATGTTGGTGTGTTGATTAAGCAATGATAAACTGCACTTTTAGTTTAACTAAGTCATTTCACTCATTTTTGTTGATTTATTTAATAATTAAAGCTTTCAATGAATTTGTTTAGATCGTTTTTTCAAAGTGTTTGTGTTCTTGGTTATTGTGTCCTTCCTCTTGACGTGGCATTGTTGATTTGTCGATTAATACTTTTAGCAAATCAAACTACCATTTTATTTGTCATTCGATTTGGTGTAGTGATGCTGGCATTTGCATGGTCAACATTTGGTAAGTGTTTAATAAATATATTTAAAATTTTTTTTATTAATATTATTCTTTAGTGGCCTATCCAAAATTGCAATAACAAACCTGTGTTATGCAGCTGTATCATGCCGAAGGTAGTTTTGATGTAACCTAATCTCCTTTCTCAAGAGATTTCAATAGTAACCTGAGTATGTTATTGCAATTGAATAATCTGATTATATACTAAGTCATTGATGTAAACATGTAAATACAGCTAAATATGGATTAAATAAGCATGTTTGTCTCACAATTGTTTTGAATGAGGAAATAAATTTTGGTTATGATTTCATTTCAACAGCACAAAGTATCTTGTAACAATACCTTCGCAAAACCATACCAATTTTTCAGAACTTGTAATAGTGTAGAGGTTGTATGTCATCTTTTAATGCAGAAATGTTTTTGCAAAAATTTTGTGATCCTGGTCATCAGAATCGCAAACATGATTTTTCTTTAACTGAAGTTGGCTTCAGCAACATTTAATTTTGGACAGGCTATCTAAACATAATATTGATAGCAAAAAAATAAAGTCCTTAGTTCGGTTAACTCAAATTCATAATTCATTCATCGTGTTCTGATTTTTTGTGACATTTTTTTCATTCTTTGTAGCTTCTGTGAAGTTTTTGGGGGACAGTCAACCAACTCATAGAATGGCCTTAGCTGTTTATCCAATATTTTTGTTTTATTTTGTCATAAGTTGGTTAGTGATTTCACATTAAAGTTATTTAAAGTGGTAAAATTACAATAATTTTCCCATCATGTATGTATATGACTAAAAACAGCATGTTACTTCGCGATACATAGGCCGTCGGAAGTGGGCTCCACCCTCCCTCCCCTCCCTTCGCAATAATTATTGAGACTGTTGGAAAAACTTAAACGTCGCTTTTTAACCAAAATTTTTTCAAACGCAGACGCATACTTGGATCAGCAACCATTCCTTCCAATCTTAATTTGCTTCCGACGTCCCTGAAATTGTACTATTTCAAACTGGTACAACATCTTCTTTAGTACGCATGTACTGTCTAATGTGACAATAGATCTTCAGTACATTCTGCCGTAACAAGTTTAGTTAATTTCAAGTCGCAGGAAATATGAAAAGAAGTTTTGCTATTCGACTCCAGCACAAAATATAAAATGAAATACGTAATGCTACAATTTTAGAAATGTCTTCGCAACATATACTGAGAGCAATTTTAGTATTTTGTAGTTATTTATTATATGATAAGTTTCACCAGTATTTATAGTCATCCTTAGTGAAGAAGAAAATGAAAATTCCAACACACGGTGTTAGTCTCATTTTGTAGTGTGTCACTTCATATGATAGGAAGGTTTGGCTGTTCGTTCAAATGATAGGAAAGTTTGGCTATAAATGTTACTCCAAAAGTTTGATCGAAGTTCTTTGCTATGTTGCGATTCTTTTGAGTGTTCTGACAGTGAAGTACTTGAAAACCAAAGTTCCATTTGCTCTTTACATAATTTTGCTGTGTCTTTGGATCCTTGTAGCAGCGACTGAATTTGCTCAACAATCGATTGGTAACTATCTTTATAACTCATACAGTCCTTCATTGCGATTGCGTTCCTTAAATACATTGTCATATTTGATGATTTCATATGATTGGAAATAATGCTTACTAATGCATATGTTTTCTTTTTTAAAGGGGAAATTGTGGGCAAATCCTAAAATGAGGTGAACATTTCAGACCACCACATGCACCACCATGCAATAAGTTTTTCATATTCCAAGAAATAATGAGAGCAGACGACATTTCGTCATTTTTGTAGTTTTACCAATTAGACTTACCCGAAGCTATTGATTCCAAGCAAAACATCTCCACAGAAATGCAAAAAATCTAAGTAGCGTTGACAAAACGTCAAATCTAATGTAGATAGTTGAAAAAGTAACGTTCGCGGGCATTGCCAAATTTTTTCATAGTTATCATTCTTTTCTTTACAATTGTCTGAAAGAAGCAGAAAATAAGAGTGTCAAGAAAATCAATTCTGGTTGAATCAATGAAACAACATAGTAAGATCTTTATTTGTTTAATAAATACCAAAAATCCACTGGCATATGCAATCTTTCGTATATTCCACGTTTGATTTTGTATCATCGGGAGGAAGAGTTCCTTCCAGCAAATGAATTAATAATCTGACAATAATTTCCATGCCTTTCTCATTGAAAGCAACTACTGAGAGCAGCTCTTTCCCTGAATCGTAGTCGTATTCGCTTTCTAAAACGCAAATGTAACGAACCTTAGTATTCTAAGTACAAAACTTTTTTTATATTAGGGCTGCCAATATCATGTCCTCTTGAATTACTTAGTCAACGCATCTTTTGCAGTTTTAAAAGTACGGGGACTATAATAAAATTGGATAGAAGTACTATACTATATCCCAAAGTAGAATGGTACATTTTACATCATGTTAACTAATGACCAATGTCTGACAAAGGTTTTACATTAATGTCTAAGATATTGTTAACGTTAATTTTCATGAGCCAAAATGTTACTTAAGTATTTCAGCATTAAAAAACAATAGATTTCTAAAGAAACAAAATCAAGTGATAACCAAACTTTTGAGCTGGCAATACCACTGGTACAGATTAGTATGTACATGGATATATAATAATTCAATCAACACACCTCTCTTTCTGCCTAAGGTATCTCCAAGCTTCTGACACAGCAATTTGGCACAAGTATTTGAGCAAATATCTTCAGCAGTGCTATTTTTAGTAGATAAACAGTCTTTAATGCTTGATAAAGTGTGAAATGTTCCTCTGGAATTGCTTATAAAATATGTGTCTTGAATAATTCTCTTCAACTTTTGGTCATCTAACTTTGAAAATTCAACATCATACATTTGAAGAACATGAGAAAATTGCTCTGAAGATAAGTGAGGATTGCATAGTAAGATATTGTGTAGAATTTCTTTTGAATTTTGTAAATCATTAAAATCAGTGATGGAATTTCTGACTTGACCCAAGGTACACATCTGGTTTTTGCTGATATAATCTGACAGGGATGTTGCAATTGATGGTTTATTCCTCAACTTTTTAAACACCTTGTAAAACAAAAATAATGAAAAGAGTATTTCCTTGATGATACATGTTCATGAAAGAAGATACAATCTAACAAATTTTATTTTGCCCTACTCACAACCTTATTTAACCCACTACTTTTAAAATAGCAAACACAGGATTTTATCAGGTAGTGATGCATCTTTTGAAAACATTGACAAAACATTGACATCACAAAAATATTTTTATAAACAAGCCATTAAATCATCCAAGCTCAAAGTGGTGCCCATGGTGCACACCCCTGCATCCCTGATCTGGACCCCCCTTTTGAGTGACAGTTCTTGATGGCTATACACCATGTCATGTCACTAATAAAATAATGGCAACAAACCTCTTCACAATACTGGGCCCATTTTTGTGCACGTTGAAAATTGGACTCGTCCCAGGATATCACAGATCCACTTTTTCCAATTTCAAGTATTTTAAGAAATGTTTTTATGTTTTTCTTTACCTCTTCCATAACTAGGAGAATTATCTGTAAATTAACGTTGAAATCAATAATTTTTTGTGCAAATAAAATTGTTACGAAAAGTTTAGGTAAAAACAACAGCCCCACTACCTATCACAAACAGAAAATCTCCTTCCTTCGTTAGAGCTTAGATTTTCTCTTTTCGTGACGTACACGCGGGACAATGCAATTTGTTGTTGTGTGTGTTGTCTCGTTGTACTCACGGTTGTAGTCTTTGGTTGTGTGACTCTTGTAGTAATGTTAATCCTGTCTGCATGGATAGAAAATTAATTCTTGTTCTTGTCAAAGTGTTGGGAACAAGATGCTTGTATGCGTATCCATCCTGTTCTTACTGTCGGAAGAAGGTTCGAGCAAACGACCAACATAATGGAAGGTAAAAGTCAGACACTCAGATTTGATTTGATGGTTATCGACCATCGTCTGACGTCTGCTTGTGCAATGTTGCCAGGTTTCAGCTAAACTAAAAAAAGTACTGTTCACACAGGATCACACTTTATAAAAGTCAGATTTCATGCATAACGTATTTTTGACATTGTATAGGTAAATAAGTAATTGCTTTTATTTGCATCCATAAATCCATAATCCCAACGAAATGGTTTTGTGGGCTAATGAAATTTTCATTCCTCTTTTAAAAATAGCTCTTCAGGATTCTCATAGAGTGAAAAAATCTCCCAAAAAATGATTTCCTTTAGAATAGTTGATAGCTACAAATGACTTTAATCGCTCAACATGATATTGTAGGAAACTGTAGCTTCACTATAAAATGATGGTAATCTTCATTGCGTCAAATTGCATGTAAATTAATGACAAATCTCTTCAATGTACATTCTCTATATTACATTGATAATCTACCGAATAAATTATTTCTAATTTTTCTCAAGCCTATGGTGCTCATCTTGCAATATATCTTATGATGAAGAAATGGTTGATTACAGATATCATGTGAATTTAAATGTATTTGATGGTCAATCTTTTGCTAATGTTACTATATTTGGCGAATGCTGGAATGCATTTTTTGGACTGAATGCCACAGAGTTTTGTAGGTATGATTAAAAGTTTATGATATTTTTGGAACCAACAAAATCAACATTTACGTATGGTCAAACTAATTTTGGGCCTTTTATATTTACTAATGATTCACATCTACCGACCAATAACAATCTCCCCATATATAATCTCCCCTAGAAGGCATTTTCCTTGGCAATTTAAGCATGAATTCTTATTTCTATTTATATTATGTTAACCATGACATTCATGATTCATTAGGTATGTTACAAAATGTGAAACTAAGGCCTCCATTAAGGGAGTTGATATGAACCAGGCGGTTCATTCAGCCATGGAGAGATGTTTGGTCGGTGAAATGGTGAAGCTTGCTTTTCAGGTAACACACAATAGAAATTCTTTGCCCTCTCCAAAATGTACTCAGTTTAACTCAACATATAAAACACCTGAACTATTGGCAAATGGAATTTATACAGTTGAGGCTGGAGATCTTAGACACAATTCCATTTTTTCCTATGTGAATGAATATCTTAGTACATTTGAAAAGACTGCTCTGTCCAATGTTTCAAATAATGAGTCAGCATCCTCACTGAAAGACAGTAAATGGATGGAAGAAAAAAATGGAAACATTGACACCATGTTACCACGTGATCTCTTTTGTGACAGTCTCAATGACACAAACTTCCTATTTTCTTTGGATTACAGTAGCAATACAGTTGAGCACAAAGATGGAACTTCAAACATTTCCTTTGATTGCACTGAAAGTCCTACATTAACTCGTGCAGATGATGACGTAAAGGACGTGAGAATAGAAAAATCTGTATTTTATTTAAGTGACATAAACCAGTCAGTTAGTTACGCTACCGATAAAAATCAACCGCTTGTAATGACTTGCTTAAGTATGAAACATCATAGAAATATCTCTGAAGTCGAAGGTTCCCCGGATTTATTTATCTCGCTGAAGAAATCTCAAGATTTTAATGATGATTTTCCAAATACTTTAAAAGAATCAGGAAGAAAAAGAAAAACGTGTGATAATATCATATTTGATTCTTTATTTTCCGAAGACTTTGATGCTTTCATTGCAGACATCAGTTCAAGTTGCTTTATGACAAAATCATTGAAAGCTGAAGATAAATCACCTTCAGTAGACAGCACATTTTATGGTGTCGAAGATTCTAAGTCTCAATTAACCAGCACACCATGCGGGGTAAACAATTGTATTCCTTTCTCGCGTATTTCGAATGGGATAAAATGTTCTCCAATTTGTTTCAAATCAACTCCTAAATCTCACCTGATTTGTTCTCCCCACGTTCGAGATATGAATCCAAATAGAGATGGAAAGAAAACATCAAGAAATTTACAATATTGTAATTCTCCAAAATAACAGTTTTCGTGCTATTTTTGCAATATATGTATTACCTCCAATTAAATGTTATCAAAAGCCAAGAGGTGAGAGACCAAAATCGAGTTAAGAAACATGATGCAGCTTTGTTCAAAACAAATAAAAATTCATTAGTCAAACATGTGGAATCTTACACAAATGAAATCCTATTTTAACGACTGCTATAATCAACTGAGAAAATGACAAGGGCAGAAACTTGAAGATTTAGGTAAAAAAGATAGCTGTTGTGCATGAAAGGCAAAATATCTTGAACAAATTTGATCTTTTTTTATCTGTTACTGACTCGAATTTCTCATTAGCGAACGAAGACATAAGCAAATGCGCTGGCGTTATTATACATAATGTATATGTATATTTCTTATTGACTTCTGTGATTGAGATTGCTCTGTCTCATGTCTTGATCATAAGTTATGTATCGTTACGAGAATGTACGTACATACGTAGTTAACTAGTTATCGCCAGTCTTCCTACTTTTCACCCGGTTATAATTTTTTCACAAGATCAACCTTCAGCCGATTGGAGGGGCGAAGCGCCTCCTTGTTGCCCTTCCCCTGTTGTCTACGTGACTGAATGGAGAGGATCGAGGATCTTAGTTCAAGAGTAATGTATTTGTTTCATGGATAAAAAACTTTGCAAAATGTCGACATAAAAATGTAAAACATTTTTGTGTATCAGTAATAATTTTGACGTAAAGTCACGGGAAAGATTCTCAAAAAAGTCATGTCTTGGCGTCATAACCTATAAATATCAAAAATTAAGACAAAAAACTGGAGCTCTTGTCTTTAAATGGAAGGGACAAGTCTTCTGTAATGTATGTGATTGAGGTATGTATATAAGATTTGTATAAGATTCTTATATTACGGTAGATAATCCCATAAACATCCTGGAATATATTTATCCTCACTTAGGGACAGTTGGTCTAGACAACTGTGAAGGGACAAAATTGTGGATTTGGTGGATTCTAAAGACGACTTCCCAGCTCTGCACGAAATACAATCCCAGCGACAATTGCTTGGCGAATGTATTATTTTACACACTTCCTTTGAATCAAAGAAAAATGAAAAATACAGAGACGCTGCCTTTTACAAAGACTCTATTTTGATTATGCTGTAAAAGACAAATTTACGCATTCTGATTGGCTATACTCTGAAGTAAACGTGAGTAATGTTCGAGAGTCGAGAAATGTCATAAATAAAGAGTATGGAGTAGACCTCTGCTCTCGACTCTCGACGAAATTTACCCTCGATCCCCGTTTTATTATTCCTTTACTCTCTGCAACGGCTACAATTACTAAACAGCGTGAGTCAGAAAATTTTAGTTTGATTGGTTCTCTTCCTAATTCAAACCAGCACTTTTCACAATAATTTGCACGTCTGACCTTAACATCCATTTATATCTCTTGTGCGAATTTCAAGAATAGATCGAGTCGATAAAAAGGAAAAATATACGACGCCTCAAGAAATACGTCTGTACATGTTGGTCAATCTTATGGAGAATGTTTGTTAGGTTCGTAATCTATGATTAAATTTGATGAATTACGTGAAATTGATTGTTGTTTTCAAGAATAGATTAGAACGGCAATCACTGCATAACTACGCAGTTATCCTTTCTAAATGTTGCAAGTATAAACTATTTATTTTGTTGAATATAGAAAGTGAAAGCAACTTGGTCTGCCCTTGAATGATTTATAAAAGTTATGGCCGGGAATGAAATAGGCGGTATGTTGCTATGTTTTTATTTGCATTGTTCGAATTCCAAAATCTATTAGTTTTTCAACGCTGAAAGAAAATCAAAATCGAAAGCGACAATTGAGACGGCGTTTCCAGGAATAGAAAATTTTCATTATGGAAATGTTGCAAAATAGAAAACAATACATGACATACTTCTTTCGAGAAACCACGAATTTCTAAAATATTGTTTTGAAAATAACAATGTTTTAGTATACTTCAAGCATGAGATACGGTACCTAAAATGTGCTGTTGAATAAAGTCGTGTATCGATATACAATAAAATGCCTAAGATTCGAATTTATTACAAAAATTATTGAAAATTTGAAAGAATATTTTCTGTGGATCTCCACAGCTTTTGAAAAACGAATGTCAAAGAGAAATTTTTAAGCCGGTTTGAACCCTAATACACAGCAACTTAATGACACGTTGCACAATGACACACATTTTCGCTGCTATTTGACATTTACCGTATACAGATTTTGCTTACTATTTATACACATTAGTTTTAAGTCTTCTCGACGATTTGTGTGATTCAGCTCGTTGCCACACATGCTCAAATAATTTTATTAATAACGTTCGACCAAGCGAGCTATTTACTACGAAAGTAGTGCAAACACTTGCAAGTAGATCTAGTTTGTAGTTGCCATGACCATGAACTAGATTATGAAATACGTCATACTCAAAGAAAAGCACTTAGAGAAGTTTGGCACAACAAAATACTTTGTGAAAGGAATTCAATTTAAATCCATCAAGAATGATTATTTATTGGAAAGTTTTGAATCAAATTATGCCACCAAAGAACAACTAAATATTGTCAAACAAAGTGTTATTTGTGTCACGTCTATCACGCGACTTATTACTACTAAAGCGATGATTCATATTGTGTGTGACGACAGGTATTTCATTTGGTCAACGTCGTCCTCCTCTTACTGAACTTATTTCAAGCATTTTGCAAAGATATCCTGATGGAGGGCAAATATTAAAGGTACAGTTCGAGTTATAACTGTGTATACCGTAAACTAGGTTGTGTTACAAAAACTATATTGATAAGGTTTGATTCGAACGCATTTCTTTTTATAAAATAATATAAAATAAAAACAATGAAACGCGTGCGGTGATTGGTCTAGAGCCGTGTTTGCATTAGCCTGTGCAAAATACATCTGAGCTCAACCAATCAAATCAATCTAAACAATCAATCAGTCAAAGAGAATTTGCAAATCGATCATGAACACATTTTAGAGGAAAAATTAAAATGTTTGTCTTTTTCGCATTATTGTTATTTTATAAAATAAATAAAAGACGTTATTCGTGTTTGCACTGTCTTACGCAAACTTCGGAGACGTTTGTGAGAACTCTTGAGCATGTGCATTTCTCGACCTTCGGTCTCGGGCTTGCACTGATCTGCTTTCGAGTTCTCCCAAAGGTCTCCTCGGTTTGCATAAGCCTGTGCAAACACAGTAAACATCTTTTATTTCTTAAAGAGTACATAACAATGACTGGAAAGAACAACTTGAGTCAAAACAATCTTGTGTTGTGGTATAATATAAAAACTTGAACTCTGTACATATCTGTTCTCCCATATAGGAGCTAATTCAAAATGCTGATGATGCTGGAGCAACAGAAGTGAAATTTCTTTACGACAATAAAACGTACGACAAGAATTCACTGATTACCCCTGAGTTGGGAAAATTCCAAGGTCCTGCTCTCTACTGCTACAATGATGCAATATTTAAGAAAGAAGATTGGGAAGGGATACAGAATCTTATGCGGAGTAACAAAAAAGAAGATCCTCTTAAAGTTGGACGATTCGGAATCGGATTCAACTCAGTATATCACATTACAGGTATGTATTAGGCTCAGTGACATTTTTTTGTAATCGATTAAAGGTTATCGACGTTAGGTTTGAAGGTCTGAATATTTATCGACGATATGGAAACTTTTTTGAAAACGTTTTCCCCCGTCTTTTGAGATTTATTTCTGGAGCCACCTAAGGTAAGCGTGTGTTTAATAATGCATCAGGATTTTCCTCTTACGTCGCAAGATTGATCAAATCAAGCGTGAGTAGCACAAAGGCTTTTAACCAATCTTAAATCGCAAGTGAGATTGTAGTGCCTCGAGTTTTGTTGCTGAATTTGCCAACTATTAATCAATACAACCAAATCCCGACGAGTGAAGCCTCTGTGAACGTCTAACAGGCGTCTCGTAGTTTTAACAGTCAACGTGCACTTTAAAAATATTTTACGAAACTATCAGCAAGTGAATTAGCTGTATTACAAGTTTTTACAATATGATTTTATTAGATGTTAATTGAGCGATGCATTTTATCATTTTTGTCTGACTATTTTTGAGCGGTAGTATTACAATATTATAATATACATCATCAAAATGAGGAACGGTGTTATACATTATGAAAAACTGCAACGGTAATAAAAGTTAGAGTGAAATACTTTGAATCTTTTCACTGCTTTTTAAAATTGTCTCACTAGTTTATTGGAAAAGTAAAACGGACGGTGCAAATAAGGTTTTCTATATTGATTTTAATGATCTGCTTTTTTCTTGTACAGATCTACCTGGTATTGTTAGTGGAACTAACGTTGCCTTCTTAGATCCTCATGAAGTATTTTTTGGAAGAGGTGAGTCTGGTCGTCGGTTTGATGTACGAAATAGATTGCTTCAGCCATCCTTAAAAGATCAATTTGCACCTTTTCATGGGATATTTGGTTGTGACTTGTCAAATTTACTTCCTTACGAAAACACACTTTTTCGTTTTCCGTTACGTACAACCACAGACTCTGATCTTTCAAAAACAATATACAACGAATCAATGATTGATGAATTATTTGAATCACTGCGTCAAGAAGCATCCATTATATTACTTTTTCTGAAGAAGGTTGAGAGCATTAGTATGTACAAGCGTAATGATGATGGTAGCATTGATTCAATCTTTAAAGTGACAATATCTGATGATACAATAGGCGAAGTTCGCGCCCAACGTACAAATTTGCTAAAAGCTGCTGTTAATACTCAAACAACTGCCGAATCTCAATACGCTCTCAACATTGTAATAACGACTGGAGATCATATTTCACAGAAGAAATGGTTTGTGGTAAATTGTATTGGCTCGAAAAATAAGCGGATAATTACTTTACGATCAAAACTGTGCTTGCTGCCTTGGATAGGGCTTGCTTTGCCTGTTGATGAAGAAGAAAATACTGCTGATGGTAGAATATTTTGCTTCTTACCTTTACCACCAGATGTTGAATGCAGAACCGGTCTTCCAGTTCATATTCATGGCTACTTTGGCTTAACAGACAATAGACGAGGGCTAACTTGGTCTGGTAGGGAATGCCAAAATAATGAAACGGCCGAATGGAATGAATTGCTGCTTAAAAAAGTTGCCAGCTCTGTTTATTGCAAGATGTTAAAAGCGCTAACTGCCAAACAACCATTTATTTGTCTTAGTGAGATCAAGAAAAGTGAACTTTTATATGCAACAATGCCCGTTGCAGAAAGGGTAATAGGACACTGGAAGTGTATGCTGGACCCAATTTTACAGCAATTGCCAAATTTACGCGTGTTTTTTGCAATTAAAAATTCTAGAAATAGTTGGATTTCTTTAGAAAATGGTGTTCTTGATCGTCTCCTTCTATCTGGGATTTCGTCTGAGACGCGTGCTGTGATCCTAAAAGTTCTTGCCCAACAGTACGATGTTGTCACAAATCTTCCTGATCATGTCCTCGATATAATTCGTTGTAACTTCAAAAATGTTACAGAGATAACACCAGCGCTCATTAGGCGTGTTTTGAAGGAACAGGGAGCCTTAATGGTAGAAACTTCCCGTGTCGATAAAATAATTCTTCTTTCGTATGTTTTGCTTGACGGTAAATTGAAGGATATTTCGGGTGTACCTCTTTTGCCTTTGGCTGACAAGACATTTTCCACTTTTTGTCAACACAAACATTCATCGAATCCCAAAGGCTCTGTATTCGTTCCAAAGGGAATGTGCACTATAGATTTACTCCCCAACATGAGCAATCGCTTTCTCGATACCAGTCTACCAGAGGATGTTTTAAAAGGGCTAACTGAAGCAGCCAAAAAGCCTAATAAACCAAAGGTCAAAAGTCCCACTCAGCTGGTTCAATTAACTAATGATATCGTTTTACAGAGCATTCGGGATAGCTTACCCAAAAAGTGGCTTGGAGGTAAACGTGATAAAGTTTCGTGGCACCCTGGATCGCAAGATCACCCCCCTCGAAGCTGGCTTGAAGCCATGTGGAATTGGATAAATAAATCCTTTTCATCGTTGAACAAATTTGAAGATCTACCTTTGTTACCAATTGGCAAAGAGCTTGGTATTTTATCAAGAAATTCCAAGTTCATATTTCGTCTACGCGGTACTTCTGCTGCTCTCCCTTCTCATGTTCAAAGCTTGATTATAGATTGTGGTTGCACAGTTTTTGAAAGCTTGCCTTCTTTTATTCAGATGCGTGAAGATATCGAAACATACGTGGCTCCACCCACTCCTTACGGTATTTTGCGTGTACTTGGGCAAGTTTCTTTAAGTGTTGTTGTCTCTGCTTTTAAAAAGATTATAACACCCGAAAACTGCGTGGTTTTTCAAGAATTCTTTTCAAATTTAACGAATCCAATTTCAAGTAGTAATTTGAGGTTACTACAACAGTTACCACTATTTGAAACTCTTCATGGTACAGCTACTAACGTGGAAAACAACGAAGCTGTATCCTATTGGACAACGCTAAAGTTACCATCCGATTTTCAACTATCACAAGATCTTGCCATTATTCAATCGTCCAATTTGTTTGTTCAGAAGCTTTTGGAGTTACTTGATGTTCGAATTCTGTCCATGGCGGACATGTTAATAAAGTATATCTTTCCTGATGTAAAAGGAAACCTTTATGGCAATGAGCAGGTTACTATACTCATGAAATGGGTTTTTGATAGATTTGAGTTTTTACATTCTCAAAATGTTACGTTTTGTAGCGAGCTTCAAAATCTGAATTTTGTGTGTACCAGTAATGGTTTGAGAAAACAACCTTCTGAACTTTTTGATCCTCAAGATCCAATCCTCTGTGATGTACTGGACGGAGTCGATGATGTATTCCCTTCTGAATATTTTTCCACCTCGCAGGTCATTTTAAAGCTACATTCGTTGGGTCTTAAAACAAGAACAACCATTACGTCGAGTGATATTCTTGAATTTGCCAAAATTATTGAAAGATGTGGCCAGTCCTCTCCTTTAGTCAATAAAAAAGCGCGTGCTTTGATGAAGATTTTGAATGAAAAGTGTTTAGATGATAGTTTTTCCTCGTTAAAAAATGATCTTAATGAAGTAAGATGGATTCCATGCTCAACATCTCGCCCAAGTAATTATCCCGATTTTGTGCAATGGTACAACACGTCAGATTTATTACTTCCTTCTGAAGTTCGAAGTGTAACTAAAGCACTCCTCGTCGGTTCTTCAATGCCACTAGTTGCGTTAGATATAGATTGTTCGGTGGAAGAGGAGTTGGGCTTCAATAAAAATCCACCTTTGGTAAATGTAATAAAGCAACTCAAAAATGCCATCGAGAGTTGGGAAAATGGCGAAGAGCCTGTAATATCATCTGAAACAACTAAATTCGAACAAATGATAGTTGGAATTTATCATCATCTTCTCACTTTAGAGTTTGAGAATATTTCTTCTGAACTTGAAGAAGCTGGTCTAAAAAAGTGGATATGGCACGGAAATGGTTTTTGTGCACCTGAAAAAATTGCTTTAAAATCAGATTTCAATATTGATCTTAGTCCACAATTATTTCTTTGTCCAAAGAAGTTGAATAAGAAACTTAAAAAACTCTTCCTGCGACATGGTGTACGGGAAAAATTTTCAGATGAAGATATTCTTGGAGTTTTGGAGTGTATTAGGATGAAACACAACGAACGTAGACATTCATTACATGAAGTAACTCATGATTTGACCATTTGCAATGCTATCCTACACTGGGTCGTTAAAAGTGGCAACGTTCTTGATCACTCTTTACAAGAAAAAGTTCTTGTTCCTGTCCAGAGTAAGCACGATGTATTGCTTCTTGCTGCTTGCAAGTCCTGCACTTACTGTGACAGGAATTGGTTGCGTAAAGGTGGATCCGAATTACAAATTCCTGGAAATTACCAAGTTATTCATAGTTCAGTTTCTGATAACGTTGCTAGACTGTTAGGAGTTCCAGCGCTTAGCACGTGTCTTTTATCAGCAGAGACTCTTGGATTTGAGCAAACTGGACCTTACGAATCAATAACTAATCGAATAAAGACTGTTCTCCAAGAATACACAGAAGGAGGAATCTTCAAAGAATTAATCCAAAATGCTGACGATGCTCATGCAAATGAAGTTCGGTTTCTGGTTGACTGGAGACACGGTCCTAAGGAAAAGCTCCTGTCACCTGATATGGCTGCCTGTCAAGGACCAGCTTTGTGGGCATATAACGATGCTAAATTTTCAGATCGAGATTTTGAAAATATCAACAAGTTAGCAGGAGCGACAAAAGTTGACGAAGTTGGAAAGATAGGGCGTTTTGGTCTTGGCTTCAACGCTGTTTATCATCTCACAGATGTCCCAAGTTTTGTCAGTCGTGAATATTTTGTCCTGTTTGATCCAAATACCAATCACATCGGCAATCATATTCCAAACAAGTCACGTCCTGGCATTCGCATCAATCTCGCTAAAAATCCGCATCCATTATCAGCATTCGAAGATCAGTTTCAACCATACAATGATGTTTTTGGTTGCAAGACCAATTTAAATGCGGATGCAGAATTTGATTTTAAAGGAACATTGTTTCGTTTTCCATTCCGCACTTCAGTTGAATCCAGCAAAAGTGATATTTGTCAAAGTATTTACAACCGACAGAAAGTGGTCGAAATTATTGGCACTTTTAAAGAATGTGCATCATCTCTGTTGCTTTTTACTCAACACGTCCGTGATGTCCAGCTCTTTGAGGTAGAAGATGGGTCACAGCCCAATGAAATGAAATTGCTCTTATCTGTTTCAAAACATACTCAAGAAATGCTTTCAAGTGGTAGTTCTCTGTCGTTTATTGAAGAATGTTCAACGTGGTGGAAAAGCAAGTTGAATCATTCCAGTATGACCATGCCTTCTCGATGCGAGTCTATTGAAATATTGACAAAAGTAATGAAGTCTGAACTTATGTGCAGTAAAGGAGATGATAAAAGTCATGAAAGATGGTTGATCGTTTCTTCTGGAGGTTGCGGAAAATCAGTGGAATTAGCTTCTGGTGAAGGTGAACATCGTGGTCTTTTACCTTGTGGTGGAGTGGCAACACGTCTCAGCTGTCCACCTCACGATTCTGTGCAAAAGTCACGGGTTCAGGTTGAGACTGTTAGTGGTGAGGCATTTTGCTTTCTTCCGTTGTCCATTGCTACAGGGCTCCCTGTTCACGTCAATGGCTACTTTGCTGTGACATCAAATCGCCGTGGAATATGGGAAAGAACAACGTCTCAGCAAAATCAAGTGCTTGAAGTCCGATGGAATGAGTCTCTCCTGGAAGATACATTAACGAATGCGTACATTCAGCTGTTAAATTATATGAAGACTCTTCAAACACTTGATTATCCCTTCTATATGTTATGGCCTGTATATTCCGATCTCCACTCTGCTACGTGGAGTCGTTTGGTGGAAAGTGTGTATAAAAGAATAGTGTCTCGTGATTTGTCGTTATTTCGCAGTAATGATAAATGGATGACTATCAATGAAGGTTACATCTTAGATACTGAACTGAGGAAAGTACCGGGAGTACATGATACAATGGAAAAGCTGCAGAAAAATGTGTTTGATATTCCTATTCACATTGTCTCTACAATGGTGAAAGCAGGTCAAAAGGAAGCTGTTCATTGCAGTACCATAGGCTTTAAAACTTTTCTCGTGGAGATCTTCCTGCCACAAGTTCAAAAAATACCATGCAGTACTCGTGATCAAATAATTTGCTATACACTGGATTGTATTGTCAGTGGTAGAACCGAGTTCTCAGACTTTCTTAATAATAAGGCGTGTATCACATGCTCTCGTGATGGAAAATTCTTAGCACTTCCATCACAACTAATAAATCCAAATGGAGTTGCTGCTAGCTTGTTTACAGAAGAAGATCATCGATTTCCTGTGGGAGAATGCTTCACAAAAAATAGCCGAATGATTGCTTTAGAAAAACTTGGAATGAAACATGATACAATACCCTGGTCTGATATTTGTGAACGAGCAAAAACAGTTAAAACTCTTGCATTGACTAGTAGAGTTAAGGCTATTGAGCGAGTAAGACGTTTAGTAAAATTTCTTAAAGATAATTACGAAAAATTTTCTGAACCGTCTCAGGACTACAAAACACAGCTTCGCCATACACAGTTCTTACCTTTCATTTCAAAATGCCCAAATGACTATGAACTTCCGTGGGAAGGTTCAAAGTTTAATAAGGAGGAATTTTTTGCCCCTGTAAACCTTTTTGTACTCGCGGAAAAATATTTAGTTGGTTCTAGCAGCATTATTGTCGATGAATCAGATGAAACTGGTTGCGGAAAACTTGGTCACTCACTCAAGATTTTACTTGGACTTACTAACCGCACTCCATCAATAACAGAAGTTTTTCGACAACTTGATTGTGCAATTGAATCCAGCCAAAATTCTCCCGGCAAACGGAAGGCTATTGACAACGTATGTAGAAATGTCTATAAATTCTTTAATAACATCATCTCCAAACCTCACAATTTATCGAATACTGAAGCGAAAAATGTACTTCAAGAACTTAATAAAAGAGAGTGGTTATTCATCGAAGGAAAATTTGTACCTACTGAAAAAGTGGCGATGGACTGGAGTGGAAACGGTGTTCCTTATCTTTATTGCTTACCATCAGACTATCGAGAAAACTACGGAGAGCTTGCTGAAAAGGCTGGTATTAAGACGAAATTTTCTCATAAGGATTTCATCAATGCATTAAGAGAATTGAAAGCACAAAAACATGTTTCCCCATTAAATCCAAACGAAATCAAACTTACTCTGTGTTTTGCATCAGCTCTAAGAAGCTGCAAAATTGATTACTCCGAGCTTGGTCAAATTCCTTTACCAGACAGCAATAATGTGTTATGTGTTAGTGAAGAGCTGACAATAAATCTCTCATTCTGGCTTAAAGACCGTGGCGACGCTCGTTACGTTCACGAAGATGTTCCCACTCGACTAGCTCTCGATCTGGGTGCAAAGTCGCTCCAAAATCGTCGACTAAAGAAGTACTCCAGAACTATCGGGTTTTCATTTGGCCAACATGAAAAGTTAACTGACCGTCTGAAGAACATTATGAAGTCGTACCCTTGCGATTCGGGAATCTTAAAGGAGCTTGTACAAAACGCTGATGACGCTGGAGCATCTGAAATTCATTTCATTCATGACACAAGGAAGCTTCCCCACGAAAAAGTATTTACGAATCATCCTGAAGAGATACAAGGGCCTGCACTTTGTGTTTTTAACAATAAGACGTTTACTGAAGAAGATCTTGAAGGAATTCAGAAACTAGGAATTGGCAGCAAGACTGATGATCCAGAGAAAACTGGGCAATATGGAATTGGATTCAATGCTGTCTACCATTTAACTGACTGCCCAAGTTTTTTGTCCAATAATGAAACACTTTGCTTTCTTGATCCACACTGCAGATATGCGCCAGAAGCAACAGAAGATTCACCGGGTGAACGATTTGATAATATTGACAATGATTTCAAAGAAGACTTCAGCGATATTTTCCTTGGTTACCTTGGTGAGCATTTCAGTTTGAATGGAGGTACAATGTTTCGTCTTCCTCTTCGAACATCGTTATCTTCATTTGAATCTCTGATATCAAGGAATGTTTTTGGAACGTACACATTCAAAAAACTATTTGATAAGTTTGCGATTGAATCGAAGAAAATGTTGCTTTTTCTCAACAACATTACAAAAATTTCTCTATCCGAAATCGACAAAGATGGGAAACTGAAATTAATTTATAACGTGACAGCTGATGTGGAGCAAGACACCGAGAAAAAACGAAAAAATTTTACCGACGTTATGAAAGAAAGCAAAAATCTTTCCACCTGTGATGTTCCTCGGCATGGAGTAACTTATCCACTTGTAGTCTCAGATTCTAAGAATATTCAGGAAAAATGGCTCATTCATCAATGTTTTGGTGTTTCAGACCAGACTCAAACAGAATCTCAGCCAAATGGACGTGAATACGGCCTTTTTCCTCGAGGGGGGATTGCTGCACTTCTATCAAATACTCCCAAAGAAACATCTGAATATGTTGCATATTGCTTCTTGCCATTACCTGTGCAAACTGGCTTACCTGTTCATGTCAATGGACACTTTGCGCTTGATTCTTCACGGAGAAATCTTTGGAACGATGTAAATGAAAACAGTCCGCTGAAAAAATGGAATGACTTTATAAAAAGAGATGTTCTTGCTCCTGGATATGCTACATTGATTTACGAAGCACGAAAATACATACCATTTACTGATGAAGGTGTGGCTACCAACTGCTTAAAATTTTCGTTTGCAAGTGAAAGGGATGCATCAAATGGACTTTTCTGGTACTATGGTCTTTTCCCTTCTTTTAAAGATTCTTTCTGGGATATTTTAACTCGTGAAGTCTATCGCTACTTATATTTGAAAGAAATGGAAGTTCTACCCGTCATTATTTCAGATGACAAAGCTCAAACTTCAGAAGCATCTGCACAATTAAACCAAACGCCACATGCGGAGTCTAAACCTCAAATAATTCGCTCATGGCGTGTTGTTAATGATGCGTATTTTTATGACTACAAAAATCAAACAAAAGTTGACGAAAAGAAATTGTTCAAGATTTTGCTTCGTATGCATCTCCCTCTTTTGCTTTTCACACAACCTATAGTGCTAGATTCCTTTCAAAAGAGTGAAATAGAATGCAAAGTGTTGACACCAGCAAATGTTATTGAATTTATTCGAACCTTTGCTGATCCAAAATCACAATGTGTTATTGGAGACCTTCCTGCAAATGTGTCGGAAACTACGATGAACAGCATTGTTGACTTGAAGATGCTTTTAGAATACTGTAAGATGGAGGAGAAATTTCCCGAGATCATGCAAGGCTTGCCTCTTTTAGTTACAGCAGATGCCAGCTTGCGTGTATTTGATGTCAATAATCCAGTTTATCGTTCAAAGTTTAGCGATCTATTTCCTCTAAATGCAGATTTGTTTGTTCATCAAGATTTAGTGAGCTACATTCCTAACATTGAATGCCTTCCAGAAGATCGAGTAATGATGCCGTTAACTGTCGAATCTGTGAACAAACATCTTCCTTTGATTTTTCCTGAACACATGAGAGGCAAATCAGAGCATATTTCTTTCAAATACCCGGAGAACGGTGCATTATCAAGAAAATGGTTTCAGCGACTGTGGCTTTTCTTGCAAAAATACACATCACCCGGTGCTTCGCTTTCAGTTCTTGGTAGTTGGCCTATAATTCCTACAGTAAACGAAAAATTAGTTACCATTCATAATGGGAAAACCGTACTTGATACTACACCACGTCGCAATGAAACTGCCCAGGCAAAACATGTTCGGGATATTTTGGAGAAGTTGGATTGCCCAAGATTGAACACAGAAATAACCATGAACAAAAACCTAGCTCCACCTTCCCAAGACATTTTCTCTACTGTTTCTAACTTTTTTGAGAGGTTTGGCTTATCTTCAAACGCAACAAAGGATGGAGAGCGTGTTACAGATCAATATGTTTCGCAGCCTCATAATGTTGGTGATGTTCTTCAAGTACTTGATTTTATGAGAATGAAAGAAGAGTTAGATATCTCCATACTGACCAAAGAAGATTTAAGAACGATTCTCAGTTTTGCTCAAAATGACTTGGAGAATTTGGAGTGTAAACATGCTGTTATTTTAAAACGTCTACCGATTCATTTAGGAATTGATGGGTCTTACTTCAGTTTATCTCAATATGCACATTCCTGTGTGATCCCACAAGGTGTTCCAACTGAAGAAATCGCAAGACTACAACGACACACAGATTGTATTTTTCTTGACGCAATGTCGTCTACTCTACTTCCTGAACTCTACAATTGGCTTAAAGTTGGTGTGGAAATAAGTTTAGTCGATTTTTATAAGAATCACATCATTCCCAATTTTGCCATTTTTAGTAGAGAAAGTCAAGAATCATACTTAAAGCACATTAAGAATGATGTTTTGCTTTCCTGTAACTTAGGGAACAAAAAAATTTTTACTGATGTCATGACTGAAAGTTTACTGATCCCAGGAGACGACAACCAACTCCACTACGCTCGAACGTTTTATGACCCAAGAAATAAAGTTTTCAAAGCAATGCTAAACGAGGACTCTATCTATTTTCCTCCCAAACTTTTTCATACTGATGACTGGCTCGACTTCCTGTGTGAAATTGGTATGAAAACGAAAGTTGAAGAAAATCAATTCTTAGAATTTTGTAACCAAGTTGCTGCCTGTGCTTCTTACGATCGTGAAGTCAGTGAAAAAAAATCAAAGAACCTTCTTTCTTACTTTTTTGAAAATGATCATCTCCGTGGTAAAGCCTTTATGTCTTCACTCTCAAGTATACGATTCATTCCATCTGAGAAAGTAGAAATGAGTTATCTATCATTACACAAACAATATGAGTGTACTTCTGCAGACTGCCAACCACCCTTTGTTAAATTTTTTGATGCAGTGCCTTGGGAATACCGTGCTCTTACGTGGACCAGCGCTCAACTTCTCCCGGTGGAATGTATCCTCAAGAAAGAGTTGCTTTGTTATTTGGGAAGCCAAGAAATACCATCTGTCAAGACAATCGCTAGTCATCTTCAAAATCTTTCTTCCATCCTCACTGAAATAAGTTCTAGGAACGAAGTTCTCCCTCAACCTGCCTTCCTCATGAGGATTATGGATTCTATTTACAAAGCATTATCAGAAAGATTAGTATGTCGTGATGAAAAAGATATCTCAGAGAGATGCAGTGCAGAGTGTAAAAGCATCGGTTTAAGAATGAAAAATGTTCCATGTATTTTGGTAGAATTTGGTAAAGCAATAATATCCGCCGATAAACTTTCTTTTGAAAATCAATCTGAATCTGTCTTTGCACCATTTTTGTATACACTTCCCAGAAAATATGGTAGTTATGAACATTTAATGAAGAGACTTGGTGTCACGGAAAGGTTTACCTCGCTGCAATTTGCCATTGTCTTATTTGCATTACGTGAGAAGTGCCAAAATAAAGTAGTAAATCCCGATCTTTTTGAAAAGGCTAAAGGCGCTGTGAAATTTTTGTTTCAAAGTTTGCTTGTCGAAAGAAGTGCTGGCAAAGAATCAAGCATACACGGCTTAAAGGAGTTGTTTCTTCCCAGTGAAAGAATGATAATGGTGAAATCCAGTGATTTAATCTTCCAAATATCAACAAGACATCAACGTGCTCTGCAATCTCACGGAGATATGAACGTTATGTTTCCGTTAGAGAAATGCGGTCTTCTTAGAGAAAAGGATATGGAGTACTTTAAATCCCTACCACAACATTTGAGGCCCAAGTTATCAAAAGATGTATTTAAGGAAGTCCTGGATCCAAAGAGCAAAAATGATGTTTGTACTACCTGCATTCGCTATAGTCCATGTGAATTCATAAAAAGATACTTGCTTCTAATAAAATCCCGTGAATTTCATTCCTGTCTTATTCGTTTGTTGAAGCACCAAAACAATAGTTCACAACTTAATGAGAATGATCAAAGTAGATTGTCTATCTTCGAAAATGATCAGCTTAAAATCATTTGTATGCGAAACATCCTCACTCGTCTGGTCGACGCCTCTACTGAATCTCCATTGTCAACAAACGCCATGCCAATTGACTGCTATGCAGAAAGACAAGACAATACGTGGCATCTTTACATACAGCGTATGACTAGTGAAACCTTGACTCCTGCCTTGGCAATTTGCATTAAAAAGATTAGCGGCTGGATTTTTAATGCGACCAGTGAAGCCTCCATTTTAAGCATGCTGCTTTGCAATGATCCATCACAGTTGTCAAATATTTTGGATAAACTAGATATCAAAGAGGATTTTGCTCAAGAGAAATATAAAATTGGCGATTTCGTTCCGTTAGTGTTTCATTACCTGCTTCAACAGAATCCGTTGTTTATTTTTCATGAAGGCGAAATTGTGGCCTATTGTGTTGAGGATCAAGAAGAACGTGATCACGATATAACAGAAAACAACGAAATGCAATATGTGCTTGCAAAAATAATATCTTGTATAAATCCTTCTGAGAGTGCAACCTCATCCGATTTCACTGAAGAATACCTAATTGATCTTGGAAAGGCACAGAAGAAAGTAAGCGTTCTAGATTTATATAAGTTTGTTCAAAACCAGAAAGAAGCTAATGAAATAACTGATTTGGTCGAATTTACTGGTGATCCAAAATCTATACCAACTAGTCTTGATGAAGGCAAAAAGAAAATCCGAGAAGCTCTTATCAAGGCTTGGAGATTGCCAGAAAAACTTCGGCGAAAAGCTATCAAACGATTGTATCTTCAGTATCATCCAGATAAAAATCCAAATAATGTTGAATTTGCGAATGAATTATTCAAGTTTTTGATATGTGAAATGAAACAAATGGAAAAAGAACAGTCCGATATTGATATTAATTTAACCACATTATTTACTAACTTGAATCGTCAGGCAAGAAAACAAAGAGACACCTACAACAACTATCGAAGTAGCTGTAAAGGTGGCATGTCAGGATTTTCTACAACATCGCAATCTTATACTTGTCCCAATACATTTGAAGCAAAACGCTGGTTAAAACAAGCCCAACACGATTTCGAAGTTGCTAGGGTGTTGTCAACCTCACTACCATCTTATGATGCTTGGGCATGTTTTCTTAGTCAGCAAGTTGTAGAGAAAACTTTAAAGGCAGCGTTATACGCTAAGTGTGGTCTTTCCAACGAACAGCTGCATACTCACGATATTTACTCCTTAGCACATCACGTATGCTGTCTTCGTGGCTTCTCTTGTGAAATCCAAGATATGACCTTTGTCGTTGGTGATTATTATCTGAGCACTCGTTATCCAAACCAACAACCTGGTGGCACTATTCCAGCCGATGCCTTCAGTCCCGACGAGTGTCAACAAGCATTGAATGCTGCTGGAAGAATTGTTGAAATCGTCAAGAACTTAATTGATCTTTAAACTTTTCTTATACTAACACTATGGTTATGGTTTTTTTCATCAAAAACATTGTATAAGACAGTGCTAGCTAATTGAAATATTTAAAAAAATTATAATTGTTGATTACACGTTTAAATTTTAATTCATTGTTATCGATCCTAATTCTTATTATTCATTTTAATTATTTAATATTCACTTTACTTTTAAACTTTATAAAGTTGAGCATGTTTTAGAGACGACATTGTTGTAATAGATAATTTTTTTGTTAATTATACTTTTATAACTTGTATTTTGCAGTAAATTGTAGAAGAATAAATCATTTTTGAAGTACCAAATGGCTGAAACCTGTGCCTCGAAGGTTATCTTACAATCATGCCATTTATTCTATCGTTGCCTTGTTAAATGTTACTTAAATACTCAAATCAATAGGATTTCACAATCTAATTCCAAATCTAATCCTTTTGAAACTAAAGCCATGAATCAAAGAAGTGTGCTTTCTAATTTTCTCATTGGTGCAATTAACAATTACGCAATTGACGTTGATGACACGTGATATTTTTATTCAATTGTTCATGAAAGATGGCCGATGTCGAAGTTAAAAATCTTTGGATAGTTTATCGAAATATTATGCGTCAAACAATGAAATTTTTACAAGCTGACAATCAGCGAATGGCTGAATTTAAATATTTCTTTTATCGCTCTTTTCCATCAAAACACTGGGATGATAATATTGTTGAAATCCTTACGAAGTTGGAACAAACTCAAATCATTAGTATTGATCATCTCGAAGTTTTGCGAAGTTTTCTTGAAGACTGTGAAGATGCGGGTCTTCTATTGCGTATGGTTGAAGACTTTCAATTTTTAAACAAAATTTTGAAAAGTATTTGCCCTCAAAAAGGTAATTATTCAATTTTTTCCCGAATAACTTTAGTCGTATGAAAGACGTGTTCTGTGTGACATGTTCGCAGTGTATGTACTAAATAATTTGTAATTTAGACATTCAGTTGTACTGAACAGAACAGTTCTTGACGCACATTGATCGTTTGTTTGCATTTGATAATTGTATTCTTCCATATTAATTCCAAAAAATGGGAAACGATATCTTGAGATTACAGAACCTTAAGCAGAAACCATTTGATGCTATCATAATATCGGTTCACAGCTGTTTTTTCTTAGACGGCGACATTTCGAAAGTATATTTTTCAAATAAACTTTAATAATATATATCAAATAGTCTTTGAAGCGGAAAATACGAGTTTGTCTATTATGAAACCGAAATAGCTTAAAGAATATTCCAGTAATTGCGACATTTTACCAAGAAATAACTACAAACAACACTTCATGAAATTGCTCTAGTCAGCACTTTATTCATGTTAGCGCAAAAATTTTGTCTTTGGTGTAGATCATGTTTGGCTTGCAAGTCCACCAGTAAAGATTGCAAAGTTTTGGCCATCAGAAGATTTCAAAATTTTTTTAAGGCAGTTGGATCGACAAATGAACGAATTTCCAAATATTTCAATCAGTGATGTGTACAGCCAGGCTACCCAAAGAATCAAGAAAGTTGCTGCAGAAAGACAAGATCATGCATCTTCCTGGGAGGCTATGTTCATTGCAGAACATTTAATGAGAATCTACTCTTGAATTGTTTTAAGACTTAATACATGAATTACAGTCTTTGTGTGAAAAATTATTAGAATTATAATGTTTAAGTAACCATTTTAATATAACATAACCAAACACAACGTGCAGTGCAACAGAACAGAATAAGAATACTAATGAGATAGGATGTTAATATAAGACAAACATCGTAATATAAACATAAGTGTTAGTGCCAAAGTCCATGATCAATTATCCAATCATGTATCATCATTATAGATATAAAGTTCCTGTATCATATTACTCTAATAATAGGTTTATCCTAATAAAAATGTGAACATTTAAAAAAATGCATTATGCATAATCTTTGCTGAAAAAAATGGGAAATTTTGTAAAAATGCATGATTATAGTCTTTTTATAAAAATGTATGAAATTTTTAGAAAATGAATGAATTATAGTCTTTGTGTGAAAATGTGTCTAAATACATGAACTATAGACTAAAGCATGAAAATGCATGAACTACTGTTTTAAGGATGACAATGTGTGAAAATGCTTGAACTATAGTCTTTGGCATGAAAATGTGTGAAAAGGCATGAACTATAGTCTTTGGCATGAAAATGTGTGAAAATGCATGAACTATAGTCATTGGCATGAAAATGTGTGAAAATGCATGAAATATAGTCTTTGACATGAAAATGTGTGAAAATGCATAAACTATAGTCTTTGACATGAAAATACATAACCTATACTCTTTGAAATGAAAATGTGTGAAAATACATGAACTATAGTCTTTGGCATAAAAATGTGTCAAAACGCATAAACTATATTCTTTGACATGAAAATGTATGAAAATGCATGAACTATAGTCTTTGGAATGAAAATGTGTGAAAATACATGAACTATAGTCTTTGGCATAAAAATGTGTGAAAATGCATGAACTATAGTCTTTGGAATGAAAATGTGTGAAAATACATGAACTATAGTCTTTGGAATGAAAATGTGTGAAAATACATGAACTATAGTCTTCGGCATGAAAATGTATGAAAATGCATGAACTATAGTCTTTGGCATAAAAATGTGTGAAAACGCATAAACTATATTCTTTGACATGAAAATGTATGAAAATGCATGAACTATAGTCTTTGGAATGAAAATGTGTGAAAATACATGAACTATAGTCTTCGGCATGAAAATGTATGAAAATGCATGAACTATAGTCTTTGACATGAAAATGTGTGAAAATGCATGAACTATAGTCTTTGGCATGAAAATGTGTGAAAATACATAAACTATAGACTTAAGCATTAAATTACGTAAAAATGCATGAACTCTAGTCTTTGCCATGAAAATACATGAACTATAGTGTTTGACATGAAAATGTGTGAAAATGCATGAACTGTAGTTTATGGCATGAAAATTTGTGAAAATGCATGAACTAAAATTTTTGGCATAAAAGTTGTAAAAATGCATGAACTATAGACTTAAGAATGAAATTGCGTGAAAATGCATGAAGACTATTAATCACGAATTTTCATGCAAAAAACGATAGTTCACGAATTTACATGCAAAAGAATTTAGTTCACGAAATTTTAAGTAAAAGACAAAATTTACGAATTTTCATGCAAAAGACTATAGTTCACGAATTTTAAAGCAAAAGACTATACTTCAAGAATTATCAAGCAAAAGACGAAATTTTATGCAAATGTCTATTGTTCACGAAATATCATGCAAAAGACTATTATTCACTAATTTCCATGCAAAAGACCATATTTCACGAATTTTCATGCAAAAGACTATAATTTACGAATTTTTATGCAAAAGTCTATATTTCACGATTTTTCATGTAAAAGACTATAGTTCACGAATCCTCATGCAAAAGACTATAGTTCACGAATTTTCATGCAAAAGACTATAGTTCACGAATTTTCATGCAAAAGACTATACTTCAAGAATTTTCATGCGAAAGACTATAGTTCACGAATTTTTATGCAAATGTCTATTGTTCACGATATATTATGCAAAAGACTATTATTCACTAATTTCCATGCAAAAGACCATATTTCACGAATTTTCATGCAAAAGACTATAATTCACGAATTTTCATGCAAAAGTCTATATTTCACGATTTTTCATGTAAAACACTATAGTTCACGAAACTTCATGCAAAAGACTATAGTTCACGAATTGTCATGCAAAAGACTATAGTTAACGAAACTTCATGCAAAAGACTATAGTTCAAGAATTTTCATGTAAAAGACTATTATTCACGAATTTTCATGCAAAAGACTATACTTCACCAATTTCCATGCAAAAGAATATAGTTAACGAATTTTCATGCAAAAGACTATTATTCACGAATTTTCATGCAAAAGACTATAGTTCAGGATTTTCATGTAAAAGACTATAGTTCACAAATTTCATGCAAAAGACTATATTTCACGAATTTTCATGCAAAAGACGAATTTTGTTCACGAATTTTGATGCAAAAGACTATGGTTAACGAATTTTTATGAAAATGTCTATAGTTCACGAAATGTTATGGCAAAAGACTATTGTACACGAATTTCATGCAAAAGACTATAGTACACAAATTTTCCTGCAAAAGTCTATAATTCACGAATTTTCAGGCAAATGACTATAGATCACGAATTTTCATGCAAAAGACTATAGTTCACGAATTTTCATGCAAAAGACTATAGATCACGAATTTTCATGCAAAAGACTATAGTTCACGAATTTTCATGCAAAAGACTATAGATCACGAATTTTCATGCAAAAGACTATAGTACACGAATTTTCTTGCAAAACACTACAGTTCACGACTTTTCAGGCAAAAGACTACAGATCAAGAATTTTCATGCAAAAGACTATAGTTCACGAATTTTCATGCAAAAGACTATAGATCACGAATTTTATGCAAAAGACTATAGTACACGAATTTTCATGCAAAAGACTATAGTTCACGAATTTTCATGCAAAAGACTATAGTACACGAATTTTCATACAAGCGACTATAGACCACGAAATTTGATGCAAAAGACTATAATTCACGAATTTTAATGCAAAAGACAATAGATCACGAATTTTCATGCAAAAGACTATAGTTCACGAATTTTCATGCAAAAGACTATAGATCACGAATTTTCATGTAAAAGACTATATTTCACGAAATTTCATGCAAAAGACTATAGTTCACGAATTTTGATGCAAAAGAGACTATAGTCCACGAATTTTCTTGCAAAAGAGAATAGTTCACGATTTTTGATGCAAAATACTATAGTTCACAAATTTTCATGGAAAAGACTATTTCATGAAAAAAAAATTTTTGCATGAAAATGGTCTTTGGCATGTAGTCTTTCTTTGGAATATAGTCTTTGGCATGAAAATGTGTGAAAATGCATGAACTATATTCTTTGGCATGAAAATGCCTGAAATATATTCTTTGGCATGAAAATGCGTGGAAATGCAAGTACTATCGTCTTCGGCATGAAAATGTATGAAAATACGTGAATTATAGACTTAAGCATGAAATTGCGTGAAAATGCATGAACTATAGTTATTGGCATGAAAATGGTTGAAAATGCATGAACTATAGTCTGTGGCATTAAGATGTGTGAAAATGCATGAATTATAGTCTTTGGCATAAAAATGTGTAAAAATTCTTGAACTATAGTCTTAGACATGAAAATGTGTGAAAATGCTTGAACTATAGTCTTTGGCATGAAAATGCGTGAAAATGCTTGAACTATAGTCTTTGGCATGAAAGCCAAAATTCTTTGAAAACCAAAAAATGAAACGAAACATATGTGGATATTTTAGTTTCATATTTACAAAAAATATATTGGTTATATTTCTTTTCGTACAATAAAGCCACTTTCAACATATTTAGAAAAAAGAAATTCATGAGACATTTACCAAGAACACAAATTTTCCTAATTGTTTAAGAATTCTTCTGAGTAAATGAATGTCGAAGATATTAAATGTTCCAAGCGCACCACGTGCATTTGTCAAAAAAATAACATCATTAAAATAAAATAATTGATGTATATCAATTGCCCTGAATACGCTTTCCTATATTACACTAGTGTACATATTGAGATGTTCAACTCTTTAAAATAAAAAAGAATAAAGATTTACTTCATTTCAATAAAAAACATTCAATCTCTTGCATTTTTAATGAAGATTGCTAATTGTTATATATACTCGTCGTTGTATGTTAACAGTGCATTGGGAATCGAACCCAAAGACTAAATTGTACCACTCTTTGAAAATACCCAAATTGGGCTGTTTTTTTGATATAGTTCAGAAAATTTTCGATATGAATATATTATCGATATTTTATAGTTCCAAAATTTGATTTTTGTAGAATTTTAAAGCTCAAAGATGGTATGTTATTACTTGAGTGAAATAGTAAAAAACAAGTCAATAGTTTTATGATGTCGTTTAAATCATGAATGGTTTCGTTTCACTCTACTTCACTATTTAACGTCACAAAGAATAACAATTACCATCCTTTTTATAACTGCCGGTTCAACGTTAAAATGTGCAACTTTGAACCCCAAATTACTCGGCAATAAAACTTTCACATTTACATTATTTGTTAAGTACATAAATATGCAAAATAGTTCAATTGTTCAAAAAGCGGAATAGCTTAAACATGACGCTGGTTTTTTAACGAAAATGAAGATGGATGTAAATTTTAGCTGATAGTTCTTAGGTTCGCTTAGCTAAGCGTTCCTAATTTCATAACCTTCATATTGTATTTCTTTAGGTGCCATTGTTGTATATGACATAAGCAGTACAAGTTTAGTCCCACACAAAGGTCACTGTTTTTTTTGAAGACTTAACCGAAATAAAAAATCTCTAATGGGAAAACCTGAACGGTATAAACCAAAACCGAACACAAAGGCACGAGAACTTGGAGAATACTGAGCAGGAAAAAACCGCTAGGGATTTTAGCCGAAATTCTGCGCCCTGTGGGGGGACCCATGTATATAATAAATAAACTTTACATACCTTTGAAACGATGCAAAAAGCCAAAAAAATAAAAGAAGCCGTCAAACGTTTTCAAAACGCCCCTTCAAGTCCAAAATTTTTTTAGTCTTTTTAAAGATATACTACAGTTTCGAAAGCAATTCGCCATTTTAACGTACACCCTAAACTGTAAATATCTTAACAAATTAAATACTCTTTTGAGTATCTATTTGTCGATTTAGGAATGAGTGACAAAATTGAAAGTTTTCTTCCAAGCATTTAAAATTCACTCGTTTCTCTTGATAGTGGGATTCATCCTTTAAAGGTAAAACCCCACGTTCGTTATCTAAGGGGAGCAACTACCCGCCGCAACTACAGCGCATGCATAAGCTATCTAAACTTCCGACCTGCGCATGGCACTGGAATTCCGTCCTGAAAAGGAATGCCCCTTGAAGGAGGTAACCCATCATGCCCTTAAAGTGCTACTATGACGAAAATTTTGCCTGTCGTTTTTTTTCATAGATTAATAGTGTATGTAAAAAAATGTCTTCTGGCGAAATTTTATCGCAATATATTTAATGCTGCTCGGGTTACGTATCGATAAAACTTGAACTTTAAGAGTCGCCATTAAAAGGCGCCATATTTGAATTTTCAAGAAGGTGCTTTTGACGTCATAGTCTTAACTCGCGGCTGTTTACAATATAACACTATATACAAATAGAGATTTAAAAGGTTGTATAACTCAATTTTTTTAACATCCCAACACGCTGTGTCGGGCAAGATTGCAGTAATAAAACTGATTGAAGTACAGGCATTTCTTTGCATAAAAGCCCAAATGACGAGTCTTTGAGAAGAATTTGGGTTAAATTTGTTCAGACGAAGCGCGCAAATATAAATCCGAGTTCGCGCGAAATTCGATTTATGATTAGTTCGAATCACTTCTCGAAGATTGTTTTGAGCGTTTATTCCATTTGAGTGGTATGACTAGACCGCTCAAACCTGGTGCCGTACCTACTATTTGGAAGAAATCACCAACACCAACAACGTCAAGAGAGCGGCGTTAGCACAAGTTACAACTGTTATATGCTTACATATATTGCAGATGGGGACAAGTAGCAAGGCTTCACGTGCCGTCCCTGATTTCGACTGATTGCTACAACACGCGCAGCACTTCCAAACTTCCAGCCCGAGTTTGGATCGCCCCTTGGCGCGAAAAGATATGATGATGATGATGATATATTGCAGATGATAAAGTAAACTTCGTTCAGGCAAACTTCGTTAAAGCCAGGGTGATCCAAAATGCATTTTTTTTCATTGATTTCGTTATGATACATTTTACCACGGCATTGCTCTATTTCCATGCAGCATCGGCACTCTTGAGGGTTGACAACAAGATCCAACAAACAATCTCCACATTCAGGCCTAACTAAGTAAAAGGTTTATTATTATTACACTCACGGTTTTCGACGAATCCTTGGCAGTTTGACGACAGAATCCTTGGCAGTTTGACATAAGACTACGATTAACGACGAATCCCTTGCCAACTATAAAGATGAAATGATCGGATGTTGAACTCGTACAGCCACAAAAAAGCCCAACATGATTTTTTGAAAAATTCAGAACATTGATGGTGAAACCATTGTATCCAATTCTCAGGCCACCTGACAAACATTCCCGCTTTTATGTCGAAGACGGCAAGTACAGAAGCAAGATTGTCAATTTCTTGCAACTGTGCATGTCGCCTACGGCATTAAATCGGAAATATCGACAGTCAGTAAGAAATTAGGATTTTTAGGTTTATATTTTCATGTCAAAGAAAGTCCATGTTTTTATTACGAACAATTTTCAATTAAATAATGTTGAAATTTGGGCGTTCGATAGTGGCGTGGCTTTATTCATCATTGCGATTGATTGACCAGTCGTGATCTTAGCAGGAATATGCCCACGAAAATATTTTAGAAAAGGTTATAATATTGACTTGTCCATGGAAACAGCCTGTTTCAAACAGGCGTTAGGTTCATGGATACATTGCTCATGATAAGTGTTTAGTGTTTGCATTCTTTGTAGAGATGGCCTTTTAGTAAGATGGCCTTCATATTTTTCATTCTCGAGAAAACGGTCAACAACAGCCACAATTCTCTCCCACCGCTGTGAACAATAACCATTTTTATTAATTGCAGAGTGAATACACCAATATTTGTTCGTTGTTTCTCAATCTCAATTGATGACCACTTGTCGTTTAACAGAAGAATGTTCATATTTAAAATCAAGCACAGAAGAAACAAAAATTACAAAGACGAAAACTTTATGGAAAGGCCATTCCGCACTTTGAATAAACGAACATCACATGCGCATCTCAATTCAATTCGTACTCAGTGTAGTACACTTGTACTTAGAACAAGAAACAACAAATTTACCTTTACATGGTTTCAAAGCACTTCAGGAGATATTTCACAAACGACTAATTTCGACTTCGGCCAACAATTCTTCGTACGTCTACCGACTTTCACGTTCAGGTTCAAATAGCATGTTCTTTTGTAGTCTTAGAATATGGCTCAAGTTTCACAAACGTTTTGTGTTCTGAATGGTCAGTGACTAGGTGTGTCGTCAATTTTACATTGTGGCTATACACAATGTTTCAAAAAAACTGCTCATCTATGAAATCAGCCGAGATTTAGAATTTCCATGATTCATCACTTTGAAGTAATTAATCCCCATAGAGGGGTAAATGCAATTGAATGCAATATAAAGAAATACGTATATTTCAGCTACAGAACTCCTTGGGGAACAACTACAGCTGAATCATGCAAATTATGAATGTCGACCGACATCAAACATGATTTGATAAACCTTCTAGGTTGTTCATTACATCTCATTTTCTTATTCTATATATTAGCCAACGTTAACACTTTGATTTCTTTCAATTAGCTTTCTAAAAGGTGTGTATAAAAATGACTTTTGGCATTTAAATATCATAAAATTTCAAAGCCCGATTATTGTGCAAACCTCATTGGTGCATTACATTTCCAATGAAGAAAAAGCTTTTGTGTTTGCATCAACGTAGCTAACAAAATTTTATGCATCTGTATAAGTTTAGCATAGTGACAGCAATTAAAATTATACAAAGGTCTTCAACGGTAAAGCCGCTTACGGACGAAAAAATTTTTTAAAGATTTGGAGAGTCTTTATATATATTTATTGAGTTAAACGAAAATTTTTCACATTTTTTTCATGTTTAGTTACACATACGTACAGTAAAGAAACATACAATAATCGAAAGTTTTTACCTGCGAATGAACGTGAACTAATCCTTCCACAATCTCAAGGAAAAGCCGCCACATTCTCTCTTAGTCCTTGTACTATCCCTCGTCAACAACATTCCGTAGAGTACTCTTCTCAAAAAACTTGATCTGTATAGACAAAGCTTGCAGAGAACGCACTTTCAAATCTCTTGTGGTGATTGCTTCCTTTTCACTTTCGGTAAAAGACAAAAAGGTAAAGACAAACGTAGTTAGAAAGGCATACACAAAGATAGACACAAAGAGAAAGACAAAAAGGCAAAAAAAAAGACAAAAACAAAGGTAAACAAAAAGACAGAAACAAAGATAGACACAAAGATAAACACAAAGATAGATACAAAGATGGACAAAAAGAGAGACATTAAGGTAAACAATGTAGACCCAAACGTAGACACAAAGAAAGGCAAAAAGGTAAAAACTAGGATTGGTAAACTAGGTAAGGCACTGATAAATTATAATTGGTGGTGATGGGGGTTCATACCATTTTGGGCATGCTCAGTTTTACAGAACATTTTTCTATCAGTAAAGTGAAATTAATGGTAAAGGTCTCTTCCTTCATGCACAAAGAAAAAATTCCCCATATAGCTCGTTTTCTTTATTCCATAAATCGAGGGTTAGATGATGTCTTGATAAATTATACTTCCTCTGCTTAACCCCATTTTAACGTTAATTGTTAAAATACTTGTTCTTTAATACTTATTTGTCCACAAATTAGAGTTCAATAGAATTTTCATAAATTAATCACTGAATTATTATGTACCTTTAATGTCGTTTGTATTTTTTTTTGCATAATCGCATTACTCATGTTCACTGCCGAGTCTTGCAGAAAAAATCTTCAATGACATTGTGATGTTCATCGTTAGACACAGGAACCATTATTTATTTTAATACAGCAATGATCAAAAAGTCAGATACTTTTACTGAAAAGTAAGTGTTAATGCATCTCAATGAATTTCGATTAAAGTCATTAAGCATATATTTTACAACTTAAATTTTTTTTAGCATGTAGGCATTAGTCTTGGTTATCATTTATCAAAATATATGACCACTTTCAACTTAAAAAACATATTTCAAGGCATGACAGTTGTGACTATCATTTTCATACAAGGAATTGTGACAGGAATTGTGCCAATAAAAAGTGGTAATTAAATTTGTGAGTATTTAAATTTAAAACAAATAATGAAAAACGATGTTTCGCTTTTCACTCTTGCATTTATTTTGATAAGAGCTTATCAGTCGCAATTCTACCTGAGTACGTAGATTTTCTACAAGCTATATTACACCCATATAACTCAAACATTAAATTTACTACAAAAATTCTAAAAATCAGGTTTAACATACTAATTATATGAAATAAACAGGAGAGTTCATCAGTGTCACCAGCCCAGTACTTTACAACTCAATTTATACAATAATCTTATTTATTTTTAGTACATCTCTCATATCATCCCCGCGCTTATATTATGATTCAGTTCAAGCCATGCACAATTTTTTTCGTATCAGCTCCAACTTTGATCAAAAACGACGCACAATCAAAATGTCCACCTCGTAATGCAAACTCTAATGGAGAACAACCTTCCACATCGTGAATATTGATGTCAGCATTATACTGTACAAGAACTTTCATTGCTTCCAAATGTCCATCAATCGCAGCAATATGAAGTGGAGCAACACCAGAGAGATATAACTTGTTTGGATTAGCCTTACCCGACTCTAGAACTCGTTTTAATTCCTTCGCATCATTTTCGGATGCAGCGATATAAAGTTTAGACGTAGGATCAAATGATACACTACGTGGTCTTGGTATCATCATACTCAGACTTGCGTCGTCCTCTATCTTGGTAACTATCTTCTTTATACTGGTTTCCTCTGGTAACGAGTTACTTCGCTGTCTTTGAGCTCCGAGATTTTTGATGTTATTGAAATGCAACTTATTTTGACCTTTATATCTCATAGACTGTGGAATCTGTAATTCTTGTAAGGCAGAAAGTTTACATTCACGAACTTGGTGGTATCGTTTGTCGATTCTTGCTTTATCAGCCAAAGCTGAGCCATTGAAAGAGTGGCGGTTTGGTTGTTTTTGCGACGTCATTTTTTAGAAATCTCACGAAGCGTTTGCCAAATTGACCCCGAAAACTTCATGAGCATGATAGTGTTTCACTTCGAACCTTTCATAAACTTAATGTGTTGAAAACTACTGTCAACAAGTGTGGACAGGAAAGTATTAGGAGACAGATTCAACCACAATTACAACAGGTACTACGTCAATTAAAATAATTTGCCCTACAACGACCTAGCAAACAACACTATTTCACGAAACTTTAAAGCAAACAATGTTTTCGAGAAAATCAGTCATTTGTAACTAAGTCATTGTTTAGAAGATATAAAGAAGATGGCAATATAATGTTAATTGGTACATATTAAACATATATTTAAGCCTTCATTATATACATTTACATCATCAAAGATGTTAAAGATGAAAAAATACAGATGTAAATCAAAGCCGCCATTTTAGTTAAAAGCCTCTCAAAAGAAGGCAACGTCTGAATATTGTTACAAGGAACAATTTTTAATAATAAAAATTAGTAAATGCAATGATGCATGTTTGATTAGTTTGGCAGAAGGTTCGCATTATCTCATTCAACATAATCTACATGTGAGATGGTAATTGGAAAAGGATTTTCCTAATAAGACCTTAATTATACCTCACCACAGTTGTTGATAGCTTATTGTCTCTCTGATAAAGAATGCGGAAAAAAATGTTAACGAGGTTCACTAAAATCACAAAAATCAGCAACAACGTTTTTTATTTTCAAACAAAAAATGTACAATTGCACATTACAGAAAGACAAGGAACGAGAAGATCAGAATCTAGATGCATTAAAGTTGGACTAACTCATAATTTACTTATCATTTCTATCATAATTCGAAGAAACAGCTCTTCTGATGGTTCAGGTCACTTTTTGACAAATGATTATCAGATTTAATAAGATTAAAAGACATTGCCAACTGATGAAGTTTCGAAAAGTCACCACACTAAAAAACCTTAAATATACGCAGGTATTTTAACAGATTCAATCTTTGAGGGATCTTGATATATGGGAGAATGGTACTTTTTCAAATTATAATAATCAGTAATAGCTAAATGTAACTGCCAACATTACACTGCAACCGGAGACATAAAACAAGAGAACAGGTTATAAAAAGACAGGATGAAATGTCGACGTCATCTCTCTTGGATCGAAGATTCATATTTTACAACGATAGGCAAAGAAAACTGCTACATTCTTGAGCTTTGCTGCCTGTTCCTAAAACTTCCCACAAGCCTATATCCATTCGTTCTTTCTCAAAAGCAATCTGATAACGGTCATTTGATACTTTTTGTGATTAGCAATTAGTGATAAATACATCGCAAAAAGTATTTTTTGAGCAGTCAATAAAAATATCAACGATGTTCACCATCACAATGTTACTGTTCTTGCTGCTGCAACAATGAAGAATGATTTTTAACTTTATAGTGGCCCAAGTGAAACTGTTAGGGGAAATAAAGTGCACTGGATCGTGCAATGCAAAGTGCACAAATTTCAGTATCCTTTTTTCTTCATGATCCATAGACACATATTGTTCATGTTTTTTTTTTGCATTCTTTTTCATTTTATTTTTTTGCCTTCTTTAAGCCTGGGGAGTGAAAAAAACACCCCCTTTGCCCAAATTAAATATTAATGCCCAGAATATCCTTGGCTAATTAAGTTGGCTTTAGAATAAAATCAAAAATATTATCAAAAAAATGACAGCAAAGCATATCTGGCAGTTGACACAATTGCTAAAATTGTGTCAATTGCCAGATATTTCAGATGTGTCAATTGCCAGATATGATTGTTCAAATAAATACATTGAAAAAATTTAATTGTGTTTCTCAGATCATGCAAGCTTTTGATGCCAGGATGCATTCTGTGCACCAAAGTGTGAAGATATCAGGCATGGAGTTTAACACAGCTTTGCATAACAGCATACAAATGTTTGCCTGGCAAAATAATAGCCAGTGGCAGACCCAGCTTGTCAAATTACCCCATTCATAAATTTTCAAAATTGCCATGAGTACATTTAAAACTGAATAAAAATCTCACAAATTTAGACTGTTTTGGCCAATGTCAGAATGGCATTGTGGATGATTGTACAGTACATTACTATCATTAGTAAAGACAAGATCATTAGGATAACTCATTAATAATTTAATGCTAAAATATATTTCATGCTTTGTCCAAAAATTAAATGATTGAAACGATTAAAAGAAGTGAAAGTCTCCGAGATTTTTGCCATAATTTACGGCGGCAAGGGTCAACATGTCCCTTTGGTGATTGAACTTAATTGCGCGAAGTTTAGCTTGTGTTACGTAAAAAAATATTTTTTTGACCAAAATCCGACGTACGAATTACACAGAATGCACACTGGCTTAATTGTATGGTCAATTGTGATTCAGCCAATCAATCAATATTTAACAATAATAAAAAGAACTATAAAGACATTATGACCGTTATGACTTATAATGAAATATCAATTACAGTAAATCATCATACCTTAATCTCAAATAATTCCTTTTCTGCTCTTCTAAATAATTCTAATTTACTTTCAAGCATCACAGGATACAATTAAAACTTCATGTAAAGATATACATTGGTTAATATGTTAATATTTTTCAGCCAGCAGCCAATCAATTATTAGTATTAATTTTTTGGAATTTTTGCCAAGGAAACTTCATATTGTGATTGAAATATTGCAAGCCATAGGAAACTTATAATTAAGCTGTGCATCCGCAGTCGATTAACAAAAACGATTGGCAAAAATCTTCGAACCTTGCGGGAAAGAAATAGAATACTAGCTGATTTTGCCGCTTTGAAAACTTCACTCTTCGTCAAAGACGTCATAATTGACGACAATCATCAATAACAATACAGCAATAAATTGGTTGTTTTTTTGTTTCTATCCGTTTCATATGTCAACAATAACGGCATGTGGCAATCGGCTTCATGAAGACTTTGACGTTTTTAATATTAACGTGCTGAACATCACATATATGCTGACGCGTGATGAAAATAAAAAAACTTCTATTGATTCCATGAAAGTACATGTAATTTACATAGAGTATTATTTTCCACCAAGTTTTTTTCAAATTTAAGAATTGAAATATGATTTTAATTGTTGTGTGATTCTCGGTGAGAAGTGCATTGATTGAGTTCAATTTTAGTCGCATAATTGTATAATAGTGTTTAGTGAAGTGTTAGTCATCTTCTAGTGTAATACTCGCGGGAGCTTGTTAAATGATTTTTCAAGTCTCTGTACGTACACTTTGATTGAATGCTTTGTTTGCAAAATTTTTTCAATCCTAGCAAGATGTCATTGTTAATTTGTTATTGGTAGGGTAGTTGCTAGAACTTTATGGAGGAAATAATTATGTTCTTCCACCAACCACCACTGATTTTACAACCAAACTTTGCAGTCAGTATTTCACGACATTGTTGCTCTGACATGTATAGATATCTTAATGCCAGAGCCGTGTTATCAAAAACATTCGTCATTTGCTTTGAAATGTGTGAAAACATCCATTGCTATTGTGAGAATACGCAAGCCTTGTTTGGTTACATCAAAATGTGCAATTTAAACTATCTTTGTAATCTCAATAAGAAAATTCAACACAACATTTTTCCGTCGCGTAAGTATTCAAGATTCTTTTGCTTCCTTGCACTTGAAGTATTATCAAATGCGCTTCTAAAGATTTTTACTTGATTGATGAGAATGGTAACCATTAAACATCGCTTGTCTTATACTTTACACAATCGAACGGCATCTGATCCAATTTGCTGATATATCTAATACTACGCAATGAATTTTTGATTTTTTTCAAAGATCGTTTTTACTCTAAAGCACTTTTTATGTGTATTCGTATTTGTAACTGTTCTAATTGTGGACAGCGATCAATAACATTCTTTCTACAGGATTAAACCCAACATTTGGAAAGAATTCGTTAAAGATTTCCTCTAATTAACGTTTCATTTAGCGAATCAGTATACACAGAGAAAACACTGTTAAGTATAATATTCTTAGAAGTAATACGGATTTCCTTATTTATTTGGTCATGGTAAAAAGTAAAAATTTAAATAAACCCCATCTGCTATTTTAGGTAGGTATTGTGTTTTTGTTGGTTAAAATTTAGACTTTACATATTTTACATTTCATTGGTTGACAGTGATGCTTTGTTAACTGCAACTATTTAGTCAACGTATCGCAGGATTTTGACATTAGTTTTTTACCAAACATACTTATCCCAATATGATCAGCATTCTTTCGAATTGATCATCAGACAGATCACGAAGTCAAAAATAATTAAAGTGAACTGTTTAGATGAATGAAGTTGCCATGTCATAATGAAAAATCAAGTTTGAAAAATAATTTTCACACGCGGATTGCAATAACACCACCTAAAACGATTTCGGCTTCCGCGGTTCAAAAGACGGCTGCCAAAGACAGCACGACCGAGACCATAAAAGTTAAATAAGAGGATGGAATTTTCACACGCAAAGTGTAAGACGTTTCCTCGACAACACCGTAAACATGATTATGGTTGCTATATATTTATGACCCATTGTTGACAAGATTGATGGCAGACAAACAAGATAATAGATTATAAATTACTTCGCCCATGCACCGAAATCAATCAGTTTCCATTTGAATACGGACAAGTTAAGAAGGCTACATAATGTCATATGCAAGAACTAAATGTTCACTGGCTGGAAAATTCTGTCAAAGAACGTCTCCAATCTTGGGGTCTAAAAAGCAACATAAAAAGGTTAATCGATCGCTAAAGACTTTCAATGAAAGAAAAACGGCCGCAAGAAATTATGAGGATTTTGACCATTCCGAAAAACAAGATCATGTTTTAAAACGAAACACTTCTCTACCAAACATTGCAAGTATATGTGATATGGAACTTTATTCCAGTCCTTGGTGCAAAGATGTCGGACATCCTCAGTGCAGTATAAAGAGATCGCAAAGTTTAGAGTGGGAACCAGTCAGCGCATTGTTCACGGCAATTGCTGAAGATGACCTTGATGAAATGGATAAGATATTACAAGAATATGAAATAGAACTCAACTTCCTCGGTACTACGGGTATTTCTTTTCTTCATACGGCAGCATTAGTAGGAAGCACAAAAGCTCTACAACTCCTTCTGAACTCTGGCGCACAAATAGACTATGAAGACATAAACAATCGTACAAGTTTAGAAATCGCTCTACTAGCCGGTAATTTTGACTGTGCAGCTTTATTGATAGAGAATGGCGCTTGTATGAATAAAATTGTTGATGGTATTAAAGTTTTTTAATCAACAAATGTAGTCAATAAATTAGATTTTGTATTTATGAATTATATTGTACATAGCTATCATTTATGTAATATGGCTGTAAAACTATTTATGATTCTATGAATCATTCAATGAACTATGATTTAATTAGTATACTGAATGATGTTTCATTGACATTTACGGCATTGGGGATTGCGAACGAAATTTGGAAAACAATCCTGAAGGTTTTCAAATACTAAGGTTGTTATTAAAGCGGCAGTTTCACCCAAAACTTAGTCTCTTAAATGAGAGTCTTCGTTGTTCAACACTTCGTGCTAAATAATTGACAACAATTACGAAGAAAAAACAGAAACTTTTAAATCTTGAAACTTTCTTGGGAGGGCAGCTGCCCCCCCGTCCTGCACGCCTATGTAAACGTTGCAGTCTACCTGCAGTGTGTGTAACCCTCCTCCCCCACTTTTTGTGAAACATGTCGGTCCATAAACTGATAGAAGACGAAAACCCTGTGTCCGGTTAAAATTGCGAGCTTTCTCTGTCAAATATATAGACGCTAAAATGTCGATTTCCAGTCCAAGTACATAAAACAACGCCCCTAATTTTTTGAATAAGCACACCGCTGTCTACAACAAGTGAAACTTAATGTTTGTTGAATTTTCGAGTATATACGTATAAACATGTTTTTATCCATAACGCTGAAGTAAAGAAGAAATCAAAACAAGATTTGATCACAAGAAAGTGTAAAAAAGCCGATATAATGAAAGGAAGGATGTTCTCAAGATGTTGAATGAAATTAAGTCGATGGAAATCTATTCGAAGTATTATAGCTAAAAAACAATATCATTTCCTCAAAACTTCTTAATGAAAATATTGCGCACAACTCTTTATAAAATAAAAATGACCAAAAAGTGTAAACTTGCAATGTTTTTATCGTAATGTAGTTGTTATCAAAAGAATATTTCCAAATATAGTGAATGAACTAAAAAGTGACAATAATAACAGGATTTCATATGCGTCAGGTATTACAGACTAAGTAGGTGCAAACTACTTGAATGCAAATATAACACTGCAGGACGATCTTATCATTCTTATGTGAAATACCAACCAGGCAGTCTTGTTGCTGGAATAGCCTAGCATGTAACTTGAGGCAAGCCATTGACACCTGATTGAATAAAAATAGTACTAAACCCAGTGGGGGTAAGAGGTGGGAATCTAACATACGCATTAAATAAGCTCTCCGTAAAGCATTACAACGAGTGCATAGTTCCATTTATAGAAGCTGACTCTCTGGATGAATTTCCAAACTGTCAACAGCAAGAGGTTGTTCGCACTTTGTAGTACACTTGATCGGAAAACCATTCTCTCATATTAACCAATTTAATTGTTCATGTATCCTTACAATCATCGACATCTCCAGTTTAAATGATTTCTCCGGCATTATGCTTTAATTCGCGTTGTTTGATGATATGAAAATGCTCGAGAATATTCTTGATAATTCCTCGATCAAAAGGATTAAAAAATTTTCCAGCAGAATCTTTCAAATACGAATAACGTTTCTGGTTGATTCTCTCATTACTGGTAAGATTTGCCAACATATTTCCAGCCTTCAAAGACAGAAATGGAAAAAAAACAATGACTTAAGTAGGAGAAAGACCTGCTTTTGCAAATAATTTAAAATGACTTGGCTCTGTCTACATTTAATTAAAACAAAAAATCTGCACACAACCACAAACACTCGCTTCCTAAACAGAAAAACAAAATCTTGCCAAAACTAAAACCAATTAAAGCCAAAATGAAACACAAGCATATTTGTTCTCCACATGAGAATTGACTATTGAGAATTTTAAGAAGAGCGAGAGAAGTAATTCTGTGAAATAAGCACCATAAAAAATTACGTTGTAAAAGATTAAAAATTGATACAACGATAAGGTCCAGGAAAACAGGTATGTCCGATACACATGTGTATGAATAATGATGACACGTCAAGTAAAACAGTTATAGAAATCAAAGGGGTACCATCTGATTTCAGTGTTTAAGACGTTTGGGACCGGTTTTAGGTAGAAACAATGAGGCAGTAGAGTTACTAGCGGCAACTATTCAAGGTTCAAACCATCGTATACAAAGCAAAAATTCATCATACGATTACAATCTTAGACGATTCAATCAATTCAGCACAACTACGTACTTACATGAACAAGCATCAAACATGATACACCAGCGCAAGCAATGATTGTCTCCAACATACCAATGATTATTAATATGTTAGCTCCATTGCGTTGGGTCAAAGTTACAGAAAAATATACCGTAATAAAACAACATAACAAGAGAGAAACCACAAATAAAAAGAACATAACTCTATAAAAGAAAATAAAATCTGAAAGTCACAACATATTGAAATTCAAAGCGCTTGTCTTTTTATTGTTTTTACAGAAAGTCATTTTGTACAAAGCAAGGAAAAAATGCATTTCAACACGCATTAAATAATCTTACCTATTGCGTATACCAATACAGTTATTGAGATAAGGACAATGATGATCAAATGTCCGAACACATCTGTTGCATATACGACAATGCTTGGAGCGCAGAGGCTTAACTAAACGACATGTATGACAAATTCGAGAAAATGAACTATCAGTTTTATCCAACCAGTCGTCACGAAGAGCAACCTGCACAATTGAAAAATATACAACAATCACGTAATGCAGCAGTTGCACCAGTTATACGTACGGAAGCAAAATCCGAATTTAGTTTTTGTATTCACAGCAGTGAGTTTTTTCATAGTTTAAGGCATTTTAAAAGTCATAAAACTAACTTTTTAGAAAAATTCACAATGTACAGTACATCTCCTGATACATATAGACCCATTAGTAACCAAACTCAGTTTTCAAGACATGTTAATTCATAAGAGCGCCGAGTAAATCAAGTGGTAATTCCACACAATAATACTTGTCAAAGACACTCAAAGCTGCCTCGCGAAAATTTTTACAAAATAGCCTTGATGATGCATCGTTGCCTTTAACTATATGTCGTACATTTTTTTATCACACTTACCTGCTTCAAGGAAAGTTTATAATCTTCAGTATCACGAGCCAAAAAACCAGGATCTCTCGTTGACGCAGAATAAAAAGATAGCCACATTGTTAAATTAAAAAAGATAAAAAAATGGTGAATAGAAGGCATCTCTGAATACGTCTCCGGAATAACCTTGAAATCAGAGAAAATTATAGAAGAACTGAGAAATCAAGATTTAAAATCGATATATACTTTTGCAGCAGTACGTATATACACAATAAAGAGTTACCATGTAAAAGTAAATAGGATATCCAATAAATATAATATTGACCAACACAAATAAGAATGGTGCTTTTGATCTACCTGGAGGACCAAGAACTAAATCACTAAAAATGAAACAGAATTTTAATAATACTCAAAAGGTTTAGAAGTTAGCAAGACTTTTTCTGCATTCACAAAAAAAAATTGAAAGACAAATGAATGAAGATCAAACCGAAGAGTGAATTTTATATATCTGCTTTGTTGTCGGTAAAGATAATTGGCAATGTCTTCGTGATTTCTACCCATAGCCAACATCAAGGGTGTTTTCTGATTATAATCACGTTCATTCATTGAAACATCCTGTCAAATGAAAAAATTGTGAGAAAAACTTCTAATCATAATAAACTACTTAATTAAGCAGCCATGTCAATCAAATTATTACATTATTGGACTTATAACTACTATCAGAGACATATTAGGCAATTTAAACTGAGGAAAGAGGTGTAGACAAGGTCAGTTGCACAATATTTCCCGGAAAGTCAGGTAAATTAGATCATCTAAGAATGAAAATATACTGATCGCACACCTAAAAATGTTAATTGGTACGTCCATGATTACTTTTTAGCTAGAACTTGTATCATAAAATGTTATGGAAACACTATCCATTGATTATTATGGCATTACTTATAAAATGAGATTAATACTATGTTTTATAATATGATTCAAACATCAATAAAAACATAACAACAAAAAAAAGTCAACACAATTGAGTCTGATCGCACTACATGGAACATTAAATGTGCAATTTTTCAAATATTAGTTTTCCATTGCATTACATTTGGCTTAATAGAGTATTTGCTTTATGGTGACTCACTGCAACATCTTTTGCAAAAAAATGCACATTGTTTTTTCTCAACTACTAATTCACACTTTTCATACAAACCATTACAACTATGGAAACATTAGTTTTTCTTTGCATTATATTTGGCTTAATAGAGTATTTGCTTTATTGTGACTCACTGCAACATCTTTTGCAAAAAAATGCACATTGTTTTTTCTCAACTACTAATTCACACTTTGCATACAAACCATTACAACCAGTTCTTGTACAGTCAATAAATTCCCACTGAGACATGCCAGATGAAGTGGAGTCTAAAAGTAAAAACAAGAACATGATGCTATAGTTATTAATCCTATATTCAATAGTCAAAACTGGAGTAAAAAATTCAACATAAGTTCAAATTTTACCTGACCAACTTTATCCTTTTGATTTGCATTAAAGCCAGAATACAGAAATAACTGAACAAGGTCACTGTAACCTGGATGAAATAGTAAATAGTTGTCAATGAAATTGTTTTCTCAAAGCACTAAGCTTTAGTATGCTTACTATTCTATGCACATCATTTGTTCAATTAGGTATAATGTGTAAAAAATAGATGTACTCATTTTTAAAAATATGCATAGTCAGCTCAATATTTTTGGTGCAGTATTCATATACCGTAAATGCTCGAATAAGCGCCCAGCTTCCAATAAGCGCCCCGCTTCGAATTAGCGCCCCCCCTAGGACTCAAATTTTGAAATAAGCCCCCTTCCAATAAGCGCCCCTTCCAATAAGCCCCTCGAGAAAGGCGGGTTTTGCTAAGCGTCCTCTCAAATAAGCCCCCACCCCCACCCTTCCCCGATAAAAGATGAACTTCGGTACTCAGTTCGATACACAGTATTTTTAATTTTTACATCGGTAGCGGACATTCGTTAGAACTCAAAATCAATGTTCTTCAGAGGTTTGCTTCTCATTTGCTTGATTTCAATATCCATGTGGGCACATAGGAGCTTTACTTTATCAAGTTCCTCGTTAAACTTTGCTCCCAGTCGCCGGCTTCGTGTTACTGCTTTAAAAGTTCCTGGAACAACTAGGCCGTTTTCAAGTTTTCTTTTTCCAGTTACTTTTACCTCCACCGCATTATGCATGCCCTTTTAACGGGCACCAGGAAATCGCTTGGAGAACATTTCAAGTTTCACAAAATGTTAATGTTGCTTTCTAGAATGTTAACGTTTTCAAAATTTTCATACTTATGTTACAGTTAAGGTCACAAGAAATAAAATACCAGTGTCATTTTCACGTCAAAATCCGAAAATGAAATAAGCCCCTTCCAATAAGCCCCTTGAATTAGCCCCTCTCGCCTCCAAAAATTAAATAAGCGCCCCGGGCGCTTATTCGAGCATTTACGGTAAGTATGCATGTTTTGCCACATGTGATGTTAATTGTTTTCTGTAGATTATAACATGCATGGATGAATAATGGCTCCACAATTATCAATGATAACTGAAGAGGATACCCAGGACAGAGCAGCCTGGAGAAGTCTCATAGAACTGGGTCTCCGGCAAAGACCCGCTACCCGAGCAGGACAAAGCGGAGAAAGGTGACCAAGGTGACCAATTATCAATGATAACTATGTACATCATTGGCTATGATTTCCTACCTTTAAATGCAGCCCAGTGGAGTGCAGTGTCTCCTTCTTCATCAACAGCATGAATATTGGCCCCTTTACCAATAAGATAACTACAAAGGTCAGCTTTTCCGAATTGAGCTGCTATTATTAACGGTGTGCATTGTTTGTTATCAGGAGCATCAATTGGTATGTTATGCTGCAATAAAATATCAACAATAACAATATGTCCTTGTGAGCACGCCCAGTGAATGGGCCTTGGTCCATGGTCATTCTTGCTCTGCTCATTTAATGGTGCTCCTTTCTCAATCATTACTTCAACAATTTTTGTATATCCTCCAAGGCAAGCCCAATGAAAAGGTGTGTGCCCGCTACAGTCACGTTTCTTCAAAATCTCATCTCCTTTTGCAGCAATAAGTAACAAACACATTCGAAGATCCCTGTGCAAAATGTAATTTAAAACATGATCAAATTTTTACAGATTTTTGTTCCCCTAGGGATATTAGAAAACTAAATATTCGGACAGTTTGAATTAATTTCCTAAGAGCAATCACTGGTGAGATAGAGTTGTATGTTTTAAATTAAAAACACGTCAATTTTCAACACAAATCTATGGTGATAGTCAAGTGACTGGTTGACTAAAGTTTTACCCCGATTTTGCAGCTTTAAAAATGTCCATTTCTGAAGTTTTGTTGTCTTGCTCATGACAATGATCGTGACCATCATTATTCGCTCGACACTTTTTTACCATCGTTAATTAATCATTAACCTGTACCACACCAGAATATTTACCATTTACTACCACTAGCACGTACAAGCCATGCATTTTTAGGCATATTTTTCTCTATTATGTTTTAAAGAATTCCTTAAATTATTCTTAAGTTTCCTCAGATTAGTAAGGAAAATGATTTTTTCCGTCGCAAATTGGCACAGAGACAGTGTAATCAAAATTTACAAATATCTAACTCTGAAAAGTCGACACTTCACCAGTCATAAATACTTTTAGAATCTTGTAAACTCAATAAAATATCTCGTCTGAAATTATGTGATTGAATGGAAAACCAGAACAAAATTCGCAAAATGAAATCATTCGATTCTAAGAATTAATTTAACATTTATTATTCTAAACAAGATATGCGCAGACGCATTGTTAACCAACACGTTTTAGTTTTACTATTGATTGCCATGACCATTGCGTCCCGCGTGGCGCGTGATTGACAAGAGCATAAAAACAAGCTACAGAAGCAAGGTTTAACGAAGATAGAAGAGTATTATCGAAGAGCGAACAGTCACTTTAGAGTTTGAGAAGGCAACATGGAGCGATCAAATGATATTTACACAATTGGGCGTTTGCAAGCTTTCAGTGATGCTGTCTCAGCAATTGTGGCCACAATACTTATTCTTCCGCTGCAAAAAGTTGATAGGTCCAACAGTAGCGATTTTGAAGCTTATTTGAGAGGCCATTATAGTCTTCTTATTATTTATTTCATTGCATTTCTTGTTATTTGTTCCGTCTGGGAGGCTCATATCATGCGATGGATGGTTATCTGTAGAGTGGACGACATTCTTGTTTGTTTGAATATTATAAGCTTGTTATTTGTTTCATTTTTGCCGTTTGCTGTCCGTCTTATTAGCAAATATACGTATCACAAAACACCGTTTGTACTCGTCTGTGGCATAATGCTTGTTTTGGAAGTAATTGAACTTCTTATGATATGGTATTCTTTTACTCGACATGAACTTTTGCGTGCTAGATTAAGAAATGCATATCCTTTTGAAATAGAGCTAAAGAAAAACTATATTATGAAACGAAAGATATTGAATCCTGTTCTCTTTATCCTGGCTGGTGCCTTGAGTTTCGTGAATGTTAAAATTTCGTGGGTTCTGATTTTGCTTGTAATCATTACACCATGCATCAATCGTCTGCTTGATATGATTATTTATAGATCAACATTAGATCCTGAAGAGCAACGTGTTCTTATTTATGAGTATATCATTAGCAAAGAAAGAGTGGAATGTTTTACTGATGGTGTTTACTCTATTGTTGCCACATTCCTAGTTTTAGACATCTCAAGTGATCATTTCCCTTCAAAAGAAGATGTTGCAGCACATGGAGTAGAGAAGACTTTATCAACTATGAAATCAGAATTTCTGACATATGTTGGTACATTTGGTCTTTGTGGTCTACTGTGGTTTGTTCATCATTCCCTGTTCCATAATCTGGAGAAAATGAGTTACCCGATGGTGATTATGAATAATATATCACTGTCATGTGTTGGAACATTGCCGTTTCTTGTGACCATCTTGAACTCATATGCTGAAGATGAAAATAAGTGTGACAGATATGCTATTCAGTTTTGTTGTCTAATTATTGCTGTTGCTGGATTCTCGCAGTTTGTGATCTTCACATTAGGACTTTGTAACAGCTCAAGATATATAGACTACCATGTTATTCCTTGTGGACCCCAGAATATTAATCATAATTATCTTCTCATAAAACTATTGATTATTCCAACAGTGGCCACAGTTATATTTTGTGCAAGTTTTGCAAGCAAGTTTGATTCATATATTACATACCATGTGCTAGTGTTTGTAACACCTTTGATCTTCATTTTTGTTAAGTTTTTGTATGTCAAGTTAGTAAATAATCGACGAGAAACTATGACTATTATTCGTAATGAAGCACTATGGAACAATAGATGAAATGGAAGTACCCCCTGACCATTTGAACATTTAATTTGGCTTCATGAGTGCAATGAATTGTTGTATCAATTGATGTGTGTATGATTTAATAAATTGTTAAAAACAGTTAACGTTTTTAAATGTGTCAATTATGGCCAGCCTCCTTAAAGCCTAAGACATCTAGAGACTGCTTGATACAAAGCCTGTAGTTACATTAGTCATATTTTGAGCCAATAAATTTCACCATGTATCGGAAATTCATTTTGCAAATGTCATAATAGTAATATTCATTGTTTTCAACATTTTCAGCTAAATACTATCGATACAATTTTATTGAATTCAATAACTACAAAAATAAGTTCTTTATACGTAGTCATTGAAACTATTTAATTGCAGTCCAATTTAAACACGGTGAATATAGAACATTTACTTTCCGATTAACATTGTCATCTTTCTTATATAAAAAAAAGAACATAACGCTAAGAAGTAAAGGGGTAAGTTAAAAAAATGACCTATTTCATTGGGCAATAATAATCAAACAAATTTTTTAAATTTATTCACTGTGTTTTAATTAGAGCTGCAATGCAAATGATAAATATACACATCCTTAATGTACGCGCGTCGGTCTTGAATGTCTCGAAAATTTAGAAATTGCTACAAATATACACTTCAGAAATTCTTCTAACATTTTCTAAATCTAAATTTCCATGGTAATGCTGTACAAATTAAGTATATTACACAATGGAGAATTTTTTCAAACATGGTTAGCTATTTACGGTCGTCAATTCATTGAATGCACCTTCGAAGCACGCCTTTAAATCTCGATAAGAAACAACCAAAACACTCTGTTCATCACGTGATATTAAACAGATCTTTTCATGGGAACCAGAATCAAGCTGTAAGAAACACAGTCGGCTTGCATTAAGACAATTTCCCTTCTTCAATTGTACAGTAACAACTCAGTTAGTAACTTTCTTTGTGTATTAATTATTTTAACGTCACATACTATCTAGAAAAAAACTGCTGCAAAAATATACATTAGTATAAGATAAATCACACTCCAAAACAACATGTTGTACATTTAAGATTCGAGTTACATAAGCAAGAGACAAAATCTAAAAGCTTTTAAATCTTCTCTCTTGCTTATACAACTCGAATCTAGAGTTAAGAAGATGTTTTTTGGAATGTTTTATCATATATTTCTTTAAATTATTGACTGAAAAATGTCTTTATATGATCATTATGTCATTAATGATTTTCAACTTTTCAGAACTTGATTAAAACCATTTTTAAATTGGTCAATTTTAACATTTATTTTAAATCGTATTTGGCTGCAGAAATGCCATATCGATAGAGCAGCGATTTTTCAATGAAAAATGATTGATTCGATTTCTTTTAAAATCTCTTTTTTAAATGAAAAAGCATTTTCATAAACAACCAGCAATTGAAATACCTTGTTCAACGATGTAATTATATGAGACATGTCAAGCCAAGGTTCGCCAGTTTCAGTTACTTGATGAAATAGATGATCCCGAAACAATTTGACCAAATACCGATCGCCAGTTTCAGACCAACTTGGATCCATGTTGTATCTACGTACGTACAATCATTATGTATTAAATAGTCACTCGAATAATTAAAATAATATTTATGTTCAATAGTTTTAAATTTGTTTTGTCTTCAATTGAAGATCACTTGCTACAAAAGCACTGCACAAAGGACATGAATTAACATGAATGCTTACTCTGGTCTTTCGTTGATGCTACCCATCTTGCAAAGCAACCGAAAGAGACGCCCATTTTCCATTTCCTACATGGAAGATTAGATTGTGTGAACAAAACCTCGAAATCATACACGTATAAAAATTACTGAATCTGTTTGTTTCGCTTGCAGCAACAAATTCCAAACAAATGAAGACGGAAAACACGATCAAAGGACTACATAAGATGTAATGCAAACATCCTTTACTTTTATCGACTAAATCAGCAAACTCATTAACGCATGCATTAAAAATATACCTTAGCAAGTTCACTATACAGAACATCACATCGTAATTGAGTGGCATCTAGTTGAGTATAAAACCTTGCACCTATCATTGGCATGACGTCATTTATACTTTTCACGTGATTAGCAGGTGGTTGACGCAGGAGATACCTTAAAAAATAAACATTGATTATTTTAAGGGAATAAAAATAAATCACATTTGTGAACGCACTGTTGGGCAACAAGTTTTTCAAAATGCAATGGACTTGATGTGCTAACGACCAACAAAATGACAAATACAATTGTATTTCACAAACTCACATAATTAGATTTTTTAAATCGCTAGAGTACTTCATGTTGATTAATTCGACAGACTGTTGTACATTCTCGCGGTTAACAGCATGTAGTGAAGAGCACGCAAGCATCAGAATTAATCTGCCAAATGCTAGAAGATCTTCGTGCTAAGAAACGCAATAAATTTCAATTTTAAAGTAAAAAATATTATACATACTGCATGATGAATTTATACGCAGTTCGATGTACTTTATAATTTTTTGATCTCACCTGAAAGTGTTGTGTCATGGACGAGGTAGTGTTAGTATCCAGGATATCAAATATTCCACATCCATTTATCCTCAATCTATAAGATTGCAAACACTATTTTTACCACAATGAGTGCACAATACAAAACAAAACAGTGAAATCGTTTACCGATAAACTAATTATGGTGCACAATTACTATGATAGAAAACACTTTATAAAAATACATCAACAATATTTCTCTCCAAAGAGAACAACCAAAAACAGATCACAATCTTATCAATACACGTTTGTAGATGTAGATCGTCCAGGTTTGTATAGTCCTGAGAAGGACGGTTTTTGTTGTTGTTGACTGACGTTTCGACAACCTTAGCGGTAGTCATCTTCAGAGTCAAAATGGTTCAAACCATTTACTTTATTACAATCTTATCAATCATACGTAAAATTTAACGACGAATTTCCACATTGTTACTATACAAAGCAAACGAACATTTGTTGAAAATGACAGCACCTTGCATTTGGAAGAAGCAAAATTTTTGAAGGTTCAACAACCCTACATGCCATCATCATGGAGTGAATACATCTTAGTACCGACGAAATTTGGATGATATAATTCCACAGCAGTCTTTCGGGCATGATTTGTTGTCGACTTTGAGGGGCAGGGGAAAATGTTTTTCGAACCGTAGGTATTTGAGCAGTATGTGCATCAGCTTTTATATAGTAGCCATTTCGAGTTTCTGTGAAATGTTTCTGGAGGATAGTTTCTCCGCCCGGGTGATAGTCGTAGACAAATACCAAAGCTTATGAAAGAAATAAATTATTCAAATCAGTCGAATCTCTGAATTTAATCAGCTATACTGCCAAAACATTACGTATAATTTATCAAAAAGTTGTCAATTAAATGTGGCCAGAAATGAAAACAAGAATTTTAAATTCCCAAAGTTTAGCGATGTTCCAACGAGGCAATGACAGTTAGAACATCTTGATTTCACAAAGAGAGATAATCGTCATGCAGTGTCTACTTACAGTTGTCATCGAAAGCTTTAGTTGTGAAGATTTCACGGAGTTGGATTAAATTGGAATGCTGTAGTTTTCTCCATTCGTCAACGATACTTTTAGCTTTAGGATTTGTTAGTCGAACACCTAAATTTTACATTAACGTTGTTATATATACCTGTATGTAATAGTTTTGAATAGTTTTTGTTTACTACACGCAAAACTTGATGTGACTAAAGTCAATTTTTTATTTCTTTACGGGAGGAATATTTGTTTGATAATCTAGATCGATAATGATCGATAATCATAGATAACGATGGATAATCGTAGATACGTAATCATAGATAGTCTACTTATAAATTTGCAAACGTTCTTTTTAGTATCTAGTTAATGTATCGTTACCGTAATCTTAACAAGCCCTCAATTGAATTTACATTGTATACATAAAATTAAGACTCTAAAGTGAGCTTCAACCAAGAAAAACAAATGGAATGGATTAAAAAATACAATCAACGATTGACAATACCATGTAGTCGTCTCAAAACATATGTTAAGCCATCTTTTGAGTTGATGCACTTAAAACAAGTAGTAATGCAGCCAAATGTACGACGAGACTGAAATGAAATAATGTACGTAATGAACATAAGACCAAGATTATTGCTGATGATTATAAATGCAATAAAATATGACATAGTTAAACCTGGATCCAACATTGATAAATAATTAGTGAGGGGAGAATGTAAACGAGGGGGGGGGGGTGTTAGTGGAGAGCAAAAACTAAATTCTCTTTTTCAAGAGCAAAACATTTCTATAAAATTTGACTGATGGAAAGGACAATTGGATTGGCGGAAGATTGATAATTGAGACGGTTATATTCATGTATTTATGTGTTTTAATCATAATCACAATTGATTTCAATACAAACTAATAAAGTAGAACATGTTGTTATACATGAATAGACTACCCCCTCCCCCAAATTATCAATCTTCCACCGCCATTGTAACATAACAGGTGCAAGCTAAACCCTGCAATATCATTATTCAAGTGATGACAAATGTGATATGGACATTTCAAGATTGACAATGGATACTCTCATGATGACATGAAGTACTAGCTATGCAACACCAACAGTCATCATCATACTAACATAGACAACATTGACTAAGGAGTTTGCATACTAGCTAACATCTCAACATATCATACAACATGTAATGAGACATATAACTCAATGCATAAATATAACTCTACTTGTTGATTAGAGATTGAGTCCATTGGTTCCAAAGGAACTAAGGAATGATAACTGTCAACTTCCTGAGGAATACCTAAATTTTTTTTATACTATCAATGATGTATACCTTGTACATATAACAAAACAATAAATTGTCAGAGAGGCATAATGCTTACTAAAATCTTCAGAGCTTAGCTGCGCCAAAGTAGCAGAATGTTGATTTAAAATTTCCTGTAAAACATGTAGCGTATAGCATGTAGCCATTTCTCCATAGATTAGAAAAATGTGATGTCAAGGCTTCTTTACGTAAAAATACATGAATTTAGAATTGCCCTTGCATACAAAGTTTAGAATTTGACTAAAAAACAATTCTTTATTACCAAAGCCACTACATAATATCTTTGATAACTCATTGCTGAGGTAATTATTCCACTATATACATACCTGTCGTATTTGTGATGAAATAAAAAAGGAATTCATATTTGGCTTGCTTTGTAAGTTTGCTAAATGACTGGGTGTACTAGGATAAACATGATATGAAGGTAGAACCTAAAATGGATATTCACATTGTGAGCATTACGTACATACCATACGCATTTGTTGTGAGATGTCACTCAATAGAATGCAACAAAATGTATTTAAATATGGATAGCTTTTTCACATTGTCACAGAAATACTTGACACTTGTTTTGCAATACATCTTTGGGCTATTTTTAACATTATTATAGTTAATTCACCATATATACATACTATGGAAGGTTCTGGCTGCTGCGATTCAGGATAATAAAACGTAGTCCCACCAATGGACTCTGACTGTACTGCATGGTTCTAACAAGAAAAAGGATATTATAATTCCAAAATCAGAATTGATCATAACAGAATTATCATAGAATATTATAAAGTACCGTTGCTGTTGGCAAGAATTCATAGCCTTGATTTAGAGCAGAGTTTCGCAAAACATTACTTCCTTTTTGAAAGTTTTCAACTTTTTGGTTGCTAACCTAAAATGAAATAGATCTTAAATAATAAAGTACTTTAGTGAAAATAATTTTACAAGAGTTGATCTCTTACAATTATCAAATCTTCGTCTAAAACAAGAAAAATATTATTCTACCTCCATGCCTAGCGACATTCCTCCAAAACGACTCGCAAGTTTGCTAGTTTCAGTATCAACAGTATTAAAATTATTCGGAGAGTCGTTTGAATAACCACCAACTGAGGGAAGGACCGTGAAACCTTTTTCACCTATAATTAATTATAAATTATGTTCAGAAATAACATTCATATGTATAAACATCAATATTAAACATATAAAACAGAGGAATTGCTAAATATATGCGATCACATTATTTACAAGACATTTAAGTGGTATTTGCTGGACGAGAAAATAACATGTTTACCGGACTGTGAAACTCCAGCATGCACATATTGACAAGCATCTCCATAAAAACATTTTCCATCCGTGGCAAAATAACGGCATAAAGAAGCTTTCACAGGTCTGTTTGAGGTACCCGCTTGCAGCTTGCTCATTTTTAGGGTGTAAAAATTTTAAAAATACTTCATTCTACTTTGAGTAAATCGTGTCTGCATGATATTTGGTGCAAAAATTCATCGAAAAATTTCAAACGAGTTATTTACGTTCCCGCCACGGCGCCATCTTTGTTTGTCCAAGTTCTATATGCGTGCGCATGATTCTATCATTTGTGAGTTGTTGTTTATCAAAGATTCGAACAATTATCATTAATAATTACTTAAATCAATAGACACATTTTCCTTTGTTTTTTAATTCGAATCGGTGTCATTAAACACTTAAGGATCAATGCACAAGGACATTATGACTTAACACAATAAGTAATTGTTATTTATCTTTAATATTGTAGTTATGATTATCAGCACTGCTTATGTGTTCATGAGCCATCCCACCTTTGTTGTAAGAACTTCAACAAGCAACAACGTTTTTGCTGAAATTACTCCCAAGACTATAACAACCATAGACCGTTTTCTGCTATACATTTTGAAAAAATACATTCATTGTTGTTGTGCGAACGAAAAGGTCTTTATGATTAAAGACTCGTTAACCATCAACCTAACAATCATGTTTACGTGGTTCTTTACACCTTCCTTCATGATCCCTCAGCTTTTCGTCAACTGTACATCGGTAATGAACACTTGTATAAAATTTTGGGAAGTTTTCAATTAGAGCTACCGACAGCAGGCTTTGCACGCCATATTTAAGCAATCCACGTGGTTGCACGCTAAGAAAAATCAAATAATTTTACTATATAACAACCTAAAATACAAAAATTAGCCATGTCTCTTTATGTTCGCACAAAAAAACTTTTGCCAAATTTTGAAGACAATCAGACAAACAATGACTAGAGTTCGAAAGTACTCACTGAGTTTTCAAGAAAAAAAGTAAACTCCACTACGTACATCCTATTTGTAGGAAACTACTTTGTACAATATGCGAGTTTGCACTTGTTTAACATACGACATAGATTTAAAATTGAAAAAGAACGTTAATTACAACGTATATATGTCAAAATACAACGTTTTAATCATAATTCAACGTTCAGTATCATGAATATGACGAACAGGAAGCAATTGACATCAAGGTGTACGTTCATTTTCATTTCCAAGCTCTAGTTCAATCAATTTTCACAGTAGAGTAGATTTTCTTAACAAACAGACTTGCTCCAATGTATCCAAGGGTTCCTAAGAAAATACGTAAAGATGTTCAGTTACTAGCTCCAGCATACCTGGCAATGAATACGTTTTAAGGCAAACTAAAAAGTATCATTATATTATATTTACCGCACATAATGCCAAGGCTAACGCTAAAGAGAGCCATGTATCCAAAGTAAAAAGTAGTTTGGAAGAACCCGTACATTCTGTAATAAACATGAATAATTTGTGAGCTTTTATAAAGGAATTTGTGGGACATAAAATAGAAGTTGTTGAAACAGGTTGCACAAATACTTACTTTGTTTTGAAGAAGAAATAATAGAAGGAGTATAAATATACATATACTGCAGTTGAACCAGCTGACAGAAAAGATGTCCACTGCCTGTAAAATGAATATTAGAATAATTATTATATAATTTATAATAATTTATAATATATAATCAAATCAGTAAGGCCGCTTAGGAGAATGAAGACAAGACGTACACCCCTTTGTTCCCACTGTAAAGATAAAGATCGTTCTCTGAAAACAACGTACAGTGAAACACCATTTATATAGCATTACAGGAAATAATCAATTAATCGATAATAATTACTGAATACCCCGAAATTTCAATAATTAAAGATTGTCATTTTGTCCTGTTATGTTATTGATCGGAAGAAGTCATATTTAATATGAACATCCGGAGGTGATAAATATTTTCATATTAAGATTTACTTTCAAAATAAAGAACTGCGGTGGAATTTTTTCTTACCAGCGATAGTCTTCTGCATTCAGCAAAAAATATGTGCAAACAATGGTCACACACATCGTTACGACGATCAAGATGAAGAACACCAAAAACATGAAACCAAACACAAAATAGACCTTGTACGCCCAGAACGAAGTAAAGATAAAGTACCTAAAAATAAAACGATTATGGTAATATTTGAAAAGTAAGTCATATTTTGCGAGAAATTTTGCGAGTAAAATGCTCATTTAAACGTTGGCGTAGCTGATCTTTTCTTATTTACGAATGTTGGTCGATTTTACAAAAAATACCTTCATCATACCACTCTGGTTATTCTATGTACTTACATTTCAATGAAGATCGATCCAAATGGCAATATTCCACCAAGTATAATAATCATTATTGGTTCCATAAACCTATAACAGGAAGATCAAAACTTTAGGTTTTACAACTGAATTAAATATACAAAATATTAAGGAGATGGGAGTTGTACGATGCATTAAAGAGATGGAAACAACAAGATATCACATAGATCAAAGCTACAAGACAGAAGAGGAACTAGTCGTGAAAATGAGCACTTTTTAGACACAAAAAAGACAAATCCTGTAAAATACACATAATATTCCACATTATAAGAGGTCTAACCATTTTTTTTCGGGAATTGGTCTTGGTACGGTGTTGACTCTGCATGGATAATCGGGATTACCAGAAATATTGCGACCCAGGACAGTTCCAATGAGATTCAACGGTAATATAACAAATATACATATTGCCGCCACGGAAAGCTGTTAGATAAAAGAATAAAGACTAACTGACAAAAAAAACCATTGACCTATATTTTACTTCGAGTAATTTGTACTTAAAAAAGAGAAAGAATAATGTATATACCATCAAAGTTGTTTGTTACGATAGATAACATTCAAGCATGTCTGTACTGGGATATTTTGCTTTCCATATACAAGTTTACACAGCTTAAACATTAAACTCATTTTGCAATGTACAATTTAAGATGATAAAAGTGAGCTTAGAACTGGTTGAAAAACCAATGTAAATGCAAATTATCGTTAAAAAACTAAACACAAAATCATCGTACACCCCCCCCCCCGAAACTAAAACTATGACATCATATTGCTTATCACTCATCACAACTGTGTAAATTTGTGACTCTATACGTTGACAAGCGACAGAATAAAATAAATAAATCAGCAATACCGCATTTTGTTTACAGATAACTTAAAAACAATTTCCATCTGTTATATTTTGAACAATTAAAATTAATTATAACTCACCATTGATGTGAATGGAATTGCTCTGGAAGCCCGATAATAAATGGCGACAAAATTGATCAAAAATACAGTTCCACACACCATCATTGGAAACATCGCCGTACTAAAAATCATTTGTCGGATCCATCCTTTGCCTGTATAAAATAGAGAACTGTTTTTAGCCTACGTTAAACAAACTTTTGGGGCTTTTATGGTAAACAAATCTAGGAATTTCGACTTTCTAGTAGCGTTCAAAGAAAGTTCTTACCACTTTGCCTTGAGTACAACGAGCCACCAAAATATCCATTAACAGGTGCCGTTGCGGCATACACAAATATACAAGTTGTCAATATTGATCCACGTCTAGTAAGAAAATGAAAGAAATCTTAAAGAAGTTTCTTAAATAACCTTCTGTTTGGATATAGAGATATGAATTGTTAATTTGTGAGTATATTCTCACAAAAGCTTCCACACGTACATACATATAAGAAAAACATTAAAGACAAACTTGAAAGAATAATCCATTTCAGAGTTACATAAAGAGATTTAGAATAATTAAAAGTATCATAGCTATGTAAAAAAATGAAATCAAATTAAAACAAATTCACTGTTTTTTCTTAAATGTATCAAAAAGGATATATGGATTTAGTAATATTAAGTGAATGGTTTCAGTCCATGTATATCGTTATAAATTTACAGATGTTGACCATGCAGGTTAATGCAGTTTTCATTAAGTGAATGGTTTCAGTCCATGTATATCGTTATAAATTTACAGATGTTGACCATGCAGGTTAATGCAGTTTTCATTAAGTGAATGGTTTCAGTCCATGTATATCGTTATAAATTTACAGATGTTGACCATGCAGGTTAATGCAGTTTTCATTAAGTGAATGGTTTCAGTCCATGTATATGGTTATAAATTTACAGATGTTGACCATACAGGTTAATGCAGTTTTCATTAAGTGAATGGTTTCAGTCCATGTATATGGTTATAAATTTACAGATGTTGACCATACAGGTTAATGCAGTTTTCCCTTGACTCAGTTGATGACTACAACAAAGGGTGTCCAAACGTCAGTCAATACAAACGTCAATAATCTTTCACAGGACTGCACTAACCTGGACGATCAATATCTACAAACAAATGAGCATCGCGTGCGAAAAATATGCATACGTATGTAAAACTAAAAATACAAGCATACTCTGTGTAAAGATCGCCAATAATAGTTGAAACGATGACCAAAAATCCAACAAAAGTCAAATGATATCCCGTGCCAATCAGAGAAGAAAAAAACATGGGATATGATGCTCCGCGGAATACATCGCCATGAACTTGCTTCCAGCCGTATTCGTCACCCAAATCACGTTCCTGTGTTTTGAAAGTACAAGAGGTTATTTGCCTTTCCAAAATTTACGTGGATAACACTCTTTGGATAGGATGAAAAACTAGCATCTATGGGTAAATCTAAGATACGTAATTATATCTATTTCATTTAGTAGCGAGATCTTTTCGCAGTTTCATTGAACATTTTGGTGGTGAGTTTCATTGAATATTTTCATTGAGCATTACCTCTTTAAATATAGGTAGTTCCACAACACACATTACTTCTTTAAATATAGGTAGTTCCACAACACACATTACTTCTTTAAATATAGGTAGTTCCACAACACACATTACTTCTTTAAATACAGGTAGTTCCACAACACACATTACTTCTTTAAATATAGGTAGTGCCACAACACACATTACCTCTTTAAATATAGGTAGTTTCACAACACACATTACTTGTTTAAATATAGGTAGTTCCACAACACACATTACTTGTTTACACAACAAACATTACTTGGGGAAATGAGTGCGGTAAGCACAATGATCAAACCTTCTAAGGTGAATAGAGGAAGCTATAAATAACATTTGGAGTCGTGAGTAAAGTATGCTACGTATAAGGCAAATGGTTTGACTGCAAGAGTATCGTTACATCTTCGTAGATGTTGATCGTCTTGTTTAGTGCTGTCCCTTTAGTTGATGTTGTTGTTTACAGATGTTTTAGCGGTAGTCATCTTAATGTAAATGTCAGGTTTGCCATATTTGTTTATACTTCATGACACATTCAATTCACACAATTGTGACACACTCATTCATCTTTGTAAATGTAGATCTCATAATTATTCATAAAATGCAGAGTAAATTTTTCCATGCAGTAATTTTTCCATGCAACCATGGTAACATTAACAAACCATATCATCCAATTCATCTTCTTTACTGTATCGTGCATAATCTTTCCTCAAGGTACGCATCAAAATCATACTGACTAAACCCACCAAGAAAATGACCATCATAAATGAGTTAAAGATGGAAAACCAATGAATCTAAAGAGAAAATAAAACTATAGAAACTGGTTTCATCAATGGAACCTGGGTTTATGATTTCTATCATAAACCCAGATAGATATAAATCATATATTTATCATAAAATGATGAAGCCACAATCCTCACTTAGACAACACTTTGATACATGTATAAACAAACAGATATTTCTGATGTTTCAATTAGCCATAACGTATGTACCATAAAAGAAACGATCAACAGCCATAATATAATTTAACAATACTACATATTATCTTACTCTGTGTTGAAAAAAATTTGGATCAAGGTATTTTTCGTATCTGTTAGAAAATTTTACTGTGGATGGCTTCCATTTCACCTAAATACATAATTAACATTTGCATAAATAACACACTCGAAGTGATGCTATTGACTATGAATAAGTGTTTTGTAGACAAAAGTTACAAGAAATTGCATTGAAGGTCCCATTTTCAACATTCCTACATTGTTTGCAAGGATTAGCATTTTATCTTTTTCATTTTTGTGAATTGAGAAATGCTTCAAAATTTATGTTTTAAAAAAAAACATAAGCTTGTACACAACTAGACAAATAGTAAATGGCTCGTACTCAAGTAGATATGCCAGGATGACAAGCCTGCACGTAAATTGTTGAGGTTTACATCAGAGAATAACATTCTTGGTCAACAATCGTTGAAAATGACATACTTACCTCATAGGTAAATGAGAGTTTACTTCCAACAGAGAGCTTAGTTTTTGACTCACTTGTTAAATTTACATCAACAATCTAAAAGAAACAAATTTCAGAATACATTGAACACCAAGTGACATAATTCGAATAAGGGTAGTTCCACAACAAACATTACTTCTTTAAATATAGGTAGTTTCACAGAACACAATACCTCTTTTGACATGCAGAAATGTATATTAACCCAGTCACCTGATTGAAATTGTAACCAATGTCAAACTTTTTATGTGTCCAAATGTAATAATCTTTAGCATTATCAATTTCTCCAATAATTCCTATGATAAATTTTTTGAAGAAATATCAATATAACAAATGCATTGGTCTAAAATAAGACTCCACTAGTAGTAGAAACCTACAAATGACCAAAAACCCAAAAAGTTGAAATTTCAGTCACTGAAAACTTATAGATAAATATATCAGAATGGTAAGAGAATGTTTTCTATAAAGCAACTCACCCCATATTGGTAAGTCATCTAAAAAGAAGAACAATAAAGGTAAACATAAATTGAATATATTTAAGGAGAAAAAAACCATCTGCCTTGCTTACCAATATACATTTGATACCAATAATGATTATCGACTGCATATTTCAAACTTTGAAAAATCTCTTCATTCACATCCATTTCACAAACCTTTGACCTTGGCATGTCCACTGAAAAAGACATCAATGTTTTTGTCAACGAATAACAATTCACATCAATAATCAGTCAATACAGGGACGTATGTAAATATGAGGGGATCTCACATCACCCAAATCTTTATTTTGAGTTGCAGTAGAAAGAAGTACTATATTAGTCGGCAGAAAAAAAGATTCTTGATGAATAAACAACAATACTACAGATAATTTATATAAATGATAAATGAGAGTTAAGAAAGTAAAATTTTGGTATAATTAATAAGTACATTAACTAGCTACATTTAAATTCAAAATTGTTGACTTGTAGATGTTTAACAGTTGTTACATATACAAGAGGCACAGAGTTCAATCAATTACTGGAAGATCACCTTGAGATTACTGCGATAAATAATAAATAAATTTACACATTCGTCGTTAGTATTTAAAAATTAAAATGGTTTTGTACAAAAGTGGCCAGTCAGTTGAAAGGATTACTCCCGTGCTGAAAAACTTTCTAAGAATGGCCCTGAGTAAATAATTGTCACCAGTAACTGTAAGCAATGATGATATCACAATATTTACATACTCTGTCATAACTCTCACCTGTAAAATCAATATCAATGCCACTATACTCCAGTTCAACACCTTGGATTGCATCAGCAAGACTTTCATGGTAATGACTAATTTCTGCTTTTTGACCATGGCAAAATGGTAATGAGAAATATTTATAGGTTTCTTGACGATTATGGTAAGGTCCCACAGTATTCATCCATAAAAGAACTTCTTCTTTGTCTTCATACTAAAAACATTTTTCAATCATTCAAAAATAAGCGCATCATTAATTCAGAAAAGGAACACCATACTGGGTCATAAATATTGATTATTTTTTATCATTTTTGCAAACTCAATTTGCAAAATAAACAATGATGAATTTTGAATGACATGTAAAGGTTTTCCATTACAATTGTAAGTTTTAGTTAATCAAGATGGTTTTTAATTTCATGCTGAGGTATAAAATCCCAAATTCATATATTATACAATCAATTAAATAACTTAGAATGACGGTCATGGTGATTGAGTGTGACATTGGAACAAACTGGCAACACAAAGCAGAAAGAACAATTAAAATGTTTGATATCCTGATGATACTGAAAAGTTAATTAAAAAAATATTTTTGCCACATCAGTACTTGATACGAAAGATAACATGCAAACGACAACATCATTATACAATTTGTCCTTCCAAATAAAATAACCGTTAAATGAGAAATGTATAACGGTAATCTCTTTAGGTGATCAAAATCGGTGATGCATAGTATAAACAGTTCACGTTATATTTCACTAACAGACAATTGACCCACACTGAGGCAAAACATTCGAAAAATACAAAACATAAATTTTTGCTGCAAACAAAAATAAATATACTACAAGATAAGAGCCCAATAAAATATATAAATAAGCGAACTCTCTGCATTCAAGAAGGGTAAATGACCAAGTACTTTGTAAAACAATTTCAGTTTTAACCTACTTTATGATTTTGCTCGTCGCCTTTCACACAGTACAAAATGAACATAAAATTCACGAACCAAATCAACTTCATTATTTCGTGGATATGATAATAAACTATAAAAACATTTAAAGATGATACCAAAACTCTTTACAAGAACATTCCAAATAAGACTAAGGCTCGTAGGCACAAAATGGCCGCCACGTCTTCATTTCCCGGCATGCGCTACGACGCCACGTCAACGTGAAAATGAAAGGAGGAAAAGGAACATGGGAAAGGAGTAAAAAACCTTGAGGCTTGAGTCCATGGACAATGATAATGAGTTGAAAAGTTTGACAAAGTTGATTTAACCGTGCACTAGAATTGCAAATCTAATGCAACAGTGCGTGTCATAACAAGTTTATAATATATTTAGATAACTGGGGCAGGTTGCACAAACCTGGATAGCGTTGTCCATTGGATAGCAATATTTTTAAAATTTTATAAAACCTTTTAAAAAGCAAAAAGTATAACATTCGCACTGAACAATCACTAAAATAAATATTTCTTCGAAGATTACGAAATTTCTTTGTCGTAAGGAAAATATAAACACCTTTTACAAGTTTGAAGATTTTTGCTATCCAATGGATAACGCTATCCAGGCTTCGTATAACAGGCCCCAGGGTTGTAGCTAGTTTTATCATCCACCATGAAAAAATTATTTTAACGAACGTACATGTTGCACAAAGTAAAAATAAAAATGTACAAAAATTACAAAACAAAACAAAATGAATTGCACATAATATGAAATAAATTTGTTTTTTAAATATCTTTATTTATTTATTTACAAACTCCACAAACAATGTCCTTTTCTTCTATTTTAAATTCACTTATTTCTTGTCCTTTTCTTTGATTTATTCCTTCGAGAAGCAGGCGATTCAGAAGCTATACAAAGGATTATAATTAATATCTACACAAATTTAGTTAAATTATCTCATTGTTAATATTCTATATAGTATTTAACGGGGGGAAAATTAAACCGATGAGATTAGGGAGAAAAAGAATTAAAAACGTAAAAATAAGAAATGAACCTGGCAAGCTTTGTTGCTATAAACGTGGTTACATAGCTAAAAGTGTGAATGGCTTACAGAATTTTTTGTCCAATTGTTTTTCATTATTTTCCAATGTCTTACGCAATGTCTGTTTCTTTTCCACTGATGACTTTACGATAGATTCTGGTTTACCAGTGAACACTGTAATACATGTTGGACGTCCATTCAGAGCAAACTGACAGAGATAATCTGGGGCATCACGAAACTGAAAAATAAGTTGAAGAAAAAAACGTTTCTCTCAGTTTCAAATTGATTAAAAATTTTGCTGTTCGCCCAAAAATGTGTAGGCTACATTTGAATTTTGGCATCATCGTTTTCAACAGCGCCGAAAGAAGCCCTCTCCACTGTCATGTCAACGATACCACTTTTCAAAAGTGCATGTCCAAAGTGAACAAAAAACATTGGTTTCATGTTTGTGGCGAAAATTTTAACCCTGTACTTTTTCTTGGTTGTTTCAAAGTTATATGGAGAGGATTAATGTGATTATAAGTTGTTTTAGGTTCCTTTCACATAACAAATACTCCAGCATAAATAGGTTCATTGAAAATGTAGTCGAAATATAGAATGATGAGTAGAAATGAAAACATATACGAAACTCCATCAAGTAGTAGATTTTTCTAGAATGCAAAAAAACTAGTTAGCATCCGGTTTAAAAAGTCATGAATTCTCATTTTCCAAAATTTAAAAACCTTCAGTCCTTCAGAAAAATGAATTCGATAGATTCTTGTACAATTAGATTAGGACAAGAAGTGCATTATCTTATTTACTAACATTTTTATCTTTGAAACGCCAAGCTTTCAAAACGCCATCAGAAGATACAGAAAACAGAAAGATGTGGACAATATCTGATTGGTAGCTATTGCTCCATGTACTTGTGAGACCTTTTATCCTGTCAAAGTTAAATACATACATAAGGAGTAATTACAAATGAATCATGAGCAGTTAAGGATAAAATGGGATGTATGATTTAAAGTAGGATCAACGTTCTCTTCTATCCACCAATCATTGATGTAAAATTTTATTGTTGTAAATAATTTCATAAGAATAAAAGTGTCACTCACCTCGTTTCATGAGCAACAATAGATTGAGTCTTTCTTTCCGATTCCACATCATGAATCTCAACTTCTAGCGAGTCTCCACCAACTGCCAGAACGTTTTCCTGAAATTTCAAAGAGCTATAATGTAGTAGTTGAAGATACTTTTCACCTATGCTTACTGTCAAAATATACAACATGTAAAAAGGCTTACATCCATAAACGTTATTGCCAAAATTGTTTTAGCAAATCCTATTGTGTAAACCAAAGCAGCTGTCTAAAAGCCGAGAGAATATTCATGTTAAAGATAAAGTACAATTTTACAATAATCAACGGCTCATATTCTTCAAAACTCTCAGCAGTGTCATAGACAAGGGTGCAGGGGGGGCTCGGCCCACCAAAGAAAAGAGGTAACGCCCATACAGAAAGACGAAATCGGGGCAGAAATTAGGGGGGTAATTCCTAGTTGACTATACCTATTATGGTACTACCAGTCTTAACTTTTTACAAAAATTCTAGTTTTTTAAGTCTAACAGCAGAAAATATCTACAATTGTTACTAAGCGTACTTTAACAATGAAAATATTCTCACTAAATAACGTATTAAAATTGCTAATGAACGAAGAAAGGCTACAAAGTCTTATGTTTATGTCAAACAGATTTACAGATAGAAGGGTTATAGACATTGAAAACCCGGTTGAATAATTTGTCGACATTTCACCAAGATGAATGAATTCAGCATGACAATACAACGCGTTGTGTACATCTTAAGTTATAAGTACAAATCACATGGATAATCACACAACAAAAACACGTGAAATCGCTATTGAGGGACTATACACTATGAAATTTCACGGGGGAAGCAACCCCCGACCCCCCCCTAGAAAGGCTCACGCTATCAACGTTCGAAAGTATGCCCCCCTCCCCAAAAGTTAACGTCTGCCAACACTGCTGATCTTCAAGATACAACATCTACTTCATAAACTTGAAAATGCTACCTAGTTGGTGACATGTATTTTATGCCTACGTAAGTCATTTTTTTGAGTTTTAAGAAAAAGAAAAAAGAACTTAGGCAAAAAAAAAAGGATAGAATCGTGACGATGTACGTACTTTATAACAGTGAATTTTTTTGATAAGCTTGGAGTCTTCAAATAAGCAGTAAAATAAATTAAGAATAGTTTGAATCAAACTTACGGAAACTTTATAGACGATAACTTGGGAGCTTGTCACAACAGCGTAGGTTTCTCCAGAAGGTGACCATCGCACGATGCTGGCAACTGCACATGAACACACAAGTAATACCAAATGAGCGAAACAAATAAACTATGCAGTAATTGACTACTATGTTCATTTATACATGTCAATAAAAACTTATAGAAAACTCAAATAAAATGGAAGACTTTTTTCAAGCTTAAATTTCTTTCAGTATTTTCTATTCAAATGTAAAAAAATCTCCACTATGGAATTAGTACCTTGTTTAATGTTTGTTACATACGCCGATCTTCCTGTGAGAAGGTTCCATGTTCTAGATAATGTACAATAACTTTGTTTGAAATCAACGTTTTCCTTTTCTCACTTGTTTATACGACCTCGGGACATATTTCTCATTAAAGGTTGAATAAAACGTAGAATTTACGTTCAAAGTTTATGCTAGGAAGAATGCTTGTGCTAGGAAGAATCTAATTATCTCATTTCTTCTTATCTTCCTTGGTTAAAACAATGTAGAGCTTATTATAAAAATATTTCTATTGAAATTCAAAAACAAACAGAAGGAGGCAAAAGCAAATTTTTTTACCGACAACACGTTAAATATCCACCTGAGCGTTTTATCCAATGAAACTGAGAGTGCTAAACGTCCAGTAGGATGTACAGCTAGAGATGTTACTGATTCTCTACATTGCAAGAAAAATAAATACATAAATTACTACTTTGCAACCAACAGTTCTTTAAAAGAAGTAAAAATGCATATTTTGATTAAAGTATCGGAAACGAGGTCTTGGTAACTTTTTTAGACTGGTAATATATCAACTAATCATTAAAATCCAAGGGAAAAATCGACCTTCTTCGTTGTGAATACGTAGTTTAGATACATAAATACTATTTCAATTTAATCCCCTTTGACCCAATTATACCTGTGCCCTTTTAAGATTTTTAGACAATTCCAAGATTTACATTCCCAAATACAAAGAGTACCATCTTCACAACCACTAAGCAAATGAGTTTCGTTGCAAAACGAAAGGCATGTTATTGAACCTAAATAACCAAAGAAATGAAGTTTGAGTAAGAATCAGATAGGAATAAAGCACAAGGGAACATGCATAAGAATGACAGAAATATATCAAATAGAACAAACTACCTTCCTGTTGTGTTAGACGTCCAAGTTCAACTCTTTTCCTAAGTTCAAACAATCTACAACAATCAAATTTTTAAAAAGGATTAAAGGAATTATCACAGAAAAATATCTTGTAATCATTAAATCTAAGTATGAGGCTTGAGCATCATTGCATAGATGTATAAAATTTACTTCTGCATCATACGTTATGGAGTCAATTGTATAAAATTGAAAGGTAAAATTGAATCTGACTCAATGACACATATTGCTCATTATTTTATTCTTGGTTCATATCAAGTTTCCTTAAGTGTTACTAAGTGTTCAAAAAAACAGCAAGCAGTACTCTAGCTTTTGACAGACTTTCAGAACTACTGATGAGCATTTCAAAGTCTTGATAGTTTGATATAAAATCTATTCAATTGTTCAAATCAATGGCCAAAATAGTGATAGCATAAATAGCATCAATGGTCGAATTTGTAACAAAAAAACATTTGCTTGACAATAAATTTTGAATGAGTAAATGACTTTGTGATTGTATTGACTTCTAGAAACTAGGCCATTTTGAGTTGCAAATAACCCTATAGAAATAAAATGTGGTATGTATTTAAGTTGACCACTGTTTGAGCAATATGATTTCATTAAATATAAATGACACCTGACCTTGAAGCTGCTTGTTTACCATTTAATGGTTGTTTTAAGAAAGTTTTCACTGCTCTTACAATACCCCCTTTCCTTGAAAAAAACACACCTGTACAACAGTACAAGGCCTATGCAAGGGTTAAACATAGCTTTATCGCTATAATAGTAAACAAACATTTTTGTACATCCCGCTCATTCTTACGCCCTGGTTTCCTGATCGAAAGCTTTTCATGTAAACCACCCCCTTTATATAACATATATAACTTGGAAGTTACAAAGATAATACAAATAATACCTTATACTTTCATCTGTAGAGCCTGAAGCAAGATATTTCTGATTACATGCCACTGACTTTACACAACCACTGTGGCCGTGATCAGAGAACGCGGCTTCAAATTTCTAGTTAAAGAAAAGAGAATATAAACTTTTAAGAAAAAATCAATAAAATCAAGATGTCTTTTTAAAATGAACTCAATTACCGCCTCAATTTCATCAAAACAGAAGTTTAAAGCACAAATAGATTGCTCATAAGTTCCAACTATAACCTCCATGTCCCACTAAACTGTTTCTCTTAATTTCCATCAACTGTAAGGTGGTACACTAAACTGGATAGTTTGTTAATAAACACAGATACTTCCATTTTACTCCCCAATTTTCTTATTCACTCACAGATAATTTCATTTTAGTTTAGTCCAATATGACACCTAAAGAGTTATCTGACGACTGACTGCCGGTCCAAAAATTGATTACCTAATAGTAGATTCCCCCAATACTTCATTCCCAGCCAAACCCCCAAACACTTCTTTAGGTAAAGCCACCCAATTGCTCCCATAATAATTTTGGTCCATTTGCTTGCAACAGTCAGTGAAAAGTATCTCTTGTTTGACTTTTCTTTTATTTTTGGTTTCTTGTTAGATATTTAAATCAAAGGATCCTGTATTAGTATAGCGTCGTTTAATTCGGATTTTATTAAGATGTGTAATAAAAGCGAGAAATGAAACAGCCAAGCTTTTGTTTGTATACAAATATGCAATAAAAAGTCGGTACTTTTCAGAATGTCTAAAAAAAACTTCCCTTGGGAAAAGACAAAGGTGTTAAGCTTATGCCAGAAATAGTAATTTTTCTATCTAATGAGTTAAGAGTTAAATGAGAATAAAACAGCCCTTTATTCCGAATAAGGGAATTGAAATTTTGCAAAAGTCGAAAAATGAAAATGTGAATTAAATGTTAATCATTTTTAAATGTATATAACGCATTCTCTTGGGATTTATAAAATAATATTTCGTAAAATTTAGTTAAATCTCCCGCAAAGATAGGATGCAATTGGAAGCAATGGATTCAGACAGACACAAAAACCGGCCTGAGAAATTACTCATTGATATGCTGTCTTATCAATTTAATCAAGCATTCAGGGCTGTCTAGTAATATAATCTTATAATTTATTTAACGCAGATTCTCATCTTCACTTAAACACCTACATCATATTACATGGAATAACATTTCAATTGCATCGTTTATTAATTATTTAAAGTAAGATACGTATAACTTTAATGAACACGCTTCAGTTTTATGATAAATCATTTTTTATATGGTAAAATATTGCAAAATCATACATTATAGGATTAATGTCAATATATGCTCTAACAAAAACAAAAAACGCAGTTATCTGAATTCATCAATCATTTTTAGTTATTTTTTCAACACTTCAAATGTCGAATAAACCTGATATATTATACGCCAGAGACACTTAACTAATTTGTTATGTTACTTATTTATATTTCAGAGAATAAAATTGAAAAAAATGAAAAAAATCAAAAGAAAAAGATGAAAGAGAAAGTCACACTGAGATGCAAAGGCTGTCGACTTAAGTTCGTAAATTGCTTTTTCAAAAGTAACTAAAACAATTGATGCTGTTTATTATCGTGTTTCAAGAATAATGATAATCTTAATCTATGTAACATATGATGAAATTTTGCAAACCATGTTTTTAATTTTTGATATTTAGCAATTTTTGATTTTCATGAAAAAGTGGAAAGTGTAAAAAACAAAATCATACTTTAGTCAATGACATATATATATATCAAGAAAGCTTCTTAAATTTTCGAAAGTTAATAAATTAGTTCAACATTTGAGCAGCTATTACAACACTAGCAAGTCGAAGGAAATACTAAATTTTAATTTGACAATCCAATCAAATGAAACACATAAAAGATGACGTTTGCTTGATAATCATTACAAAAGATGAGCATCGTTAAAAAATGCAAGCAATTAAATTTTCGAATATACGCCTAAATTAAAATGTAATCGGCACATATATTCTATAATAAATTTTTCTTAATTACTTTGCGATAATAATGAATTTTTTTTTAAGTTTCGTCCTGATTAAAAAAATTTCATATGCTGATAGTTATTGCTGAAAATCTGACGAAGATGCTTTTCTTTTGGCGAAAACTGAGCAAAATTTCTTCAATAATCTCACACATAATTTGTTAACCGACATAACTGCTTCGAAATGAATATTTCAAAAACAGTCATAATTATAATCTAGTATCGGTTTTACTGACAAAGGACAGCCCACATCATCAGCAAATGTTATGCTCGACAACTACAAATCATTTTGCTCTATAGTCACACGAACTGACTGCCCACCCGATTCCAAATAATCACACTGTCTGCATTTTTTTGAACTCATCAGAAATATGTATGATTTTCCTAGTTGAAGTTCAGCATTATTTCTTCCATATGTCTGTGATTACTTGAATCAAGCAATGATTTAGCGATTTAGTAATATATTGATGATTGCATAAAGACCTAACTATAACTTAAAGACTAAAGTTCATCTCCCAAAAATTTATGCACAAACGGCCGGAGTTTGTCTTTTTATAAATTCTTAAGGCTCTTGATTTTTGGTATTGCATCCTTCATTCTGGTTGCTTACATGATAATTAATATTATTGTATGAAACACGTTCATCATCACAAGTAAAAATAAAATAATCACTGACGACAATGATTCTTGCGACTTGAAGTTGTTAAAATGATCAATCTTCATGACCTATGTCTGCAAAACACTTAATTCATTTACAAGCAACGGTTTATCAATGAAAGCTTAAACACAATTCCATCCTATATCTACCAAAAGCAAAACAATTTTTTAATATCATTTATTCAAATTTCATTTATCAACATATACATCGAATAATTGCATTAATGATGATTACTAGACATCAAATGATAAAAAATATAACTAAAGCAAAGTACTCAAAGAATTCAGCTGTCATATTCAAAACGTTATGCGATAACGCTCAAAAAAGGGGAAATAGTTGAATGAATATACACGGGTGGAGCGCATGACGAACATGACAGTATACTAAAAAAGAAAATCGTCAAAAACAAGGCTGCATGCTTAGCAATATCCGAAAAACAGTTGCGGCCAAAGTTAAACAAAACAAAACAATACAACAAAAACGGCAGGCTTTTAATGTATTCGTTTCATTATGTCTTAATTAAGCCGGTATTCGTTTTTATCTTCACAACAGACAGTATTGGAAAGCTTGTCGTATCGTGATCATGTCAGTTTTAAAGACAGTCTGCATTGGTAAGTTCTTTAAAAACTTTTTAAATACAAAGCAGCACAATCATCAGCACCAAAACTTTTCTTTTCAAAGAAATAACCTTTTTCATTCAAATTCTTGTAAACTATAGCTACACAAAACTTAATTTAGTGTACACATGATCTCAAAACTGGCGATAATATTAATAAAAAACGAAGACAAATTTGGAACTTGAGCAAATTTAAAAACCTATGCCATAACTGCATGATTAAGTTAATACTTTTCACAACTTATTTAACATAGATACAAGAGCCGGTGGGTACGTCATTTAGTTTTTTGAATTTTTCAATTTCTTCAATAACGTCATGAAGCATGCAAATGATCTCATTGATTCTTGTGAAAGTTTTTCTTGGTTCCAACACAACAGTTAAATCTTCAAAGCAAAATAAAAAAGAAAAAAATGATTAAGTGATTTCGTATCATTGGTAAAACATCAAAAATATATGTGCAAGGTTTTGTCAGAAATGGACCAGGAAATAGTGGTTGATGTAAACATCATTTGCTTGTTTCTTACTGCTTTGAATGTTTGAAATAGAGGACTAATAGGCGAAAAACAGGGATTAATGAGCACATTCCTTCAACTAATATGCACAAAAGAGTTTTCTCACAAGCAAATGAATTTTTATTTAAAGTAGTTATGTAGCTAAAATGGTACCAGCTTTTTGGATGTTAATTCCTGTTATATATGATTTAATCAAAATTCTATGTTTTTCTCTTCGAAAACCTCTAAATCAATCGACTTCAACGCATTAAAAGTTTCGACAGGACATTGTGCATTTAGACACAACAAATCCTTTGATAGAGATGGTTATGGGGGGTAGGTACATGATACAATTATGATGGTGAAAAAATCAATCGTCTCTGAGAAAAATGATTACTGAAGATTATTATAAGCGACATAGCCCATATTAAAGTCGTTGAATTTAATTACGAAGTGTGTAAGCGTCTTCATTCTAAATTAGATATTTTATATGAGGGCTTTAGGATGGGCGTTTTTGCATATTCATTCAATCTAATTAGATTAGAACGTCTAATCGAATGCAATGTGAAAAGGAAAAATCATTCAAAAGCCATCTGCTGTCCTATTTTTCTTTTGTTTTCGCTAGACTAACAGCTGTTAAATTGTTGTTAAAATCCCATACGAAAGCCAGTACAAAGGGCGTATCTTTAACAAGCACAAACGGTCTATTTAATCTCCTCCTCATCACATGTCCATTTAAGTTAAAAAGAACTTTCCTTAATAAAAACGTCTATGAACATCTGTGTAGTATTAATGCAAGCTTGAATTGTTTTACAAAACAGATAAATTGCTGAAAGCTCAAAGGCAGTTGGAAAGATTACTGTAGAATCAATTTACCAAAAGAACATCTGTAGTTATATATCCATCATCAAAGTCGAAGGTAATATTCGCTTTTAACTTATATGTGTCTATTTAGACTCGAATATTCATCCTGTCAGCGATAAAATTAATCGACCATTTTAGATCGTTTACAGAATTATCGCCAAATATACATATTTGTTGAAAGAGTCTGATTTTATCAAGTTTTCCTGTGTACACCGATGGATAACTGGTCATCAAATCAAGGTATGGTTGTGGATTTTTGTGAATTTCGTACATGTTCATAATATGTTTATCTTTAATCAAAACTTATTTCTATTTTGACATTAATATTATGAAATGTGCTCACATTGAAATGTCCATGTAAAATTCCCCCTTCTATTTATTGCATTTAATGTGCAAAAATTTTGATTGATGAATTTTTCATGGTTAAAGATTACTTTCAAGAAGTTATTTCTGTTGTATAGTCATAAAAATATAAAAATACAGCAATATCAAAGTATATCTTGCAATAACTCATTTAAAATAACAGTTATTTCTTGAAGTAGTTCCCTCATGATTCTCTGTTTAATAACTTTAAGTAAAACTCTTATTTCTATTGTTCTCTTAAAAATGCAATTTAGAAATCGTGCAAATGTGTCAGTTGTGTTCTACTACTGGGTGAGCTCTCTTTTTTTTTAAACTCCGAGTAACGTCTCTGGGTGTTTTAACTACTGAATGATAGTTATGCAGTATCCTGATATGAATTATAAACTTGAAGTGCATAAATATAAATTAAATATCACCAAAATTTTCAGAGTAGGAATAGCATCGACAACTGGAATTTTTTGACTGCACACAAAATTCCGTTGTTCATTCAACGGATCACGACTTACAACATATGAGATTTCACCAACAGTGATTTTTAGCATCTTCTTGAACGCTGTGGAGACTAATATGTGCTGAATTTTAATTAAGACAGACCTTCAGAGCTTTTCTATAAGATATCAAGTCTTAAAACGTTAAATCAATTTTGGCAATCAAATTGCTTTTGAAGTGTTTTGAAAATTAAATACAGATCCAAAACTAAGCTGTTTTAATTTATTTTGACTTATATGTTATATCCGTCACTGGTTACTAACATTAGATTAACTTGAAATTCGTGTGAAAAATCATTTTAGCATAGAGAGTTTAAATGGCAGATATAGGCTTCAGTCGAGTCGTATTCACACTTTGTGTAATTTACGAATTTATCAATGACGTCGATAAGCTAGATTTTTCAACGTGTAAATAAAAAAAATAATTTTAATGTTTATAGTAGCTGTCTTACATGATACAGCTGCTTTAAATATTCTATGAATGTAAAACTTATTTTGGAATACTCTTTACGTGAAGTGCTGTGAGTAAGATCGCCATTTTTCAATTTTTTACTTTTTAAAAGTCTTCAAATCAAAGTACAAGAACTAATTCAGACATCATAAAACTAAAAAGTGGAAATAGGTTTTGCCTACCACGAAAATGTTTTCAGGAATCTCTAAGAAACTTATAAAAGAGCTCTATAAGTCACGACATTAGGCATTCATTTGACACATCTGTTCATCATACACAAAATAGAAAAAAGTACGGCAAGCGCCTTTTTTGGATGTTGCATTTCAAATGTTCATGTTGAATTCACATTTCAAAAATTTACCTAATATCAATAGTTAATGTTGTAATGATTTATATGAGAATGTATTCAATATTCGTGAAAGTCACGACAGACTGATATCAAACAAAACATGTGGTTGTAAGTTTAGGTGCATGGTTTATCAATTAGTTATTCAATAACATTGTGTTTTTTGTTGGTTAGGCCGCAATCAAAGTTAATTAAGGTGGGGATGGGTGTCTATTCCTGTATTCAGTTGTGCCGATTTGATATGACAGGGCATGACAAACCATGCCAACAAAGTTCGTTGTTTAAACCTGATCTGTTTATTTCTTACCATAAGCAAACGTTAGTAAGGACCTTAACTTTAACCAATGTATGAAATTATATTGGTATTGACAACACATTTGGCATGGTTTCTAAACAAATCACAAAATTTGCAAATATATACTTGCGTGTGCCCTCCTTATTTTTGTCACATAGGAGTTACTTCAACTCTTGATCTTGGCACAGGATGTAGTGATTACATATGCAATTTAGGGATAACTTTATTTCTGAGTTTACATGCAATGCAAAAAGTAGTAATTATGAATTATTTTCTTATTCCATTTGTATTGATTTTCCCCTTTTTTATTGTAGTCTTTTACGGAGCTGCTGGAGTGAACGCTCTTGAAAGTACTGTCAATGGAACAAATCGTCAATTATCTGACTATATACGTAATAAAATTATTCAGTTAGCCAATTGTGGAGTTTCTCCATGCGAGATTTCAAACAGACTCATGGTTTCTTATGGAACAATTATCAAAATTCTTGGTCCTATCTATGATCCTAGATCAGTGCGTTCGAGCTCTATCGGAGGGAGCAAACCTAAAGTAGCAACACCAGCGGTTGTGAACAAAATTGTTCAATATAAACATCAAAATCCAACAATATTTGCTTGGGAAATACGAGATAGATTGATGGAAGAAGCAGTCTGCGATCAAGATAATGTTCCGAGTGTAAGTTCAATCAACAGAATACTACGAAACAAAGCAGCAGAAAAAGCAGCCCAATATAATATGCTGGAGCGAGAACGACAACATTTAACTGGATTGTACATGCAACACTGGAGACCTGATGTTGCCATGGCACCGATGGTACCATACCCCTATCCTATCTGTCGCAACCCACCTATGACTAGTGAAGTAGCAACGCTAACACCAATAGCAAAACGAGAACCGGACTTCATTGAAAGTCTAAATGTAAGGGAGTCAAATTACGAGAGAACATCTCCAGACGGAAAAGAAGTTAGATGGCAATCTTCTTCATATTCTTCTACTGAAACCAAATTTGAAAATGAGAGCATTGAAGGTATGAGTTGTTAGTGAGTATTTCTTGGCAATACTTTGATCGTAAACACAACAACACAAATAAAGTACTGATACAATTTTTTTAATAATTTCTAACACTTCGTAATCTGCGCAGCATAATTAAAAACCGCCATCATCGATGCTTAAACTTTCTTCGATCAAGAATGAAACATGAAAAAAATGAAGGCAAAATAAACATCATTGCTTTGAATACTCACTTCAACCAATTTTATGCTGAATTTTATATAGTTCCACTTGTTACTTTTGAGTTATGGAAAAATAACTTTTACTGGAGATATTGCGTTATACATTTTTCTTGTGTCCATGTTAACACAAACCAAATTTTAAGCTTTTTTATTACTGCGCATATTCTTCAAAAAGTCAAAAAGTTGACAAGGCAGGATCAAACTCATAAAAATGTTCCTCCGTACCCTTAAGTAATGATATTTGTGCCTGTTGACTTTTAGTTTATCACTGCACACTAAAATTATGTATTTGTTCACATTTTAAAGAAATCCGAAGTGATGTTATGCAAATGTTAGTATTCTTGTGTCCATTTAATATTTAGAAGAAACCAGCATGATATCATTAGAAATAAAGGACGAAACAAGAAAAACTGAGCCAGTATGTGCCGAGCAAGAGAACGATCAAAAAAGAAAACTTCGCCGTAATAGAACAACCTTTACCCAAGATCAACTACAAATCTTAGAAAAAGAATTTCAATCTTCACAATACCCGGATGTGTCAACAAGAGAAGAGCTTGCTAGCAAAATAGATATGTCCGAAGCAAGAGTACAAGTATGTCACGTCAATTTACTTTTTGTGAAGATAAATTACATAGGATAGACTGTGGTTGTCATGTAATTTGCCCAGGCCACGAGCTATGAAGAGGCATTTAAATTGAAAAGGGGACATTTGACCATTTCAGGTATGGTTTTCCAATAGAAGAGCCAAGTTTCGACGAAATAGAAACATGCAATCCGTGCGAAGTCCATCTTCTCCTGTATTTGCTGGTTATTATCATATGTATCATGGTTTTGAGTATCCAGAGCGACCATTCTCAAGCATAAATGTTCGTCCTTACACCTCACCACCATTTGAACCATATTCTGTGCAGAGAAGTCGTTTCAGTCGACCTCATTCATCATTACTTTCTAATAACTCATCTCTAGAGTACCATAGGGTATACTCTAGGTAGCTAAAAGAAATGTATTGAAATATATTGAAATAATAATGAAAGCTTAGTTTTTACTCTTGTAAATAGTTGCTTTTGAGCATTCACACAAATACAAGAATTTTTTAGAACAACAAGAAGGAAGAGGTAGAACACAAAAAACTTCAAAGATAGCAAAGATGTGGCACTCGATTAAAGAAATATCAATCAAATTCAAATTACTTATACCATACAAATTAGAATTTTACTGAGCGCATTGTTAAGATAGTCTAGTTGTCGTAAATTGCTTAAACAAGCTCTAGTGACATATGGTCGTCAAGTTTGGTCTTTCTCTGTATAAATGTTTTTAGGTGTTCACTCACGGTAAAAAAATCGATTTTTATATGGATATGCGAACCTATAACTAAAAAACTACGAATAAGTTAGATCAACATAAATAGATATACAGAAATATAATAATACAATATATGAACTAAGTTGTTGTTCAGTCTCCAAGCGACTTTGGTGTATAAAATGTTCCTGTGTTTTGAGTTGTACAATACGTCATTCTTGGTACCGTACAATCATTACAGAAATTACCGTTATTCCAAACACTGTTTGTACATGACCCTGGTTGTGAGTGCCAAGAAAAATCTTGATTGTTTGTCATGGACAGCATTGGATAGAAATAAGGCAATCTTGGGAAATGCTGAGGGTATACAGAATGTATATTCCTAAATGTGTTAAATGACGGGTGATTTGTTTGAAGTTGCATGTAAGATGAACTTTCAGGATTTGTTGTTGAATTCCCAGTAACACTCTCTGAGGAAAGTTCGCCATTCCTTTCCATTTTCCTGTATTTTGCTCTCCTGTTCTTAAACCAAACCTGAAGGACAAATAATAGAAAAAGTTGCTAGCAAAATTTCCATTTATTTTTCTGTTGTCCAAGTTAAAGTTATATGTCATACAGATTTACAAAAATATACAGGTGCTAGTTTTAGTTAAATAAGTAATTTTTAGATGATATGATGTAGAGATCTCTAGCTGTCTCAGAAAACTTAATGATACTTACAGGTACGTATTAACATCACCTGAAATAAATCCCTGGTGTGCATTTGCTAAAGGTGATATAAAACCTCTAATATGTATTGTATAATTAGTTCTATGGATGAGAATAACGTACATCAGTGACAGAGAAAATAAAAATAGGCTACTTAACCAGTTTACCTGAATTCTTGACTCTGGCAGATTAGTAAAGGCGGCAAGTTGCTCCCTCATCAAAACATCAGGATAATGCGTTTTAGAAAAAGCGCTTTCTAAAGCTGCTAACTGATGATGTGTAAAAGCAGTTCTTGTCCGTCGATGTTTCCGTTCGCCGTTTCCATATCGAGCTTCCAAAATAATATCTACAAACGAAAATGTATTTTTGCTTCGTAAATCTGTTCAATACAACGAATAAAAATAGTAGCATTTCAACACTAAAATGTGAAAGCATTTGCGACTTGTTTATCAGTAAAGGTTCTCACCCATTGAAAATACGTTGCTTGTGAAAATATTTATGAGCAAATGACTATAAACTTGTGAACGTTTGAACTTATTGAAGTCAAAAACATTTTAGCTTTGGAAAACACAAGAATTCGGTTTGGTGTTGATTGTGGACTCAGAAGATGGAATTATTTTGGGAGGATTACAATTTCTTGTTTTTTCAATTCACAAAAGACGATTTCAAGATTCCGACAGGTAATGATACGATTTTTTAACAGTTAAGATGATTAAGAATTCTTTCATTGTTACACATCGCAGGAATAAAAACAATAAGAACAATACGCATTATAGCATGCTTACATCAAGCGAACCTGTAAAATTCAATAAAGTATTTTTTGAAGAGAATGTTCACACATTATTTGGCTCACACACATGTGGCAAAATTGCATGCTGACTATCAACATCGTAAGAAATCTAAAAGGTATAAATTCGATAAAACGCATGAGAGGGTATAAAATGACTTAGCTAGTAGATATAATCATTTTGATCTAACTTAGAATCTTTCAAACGATGCCCAAAATCAGTAAAATATTTTTTCTTTAATAACAGAATCACGTCAACAATTGTAACTATGTTATGCGAGGCTAAAAAGTAATAAAATATCGCTCATGTGATCTCTTATCTCAGACAACAGGCCGTAGCATACAAAACAATAAATCAAATACCAATCCAGTCTTGTCAACAAGGCTTATAAGAAGTATGTTTCTTAAATAACTTTACATGCAATTTTTATGCAAGCACTTTGAAGTTTGAAGCGCCGATATCTTGTCAAATCATCTAATTTTTTACGATTGCTAAGAGATCATTTTCCTCTCATTCATGTAAGTTGAAATTGCTAAGCTAGCGCATTGATGTCAAAAACCTGATGTAATATTTGACGTTCTTTTCTGAAGGGTTAATAATTTTTGTGCTGCTTTTGTATCACATCATTTTACATGACCCAATTTTTAGAGTAGATTGTATGAATCAGCAATTCCGATTGATTAGCATATTTTGGATGCTTTCTTTCTTCATATGCCATGAAAAAACACGACCCCAAATTTTCCAGAAGAAGTGCATATTAATTCTGAATAAATCATATTAAATTGCACCAATCAATAAAATTTTCGATTAATCTTACACAAGAAAGATGTGTTGAGTATGGTGTTAGCTACTAGTTTCACTCTCATGTCACTATCAGATTTCTCTGGGGAATGCATATGAAAAGAACTTTGAAAGTATTTACTAACGTTACTTTTTTGCGACATGACATTCTCATGAATTATTCCACTTCTCAAAAATGCTTGCAAATGAAAAGTATCTTAAAGTTATGGTCGATTCGACAGATTGAAAACAGTTTCCTTTTTTTAATTGTTCGATAGAACCAGTGCTATGACCAAATTTTACTCATCGAGAAAAACTTTCCAATGAAATATTTTAGCTGTGTTTATTGTTCTAAACCAGCATATTGTGAAAACGGTTTTAATGCAAACTTGTACTTCATATATACTCCACAGTCAATAACAGATGGTTTTACCGACCCATACTAAATTTGAGTGAAACAATATAGTTAGTAGGATGGAAATACAATTTCGAACTATTCTCGATTATTATACCATTGATAAAATGAATAAATAAAATCAACTATTTTAAATCGACCTTTCAAATAATGCATTCAATTAATCTACGAACCTGCAAGCTTTTCTGCTAATGTCAGTGCTTCACTTGTTCTCGAACTTGATGGAGCATCCTCTGGACTTTCTGACGTTGGTGGTTTCAAAATATTTTCAATTGAAAAAGGAGATCCGTCCATTTATATGATTTTTAGTCAATGCAATTTATCTTCCAAATGCCAAAGAAATCAACCGTAACCTAAGCTTTGTATAAATTTTGTATTTATAACCTCACGGAATGGTCTGTATTTGTTGACAGCTGAACGAAGCAATTTATGTTGTCCCTGTACCAATGGATGTATATATGTTCACTTCTCTTTGCTGTTGGACTATAAAAACCCGTGTCAAGGAAATTAGGATTACGAAGGATTAGATTGTGATAATACTCGAGACAATTAATGTTCCTACGAAAGAAAAAACTAGTCACCATGCGCAATTCATAGTTTCTAAACATTTTGTCAAAAAGACTTTATTTAAGTAAAAGTTTGTAAAATGATGTATTTATTTGTATATATATATATATGTAAGACCTATTGAAAGTATGGAGCAAAAACTAGAGACGATTGCTGAAACTATTCAATGATTTTCATCTTATAAGATGAGAAACGCACAAATTCTATCATACAAACGAAGTAAATCAAGACACGTTTTAATAACCATGACGAACACGCGTGTATTAAGAACATGGCTAGCTATCCAACTAAACTAAAGTCAATTTTTCCATGACAATGATTTAACAAAAGATTCACAGTTTGTTTTTCAACGCTTCTTATTTCACATACAGGTCAGTGACCACACATTCAATATATCATTGGTGTTCCATTGACAAAGACTATTCCTATGAATCCGCTTTAATTCTATAATTACAGCCTAATGTGCATTATCCGGCGACAGGTGTGTTGATCGCATTACGCGAGAATTAGACGAATGGAAAATTGAGATGTTACTGGCAAAAATCTTTGAAGTAAAATCAACGATGATCTGTATTAGAAACTGAAGCGTTATGTATTAATAAACCTATAATGCAGTTACTATCTTGCATTAAAATTATACGATATAGTTTTTGCTAATGTAAAAGCTCTACAATTGGCAATGCTACTCAATGCTACGAACGTATATCATCATCAACCCTCTGCACAATTCATGAATGATAAGAAATAACTGAATAATAATGAAATCAGTCATTCAACATATATTATATACACATTTGGTATGAATTGAATAATTTGAAACAATGTAATCTTATTAAATTTACCTGCATTCACAATGATAAAACTTTATTGTCACTTTTTGTTATTAAAAGCTGATTAACCTTAGAATGTAGTTCGACGAAACGAGGTTTACCTCGCCACTTCAAATTTGTACGTAAGATCTGTGTGCGGAGATTCTCAATTCAAAGTGAAACAATGTCGTTGACACTGGCAATGTTATGATTGATGGGATTTTAAACGGCAGACAATATCCTGCACGTTATCAGTTGATGTTTCTCAACCAGCATGATATAAATTCGTAAGGAAACCTTATGATATAAACATTCAAATATTGTAGAGACTCACGTTGAAGAAGTCCAGCATGGTATCGGAGTGATGGTTACTTCTTTGTTGTTGAAGCTGCAGTTTCTACAAGGGTTGTAAAATGGCCAATTTTTAGTGAAACGTTTGTTCGGAGAACACAAAAGTACAGAAGCATATGCTTGCTATGGTCAACTATCATCACTTGGCTTCTGTGAAATTAATTAAGATCTGCTGTGAAAACATCGGCTTAAGATATTGGTTAAACATGTGCGGGTGGTAATAAATTTTATGCGTATACCATAAACTTTGTTTGCTACGCTATAGTTCTTTGTAACCGTAAAATACCGCATTTAATAAAATGTCACTCATTATTCAAGCGTGATCCCAATTGGCGCACCAACCTTTTAGAGTATATATACGTACAATATATATATAGACTTCTAAATGAAAGTGCTGATGTTTCATCTCAAGGTATAAGAATTAATTTTTCTAACAACAGAAACTATAATTCTCTTCCGAGCATGACAAGCGCCCTCCATCGCATCATGCATGCACGTCTTTTAAATACCATCTCTGATGTCACGTCTCTGCTTATTATAAGCAATTGAGCAAATCAAACGAAAGCACAAATCTAGTAAAAAATAGTTAATTACTGAAGTTTAGTGTGTGGTAAAGGAAAACTACAGCATATATATATATATATGTATACTTCTCTATTTATAGCTATTTGACGTACCTATCCCCTATATTTGATATTGATATAATAAAAATATATGTTTGAAATGATTGCTTGAAGAAGAAGCTATAGACACGACTGACATTTATACTAATGTTAGTTCAATAGAACTCAATGATAGACACAACTCAGGCATATGAATATCATTAAATACATATGTGAAATTCATTAGCGGGAAGGGGGGGGGGTTAGGTGAGGTGATGTGACAAAGTCTTTGGTTCTTTCTGATGTCAGTAGTTTGTTGCTTATGTCTATAGCAGTTTTATCAAAGAAATAAAATATTTATGTCGGATATCTATATCAAAGTGTTTCTTCATTTTTTCACATTAGCCAAACACCACAAAGCATTCAATATTTATTCAACATTCAAAATTTAGAGAATTCCGTTCACCAAACCTAGATGTTGTTTTTTTCACCACAAACTTGATATCATAACTATCCACAGAACAAAATTGACTTTACCAAACCACTATACGGACGAATACACTTTGTAGTATAACGTCGGTTTTCTGTGGCGTTCAGACACAAAATAAGCTCACTAAAAGTATTTTAGTAGAATTAAAGAATAATGAATTGGTTGAAAGAAAAAATATGAATATGAGATAATTAAATGTATGTCTCCAAGAATATATTTGTGTAAAAGTAGATACAGTAAACATGATGCAAAATGATGTCAAATATATTCTTGAATGAAAAAAAAGAAGGAAAAGTTGTTGGAAACTTTAAACAGCTGGGATGATAGAAGCGAAAGCAATCAGTTTAACACCTATTTTGACATTGGAATGAGGTGATATAAGATATTCGTAAAATGTATAATTGAGAATTCAATTGGTTGTACAGCAGTTCTCTGAACTTATAAAATAATTCATAATTTGAATTACAGTCTAATTTATAAATTTCATATAAGACATACATTATTTTTTAGGTTAGCTCCACGATCATATTTAGTAGAGTAGTATTATTTACCATGATCACATTCTTCATAGTATAATTACCCTTTGCATTATCTTGACATTTATATTATACAATAGCAACCGTATAGAATAATGATGTGTGTGATAAACAAAGATCAGTTTTTAATCCTAAGGATTTATAATGAGCCTTATTCTGTCTTGTTTTTAATCTTGAAGCTGAACAAGTCCGTTTGATTATGGCATAGGTGCAAACTTTTAGCCTTTTTTAAACTTTATTCTTCATTTTATCACGAAGAAATATTACTCAAGCGCATAAATTTTTGTTTGAATGTAAAAGGGAAAATGGTGTAGGAAAGATATTGACAATTATTAGCATCAAATAGGATTATATGTAGGCACATAAGAAACATTAGATGTCTTGTTTATTACAATATACTTTACTACCGTCTTGTAAAACCAACACGATCAATTTAAACAATAGGGTTAAAAAACATTATTATAGTGATTAATAATTAATGATTGAAAACTGATAATGAAAAGGTATAGTCATTTATAAACTTTGTTAGAAGAAGTAATCTCTGACATTTTGTCATCCACCATGATCGTGTATTGCTAATCGCATTCGCGCACTATTCGGAGTGAGAAGTAATCTCTGCAGTATTTAAATCCTTCCGTTGTACAGGGCAGGCGTGAGAATTAAGCACAAACTATTTAGCTTTTACTGTACGAACATATTGGTAAGCTGAACGGAATCAACGGATATTATTTAATCACTTGAGCCAAATCTTGTACAAAAAATGCAGCAAATAGTTTTCTAAAACATGTATGTACATCATATAGTGGATTGACTCTCAAAAATCATCTACATGATTAAGTAAGATTACTGTGCTCTTAAAATAATTTTGTTTAAATTTACGGTTATGATATCAGCTTTAAAAAAACACGATTCTTTATAATCGATCTTTCTCAATATTTTTACATACATAAAATATACTTTTTCTTTATAAGATTTCATAGTAATTAGAAAGACAATTCTGTAGAATTGCTCTGTTTCTGTGATGATGTTTCTGGAATAACAATTTCATTATGTCTCAGATTACCTCCCTCTACAGGCATGCACAGTGTGGCCAGGAAATGGCTTTATAGAACCTGCCATAAAAATTTTAACAATCCAAGCTTCCAAATAACCCATGATTCAATAAAAATGAGTCATTTGCACAACACTCATTCATAAAAAACATCATAATGAACTTAAGTATGACAAAAAGAGGCTGACATCAGAAGCATTTAAGTTGTTAAAAAATGCTCTCTTTTTTCATGCCTATTGCATGGGTGCGTATAGCCAGTCATAACAAGTGTGATCCATATAAGCTAACAACGTCATTAAATTAAATTGTTCAGAACCTGATGATCGTAAGAAAATATGCTATATACAGTGTTAAACTGTTCGTTTAAGGCCCCCCCACATTGATTAAGCTTACTTCAAAGTGTAGGCTCCGAAAGTGCAGGTTTAGATCAACAGCCTTTCACATCATACTCACGCATATCGAAAATTGCCTTGGATTAAAGTCTTAATACAGCTTTTTGTAAACGTTCGCTTGTTTATTTTGTCTTAAAGGGATCACCACCAAAATTCCACAATCTGTTTGGGCATAACAATCTTCATAATGTTTAAAAAGAATCTGAAATTAATTATGTCAGTATATCGGAGTAAAGTTTTAGTGTTTTTATATATGAACCTGCTATGGCGGGCATTGATGCTCTTTGTACATTTGACCAAACACAAATTTTTCAATAACAAAAAAACCATAACGTTGAACTGGTCACAGCGATAGTTTTGCTACTACAAATAGATTTTCGTTATTAGTTTTGGCCATGCAGCATTGACACAAAACGAGTTTAAGCTTGTATTTTGTAGGAGATTGTGAAACTTTGCAAATAACTCAGGGGATAAGTAAACATAGACACAGCAAATTACTGTTTTAAAAATATATTAATACGGCTAGTTTGGATGAACTGCAAAACCTTTATTTCTTAATCACATTAACCTATGTAAAAATTAAAATCCAATAAAGGACTTTCCAAATGCACCTCTTACTTTGTCCTAACAAGTAATTTTTTTGGAAAACTTTTGTAAGGATTTTAAGAAAGAGTTGAGTTTATTATTTGGCAGTCAAATCTATATTCTATGTATGTGCATGACTTAATTGTTACTATGTAATGACTTGTATATTTATATAAAGAGGCACATGTTCACTATTTAACAACACATATTTTCTCACTTAAATAAAGCGTAGAATTATTGACATCCAAGACGGTCCATAATCTTAATGATTTTTGTCAGACCTTCTACACAAAACTTAGTAGCTATTTTGCAAATACCGAGAAAACGATTTTCTTTTCATTTGAAATTTTAGATGTCTATTCATTGAAAATTAAATATTGCAATTAGATTTATATTTGAGTTCGGCTAGCGAGATCTAATCTCATGATGAAAAAATGTCAACCATGATAAAAAGTTTAAATTTGAACTTGATATTTCAAAAAAATATTTTTTTCAAAATATCTTTGCAATTATTAGCTAGCATTTATATGCATAATATAAATGTGAACAAAAGAAACTTAGTTCAATTGCATATATACACTTTCAAGACTCAACTTTTACTTTACAGTTTGTGCATGCCACACGTAAAATGGCAGTTGGCACTGCATAAGTGCATGAGAAAGTGCTTTTCCTCTTCCTTAGAATTACCACCGAGTAGAGAAAACTTGGGGAACCTTGATTAATTCATCTTCCTCCAAATCTTCCATTTTACTGTACAGGCATGAGTTTATTTTTCCTACTTATACGTATTTTCTTAATTAAAAAATTGAACAAAAAGAATTAATTAGAAAGAACAGCTTATAGAAAAAAGAACACACATTTAATTTGTTTCATTTGATGATCGAATGGGGTCTGAAATTGTAGAAGCAAATACATTTTGCAAGCTTCTATGTAAAACATAAAGATTTTAATTTTGTAAAATGACCTTTTTCTTGTAAAGTTCCCTGTCTGCCATCACAATCTTATGATGGTTTATTATCTGCTTTGTTCAGTTCGAAATATTATTTCTAATAAGGTCTCGTTTTTTTTTTATAACTTTGCAGTTTTCGAACTTCACAATATCTGCGCTTCATCGCCAAAAAACTTTTTTAAAAAATTCATTCCCGCTCTATTTGTCGTTTTTCTTTTGTTATTTTATCAAACGATATTAGCAGCAAGGATTTATTTGATACACATAGCTATAATCTTGGGTAGTTAACTTTTTAATTACAACAACATCCAACCCTTGGAACGTTATGATTCCAACAAACAGCTTAGTTGGATCCTAATCATTTATGAAGATTTGTGTAATAACTATGACATCAATACACTTCTATTCTTTTATTAATACTCTCACTGCTTTCTGAAAATATTCTAGGTATCTTTCAAATTTATTGTCAGCTTTGAGAAGAAACGGAAGAAATGAAGTGAGCATTCTTTGTGAGCTCTTAATTAATAGAATACTATTTTTATGAAAAAGTTCCGGTTCGTACCTAAAATAATTACCTACATGCTAAAATATTGTGTGTGTTATTTTAATCACATGAGCGTAAATCCAGATGGAGAAATGTTGACTACATAATGTCTAGTATTGATGATAAATGGTCAAAATATGATTTATGGCAAGTCACATTTTTTAGTCATAGTTCTTGTGTTTGACTTTCAACAGATGTTATAACCAGATATACTTTAATTTATTCACTCAAGACAGGTTATAAAGAAATACATATAAAGTGGCTAATTAATGATTCACATTTCTTCACGTTTTTGCTATGTGAATTTATCACAATAAGGCCGCTTCGAAAAAATTTTACTCTCATGTACGTGCGAGGGACGCATGGAATGTTTTGTCCCACAAGCATGGCAAACGTGCGCCAAAATGTTCAGTATTATCCAAGACTCAAATTTTAGTTCCAAGGCTTGTCCCTCAACACAGATAATTAGAGCTATTGGAAACTAAAAACATTTTAGTGTTATATTAAAAAGCTAATTAACTTTTCTGTTCTAGGCATTTTTTCAAACCTTTACACCACAGCTTTTAGAGGCGTAGATTCTAAAGAATGTTGAAATATTTCAATTTATTGTGTTTGACTCATACTCATAATAATCGTTTTGTTTTCTAGATTAAAGATATGTTTTTATTACATGAGTGTACTATATGTAATCAATTTTACGAAATATGATGGTAAAAAGTCAATATACCCAGACAAGCCCGATAGCATTTTGTTCTCAAAAGTTTATATCTTACAATCATTGGCTATTTCAATTATTTCTTCTCTTTGTATTTTAAGAAAAAAAGGATCAAATATATAAAACAATAATATAAAGTGATAAAAAGTATGTTTCAAATATCTTTGATTATTAAGCTCGACTTTTATAAAAGGCTTATATACTCCAGACATTTGTATGAAATTTATATATTGCTTGGCAGTTTCTTATGTGGACATCATTTTTCAAGTATTGGCTAGTGAAGAGTGTAAAATTATGTCCTTTAACTCCTTAAAGACTACAAACATTCGTATGTGTAATGGATAATAGCAAACAAATAAGTATCATTATTGTATTAATGGTTTACGTCTAGATAAAATGTCATAATAAATAAAGAAAGCGATGACAAAGCGTAACTGTTTCCTACACGATAGAAAAGATCAACAATAGTCTGATGGAGTCGTAAAAGTATCTTACTACCAGATGTTATGAATGATTTTCGATGTTAATTGAAGTACCAAATGTATACGTTAAACCAACAGATCATTAGTCCTGCTCCTTTTTGAAGAGTTAGTTAGAACCAGATGGCTCGAAGTATGAATGTATATAGATGGACTGATCTGACCAGTCGTTTTGACTTTAGTAGAAAATATGACAAGAAGCCAAATTATTACACTAACAACTCTACAACTCAACTTTATTACAGTTTCATGTATTCAGACATTGAAAGCACAGAAAAATATTTTTAAACACCACCAACTAATTGACAAAAAAACTACACCTTTCAGAAAAAAAATCATAACATCACTGTGGCAAACGCTAATGCTGGAAGTCCTGCGTAAATTAGCTCATAATCTCGCCCCTATTCTACTAGAATTATGCTAAATAGTTGTATTTATCAATTTAACACCCATAATTTAAGACTTGTGTGCACATAAAGCAGTTTTTATTTACATATTATGTGAAAGAACAATCTGTATTACTATCCTCAACACAAATTATGCTCAAAAAATATTATTGTCGGGGGCCGGGTTGCTCACTTGACGCACCATCTATTTACACCATTAAAACCAATGCCCTTTAAAACTTGTAAGATGCAGAAATCATGTTGTCACAGATGTTTTTTACTATATGCACATAAAGAAACTAATATATGTAGACTTATTTTATTTTATACCAAAGAGCATCTTTTTTCCACTCTAAGTCATCTACTTTTTTTGGGCTTTTAGGCATTAAAAATGTAAAACATTTGATTTATTGATCCTTTTTGGAAGGTAAATAAGAGTTTAACAACGTTTTGATACGTGATCAAAGAAAAAAATAGTTTGTTTGCTGGTGGTTTGTTTGCACAAAGTGAAAAGACCCTTGCTAGACGAATCAAATTTGCTTTGTGTATTTACGTAAATAACAATGAACAAAACAATAATATATGAACAGAGTAGATGATAAATCATGTCTAAAAATTTTACCTAAGGCTACCAAAATCAGATTTCATTGAAGTTGACACATTCACAATAAGTAAGTATGAAGCATGTTAGGTCAAAAGTCCAGCTACGGTAAATAAAAACAGTATAGAAGATTGTAAATTCTTGGATTGCAGCCATACAACCAACCTCCAAGGAATTACCAAAGAATGTGGTTCACTCACTACGGCTGGAACCTACAATTGATAAAATATTCGTTCGTATTAGAGCACCAACATGTCGGCCGTGACATAACAAGCAAACCACTTGATCGCTGATTTTTTTAAACAGACGGTTAATAATTTGCTGCATTAAAAGTTATGACAATTTGAAAATGTAAATTTCACGTACGTGCTTGGCTTGAAGCTTATTTCTTGTTATGTGATGAAAGATTTTTTTTGATGTTATTCTGAAAAACATTAAGCTAAAAGTGGTAAGTTTATGAAGCTATAAGCTGTATTAAAATTAGGATAGAAGTTAGGGTCGATCAGGATAGCGTAAATTAATGCTCCTTGCATGTGGAAAGGTTAAAACTAGTTTAAAAAAAGGAGGTGCTAATCAAAACAATGCAAACCATAGATCATTTTCACATGACGTCATTATAGCCGCCATGTTGGTGTACCAATTGGAAATTTTAATAAGGCTCTTTTGTTTGGAACAGCTACATCGAAATGGCTGCTTCATCCATTGTCATGTTCATCACAAGGGAATGAGTAAATATTCTATTTGTCACTAAATCATTATTATTCTAACTAGGCTGGAATGCAAACTACTTATTGATTATTTAGTATGCATTTACTTTATGGGCCACATTTGATGACATAACATTTTCTCGCTCAATCATATACTTTCTAAATGTCTGAAATGTAATGAAAACAAAAGAAAAAATTCAGTGTTTCACATAAAACTAAAGTAAACAATGGTATCACTTACAATTACATACGTGTCTTTTGGTTCCCATCAGCAAGTCAAGTCTTTGAATCACGGTCTGTTTAAAGTTTCTTAAGATTTCCAACAGATTATTTGAGATTTTGTTTGTTCATCAAATTTCCTACTTTTGTTTAGCGTTGTTGTACATATCATTTGCGATGTGTTTTCGTTCCATATTGATGTTAGTTACTCTTACAAGACGACGTATATTTATTCAACAAGTTAACATGTTGCATGTGGACCAATGTGGCCAAGATCTGTATTTTTTGTGCTGTGGTACCGATGTGATCAGGGTTTATGATTGGTTGAAAGCACGGCTCGGTAGAAATGACATATAAAACATTGTACAATTTTTGTCCATCGCTGTTAAACAAACAGCTTGACTGAATTAGAAAAACTTTTCATATTCTTGATGGACAAAAGAACATTTTGTTGATGTTATTCAGTGGGCAAATGCCAAAGTAGGCGAGCTACATTGTTTTCTAAATTCTAGGATGTTGGTTGCAATGCAAGAAGTACATGCAGGAATTCAACACTTTGGAATGAAGTAAATATTTCTATTGGTGGCTTGCAACCATTCCCCTGGGAGTAAGAGAATAACAAAATGCACGCCATGTTGGATGAAATTTGCATTGTAAATAAGGAAAATCCTTTGTTAAAATCATTCAACTTGGCGACTATGACGTACCTTGCAAGCCAAGAATATTGGTTGAAATTCTGTTGTTTATTTTTGAGAGATTTGTTTTTAGATATCTCTGAACTTTTAAATCTCCATAAGGCATATTACTGCAATTGCGCACAAGAGTCTGATTTAGAAGACAACGCAATACTTGTATGTGCAGGATATTCCAAAAAAGTGACACTACAGAAATCATCTCATTATATTCTTAAACAGCAGCTTGCATCCGTTCGAATTTAACTATCCAGCATTATTACACACTATGCAACATTATGGAACGTGATGAAACATAGTGTAAAATAAACTTGAAACAAACTTCTTCTACAACAATTTTACAGCTATTTCCCCACGCTCTGATCACTCATTATAATTACACAATAAGGAATATGCAGAAGATCTACTTTGCTGTGCAACCTGCTGCTGTAGTATATTTCAATATATTACTGGCTGTGGTTATAGCCATTTCATCATTCCTATTGGTAAAAAAGAAGCATTTGACTGGCTGTAATTATGGTAATCACGTGAATGATAAGATAAGCGTAGCGCAATAAAAGTTAAATGGAGTGGCCGCTGCCGTCTGTATGCTTTAATATGGTTATAACTATAGGTGGATTTCAACCATTTCCCAAGGAGTCAAATGACAAAGAGATTTTCGCTATAGTTAAAATTTGAATCGCAAGCAATAAAAATCCTTTTTCGAATTCAAGGAACCTATGGCGGCCATGTCGTAGCGTGCAAGCCGCCTACAAGGGTAGTTGGGTCATGTTACAATCAAGTTTTTGTGTTTCACCTGACGCTTACACTGTGATTTTCAATATCTATGTGAGATGCTTATATATAGCTCTATATGCTTTTATTAGGTTTTTTCTCAATCTGACTTTTCATGTTCTCCTTCATTTTATTTTAGATTTTCCCCTTTTTTCATATCAGTCTCACTATTCGAAAGCAAGACTGGATCAAACTGTGTTTAAGAAAAACTACTGTCTGAGCCGTAAAATAACTTAAATAAGGTTGTGATAACATCAAAACTTTCAATTAGTAGATTGACCATACATGACCGATAAAATATACAACAAACAATATGTTTTTAAGAATCATCAATCAAAAACAAGCAGTGAAAATGATAAATTAATTCTATGATATAAATCACCTTAAAAAATAACTCAAAAGTTGCATTTCTTTGCAATAATATGAACTTTTTTTAATCATTTACACAAAGATTTATAAAATATACAGTTTATAATGGCATTTCTTGGAATTTACTGACGGCAAGTGATTTATAAAATACAGATTATTATAACATTTCCTGGAATCGACTGACCATTTATGGAGGGTAAAGCTGATTCTTCATTCAATGTCTATGACGCTTACAGCATATAAATAGTTTAAATATTTACAAGGCTGTTTTTTATACAACGTAGGGTTCTCTAAACATCATTCTTTTTTAAGAATCATTCTTCCACAATTATATCCATGAATTTATCCGTGCAGTACAACTTTCACTAGGATCTTGAGAAGATTCAGCAAGAGCAGTTGGACGATACAAGGGCAATATTTGTCTGTTTCTTCGAGCATAGGCAATGTTCATGTATGTCTGAATTGGTTGATGTGTAAGTAATACATTCGGTTTAAATAATATCTGTTTACTATCTTGTGTTAAATACAACTCTTCGTTACTCAAAGGCACCGTACATTTTTTAAACGATGATAAAGTGGGGTGAATAAGTTGAAGTGGGTACTGAGATTCCAGTTTTCTATGTTTTGCACGTCGATTCTTGAACCATACCTAAAATTAATTACAGAAAAAAGGCAAATGGCATTTTATAGATAAGCAATGGCCCCGTTGAGGCATTTTTTTATTATATGAGCCAAGTAAACGAAAATGGAAACAACAATTTTCAAGAGTCATATAGTCCACAGTTTTTTATCCAAAAAAAAAAATAAATAATAGTTTTTAAAACTGGCGTGTTGGCACGATTAAATGATAGCTATGTGACTTTACCTGTATTCTAGATTCTGGGAGATTAGTAAATGAAGCCAATCGCTCACGCATAAAGACATCGGGATAGTGAGTTCTTGTAAATGCTCTCTCCATCATTGATAATTGACGTTGTGTAAACGCTGTCCTTGCTCTTCTTGTCTTGTTCCCAGTTATTTCCGTCTGTTTCATGACGGCGTCTGCTATCCGCCAACGATGAAAATATAAATTTATAGACTAAGCGTTGAATGTTTATATAATCTATCATGTTGAATAAGCTTACTTATAATATCAGTTGTTTCTCCATAACAAGAAATGTAAAAAAATTTTCGAATAGAAGTTAGTTTCCGATCATGAGTATAAGTTTTACCATTTATTTCTTTATTGAAATCCTTTCTTTTGATTTCTGTGTCAGCATCACAACTTTCCTTCGCTTTGTTCTCCTTTTTATCCGGTCTTAATAATACATCAATAGAGAATGAACTTGATTTGGACATCTTCGATTCTTCTCATGTGCGGACAAAATGCAATCACTGTGTTAAACACTGAAATGTCATGTATAAAATTGCACGATTGATTTGAATTTAAAGCGACGGAGTTGGATATTAATTAGAAGGAAATGTCCTAATCCTCTTGGATATTTAAAGAAAACAAGAACTGAGGCAATAATCTAATTATGTTTTATCTCTTTGTAGCCCAGTAATACCGGGGCGTGTTTATCGCATTAGTAAAATTGATCAGCGGTACATCTGAAGAATTTGTGAAAGAGAATGTTTTAGAAAAATTGTTCATTTTTAACGTCAACCATACACTTTGATGAATCTTTGATAACAGCAGCTTATATATGATTAAAATTTTACTGCTTTAAGTCACGGCAAGTGTTTTATTTACAAAAAATATTTATATCACCAGAAGATAAGATTAAGTTAAGCTTATCTCTTGTTTTTAGCTTAAGATTTTCTTATCATGCTCTTGAATATTGAGCAGAATATCCAACTAAATTTGACCGACCAAATTTAATCATTTACGAATGTTAAAATGGCTTGATCATTGCAATCTGACCGTTTTTTTTTTACAAAACCTAAGGAAGTATCATAAAAATTTTTGGCGTCCACATAATTTTTTCATTATTTACACCACAATGTCTGCTGTTGAAAAGCCCAACAGGTGATTGTTAATGTTAATAAGCGTCTAAGTAAGGAAACATTAGAGGATTTGCGAACGTAAATGAACAGAATTAAGTGGCATTATCTAAATAAACGAAAGATCGGTCTTTATGAGTAGAACAGCGACTTCTGATCTCTATATTTACACTAAATTGGCAAATTAAAATTGATTGACGTGAAAGCAACTATAGAATGCTTTCAGATCAATGTATAAGTTTGATGCATCTATCTTTCATGTAGGTATACATAACATTAGTATTTTCATTTCAGAGTCAAAGTATTTAAAATCAACAGTCAACGCGCAATTCATTTTTCTTTCTTCTCATTTCCTTTTTCCAGAAATTAAGCGCATTATAAATGGTGTTGATTAAATGATGGATGCTTTTTTAGTTTCTTGTCAGAAACGCAATACACATGCTTCTGTTTTAAAGTTTAGATATTATCGAAAAGCTTATTAAAACAACCTTTTTAATCATAAAATTCAATATTTCATACATGAAGGTTGCCACAATTTGTAAGCCTTTTTAAACGAAACACTTATGTATGATACTATAAATAGTCATAACATAGCGTGATATATTGAAGATTGTCTGGTTATAAGTCTCTACGCCACTAAGCCTACAAATGTTAAGTAAGAACTAACAAGCAACGGATACCCCCTGCATGTGTGTATGCATGACAGTCGTAGGTTTAATGGATAACATTCAAAGGCATGATATTTGTCAATACAGTGGGACAATATATGTATGTATGAGACTTTCAACAAATATCTCCATAATTTAATTAAATGCATTTGATCTAATTTTAAGGTTTAAAATGAGAAATGACGATCAGAGTTGCATGAACAGTAAAATGCATTTGTTCTTCAGTAAAAGCTTCTTCCTTGTATAAATATTTGATGCATTTTTTAGCAACCAAAGTGTATAATTGTACGAAATATTTTACCTAACAAGACCTAAAATGGTTTACAATTTGAGCTATTTGAGCTCCGAAATTATTGGAATTTAATTTGCCTCGAAATAACACAACTTAGGTTAAAATAACTCCTTCTATATACCAGTCCAGTCAATTTACACTCATTCATGCAAGATTATGAATGACATGGTTAATACATGCAATAATGCAATAATCTTAGTACGACTAAGTAATTTACACTGTCATATATTAGCTCAATAACAAGTACAGAGGTAATCTTAATCCTTAAAACTTATTAATTTTTCATTAGTTTTACTGATCTACGAACACTTTATGTCGGGATGAATGTTTTTTTTTTTGAGCATAGTTCCACTGAAACATTCAATACTTCAAACAAAAACACTTAAATAAATGGTGTTTTTGAAGCATTTACAACTCTGATAGACGTTTGGACGAGTTACATTTACAAATCGTACACAATATAGTTCACGCTAGTAAGAGTGGAGCAACAGCGAATAATCAAAGTGGATTGCAACAAGCAACTGTCTATTGAGCTTAAACACTGCAGTTCCACGTGAGTGTCAACGCTGTAGCCTACGAGTGACTTGGGCTACTTGCTAACGATAAAGAATAAATCATCCCTTGCTCAACTGCAGCATTACATCATAATGCATTAGCGTGACCGTTTTACATGAAGTATTCACTTACTTCAGAAGATTAATGCTCAATTGGACGTAAAAATAGAATACGTTGTACAAGTAAATTTACGTAAAGTTGATTTTTTATATTTGTTGAATTTATACAATTTAAGGTTTCGTATTTTCTATTTTGTTCTCATTTTTAGTAAGTCACTTTTAATTTAAAGTATCACATCATTTTATCACTTGATTATTGTTTCATCTAAAACAATGTTTTCATTATTTCATATACTTAAATCATTTTCTTACTTTTTATGCGTATGACGATGGCATTGCAGACCATCTGACCTGGTAAATGATTTTCCACAAATTTCACATGTAAATGGCCTTTCTCCAGTGTGTGTTCGTTCATGAGCTTTCCAGTGAGAACGCCAATAATATGGTTTATTGCAAAACTGGCAGTGATACCTATAACGTCTTCCATTTTGAGGAAATGATTTTTGTTTTCGACACCACATGGTATTTGAAAAGTGCTCAATTTGTGGACGATTGATGATTCTTTGATCCGTTTGGTCAAAACTCACAGCAATCATCGCTGGTCTTCGATCAACTTCAGACATTTCAACTAAATGCGAAGAAACAGGAATTGAACCTACTGCAGACGTTTCAATTTTCAAGGGTGAAACTTGTCCAATACTTTGTATAACACTGGGTCTTGTTCTGTTTTCTTGATTATTCCTACAATGAGCCTGTGATACATGTATTTTCTTACAATCACGTGAAAGATCATCGCAAGGATTCAGTTCATATCTACTTAAGTGACCAAGTCTTGAATCAATAGAAATGTCGTTGGTCGTAAGTGAGTTTGAAATTGTTGATGGGAGCCGGCAATAGTTTAGAAAAACCACTTCTCCAGATTGAATACTTGGAGTTGGACATCCTAGTTTGTGCTCATTTTTACTTCCTTCTGGTCTGCAAAACGAGTCAAAGTCAACATTTATGGCCATAAATCTGTTTTAAGAAATGATAAAATTATTCAATAATGTTGTACATTGTCTTTTTCGAAATGTGAACACACCTGTGAAAGTTCATTTTATTTTTTGAGAATTTATTGAATTAAATAAATTGAATCAATTTAGCTACTTTTTCAGTAAGACACTTCTTTACCAATGCTAGTCAGCTGTAATTTAGAAACGACAGGAGCTTCTTCACATTTTTATAAGAACAATAACCTACGTTACATTTACTCTCTGACGTAAAAATAACAATAAAACCTACGCTATGTGGCTTTCTACGATGCTTGTAAAAGATAACTTAAGATAACTGTTCATAATTGCACAGGCTGAAAAGTGAAATATTTATTTTGATAAGTACTTAACATGGCTTGCTTTGTTGTACATGCGAACTGAAATTTTTCTATGTAAACGTGGAGATTTTTTGATAACTCTCACGTAGCTAAGTATATGTTAAAAATAAACTCTTAAATTCATTGTACAGCCAGGCAGTACAGGCTAAGTTGCTTTATCATTCCAGAAGAAAGATACATTGCATACGATCTAGTTAAAGGAAACCTGCTAAAGTTTTGATGGGGGAGTGTACAATGTGCGATGACTTGAGACAATTTAGCAAATAATTAATTCAAATATTTGCCTCAGTAAGATTCGTCGTAAGAAGTCAAAACTGCAATGTTAGTGTAAATATTCCTGTAATAATAACTGTTTAGTGCGAAAAAATTTTCCGTGTCATGCACAAAACTGAAAATTTAAAATTCAGCAATATCTTTGAAAAATTTCGTCAAATTACCCCGCCAAGACCATGATAACAAAACATCTTTTTCCTCATGATAAGACTTTCCTCATGATATATACACGTGCCTGGCTGTGTGAGTGCTCGCAGTTTACATATACATGTATTTTTTTATTTTCCGGCACATCCGGTTTTTGCTGAAGCCTTGAAGCAAATAATTGTAAGCTGACCAAAAATAATGTAGGCTTTTAAGATTTCTCACTTGTACAAGACATGTTATGAAATAAACTGAAGTGATTCGAATAAAATCGGTTATGATTGATGTAATTGCAGCGAAAAAACAGTCTGTTATCTTATTTCGTTCGTTTGTCTTTCGTTTGATGCATAAAAATCGGAAAAAAAAGATAAAAAAAGATCTGGTCGTTTCGATTTAATGACGATGCATAAGGAAATGAATATGAACGCTGTGTAACTTTGGAAACAATACAAATATAAAACGACTATCCTGCATCCCCCCAGATAACAACAATATGAAAAATTAAAGTGAATGGTTTGAACCCGGGACTATCGTTACATGTTTGTAAATGTAGATTGTCCAGGTTGGTATAGTCCTGAGAAGGACTGTTTTTGTTGTTGTTGACTGACGTTTCGACAACCTTAGCGGTAGTCATCTTCAGACACCCACACATTTCCTTTACACACAATACAATGACGTAAGAACCAGACAACAAATACGGCTAACCTGACGTTTACTCCTCATTTGACTCTGAAGATGATAACCGCTAAGGTTGTCGAAACGTCAGTCAACAACAAAAACAGTCCTTCGCAGGACTATACCAACCTGGACGATCTACATTCACAAACATGTAATATGAAAAATTGTCAAATAGGGAACTTTGTTATTTTGCATATGTAACTACGTTTTTCTTATTTTCTATGTATCTTCTTTTATCATTCTTACTTATCAATCGATAAATATAAGCACCACATATATTAATATAAAGCAAAAGTACGTTTTGTGAGGAAGTCGCTGGCATTGCAATTAGTTTTGAAAATACATCCCTAAAGAATATCTTCAATAATTTATATTTTGTTCAAAATGATTGTCTAATCATCATTGATCATCACTAATAAACTTTTTGTATAGGAAGATGATGAAATGTAAAATTTTAACAAATGTTTACAGTGCAAAGCAACAATAATTACATGCCTACTAATCTTCAAGCAGTCAATCATATAAATAGATATCAATAGGTTGCACTTAATTTTGGAAATTATACAAAATATCTTCAAATTCTTTACAATAAGTACATTGTATTTTTCAAATATTCCACTATCAAACAATCCATGAATGTTAAAAGATTAAAAGAAATCGTCTACCCAAATATGAATCTAAAACATAACTCACAGGAAATTAACGAAACACTTAATTAATTATCACAACATAAATTAAAGACGATTTAATTAATGAGCTTCTGTCAAATGTTGTAAAACATTAATTAAAATTAATTCAATTTAGCATTTAGTATATTAACACGAATTTTTTGCGTTGAAATCTGCGTGAGCATTATTTCTAATTTCAGAGTATTTATGCTATATTCATTAAAGAAATCTTTATGAAATTCTCAACATTGAGCTTGCTGAAGATAATAATAGACACCTTTCATATCCAACAATTCTTGATGAGTTCCTTTTTCAACGACATGACCATGTTTAATAACTGCAATTACATCTGCTTTTTGTATTGTTGATAATCTGTGTGCAATGATCATTGTCGTTCTTCCTACGCATGCTCTGTCAAGTGCCTCTTGAACAAGCTGGAATATGAAAAACAAGAAAACATTTTTCAAAATGAAAATTAATACAAATTATGAACTGAACTTGGATGCAAAAAATAATTATTGGATGAAGTATCGAATGCGCCACTTGTTTCCAGACTCCACCTCATGTTCCCATGTGTCCTGATCTCATATCCTCATGTGTCCTCATTATCCATTTTACCTGTTAAATATTTTCTAACACTTTGCAAATTAAATGACAAATTTCCAACCTTTTCATTTTCCGTGTCAAGAGCTGATGTAGCCTCGTCCAGTAATAATATTTTAGGATTACGTATTAAAGCACGAGCTATTGCGATTCTTTGTTTTTGTCCACCAGATATCAAGGTTCCTTTATCACCAACAAAGGTGTCATAACCCTGTAGTTTAAAGTTGAAAAAGTCACTATTAATTAATTAAGGTAAAAATATCTTGGAAAGATTAATCAGGCAAATATTTAAAAAACCAAAATATGCTTTGATGCTTAACTGTGCGAGAATATCAACATTTAGATTATTTACTTTAGGAAGCGTGTTGATAAAATCATGGATGTTGGCTTCTTTAGCTGCATTTTCCACTTCATCTTGACTTATGTCTCTTGTAACATCTCCATATGTAATGTTTTCGCGAATAGAACATTTAAAAAGTACAGGTTCCTGAGACACTATGCCAATTTGACGACGAAGCCACGAAACGTTTAAGGATTTGACGTCTCTTCCATCTATCATCTTGATTAAATATGAAAAAAATTGCCTCACTTTCTTATTTACAGTTTCACTCAACAAAAACAATTTTAATCCCTAATTAATCTTTCTTACCACACTTCCACTTTCAACATCATAAAGTCTTTGAATGAGAGCAACAACGGTACTTTTACCGCAACCACTTGAACCAACCAAAGCAACAGTTTTTCCTGGTTCGATTGTTAAATTAAATTGATGAAGGACTTTAACATCTTTACGGAAGGGATAACGAAATGACACATTTTTAAACTCAACATAACCCTCGTTTTCTTCCTATAATCATATAACATAAATACAACATGAATACATGCAAAAACGAAGGCAATTTATCGTCCATCAATATTGATAGTCAAGCGACAATTGTCAGTTGGTGAAATAAGTTGCTTATTGCTGTAGAAAAGAAAAATTCAATTTTATTCTTATCGTTTCAAGGTGCATAAAACACGAGAATAACATTTTTATCTTGATATTTGACAAAAACTCGATTAATAGAAAAGTTGCATTTATCAAGCATTTGTTCAGCTAGCCTCTAGAGTCTTAGAAATAAATGCGGCAAGCAATTTTTAATTGAATCAAGTAATATAAGTTTTTTTGAACAATTATTTTCCATCGATTTCAATTATTTGTGCCAAAACATAAATCGATTACTGTATGTTTTTTTAAAGTAAAAAAGATAAAATCCCGAGACTTGTGAAATTTAATACGCAGCTATCGTTATAGAATGGAATATGCTGATTAACCATTTTACTTACACATGTTAAACCTTTGTCAGAATCACTTTGTATTTCAGGTAATGTATCAAAGATCTTGAACATCCTAGCTGCAGCAATTTTCGCTTTTAAATAATCAGGAGAAAAAGCTGTGATTTGTCCAATCATCATGGCACCCATTTGTACAGCAAGTATTATTCTATAAGAAATAATGGCTGAAAAGTATATATAACATAAGGAACTATATATATGTAAGTGACATAGGAACTAGTAGAAATATCTAAGTAAGTGACATTTAAGAAATACAAAACGTTTTCCAAGTTTCTATAGAGTTATAAAAACACGCAGAAAAGTTTGAGAGAAACGAGAAATTTCGTGGAAAGCACGAGCACGAAGTACGAGTGTTTATAAGCCATTTCAAGTTTCTGGGAAACATTCAAAAGTCTCTACGAGCCAAATTCCATGATATTCAAACAGTGATAAATACAGCAAAATGTATATTTATTTTGGCTCTAATACGATTGTTATAGTTATCAAAGTGCTGACCAAAAGCAAGTATTGTAAAAAACGAGTAAAAACTTCCTTTTACTTCATAACATCTTCAAAATTTATCTCATTATTCTGTAAGAGATATCCAGCGTAACGAAACGATGCAGCACTGGAGAGCAACATAAAACATTGATTTGTGCTCATAAACAGACCACTCCTTATAGATTTCTTTACTCGTTTTCTAAATAATTGATAAAATTTGCATGAAGTTAAACAAAGATAATAAATTTTATAGAAAAAGCATTATGTTAGCATACTGGTAGAATTCAGCCACAACTTCAAAGTACTTCTGGTAAAAACGATCTTCCTGTCCAAGTGTTGCAACAGTTTGAATATTTGAGATTGTTTCTACGGCAACCTTAGTTAACAACAAATTAAAAACAAGATTTCCTCGCAGTTTGACGACGGTATGTTAGTAAGAAACATAGTGTAGTAATGAGTCAAAAATATAGACACCAAACTGTCTTTATGATCTTTGCGATCTAAATATATTTATAATTCATTGGATTGAAAATCCACCTTTCCAGCTTCTTCCGAATTAATAACATTCGCTGCATTGCCTTCGAGGTAAGACTTTATTTCCATTGCAGATCCAAATGCAATGAAAGGCACAAACACTAGTATCAGCAACGTAAGTTTCCATCCGGAGATAAAAGCTATCGTGAGACAACCAATTGCGGTCACCAAAGCAGAAGTGATGTTCCCTAGACGCGGTCCTGTCGCCTTAAAAGGTACATCAATGAAGTTGAACTTGGTTTATACTTAGTTTGAACTTTTTATAAATTATAAAGTTCAAGAAGACAGTCTTCAGATAGGTATAGTTACCCCTTGAACAGCTGAGGCATGAGTGGCAAGATTCGACGTTAGGGCACCAGTTGAATGAAATGGATCATCAAAGTAACTTGTGTCCTTCAATGAAAGCAGTCGTTTATTAACTGTATTATGTCGTAGCATAATACAACTATACAAGAATTTTTTGCCTGCATTGCACACCTGTCTGATGATTGATTTAAAGGCAGCGCTTCGTAATCTCTTTGTTAGTCTTTCTCCAGCAACAGAAAACATCCACGACTAAATTATCCATCATGAATGTAACAATGAATGAAGTTAGTGATACATTTACAACAGAAAGCACTGTTTTTGTACAACAAATATTATGATATTGTGAAAAGTAAGCCTTGGAGCGTCAACATCTTTGGTGGGCATGACTATTGGTGAAAATAATCTATTGGTATAAGTTATCTGTCTCTCACCTGCAAAAAATTTCCAAAAAGCATGACAACAGCTAAAGCTATGAAAAGCAACGACCATAACCTAATATCATCTCTCATCATCTCTCTTTCCTTTTCTATATCAGGGTCTCTTGAAAATACCTTCACACATCACAGATGAAATTAAGGTTACTCTTGATAATGAAATCATAATGCCGATAAGTCATATAACTGATGACATAGTGTATTACTAACGGACTTTTGTCTTAAAGTCAATTTGACCAGTAGTAAATCCTAAATGTCTATTTCATTAGTGTAGAAGTACACAGTAAAATAAAAATTTTTTCACTTACTTGTAAAAGTTCTCCAGTTAGTATAGCAAACACAAATGGATACGATCCGGTCAAGGCAGCTCCAATGCTTCCCACGAGAAGATAATGCCATTCTGTTTTACTCATTTTAAGAATTCTTAAAGCAGCAGCTGGCTTTAGTTTTTCGTCTAAAATTTCTTTTTCTTTTTCTTGCTGAGAAAAAAATAAATATGTGAATATCCTTGACATAACCAACCTCAAAAACTGTAGACGGGGGCGGGGCGGGTAAGTGACCTTGTAATATTTTTCTAATAACAACACATTTCAATAAAAATTAAAATAAAATATAAAATAAAAAACAAAAAATTAAAATAAAAATACTATCTGTTATATCAATTAAATATACAAAACAACAAACTATACATACATAGTTTGCCCTCTTGGCTATTGAGCACCACAGTGGAATGGTGACTCCTACTCTTAGGTTTATATGCATATTGATTAACATGTATACCTTTAACTTTGATCTGTTACTGCTTTGCAATGACAAACTTCTCGTTAATTCACCATTGCTCAATTTGTCCTTGACTACTACGGAATGTTTAGACAACCGGTTTTCTGTTAAACACATGCAGTTGCAGAAACAACCAAGAATTCTAAATTGTTGAAAATGCAACTAGAAATAAAACTCATTCTCACATAGTCTGCCTAACCTTCCACTTTTGTTTTATCTCCGATCTCTTTTTCTGTTTCCTCTTCCATTACCTAACACATTCATTAAACATACTTTTTGATTACCCTTAGGGAAAAAACCATACTCAACAATGAATGATAAAAAATAATAACGAAGCCCTCAACACCTGCATTGCGACAAGTTGTTTGTAAACACCATTCTTCGCCATAAGTTCATTATGTGTTCCCATTTCAGCAACAGCACCATCTTTCACTGCCACAATTATGTCAGCATCACGGACAGTTGAAAGACGATGAGCAATGATGAATGTCGTTCGACCTTTGCCTGCCTACAAATTGACATTTAATTGACATTTAAAAGCATTCTAACTGAAATGAAAAGAATTTGTATGGTCGAAAGAACTAAGATACTTCTTTATAGATACCTTAATAACACGTTATGCTAATGCTATATATAGTGTTCAACTACTGGCAGCAAAAATATACAATTACCTTATCTAAAGCCTCTTGAACAATCGATTCACTTTCGGTATCAAGAGCTGATGTAGCTTCATCTAACAATAAGATTGTTGGATTTCGGATCAAAGCTCGTGCAATGGCAATACGTTGTTTTTGACCTCCGCTCATTTGAGCTCCACGTTCTCCACACAAAGTTTCGTAACCCTAGACAGATGACATTTATTAACGATTGTCATAAAAAATGGTCACTTATCAATATCTATACCAATGTTGCATTGTCAAAGCATTCAGATCATTGTTACAATATAAACCAAACAAAAATAATTCAAAATGCTTGAATAAAGTGTGAATAGGTTGTCTAACAAAGTTTATTTACTTACATTGGGCATTGCAGTTATAAAATCATGAACATTGGCCATTTTTGCTGCTTCTTCTATTTCTTCCTGAGTTGCATCATTGCGTCCATAACGAATGTTTTCTGCAACTGTTGTCGCGAACAAGACAGGCTCCTGACTAACAACACCAATATGCTGACGTAACCATTTAAGATTGTAGCTCTTAATTTCATTGCCATCTATCAACTGTTAAAATAAATCATGTCATACACACATCTTTTGGTATGAGTCAATAAAAACATAAATGCTGAATTTCAGCAAAACAATAAGTTTCTGCTATTCTTACCAAACTTCCGTCAGAGATATCATAAAATCTTTGAATAAGTTTAACGACAGTACTTTTCCCACTACCACTTTCACCAACTAGAGCAACTCGTTTTCCTTTTGACACTGACATACTGAAGCCTCTAAGGATCTGACAAAAAATATTAAGATTTCAATGAATATAAAATTTCATGCATCCTAGAAAGGTTCAAAAAGCATACCGGTACTTCGGGTCTTGAAGGGTAGCTAAAAGACACTTTTTTGAATTCAAGATCGCCGTTTAATGTTTCTAAAATTTTACCTTCATGGCAGTTGACGTTGATCGAGGGAATCTGTACATCAGTAAAAATTTGTTGTAAAAAAACCTTAATTATCGTTCAGATTTTAAAGATGTGGATATTTTATTTTAGATTTTTTATGACATTGCATCTACGTACTCGATCAATTAAGTTAAAGACAAGATACGCAGCCCCCCTTGCAGTGGCGATTCCTTGAACACTAGGTCCAGCTTGTCCAGCCAACATTGAGCCAAATAATACACCAAAAACACCTACAGAAAAATAATTATAGCAGCTTCGATTGGCAAAAAGACATCATAACTTTCTTAGTTCTTACGATAAGAAGATCTCCTCCCGTCATCTCCTTCTCGATGACAAGTTTTCCACCATACCTATTTACACGAAAGATAACATTTCATTCCAGCAACATGATTTGTTGACATATTTGGTAAACATACCAGAAAGCCAAAGCGTATGAGCAAAACATGATAAAGTTAATAGCTCCCATAGCCAATCCATTTGCTACACCTTTTTTTTCACCCATTTTTTGAGCTTTACCAAGTCCAGACGTATATCTGCAAGTATATGCACAAAATATTTAAAAGCATTAGGCCACGAGAGATCTAGATCTCCTCTGTTTGCTTAAAAAAATATCATCGTTCTTGACTATCACACTATTGAACAAGTATTTTATCAAACCTCTTGGCTTCTTTATCTTCACCACCAAATGCTGCTACAGTTCTAATGGAGGACAGAGCTTCCTGGGCAACACTACCAGCTTCAGAATAGGCTTTCAATTCTTTTGCAGTGAATGAAGAAGTAATCTGGAAGATATATGACAAATCGCGTCCATAACTGAATGATTAAGAAATCAACAAACAAGACGTTGAAATCCAAAAGCGTTACAATTAATCTTCCCATCACACTGAAAATCATTTATGTTCCAAAGTGTCACATGGACAAATATACTGTTTGTAGAAGTGCAGCTGCTACGTTTTGACATTGACATACATCATCTTACTATAGTGCTAGTGATCTAAGAATATCACATAGACAAAAATCATCTTCATAAACCGCTAGTATTATCTAATTGTTGACAAAAAGACAAATTCACATACTGTTCCTATAAAACCAGCAGTGGCAGCAAGAAGTGGAAATACTGACAACATAACTAAGGTAAGTTTCCAGCCATATACAAATGCCATGATGTAGCCTCCAACAAAACCAGACATACCATACAAAAACAAACCGAACTTATGGCCAATTCCATCAGCTATCTTGTTCAAGTCACTGGTTGTTATAGAAATGCATAATTAATTTTTAGTCCAGTCGTGTCATCACATGTGGGAACTGAGTATTGTAAAGTGTTAAATTTGTATGAAATTAAGATGATTGTACACAACTGCTGGGATAGTGACTCAATGAAGCGTGCGTGTAAAAACAATTAAAGAATAATTTGGGATAAGCATTAAACTTACTCAGATAAACGACTATTCAGTTCTCCGCTATCGTTCAAGTCAAACCAAGCCATATCTTGGCGTAATATTGACTTAAAGAAAGCTTTTCGTATTGTATGAACCTGTCGTTCAGCAGTTAGACCCCACATGACCATATTTAACGCAATGGTTACGGTCGTTCCCGCAGCAATACCAATATAGTAGTAAACAAATGGCTTTATTTCATTTTCAATATTAGTACAATTATTGCCGGAATTTGTACAGGAAGAGAAGTCAATGAAATCATCGACAAGTTCACCAAAGACAACAAACTGTAGAGGAATTAAACAACCTTGAAGTACTGCACCAACTGTACCGAGAATCATTAACAGACTGTCCACTCGATCGGCAAAGCGAAACTAAACAATGAAATCACATCAAAGTAAACTCGCTACAATGTACACTCATAATAAATTTGCAATGATAGACAAACGCCAATGACTTAATTAGCCTGATTATTTGGACATCATTGCTTTGTACATAATTTTGTGTTTACTCACTGCATGTAAAAATTATAGATTTGTAAATAAATAAATAATTTTCACGATGTGTAATTTAAAATAGCGTTGCCAAACGTGCAGGCGGGCTACACCACTGGAAAACGACGCACAGTATGGTGTGAGTCAATGGGGATTACAGGCTGGCTACGTCACTGGAAAATTACATATAATATAATGTGAGTCGATGGAAAACGACACATAGCAAGTTTGTGAATAAACTTTCAATAATCGACATAATTTTTTACCAACTGTCTAAAGGAAACCATGGGAGGTTTTTCGGATTTCTTCGAGTCTTCATCTGCAGACAAGTCATCGTCATTTTTCTTGAGATCTTCAACACTATATATCATCATTCAGAGTATTGAAACTTTAACAGACATTTTTTTGGTGGTGTATTTTCACAACGTTGATATGCATACATTATAGATGTTTAATAAACTTACAGTGTGAATTATGCAGAACATACCTAAGTTCATATGTTGATACGACTATCGTAACCATTGGGAAGCACATATAAACACGTAAATATAACATTTTCAACATTTCGGAAAACTTAAATAAACATAAAACATTTGCTCATATTTGAAGATTTTTAGCCAAACTGTTTAGAGCTGATAGTTTACTGCAGTCTGCAGGGTTGATACTATAACTACAAAAAATATATGTTTCTCCACAACTATTATGAGCAACAAGCTCATTAAACAAAAGTCTTTCTGAGTGAACTCATCAGTAACCAATTGAAATTAAATTGATTTACAACAGAATTGCTTTACACAATAATACTAAAGTTTACAGGAAACCATTTTATTATGGCACTAAAGCACCTCACGCTATAATTGATTTCTGTCTCCTTATGCGCGCTTATTCATTGAAATCACACTAGAATCAGTACAATTTCACAATCTGTCTGATACGTGAAGCATATACCTAGATTGACATATATTTATGCACTTCAATGGTTTGGTCTTTACAATGCTAAGCGCCATAAAAAGCAAAATAGTGATAATACAAAGGACATAACATTTATACTTTAATTCTACAAAAATCGTAAATCGCCATTGACTACTATTGCTATATTTAGCAACGAATGAAACAGTTATAACGCAGTACCACAGTATATTTTTCCTTCTATGGATATAGTAACTTAACCGAGAATCGCAATCTAAACATATTTAAATATATTGACAATCAAACTATTATCAAGCTATGCACTGCCGAAACATATCTGTTATAAACATTGTAAGAATGATATTTTTACAACTAAAAGAAAACATTAAATTTTTTAGGTAATTAAATTAAACGTTTTTACCTTGTTTCAAAGCCTTTATTATCACCCATCATCACAAATGTTTTACAAAAGCGTCACATTTTAATTTACAAGTACAATATTAGCATGCTCGACATATTTTGATCACATACCTATGTATTACCCATTCATGCATGGAAATTGACATACCATGTATTAAGACAAAACATGAAATATATACTTAACTAGATGATAGCATTGAGAACAAAGGAAAAGAATCCTACACTTTCTGCCTATGTTACAAATATATATGTTAAAATATAAATGTAGGTAAAAACGTGAAGATTCGATCTTCATGACACGACTGGAAAGTGGGATTTGACGTATGCTATCAAAACAGATATTAGGTATTCTACGAACTCAATGATACACGCTCGACTAAAATTATTCATTAATGAGGGATGTATTTCCGTATAAAGTTTAAAAACGATAATTTCTTCCACAAATCCCTTTTTCATACGGAATACTTAACTTTATATTTGCTTATAAACCCAACAATTTCCAAACGATGTAGTGAAATAATTCATCATGCACTTTGAGTATTTTATTACTTGTAGTTACTGTATTATATGTTTTCTCGTAATGATACCATAGAATATCTGTTTAATTAATGGCATTTCTAGAAAAGTCATGAAAAACATCAGAAATGCGCGAAAACCCTGGCAAAAATTCACTCTGGGAAAAAAAGAGTTGCACTAAATTTTCTAATGCAAATTTTCCACGTAAAAAAATGATTAATATATAAGCAAAAAACGCTCCAAAGTATTTCTTGTTAAATTTTATGAAAGATTCAAATCAAATACAAAAAGTTAGAAAAAATTTGAATTGCACTTGCATTCAGTAGTTAGAACAGATAAAATTATTACGAGGATCAAGAACCAGATTCACATTTTTATAATGAAAAAAAATGTAGCTATATATAAAAATAAATGTGATAAAAACGATCATGATGTTCAAGAAAAAGATTCACGTTTTTATAATGGAAACAATTAAACTCTTCCGTCAACGAAAAACTTATAACTCGTACACTTTAAAAATCTTTGACTATAAAATTGCGAATACATGTGATATTTTAGTGAATCCGGTTCTTTAAAATTGTTCGCAAATACGAATAATACACAAACATAATTTATATGTTTACTAGTAGAAGCCACATTTGTGATAAAAATGAACACCACATGACCAACATACGATGTACATTGTATTGTTATTAAAACTTTTATAGTCGCTTCTATGTTTGAGCTTGCTGAAGATAATAATAACACCCTTCATATCCAACAATTCTTGATGAGTTCCTTTTTCAACGACATGACCATGTTTAATAACTGCAATTACATCTGCTTTTTGTATTGTTGATAATCTGTGTGCAATGATGATTGTCGTTCTTCCTACGCATGCCCTGTCCAGTGCCTCTTGAACAAGCTGGAATTTTGAGAGATAATAATAAGGAATTCTATTTTTTTGAATTCAAACAACTATCAATTGTAATATTCAAAAGTTTGGAGTCTTTTAGCACAATTGGTGATACTTCTTCGGGTATGGAAACTATTATAAAAACGTTTGGAAGAAAACGATTTTCCAACCTTTTCATTTTCCGTGTCAAGAGCTGACGTGGCCTCATCCAGTAATAATATTTTAGGATTACGTATTAAAGCACGAGCTATTGCAATTCTTTGTTTTTGTCCTCCAGATATCAAGGTCCCTTTATCACCAACCATGCTGTCATAACCCTTCAAAAAACATGTTGTAAAGAACTTTGGAATGCAAGTAGGAATATTTAAGAATTTTGTAGAACAAAAAAAAAACACGCAAAAAAAACCTTTGGCAACGTGTTGATGAAATCATGGATGTTGGCTTCTTTAGCTGCATTTTCCACTTCGTCTTGACTTAATTCTCTTGTAAGATCTCCATATGCAATGTTATCGCGAATAGAACAGTTGAACAAAACAGGTTCCTGAGAAACTATGCCAATATGACGACGAAGCCATGAAACGTTTAAAGATCTGATATCATTACCATCAATAGTCTAATGATAAAATAGAAGTCAGTTTAAGCAGACTCTAGGTACGTGATTTATCGTGTACATCGTATAACTCTTAATCTGTAACATAAAGTTAGTGTCACAGATCAGTCATGGACGCTCGGTCACAAATGTTGATTTAAAGATAATTTGGATGCCTACAACAAAACTTAATATCTTTCTTACCACACTTCCACTTTCAACATCATAAAGTCTTTGAATGAGAGAAACAACGGTACTTTTGCCACAACCACTTGAACCAACTAAAGCAACAGTTTTTCCAGGTTTAACTTTTAAACTTAGCCCACGAAGAACTTTGACATTTTGACGAAATGGGTATCGGAATGTTGTGTGATGAAACTCGATTGTTCCTCCACAAGTTTCCTAAGAATGAATTCAAGTCTTTGAATGTTAAATTTATGTGTAGAATATAGTTTCTCATAGGTCATAATATGGTAGTGATTGATATCAGTTTTTTTTTGTTATCCTTCAATGTACAGAATGTCTCAATAATATCACAGTATAGTCAAAATACAGTAGAGCCACTCAATTGAATTTTTTGTGTCAAGCATATCTTATTACGTGATTACCATAGTTGCAGCCAGTCAATTGCCTTTTTTGACCAATAAAAATGATGAAATTGCTAACAGCAGACGGTAACCTTATCAAATATACAGCAGCCAGTTGCACAGCATAGTGGACCTATTGTGTATTCCTTATACTGTTATAAAACTGCTCATCTTTGAATTCAGCCGGCCTTCAGAATTTGCTTGATGCAGCTATAATTGATACTCAAAGACCTGTAAACGTAATTGGAAACAATAATACATACGAATTGCAGCTAATGTACATTGCAAATTTCAAGGAAGAATTCATTTCGATTGTGTGTACGTCTTCTTGGGAATTCATTATTCCTGAATCATGAAAAATCTTAATGTCGGCAGATTTTAAAGATGAGCAGTTTTTGTATAATATATAGCCTAAATTCTAGTTAAAATAAACGAAAAACTTAAAAATGTTACAACACTGACACATACAGGTTTTAGTCCTTCCTCAGAGTCGCTTTGTATAACTGCAACTTCATCAAACAATTTGAACAATTTTCCTGCAGCAATTTTTGCCTTAACGTAATCAGGAGTTAACGCAGAAACTTGACCAGCCATCAAAGCGCCCATTTGAACAGCAAGAATAGTCCTGAAAAAAGAATGTATTCATACAAAGTTCCTTTTTCGTATTTACTTCATCTAACATAGTAAACAAACTTTACTTCATCACATCGGGAAACGTCATCTCTCCTTTCTGTACCAGATATCCAGCAAAACGAAAGGCAGCTGCATTAGACAGTAAAAAAAAACTTTGGGACACACCGAGAAACATGCCTGCCACAATGCTTGATTTCACACGTTTACTGTAATATAAAGTAATAAAAAAATACCCAATGTAAGTTTACAAGATTTAAAGCATTTTGATATTAGCCCGGATGTCCTGGTCAACGGGAATATCCTACTTTGTGATAGGAAGGATCTGATCTAGGCGGGACAAAATTTCTTAGTCTCGCAAGCTAAACGGACTAAAATGAACAGGACGAAAACGTTTACTTTGACAAACTAAACGCAAATATGGTTTAACGTAAATTATAACTATAATGTAACTGACTACAAAAGCAGTATGAACACAATTTTTTGTGGTGTGATTTTCTTTGTTCACTTTCTTTGTTCTGGCATGTTTGTAAAATTTGTTACAAAAGTTTGAGAGAAGACAAAATATCCAAACAAAAACAGGATAGTTTTATCTAACCTCGCAAGGACAATCCGCATCACTAGCTTATACTTACTTGTGCATCATTGTAGCTGACTCCATGTATTTGTTATAAAAACTGTCTTCTTTACCCAATATGGCGACTGTTTGAATATTTAAAATGCTTTCCACGGCAATCTATGAAAAAATTTTGTCGTAATGCAAAAGAGCAGAATCAAAACATGTATTGATGACAAAGTAAAAATTTCATTTTGAAATTGAAAATACCTTTCCAGCTTCTTCAGAGTTGATCGCATCTTCCCGATCACCACTTCCAAAATATAACCTCATCTCCAGCATAGAACCAATTAAAATGAAAGGTATGAACGCAAGCACAAGTAAAGCAAGTTTCCAACCGGAATAAAATGCCAATATCAAAGATCCAATCGCTGTTATCACTGATGATGCAACAACACCAAACATTGGCCCAGTTGCCTTTAAAAATTGAACAGTAAATCATTATACACATAGAAATATGAAAACAATGCAACAATAAAATGTTAATTATGAATTTGAGCTTGTTTTAGTTATCTCTTTTTTCTGATGGCCGTTGCAAACATGAAAAAGCCCAAATAACAGAATTAGTCAACTGCTTTGCTGTAAAACTTCTTTGATATTAAGTTAGCCATTAAATGCATAGCTGAATGTTTTAGTAAAAAAGGGCATCATTACTTTTAAAAGCACTTGTGACAAATTACTAAAACTGTCTATACTGTGTTGCCGATGTAGCGTTAAACCACAATTTCAGGACTGTTGAAAAGTGGGTAAGATATAAGCATGCGCATCGATTTCTCTCCTTACTCCACAACATTCATTTATCGAAGAATGTTGGCATAATTTTTTCTATTTCTTATTATTCCAATATTTCAAGCTTCATTTTTGCCAAAAAGTGCGTTTAGTTGTCTTACAAACATTGTTAAAGATTCATAATGCATGGAAAAGCAAATTCTGAAATAAATAAGAATTTTGCAGAAAATTGGCATTGCAGAAGCAAAACATGGGAAGACTTTGCCACTAATACAAAACAAATCCTACCCCTTGGACAGTTGACGCATGTGTAGCTAGGTTAGAAGTTAACGCTCCAGTTGAGTGAAAGGGATCATCAAAATAGCTCGTGTCCTAAAATTAATGATGGAAATTTAGGGAATAGAAGACATGATATAGATACATTAGTGTATGATATAGGTACATTAATGTATGAAGCGAAGTCCATAAATGCATAGATCTTTCTAACCTGACGTATCATTGTTCGAAAAGCTTGATTTCTCAACCTCATTGTCAAAATTTCTCCTGCTACACCGTACATCCATCCCTGCCAACACAGAAGTATTACACGAGCTGAATTTATCAAACATTGATGTGAACGAACGATTTTCCCAAATTTTTACTTAATTTATCTGACTATGATCATGAGCATTTCGGCAATAGAATAAATATGCTTTCTCTAAAATTTGTATTACTTATGAATGAATTGTGTTTTTAATTAGCAACAATAAACAAAAAATAAAATAATGGTAAAGATATTGTAATATACAGTGTAAGAAAGAGTTCTAGAAAACTGAATGCATGGTTATGGATAATTGCTTTCAGCATGAAACACCTCCTGGACAAAGTTACAACGTTATTGCTTACCCGAATTAAATTACCAAAAACATAAAAAATGCCAATGCTAAGAACAACAGCGCCCAAAATCGCGAATCTTTATCCATAGCATCTCGCTCTGAGGAAATGTCAGGGTTTTTTGAAAATACCTTGATTGTAAACGTGAGGAATTAGAATCGAACAAAATTTTAAAGATAATAACTTATATTAGACAAATTTATTCACAACTTACACCAAATAATTCACCAAGAAGAAATGCAAAAACAAAAGGAAATGAGCCTGTAATGGCGGCACCTAACGTTCCAAACAGCAAATAATGCCACTCTGTTTTACTCAATTTGATAATTAGTCTGACAGGAGCTGGTGCAACCTCTTCCTCGATAACATGTTCATTTTTATGTTCCTTTAAGACGTACGTAAATATGTCATTATGTGCATGAACACATAAGCATTTGTTGTGAATATTCATATTTTATCGATATCTAATGCAGAAAAGTAGTTAAGTGATGGTAACAAGAAAATATTTATCATCAACTTTCACCTTATGCGATGATATTGGCGAAATTTGACGGCTCAACTTTGGTGATTGGATCTTGTGTTTATTTTGGTCATTTTCACTAGAGTTGCTATTGATCAGCGGCAGTCCGTTATTTTCCACATCTATTCATGAGTAAATATTGATATGCTGTCTGAACAAAAGCTATTTGGACTAGTTCCATAGAAGAAAAGATGAAATTTGAAAAATACTAAATTACATCATGAATTATATAAACAATACTAGTTCAGGCGCAAGCAAGTATATGAACTAGACGCTACTTTTTTCAGCCGAAGGAAGAAACTTATAGATAAAAATACCATTTTCCTCTTTCTTCTCATTCTCATCTTCGTCTTCATCGTCATCCTCTTCTAGCACAGTCTATGTTTCAAAATGACAACATACTGAAGCAATTTAAACTAAATACAAAACAACAGCTACTAACATGTTTTATACAATTGAACGTTTGAACGTTTTAATGTAATATTGTGACAACACCACCAAGTGTACCTGCCGTAAAACGAGTTGTTTGTAAACACCATTCTTTTCCATAAGTTCATTATGTGTTCCCATTTCAGCAACAGCACCATCTTTCACTGCCACAATTATGTCAGCATCACGGACAGTTGAAAGACGATGAGCAATGATGAATGTCGTTCGACCTTTGCCTGCCTACAAATGACACAAAATATTTTGACATTTAAAAGCATTCTAACTGAAATGAAAAGAATTTGTATGGTCGAAAGAACTAAGATATTTCTTTATAGATATCTTAATAACACGTTATGCTAATGCTATATATAGTGTTCAACTACTGGCAGCAAAAATATACAATTACCTTATCTAAAGCCTCTTGAACAATAGATTCACTTTCGGTATCAAGAGCTGATGTAGCTTCATCTAACAATAAGATTGTTGGATTTCGGATCAAAGCTCTTGCAATGGCAATACGTTGCTTTTGACCTCCGCTCATTTGAGCTCCTCGTTCTCCACACAAAGTTTCGTAACCCTAGACAGATGACATTTATTAACGATTGTCATAAAAAATGGTCACTTATCAATATCTATACCAATGTTGCATTGTCAAAGCATTCAGATCATTGTTACAATATAAACCAAACAAAAATAATTCAAAATGTTTGAATAAAGTGTGAATAGGTTGTCTAACAAAGTTTATTTACTTACATTGGGCATTGCAGTTATAAAATCATGAGCATTGGCCATTTTTGCTGCTTCTTCTATTTCTTCCTGAGTTGCATCATCGCGTCCATAACGAATGTTTTCTGCAACTGTTGTCGCGAACAAGACAGGCTCCTGACTAACAACACCAATATGCTGACGTAACCATTTAAGATTGTAGCTCTTAATTTCATTGCCATCTATCAACTGTTAAAATAAATCAGAGCATATACACATCTTTTGTCATGAGTCAATAAGAACATAAATGCTGAATTTCAGCAAAACAATAAGTTTCTGCTATTCTTACCAAACTTCCGTCAGAGATATCATAAAATCTTTGAATAAGTTTAACGACAGTACTTTTCCCACAGCCACTTTCACCAACTAGAGCAACTCGTTTTCCTTTTGACACTGACATACTGAACTTATCAAGTATCTAAAATAAATATAAAAATGAAAATTTATGTTAAATAAAAATTCATACATACAGGGTAGGAAATCTGGACAGCGCAAGCGTTAAATAAAGAAATTTATGACAGTGTTAAAAATCTCATAAAAGACACAAAGATAAATATGACACATACAATAGCAAGCACGGTAGGTTTATAAGTTCTGAAAAGCGCTCCAGATCACGTGCAATTGAAGTGTGATGTAAGTGCTTCAAAAGAAAATGACATTAACCATGTTATATGTCTTTACCTGAATATCTGGTCTTGAAGGATATGTAAAACAAATATCTTTCATAATAATGTTCCCTTCGAGATTTTCCATAACAATTCCATCCACAGAAGAAATGTCAATTTCTGGAACCTGTGAAAAATTACAAGAATGACATAATTAAGCTATTGCGATTTTTTCTGCTCGTAGTCTAGTTACATTATAATTCACATCGATAACAGCACCAACGCACACTATTAAATGAAAAAGACTAATCTCCTAGCTTGTTATTCATTTCATTTAACAAAGGTAAAATCATGGGTAAAGTAGACAACAAGACCATCTTCTTGTCTTGTCATGTTATAACCATTATACAAAGATCGTACCATATGTATTGTAACAACAACGTCACACAAACGTAATGCAATATAATACTGAATTGCAACGATGATCTATTGCATTGATGTATTTTGCCTGTGCCTTGGTTTAAGGATAAGAAATTCTAATCATTTTCAAATTGCAACGATGATCTATTGCATTGATGTATTTTACCGTGCCTTGGTTTAAGGATAAGAAATTCTAATCATTTTCAAATTGCAACGATGATCTATTGCATTGATGTATTTTACCGTGCCTTGGTTTAAGGATAAGAAATTCTAATCATTTTCAAATTGCAACGATGATCTATTGCATTGATGTATTTTGCCTGTGCCTTGGTTTAAGGATAAGAAATTCTAATCATTTTCAAATTGCAACGATGATCTATTGCATTGATGTATTTTACCTGTGCCTTGGTTTAAGGATAAGAAATTCTAATCATTTTCAAATTGCAACAATGATCTATTGCATTGATGTATTTTGCCTGTGCCTTGGTTTAATGATAAGAAATTCTAATCATTTTCAAATTGCAACAATGATCTATTGCATTGATGTATTTTGCCTGTGCCTTGGTTTAAGGATAAGAAATTCTAATCATTTTCAAATTGCAACAATGATCTATTGCATTGATGTATTTTGCCTGTGCCTTGGTTTAATGATAAGAAATTCTAATCATTTTCAAATTGCAACAATGATCTATTGCATTGATGTATTTTGCCTGTGCCTTGGTTTAACGATAAGAAATTCTAATCATTTTCAAATTGCAACAATGATCTATTGCATTGATGTATTTTGCCTGTGCCTTGGTTTAACGATAAGAAATTCTAATCATTTTCAAATTGCAACGATGATCTACTGCTTCCTCTCATAAACTAAATCTCGAATCATGCATGACGCAACATGTTCATCAATTCATTAAATAAAAATTTGTATCGAAAGAATAAATAATGACGTCACTTACGCGGTCAATAAGCTCGAGCACGTGATATGCCGCTGCTCTAGCGGATGCAATAGCTTGCATACTCGGTCCAATTTGACCAGCAAGTACGGAACCAAGCATTACGGAGAAAAAGACCTACAAAATAGATAACGTACTATAAAATATATAACAAAGGAGGGAAATGTTTTAAAAAAGTAGATATACCTGTACTTTATGTATATATATATAAAGCTACATGGGGGAAACGTGCTTGTTTTAAGGATAAGTTAAACTTGGTAAACTTGGTCATGCGGCGTTCTAGTGCCTTACGCTTAAGAAGGTATCGGGAAGCATGGACCGAAAACGGGTTTTTGCTTTCGAGTTTTATCTTTTTTTTCTTCTCAAGAAATCTAGAACATCCAAGCATATCCTTACCATTTTATTGCCACTATTTTACATAAAAACAATACAATATTTGATTGTCCGAATTTTGCAGTTTGATCTCGTATTTTTGACACGTGTGTATACCAACGGAAAGGTGTATAACAAATACTACACTTACAACTAAGAGATCACCTCCCGTCATTTCTTTTTGAATAACCAATTTTGCACCATACCTAGGAATATTTGAACATGTCATAAATACATGTGAAGAGAAAGCTACACACGCACACTAATTATCATTTTATAAAAAAGCGTCATTAAAGAAATAAAAATGAAACTATACACACCAAAATGCCAACGCGTAAGAGCAAAACATTATAAAATTAAATACGCCCATTCCAAGACCATTTGCCAAACCCTTTCTCTCGCCCATTTTACGAGCAGTACCCAGTCTCGAGCTGTACCTGACCGCCAATTCAGCAAGCAAAAAATAGGAAAATGTTATATCGTGGTGCATAATTGTTTTCATGTTCATTCACAAATCTTATTTGAATTCAGTTTTCATATCATGTAAAAAAATGATCAAACCGCAATCTTGTCTTAGGTCAATACGACAAATTTCGCTCATAATTCGTTATATTATTTTAAACCTAATTCAATAGTGTATAGTTGAAACCTTTCAGTTTCTTTATCTTCGCCACCAAATGCTGCTACAGTTTTAAAGGAGGACAGAGCTTCCTGGGCAACACTACCAGCTTCAGAGTAGGCTTTCAATTCTTTTGTCGAGAATCCAGTTATCACCTTAACAAAACACATTTACAAGTTATTTTCAACAGAGAAAAGAAGATTCATTTGCTTTACCAGGTAAAGTGATACTTATAATAACAACATATGATCAAAGTTACCCATCCAAGAAATCCACCAGCAATTACTATCAGAGGAAAAAGCGATAAAATAACCAAAGTCATTTTCCATCCGTAGAAAAATCCCAAAATGTATCCAGCAATAAAACCAGCCAAGGAGTATTGAAGTGATGCAAACTTCAGACCAATTCCGTCACTTATTTTGTTCAAATCACTGCAAAAATAATAAAAATGAAAACATACTGAAAAACAGCACGTTTGTATGGAAATTTTTGATTAAGTATCAGCAACAATTTCACACAGCTAGCTAGATGTCGGAAACTGCCAAAACCGAAAAATCTATAATTATATTGACAGTTTATTTAATTAAACGAGAATTCCTTTAGCTCATTCAAAATAATTTCATTTCAGTTCATTATTTTTCGAATGAAAGTATTACATTGAATGAAATAGTTATGACACATTAATCCAATGAAAAGTTTTTCGACTTATGGAAATGTCACCTACTACCATGTTGACAAATACAACTTATGTTTGTGAACAGAATAGTTACTACATACTCGGACAAGCGGCTGTTCAGTTCCCCAGAATCATTTGTATCGAACCAAGCCATTTCTTGGCGAAGTATTGACTTAAAGAAAGCTTTGCGTATCGAATGAACCTGTCGCTCAGCAGTTAGACCCCAGGCGACCATGCGCAAAGCAACAGTCAACGCATTCCCAAAGGCAATACCAATGTAATAATACGAGAAAGGTATCACTTTATCTTCGATATTAGGAATAGATGTACAATTCGATAGAGGATTCAAACACTTTGTGTAATCGGTGAAAGTGTCCGAAAGATGGCCAAATATAACAAACTGTATAGGAAAGAGGGCTCCTCCACCAATAGAACCAAACGTACCAATCAACATTAAAACAACATCAAAACGGTCCGAAAAACGAAACTAAAAAAATATCAATATTTTGCAATACAATGAACACAGAGTCAAATTTATACATGCAGTGCACAATGGCGGCACTTTTAGTAGATATATAACTTCCTTGTCAAAACGATGGCGCAAATACTTCCTAAAACTAAGTTTAGCAAAGATGCGTAAATACAGTACCAATTGTGAATATGACACCATTGGCTTTGCTTCTTTCTTCTTCTTTTTATCTTTTTCTTTCGCATCTCTATAATCTCCATCTTTTCTTTCATCTTCCGCACTAGTTCAATTGAAACATGAAATAAATGAGATTATAAGAAATGTCATGCTTATTATAAGAGGCACATTAATAACTTGAATAACACGACAGATATTCGTTGTGGCCAAAAACAAGCTTTACTGGTATTAATCACGTGATCAATTTCCATTAAGAGACGCTATCTCGCCAAAAATTGACAAATCTTCACTTACGAAAACAAAAGTTTTACAAATCAAAAAATACACTAAATAGTCTAATTCCTCATGAAATAACTTTAACGAAATGCACAATATATAGACCCCGGTGTTAGGAAGATTCAGAATGATATGAATGGGTAAGTGGACCTAATAATAATTGGATCGCATTGATTACAAATAGCACGACGATCAACATTATTATTCATTTTGAAATCGATTGTTTTACGTGGATCATAGAATTTCGTTGCTCCAATGTTGAAGTATTGGCGTATCTACTAATTTTCTAACTGTGCCTGCTCAATATATTGAACTACGTCACTTGAGGTACGTGCACTAAAATATATGAATGTTTAATGTAATAAAATATATGAATGTTTACATATGAAGTAATACAGACGTCTTCGTCAAAAATGTTCCATTACTGAAAAATCAAAATTTTCTAGTATTAATTAAATGCATGCAAAACACACAAAAAATTTGCGCAAGATCAATTCATCATATTTAATCGTTTGGCAATGTATTATTCATGGTAACAAGCTTTTCTATATTTATAAAGATTGATTCTTTAAGTCCATAAGCAGTACAACATTCGCTACAGTAGCCCGCATCACGTCGAATTATAAAATTTGACAAAACTTACACCTGAGTATAAGTTATTACTTTTCAAATATGTTTTGTCTGCCATAAAATTCTTTGTACAAACCTCAGGCCACGAGTTTTTACAGTCATTGTTTATTATTGCGTTGAGAGTGAAAATGCTTTCCAACAAAGTTTTAAAAGAGATGACTGACCTCCCGTTGATGAAGATACAAAGCAAGCCCCTACACTCAGAGTCACAGCATTAATTGATACATGTGCTATTTATATACTTGCGTGACTACGTATGCATAATTATTTCACAAATGACGTAATGCCATGCTCCTTTTCATCAATGATAATTTAGTGATAAAACATACGAAAGTTACTGAAGTCTTACATGCTAAAGATTTTAAAAATGTACGGGAGTATTTGAATGTTAATCTCCAGTATTATGACAAAATCAGCCAAAAAAGAACAAAATACATATCACTAATTACATTAAAAATAATATGAAATTATTTACATTAATGTCTATCAGTAAGAACACACCCAGAATTGCACCATCAGATGAAACATTTCAAACATGCAATCGAATACTCTTTAGTATCATCAATAAATTATTCAATATAACAAAAATCACTACATGCATGGGAATTGTCGAACAATTTTGAATTTAAGAAATGGAAGATTAATAGTGCCATGAGCTGTTACACCATTAATTTACAGGTCTCTATTTCAGATATATCCTTTTTAAGAAATTATTGACATTTGCATGCTGATTAGATGAGTAAATTTCACAGCTATAAGAATCAATCTACAATATTCCTTTCAGTTGATGGAAAGATTTCATTCATCATCTCTATGAATGTGCAAACTAGCTGTACAATTATCAATTGTTACTTTACATAAACAGTTACTAAATTTTGATCAAACAGTTTCTTAAAATACTACATGGATTTTTAAATTTTGACCATAATGTTTAACCTACAAAATGATCATAAAATAAACATGTCGTTAAATAATACTTGAAATTTTTCATTGATTTATATATAATGTCATAAGCTTGTAAAGAGCTATGTATGTACGACGTTGTTTTCGTAATTTGTTGTAAACAAAGCCTATTTTCGCAAGCAATATAAATGCAGCCACAGCTTTGAGCTTTAACAATATGCACTGGTATGGTAAATAATCTTTGCTATAAAACAAATTTTCAACATACTTTGAATAACTGAATTGCTTCGTTAATAATAGTTGACAAAATTCTTTGCTATTTGAACAGTAATAAAAATAAAACAAGCACTGTTGTCATCAATCAATCTTCGAAGGCTTGCACGGTTTATAATCGTTATAAACGCACTTAGATATGGTTCGCTGCTTCGCATTTATTATACAGTTGCTTTTTTATTGGCACTTTATTTCAAACACGTGCAACACGTAGTACAATTTCATTGCGAAATGCAAGCCAAAATTGTTTGTCCGTATTTCATCAGGAAAATTTTCAATAAGGTCCCCTGAAATCCTTTGCGAACACAATATATGTATGGTCCACCAATTTCATGAAGATTTTATAGAATTTATCGACTTCAAAGTTTAAAATGAATAGCAGTACCTTTCTTGCTTTGACACCACTTTAGCAGGCTGAACAATTAAAATTTCATTCTCTTCGTTTATACCATCATTAGATGGAACTGGAGAGTAACTTGAACCTTTGCTCATTCTGCACTTTACTTATCAACGAACAGTTCGGTTTTTTTCCTGATCTGCGTGCAGTAGTATGCCTAAACAAGTGTAATTACCAAACACTTGAAGAAGGATTAATTAACAGCTTGTAGAAATCAGCTAAGCTTGTTTGTCGTGACGTAATTTTCTATTTCAAATGAAAATTTGATCCTTTGACATTCAGCTGTCACTGTGCTCTTACGTTAATTCTTTCATTCTTTGCAATTTGATAGTGTTTCGTGTACCTTCTCCTGTTGGCATTGACTAAGGAAATCGAAATCAAGAAAATAGTCATTGAATTTGATGACTGATAACCCGATGGAAAGCGACGTTTTAATCAACATAACTATGCATGATGGGGCTCCAACGCCAGCAAGATTTTGCACTTAACGATTCAGCTAAATAAACACAAGAGTGACCTAAAAGATCTTTGTTTAAAAGAGGATAAAAGTAAGTACACTAAAGTGGATAAAAGTAAATTGGTAACCTCCATCATTAGTGTCAAAATAAATCCATGCTGGCCCAGCAAGTGGTAGGAAATTTTCTTCATTGGTTGGGGGGCGAAGCTCTAGACGCTCATTGGTGGAGTGGAGAATACATATATATTCATCTCTTCTTGACGCTTTCAAAATTCGGGTAGAGCTGAATGTATGAATATCCTCTTTCCCAAAAACGTCATAGCTTCGCCACTGCCATTGGATGGAACAGGAAACGTAGTACGACAAAGTACAGAAGTGCCAAAACCATTTCTATTGCTACTTGACAATTTTTGTCAAGATCATCTGATGAATTTGCAGCAAGAAATTGGCACTTCAAACCAAAAAATTGTTAAATCCAGGACGAAAATGAAAATTCAATGCTATTCTTTGCAGAGAGCACGACAACTGACAATTTCGAGTTTTAATTTGTATTGCGCATATGTAATAAGGAACTTTTCAGACGATCGTCAATAAAATCTAATAATAGCCGAGATAGCTAGACCTAGATCTGTCGTAACATGGTTACAGTACAACAAAGCGCCATTTTTTGACATTCACAGCAAGCGCACTTACTAACGAATGGTTTGATATCCGAAATGAACACATGCTTTGACCTTTAGTAATTTTTGAGTTTCGTAAGATTGGCAATAGTATGGGACCTTGTGTAATAATGGTGATAGCATGGGACCTTTTGTAATAATGGTGATAGCATGGGACCTTTTGTAATAATGGTGATAGCATGGGACCTTTTGTAATAATGGTGATAGCATGGGACCTTTTGTAATAATGGTGATAGCATGGACCTTTTGTAATAATGGTGATTGCATGGGACCTTTTATAATAATGGTGATAGCATAGGACTTTTTGTAAAATTGGTGATAGCATGGGACCTTCAATGGAACACCTCAAAGTACGTCATAGTACGTCATAGCGAATGTGGAAACAGTTTTCACGGAAAATTCCAACTGTCTGCAATCCGATCAAGGTAAAACGGTGGGTTTGTGGGAACATCTTCTTTTGCCACAGATGGCTAAGATTGATTTACAACTCAGTGGTCAAAAACCAAAACATCTTGCTTCTATACACCTTGAGGTTCGTTCTTCTTGATTTAGATTTAATTTCAAGAAACTTACGTTTTAAGAAATTGGCTATAGTCACATTTATTAACTTTTGTTGACCGTTGTATGATTTTTTTCTTTCCAGGTGGTAATTCAATTATAACTCATGTTTTGTTATTTTAGCTATCACTCATCATTTCACAAATTACGTTTTACGCCACGCCTTTATTCTTCTCAATATTATTGGTGTTGGTGCACTTAGTATGACATAAAAAAGTTACTAAAAGCTACTAAATTATGAAATCTTAGTTGCATAAATGTTATGAATCTTTACGTACGTCAAAATAAGAACTTACTTTTCTTTGTCATCAAACGAAGTTTTTGTTTCAACGGTATTCTTACGGTGTAATTTGTCGACGGAATCTTCACATTTTATTTCCACATTGTTGAAATAATGCGTTACATTGAGGCCATTGTGACGTATTTCCTCATTTTGCATGTTGTCCTTTTCTAAGATTTGTTCATTTTGTCCAAAGCTCTCCTCCTCAAAACCGTTATTAGCTTGCATTTTCGTAAAGCTTTCGGCGGAACCTGACTTCAAAACCTTCAAGTCAAAACTGATAGTACAAAGACCAAACAAATCATTATAAGTGCCATTTGATACATTCATATATCGATAAGGGAAATGTTATCGTAAAATTTCATTCTGCTTTAAGATAAACAGAAAGACTGGTTATGAAAATGGAGAAGAATAAAATCCTATATTTAGTCTTTAGGACTGAAAGAAACAACACGTTAATTTGCGTTTAGAAGATGCATGCATACTCATGAGTAATCCTGATAATACATATGGTCAGGAAAAAATCGACGAAGATATAAAACTATGCATTCACGCATTCCTATAGCTGTACAACTGATGTAAAATATTATACGCGCATCTTACATCTACAAATAGTTTTATTAGAATTACGACTAAAATGACATATCAATTGAAATATTTACAAAATAAAGAATTCACTGTTGCTAATATTTCAAAGTACCCCAGCAAAGCAAATATCATCTCCTAGCATGTTGCACTTTCCTACACTTAAACATTTGGGAAATTTGAGTCTTCACCATTTGTCGAACTCTAAAAAACACCAAACACAACTTCAGTCACAAACTTTCACAACTGTAATGCAATATTCTCAATGTTTAATTTTTTTTTAACTTCCGCAAGGAAAAGCCTGAAGCAATGCAGGATCAAATGGTGAAATATAATTGGAATCTCATGATCAGATATCGAGTTGATAAAACCATCCGGCAACCACATAAAATTATAACTTAACCATGGTGAAATGTTCCTATTTTATATCGAAAAGATAAACATTCCAACAATAAAGATTACAATCAAGAAATAGCTAAAATAGTTTCCCTTTCCCTAAACAAGTCTGTCTACTATAAGGGCAAAATATAGTTATATTTGATAAAATTTTCCTTTTAATTAAAGCAAAAATAACTGTAAAAAAATGGTAATACACTATTCACCTGATTAGAAAGTGAAGTGCCTTGAAATGGAGCAAGATTTGTGATATGAGGCATCGCAAGAGTCGTTTTCTTTTGACCTTTAGCCCTTGCTTGTGCTTTTCCTGAACAAACGAAAAAATCAAATAAAATCATTTTCTCTACTTCAAATGATATGTGTTCGACTTTACTAATAACAAGGCAATACAGTGAAGTTATTTCAAAATATTTGCGTCTTACCATCACGTAAAAAAATTAAAGTCCAACAGAGGTACTTATTTTTGGGCCCGTCGATGTACCAAAATAAACGCTGAGTGCCGCAGATTTGTTCACACATTCAAGATGAAATAAAAAACTAGCGATCGAGCATGAGCAGTCAATTTGACAAACTGTTCATAATTTATAGTCGTGGCAACAACCAACTGGATCTACTTGCACCGTTTTAAGAGTAACTAGCTCGATCAGTCACAAATTATAAAAGAAATCGTCTGAGCATGCGCTGTCGACTCGACCAACCGACTGAGTTCTTGGTCAAAGAAACAACCAATTGGATCTACTAGTACCATGACTAGTACCGATTTTGGAGTTGATAGCTAGCTTAGTTACAAATTCTGGAGTAGATAGCTTAGTCTTATTCTATAACATTTTAATTGATTTTGAATAGAAAACTGACTTATATAAATTTATTGAACTATTTTATCAACTGCACACTCGCAATGTAACTCATAATTAAGACTAGCGATCCGAATGTGCAAGGTTGCATTAAAAGATTGAACTTTGTTATTTGAATATATTGGTGCAACGCTGTTATCTTGATTAAGTGTTGATATTTAAATGGTGCACTATAACTACCAGTTGATTTGGAATAGCCATAACGATTAAACATGCAAAATAGAAAACATAAAAGACGACCCACAACTTTGTACTAAAAACCAGAATTTACTAAACCAATTTTTGTTGATGTAGGTATAAAGCAAGTACGTATGATGCGTAAAACAGGATTAATAAATTGGTCAATAAAATTGCTCTTCTCAATTTATCCATTACCTTCCACATTTGACACGGATTACCATTGAAAAATAAAGAAATTAAATATCAACCAATTACCAACCTTCATTTCCAAGAACATCAGGTAAAAATGATGGTTCTTGCGCTTTTTCTTTTTCTTTGGATCGACTTCTTCTTCGTGTTGAATCATTCATTGACGATCGCTTTTCGTGTTCATTCTCGACGAATCTCGAACTTGTTTCACCACAGTTCCCCTGTTCATGTTCCGAAGAATGCAAAATCGCGTTTCCATGATTAGAATGAACACTGTTTTTCTTAGATTGCTTTTTATGTTTTAACTCGCTTGGCGAACTACAATTAAACACGATTCAATGTGATTTTTTTGTTCAGTAGATTATGACTCTGTTTATGCTAAATTAGATTGCCAAATTGAGCAGTTTACAGATTTTGAGGCTACGAGAAGACTTTTAATGTCAAGAACAAGAAAGATTCTGAAAAACGTCAAGTGTTATAACAGGACCTTAAATAATAGATTTTGCATGTACTACGGAAACGAAGGATCTTCGTAAAAGTCATCAATATTGATAAATACACAAAAAATATACTTAAATATAAGAAACATATTTTGAAAAATTCCTCTTTAAAGATGATTGAGATTTCAGAGTTCAATTTTAAATGGAAATACGTAAAGCGTGCATTAAGTGTTTTGTAAATCTGTCAATATTTTTTAGTCAAAGAAGTATCATTTGTTATATTTTTGTTGAAACTCTCTCAGGTAACAAAAAAAACATGGTATTAGCAATCATTATACTTAAGGGTATAAGCAACTTATTCCTTCGACTAATTATTACATCATATGCAAACATACCGGTAAGTAGTGGAAGAATAATTTGCAGCATCTTCTTCGATTGATTTTTGGTTTGTCACATTAAACAATAAGTTTGTTTTTGTTACATTTAGGCTGTTTGCTATCGAATGTCTTGAACCATAGTTAGTCAATGAATGGTTGCCTGTATTGCGATGTTCATTTATAGGTGTAAGTTGACGATTTGTTGTTTGCGTTGCAGGATTGTGAGCCTCCATTGATGATTGATCATTTGAATTTGATGTTTGACTGTTAAATGCTGACGTATTATCATATGATGGCCAACTTTTGAACATCGTAGAATGACTATCAGTTCGCATGGCTGGTAATTGTGATGTATTACATTGGGATGTTGATGATTGATTTGATGGTTTGGTTAATGGTAGTTTTCGAATTGTTTTATCAAACGTTTCAGAAACCTGCTCATCTTTGGACCAACCCTTCACTTTCTTGTTTTCTCGTTGACATTTTTCGAAATCGTTCCTCATTTCTCGACAATTGTCCTTGCGTTCTCGACTTTCAATGAACTCCGCATGATCTTTCCCATCTCCTACTGATTCCCTAAATTCCTTACTATCCCTCGAGCCCTTCCGTTCCTTGCTGTTTTTACGTTCTTTTGTAGTCCTATGTTCCCTAGTATCCCGTGTTTCTTTATGTTCACGTTCCTACATAAAACATACCAAGTATACTAAAATCTTTCAAAATAAATTTTGTCTCTACTTGCGTTCTAACTATAGAAATGCACATGTTTGATTTTTTCTGTAAACTTCTGCACTGATGAACAACAAAGTTAACGTGAACAAACTTCTATGTTATATAAATACTGCAAAATCCATTTTATCTAAATCTACAGTATCACGGTAAAATTAATTCACTAGGTCATTTTTGCAAATTAGCTGAGCACACAACACCTCTCTTTGTTTAAAAACTTTAAAACGTTTAAAAATATCGCTCTTTCACTCCCCCCTGCAGTTCCTCATCCCATTAAATTTTAACTGCCATTATCCACGCATGTCATCTTCTCTTTGAAAATTTTCATAAACTACACTAGTTTTAACATTCCACATGATAAACGTGTCTAATTTTAAATCACCTTTCTATTTCGTTTTTCTTTCCTTCTTTCTTTTGTTCTCTCGTCGGAGCTTTCTAAAGGTTTTAACAACGGGTTATCGGCAATCTCCCGATTTATTTTTGTTCTCAGTTCAGTGGCAAACTTTTCTGAAAAATTATCTTTCTTGAAATATTCGTGCTTCAGCAGAGAAGTGCATGTTGGTCTTGAGTCAGGATCTAGTCGCAGACATTGCTGGAGAAAACATGAATACTAAAGTTATACACACGTATGAAGATAATCTAGGTTTAACAAAATGTGAACATTGAGAAATACGGAGAATATGGAGGATACAGAGGTATTACTATACAATAATACATTATAGTCCATCATATCAATAATGAACTATAATGTATTATTGGGGAAGAATTATGCCTTATTCTTTAAGGAAACGTACAGCTGATCATCTGCTATGAAGTTCTCAGTTTTTGGTAACAAAAACTAAAGTTATTAAATATAGGTGAAATAAAAATCATTAAATTCCTCATTTAGCAAGTTCTAGTATTAAATGACAAACTTGATGAGATGGAAAACGCACACAATCATTATTTACCTTTGTAAAATCTGAAACTAATGGTTTTAGTTTGAATCTCTTTTCCAATGGTTCATATTGCTTTGCTTCAGGCAATCTCATGCCCACAAACAATGGGTTTTGGGAGAAAATCTGCTTATGTCGTTTAATTAATGTCCCTATGGGCAAATCAATTTGAATAAATGCATTATTACAACAAATTCATGTAATTTCAATTGTTGAGTTGTAGTGAGGACAAATATATACAACCAAACAAGCACCAAACAAGCAGCTAAAAACTTACCAAAACACTTAATAATATGATACAACTGATCAATATCAGAATCTCCAGGGAATAATGGTTCCCCTGTCAACATTTCAATCACAAGACAGCCACAAGCCCAAATATCAACAGGTCTAAATATCAACAGATGAAAAAATAGTTCTTTAGCACAGTCCAGAGCATTCAACAATTGCATTTAATCTAAATGATTAAAGACAACTACCTTCCATATTTTGTGTCTCCAACAAGAAGTTCTGGAGCCCTATACCATCTTGTTGCTACATAATCAGTGAACACTTCACCAGGAGTAGAACCTTGCATTAGAGAAATATAAATATCATGAAATTATAGAGACTATTTTACGGGGTGAAATGAATTGCTTAATCAAAGTCTACATTAGCAATAAAGAAAACAGTGGTTTTAAAACATTTTACATAAGATGTGTTTATATGAAAGACATAACATATATGCAGTGAAGTCACCTGTTGTTCTAGCAAAACCAAAATCACAAACTTTGACAACTCCTGATTTTGAAATCAAAATATTTTCTGGCTTTACATCACGATGAATTACCTAACAGTGAGAGCCATAACATTATTAAGTTCAATTTAAAACATGTCATTTGAGGCTTTATTGATTCAAGATGGGTATTATATGGGTATACATTGTGAAAATTCATGGTGATTAATACATGTTGTTTGTTGTTTGTTTGTTGAGGCTTTATTGATTCAAAGCTACTTACATTGTGATTATGACAAAATTCTAGGGCTCTAGCAACTTGCCACATGATTTTCTTCACTTGAATTTCATCCAAGCCATTGGGGTATCTCTCTAGGTCATCAAGTACAGTACGATCAACAAATTCAAATACAAGAAACAAACGTTTCTTCCTTCGAAAAACTTCAATTAAGTTGACAAGGTTCTCATGTCTCAGTTGCTGAAACATAATATAAAAAATGAGGTAGTAATTTAAATCATGAAAATAAATGTTTTGCACATGTTTCGACATCTTCCACACTATGGTAATACCTTTAACATTCGCACTTCGCGCATTGCAATTTTTTTCACCATCTTATCTTCTTCTGATTCCAAGAACTTTTTAATAGCAACAATTTGATTTGACTCCTTGTGTCTGCATTTCATCACCATACCATATGAGCCCTCTCCAACCAAACCCAAATTCTCATATTTTTCCATATTTATTTGAACAAATTAAACAGGCTTGATTTTCCCCATTTCAACAAACAACCATGCACCATTCATAAAAGCACTCATGACATTTCTAGCAATTGACGTGAGAACATTAGAGTGTAATACATATTTGAAGAAAATATCGAAAACATAGGATTAATGTACTTCATTATAAATTTTTTCCTTGTCTAAGAAAATCTCATTTGATAAACAAATACTGACAAGAACGACAGCAACGTACAATAGAAAGCAAGCAGCTTATAGGCTCATAAGCGTATAAAAAAACCTAATGATAATATCTTAATGTACTCATATCTTATTGACAGCAATACTCCATTTTGGGGTTTATAAATCATAGTAAAGACAATGCCATGTCGTTTAAAACATAAAAATTGTAATTTTAATAAATGCAAGTTGACGTATAAAATATCACCTGTCATTTTATTCTATCTTTCACTTTAAAACATCGTCTCCTAAGTCCTACAAACGTCGACGCCAGCGAGAAATTAGATAAATACTAAATATTTCAATATTTGATCATGTTTACGTTGATACAAACCAATTCCACATTTACCTTTTACGGATTAATTTATACAGAAATTTCTCGTAAAACATTTCTCCCCTGACAAGGCAACAATAAAACTCAATAAACGATGATTTTGACAGAGAAAGGCTTAGATATTTGCTAAGTATTGTTGTAAAAGCTTTGAGTAAGCCCCTGCGGATAAGGCTGTTGCTATGGAGATAGTCCAGTTCCAGTGATGACGAGCATTAAGCAGATGACTTGTAGAATGCAGATGCTCTGTTATACTGTCGATGGCTGTTATGAAGATGTCTGCGGAAGTCTGGATGTTCTTCAAAAGGATATAAATTCGCATCATATTAGGAAATAAAAAAATCCCTTAAAAGCGACCTAAACACAAATTAACGAGCAAATATAGTTCGTCTCATATACAATTCAATGTGCATAGATCAGTATAGATTGACTGTTTGCAAGAAAACTCTTTTTTTGAAAGGGCACATAGTTGACGGAAATAATGGAGCATAACGTTAAGTTCACTAAAATCGTATTTTCATTAAAATATAAAGAATTAAAATTTCGAGTTACATCAAACTGTTACAGTTGAAAGCAGTAGCAGGTACTCGGCCACCGAACCTCGGCGCTCCACCACCTAACCTCTTTCACTCCCTCTATATGTTCTTCCCAGTTTTTCTCATTTTTTACAAATAGGAAGTTGAAAAACATTATTAATCTTTGCGCAATGTCGGAGGTTCAGATGTGAGCATGTCATCCAAAGCACAATTAAGGACTTATTTTTGTGATAATTACGAAACAATTTTAAAACTGTTTCTGCACATCAGATACACACTAAGAATGATGTATCAATGTATTTATAAGAGCGTTTGTATATTTACAATTAATTAGTCATCTGATAAGATGTTATATTTACATATAAGATGTGTAATTATTTCTCATGACAATTTTTTTAGTAATGAATAGTACATTTTTTAAAATCAAATTGCTATTCCATAATTTCAATTTTGTGTAAGATATTTACTTTTCCGTGTAAACTGATAAACGTTCCTTTATTTCGTTGCCAGAACTCATTGACGCAACTAATTCATCAATTCCATTTTCAAGAAACTGAAGTCTTTTTTCTAGATCAACTCTAAAAATGGACGTATGTCATGTTTAGGAAGAGAAAACTGTTCTATTTTAGATTTTTTAACTGTTCTCTAAACGAAACAGATCTATGTTTGTAGTTACTCATCCTAAACTAAAAACTTACCAATATGGAAGTTATTAAGGGTGTAAGTTATTCAGTCGCATCGAGTGCAACGAATAGAGGCATTATACAATCAATAAAATTCCCATATGTTCATATATGTACCTTGCTCGCTTTTCATCTTGTAATCTTAATTCCAACATGCTTCTAATTTTTTTCTCATCTTCTAATTTTGATGTAAGCGCCGATATCTCTGCTTCATACTGTCGCCTTTGTATTTCAAGTTCATGCTCCAATTCTGCTATTGCTTCTGCTTGTATAGAAAGTGAAACATAAAAAGCAAGTTAAACACCTTAAAAAAATATCTAAATTGACTGGTCATGTTACTGAACTATATACACAGTTCAATTGTACAGTTCCTATATTTTAGTGAGTAATACAGTGTTCACTTTCATTTGCTATCTTTGCTTATATTACGACAATTGTGAGACATCTGGGGCCAGTTGCACGAAAGCCGAATAGCGCTATCCTCTGGATAGCAATATTTATGAACTCTTAAAAGTCTGTTAAAAGGGAAAAATCTACGATTTGAACAGGGCAATCAATGAACTATAATGTTGGTTCAAGAATTACAAAGTTTTGAAATCGTAAAGAAACCACCTTTTTCACAAGTTTGAAAAATTTACTATTTGATGTACAATGCTATCCAGGCTTCGTACAACCGGCCCCTGCATGAAACCCATGAGTAAATTCTAGGGTAGAAACAACTGGATTCATTTGCCATTTGGAAATCTCTAAGTAGCAATCTTTAAGTGAAATTTACCATTGTCAGACTTAGCTCCAACAGCATCGATTGAGTTGGAATTTATATCAGAGCACGTAGACTGTATCATGTTGAAATCAAAACCACTGTTAATAGTTGGGCTTCCAGAGCTATCCATGTAAGATAAGTCAATAAGATTGCCTTCACGTCTAAATAATGCCGTGAGAAAAAATTAACATCATTGCACAGAGATATATGTCAACAAATTAAGCAATTTAATTATGCGTGACTTGATAATTTTCATTTCATTCTTAAAAATAGGCTACATACTCCCGTCTTCGTTGTAAAAATTCTTCTTCATCCTTCGTTTTCTTGAACAGAACATGTTGCTTACAAATAAATATTTTTGTAAGTTTTGTGATCATAGTTGAACTTTCCATGAGTACGTGTGGATCAGCTTCGGACTACGTAAAACATATGGGAAAAATCGTAAGTTAGTCGCATGTTAACGTCAACTGGTTGATGATACATGTTTCACTTGCAGTTTCATAATTGGTAATTGAAAAATATTTTATAATTGCTACAATATACAAATAATCACACCACACAAAAAATACTTTTAATGATTCTATACGTAGGTACATACTGTTACACAAGATTCAATGGCATTACTTAATAAAAATGGCATGAAGACTGAGATTCCTACCAACTATAAAAATTAAAGTTATATGTCATACATATACCTCAGGACTTAAAATATTCGGTCCAAATACCAAGGCAAGATTATCAGCTGTCATTTTATTCTCTTTCGAATTTTCATGAACTTGGTTAAGGAATCGACTAAAATACATTAAATTTGCTATAATTTTAAGTATAATTCAAGAATGGTCAATAAATTGTAACTTTTGGCTTTGTTTCTTCAAGGAATATTTTTCATAGTTTCATAGTTCTTATATCTACCACAAATATTTCAGCAAGTTATAACTGGTCTTCGGGATCTCAGCAAGTTGATTTAAAATTTTTCGAAGAGCATCTTCTTCATGTAGTTCATACACTATGAAATTCATAAAAGGACTCAATTCTTATAAATAATCGAAACAGACTGCACTTTAACATGTCCTTTAGAACTGTTTTGTGCACTAGCTGGCTAAAGGCTGATTATTTTCCCGGAGCTAAATAGCTACAAATAACTGAATAGCTACATATACATGAACTGCATACTCGTTTTAACTAAAAATGAATTCATAGTCTATAATTGCCACATATGACAATGTTTCAAGAAATGATTCAAGTATGCATTATGTACACAAACAAAAGTTTACGGGAATAAAAGCTACGCGCATCATGGTTAATTGCTGCAATATTTTTGCCTACTTTGAATTATTGAAATATACATTTACAAGAACAAGAATAGGTTTATGTTGTCGATGCAGAGTAGTCATTTTAGTATTATGAGGAGTACGGCATTAAACAGTCCATTTTATGTAATTATACGTTACATCCAGACTCCAATGGTTCCATCCCCTTTCCAAAGTTATAATTTATCATTATGAGCATGCTCTCAAAGTATGTAGGGATATGTTTCAAGAGGTTAATGTAAATGTAACCCTCCAATGACATTATTGTGACACATAACACCAATACAGGCAGAGCAGGAGGCTACAAGGAGGTCTTAAAAGCAAATAATGAACAAATTCGTCAATTGTGATTTTGTTCCAGCTTACATTCAATCGTAGCGATTAGTGGTCCGAAATTTTCAAAGGGAATTACGGGTTCGGGAAGTTCTCGTAAATACATCTTTAACAACGATGCTACTGTATGTACATCAGTATCGTCAGGCAAGGTCGGATCTTTACCTAAAACATATTTTATATTTCGTAAATCTAAAAATTGTTTTAAAGATAGCAATTGCCAAGGTGGGCGGCCAAAATAACCTAAGAGTTCTTAAAAGAATCGTCTTACAGTCAAAATACCAATTCTATAAAAAGAACTGTTTTAAAACTAAAAGACGATGCATTTCGGCATGACGTTTATCCTTGTTTCAGGCGTCATATCCCAATTTGGAGATGACGCTCACTTTTCTTTTCATTATAAATGTTTGACTTAAAGTTCTCATTTATAAGACGTTGACACCTGATGAGTAGTCTGCCAAAATGCATCGTTTCCTTTTAGAACTATTGGTTGGTGTTTTGATTGCAAAACAGTTCCTTTTAGAACTCTTAGGTTAGTTTGGCCATTCACCAAGGCAATTGCTACCTTTAAAACAATTTTTAAATAATTAATATAGCATTAAGGTGATATACCGCGATTGAAGGCATCTCGAAGGATTGACACTTGCTTTTGATGGCCAGGCAAACGGAATAAGCCTTCTTCACTTAGACCTTTGAAAATCATAGTGATAACGATTCTTAGACAGACAATACTATGGACATCAAGCATTCGATTTAAGATAATTTCATGTTCTGTAAAAAATAGTCACCTTTCTCCCTAATGAACTCAACACATCGCTCAACAAAAACAGGAATATATCCCCCAGTCTTTTTCTGTTCATACAAGACGGTCTCCGCCAGATTTCTGCCGAACATTCCCCCTCCAAGAGGCTAAAATAATTAATATATGAACTGTTCTTCAGGCCAAATAATGAAATTCTGAATTGAAACACGAGTTCTCCAATGCAGAACAATGCATTACATCAATTCGTACCGCGTATATAATTCTTTCAATGACTTGTACCCATTTATCCCTTTCAGCTTCCGATTGCGCAGACAAAAGATATGTTTCGTGATTTCCATTAATCGGACCAACTTTACCATTCCCAGCTAAAATATGAAAGATTTTCATTAAAATGTTAACATGGTGAAAGAAATGATTGTATTCCAAAGCGCACTCCCATTCACACTTATTGAATGCAACTCAGAAATCGCGCTTCCTTAATTAACGGTTATTTCATTCCTCCATTGATGGCAGAGTTATGCTAAAATCTGCAAAATAAAGCAAACAGTGGCGACAAAAGCAAATATTTAGTTAGATATTTGATTATTGCTGACTGGTACTTAAAAACATCACAAAATTGACTTAAAGATAACATTTAGGACCCACAGCTCTCTACAGAAATGCGCAAACAAAGAGTTTCGACCAGCAATCCACAAAAACTATCCAAACTCAAAGATTGATAGCTTCTTGTAAAGGTCATCTTGTAAATGAAAACCCTACACAACAATCCTATGCACAACTTTCAAAAAAGCCAGTTTATTTATGAAAGACAACGTTTAATAGTCTAAAGTTTGCCTGAGGGTTCCATTGTAAAAATCTGCTTCAATACTTACGTAAAATTTCCATTTTATATCTCCCCGGATCGTTCTGTGGATCCACGGGATGCTTAATAATTTGGTTGCCAGGTAACATGATTTCGCCCAATGGTTTTCCATCCTATGAAAAAATAATGAAAAGTGATTGAGTCATGCAAAACTGTAAAATGAATGCAAATACACGTAGCTAGTAGCCAGTTATAAAAACTTGTCACTTCTACATCCAAATTTGGTAAACTTAAATGTTAATCTTAAATGTACCTCAAGTAAAATTCGATAATACAGAGCTCCAATTAGTCTCCCAAATTAAAAAAGTAAAAATTTAAAAATAAAGGAATTCTTACACCTTGTTCTTTCTGATAATATAATATGTCCCCCTTTAGTTCAAACCATCTCATTCTGTAATTTTTTAGTAGATTACCACCTTGCTTGGTAAGCCAACCACAGTGAACCTGAAAGAATTAACCAAAATTATAACATGATATTATAATATTTCAAACAAAGAGAGAAAATTAAAATCATAACTGGCAGCAACACATGTCACAGTCATGATGACATCAGAAGTACTTATATATAATAAGCATTATTCAAACTAATTTAATGTAAGTATAAAGTTGCTCAATGAAAGTAGATGGCAAAGAAAATCTAAATGAGGTTTGTCCTTCTCAGGACTCTACTAACCAGGACGATCTACAACTACAAACATGTAAAGATACGCTCAAGTTGGAACCATTTACTTTAAAATATACATTTACAAAAGCAGCACATAGCAGGAGACTATTGCAATTACATGTTGGCGATCAACATTGAAACTTGTGCAGTGCAGTATTATTTTACATGGTGAGAATAAATAGCTTGATTTAGTTCAGTTATTGAACCTCCAACTTCAAATACTTTGTTCCATTCCATTCTATTCCTATTCACATTTATAATACTATTTTCGGGGGGGTGGGGGGGTTATTGTGTTAAAATCCTGCAGAAGCCTTTGCAAATTAAGATATGAGACTTCACCAAAAACCAAAAGTCTTATAATACGTAAATATGCTATTTTGTGATTAGCTTTTAAATCATTTAAGCAGCATTCATTGAGCTCTGCTCAGGACAAAAAATCAATATTCTCTACGCGTCTTCCTTGCGTCTTACAAACACGGAAATACAAACAATTCTTAAAAATATAACCTCATATTAATAATACATTGTTGGTGTTCAGGTACCACGTCAAGCGTCTTCATCAAAAGAAATTCCACTAGCATTAAGAAGAATACTTACATTTTCTTTCTATTTTGAAGAAATTTAATTCTTTTAAACAGTTCATTAAATATATGGGATGTATTTTATACATTCAAACAGTCTCGCTGAATTTGCGTCAACTCGGAACTGAATTAATCGTCATTCTTGTAGATAAGATAATACAAAATTTAAGAGTTTATAACCTACCACTTTTTGCTGATTTCTTTGCATATCTACAAAGTAACTTGTATGAGCACCTCATTAATAAGATGTATAACATTGAATAACAGCATATACTGTCTATACAGGTTTTAATAACTCACTTTTGTGAGTATTGAATACTTTATGCATTTCCGGTTAGGATGTCAGCTAAACAATGAAGCATGCAACATTTTTTCAATAATGATTTTCTAAAAGAAAACGTTTGAAATTTAAATGAAAAAAGTGAGGGGAGTGTACCGGCTTTGTTTTTTTATGGATTGTAATAAAATATTCGAATTGATGAACAACCATGAACCACGGCACATTGCGGCGGGTACCATTATTTCCCAGATGCTGTCTTTTATATCGCTAACTTTTCAAACAGTAAGTGTTGAGATGATGCTGGCTGAATAAAGTGGTTTCATTAAGTAAACATTACATGTAAAGATCAATAAACAGCAAGTAAGCAAATAAAATTGAAGATTGACATTTCGCATGTCAATGAGAAGATTCTTCAGGTAGGAGAGTCATAGGGATAACACGAGGAAAAAATTACAAATTTTAAAAAATATGCTCTCGATATATATTTTACAATAATAACGCAAACTAAATAAGTAAAATATATAATGCAAATGACCACAAACTGGCATCTTTTTAAGGCGTCTTCGTCAAGTTAAAAAAAGAGATTAATTGTCACTACAGTGTTCTTCAGAAAAAAACATCACAACATATCAGACAACGAACTAATCACACAAAAATATTTCTGAAATCTGTTTATCTACAATAAAGCACTACAATCCTACACATCGCATATATGATAATTTTTCGTTGACTTTAGAAGGTACATCTTGGTCTTGGTTGTCCTTTCATCTTTGTTCCGGGGATTTCCACTCCCACTAAATTTGAGCACCAGCAAATATCAGTTTGTTCATGACATTGAAGTCTACTATAGTAGCCTTGTGAATTACATCTTGGTACAAACACTCCGAATACATTGTCTGCCTCGGATGCTGCTGAGGCGTGTTCGTCACATGGCCTTGGTAACTGACCTGAAATACCGTAAAGAAAAGTTAAGATCACCATGTATAGCAAATGTATGAATGGTCAATAAGATGAGGGATCAACATATGAAGCGTTTTATATGTTGGCCAGTAAAGATACTTAAAACTATTTTTGGTCTATCATTTGAATTGTACTAAATCTACCGATGGTGGTACACACGCCCTTCTACAATGTAGCCAACTAAATACCGCTAATTATAAATAGTAAATAGTATCGACTACGATAAGCTAAGGTAGTATAAAAAGGAATTCCACTTTATCATTAATTATTTCATCGTGCGAGTAAAGAAGTTCAATTACCGCAATCTCGTATTCCATTCACTCTTGTCCCACGAGTTTTATTGCCATTCCTGTCAGTACACCAACATTCTCCTGATATATGATCACATTGTAGACGACTATAATATCCGTGAATATCACAAGACGGAGGGGACATCGTAGGTCTTATTTGGGACAAAATTCTTCTTCTTTCGTTTTCACATTTTCGTTGCCTGTTACCTATTCGCGAAATAATTATTATCATATAGGGAGTGTTAATCATGGAGTTACTGAGTAATTTGTAAATCTTACTTACCACAATAAGGTCTTTTGTATATCATTGTTCCTGCAATCATTTGTCCTCTATCATCAACACACCAACAATTCCCACTTTTAACATCACACTGTAGAGGTGCAAAATGTCCATTTGTCTTACAGTTAGCTTTATAAAGTAATTGATTTCTGTTTGATTCACTTGGTCTTTGTCTCTTTTTGTTGAATGCAACGCATGGTTTCAATAAATTCTCGTCTGCAATGCGAAAGAGAGATGTTAATAACTTCTCAATGGTATAATCGTTATTTGTAATGGATCCATGAAATGATTATTGAGCTCAGTCTTCGAAACATCGACATTCTTCTATCTTAATTACGCTCAAAACAAAAAGCAGAGAGGTGAAACACATCCTGGTTTGGTGAAACATTTACTATGACAATTCAGTTAAGACAAAATGACAACCCTAACCAGAGCAAATTGTGTTAGTCATACTTTATTATGTGTAAAGCCCGATTTCCATTCAGTGCAAATTGTCGCGCGATCGACTTTTTGCGACCACTTTCTTTTGAATTGCGTGCAGCAGTGTGAAACTGTTCCGGTCGAGAGCTTACAATTGAAAAGTAAGTGATCTCAAAAAGTCGATGGCGCGACAATTTGCACTGAATGGACATCAGCCTTTATTGCGAAATCTTTCAGAGCAAAAATGCCGGTGACAATCGAAGATGAGACCATTGAACGAGAACTTTGAAGAATGATAGTAGTAACTTTAAACTAGCATGAGTCTAGCCCTATGAACACTCAGAGTATGTAACACAGTCGATTTGACACCCAGATAGAGTAAAAAGTTTTCATGTAAAAGTAAAACTGATAATACATCTTCTTTTGTATTGGTGAAAAATTTGTTCTTTTATGTATTCCATAAGAAGCAGGTTTTAATGTAGCAGGAGTGTCAAGTGTACAAGATATAAAATTTGATCATTATTTTTTCATCATAGTCATATATAAACTGAGTAACAAGCCTTCCTTTATTCAAGCATACTAAAGAATAAAAACCACAAAATATTCTCATTGTCATCCTTACCACAAATGGGTATTTTTTCTAAAGATTTTATACGAGTTCCCTTTTTCATGGCGCCGTATTTATCAACACACCAACACCATTTTCGTCCGTTATCACATTGAAGAGGTGTATAATAACCTTTGTTGTCACATGTTGGTGTATAAAAATGTCTACGATCTTTTGATATGATAGTGCTGACGTGTGCAAGATGTTGATCACATGGGCCTTGAAGACGAGGCGCTGCAGGCAATCTCTTCCTGCCTAAATTAAGGTAAAAGGTGAACTCATTTCATTTACACGAAATAATTAGATCAAACACATATACCCTGTAATATACACCTGCGATAAGATTACAAAAACAAAACATACTCAGTTGACAGCTGACATGATCTTTTGTACTTACGACAATCCGGTTGTCCCCGAGTAAGAGATCCTTGAACTTCAGTTCCATCATGCAACACACACCAGCAAAATCCATTGGTCTTTCCACATTGCTCCGGCCGAAAAAGACCGCTGCCTTCGCACACGGGCTCGTAAACTTTGCCATTAGGTGGCAATTTAGCCACATGTGATTTTAAAATTTCACAGGGTCCTTCTTCAACAGAATTAAAGGCGCTGGTAACTAGAAAAAAGCATTAATGAAGGATGATATTGACACAATATTTTAGCTGTTACGTAACAAGGGCAGTTTTCAAAGGTTGATTTATATCAAAGTTTGGACGACAGATTCCGTTCGTATCATATGGCTTCATTCTTACTGTGAAAAAGCTGATTTAAATAAGTTCTTACGCTAAGTATATTCTACTATATTTAGAACCAAATAAACCATCTTCTTACATGTCTTTCTAATCGGAGAAAATTGACGTAGACATGAACGTAGAAATTCGGGTAAAAATTGGGATGATATCTAGTTGAGTTGACCAGCTATGTTTCAACTAAATTGTGGAAAATCTCAACCCCAAAAATATAGGAAATCGCCATAATGGAATGATTTTCTGCATTCAAGTGTTTTGATATTAGAACTTACAACAAGTTGGAGTCCGTGTTGTCCTTGAGCCGCGTACTTCATTTCCATGTAAATCAACACACCAGCACACTCCAGTATAAACATTACATTGCAAACGCTTGTATTCACCGTTACTCTCGCATTGGGGTGTATACGGTTTCTTTTTTAACGATATCCTTAAAGATTGTAGGCGCTGAGCAAAACATGGCTTTAGACTGCGTTTCCTAGGATCAACTAAAATAATATTAATAACGTTAGTATTAGTGTTAATTGATCACTGAGTTCATTGAAATTCAGACAAGAGTTGATTCTCATTCTCAATGTTATCTGCCTCAGCAAGAATAAAACTTAACATCCCATAATTGATAGAAAAAGTCTCTGATATGATCGCTACTCCATTGAGACCGAAGTGTAATTGCTTACTATTGTTTGTGAAGGACACAAACAATTTTCTTCGATAATTTATTGAACTTTTGTACTCCATTACTCGGTTGCTAAACGCTAAAACCTTGAAAAACGAACAATCAAACACATTACTTTAACTAATCCACAATGACACTACACAATAGACAACGACACGCCCACACATTTCCAAACGTCAGGAGCTAATATTTTCGAGTGCCAAATTTATATTATGTTTTATATTAGAATTAAAACAACACCTTAAATTTACACAACCTTCGGGTGCTTTTTTAGCACTTTCAACACATTAGCGATCTGAACGTTAATGGAAGACAAGCATACAAAAAAGTTTTATCAATTTTTTTTTAAATTTTTCCAGCTATGGGCCGATGCTTGGAAAACATCCCCACGAAAATATTTTTTGTCAACGTATTTTAACACTGTTCTATTGCAACATCCTTTTTGTGCAGGAATATAATTCATTAAGCATTAACCATAATATAAAATGAAAATTGTCCAAAAGTTGATGAGCATTGACCAGAAGCAGCGATTACGAATCAACTATTTTTGCATTAAAGACAAAGCTAGTGTTTGTATGAACTTACTGCAACGGAGATTCCCTTTTGTTCTTGTTCCTCTTAACATTTTTCCATTTTGATCCGTACACCAGCAATATTTACCATGACATTGTTTAACATCGTAAAATCCATCTTTGTTACATCGTGGGTTGAATAAATTTCGACGCACAAGCCTGAAAAGCCGTTTTCTTTTTTCTTTGTGTCGAAAGCAAGGAGCAGCTACCGTTTTCCTTGGTAAAGTTAATCTAACCGTTTGTTGAGCTGAATAATTGATAGAAATATCATTACATCATGAGTTGCTGTCACTATAAAGCTAATATAATAATAGCAATATATTTTCAAAGATTGTGTTTGAAATGAGCAATAATTTCCAAACTTCTTTTTTGTTTTATGAGTAAATGTGAACAATGAACTTACGACATTTAGTCTTTCCAAACATGAGAGTCCCCTTAAGCTCCAATCCATTCTTATCAACACACCAACAGTATTTCTTGTCTCTGCTACATTGCAAAGGGCGATAGAAGCCATTATTTTGGCACACAGGAATGTAGATACTTGTAAGATCTGGTAGTTCTTTGAGATACTTTTTTAATTCATAACAAAGTGGTTTGCCTGAACCAAGATTTGTCACTACAAAAAATACAAATAAGAAAATGAGTTTTTCTCTTCATGGACTGATGATAAAACATGATAGGCTGGATTCATATGGTAGTTAAGAAGTGGAGCTTCATGTGACCAGTAACAATGGGACAATATGTAACCAGAACAAATTGCAATCTCATGCGAATATGGGTATAGCCAATGGACAACAACATCCATCATGCATGATTTCAAATACCACGAGCGCACTATGAAAATTGTTATGTTCAAAAAAAGTGACCAAAATTCAAATACTTTTGAAGAGAATAAACTCTTACATTTTATATTGATCACCACAAACAAGAAGAAAATAACAAACATGCGACACAATGATTAAGAGTTTGAACAATACAATAATAAGAAAAGTTAACTTACGTCTTAACTATATGTTTCAAAGTTTTGGATGACACATTTTAGACATATGTTGAGCAGTTATGACTACAATGTACCATACAGTCTATGGAAAAATTATTGATCAACAATTGAAATAAAGCACTTACAACAATTTGGGGTTCTTCTAGTTCTCGTATTTTGAATTTCGTTTCCTTTCTTATCAGAACACCAACAGTTATGTGTAGCTGGATCACATTGCAATGGTGCATACGAACCATCAGGTGTACAAAGGGGTACAAAAATTTTCTTCTTATGAGAAGATTTTATTCCTTCCATTCGTTTGGTTAGACAGTTAACCTTTATTTGCATAGGAGGCCCAGATAAAAAATCCTCATCTGAAAAAAAAAATTTAACTATGTTTAGAAAGTGAAGGATCTTTGAAACCTGAGAAGTGATCACCTTTAACAGAATTCTTTTTGTCGGTATGAACTTACTCCACAACTGAAGTCACTTAATTATTTTTACATTCAGACCTGGACTATTATCGCTAACACTTTGTGTGCACTTCATTTACAAGAAATATCTTTTATGTTAGATATTTGGCACACGTACTTTTTGTCAAGTTTGCCGCTATTGCAAAGTGTCGTCGGTTCTTTGTTTGATAAATCACACTCATCGATCTTCATATGTATCTTTAATTGTAGTATCGGGGAACAATACATTGTGGTTTATCAAAAAATTGAAAAGATTACCGATAACCTCACAAAGCAAATTCATGATCGGAATTCAAAACAATGATGGTGAGTTACTAGTACTAGACAGGGGGGGAACGCATATCACTGTCACAAAGCATTTACTTCCTGTTTCTTGCGAATGCAAACTGTAATGGTAATTATCTATGGTAATAATGCATATTTCAAGAAAAGAATGTTTTGTATTTGTACCGATGAACGGTTGCAAGATTAAATGAAATTATTAACTTTTGTAGCATAAGAAAAAATGCTACATAATAAAAAAAATTTCACCCTTCGTGAAATACCTTTTGAAATCATTATAATAATATTTACAGACTGTTTCTCGAAGATCACGCGAGACGCACATGTTATTTTTGACTTTTAAATTTCGATACTAAAGTTGTTATGAGAGGTTTTCCCTAACAGATACCGCTAATCTTTTCAATTTTTTGGTTGGAACGTATTGCTCCGTGATACTACTATAATCAAGAAAACCGAAAAGTGTGATTTATTGAAATATTATTTTGTCAGCAATGGTCTCGAAATATACAAAAAATCGACCAAGGCTTGGTCTACAATTCGGCAAAATGTAATGTGGCTGTACTGAAAACGTGTTTAGGAGAGAACTCGAGGGAAGGTAGGTGAAATATAGCCCATCGTTGTAAAAGAAAGAATGTTAATTGCTTTGAAGTAATGCATCATTAGATTTAATTAAATGCGGGTTTTTTCATCTCATATGATTTTTTTCTTTGAAAATATGTAAATTCAATCTATTATGTACAAGAATGACACCAGAGATGGTGCATGGTAATTTTCTCCGTAATTATTGAACTTATGCAATTTTTTCCTGAAAGTGAACCTTCTGAACAGTACGAACACTTTAGAAAGGTTATTTCTTTTTTTATATGGAAGTTAGAGCTATGTCGACTCTGCTATTTCAGGGGGTATCAATTTTAGGACTTAAGTTCCAGATTGAGATTTTGACTTATATTCCATGTTGATCATGATTGTTATTTTAACCAAAATCAGTTGTGATTGGTTGCGATAAATGTAGCACATAGAAACATTTATACTGCTCCTGGAATATAATGTCACATAGAGGCATAACTAAAACATTAATTGGGGAGGTGCATATTCATATATTCCGTTATTCCCTACTGATTTCTTTTGAAAGTGAATTGAATTTCAAAAGAAATCAGTAGAGCACAACTGAATATATGAATATACACCCCCCTCCCCCAATTAAAGCGCCAGTTACGCCTCTGATGCTATATCAAAAATTTTATGTGCCAAATGCATTAGATTAAAAACAGAAGGTCATAAGAGATCTAGCTGTACACATTATCTTTTGACTCATTCAGCACATGAAAGTCCTATGCATTTGAGTAATTAATTTGTCATAGCCAACATTTTTAATGTAATTTCTAAGTCTCAAAAGTTTTCTGTTTCAAAAAAAAGCTATTTTTAATTTTTTAATCTGTTGCTCAAGTCCCTATACATCCAACATGTTGAATAATTGCTGTAGATGCCAAAAACACATCTAAGCTTTACTGAAATTTACAAATGAAACATTATTTTGCCAAGACTAAAGTGTGCGTCTGAGTATGTTTTTCATCAATCAATAATAATATATACATACCACAATCCACTTCTCCCTTTTTCCTTGTTCCAGCAATAAGATTTCCTTCTCCGTCAGAACACCAACAGAAACCAGAATGACATTGCTTTGCATTGTAATATCCGTCCTCGTCGCAATTTGGATTAAAACGTTCAGTCTTCGCATTTTGTAAACTTTGTCTGTGTTTTTCTCTTGCGCATGGACCATTTGCTATTTCGTTCCGCGAAAATGCATCTTTCACAATTTTGCCTAAAAACGACAAAAAATTGTGCTAGACTTGTATTTTGTACAACTTGCGGGTAATTGTTGTATAACTTGTACTTTTCCTTAATTTGTAACATTTTATCATTAAGCATTAAATAATGTTTATATTGACGCATATATCTGTGATGGAATGGATTACGAAACCTGGTTTAGAATATTATGATAAATATACCTTCAACTTGACGTGACTTTGGATTTAAGCAATCCGTTAGTGTCTTTGCTTTTGATCCGCTTTTTATATTTCCCTTCTTATTAACACACCAGCAATGTTTGCTCTTTTTAGAGCACTGCATTGGTGAGTAATAACCGTCTTCATTACACTTTGGTATGAATATTCGTTGACGTGTTTTAGCTTGAAGTTTCTGGGAATGTGTACGATGAATTTCACAAGGTTTTTTCAACGCTTTCATTCCTATAGAGACCACGAAATGAAAAATTACAACATTGCACACAATCTTTACATTCTATAGACTAAAAAAATTTTTTTACAACATTTTTTGAGTATTTTTTATGAGATTATTATCATTATCTCTATTTATATTTATACATGCATATTTATCTACTTGACGAACGTTTTCTCTGACATTATAAAACAATGCAGTAAAAATTGAACTGTAGCAAGTACCGTTGTACATTGTGGGATAACTATCGTATAAAATGCAACTTCCCCAAGGATTTTAGAAATGCCAGAAAAAATACAGATTTAACCAATTTTATTGTATTGTATATTTACAAAACATTGTTTTTCTTGCTTACCGCAGTCAATTTCCCCTTTAGTTCTACTTCCATGTTTCATATTGCCATTTTTGTCTACACACCAACAATATCCACTCGACTGATGACATTGCAATGGAAGGTAGAATCCACTGTTGTCACACAAAGGAATAAATGGACGAAACTTTGGTGGAAATATGAACGACTCCACGCGTTTTAAATGGCGTTCACATGGCCCAGGCAAAACTGTATTAACTGTTATATATAAAATTGAATAGAAAGTACACAAGATAAAAGAGTGCTCAATATTTTTTTATTGTTTTCATTCACCGGATGTTCGACGTAAGGAGTGAAACACAGTGTAGTGGATGGTTTCATGATAGTATCTATATTTTGATTTCAAGTTTATCAACCTCTGGAGGTCATTCGATGATGAATAAAACTATGTATAGTTAGTTGAGTGCTTGATATAAACTACAAGTGATACAAATCAAAAAAAGTTTGAAAATTTCACTAACTGAGGTGTAGCTAACTCCAACTAAGTTAGTTAAGCAATAAAAAATTCATCATCAAGGCACACTGCTGGGATGTCTTTTCAAACTTTACAAAGAAGCGGGAGATGATGTTTATATTAGCTACAAGCAAAAATCTCAAAGTAACAAGAGTCAAACATTGAAGAAATGGCTCAATTTAAAACTTCAATACAAAGCTTATATAAAATGTTGCATTAAACACTTCAATTAGTCTATAGATTACCTGCAGTCTATACTATATAAAACGTTGCGTATAAATAAAAGATAACGTTTGCACAGAATTTAAACAAAAATTCAAATCATGTAATCTTAAAAAGAAGGGGAGCTGGTTTCTCCCAGTCTACCTTGAACGCTCAATAATACTTAAAATTTTACTATTTTTGATGAAGAAAACGATGAAGGAATAAAACGTTTAAGTGCATAAAGCGTTTAAGTGCCAAACTTTTAAAGACAAATTTTGGTATAACACATCTTATCAGGAAGTCAAGATGTACATATTTGCCTCGTACAGCATTAATATCGTGTGATGTGAAAACACACAGAGGCAAAAATAACGAGTTTCGAATGCCGTCTACGATTGTTCTCGGGGAAGTATATGAAACTTTAGTGTTTCCCATTGCACAAATTGATGTTTTTATTTTTCCCACAGCAGGAATATGTCATAAGATTAAAGACCTGAATCTCACTCAAGCAGACTAAATAATGTTTATCTTGCTCATATAAAACGTGTACCATTAAGGCGTTTTAATGACAACTCAAGCAAAAACAATAAAAAAGTATACCTTGAACTTTCTTTCCAAAAGTTGACTTTTTCCCATTGAATGGTGTTTCATGTACTTCGTTTGAAATCTAAACAAAACGTTATTTTTATATTTGTACACATCTATAGCTATTGCATAATGTTTAATTTCATTGTAAGAATTTTGGCTCCTGGGTAACATTTCAAGCCGAAATGGTTGTTGTAGAAATGATTTAAGTCAAAAATTATAACCTTAGATCTGGGAGGCCCCGTATCGTTCAAAAATCTTTAGGTGTGAATTGGACGCAGTCAACCCACTCTCTTGTTAAAATCTTATTTAAAGTTTTGGGATCCTTAAATGTTAAAACAGTTGCAATGTATATAAATCAGAGATCTCTTGTTAAAATTTTGGCATTCCACCTCAGCATGGTTATGTGCAATGTTTTGGATTACTTAGGATTTTTCAAACGATGAAAAAACCTTTATCGTGCAACCAACTCCTTCATTTTTTAACTGTTTGATGGAAATTGCTCAAGAGGGAAATAAAAATGTACTCGAGCGAGGGTACTAGCCAGAATTAGCTACTGTTGCATGTGCGCCAAAACAAACAACGATTGAAGACCAAAGAAATTTTGAGCAAATGTTTATCTGAAGAAATTTTTTATTCAGTTTTTATGACCAGTCCATATATAGTCGGTTTCACATATCACATATGTAAAAAAAATTTTTAGGTACGCCCTTAGCTACATCCGGTCAATAACAGATACATCTTACGGTATGCTTTTACGTAAATATTTTGCTTAGAGAAAATTATTTGCGTAAGGTGTTTTGTTTTTGGGTTTAACTTTAATGAGATTGGCTGTGATAATGAATTGACCTCGTTAGTGTATGATATAAATTTATCCATTACATGTATGAAAGTTTTTACTTCATCTACTTATAATCATATATAAAACGATATAATCATGTATGTTTGAATGAATGTTTGTTTTGCTAAGTGGATTAAAAATACAAGTAACTAGTTTGATACATTTTTGCCACTCTTTGATATGATGGATATAGAGTACAATTAGACCCCCTCGATGCGCACTTTGCGCAGCTAATCAGAAAAAACACCAGTAAACGTGGGATGTTTTTAAATTTCAATCAATGAGAATGGCAATTGTATCCGTTCAAGTAGCTCATCTTTCAGGATATTATTTTAATAGCTGCGTGTGATTCTTAAAGCAACCAGAAAATGAAGAAAAGTGTTAGCGCTTTAATCTAAGCCATTTGCTGTTTCACTTGCTGTAGTCAATGAAAGATACAAAAGTCGTCATCAGTTTTTATTCATGTTGCTTGCTTTTGAAAGTGAAAACCAGACCTCGTATACATTATATTTCATCAAATTATTGTCTATTCTTCTATGTAATAATGAAGTTAACTCAAAAGTGATGACATATTATGCTAAATTATATTGTTTTTGTTCAAGACAAACACATCACCTATAATCGCAAAGATTGTGCCGAGATGGCAGACGCCGTAATTGACACTCGACTAAGTAAATTGAAAGTCTTTATCAACAATTGCTATGGCGGTGTCTTCGTGTTTGTCTTCCTCCAGTTTTCCTGGGTTGGAAATGTCATCACAGTATATTTCTATGGCGTGAAATTGTTAAAAAACTTATGACTTCTTTGTTTGAAGTCAACAAATGTCTTTTAAGACCATTCCTATTTTGGCATTCAAAAAATTATTACGCATGGAATTTGTCAACATAATCGGTAATCTAAAATTGAATTAGGCAAAGTTCTTGAATAATGACGTCATTTAAAACTCGGTTATATCATATAACGGTGCAAAGCAGTAAATAAAGAATATTTTCATTTATTACCTTATGTTTTCTTCTCTGAGGCAACTGCTAGCCCTGCCTTTTTTTTTGTATAAAATAACATGTCCCAGACTGTTTAACCACAAACATGTCAACAATTCAAAAATAGCAAGCTGTTGCTTTATAATGTAAGATAATTTCCTGAACATAAGAACTAACTTGGTTCTATATGTTAGATGTACGCACAGTAACGCACCCAATTTAGCTTTACTTTACAAAAGCAAAATGTTATGTACTATGATGATGAAGGTTGCAAAAAAATTATTATAACTTCGTCCTTCAACACGTAATTAAAGTAACGTATGGCTTTCCAAAGTCAACCTTATCAAGATTTTATCTCGGCTTACATAGACCAGGCGAACTAGCCAAATATAGCCCTCAACTTATCTTCTCATCCACTCAAAAATATCGAGGCTTTAAGCAGACAAAGTATGTACTAACATATGTTATCTTTTTTTCTAGATCTATCTAAATTATAAAAGGCTGTAATTTGTTTTAATATCATCTGTCTATATGCATATACGTCTGTCAGTTGCCAAGAGCAGTTTGTATTAAACTAGGTCGGTTTTTTATGTTTAATGCATTGATGAGCGATGAAGTTCAGTTATGGGTATAGTGCATTATTCAAGAAACTTCGACCCCTTGACAGTTCACTGCTCATGCACATCCTCATTTATATGGCGCTGGTAAAGTTAAACATGCAAATTGACATACAATTTTAATACAAAAGATTTTAGGCTATACATAGAAATACATGCAAATGAACACAACAAAATGTGACGCACATGGTAAAGCTAGCTGTTGATATAATTTTATGGTGATATTTATTAATTAACCAGCGTTTGAAGCATGAAGAGTTACGCTATATGTTACGCAAAATCATTTAATTAATAACATGTGCATATGAAAAACAAATGTCTATTTCTCTGGATTGTAACTATTATTGAGATTCATGAATCTATGATATTCTTCAAATTGAGTGAGCGTCTACGTAGGAGTGAAACATTTATCTTTATCTCGTGCTAATTTGTACAATAAAAAATTCAATCTTCAAACAACTTCTAAGGGTATCAAAACAATTATTTTTTATGATTTCATTTTTATACGCAAGCATTGTCGGATCAAATACCGTTTCTTTTTTTCCTTTTGAAGTTGGAACTGATTAGAAATGGTTGCTTGTGTTTATCTTTTGTTAAGAGAATTTCTCTCCGAAAAGGTTGTGACCTCACAATTTAACCATAAACGTAAGCGTTGACAGAATATAAAAGAAAAAACGAAAAATATTATTGCACTTTGTCATACATCCAATTCTTAGCAGTTAACGCCAAATGACTTTTAAGGAAATTTTGCTTTTTAATTTATCTGTTCTTCCGCTGAGAAAGTTTTATTAAATCCATAAAGTTCAAAGTAAAAAGAAAAGCGACAATTATAGCATCAAATGATTGTCATAAGCAAAATGACAATCCTTTATCCTTTCTTTATCGCGTGGTATAACATTTGTCAGCTTCCATAAATTTACTGTCAATAGACAAAGTGAATGTAATGTGCTGATTCTAATCTAGAAAATGTTATATTCTAAATTAAAGGGACAAGTTTCTGTTTATAAACAGTTATCAGACTCTTATATCAATTAAAACATTCAATCAATATATGTTTGTAAGTTCTGATGACTTAACGCATAAAAATCATCGGAAGTGATAAAATCGTGAAGACTCAATACATTAAACACAATATCAATGATATATAACATGCGTGTATTTTTAATTTGAGTGCTATGCAATAGTTTTGTGGAAAGGCAAAAATCCTTAGCAGATGAATCTATACCTGCACGTCGCACTTTATGCTAATGAGCACAAAACACACATTGTGTCGTAGCACATTCAAAGAACTTGTTTCGAGAATTTCATGCGTTGATTATACCCATCTAATTTGAAAAATGTATTTTTTGTCAGGTCAGTGTAAATGGTTCTATTACCATTTATGATGTGTCTTTGTAAATTTCTACTCTTTGCAACAGACGAGTACATTACATACCGTTGAATTGAATTGGTTGCCGGTTCCCTCAAAGCACAACGTTAAACGTCCAAGAAAGAGTAATGTCACAAGGCGCAGCGTGAAGCAGATCGACATATTTTTCTTTCGCCCAAAAATCTTGAATATAGAAAGACACAAACCATAAATTTTCACAATTCTTCTGAATAAACAAAATCAATTTTAATTTGACCCAGGTGGTTTATCAACAGGCGTCTGTAATTGTCTCGACCCGTTTGAGCATGCCGGAAAGACTGATATCTTTGCAGAACTTTTCAATTTGAGTATAGATTCGACACGCTACCTTAAATATATTATCAAAGTGATATAGAAACTGACCATTCACTCCGAACGATAGATGAAGTGATCACTCACTAAGAACAGATAAAGTGAAAACTGATCAAGCATGCTGCAAGTTTTTTATGGGGTTAAGACTTTAAGTTTCTTCCGGTTCAGTATGTACTCATGCAAAAAGAATTAAAATCCTTGAAATCTCTTCAGTGACGTAGCCAGGGGGGCAGGCCCATTCTGGCAAAATTTTTGGCCCCTTAAAATGCTATGTTTTACATGTAGTATATTTTTTAAATGGCAGTTATTTCATTGACTGCTCTCGACAGAAGATCCTGACTTCGCCACTGACTCTCCTTCATTGTTGTAATGGGGAGATTTTAGGGCAAATGGCTAAATTAGGCTTTGGGAATACCTGTGTATGGTGGAAACATAGTCTGTCGGGAAATTCTCGGGTTTCCGGTCATTTTATTCTTAATTTCATACGACGCATTTTTCTTTCCAGCTTTTTTTCTTTGGAAGCAATTTTCTATTCTACAACAGTGCCAAAGTGAAAAGAATTCTCATACACAATCGTTTTCGTGTTATGTTTCTTGGCTTTTCAGAGATTGCTCATCAGATGAGTGAGCACGTGTACAAGTTTCCCTTATTTTCATAAAAAAAACTTATCAGGTAAAAGTCAGCGTCCAGCACATAAAATGTCTTCTCGTTGTATTGTGTCTACCCTCGCCCTACAACTTAGTACTAGTTTACTCTAAAGTAGAATGCAGTGGCCTAACTACTATGGGCTCAGCGTGAATGAACCCAGTCCCCCTGGCCTAAGGGGCCCCTGTCAGATTATAAGATTATTATTACCTTCACCTGGAAGGTTATGTTTTCATTAAACTATGGATTCAATCAAGAAAAATTGCACGGGATAAATTTACATATAAAAATTTAAAATTAAATGCTTGACAGCGAAATCATACCAAAGAACAAGAATGTTTGAAGCTAAAACTACTAATATTATCATTGATTCTTTCCAAATCAACTTCAAATCATTGCTCAAAATCGCCTGGACTCACTGGCAGTTCTTTCAATTGAGAATAATGAAACGCAGTTATTAGGCACTGAAAACCTTATTCATACGTTCGCCGAAAAAAAAGAAGGATTGAGAAGTTTTTTTGGTTTAATTGCATGCATTGTTTGTCTTTTTCATGATTTTGGTTTAAAATTAAAGGAGAGTGCGTACTAAATTATGTATATTGTAATATATTGTGGTGGTTATTAGATTTTAATGTGATTATCGAGTGGGGGGGGGGCTTTTAATATTTCTATCACGGGACCCGGTTGTGCTGTTACGCCACTGGTAGAATGCAGTGCTTTCAAGTATAATTTTCTTTTTATTAAAAATCTGTTTTTCTGTCCCCCTTCACGCCACTCCCTTGCTGGCGCGAAGTCACTGCTTGCAATACCGTCATGTTCTCTTTTTCACTGGCCATGGCCGCTTCGTTCATAATATAAATCAATGCTGAAAAATTCATTGCTTAGAAATTCAAAAAAATAGTCTTTTCTTGAAAGCACTTAGAATTTAAAATTGATGAGCTATAATTTATTTTGACGTTGGATCGGCTACCGCTCTAATCCACATGTTAACTAATAATTCACAATCGCCTATGGTGGTACTATAAATCTATAACTTATAATTGCAAAAAAGAGCCTGGATACTGGGTAAGGGGATACGAGGTATATTCTGGGTACATTACATTTATTGGGTACGCATATTGGTACCACCGTGATTAGTACACATTGTGGCCAAGCTGGAGGCTGCAGTGAACTGTAATACAAACAGTTGTTATTATAATTCACTGGCGGGCTGTGTGTGGCTGAGTTGCAGGCTCATGCGGGCACATTGTATTATGTAATTTTTGACTAATTTATTACCTTTATGTGTGTGGCTGAGTTGCGGGCTCATGCGGGAACATTGCATTATGTAATTTTTGACTAATTTATTACCTTACGTCATAATCATTTTCGACCACGTTTTAAAAGAAGCAACAGTTTAACGAAAAGTATCGTATATTTTGTAAGACATTCTTGGTAACTTTAGTACAACGAATAGAATGCCTCAAAAAATGAAATTTTCTGATGGTGAGAGAGTACTTTGTTACCATGGACCATTAATTTACGAAGCAAAATGTCTTAAAGGAATAATGAAGGAGAAAATTCCAAAATATCTTGTCCATTATAATGGTTGGAATAAAAATTGGGATGAGGTTGTACCGGAAAGTAGAGTTTTAAAATACTGTGATGCTAATCTACAGAAACAAAAGGAACTCAAGGAACAAAATATGTAAGTGTTTGTAGCGAATGCTAGATACACGTTTCCCTTGTGGACAGTTGACTTACCTCTAGCCTCATGTAAAGTGTCCTTAAACTTAAGGAAAGCCTTCCTAAAATCTAAAGGATCGTCGAAGCATTTTATAATTCGTTAAAGTGACTAAGTTTTCTTATTATTTCGCATGGTATAAATTACGACGTTTTCATTAAGAGCATCAAACATACCTTAATTCCTTTGAAAATTAACTTTGGCTGTTATGTAATGCAATGCTGAGTTAACTGCCTTGGACCTCATCAAAGTCATCATCTGTGTCGTAGCCAGCCTGTAAGATTGATAACACTACTAGTTTTAGAACTGTAGATTTCTAAAGAATCGAATAAAGCAATTGATTTAAAATTTACAAAGCATGACCGAACTTGCAAACTGGCATATGCCACTATGTAAGTTTCCATAAGTCACTAGTTTAACATCTAAAGTCATCCATTTGTAAAGGAAAAAGAATTGAAATAACTAGCATAGTTTCTGTAATGACTACAAGTTTTTTGCCTTATAGGAAAAGCAAGAAAGCCAAAAAGAAGGTTGAAAAAGGAAGTGATATTAGTGACAGATGTAATAAGCGTGACTTATCAACCGAAAGTCTTTCTCGAAGAAAGAGATCACGATTAGCAAACAGCGAAAATGATGATAATTTCTTACCACGTGCTGATATAAGAATTGCAATACCTCCTGAACTTCAACACTTTCTGGTTGATGACTGGGATCTTATAACAAGACAGAAACAGCTTGTGCCATTGCCTAGAAAAAAAACAGTTAATCACATCCTTCAGGATTATGTTGATTCTGTTGCTGAAAATTCAGATGGTATACGACCAGGTGTAGCTGAAGAAATGACACAAGGAATTAAAGTTTATTTCAATGTCATGCTTGGAACACAACTTTTATACAAGTTTGAAAGACCACAGTATGGAGATCTTTTGAATGATACACCTAATTGTTCTATGTGTGATATCTATGGTGTGGAACACTTGTTGAGATTATTTATTCGTTTGGGAAATGCCCTATGCTATTCCAACTTTGACGACAAAAGTATACAGTTTGTTGTCTCTTGTATACAAGATTTTTTGAATTATCTTAGTCGTGAAGCGGAAACCTTATTTAATCTTGATTATATAAATGCAACTCCAGAATATCATAGACGAGCAACTACTTGAAAAGCAAATTTCTAGTTAGGTAATATTGTCATTTTTGTTATTGATTTAATTTTGTTGTTGTTGAGATATAAAAAAAAGTCATTGCAATTGAAAATGAATTAGATTTCACTAGTTAAATGAATGGAAGTTCTGTGTATTGTTTTGTATTTGTTCTGCTGTTTCTGTAATTTTTGGCTAGCTTGCCAAAAATGCTTGACCTTTTCAAAACCCTACTCATTGTGCAACAACACAAACTTAAAGGCAGCAACAGCTATACTTGTTTGTTTTAGTAAACGAAGCAAAGTTATTTATAATTGCTTTGCTATGTTGAAGTGTTGGAATCCTGATTAACATTACATTTGCAGACTAATGATTAATTCTTAAAATTATTTTCTGCATCAAATTCACATAGAATGATTGCAGTTTTTCCTAGCAATTTTTTCAAGAAGCAAAGTTTAAATGTGTTTGGTGTTTTGACAAGTGACTGTAAAGATTTATGCTATGAATTGATATAGATAAGCATGAGATGATCCATTCCCATTGATCAGGATGATCCACTGGGATGATCAGATTAGATGGTGATCACGAATACAAAAGTATGCGCATTATGTAATAAAATAGAGAATACTGCGCATATTGTAAGTCGTCATTCTCCATGTGGGTCGTATTGTGTTGTGGAGTTAACAACACTTTACGCCGAATTTTTTCGTAGTTTATCGTATAATTCATTGACCAAAACCAGAGAAACATCAAATATGATCTTAACCCTTTGGGATTAATACAAAATTTTGAGGTAAGAAAAACAAAAACATGTAAATGCGACTGTTCAACTACAATTTCATTGTGTATGACATGAAACGCGATCACAAAGCAGTGAAACAACCGGTAACTTTTTCGACTTCATTTTATTCAATTTGTTTGACTGTAGAAATGTTTTGTCTAACATTTAAGTTCAACTTGTTGGCATTTTATTCTACAGCTGATACTGAATTTGGTACGTTCTCTGTCAATGATTTTGTGTTTGACTTATCGGCTATTTTTCCTTTTGTGGGGGGGACGTTGCTAAAGCCCAATGCTGACTGCAGGAATTATCTGAAATAATAATCTCTTGAGGAAAGTTTGGGCACCAGGTTATTCGCTCAAAAAATTGTGAATCTTATGTTCAATCGTATGCCTATGAAACCTTTTTAAGCCATTCGTTAATACATATTTCGTAATTATTTCTTTGGCGTTTTGTTTATGTTGATAGTTATTTGTTCAGTTGCTGCTAATGCATTTGTAAAATTTTGTGCATTTTTAAGTTAGCATTGAAAACTGATCTTTTGTCTGCTGACCTAGGTAAAAAAAGAGTAGAATTGCCATTCTCATTGATATTTATATTCAACTGCTTTTGCTTCCTATTTTCATTTGTTTTTCTTTTTAACAACCCAAGAGGACATTTTAATAACTCATAGTGATACCAAGATATATCAATCTTGGCATTTATATAAATGGTACATTGGAAGTGAAAAGAGCAAAGTGTTTGTTGTAAATGTCTTGCATGAAGCAGAGATACTATAAAATGTTCAGGAAAATTCATTGGATGTGATTTTTATGATGAATATCTGTGAATTGCTCATCTATGTTCAATAGTTATGTATTTTGTTAAATTAATTTCTAGGAAATTCACTATTTTATGCTATGTCTACATAAAATTAAATAGCACAAATGAAGAATCGATAATTTTTTTTAACAAGATGTGACAAACAAGATACTTGATTCAGATTGATTATCAACTGCATGGCTTTTTGTGTCTTTTTTTGTCATCTTAACTCATAGTGAAAATTTACATGGAAAAAATTGCTTTTAATGTTATTGTACAATTTTCTCCCTGGAATATACCATCCACATTTGTGTGATTTGTAAAAGAAATAGTATTATCCAATATAATTTCTTACACTTGGCATGTGATTATTTGAGCATTATTGGTGTATTAAATTAGTAGCAATAAATTACAATTTAACTGTTCTTTAATCTAGAATGACTTTGTTTAAAGGACCTTTTGAAATGCAATTCTTGTTATATTGCCTACTTTTTAATTTATGTCAACCAAATGACTAGAAAATTATTGTTTTGGTCAATAAACATAGAACTCTTATTTTTCCATTTTTTGTTGAAAAATATTATGAAACTTTTTCATTTCTAAACTTACTAAACAATATCCTTATTTACACCTTGGCGCTACTCCTTTAAGAACATGTAATTATTGGAACTAAAATGTTCATTCTCAACTTATTGATTTACAATTATTTTAATTTTATCAGTTTATTTTAATTGCTTTAGAAATGCCTGTTATGGCAAACGAAAAACCTTCTGCTGAACATGTAGGACGGGAGTTTGTTCGTCAATATTACACAATGTTGAACAAAGATCCAAGGCAGGTTCACAGGTATGTCAATTTACTCGAAGATAAAACTTCAGAAACTAATATATTATGTAAATGTTGTATGGAGAAATGTTTTGTTTTATGTGTTGCTTTGAGAATCTGTTTTTTTGAGAATGTCTTGTTTTTATCCATATTGTTTAACTTTTCAACATAAAGTAGTTGGAATAATGAAGTGTGGTGCTGTGCAATCAGTTCATGAATTGTCAGTTCCTTGAATTTCAAACTCGGGCTTTGTATATTTTATAACTCAAATATTTGGGCTGGTTAGTTTTGCAAATCACTATTGTATTTTGAGATAATAAAGGATCAGTGTGCAAATTAGTTCAGGATGTGCTTTTAGTTTTAGAGGCAAATCGATATTACGTATTTATTATGATTGCTAAATTAATATTTTAAAGGAACAAATTCATATGATTTATATGTTGACTGCAATTGTTTTCATTTCAAAACAATGAAAACATTCAGTAAGCAAAACAATGTAAAATGTTATTTGACTCATTTCATTTCCAAACAATGAAAACATTCACTAAGGAAAACAATGAAAATAACATCTGGAACTAAAATTTCTACATATGTGAAGTAAAATTTTTATACTCCAACTTTCAATCATAAGTTAGCATGTGTCAATGCAATGTTGTGTCATGCATAAAATGTTTTATCATTTTCAAGTTTTTCTATTTTAGCCAATAGTTGTCATTCAATTATCTTCTGATTGTAAATTTCTAAAGTCCTGTCTAGAGTTCATTTGGAGTATGTGTAGTAATTTATTGGCCTACTTTTTTAGATTTTATTCCAAAGATTCTGTGTTCTTTCATGGTGGTCCTGGTAACTTGCGCTGTAAAAACCCTGTAGTTGGACAAGAGGTATGACCAATGGAGATCAAGGCATTTTAGTGTACTGTCCTTACCTAGAGTGACATTTTTGATGTTTCTGATTTTTTTAGGAGATATATGAACAAATAGAAAATCTCAATTTTAAGGATTGTCATGCAAAAATACTTCAGGTTGACAGCCAATTCACTGTCAGTGACAGTGTTGTTGTGCAGGTCTGTGGCAAACATATTTTTAAATTCATTTCATTCAATTCATTTGCTCACCATCTTCCTTGCTCAATTTATGGCTGAAATTTTTATCCCAAAGTAATTAACTTTTTTTGTTTTTCTCATAACATGCACTCATTAACACCTTCCTTTCTATCATCTTAAACCATTTTTTTGCCATCTCAACCAGTACTTCCTTTAATTGCAACATCTCTTTCAATTCCTTTGTCCTCATTTTCTTCACCATTTTCTCCCCACATTGTGAAACCATTTTGTTCATGTGTGTTAAAATAATTTTTAGTTTATGGTACCTGTATATTAATTTTCAATTTTTTATAAGGAATTTTGTCCTTACCATACGTAGATTGGCTTTGTGATATGACAACAACATTTGCATTAATTACTAGGTGTGTGGTGAGTTTTCTAACAATGGAGAACCAACAAAGAAATTTGTTCAGACATTTGTTCTTGTCCCAGAGGTTTGTATTTGTCAATATGAACTATATCTATGTGTTTCACTACTGATTATTTTTTATATGTATGTATCTTGATCTTTTCTTTTTAATCTAGGGATCTAAAAAGTATCATGTTCGAAATGATATCTTCAGATATCAAGAAGATGGCTTTCCAGATGAAGTTAGCGATGAAACTGGTGATCTTGCAAATGGTTTGTACTTTTATTATAATAAATTTTGTGTTGGCTACTGTAGAAGTTCTGGTTACAAATTGAGGAAGCTCAAGTGTTTTACATCAATTACAGTGTGCGAATTAACGGTGTGCAATGTGCAATTTGCACGTCGATTTAGCTAAAATGAAAACAGTTGCACATCACTTTTTCAAACGATGTGCAAAAATCAGCGGTTTTAACCAAAAACACTGTCGTAAATCATATGAATTTGTTCAAGTTTAAAAATATTAATTTAGCAATTAGCGCTATATAATAATTAATGTAATATGGATTTGATTATGCCTCTAAAGAAACACTTTTGGCAAAAAAATTGCACATCGTTTTTTCTGAACTAATTCGCACACTGATCAATTAACGTTATTTGCACTATTCATTGATCACTTAAAGTGTATTGCTATAAATGTCACTGCCATTGTATTAATTTATGTATATTTAGAATCTGAAGGTGATGATGAAGTTATAGATGAAAGAGAACTGGACAACAAATCGGAACAATTCAACAACTCAGTTAATGTTGATTCTGATCAAACTTCTGCTGTATCTGTAAGCTATTCTCCAGAAAATGAACAGAAAAATGGGTAAGTAATGTTTGGTTGTATATTGGGTTTGTACATACTTATATAATTCTTAAAATTAATGTTTTAATGCTGCAACTAGAACCTGGTTTGAAAAACCTAAGTGTGCATGAAAGATAAATCTGCCTATCTAGATGTTTATGTTCTAATGCAATTTTGCATGTTTGTTTGATTTATGCAGTGTGGGTGAACCTTGTTATGTCACTTGTCTATTTTAGTGCCATGCAAAATGGAACTTCTGATATGCACGATGAATTTGGAAACGATGAAAAGGAGACAAATGATGAAACTGAACTTGAAGAAGTCGTTGTTGACAATCCGGTAAGTGGATAGACATACCTGAAGAACTTATGTTTTATTGAGTTTTTTGAAATTTCAATGTGGCAAATGTCAAACTGTATTTTTAGTTTAATGTGGAGGAATCAGCTTCTGCAGCTTGTAATGAAGAAAGTATCTCAGACAACCATGCAAATGATGATGCAGTTTACCAACCAGAAGAGGTCCCAGATTTCAATGATATTCAAAACACTGAAAGCCCAGCTGCAGATGAAGATGCAGTAGAACAGTCCATCGAAGAAACAAATGAGAAAGGAGATGCAGTTGAACTTAAACAAGGTTGACATGTTTTTAAATCCTTTTAAATATGTATATATAATGAACCATTTATTTCCTCTAATATTTGTTGCTAAAACATAAACTATTTTGAGCCTTTCTCTATTGGAAGTTCAATTAAACTTTATTGACAGCACATTAAAGTATTGTTGATGGAAGCGAGGGTAAACTCCTCTAATTAGTGGAGCCATTTAATTATGTAACGTTGTTCAATTCTTCACTCATGTTTTGAATTGCGCTTAATTTTTACTTATGTATATAAGCAGACCTCAAAGTTTATATATTTCCTACTTACAGCCATTTGATATTTGTCCTCACTGGCACTGTCCATTGACTATATTTTTTTGTTTTCTTAGAGTCATCCGGTCCTGTTTCATGGGCTGCTCTCGCTAGCAAGACGCCAAAGCCCGGTGCTCAGTCCACCCGGTCATATGAACCCAAGAAGCAACTAGTGGTAAGTATTGTGCTGTTGTTGCAAGGGGTTTGTAAATTATTAATTTTCAATGAGGCATGTGTTGTATCAACTCTGTTTTTTACATTCATTTTGTTATTGTACTTCTCTACAATTATGAATTTAATATTGATTATATTGATGGCAAAATACTATATTATTACTTTCCTCTCTACCATAAATGCATTTAATATGGATTATACGTATTGATGGCTAATTACAATTGATCTTGCCATTAGGCATTTCGAAACTTTTTTGATGTATCAGTATGACACATGGAAAACATGATTTCTCTTGACGAATTGCACACTGCTAGAACCCAATAGATTACATTGATGAAATTTGGGCGTATATTGTGTGCTATATTAACTCTGAGATTTCGCTAACACCATCAGATGTTACTTTGCATCCATGAATGGAGTTTGATAGTAGAACTCAGAACATCTTGTTTCGTTTTTGTTTATGAAGTAACGTATTTTGTCATCTGATTCATTGAATATGTGAAATAGAACACATGTAATGCTGTAGGGGTCATTCTAAGATCTCCCATTTCCCAAAATGAATAGTTATTAGAAAGTGTATAGCTCTAAAGGTTAAGATGGGCAGTTCCCAAAAAATCAAGGGAAAATATGTTGGATTACTAATAAGTGAAAATGTCAAAACATTCAACCCTACACTACGTCGTAGTTACGCTTTAAAAAGTGTTCCCAAGGATATAAAACAACGCATATATACGTACGTATGTATGTAGTATTCAAGACTTTATTTTATGTCGATCTTTGGACGTTTTTTTAGACGACTTCGGTTCATTCTAACCCCGAGCATGTTTCAAAAAGTCAGCCCCAACGGTCTGGCGGAGTCAGTCGAGGAAATGTTGGCACAAATAATTCAGGCTCGAAGGATCGATTTAATGGAAGAAATGCCCCTGATAATTGCCAAGTGTTTATTGGCAATCTTCCTTACGGTCTTGAAGAGCAAAAAGTATATGATGCATTCTCACGTAAGTTAGTTGTTTTGTAGAACTACATAAACAAAGGATATCCTTTGCCTTTCGCAAAAATTGATCTACGTATAGTATTTGAAAATTATTTTCTTTGGGCTCTCGTTTATCACCACTTTCACCGTGTTCTTTGGGTTTCGTTTATCACCACTTTCACCGTGTCCTTTGGGTTCTCGTTTATCACCACTTTCACCGTGTCCTTTGGGTTCTCGTTTATCACCACTTTCACCGTGTTCTTTGGGTTCTCGTTTATCACCACTTTCACCGTGTCCTTTGGGTTCTCGTTTATCACCACTTTCACCAAGTTAGCAACATTTCAATAAGTTCATTTTTATATCGTATCTGCAGTAAGAGTCCTCTTCAAATTTTCTTTCGTGGATGACTAGATTTTTGCTCCTTTAGTTATTTTAGCTAGAACTCGCTTGATGTCTTTGTCATATATACAGGTGAATCTTTGCATTAAGATTGTTGAATTTTTTTATTGGGATTATTTATTGTGTGTGATGACGCGATTTCACGGATCTTGACTCGCGTAATTTGTGTTAACGCACATCAGTTTAACCTGGAAAAGAAGACTACTATGTTTCTGGGCGTACAAGTTGTGCTAGATCAAATACAAGGTTTCGCAAACACCATCAGATGTTTTCATTCATCGATGAATGGGGTTTGATAGTAGAACTTGTAACATGAACCCGACATCACTATCACTCTTCTAAATGATAATTCCGAATTGTTAGCAACTCTCCTGAATTTGTTTGTAATTCTGTTTTATTGTTGTAGATTTTGGAAAGATTGTCGACGTCCGTTTGAATCCCAAGGTATATCAATAAATGCACTTTTTAATTGAAAGAAAAACGTGAACTAAAGTTTGTAAATCAATTCTTGTTAATTAATATTTTAATTTTTTCTGTAGAATTTTGGTTTCGTTATTTTTGACTCTCCAGAACCAGCCGAACAAGTTTTAAAGCATGTGGTATGTATTTGGTTTGTAAATACTATGAATCGAATTATGTATGGCCACACCGGTCACGCGGTGTGCTTAATTTGAAAATTTCTAAGAAATATATCTACTGATAGTTGATTTTGTTTCATTTTTTAGCCAATACAAATAAATGGACAAGACATAAATATCGAAGAAAAGAAACCTAGTGGTTCTTTTGGTCGTGGTGGCCGTGGTGGATTGCCAGGTAATCGAGGGAAACCAGGTGCATCAGGTAGAGGTGGTATGAATGCTCGTGAGGGCAAGCGTGCTACAGGGGGGAATGCAGCTGCAGGTGGACGTGGTGGAACAGGAGGAGGGCAAAATAACTCTACCGCACGTGCAAGGCGTGATAGAAGATAAACTCTAAATATACACAACAGTCGTTGAACAAAAACACGTGAAATAGTCAAATAGACAAAGCAGTTTACCCCATTGTAATATGGAATAAAATTTGATAAAGACTCAATCGTAGATCATCAATAACATTGAAATACTTAGTATATCAGTGTGTAAATTTTAACTGAAATAAATCGTTTCTAACAGAAGCAACGCGCTCATTCTAGGTTTAAACATCTATAGGCCCGTTCACACCATCTGGTTTTGTCGGATCCTAAAAAACGGGTCGTGTGAGCACACATAAAGTAAGCATCCGACAGTCGGATCTGTCAATCTAAAAACTCGGATGGAAATCGAACATGCTCAATTTTCATCTGACAAGATCAAAGGAAGCCGACCAGTCAAATTACATAGATTTGAAAAAGGCTTGAAAACAATAACAAAAATACGATAAATTTATCGATAAATGTAGTGGATAACTCAAATGACTGTTAAACGACTATAAATATCTAAACGAATATAAATATCAACAAAATTATCGGACCGTCTAAACAAGTAACATAAAGGACCGAAACAATCGGATCGTGTGAACGGGCCTTATGATAAATCATAAGAAACACACTTTAAGTCATCCCAAAGCGTTTGTTGCTTTGAAATAGCCGTGAATAAATTGTATTCAAAGTAATAGAAAACAAGTTTTTGTGATTTCTGAAATGGCTCAATTATGGCTTGCTTAATGACCACCTAGTTCAAAGGACGTTTTCCTAATTGTAGATTAGCAAACACATTTAAGTTGTACATTAAGTTCCTTGCACAACATATATGCTCATTTATCTTTAGAAAGAATGCCCTGAGTGCAATTGTGCGAGTAATAAGCTGAAAAACACTGGTATAACATAAATCAGTAGACATATTAAAATGTAAACATGCAAACTTGATGTTATACTAAGGATTTTACGCTTATTACATGACTTCATTTCGAGCGTCTCTCGACACCCGGACATTCCTGCGGTAGACATCTATTGATTTCATCACCAAATCTTTGAATTTTCCGCTTAGTTATTACTAACATAATTTCCCTCGGCGTTTCCAATACTTGAGATTGTAAAAAGTCATTAACCATTTGAGTCATACGTAACTTTACGCATATTGAGCACGATAATTAGACACGAAACATTTTGTGATCACGAAGAGTCACCGAGCTGAGGCCTGTTTCAAACGTCGAACTTTGCATGAGCCGAACGCTTTTAAAACAAAGACAAGTTCATCTCATTTTCTTTTCCATATGATCTCAAAAGCACGAGATTTATTAAGCATTTGAAATAAACAAAAGTAGACAAAAATTTTTATCATAAATCTCACAAAACTCACACATGACTTAACGTAAGGCGAAACATGTTTATGATAAAAATGTCGTTTATTTCAAATGCTTCATTTTCTTTTGTTTTTAATGCGTTTGGTGCATGTAAAGTTCGTCGTTTGAAACAGGCCTTAATCATTCTTATAGTCGCGCACAACTAAAGAGAATATTAGGAAAAATCGCAAACAACTAAACAATATTAGGGAGTAATTTTTGACGATTAAAAGTTATTTCCATGAATTCATTTTTGGAAATCTATTTGTTCAGTAAGTGAATACATAGCTAGGATATTCCAACATCCATTAAATCCATCGTGTGGGATACACCCGCTTGTACATGAAGCCACTGATTTTCATAATTATGTTCAAAGCAAATGCCTGAGAATTCTTTTCTCAACTTAATCTATAACTGGTTTATTTGCTTGTGATAAAAACAGAAAACTTTTCTTAACTATCTTCATTTCAAAGAAATATGTGGCAAAAAAAGCACAGATTGCCTTCTCACTCAGCTGGGACAGTGGCTGGGTTTGAGCTAATCAGAGCTCGAAATAATTTAACCATTAACAATGCCAGATGCATCTAAATCAACAAATGAAATCAGGCAACCAAATAATCTTAATACCCCACGCGTCATTGTCACTCCCTTTTCATTTGAGCACAACTAGACACTAGACACCCAAAGATCCAAAGTGAAAGAGGTTTGTGAAATTTTTATTTAGTAATTAAAATGTACTTCAAATGTCGATAAATTCGATGAGAACAGTCTTGTTGGGTGTGTAGTATCATATTGTTTAATTTGAAAAGCTTTTTGTTAGTTATTTTTGTGCCATTGGCATTTAACTTCGTGTCTTCCTTCTCCTGTGTGTTTGCTTCGCAAGAGGATCTTTCAGCATAAAAACGACAAGTTTGTACGTTTTAATGTCTGTCTTTCAATTTTAGTTTAATGTGTTGCCTATTGCTTGCATCTGGAATGTTTCGGAGTGAAATTTTGTTAAATATTTTTACTTTGTAACTTGTGAATCGATATATTTTCAGCAAAAAATTGCACGACGGACCTTTCACGTTTTAACGCAAAAATATGAACAAATTCTGGGTGAAAAGTTACAGTATGACATAATGAAAGATGAGCAAGGCATTTCTTATTCCTAGGGATGTCTGTCGGTACAAGGATATTTGAAAAAAAAAATGAAAATCAGAGTTCATGTTGCACGTTGGACATTCGTTGCACTTTCAGTTAAAATGGCGCCTTTTTTGTTCCGCGCAGTTCCGTTCCGCCTGAAAATGAAAATCACGGGGCACTAATTATGAAAAACGAACCACCTTGAGTCGGTTTGACAACAAAAGAAATATTCGACTAAAAACACCGAAAAATCTTCGAGTGCAATGTGTACAGGCAAAAACATTAACTCTGCCATTGGAACACACGAATTCAAAGATTTAAGCCTTTATAAAGACTAAAGAGTGTTGACAGCTACAGGGTCTTAAAATGAATAAATTCAAAAAAATGCCAATTGAGTTAACGAGAAAGATTTTTAATCTAACACCAATGAAACCAATGTTAACTACGCTACTTTAATGATTTTGTCCCAAATAACCTTATGGTAAATCACCTTAAAATAGTGAGAAACTACTTACCGATTCATGTCATCCTAATTTATTATGTTAAACATTGTTGGTACTATGACTGCTTTGATATTACCGATACAAATTTTTTCTTTGTAACCTAAGTATTCGTGAGGCATAAATCCTTCAATATAACCGTTCTTTAAGTTTTTGTTTGAATGCTCTGGGCTGGATGAACTTCTTCATATTATTCCCATTACTAAAGTGTGTGTCATACTGGTATGATGGTACCTTGTTTTAAAATGCTACAGTTTGTGTATGGTGTATCCAATAAGTTATGTGATATCTTTTTGATTGACTGTTTTTCATTTCCATTAAGCAAGGCCTTTTCACTATCATTGCCATTTTCTGCTGCACTATGGTACCAAGCCAATGCTTTGTCTATGCTTCTGTTAAGGCCACCCAAACCAAGCTCATGAAATACAGCTAAATTGTATTGTGCACCAGGATGACCATTTTCTGCAGCTAATTTATAGCAGTCTTTTGCCTAATAATAAGTTGGGAGCATTGATTGCTTATACTTATGACAATTCTGATAATACTGTATTTCAATGTAATATAACATAATTAGAGATTCATTTGCTGCACAATACATATTTTAGGACAACCTTTATGTTTTAAAAAATATGTTGTTGACACACATAATTAAGACTTCAATAAATGATGCCCTAAATATGCATTTTCATACAGACAAACCTTCATCATGTTTCTGCTAACACCCAAACCATTTTCATAACATATTCCAAGATGATACAGTGAACTCATGTCCTATATGGAAGTATCAAAGTCTCTTTCATTTGATGTTAACACAGTGACTGTCAAAGTTATGAATCTTGCAAAATATCCATGTGTATAATGGAGAAGGATATTTCATACTTTCTTTTCTGAGGCAATTTTCAACCAATGGAAACTTTTCTTCATATCAAATTCAGCATTTTCCTTATCTGCATAATATAAACCTAGAAATCTTTGAGCCTATAAATAGAAACTGTAATGGTTAAGTTAGGATGAACATGCACTTTTTAACCATTCTTTGTTTTCATAAACAATTAAATTATTATAGCGATGAGTAATTGATTTGTCTCAGACAAATTTCTCAATTTTTACTTTGATCAAATTGACAGTTTTGAGGTATATGTGTGTATTGCATATAGTAAACATACCTTGACTAATCCTCCTTCTCCAGCATTATTCATCATTTCAAGCCCATCAGCTTTTTTTAATGGATAGAGTTTTCCTAAGACATTTAAAAATGAATTACATGATAATAAATATTTTGTAATGCCAGAACCTATAAATTACCTTCAATGTAAATCAGTGCCAGGTTGAATGTGGCATTCAGATGTCCATTGGATGAAGCTATTGAATATGAACTAACAGCCTGAAAAGGCCCACTTTCATTATTCTTCACATCACTATTCATTATTTGAGATTAGCCATGACAATTCTAGCACATTTATACCTTAGAAATATCCTTTCTTGTTCCTAATCCTTGCTGGTAACATAAACCAAGATTGAAATGAGCTGCAATGTTTCCTTTCTTGCTGGCTCTTTCAAAGAATGTAAATGCCTTAAGGTAATTTCATCAAAAATTTCATTAGTGATATTTGATTAGAATGCTAACATTCCTTGCAAGCTTTTCAATAAGCTGTATTGTATTAAAAACCCTACCATTTCATGCATTTTAAAGTTTGATAATTTGATAGCAAGAGCATTTTCTGAGATTGATAGGCAGTCTGCTACAGCATTTTCAAAGGATAACCAAACTTTATCAAGTGAATCTGATGTCTGTTGGGAAAAAAACAGAAATATTTTACTTCTTAAATTAATCAAAGGTTTTATAAACCACCATTTATAAGTATACTTTAAGAGAACTATTGGCTGGTAGAATGCAACAGGTTAGATTTTCTTGCCACAGTAACCATGGATCTTTCTTAACTTCATCACTGAATAATTTCTGCCATGAAAGCAAACTGGATACAACCATGAAACCATAACACCACTGAAATCCACAAAACATGGTACAAATAAATAGGTAGTTCTTGAGCTTAATTTGCTTGCTTAGTAGAAATTGAACTGAGCATCATTTTTGTCAATTTGAACTGGGGCAGTAATTCAATAGTCACCATTTTGATTAAAATTCAATGTATATAATTTTGAATGACTTATGATTATGTATTAATTTATAAGGATAATAATTATCTACAAACATTTATATTAGTCACAAGCACATATAAGAGTGAGAAAAAAGTAATGTGTTGGTGAGTCTTTATTAATGACAATATCAGACTGCTTTTTAAAGCAAAAACTTCTCTAACCTGTTCAAAAGCAATAAAGCTTTTTGTTCTAAACCTGCTTTCCTTGTCTTGGTTGGTTTTGGGTGTGCATACAGTCAAGTTGAAATTATCATCAGATTTTGTTACTGATATGGATTCAACTATTTGGTCCACGTTACACTGAATTAAAGAATCTTTACTTGTTGATGTCCATCTGCTATGATCCTTACATTTCATGAAAAGATCAACTATTGTCTTCTGTGCATTCACAATATTTGGAAGTGCTGCAACATTTTGCACATGTGATGATTCTTGGCATTTCTTGATATCAGTACATAAAACCAAGTGTTTAATATCAACAAAACCAATTCTTTTCAGGTGTGTAGAACTTCTTAACAATCCAACTGAAATGTAAAAATAACATTAAAAAAATGTAGCACAACGAAAATACGTCAAGACTTCGAGATGGTCTTCTGTATTAATACAAAATCTGTTTTATTATTGGTTTCCCACAAGGGAAAATGTTTGCGTTCTGGAATCTGGTTAGTACCTATAGTCAGCGTCAATGTGACGACGAAGATTTAAAAAACGAAATGAAGATTGAAATATACCAACCATTGAACCAGATATAACTGCTGGAAGTCCAAAAATTAAACAAAATGCTAATATTTACCATGTCTTAAAAATTTTTTACCGTGATAAATTCTGTAACACCTAAGAGCTCTTTTCATCTTAATTGATAAACTTACCTTTTTTATGAAGTAAAGAGGTAATAAAGGGTGTTCTCCACATTTTCGTAATACCTCATTCTATCAAATGTTTACACGAATCAATATTCTACGATACAAAGTTCAATCCAAATTACATCATTTCCTTTTGCAAATTGCTGACTTTGAATCGTGGACGTTGGAAATAAGCATGCAGGCTAACTAATGAATGTGCAATTCATATGAATCAAAGAGACAACAAGAAACGGGAATTACGCAGAGCATAACCAGAGCATAACACGAAATCAGAATCCGAAATATTGATTGGTACAGTAATTAATGATTGACCTGGCCACTGAGACCGAATTATACCTAGATGTGATCAATGCCTGTGAGGACCATAAAATCAGAGCATGTACCATTAATAATTTATGTAAGTATTTAATTAGAGAAGACAGATTTGTTTTCAGCTTGCCAAGAAAATTTGTAATTTTCTTCTTCAGCCTCACACTAATTTAACTTCTAGCTGTGAAATTTCACTACGAGTCACTCTGAGTGGCAAAATTGCGAATAGCACTCATGGTGACCTCAGTCAGGCAGCCCAAGTAACCATAGCCGAAGTCACTATTGCCAATAATTGCCATGTGCTCTACTTAAACCATTCCGCACACACAGTCTCGCAGTCTCACCCCTCATTATTGCAAAATTTCATTCACTTTACCTATTTTCGTGGTCATGCGCACTCCGCGAAAACATTGACTTGCGTATGCCACAATGATAATAAAATCAGAAGGCCATGTTTTTCGTCTTATAGTTATTTCTTTTCGTTAGCGTTATTAATTATAGCGGCGTCTCCAAATGTTCATGTATACATAAAAATTCTTTGGTACATTTTTAAATTTTAATGAAACGAAATGGTGACGACGCATCGTATATTTTTCACTGAACGTAAATGAAACACGTGAACAAGAAAAACACATCAACTCCTCAAGTCCTAATTGCGAAAACAGTAACATTCATTGATCAAACGCCTCGTTTCCTCACTGCACAAAGGATAGGCGTATATTTCTTTCACATATATTCCGTTTGCCCATGAGCATTGGTTTGCGTGACGCTTTTTGCATGGGCGGCAAGGAACAATACTGATTTAAATACATGCGCTCTCATCATGTGGAAGATCCCGTGATATTACTGATATAGTTATGTACACACGCTAATCGCTTCAATTAATAAATGTTTGAGTAGTCACGAATGTTTTAAGAATCAAGATCATACAAAAATAGATCCTTTAACTAAGCTTGATCTTTGCAAACACTTGAAAAGCCATGTTTATAAGACTCATATAAGGTAGAGAGCTTTCTCAGTTGTCCAGTAAGGATAATCGTGCACGTAGCGGTATTACTCACTTTATAAATAGCAAAGGGAATTATCAGATATTGTAGAATACATATTATCATTTCAGTAAATTCAAAAATATAGACTTTCATTCAAAACGAGTACGATTAATGATAAGGAAATTTAAATTATTTGTACATCAAGCCGTATAAATTAACGAGCAGGTAACAATTATTATACACTTCTTTAACCTATACAAGTATATATGATATACAGTGGAAATTGTATGATTTTTTCATCGATGAATTATGATTTTTTCATCGATGAGTTATGTTTCTTAAAATTTGCCCGGAATAATCAAAAGGGACAAAAATGAACTTCATGATAAACTTCAGGAAGCATTGTCACTTAAACCTCAAAACACCAAAGTTATCGTCATCAATTCCAGAAAAGAGCGGAAGAAATAGAATGGTACAAACTATTTGAATGCTAGGCTTCCAGATGTGGCGTAAGTTGCATTAGGGAATACATGTTTAATCACTTTCGCGCTATGTTGATTTACTAGGCTTGTTGCTGACGATGTAGAAGTACCAATATTGATGCAGGTTGAAGGAACTTTAGCAATAACACTAACGCGATGAAATTTGATTTCTTGCGTTGAGGTAGATGCCTGCTTTTGCGACACCGCTCCTTTTCTTCTACCTCGTTTACCTGGTTGTCTTGATGGATCGTGTGATTTGGACACATGGCTTCTATAGCCACTACAAAAACGAAAAGTTGCTCCACAATCCTTGCACACGTATGGTTTTGCTCCAGTATGAACACGAAGATGAGTTGTTAAGTTTTGAGATTGGTTAAACTCTCGCCCGCACTCGGGACATTTATATGGACGTTCGCCAGAATGAATTCGAAGATGAACTTTCAAATTTTGTTGCTGGTCAAACATTTTGTTACAATATTTACAAGAATATTTTTTGCCGCTATCATGTCGCTGTAAGTGTTGTCTGAGAGAATCTCGCCGCGAAAAAAGTTGGCCACATTCAGGACAATGAAAAGGTTTTTTCTTACAATCTAGCCGACGATGTCTTGAAAGGTCTTTCTCGCAGAGAAATGCATCATCACAATTGATACATTTAAACGGTCCGTGAGCCATTAAACTGCCATTACTCTGTTTTGTATTTATACGTTGGCAAAGTAAACCGCCTCGTTTCTTCAGTTGTGAGAAAGGAAAGTACTTTACAGAGCAGTTTGTTTACTTATTTTATCTTGTACAGGATGACATTATGTAACAACATATAGTTGTGCAATGGTGACGTAATATCGGGTACTTCCCACGTATGACACATCTTGACTATTGTTACATAACTGCATTCAAATCCTGAAATATGAATAAACAACCATACATTATTACCTTAGACTGAAAGATGTAAATGGTTGTAGTTCTGATTCTTTGGTTGTTTTTTGTGCATTTCCATCAAATGTTTTTTGGTTCCACGTGTGAACTTACGCTCCAAGAGATCACGACACGTGCTCACGTTGCAAAGTTATATGGCTTACAAAGAAGTGTTTATTGAGTGCAAGGCTCTCGAATTGCCGACAATTGTCCAGTGTCCTGTATTATAAAATAATAAATGCACTCGTACAGTTGAATGTAATTTGAAAATATTTATGCTGGTTAAACTGGTAGTGTTTAATTTTCGTGTTCTTGTTGCTGCCTGCGGAGATTTCCGGGTTATATAATCATATCTACGTTTGGAAAAAATTATCAAGAAAGCTGTGTTACCATATAGAATAGGAATTCTCACTCTAAAGGCTACATAAAGTCAAAAGTTCTCAAGTCGAATTCAGTTTTTAAAGCTTGAAATCTAAGTTATGTGGAGATATTTGATGTACAGGTGAAACACAAGGCAGACATATCCTGTCATGTGTCCAGGCAATCATACGCACGTATGAATATGACACGTGTCCAAGCCTCCAAGACCTTTGTAATTTTATGATGCAGTGTTTATGTAATACTCTAATGAAAATATCTAGTTTTGCTAGTAAAAGTAGCCGTGTAATATTGAAAAATAAAAATTTTACTGTTTAAATTGAATTTAACGTACTATTGTATGATGTGGAACAATTGCCTGTAAAATAAAGACATATAGGCCATGTAAACATTAACATAGACGACGAAAAGCAATTTTTTGGTAAAAATTGTCATCTTTGGGCAAGGTCAAATGATATTTTAAAGTATATCACATGAATAAGATTAGTTCTCGAAAGGAAAACAGTATAATTACGTTCAATATTGAAACTTTCCTGGAATATTCAATACAAGTAAAACTTTTTTTTGAAATGAGACTCAATAAGGTGTGATCTAGACAAAATAGATACGGGGTATGTGGCGTCCAAATTGAAATGCATGTCGTAGAGGACGTTTTTATATGTGCTCAACAAGAGTCTATTGTCCGTTAAGAGCACTCATACACACTGGAATAACCTCATGTTTTATAAACAAGTCTAAACTTGATTTATTCGCAAATTGATCAGTAACAAAATTGACCATGTTATACATAAGAGTAAAACGATAAACATGAAAAACCACGATCCCATCTGAGCCAACACAACTAATCAAACGCTATATTATATAAACATGTAAACATTCAACATTGTCTTGTAATGATCAAGAGATGTCTATGGTGATGAATTAATTTCATTTTGACAAGAATCGAATTAGTTACACACGCAACAGATTTATTAGAATTGAGATGATCCTAAATCAAAAGCAGACTGCAAAATTAACATTAAATGAAGCTAACTCAAAACTTGCAATTAAAACAGTATGCTGCGTTGCTAAGGGAGAACGATACAAGAACAATCTTTGAGACCTATATAAACTAACAAAAAAATAAATTTGAACATACTTTACAAAAATAAGCTAGTGACGGGCGCCGCGGAAAGGTTTGAAAGGTAGAAGGGGGGCAAAAGGTCGCAAAATCGGAGCGTTGTTCACAGTATAGCAAATTCGTTTTTAATAGTTTTATCAGTAATCATTCAATAAATCTAATTTGTTTGATTGCGTTTGTAAAATATATTAGAGTGCGTTCAGACTGAGTGCCCTGGCACGATGCTCGAGCACGGGCACCAATGAAGAACTCAATCAACGTTTTAACAGTGCGTTCAGACGAAGTGCCCTGGCACGATGCTGGAGCACGGGCACCAATGAAGAACTCGATTAACGTTTTAGCAGTGCGTTCAGACGGAGTGCCCTGGCACGAGCACCGATATGAACACAACATTTTGACGGTGCCCGAGAGTAACAGCGCGTTCAAACTGAGTGCCAGAGAAGGATACCCTGGTTCGGGCGCAAATCTGCAGGCCGTTCACACTACGTCGTACCTACTAGCTTCGTCTATTTATAATTTCATGTTTTTCATTGTAAACAAGTTTTGAAACCGTGTCGTGAAAACGTGCCTCTCTGTACACGTTACTCACGTGTCGTCGTTCAGATTGGTGCCCGTGCCCGAGCATCGTACTCGGGTACTACCTTTTTTTGGTGTGCCCAGACTCGGGCACCATGAAAATGTTGTGTTCATATTGGTGCTCGTGCGTGAGCACCCTACCGGGGCACTCAGTCTGAACGTGCTATAAGTGCCCGGTTCTAGGCATCACGAAAAGAGGTAGTACCCGAGTACGATGCTCGGGCACAGGCACCAATATGAACGACAACACCTGACTAACGTGTATACAGTAAGGAACATATTCATAACATGGTTTTAAAAGTTTTAAAGACTTGTTAACGATGAAAAACATGAAATTATAGATAGACGAAGCTGGTGGGCACTATGTAGTGTAAACGGCCTGCAGATTTTTGCCAGCAGGATATCGTACTCCAGCACTCAGTCTGAACGGGCTATAATTGATCAATTTAAGGCCAACTAAAAATGAAAGTGGAACATAAGCGAGACATCAAATACTGTTAATAGTCCTTTACCAGACGCCAATTTCATAAGATATAAAATAAAACATAATCTGAATGGTTTTGAAATAAAACCGAAATATTACACTTTTCATTGTCTTGTTTAATAACTTGAATTTAAGTTTACAAGATGTCCTTTTACGGATTGTTTTACTTTAAATACTGCTAAACATCCATACTTATAAAATGTAAGTATTTGCCGAGCGGATTTTTATACTTTTACACTTTACAAAGCAAGAGATATAGAAAAAAGTCGGGGGAGTAATTGTCCTCTTGCCTCCCCTTCTGCGACCCCTGTCCTATGATTATACAATGTATGGTTGTTTACCATTTACACGTAAATAATCACTCGATATTTATCTCAATAAATAAACGTTTCCTGTTGACATGTCAAACATTTCCGGCTCAAATGGGGGCCGTGTTTTTGTATACTTTGAGCGAAGTTACCTCCAACAAACGATAAATCGACGGTCACCTGAAAAATATCTAACATGAAATATTCAGCGATTGTGGTTTAATTAAATATATTTGATAGGGATACTGGGATAATGTCTTAATGATAAATAGGTAGAGAAACAATGGTAAAAAAATTACATATGCATATAATGAACTGACTCGTGATGACAAAGATGACTAAGATGCAATGAACTGACTCGTGCAGGTGTCTTGCGCTTTTTTGCTTTTAATCATTGTAATCTTGAAATATACATGCGTTGGAATGTTGATAAAGAAAATTATTCTGATCATCACCAGGATTGAGACAGATATGTCAATCATTTTTTGCAACATATGGCATTATTAAAGACGATTTGTATTTAGTAAAAAGCATCTTTTCGCACAAAAGTTGAGTTAGTTTAGAATAATTTGTGTATCTTGACAAGTAATGCTTATATGTTGTAATTGAAAAAGATCATAATTCGTGACAGTCTTCAAAAGCCACAACTCCAGCAAGTTATGACAGCTGTGCAACTGCAAAATATAATAGCTTTACAGCCTCAAATTTTAATAAGGATGCTTACTAATTATATGCATCATTATTAATTACAAGGATAGTTGACGATAAATGATAATTGTTGTTAAAATCGGGGCTACATATTAGTGTTCATCTAAATATAATACATCTTCGAATGCTTTAACCTTTCTAATAACCAAAGCTAAAGCTAAAGCTGCACATTTTAGTAGGAAAGGTTTATTGTCATCTACGTAAGTTGGCAGTAATTTATGTGGCTGTGTTTTGATGAGAAGGAAAGGACGCACTTTCCTATTTGCTGTATCTGGATGCGCAATGAGGATATCGTTCTGCAGTCGCCAGTCATATAGAAGCTAATTGAGGTAATGAAACTCCATTAGCTCTTTGCATACTTGGTGTCGGATAACTTGATATTCCGGTCGTAGTCGTTGCTTGTCCGCCATAACGGATAACTGTCTCTTGATTTCGGCTTTGGAATGGACCACAAGAACAACAAAAACACAAACAACATGAAATGATAATGCCACCTAATATCAAGCATCCAATGACAATTCCTGCAATTGCTGCACCGGAGATGCACGAAGAATCTTTATCAATACAAGATCCGTGACAACATTTTTCTTCGTTATGTTGATGATTGTTGCAATCCCAATCGTGGTCACAAGCATACGTTGTACATGAAGTAAGCAGATTTAACGAAAAAAAACAGAATAAGTAACATCGCTTAATGCTCACGAACTTTATAAAAAGGTCCATGTCAAACATCACTCGGTATAATATCGAACATCAGCTATCGGCGCCAATCTGTACTCACAAATAGCAGTCTGAATTTTGAAGTGTATACAGATAGGTTTTTGATGTGAGAGTATCAAAATACGTAAAATTTCCCGATTAAGTAGATGATAAACAACAAATGTTTATGGCACCGGATACAAGTTCTTCGTGTAATTAAATTACAAAAATGGAAAGTCGTCTCAATATAAGTTGTCTCATTTGCTCAAGACTAGAGAAATAAATTAAATCGTATTAAATAACCAATTTGTTCGTACGGCACGGAATAATAAACTTCAGTTGCCTAAGGTTTGATTTGATGCCTAAGGTTAGCTCACAACATATATTACCAAATAAAGACACAGAGCTCGACACAGTTAAAGAGTTATAGCTGTGACCTTTAATTACTTACTGTTATCCAACAAGGGCCATTAATTTACGGCGCTGCAAGGAATTCGAGAGTTGCTTGCTGTTATGCTGTACTGATAAATGATTTAGTTGACGTCAGTAAAAAAGTGCTCTTTTAAACCAAAATTCCTACCCGGGCAACCAGATCACTGTTCTTTAGTTGTTCTTCGCCCAACAAAGTGCAACAATTCTACATTCCATTCCAGAAATCATGCTATACCAGAGAACAAAAACTTGGAACTGTTTCCCATCGCCAACTTATGTTCTCTTACGATTATATAATGAGAGTTTTTCGTGAAAGGACTGGAAGAACTAATAGAAAGCAGAGCCCAAAGATATAGAAATCTCTGCGATTAATTGTTTCTAGTTTGTTAGTTTTTGTGATAATGGGTTTAAAACAGTAGCTAATTGTGAAAGTTGTGTCGTAAGTCGGTCCACCCGCCAATAAGCTGTGTTGCCGAACATACAAATAAGCATAAACCGAGAACATTAAGAGTTGGGCTTTAGAATCATTCAAATTTATTTCTTTGCAAGGATCATGTTTTATCGTTCAAGTTATCTAAAAACGTGCGAAGTAAAAGAACTCTAAAATGGAATTTATGCATAATCATCCTCTTTATTGATAAATCAACTATCACCGTTAATTTTGCACGCGTTAGAAACATTCATTAGTACACATTAGTACGTAAGGATATCATCAAATCGGAAACATCAAAATCATATAGGCGCTTTCCCCCGCAGATCAAAGCTGCATGATGCATCCAAAATCAAGTTGCCTGTCATTCTCACAAAATATTTACCTCACGACTTTCATAATATTGAGTAATGCCGGACTGTTTGATATAACATATATCGCACCAGTGTCATACCAATATGATCCTGCAGATGTGCGCAAGCACTATATAAAACATTAGCGTTTGCTGGAAACAAAAAAAACACTTATAAAAAGCCAAGGGTAAGAGTCTTTAATGCGAAATATCTCAAAAGCATTTCGCGTTGTAATTAAACCTTTTAATTTGACATGCATTTGTGCATGACCAAACCGTAAATGGCTAACACTTGTTTGAAGACGTTAGGTAGTCTCTCAATCCTTCGCCACTTCATTTTTTACAGATGTGAGATATACAAGAAAATTTTTCCCTCCAAAACAAGATTAAAATATCAAATGAAAAATTCATAAATGATGAAAAACCTTATACCTGTAAAACGTATGCAGGAAATTTGCATGAAAGAAATCACTTTGGTCACTTTGGTATTAAACCATGCGTTTGATGGGTTTGTGATCATGCAATATTTCAAGCATCTGGTACATATAATCTAGACATATTTAATAAAAAAAAGATCGCAATAATAGGCAAAATTGTTTAAGCGTCGTGAGTGCGGACAATTAATCAGGAAATTTTAATTTTTAATGGAAAATTAATCAAATATAAGTTGGAAATCTAAATGCCTACAACATATTGAATGCGTGGTCGAACGAGCACCACGTAAATTTCAAAAAATTATCTATGAGATAAACAAAAGTTTTCCATAAAATCGGTTTAGATACAAAAAAATTCAGAGATAGTAACAATTATTACAATCCACATGGCCCACAGATCATCTAATTAAACAAAAACAAAAGATCTTTGCTTAGTATGCTTTCTGCTATATTTTCACGAATAATTATAGAACCAGGGTAATTTGCAAACAGTTAACTGCTGAATAATTGACTGAAAGCTTGTGGTATTTGGTCAATCATGTCTGATGCAGTCATGTGACGATTCATTTTTTCAAAAGCTAGATAAGAGCATCTTCTTGTTAGACAACTTGCCGCAAAAGAAGCTAGCACTGTTGCTTTCATTAGCGTATCACTACAAGAAAGTTTAATGAAAATAATAATTGCTTCAAATTTATAAAACATCTCAAAAAGTTAAAATTTCACTGACAAGATTGACCTACCAATCTGGATTAGATTCAGTCTGATTTTCCTGCGAATTAGATTGCATCCAATGTAAGAACGTGCCTAAAGACCCGGATAACAGATCACCTTGCCCACCACATCGCCTCAAACTACCTTCAACATCACTCTTCACAGCTAAATAATACACCAATATTTTAAAGGGATTGTTCTTGGCATTAAATTATAATCTTGTGTCCTAACGTACTTTACCTATTTTGCCATCACTAATGATGTCAATTTTCCCCTTTGCAATAATCGTCACACCTCCCAAAGACTTTGCAACCCACTTAACATGATCAACAGTGATATTGCTCAATGCAAGATCCTCTCCAGCCTGTGATATGTAACACAATGCATGCTCATTCTTTTAGGGTACTATTTAAAAAATATTATAAAATATTATACTACTAACACTTGTAAATTCATATTTTTTTGCTAGCAAAATTTGCAATTTTTATATATTTCTTAAAGGAAATTTCACAATGTCAATTTCGATGAAAAATACTATGCTGCTAGGTGTAATCATCAGGCAACCAAACATGTAAATCAATCCTGTTTCCATACCAATTTTTTGTAGAGACGGACAAATTCCATAGCATTAGGGGTTAGGACAGTTGCAGAATAGTCCTTCACTATGTCAGGTTCAGTTGTAACAAGCCATAATCCATCCTATACAGTCAAGATCAAAATGAAATAGTCATGCACTAAAAGTGGCTACCTTCATTTCATAAATAAGATTTATAAAATATCAACAAAACTTACAGCATCAATCACAACTTGTTTTTCTTCTTCCCTAGCCTTCATTATAAGTTTCTTTATCAAAATATGGATAACATTTAAGCTCATAAGCTAAATCTTCAAAACTTAAAGGTATCAAGTATTGCTCATGGCAATGTAATGACATTAACCTACCTTTACTAATAAAAAAGTATTTTGATCTCTTCCTAATCCTGGACCAATCACAAGTGAATGAAGACGTGGCAACCATACTAGAAACTCATCATATGCATTCATTTTGTCTCTAAATTAAACAGTAATAATGTGTACTAAAGTATTTCAGAAAAAAAAAATTACAAAGCATCTTATTATTTCCTAATGAAAAACATTGATCCATGTTGTTGTAAACCTCACTCATCACATTCAGCATAGTCTTATACTTACAGTATTGGATGAACAATCAGTTCAGGGCTGTATGATTTGATTACTTGTGAAGCTTCAGAAGCACAAAATACATGAGATAGATCACATCCCTGGAAAATAATAAATAGAATTTGGAAATTTTGCTTTTAGAAATTGACAAATTATTTTATGTAAACAATAGCCATCATTGATATTTTTTACATACCACCTTCAAAGCTGATATTGCAGCAAAATAAGGAGCACCAGTGTACCTAAATGATAAATCTTACTTACGTGCAATAGGAATGACATAATGCCAGACTATGTATGCCCAATTATGCCCAATATATTTAACATGGACTTGTGATTTTGTTATATATTTTGCAATATTGGCATATCTTTGGCATATAGTTCACATGGAATGCACATGACACTGCAAGTAAACCAAGATTCAGGCAGTATAACTGTAGGACAACATCTATAGGAAAATGATCAACCTAGGCCCACCCTGACCCTTTTGGAAAGCATAAAGGAAATGATCATAATTTATTTGCTAGTTTGTTTGTTCGTGTAAGTAAGATACAAAATAGAATACTTAAAGATTAAATAAACTTACTCTTTTGATCCCCCTATGATACCAATACGTCCTGCCTGTCCTTTGTGCTTTGACTCATCCAACAAAGGAATAGAAATTTTTATTTCATGCAAAATCTTATCGTTCATCATCATTGATGATTTTTTATTAGCAGATAATGTAAGATTCCGGAAGAATTGAACTGTGTCGACATGAGAAAAATTAAAAATATTCTTCAACTCCTTTCGACAAAATCTGTTGATATTCTGCATTAGTCAGATAACCATTCCGATGATACATATGCCCCCCGGAAAATAATGTTAAATGTTTATTTGTTAAAAATATTGCAGAAATAGACGACGGAGGGTGAGAATGACGAAACCTGTAAGTAAAGATGGCCGCTGTGGAAAAAGTAGGGACTTCTTTTAACTTTCTCCGTTCTTCCAGCTCTAAAGACTCTGTCTTGGTTGTTGGTGATGGGAATTTTTCTTTTTCATTATGCTTGGCTTTGCACTGTGAACAAATTAAATCAAGCACGCAGCTAGTGTTAACTTCCTTTGATGATAGAGAGACGCTGATTCAAGATGAATTGACGAGAATAAATATAAATAGATTGGAAAAATTTAGAAACGTTCGGATTTTTCATGACATTGATGCTACTTTGCTTTCAAGAAATTTACCTGGGCTTCAATTTGGTAGGGTTATATTTAACTTTCCACATACAGGAGGCAAATCAAACATTAAAAGTTGTCGTAAACTGTTGGAAGATTTCTTTTTGAGTGCTATGAAGAAACTCAAGTCAAGCGATAGTGACATATGTGTGACATTATGTAAAGGTCAGGGTGGTACACCTGGTGATGAACCACAAAGATTACATGGAAACTCCTGGCAGATTGTTTACAATGCTGCAAAAGCTGGTACGTATGTATGTAAACCGTATGTTACGGTAATGTTAAGATCATCAATAACACCAGCACATCCCAACTACGTTATAATGGTTAAATACACATATTATTTTATTCATTTTTTGTTTAATCTTACATCTGTGAAAAAAATTTTAATTCTTTGATTTAGGTTTGAAAATTCTAAAAAATATATAACTCTGTAAATTTTGAGGTTAATTTTGTAAAACTATCCATAATATTTTCAGGTTTGATGCTTGATCAACTTGAACCCTTTGTCAGTTTGGATTTTACTCACTACAAAAGTGTTGGATACAGAGGAAGACTCAGCAAAGGGTTTTGCACAAAAGGTGGTTTGATTCACATTTTTATTAGAGGACAAAAACTTTGTGCAATAGATGACATCAGGTTTGTTTGTATATGATGTATATGTTTCAACTTCAAAATTCTTTTTTGTTCAGTATTCATGGATGCCAAAAATGTTTGATTGTAGTTACCACACAATGTTTAATGTTGTGAGTTGTATTGTGTGTTACATATATACACGAGAATTTACATCATTATAGTAATAACATCACAATAAGGACAATTTCTTTGTACTAGGACTAACAATTCTACATTTGATACATATGATTTTCTCAACAGAAATATACATAAAGATAAAATTCAGCCTAAACATTCCGCTATTTACCATGGCATGTGTATAAAGCAATGGTGATGTGAATTTCTTTTTTGAAAAATAGCTTTAATAGACCATTTTAAAAGTAGGGATTTTTCATTACATCTATGGGTAGTTATAGTGTGGATTTTTGATTTTCTAGAGAAAAACAACGAGATGTACTTCTGTTGTATGTGTACGAGAAGTTAGCTAAGCTGTCGAGCACACTGACACACAGCAATACACCAGTTCATCCTTATTATCATACAAAGAAAAAAATTTTGGAAATAGCTGTTAGTGTTACACAAACAATGTTTGAAGAAATAAGAACAAACAAATATTGCGAAGAAATGCCACCAAATTCAGCTTCTAATAGAGATAATTTGTCATCTTTTGAATGCAAAAGCACAATTTTATCAGCAATGAAATTAAAGACGTCATTTTCACTGACAGCGACAGCTTTAAATGTCCTTGAAGAAATAACTTGTGATTCAAATATTTACACAAAATATCTATTCATATGTAAGTTTTACAATCATGAAGATGTCACTGTCATGAAAAAACAAAAAGAGGAAGTTGTGAAGAGAATAAAAAACGTATTTTCAAGGAGGGACAAATATTTGGAAGAATTTGCAGCCAACGAATTGCTTTATGAAAAATGTGACTTGATTGTTCAAAATTGGATCAATAGCTCAGACGTTGCTCATAAGTCAAAGAGGAAATATCATATGAAAAATGGACTTGACATTGAGAGAATGCATCACAAATCATCATGCTCGTGTAGAAAGCTCTGTGAACACTATCTTGATGAGCCATCTTGTACTTCTTACAAAACGGGTGAATTGCCACTGGAGCTACTTGATAAGTTGTCGTTACTTGGTCTTAAACTTCATCGTCATCTTTTTCTTGTTAGTGGATTTCTTACGCAAGAAGTCCTGACGTCTTCAGGGAACAATTTAGGCTGGCTTATTATTGTAAATTTAGATATTGGAGCAATCCTACTGAACAACTTAACCGACATTCGACTTCTCAGCTCACCTAACATAAACTGGATAAAACTGCCTCCTGTTGAAGCCTCAGTAAGTCGTTTCTTTTTTATGGAAGTTATTCAATTTTTTATCCAAACCTTTAACTTTCCAACAATAATTCTTTGCTCCAAGAAAATCGTTTTTCAGAACTTTATTGACAACTACTAGTTAGTTAGCTTCTTCACCACTTAATACTAGGATTTCAAGCAAGATTTGTGATTGTCTTTAAAAATGTTTAACGTTTTTGTTGACATGTACATAATTTGCAGTAAAAAGTTCGTTACTCTATGCTTACCCATCTGTTGCATCTATATTAATAATTACTGTTTGTTTCATAGATAGAAGATGTGAATGGTAATCTTGCTCCACTTCCAAGAAACCTCCATCCCCCTGAATACATTCACGATATTAGTTTTTGGATATGCGACTCAATATCCCAAACGTTATTTCTCATCAGTGCAGTTGCATTATCTGAGAATTGTCTTCGTAGTGTAAAAATGATTGAAATATATCACGATGAGGAGGGACATCGCGTAAGTTTTAACTATCGAATGACTTATTCTCGAAGTGATGGACCACTTAGCCATCTAGAAGCGGTTGAATTACAAAACAGATTGCGTCGTGCATTAATTGTGCTAGGGTTTGGACTTAAATAACTATTTATATTACAACGATTCTCTTTGTTTGATGTTATCGGTGTCATTTGGGGATGAATTCTTTTGTTGTAGCTATAGTCTGCACCTTTAACCCTGTTGATAATTATTCTGTTGCCAATTTTGTTTTTGTCCATTTATGTTTGTATTTTGTTGATATCCATACATATAATGTGATGGTGATGGCGAGGATGCATAATTACTGAAGTTAGGTTGGTCATAGCTTGGTAATGGATGTTGATTGGCCATGTTTTGCCATGGTTGCTGATCATTTCCTGTTGGTGCGTATTGATTGGCCATGTTTTGCCATGGTTGCTGATCATTTCCTGTTGTTGCATATTGGTTGGCCATGTTTTGCCATGGTTGCTGATCATTTCCTGTTGTTGCGTATTGGTTGGCCATGTTTTTCCATGGTTGCTGATCATTTCCTGTTGTTGCATATTGATTGGCCATGTTTTGCCATGGTTGCTGATCATTTCCTGTTGTTGCGTATTGATTGGCCATGTTTTGCCATGGTTGCTGATCATTTCCTGTTGTTGCGTATTGATTGGCCATGTTTTTCCATGGTTGTTTATAATTACCAGTTTTTCTGTATTGATTGGCCTTGTTTTTCCATTGTGCAGTTGTTTTGTCTCCTGTTTCAACAAAAGATTGTATACAATAATGAAAGGAAATATAGTTTTATTGGAAAGGATAATTTTGGTGTAAGCGGAGTGCGGTCAAGGTAAAAAATCTCCTTGAATAGACGTGTTGATCATCATTTCTTGGTATTGTCTAAATAATTGTAGTGTACTTAGTTTTTGTGCTAAGCATTACCAATAGATATTGGCGATTTTCTTGGTACTGGTTTTAATCTGTCGTCATCATTTTGAAGAACTGTGGAAGAAATCCAAGTACACTATTCAATAATAATTCTTTTAGACACAAACTTAGAAAATCTCATCTGATTAAATGTTTTCATCACTGACTGACCTGTGGCTTCCTCTTCTGGTACACATTTTGGTCTGTTTAGAGCGTACGTATCGTGACATTTGGGCATAATGCACTTGACTCGTTGTATTTTACATGTTTGTTGTGGTGGACATGAAAAACTCTACAATAAGACAAACGACCGTTTATCGTTTTTGATCATTTTCATCTAACAATATGTATCTTACGATTTTACCTTACATGGGTCAGGATCTCGTACTAAACAAAAATGAAATTCTCATTTAAAACATTTTGCCTTTGTTTAAAAGTGTTTTATTTGCGATTCAATTTTCACCGTTAGTTTTCTAGTGGTGAGAAAAAACATTGACATACCAGCTTGTGTACACACCATTCCACCACAACGATTTTTGCAACATTTTCTGTCTGCATCACAATGGCTATCTTCTATGCATTCACTTTCTAAACACGTGACTTCTTTGTTACTTCCTTTCTTCATCACAATAACGTTGCCAAAATAATTCAAGCGGCGATCTCTTTTCTGAAAGTTGCGACTTGGATCAGGACATATTCCCGTACGAGAAAGAAAACCTGTATAATAACGATAGTTAAATCATCGGAAATTTTGTGAAAAAATATGGCGTAGTAGTCGAGAGTTTCAACAAACCTCTTCTGAACCTGTGTACATTTCCTAGCAATTGAAGCACATAATGAGCATAAGTTAACTGTACAAATTCCTCATTTGTGAAATTTAAGGAAAGATTCTTTCAATATTTACCTTGAACTACGACTGACATATTAAGAACTAATATTAAAAATAACATTTTCATCTGTTTTGACATTTTCCACTTTTGTCTGTCAATAAAAATCAGGATGTTTAGTTCTTGATTTTTTGCTTAAGCTCTTGATTTTTTACTCAAGCTTTTTACTTCCTGTTTGTACGAGTATAATTGCCTGGTTAAACAACTATTCTGCAACATCAAATTTTCAATTTTTTTACTCTATGATCATCAATTAATATGACAGGTTTTGAGTCCATGTTTTTATAACGCTCCTAGTAAATGCAGTCCACTCCATCCCATTATAAACGAAGCGTGTTTTTTTTGCCAACATGGCGAGCATCTCAGCCTCTTATAAACTAGCCTCACTTATTTTCAGATTTTTTGCGTTTAGGATTTTTATGTACTTCTGCTACAGCTTCGTAAGCAGATTTCTTATTCAGTTGAGGAAGTCATTTACAGAGGTGGATGTATTGTTAGAAACACTGTATTTTCAGAGAATAATGCAAACACGAATTTTAGATCATTGCTTTCCTGAGATTCGAGTGAATGACAATTTGCTCAGTTCATCACAATTTTTGTAGTTGCCAAGTAAAGTAGCCATGCCAATCTTACCTGTTGAATTTTTCCTTGAACAAAATTCTTTTCTGTAAAGTTTTCAGGAAGTCAATTGTCACATTTGACTAGGAGAAGCTCAAAACTAAGAAAAAAATACATATTCAATTTTTTTTCTGAAATGAACAGTATATTCATGTTACATCAATAAAATCTCTAGTCAATGGCTTCTCGTTGATCTTACTCTAATTAAACCAAGCGTGTCCATTCCTGCAGGTGGCATTAAGGCTTAGCCATGTTTGCATGCATTTTGATGATTGCGTCTAGTGCAGATAATCGAAATCTTTTTTTAATTCAAAGAGCAAGCTTTTTTGCACTTGTATGTCAATCAGTGAAGTCGGGCCAATAATTAACAATTAATAATCATTAATAAGAATTAATAAGAATTAATAAGTAGTAGCATAACTTCTTTTGCAATTTGGAAAACAAACACTCTCAAGTTTTAGTCATACGTTTTAGGTTGCTCTTTCATGAGTTTTATCTATCTAAAAAAATCTATAAACGTTTATGGCCTTCACCTCAACTGTTTATCATATCCAAAATAATAATTCAAATCCAAATCTTGTTGGTTTAGGGATTTGTCTTACGATATATTACGTATTGCTAACTGCTCTCAAGATGATATCCTTATGCTTTGTGATCCAAATCTTGTTGGTTTAGGGATTTGTCTTACGATATATTACGTATTGCTAAATGCTCTCAAGATGATATTCTTATGCTTTGTGCTCGTTGCTCAGGAACAATATTAGAAATTGAATCATTTGGTAATTTAATGCTCCTTTTATTTCATTATATATATGTTTGCTGTATTGTTAACAGTTTTAAAAAGAAAGCACATGAACAAAAGAAAGTAGCTAGCAATTTTTATGTTCTTCAAGTTGGCCAATCAGAAATTACTATTTCGGACATAAAATATTACTTAGGATAAATATTTGCGATCGAAAAATCTTTTAAATATATTCTAATAATAATATGCTTTTAGAAATAAATTTATATAATGTTAGTTGAATTGATCAATAACACAAAAGGAGGAAATGTACATCAAAAAATCAATCATATAACTACCAATGTGTTTTAAGCATGAGCTCAAAGACAGCCATTTTGGTGGTGGGTAATTTTAATATTTCTACGTTACAGTTTGCAGTCGATTTAAATGTTCCTTAAAGTTTGATGAACATGATGACACAAGCCGTTGGTAGCTTTTTGACCAGCATGATCGGTTAACAACAATACGATGTTCAAAGTTTTACTTTGGTTAGGAAATAGGGAATGATGTTTTCATGTCTATTCATTCTATTTACAATTTCTTAAATCCTTAATATGAGCCGACTAGTAAGGCTATATACTTCTCTACTCACTTTGTACGCTGATATTCCCTCACTTGATGAATGCTTGCAAAAAGCGGAACAATATCTTGCAGTTCACGATTATGTTAGAGCTTTAAAACATTACCTTGTGTCTTCGTCACCTGAAATTGCACTGGATATTGGCTTGAATTTAATAAGAGGTACACAATACAAGTAATACAAAGTTGTTAAACATTAGTAGAGGACTTCTTTTATTTGTTCAAAAAGATTATCAAATGATTTGTGGGATCTAAATGACGTCGGTGGTATTATTGAAATGTTGCCATGCATAAGAACTGAAAAGTTTCAAAGTGTAAAACTATGAAGGTTAAGTATCATGACTATTAAAATAAAACTTGTGTGTTTTGTGACACTTTTCGATTGAGTTACTATTTCAGAATACTCATTGGTTATCTGTATCACAGCTGTTACAACCTACTAAAATGTGCATGCGCACTGAAATCAGGAATTTAACCCCACTGATAATTAATGTTATTTCGGGAAATTGCTTTATCTCTATTACGCACATCTGCTGAAGTTTTTGGAAAAATATTATGCAATGTAAGTACACCAGCGATATTGGAAGTAAGCCTTATGAAACTTTTTACGTGTTTGTTAAGACATGGCTTATCATACTTTCGAAAATCATCTCCATAAAATCTACACCAAAAGACATACAAAGAATACATTATCTGAATTATAAAATAGTTGAGACGATTATACAACCATCTGGAGCACGTTTCAATCGCCATAAATGAACGATTCTAAAGTAACCTGTCGGAGAAAAATGACGGGCTTAATTAATATTTTTACAACACGCTGACAACGTTAAGTAATTATCCTAAATAAGCACGATCTCCTTTTACTTAGTGCATATGTTGCTGCTCACATTGCTATACAAAGAAACGTCTACCAAATCGTGACATTAATGTTCAATCACGCCAGGTCATCTATTCAAGCGGAATTTATAGAATTATTTCGTTCATTATTCATTGTAAAATTTATTTAAATTTCGTTCTACTTGTTTGTTTCAGGTTTTTAATCAATAAAGACAATGTAAACATTCCTATTGACAGTGTCGCGATCGAAAAAGAAACAAATGCCTGGCTATGGCATTCATCTTCACAGTAAGCCTGTCATCATCATTATGCAATCAGCATGGAAATGAAAGATATGTAGGAGTGAAATTTTTTCAACGATTCTTCTTTAATCAAGGACTATCAAAAAAGAATCAATTACATTCCTCAGAGCTTTTTGATAATTCAATCAATTGCTTCTATATTTCGCGAAAGTATGACAAACTTTTTAAAATGAAGCTGCAAACAAGTGTTTTAGAGGTAATGAATTTGAGAATGAATTGTAAAAGCATTGTAAAACGTACCCATTCCGTTTTATTTATATGTGAAATGTTTTTCTATCATGCCGTTGCTTAATTTTGTAATATTGATCCGGGAAATCCTGAAGACAATTGAAGGAAAATTTGGAGTGACATTAAAAGACGAATAAGTTTGTTATTTCTAATTGTGTCTGCAATGTGTCTTATGACTCTTATTAGACAATTCCAACTTATATCGTCAAATTCAAATTGAATATCTTGGTCAGAGTTTGATTGATTGTAAATCAAAGTCTTTTTCATTGATTTAGGTGTTGGTAACAATAAGATAGAGAGAGGGGTTCTCATCATTTCTGGTTCGCATCTCCCATGTAAACAGAACTCCGAACCTGGTTGGCAAAAATGACTCATATGTATTTCTCATGGCATACCTTCTTCCCTTTCAAAGTAGCTTTCATACAAATACAAAATGTATTGGTACCTACATACCACCCAATACAGTTGAAACCTTCAATTGAAGATGTACACAGTACAAGTACAACTAACACAGTTTCAACCATGAAATTATGATAGAATGACATGTTTAACGTACGAGTTAGTATGAACTATGCCGGTAAGCAGCTAGTATAAATATAAGCTTGTATAACAGAACGTAAGGTGACGTAGCACCCTGGCAGAAAAAGTTAGGAATGATATTGTTGTGTTGTGTAATATGCACTCAATTACGCGACTTCGCTAACGCTAATTATTTTATTGCCATTTATAGGGTCCAATATTTATGTTGGAAGACGGAGAATCATCAATATCTCTAAATAATGCTCTTATGTGGGCTGAGGTCAATCCATTTTCACCTCTCGCGACAGGTTCAAGAATAAACCCATTCTAAATACCATCCAGTCAAATATAAAACTTTGTTATCAGTTGGTCATTATATAGGAGTTAAGCCTCAGATTATTTGATACGTTTGTTTAAGTTCTTGACTCTGTTTTCCTCACACATTTATAGCGTATTTAACTTGTACGCTATATATCATTTCATAATTTTTTAAAATTATTACATTTGTATTTTGCTGCTAGCTAGGTTATGAAGCGTTGCTTAATTTCATACATAATTTTATGCGTCAATTGTCATAATATTGCAATGTGTGTATGTGTTGAATTGAGAATTGTGTCGTGATTAAACAGTTAAATTTGCCAAAATGTGTTCAGTTTGTTTTTTGAATGTTTACGATCGTACCTTACGACTGCTGCGTAATTTAATTGGTTAAAACTACACCTATGACTTATAAATGGAGGTATGTGCGATGTCACAAGCTTTAATTTATATCAATAGGATGAGGAAGTCATCATCGTTAATCACCGTTTACTGTTAAAATAGATCGTTAGAAAGTCACGACAATGCTTTACCCTGCGTTTCCATGTGCTTTTCTCACAATAATCCTATGTTTGCTTTATATTTATATACTCTACAGCAACGCGCCACATATCCTCATATAATCTTAAGTGTATTAAACGGGATTAACTGCCATGACAGAGGACTTATTTTGTACTGAACAAAGTGGTCATGAACGTCTACCATTTTGAGATGTTTCCTTATTTATGATGCATTTCATCTTTAAGACTTCATCTTTCTAATAACTAAGGGTTTCATATACTTTTGTTGATGCAAAGCCATTAAAATATAAAAGTGATTTGTTGTCATTTAACACCAGTATGGTGCCATAAACGGTGCTATGGAAGAATATTTTATTACACCCCTGTCGGCTTTTACTGAACCCCCCAAAACATTATCTAATATCGCTTGCTATAATTATAAATGAGTTTCTTCAATATCTACAATCCCAAGTCCTTGCGGCTTACGTTGAACAATAATATTTGACAGTTTGAGGAGAACAAAAGCCCTTCAGGGGTTAATTGGTGGCAAGGCATGTTATCGTCTGACAGTTGAGTTGAAATACTTAATGTCTTTACTCTTAAATATGAAATTTAAAAATAATATGGCAGAAAAATTAATAAATTGCAACAACTACCCATGCTATTTCACGATTATTATTACTCGTAATGAAACCTAATGTTATTTTAAAGTTCATTTCAAAGGCGCAAAGCATTTTTGTAATGTGATTCTTTCTTTCTAGACTCCCACGTGATCATTTGCCGACTTTAATTGTGTATTATCTGAACTTATTAAACGCTTGACAATCGTAGCCGTGTGAATAATAATGATACAAGCAAGTTTAACCACGTTTGGAAGTAGTTTAGAGAATTATACGTAAAGCGTAGCGTTAGAAACAACGCCCAGCTTATTTCATATCTTTTAGATCAAAGAATTTCGTATGATTGGTATTTTAAATGCTAAAGTAATCGACTTCATGGCTTTGTTGTTGTACACACACGTCGTATTTTTATTAAATGATCGTGATTAATCGCTGTTGTGTAAAACTTTGAACAAGGTGGATCATTGTAGCATTTAACGATTTGGGGATGCTAGGAATAAGCCATTGAACTTTATGCTGCATCGCATTTGTCTTTGGGTGAAATAACAAAAGATGGGAAACTTGAAATTGGTTCAATTCAAAGTTGTTTCCTGTTGTATGTGTGTTATGTTTCTATGTTTGAATTACGTTTTGGCTGCAAGGAAAACGTTTTACGTTGATGAAGGAAAAGCACCCGGAGAATTTGTTGGGAATTTGAACAGGAACATTACATTCCCAGTACGTCCAAAACCAAAAGATTTCAATTTCAGTAAACTTGGTTTAGTAACTTCATCTGTTCGTTTAGACAGAGAACACAAAGCATCTTATACGTTTACTGTTATTTTGAAAAATGGTAGTTTTATGACAGTGGATATACATGTGAGAGATGTTAATGATGAGTTTCCAACATTTTCATCTAAAAATAAAACTGTGACTATTTCTGAAGCACATAGCATTGGCTATGTATTTAATCTTGATTTATACCTGTCTGATAAAGATATTGGTCAAAATACTGTACAGAATGATAGTGTTCAAATCATCAATGGCAACAATAATGATGTTTTTAAGCTTGATCTCAAGAAACATGGAAATATGTATTCACTTTCTCTTGTGATTTTGAAGAAGCTCAATTGGACTCAACAGAGCATGTATGTCTTAAATTTATCAGCTTCTGATAGAGGAATTCCTAGAAAAATAGGTTACATGTCATTGACTGTCCTTGTTGAAGACTACAATGATTGTTATCCAGAGTTTTCTCGAAAAAGTTATGTGGCTGATGTATCGGAAAGTGTTAAAAAGACTATGATTATTCTCAATGTTACGACAACTGATTGTGACAGTGGAGAAAATGCTGCTGTCATTTATAAGATGAATTATAAGACTTATGATAAAAATCATTACTTTAGTATACAGCAACATGGTCGTACAGGTAACATTTATACAAATATTCAATTGGATTATGAGAAAGTGAAAGTTTATAAACTGCAGGTGATAGCAATTGATAAAGGAAAAATTCCAAAGCGTCGAGAAGCTTTAATAACCATTAATGTTCATGATGAAAATGACAACAAACCTGAAATTGGCTCATTTAAATTTTTCCCAATCAGAGAAGATGCACATATTGACACAAAAGTAGCCGAGATTCCTATTAGAGATAAAGATTCTGGTGAGAATAGTCGATTAAATGTAAGTGTAAGTCATACAAGTTTGTTTGCAATATCAAAGATTTCACATGATATGTATGGCATACACTTAAAGGCACCACTTGATTATGAAAAGCAACAAAATTATCTTATTGTTGTTACGGCTAGAGATAATGGAAAACCTCCTCTTATTTCACAACGTTCTGGGACATTACGTATTTCTGATGTTAATGACATCCGTCCCAGGTTTGACCAACCTTTTTACAAGAGGGATGTAAATGAGTCTGTTGTACCAGGAACTCCCATTCTCATGGTTACTGCTACTGATATGGATGAAGTATCTAATAGAACTTATAGTATTTTAAAAGGAAACTATTCGTTTTGGTTTTCCATCAATTCATCAACTGGTCTTATCTATGTTGCTTCGTTTATTGATTATGAGGAGTCAAGCAAGGTTCTTTTGGTTGTTGAAGTATTTGATGGCAAATTTACTGCAAACTGTACTGTTGAATTGACAATCATTGATACAAATGATAATCCTCCTAGGTTTTTGAAGTTGCACTATGTTATGAAAGTTTTAGAAAACTCAAAACCTGGAGTAGTTATTGGTGATGTTGAGGCCAAAGATGTTGATATTACTTCACAAGGCCATATCTTTTATGGGTTAAGTGTGTCTGCCGATGATATCTTTGCCATCAAGTATACCACAGGTTGTATCTATGTTCTGAAGAAATTAGATCGAGAGCAAATAAACGAGTACAATTTTAGTGTCATTGCATATGATGAAGACAGTTTGAGCAATAAGGCTACAGTTACTGTTATAGTGGAAGATGTCAACGACAATCCACCATTTTTTGAAATCACGTCCTATAAAGTTGAAGTGTTTGAAAATGTAACTGTTGGAACAGATTTACTTAAAATGAAAGCTAGTGATTATGATATTGGTTGGAATGCAGAGATATCGTATGAAATAACTTCTGGTAACATTCATGATACGTTTTGTGTGGATAAAGGTAATAATATGTTAAGTTTGAAAAAAGAATTGGATCGTGAGACAACAGATAGATACCAGATAAAAGTGCGTGCCATTGATAATGGAGGATTAACATCACTTAATTATGCTACAGTAGAAATCATTGTAAAAGATGTCAATGATGATCCTCCTAAATTCAACAAAGTTAGCTATAGCTTTGATGTTGAGGAGAACTGCAGTCAAACTGTGTATGTTGGTATGGTATCTGCAAAAAGTTGTGATAAAGGATCTGGAGCTATAATCTCATATTCAAGCAAAGATGCTCAGCAACATTTTTATGTGAACGATTCTGGTGCTATATTTGCTAAACCATATTTGGATTATGAAACTCAATCAATTTATGAGTTGTTGATAACAGCTCAAGATCACGGCATTCCCCCCCTGTCTGGTTTTGTAAATGTCACTATTCATGTTCTTGATATCAATGATAATGCACCCGTTTGGGATGATTACAGTCCATGTGTAAAAGTGATGGAAGATGAAGCTGTTGGTGTTGTATTCCATGTTTTTAATGCATTTGATCCTGATAGTGGTTTGAATGCTAAGGTATCCTACAGTGTTGTATCTGCACCTGAAAACATTTTCAGCTTAAATTCTGAAAATGGTCAAATGACACTGATTCAGTCTATTGACTATGAAAGGGTTCATTTTTATAATTTGATTCTCAATGCTTCAGATTCTGGTGTTCCAATTCAATGGTCATTAATAAAAGTAAATGTATGCATTATTGATGTGAACGACAACAGACCAATTTTGCATAATTCTTCTGTTACAATTAAAGAGAGTCATCCAATCCACGAGTCAATATATACTTTTCATGCAGTGGATAAAGATAGTGGAAAGAATGGAGAGATATGGTATAAATTTTATGATATGGTAAACACAGACTTTTTTAAGCTTAGTAGACATGGTGTTTTGTCTCTCAAAAAGCCACTTGATCGTGAAAAACAAGATAGACACAACGTGACTGTTCTTGCTGGTGATCTCGGGTCACCAATCCTCACATCATCCCCAGTAACCCTAACAATCATTGTAGAAGATGTAAATGATGAAGCACCGGCCTTTACTAAAAATTTTAGATTCATAACGAAAGAAGAACAAGCAAATCAAACGGTAATTGGCAAGGTCAAAGCTGTAGATAATGATATTGGCAGAAATGCAGAGATTGAATACAGCCTGGTAAATTGTACCGACTTTACAATAAATCCTGTTACTGGTGAAATTAAGAACAACGTAATATTAGATAGAGAAAAGATTGGCGTTTATGAAGTGCAAGTTAGAGCTTCTGATAAAGGGGATGTTCCACTACACAGTCAAACCGTAATCCGTATTGACGTTGAAGACATTAATGACAATCTTCCAAAGTTTACAAAGACGCATTATTACGAAAGCGTTGCTGAAAATCAGGTAATTGGTTCGAAGGTATGTCAAGTTAAAGCCTTAGATAAAGACGATGGTAAAAATGGTGAAGTAAGTTATTTCCTAAACACAGGCGCCACACAAGCTAATGTTGAAATGTTTCAAATTAATAACATTTCCGGAAATATATATCTTATAAGGGAACTGAAAAGGGAAGTTAAAGAACTTTTCGTATTAAGCGTGATCGCGTCGGATAATGGAAGTCCCAGTCTTGAAACAGTTTGTTCTGTTTTCGTCACTGTTCTTGACGTAAATGAGTTCAAGGTTCAAAATGACACAATATATATTTCTGAGAAAACTCCGGTGGGGTCTGTAGTGTATTGGGCGAATGCAACCGACCAAGACGAAGGTGAAAATGGCAACATAACCTATTCCATCGCAAAAAAATCGTCAGTTTTCACGATAGACACAAAATCTGGTGGTGTTATTTTAAACAAGACTCTTGATTATGAAAAAACTAAACAGTATAGTCTTCAAATAAAAGCATCTGATGGCGCTAAGAGAAATCCAAAAAAGAACATTCTTAGGTTATACATCAATGTTCTCCATTCAAATGATAATAGACCGATTTTTGATGAAAATCCTATCAATACAAACGTATCGGAAGGTGTACCGCCGGGAACTAAGGTGCACAAACCAATAATTGCTAAAGATATGGATTCTGGAATAAACAGCCGAATTTTTTATTCCATTGAAAGTCAGACTCCCAAAGCTGCATTCATAATTGATCCGTTACATGGTCAGCTGAAAACAGATGTGGAAATAGACCGAGAAGATGTGGAAAAATATTCACTTACTGTAAAAGCTGTTGACCAGCCTGGTGATTTTTCTCAAAGAAAATTCAGTACTGTTACCGTGAATATTTCTGTATTGGATATAAATGATTGTGTTCCAACGTTTACATCATCAAATGAGTCATTTATGATGGAAGATGAACCCGTAAACTTCACTGTGTTTGAGTTTACTGCTAAAGATGAGGATTTAGGCCAAGGAGGAAATGTCTCCTTTAGCATAGTTAAGGGAAATGAGGATAAGAGATTTTATTTATACCCGTATGGCTCTATGATCTTGTTGAAAGCACTTGATAGTGAAAAAGTTGACAGTTATGAATTTCAAATTAAAGCTACTGATCATGGATCACCTCCGCTGTCCTCGACAATCTCATTTAAACTATCTGTTATAGATGTGAACGACAATATGCCCAGTTTTGAAAAGTACATTTATGAAGCACAGGTGCTAGAGAATAAAATTGGTATTCATGTGTTAACAGTGAGAGCGACCGATAAAGATAGAAGCAAGAAATTAACCTACAGCTTGCCAGCAGGTTATTTTAATGATGTTTTCATTATTGACGAATATACTGGTGAAATATCTACAAACTTTCCACTGGACCGAGAAAAGAAAGATAATTTTCAACTTACTGTGTATGTGAAGGATAATGGTGATCCCATTTACCTTGACAGGACGTTGGTGACTGTGCATGTTTTAGATGAAAATGATAATCGCCCTACAACGCTAGACAACCATCATGAAATATTGGTGCCCGAAAACAGCCCTCTGGGTTATGTTTATACCATAATTGCTCATGACTTCGATCTAGGAAATAACTCGCGTTTACAATACAGCATTTACGAAGGAGGTCGGCATTTCTTTCATATCGACAGTAACAGTGGTGTTATATCAACTGCAATTAATCTTGATCGTGAATCAATTTCAACGTTTGATTTGCGTATTAGAATTAAAGATCAGGGTAGACAATCTTTAACAACTATGACTTATCTTTCAATCCGTGTCAAAGATGAAAATGATAACAGTCCCGAATTCAATAAAAGTGAAATATTTATAAAACTGGCGAGTAACAGCCAACCAGGAACTGAAATTACAACGATAAAAGCAAAAGATAAAGACGAGGAGTCAAACTCATACATCACGTATAGCTTTGGTAGTCACAAACAAATACCATTTGGTCTCGATTCCAGAACTGGTAAGCTGTATACTTTAAATTATTTAAATGCTAGCAAGCACGACTCATACAATTTCACTGTACGAGCAAGTGACGGGAGCAAGTCTGGAGCCCGTAGTGGAATTATAAAGATAAATGTTGTTGTCGATCAGATCACGGCCATTCCATTGCGGTTTACGAAAACTTTGTACAAGATTCATCTTGTTGGCAAAATCAAGGCCAATGTGAAAATCCTGCAGCTACAACTAAATAATGAATATTTACAGCCAGGTGATGTTGAGTATACGGGTAGTGGTCAAAAAGTTCTTGCTGTTGGCTCTTTCAATGGCAATGTTAGTTTTACAGAAGATCCTATGTCTGGTGCTTACTTATTTAGTGTAAAGGCTACTTTGAAATATCAACCTGATATGACGGCAGTTTGCTTTGTGCTTGTAACTGTAAATCGTACTATGTCTCTTGAAAAATTCTCTCAATCATCATACAGTGCAACCATTGACGAAAACTATCCCACTGGCAAAATTGTTCTTCGCGTAAAACCTACGAAATCCAGAAATTTCACTTATGAAATTTTTAATGGTAATGATTTTGACGCCTTTGAAATTGATACCTACGGTGATATCAAAGTGAAAAACAAAGAAGCTTTGGATTATGAAAGGTCTCATAGTTTTCTACTTGATGTGAAAGGATGTTGGGGAAATAACATCACAAATATTATTTTTACGAAAGTTTTGATAAATATTCGTTGTGTTTACGACAAAGCCCCCGTATGCAGACAAAAAGTGTTCATTTCCCACATTAATGAAAGTAGTTCAAGTCACATCTCGAGTAACCAGTTTGTGACAAAGTTGTTAGCGTTTAGTTATAACAATATGAAAGTATCGTTCAAAATAGTTTCTGGAAATGAAGACGATGTGTTCTTACTAGTGTCGTCATCGGGGGATCTGTTTCTTAAAAAACCTGTTCGCTACGAAGAGAAAAATTTTTACAACTTAACAATTAATGTCCTTGCGAATTCTCTATCATCCACGTGTTATGCACATGTGCACATATCCGACGTGAACAACAATGCGCCTAAACTACCTAAACAACTTCGATTTACCATTCACGAGAGCAGTCTACCAGGAAGTCATGTTGGGAAAATTAATGCAACTGACATAGACGAATATTCCTCCTTCACCTTTCAGTTTCAAAATAAGCAGCAACGTAGCGGTCCATTCCTCATTGATCGTTATTCTGGTATTTTGCGTTTATATGATGCTGTCGATTTTGAAATGAAACAAAACGTTTATCATTTAGTGGTGAGTGTTAGCGATGGTTTGTATGTTGATCAAACAAATATTACCGTAATTGTTTTGGATGACAATGATCATACACCTGTGTTCGAAAAGTTTTCATATTATGTAAAGCGGCAAGCACCAATAGCCAAAGGCTCTCTTTTAGCTCGAATCAATGCTACGGATGGTGATGAAGGAAACAATAAATACATTACTTATGGTATGAGTCCAAATCATGAAATTGGAATACATAATAAAACTGGTGAAGTTTATACCTTAACAAAAATATTGTATAACAAACACTTTGTCGATGTTATCATTACTGCTAGGGACCACGGATACCCCGAGCTGTACTCTCAAGTTCCCTTTCGCCTCAGAATTCTATTCGTGAACACCATCCCACCAGATCTTGAGAATGTTACTCAAGCAATTGTTCCGGAAAATGCTGAAGTTGGAACCGAAGTTATCAAGATAAGACCGTTAAATTCCTATCTTTTTGCTCCTAACAAGCGTATTTCATTTCAAATACTTAATGGTAATGCATTGAAAATGTTTCTAATTGAAGAAAGAACTGGTATTATTCGTGTGAGGCGCACGTTGGATCGTGAGACAATATCTCTTTATAATCTCGAGGTGATAGCCAAGGATGGTAAATTGTCTGTTTCTAATCGAATAAAAGTGTATATAACGATAGGAGACGTCAACGATAACTCGCCAATCTTTAAGAAAAATCAATTTTATGAAAGTGGTTCGTATGTCAATAGATTAAGTGAAGATGAGAAGATCGGTTGTCTAGTGCTTACTGTCGTTGCAACAGACAAAGATATTGGAAATAATGGTATGATTGGTTATTCCATAAGTTCTGGAAATAGTGGTGGTTGGTTCTCCATAAATAATTATGGTAATTTGCGTTTGGCCTCTTCTCTGGATCGTGACGTAATTCCAATTCATCGTTTAGCTGTTAGAGCAACTGATCACGGTAATTTTTTTCTTATATTTTTTTCACGTTTATATGGGCCTTTTTTTACGAAGAAAATTTAGGCATCAATGCTTTTTTTGTTACGGTCGAGCTTATTAGAGTTCAGTTTCCAACATGCGTGTTGCGACAAATTGTAATTTTTCATCTAAAATGTTTAAGGACATATTCGAAAGGCGCCTTGCCTTAAATGGTCCATATATTGCAAAATGACTTATTTAACTATGTAAACAGTTCACTGGTGGGGGGAGGGTCGGGTCGCATTTGGTTTGTTTTTTTATGACGTCTTTTCTATTTCTAATAGGAACACCGCCTAGAGCATCTGATATATCTGTAATCATTTATGTGGCAGACGTCAACGACAATGCGCCAATATTTGTTTCGCCCAAAGATCTTGGTGTTAAAGAGAATTCAGTGATAGGTACATATGCTGGTTGTATAATTGCTAAAGATATGGATTCTGGTGTCAATCAATCTATCAATTATTCTATTGTGGGAGGAACAGGTTTGTATAGATTTACAATCGAGCGAAAAACTGGTAAACTTTTGACTTTAGTAGAGTTTGATTATGAGGAAAAATCATCTTATACTCTGATCGTAAAAGCACAAGATCTTGGTTCTCCTCCGAAGTCCAACAATGCTACTGTTGTCGTGCCCATCTTTGGAGTCGACGAGTTCGAACCGAAGTTTGAGAAAAACAGTTACGAATTCCTTGTGACTATTAAGAAAAAGAAAAATGACATTATTGGTCGTGTTTTTGCTTCGGATATGGATGATGGTCCCGATGGTGTAGTCGTGTACAATCTGCGAAACCCACCTAATGATTTGGTGGCTGTTAACAACTCAACTGGTGTTCTTTATCTTACCGAGAACGTTGTCGATTTTTTTAAACGTAAAAGACCAAAAAGGAGCACAGACGATTTTGATACAAAATATCAATATGTTATTGTTGCTGGTAATGGCAAGCCTGACTCAAAAACAAGCAGTGTTTATGTGTCGATATTCTTTAATTCTACTGTTCTTCCACCTGAAAACAACGATTCTTCTGTCTCTGACTCAGTGCGTACGACATACATTGCAATTGCTGCCGTTGTATTTGCTGCTATAATTATTCTTCTTATTTTGTTCTTTTGGAAATGCAGACGGAAAGAAGGAAGCGATACGAAGAAAGCTAGCGAGCAAATGGTTTTGAGACCACTGCCTTCAAAAATAAGTACAAACTCAACGAGTGAAAACGGTTTAATCAATAAATACGGGCATGTGCCAACAAGTGGATCAAACTCATTGTCATCTTTTAATCCTGGTAGTAGTTCTTCTGACAATAGTTGTGTGGAGACTAGTCGACTTAATGCTTATAATAAGAAAAAAATAAGCTTAAACAACACCGATTCTGGAATTCAAACCAATTCACTTCTGTATGATCTACCTGACTCGAATGTGCACCACAGTGACGGCGCAATATCTTACGATGTTTGTTCGGACAGAACAGATCACATTGTTTCCCATCTACAAAGTATTGAATCTCTTCACGATTTTGATGACGAGGGAGGTAAAGAAGCCAGTGCAGGTTTAGACGTTGGGAATTTGCTTTATGCAAAATGTGCGGAGGCTGATGCTGAGGAGAATGATGAGGACCGTCCTAGAGTGTTCAAGTTTGAAGGACGACCTGATTACGCGGGCTCATTAAGTTCTATCCTTGGAAGTCATGAAGAATTACGTGGACATTATAATGGTTTTTATGAACTAAATCAAGTTCCTCAGTACCAACCTCTCTCAGAAGTATTTTCAGAAATAGGTCGTTTACCCATAAATGAACTTGAAACTTCAATGAATGACGACATTTCAACCCGGACAAGCATGCTATCGTCAATATCCTCACTGCATAACCAACATTTAGATTGTGAATTGACATTTTCTTCCCTGCCTATGACACCAAACTTTACACCAGCTTTTACACCGTTATTAACAAGATCTCCTTCGTTATCTCCTTCAACTTCAGAAATCACAACGCCAGTGGCATCCCCTTCACCATCCAGACCTTCGTCTATGTTTCTACAACATTTAAAACCATCGTCCTCTCTTATTCATTTAGCTGAGCAAGAGGCCTGTAAAGTTAACTTGCAAGAAGATGTATGCGTGTGAGAAGCATCATTATGCTCATAAATCTATGTTTTTAATATCAGTGTATTGTGAAATAGTTTAAACATATCTCGCTATACGTTTGTACATCTGCTTTTAAATTTTGACGTATAGTATTTTATTTCTTGTATTATTTAGAAAATCGTAAAAGCAAAGCAATATATATTATATTAAATATAGCATTTTTAGAAAACCTTATAATACATTTAATATGTTGGAAACCTTGGGAATTTTTTCATAATTTTGTTGACTGAGGCTTTCATTCGTTTGCATTCAAATGGATTTGAATCAGTTGATTCACAATCAATGCAATGTTATTTTTACCAATGCATCTGCAAAGTTTGTTGGAGTTTTATCGGTGTAATGTTGCTAGCTCCTATTCCACCTTTCATAGTTGTGGTCATAGTATGAGAATGTAAGCTGACTGGCCTGGTAGCATAGCATTGACCTCAGTGCCTGGTCGCGTTAGCAACTGGCGAGATGTATTTCAAATTTCAAATCGACTATTTACTGAAAATGTTTGCTTTCAACAGTTTATTTTCACGATTGATTCAGTCAAGATTCATATAAAAAAGAATTTAAATGCATAGCTCTGATAACAGAAACGAAGAGCAACCGGAATATGAACATGTAATCAGTTGTTAATAATAATATGTTCCCTTGTGACGGTATATTTATAAATAATTTTCTGCTTTTTTCTCTCTACGTTTATTGCAGGCATATTTTAAATTTTATGCTGACATCCCTGACAAAGTCAACCACAATAGACATGCTAGCTCTTCCAGGAATGGTAAATTATGAATTATTTTTAAAATTATTAAATTGACCATCGAGATTTTCCTCCTCTATAAATAAGAGTGTCTCGTATACTACATTGAAAAGTGTATTTATGAACCTAATGCCATCCCAATAGAATATCCTTTCTGAAATTGTTTTAGTAAATTAAGAGTAAAAGATCATACAAATCAATGCAAACTCACTAAATATATCAAGCTACACTCACTTAATGACTCTGATTGAAGTTAATGGTTTTTGTATCATTTTGAAAAAATATAAGTAATACAAGCATAACTTTGATGTGTACAATTTACTTTTATTTTTATTTTTAAGTGGAAAACCTATCACATGAAACTTGTGTAGAATCTCCGTCATTCATAAATAGTATGCTCTTGAGCTCACAAAAAGATAAAAATTCTAATGTAAGTTGTTGCATTTTCAGATGATGTACAGATAAAGTATTTACTAACTTGTTTTTATTTTTACAAACAGAAAATGTTTGGCAAAAGTGAGCTACATAAAGTTTACCAAGAGTTACGAGTTATAAGCCAAAGGTTAAAGGTACGTAATGTACATTGTATCCAAACCAATCTTATGTAATTTGTGACAAGTAAGTAAGCTTAAATTGAGAAAATTATGAATGTTGGTGTTATTCATCTCAAAATAATATTTACCCTACAAGTCAGGAGATCATGTTAAAGTTAGTCAGGAGATCATGTTAAAGTTGGCCAGGACATAAAGCTTTTTTCTGTCGTTTTTTTTCAACACCATTTTTTCTCTGGATGTGAGTTGGTGATCATGATCCTCCTTCTAATCTTGCTATCCAATGCATCTTGTCTTCTCAAACCCTTTTCGCTAAGCCTCTTATTAATAACCTCTCTTTCCCCCCTCTTAACCTCTTATTCACTTTCTACTAACAGACTCAGGATTCCAAACCCTGCTTTACCCATATTTAACCCTGCTTTACCCATATTTTTTTCACAAAACATGGCTATACCAACAGATTATATTGTTCCATTACTGTCACAACATTTCATTTTACTTCTTTTCTTCTTTTTTTTTTTGTCTACTCATCTGTTCTATGATTCATAGCTTACTACCTCTAACTGCAGATTGATGCAATCATGGCTTCAAATTGTCCTGTAGTGTTTATACACACATGACAATGCAATCATATTTATGAAGCAGCTTTAAAGCCGATTTGAGGTTTCATGTAAATTAGTTCAATAACACCTGTTAAAATATCTGGTTCTTGTTGGCATTAGAGTAGCTTTAACTTTTTGCATTTTTTCATTATATCAATCAAGGTTTACTATTTTTGATGGCCATATTTCAATTTATATGTTCAACTTTCATAGAAGTATAAAACAGCCAACTACCTAAGAAAACTTTTCTTTTTAAGGCATTGATCATCTTGTTGTTTGTTGAAAATTTCATTTCTTTCTTATCACAATTTTCCTCAGAACGAAACACATCAACTACAGTTGTGGGAAAAAGAGTTATGTGAACGAGAAGCTATTTTAAAGGATCATGAAGATAGTTCAACACAGCAAGACTTGATTCTTAATGAAAGATTTGAAAAAGAACTTCAAGCTCAATGCAGTATCATCAATGAAGTATTTACGTGATGACTTTAAAATATATTGATTCATACCTTTGTCTAAAAGCTCGTTTTTATTTTAGGAATATCAAGATCAAATTATTCAACTCCAGAAAGTCATACAAGAGAAATCTAAAGAGGCAAATCGCCTTCGCGATTCATTTAATACCATTAGATCGACTCACGAAGAGCTACGAAAAGAAGTAAGGTCATCAGAAAGCTCATAAAACGCTAAGTTTATTTCCATACTATAAGTAGCTACTGTACGTATTAAAATTTGAAAGGAGTTTTGTGGTAATGAATAGGTCATCTCCAGAATCTTTCTTTTTCTTTGCAGTTTGTGAAAGTAAAAGATCAGAACAGATTTCTTGAAAGTCAGACATTGAGTTTACAACAAAGACTTAACAATCTTGTGGTACGAACTCGTCCTGTTTTTATTCATTATGATAGTAAAGTATGGTTAGGCTATATTGTTATGTAATAAAACTTTGTAACATGGTGATGCTTACGATAACTTAAGAAAGGCACTTTGAGAATTATGGTCATCTTATTCCATGATTCATTCCTTCCACGTGACGTAAAACATCATGAACATTTCCACTATTTTATGACTGATTTTTATTCCAAGAAAAAAAATACATTTTGAGAATTCAAGATTAGATCATGAAATTTTCATCGTTATATATGTCAAGCAATACGGCCGATACCTTTTATTTTATAATATTTTTTACTCAGCGCAAGAATGAATATGAAGCAAAGAAACAGAAGGAAGCCAAATCTGACAAAATGGCAGATGGAAAGGTTTTATTGACAGAGAAAAATAACAATGGTATGACATGTTTTTAGCGAGTTTGTCTTTCGTTTTGATGATGGATGAAATAGCATAAGCAAGTGTTCATGTCTATTTCCTTATGTTTTTAGATACCTTTTTAAGAATGTCAAGTTCTTCCAAGGTAATGTCAATGATTAATTTAATGATGTAACTTTCTATTCTATCATTGTACCCCAATGTGCACCAATATACTCAAATGTACACCAATGTGCACCGATGTACTAAAATGTACACCAAAGTAAAAAGCATACAACTAGGAACAACCCTGTAACAAAGGTGTAAACTTGTCTTAATGCTATCTCAATGCTAACTTGTCAACAAGATGTTTCAAGTTTGTTTCAACCAATTTTTTGTACAATATCGAGACGATGTGATGTGAGCATCACAATGTGTTGATACAAATTATTGTCTTAAAAAGAGCAAATAATTTTAAATTTGTCACCACGACACAGCTCTATTTTACAAATTATTTTACCCCTTGTCTGCACGTATTTTTTTATTCACTAATTTCATTTTTAGTGCATGGGAACTGGTTATTTAGACTTCATGATGCATGAATCAAAATAAAACGGCAGTTAATGGAGGAATGAAATAAATTTATGAAACATTTTATGGTTGATTCAAATTACTAGTGAAAAGACGTGTTTTTTTAAACTTTGCATTATCCTTGAATCCGAAGTTTTCCAGCAAGTTTGTCAATTTAATAATATATCTCATTCTGCATCTTTTTGATATGTAGTTGAGTGTCTCAGGAATTCTTGATGTGTTGTCATGTCTCTTCATATGGATTTCTGATTTTCAACTTGACGCTCGCAAACTAACGTCAGAACTAGAAACGCCAAATGAAGCAGTCTATGGTAAATGTTTTAAGGTAATATAAACAGCAAATAGTAATTTTTATTCCACTGGTTGGAAGGCCATATCGCGACTGGATGGTATACTGTATGGCAGAACAATATACTGTATGGCAGGACCATGTATTAGATGATTATATATTACTTATTGCAAAAAATATGATTTTTCTTCTGATGTTTAGATTTTACCACCATTGGCGGATTTACTATCATATCTTCCTGCTGTCAATCCGAACTGTGTTCATCCTCTCTTGAAATTTATTTATTCAGTCATTTTCTACATGGAAAACTCACCACAAGGAACACAGGTAAAAATTGTTAGTCTCGTAAGCAATTGCACAAATTAGTTGAACAGTACTTTAGAAGCGCGGTTTTTACTTTCTAGAAACCTTTGCTATTATCCACTCTGCGAAGAATTGGAGAGGAATTATACAAACCTGAGGTATTTTATAACACACTAACATTATTTGAGTTTTGCAAACATTACTTATTTCATCCATTGTGTTTTGTTTCAATAACGACGTTGCACGTGGCTATTAGCCAATCAAAAACCTGAATAATAAAAATTCTTCCACTGTGAATAATTCATGCCAAAGGAACCTTTTGGAATAAGTTGGTAGCTCATTGGATAATTTGAACTTAATTTTAACATTTTATGTAATTTTAGATAACAAAGCTGGCAGATAACCGTACTGAGACGAAAAAACGTAGAAACAAAGCTCAGATCTATATACATAGTTCTAACCTGGAGGAACGCATGCTGTCTGCATTGATAATACTGAAAACTCTAACACAAGGTTGCTCTTAAGTCTTAATATAATTAATTCTAAAATTTTAGTTAGAATTATTTTCTTTTCAGCTGATTATCTATCTCATACTTTTGATATTTTGAAGTGTGATCTCCGAGAGGAACAGGTCTGGTATTGAACAAAACCTTTTCAACTTTCTTGTTTTGAGCACTTCGTAATATTTAAAAAACATTTTAATGTCCAAAGGGTAAACGACTGTTTCTTGATGACAATGGACTTCAGGTTATTTTACTATTTATGAAACCGAAAAACAAGGTAAGTGTTCTTTAAATGATTCATCCAGCTTTGCTCAAATCATATAAAACCTGTCTTGCTTGAAATGCTAAACCTTAGAGATATCTTAATCTTTGATTTCTGATTACGAAATTTGCAAATACAATGAAAAATCTCACATTTGAAAGTCTCACATGAAATCATGACTCTTGCTGGAATCTCTTTAGAATAACTTATTTTTTCGAAGGTTTTGCTGGAGTTTGCTGTTGACGTCATGTTACAAATGTCGATGGATTCAGGTTGAATTTAAAAGAAAATTGTCTAAAATGGGCATTAAACATAAGTTATTCCCGGCATGTGTCATTTGATTCAATTATTTGCCATGCGTTTGTTGTTTTAAATGAAACTCGAAGCTGTTTTTTCTTTAGTAAGTCAGTATTTGGGCTTTGATGCGTAAAATGAACGTATTATGTATATTTCTCATTGAGCAATAATGTATAAACTGTAGTAACTAACAACTTAAGCTAATCAACTAAAATTTTTAAATTGTTTTACTTGTAGCACATAAGATGCATGAAAGTCCATGAATGTTATATAGTTTTATCATTTATGATAAACAAAACATACGTAGCTAGTTATATCCCTCAGGCCTGTACTAATTTACCAAGGTTAACCACATCTCTTTTCTTAACTGACGCCATTCATATAACTAATGGTCTATTTTAAATAGTTGCATTAAAATTGTGTTTTTGCTAAAATACACTATAACTTTCTTTTCAGTTGTGGTCGATGATTTTCTTGAATGCTGCAGTACTAGTGTAGTTTTTAACGTGCTTTCCAACTTACTTAATGAAAAGGAACTTGAATTGAAAATTCTTGAGAAGCTTAGCATTATTTTGCAAAGACTTTCAAAGATTAAGTATGAATTCATTTTTATGTTTGTGTCTCAGATATGTTTTATCAGCGACAATTATTGCTCATTCTATTTCATGATTTTCTAGGAATAACAGACGTTTTTTTGAAGCTTTTCAACTTGTTCCCGTATTAGACGAACATCTTCGACAAAATGATTCAGAAAATGCTTTTTTGTCTTTAAATCTACGATCTGTGTTGGTGAATCTAAATATTGTTAAGACTTGAGGATTTTCCTTTCACAATGCTTCGTCAAAAGAATCATGGAAATCGGATATAAATTTTGTAAAGCCATTAACAGGCTGTTCCCCGCCCCCCTCTGGGTTCATATCTGAGCATGCCCAAAAAATTTTTTATGTATATTCGGGTGATTTGCTAATCAGAATTTAAATCTCGTCTCAGTTCAACTTTTTTTTGTGCAGAAAAATGTAAACACGACTAAAATTGTACCAATTAAGCAAACACTTTTTTCAATACAAATCTTTTTTTGAACTTTTCCATTGATTGCGACTTCTTTATTGATCGCAAATGCTTCTTAAAATTTGTTTAGCTTCTGGAGGATAAATGATCTGCTGACAGCTTTATGTAATGGAGCTTGTATTTTTTCGACATTTATACTTTATGTTGCCTCGTCTTTTATTTGAACGTAAAAGTTTTGTAAACGGCAATTTTTTTACTGCACATCAGCATATCATTTGGTGTGGTTCATAATGTTGGTGAATGATATTTGTGAATTAGGTCAAGATAATGCTAAAGTGTTACTCAAATAATAGCAAAGATGTGTTTGGGTTGCGTTATTTTGTCGACCATGAAACGGTTCTTCCTGTTTCTGTGGGTTTTTCTTCATTATCAAATCATATGCTTCTCCAAATTATGCCTCTGTTTTTTTGCATTGTATATCTTGAATATCTACGTCGTGTTTTTACCAAATGAAAAAAAGAGAATTGTGAAGCTATATCATCAAGAAATTTTTTCAACCCAGTTGCGTTTTGCATATAATGCCTACTTACAGTAACGTACCCACCAGTGTTATATAGTGTCTTTTTCTCGCAAAGATTATTTGTTCTTCTTTTTACGTTTGCTAAAATTTTTATTCATTTTAAATAAACTATTGGCAGTGCTGCAGGAAAAGATAAAGTTTTCTAGTCATCGTAAACCTTTAAACCACTATGTTTATAATAACAGTGCAAACTTGATTAATACTTTCTATAACATTTGTATTCTACTATTACCCAGATTTACAGCCCAGTTCCTAAAAATATCTTGTATCATAATTATAATGTTATTTATTTAAATGTGAATCAGTATTTTAATTATTACTTATATATTAATGAAATTTCTAACCATATAAATATTTTCTTGACAAATGCTCATACCTCACACTACATTTGATGGTGATACACTGGTGAAATTTGGTGTTTTTCGTTTCGTGTCTTGTTAAATTATCAAGTATAGGTTGCTATTTAGTCACGTGACCGTTATGATTTATCAGATTTTGTGATGAGGAAACGGACTCTGAATCTACTGCCACTCTTTTCTCATCTTTTGCTTTAGTTTTTGCTTCATTCTCTGTAAGTCTCTGGAAAAGCAAAACAGGAGCAAATTTTATTTGAAAGCAAAATTTAAGATAGTTGTACAAAGCGTGTGCTACAAATAAAAATTTAATTACTTTTTTATGCCGCAACTGTTTGAAAAAAATTGGTCATTGTTGCATGATGATATTTGAAAATAAATAAAGGCCTACCTCAGATATATTTATGTTGGAGCTTTACCTTATTGTTCGATGGCAATAATGCAATAAAATCATTTGATCTAGACGATCGTTCTGAGTCTGTTGCTCCCATAGATGATTCTCTTGATAATGATTCACTTGTCTGAACATTTGGAGAATGTATGTTTTGACGTTCATAAATTTTCTCTTCAAAGAACATTACTTTTTCCAGTATTTCTGCAGCCATTGGAGTATTTGAACGAAATCTAGTATACCATGCACGACCATCTGTCAGTGATAGAAATTCGGAACTATTTTTTGGATTGGATTCTTTCTTATCAGTTAAAGAACTTTGAGAATCAATCTTTTGTGTTACTGGGTGATTTTTATTTTGTGATTTTTTAAGAAGTTTCTTATCTTTGTCTGTCATAACTGAAGTTGGAATTGAAACAGTAATAGTTCCGTCTTGTTCGTCGATTTTTTCCAAGGTCCATGGACCATTTGGGTTTATTTTTACGTTTTTTATTGATTTTTCCTTGTTGAAATGCAATTGATTTATACCTTTGACGTTTTGACTGTTTTCAATTGAAGTTTTTGGTATATATGTGTCAATGAGATCTCTCTCGTGGTAATAATCTCTATCTGTTGTAGCTGAAGTTGGAATTGAAACTGTGATAGTTCCAGATTGTTCGTTGATTTTTTCAACCGTCCACGGACGATTTGGGTTTATTTGCACGGTTTTTGTTGACTTTTCTTTGTTGAAATACGCTTGATTAAAACCTTTATACTCTTGGTTATTTTTACGAGAAGCTTTTGATACATTTAAGTAAGACAGATCTCTCTCTTGGTCGTCATTGTGAGTTTTCTCTGATTCTAAACTGTTTACTCTTTCATTTTCTTGCAGTTGATACATTGTGTTAAAATATGGATTGCGTCCGGGTGATACGTTTTGCTCGGTGGGTGCCATGTGTCTTGTTACAATATTACCGTTATTGTCAAGCAATGATATTCCTTGGAGCATTTTTGCATCTTCATTTCTTTTGTTGAAATAGAGATGGTGATCAGATTGAAATCTATACTTCTCATTCGCAAATAGATTTTCATCTAAAATGTTCACATTGTGCTGGCTAATGATAGGTGAAGAACGAATTTTTGGTATGACATGATTTTGTGTTTCATTTTCATGTCTTCCTTGCTGTTCTAGCACTGATGGATACCAACTATCATGGTGATTTTCTTTGTACAGCTGTGATTTCTGCTGGACGTTCATATTTGCTGGGAGAAAAGGAGATGTAAGAGGAACATTGGAGCTCATTGGAGGATTTTGTGATGAGTAAGCGTTCACATTTTCACGATTTCTATCATATGACGTTGCAGGCCAACTATTTCTTTCTTGATGAACACGACTTGTATGAAGAAAATTTAGGCTCATTGGAGGATTTTGTTTTGGATACATAGTGACATTTTCGGGATTTCCATTCGATGGCATATTATGCCGACGATTTCCCTCTTGATGAACATGAGATGTATAAGGCACATATGGGCTCGTAGGAGAATTTTGTGTTGAATAGACTTTCACATTTTTATGGTCTCTGTCCGAAGGCATACTATGCCGATAGTTTGTTTCTTGTGGACTCTGAGATATGTAAGGAGCATTGGAGTGTATTGGAGGATTTTGTGTTGAATAGATGTACACATTTTCATGATTTCTATCCGAGAGCGTGCTATGTCGACGATTTGTTTCCTGAAAATCCTTAAAATAACATTTGCAAAGCAATATTTAATGTTTGTCAGACGAAAATGTGGGTCATTTATCGTTAGGCTTCAAATCCTGTTGTGTTATTTATGTCTATTTACTGAGTTTAATTTCTTTATTCTGTTTAACTTTCGTACAATTAGAGTGAAAAAATGTGGCAAGAGATAAGCAAAAACTAATCTTGAATGAAAACTAAAAGGTAGCAAATAATCATATTATTTGTTACCTTTAACTTTTATGCCTATACTCTTATGATTTATACTCTATAATTTTATGAATCATATTTTATACTGTTAGTGAAAAAATAATACCTAAGACTTCACCTGATTATAAACATTCATTCTCTGCTGATTGTTTGATGGAGTTGCTTGATTTAGCCAGGGCATATAGCTGTTCCATGTAGATAAATAAGAGCTGTTTGGATCATTTGGCTCCACTCTCTCAAACACCTCATTTTGACCATCTGGAGCATGATGTTTGAGCTTTGAATGATTTTGGTCTTCTTGTTTTTCATTAAAGAAGCTTTTTTTTCTTCCTCGACTTTGACTTTTTTCATTGGTTTTCTTTCCTGACTTTGAAGAAGAAGACTTGTCTTTCTCTTCCTTTTTTGTTGATTCACTTTTTGATAAATCAGATTGATCCGAGGAATCACTTTCGGATGATTTCTGACGCTTTTGCTTCAGTCTCTTTTGTGATAAGTTTGATGCATCTTTTGTTTCTTCCCTATTGTTTTTTAGAATAATATTGTTGATTTCCTTGTTATCATTGCCGTTGTTGTTCTTTGTCTTGATATTTGTAGTATTTTCGTCAAATTCAGTTGTTTGAAAAACATTGAATGTTTCATCACTAGTCTTTTTTATTTCGTTGATATTCTCCATTATTTCTTGCAATGTATGTTTAATGGTTTTTACATCGTCAGTAAGCTCCTCTTGAATGCTTCTGATTGAATTTACATCCATTTTCAAAAAGACAAAGTCAGAATTCTTTTCTTGTTTTTTAATCTTTTTTCCAAAATTTTCACTAAGTAAGCGAGCAATCTTTTTCATCTCATTTTGGACTTCTTCCATTGTCACTTTTTCATCCCTGTCCATTGATGATAAACGGCCAAGAGTATTTAAAATTATTTCTGGACTACCGTCCTTTTTAATAAAGTCGTAATATTTCTTTTTATGTTTTTTCCTCAATGACTTCTGAAGAAGAAGAATTGTTCTTGCTCTTTGCATTGCGGCATTGGCCACTGCATTCTCGTACAATCTTTCGAATGTATTACTCAGTAATGCAATAAGGAGGTTTATTGTTACTATAGCAACAGTACCAATGAATGAGCCACACAACAGCCTTGCCATTAATGGATTAGCACTCTCTAGGTCCTTGTAATCATGATCACCTACCACCATCATTGAGAACATATTGTATAATAATGGACTCACAGTTTGATAACTTTCAACAGGGCTGTTGGAGTTTGCCCCGAATGTTATCCAAAACGCACAAGTAAACGGAATGAGAATGATACTGTTTAGAAAAGCCCATTTCAAAATGTCTCCGAATACGTTCCCAAAAATAACAACAAAAGGTCCAGCACCTTCAAATGGTCTAGCATACTTGCATATTCTCAACCAAAGTATCAACAACAGTAGTATTATTATGATATGATGGATTTTTTTGCTTAAGTCGTTGCTGTAGTGAAAGAATGTCACGTGGGATGCCATGGTAGCAAGAATAAGGACGAGTGCTATCCAGTCAAAATATATCCACCAATCAGAACCCGAAATGAAGGAGAGATTTCTTACAGCCTTTATTTCAGCTTTTAGATATTGAGCTTCTTGCGGCCATCTAGGATGACAATATGCCATATCTCGTTCTAGTTCATCAGCACGCCATTCTCGCCATTTTTTTAATTCATGTCGGCTCTTTATTGTATCTTATAAATAAATAAAAGCATTTATGTAACTGACATTTTTACAAGATGACTTTTTGTAATCTATTGGGTCTTTAACAATTTGATGATTGAAAATTTACTTACTAACGACTTGCTTTCTAATCTCTAATATGGTGAACAAAAAGAGAAAGATTCCCACGATTAATCTCCAGGAATTTTGAGCAAGTGGCAGATAAAGATCTCGTCCATTGATTGGCAAAGTTATAGCAAGTACTGTCCAGAGTGTTGTGTAAATAAGATTAATGGTTAAGTCAAATACTGCCCCAAATTTTCCATACATTTGCCACTTAACTCCAACCAATCGTTGCATGACGGGATGCATAACAATGTCAAATCTTTCATTTTGTACAGCAATTTCAAGTGGCGTACGAGCTGGCGTTTTCTTTTCCCTTAACTTGCTTTTTTCCAAATAGTTAAGAAAATAAAATTCTTTGCGGTTAATCATATCCACGGAGTGAAACTGGTCTAAAGCGCTCAAAGCCACTTCTGGAATCTTTTCAATAAGAAGTGACAATGCTGAATTTCCTAATTCATCGTAGACACCCGCTGGAGCACCTTTGGCAATCAAAAGTTTTGCTGCTTTAGAACGATTCATCTCAGCGGAAACCTGTTTGAAATATATAAATATATTTTTATACCCGCAAGCTATTTTGTTCAACATGGCATCAACACGAAATAGGAAATCTTAAAAACTAAACAAAGTTTATATTTATTATTATATATATATATATTTACCTGTAATGGTGTTCTGTTCTTGCTATCTCTGGCATCGATATTACCTCCGTATGTTAACAGCATTTGTAGAGAGTTAATGGCGTCATTCTTAGCTGCAAAATGAATCGCCTCTTGTTCTTCTCCAGTTGTTTTGATATCAATGCGAGCTCCGTTTTGTAGAAGAAATTCCACCATATCAGCATAATCTACTGCAGCAGCAACATGAAGTGGCGATCTACCATACTGATCTTGTTGATTTACGTTTGCACCTATTGATGCAAGTTGTTTGAAACAAGGAAGAAACTTAATTTACACATTTGTATAACCACAGTATAGAGAACATACAGTAGAGCCACTCCATTGAATTTTTTCGTGCCACGCATATCTTATTACGCATGTGATTACCATATTGGTAGCCAGTAAATTGCATTGTGTGACCAATAGGATTGACGATATGGCAAGCGGCAGCCAGTAAACTAATTAAATATCCAGCAGCTAGTTGCACAGCTAAGTGGCCCTACTGTACATTTCTATACTGTGGTATAGCGTTCCTTTATCGTCAATTTTAAATAACTTTTCACTGAAATTTTGGAGTTTGCTACTATTTTTGGAGAAAAGCCTTTTTGTTAGACCCTTTCCTCATATGTTAAGGCTTAAATTAACGTTTATGTTTTTCACCTTGTTTAATTTAATGTAAGTTCTGGGTTTTTTTTAATTTTTTTAAAAGTTTCCTTACCCAATATTTGTGTTGTTTAATAAACCTACAAAAGTGCCCAGAGATTTAGGACTTAACATCTTGCAAATGTTGCTTTTACAAATTAAAACAACGACAATCTTGAATTAGCAACTCTTGTAATGAAATACTCATTCATTAGTGACAAAGAAACACAAAACTCTTTTTATGTTCATGATATTATTTGTAATAAGCATAACAATCAAATTCAGCCACAGTAAGAATTATCAATATACACCCATTTCATTACTAGGTTTATGACCACCTTTGAAAACCTACCATGTTTAATGAGAAATCTTGCAACATCGATGTTCCATGATCTAGCAACCTCATGAAAAACCGTTTGTCCTGATTTATCTTTGCTATTGACGTCTGCACCATTGATAATTAATGATTCAACAAAGTCATAATCAAACTTGTCTTCAAAGTTGTTGGAATTGGCTAATGTGGCAAGATAATGAATTAAAGCTCTATTTCTCACAACTTGTTCCCCTTCCAACTTTTCATCATCGCCTAGTTGACTCTCAAGAACAGCATGCATGGGCTCATTCGTTCTTGTTGTTCCTAAATGTAGTACATGAAGACAAGTAAGATGTTTTTTGATCAAGTACAGTAATCATTCCTGAATATACAAGACCAACCAAACTATCGCTCTATTACACATTATAGTCGACTTTCAAAGCTAACAGCAAAAGTAATAATGTCGAATGCCATGGGTTTCTATTATTTTCGTCATGCTTGGTCTTTCACTTGGCAAACTTATTTCATTTTTGAAAATACCTCTATAAGTAACTAACGAGGTCTGCTTGTAAAATGAAATATCAAATACCTGGTATCTCTCTCAACAACATCTCTTCAAATGGCTTCTTTCTTATGGTAAATTGGTTTCGTCTTGGGTCTAGAATGTCCATTTCTGTTTCTTCTCTTTTTGCTAACTCCATATTTTGTCTTTGAAATAATAGTATAACATGCTTTTATTCATGAATTATGAAGGAGCCTTTATAATAGAAAAATTCACAAGTAATGATGAATGTGAACTTATCTTACAAAACTCTTATCTTATCAAAATTCTTATCTTAGTTTATTGATAAATTTTGCTCATAAAACTATTAATAAATATATTAAGATGGCTAGACTACGTCATTGTTGCTAATAATGAATAATATTTATTCATCGACGTAGGAGTACTTTAGCAACGAGTACAACTTTCATTTGAAACTTTTTTTACTTGTCGTGCATTGTTGAGTAGACATAATTTTGCATGGCATAGATTAGTCAGGTAACACGCAACAACTTAACGCCTTTAACAAGTAGATTTCTCGACAAACGACAAAGTTGAAGCCAAATTTGAAACTTCTAAATATATTTTCAATCTACTGTTACTTTGAAAAATAGATATTTCAAAGAGTTAACCATTAACTTGATCTTATTGCAATTTCATATTTTCTCATGCTGTATTTATTCCTTTTTAAGTTTACTAAAGTGAGCACAAAAGTTAAATCAGTTATTTGAAGCCAAGTTAGAGATTAGAAAGACCAGATTCACATCGTGTATTCTATTCCAATCCTTATTTAAGATAAAACTTCTAGATTTCAATCATCAAAGTAAATACAGTCCTGAGAAGAACTGTTGATGTTGGTATCGAGTAAAGCTATTTCTGGATTGAAATTATGGAATGGAAACCTTCTACTAAGACTGCCCTTAAGGTGCCCTAAATTGAAGAATAAACATCTGAAAGTATTTAACAATACTCTCAAATTCGAACCATTCGTTTTATAAAACTTTTGCATTTCACAGTTATTCACGCATATATACAATCGAATCAACAAATGGAAGTGAATAAAGTTTTGTTTTTGAGTATCAGTATACTTATTGTGATGTTCGTTTGTATATTTACGAACTTCAGGTATTGAAAAGAAAAAATACCTTTACGTTTGATTCAGTTCTCTTTCCTCAGGTATTGCTTTCGATAGAGCTCCTTTCACTGTAGCAGACAACGTCACACTAATGTCGTAACATTAATTACAGGTTATTATTTTCTATATGTGAAAATTATGCAGATGTTTTACTTGATTGCTTAGAGCCGCTTCGTGCACTAAACTTTTACAACCTTTAGAAACAAAATATAATAAGGAAGTTTATCTCATTACCTTTCGTCTTCAAAGATTTTTTGTAAAGCATTTGGGTTGTATTTTAAAAAATTCAAAGAAATGAATATTGATTTTAACATTATTACTGCAGGAGAAAAACTTGTGATATCTCCTCAACAGCATTTACAGTCTTTAATGAACACGCAAGAGACTTTGAGATCACGTGTTTTTTTGCTGAATGATCAGCAACATTATGCTGGGTTTCAAAGAACTGATTTTCATACTTTTTATTTTATTATTTGTTTCCTCGTTCTTAAAATATTTTCAAAAACAGATAAAAGCCATGACAGAACTGACGTAAAAGATGTTGTAAACAAATGAGGCTACTGACAATCTATTTTAGACAGTTGGAGCAGGTTAAAGCTGTTTGTCTACTGATATATCATCTTTATTTCATTCCGCGTTTTAACACTTCCATGTGAAAAGGGAATATTATTTTCTCTTTATAATTGTCTTGTCATTTTTTTAAAGTTATCACATCTGTATACTTCTGTAAACTAAGCGTGGAGCTCTGCAGGACAAAATAAATATTTTTTAACTTTAAGGGTCTCACATGGCGATTATTGTATAGCACGTTGCTTACGTGTTAGGTAGACAATAAAGGACTTATTAAAATTCGATGAAGAAATACTAAAAACTACTTGTGGAACGACAAACAGTTGCATGTGAAATTTTTACTGAGCAGTTTGTTTTTGAAATAAAGACCAAAGAATTGAGTAAATTTTAAAAAATCATTACTTTACTTCACTACACATGAAATACTTCAAAGAGTCCAAATTAAAATGAATGTGTGAAAAACGAATCACTTGCTTTTTTTGAAAAATGTATGAGAAAATTAACTTTTACTCAATAATATACAGTGAAAATTTGTTGAACTTGATTGATGCAATTGAAAAACATTTATTCAATACCATACGTTACGTTGACCTTTTTAGTCATGGGACACAGGGATACATTATTCTTATTAACCAATATGTAAAAATGAGAAATTTTTTAACGTATTATAACTACTTATGTTATGACTGGGATTATGTATCCTAGGAATGTCAAAACGTGAAGACTGCTTTCACGTTCTACACCCAAAAGCAACAAAGTATAATTATATGAAAGTTTGAACCTTTCTGAACCACTTCAATGAAGCTTTTCATGTGTTATGCTGTAAAAATAATAAATCTCAAAGATATTAGCTTTGCATCATAAAATACATATTGCAGTGTCTCAACAGCACCGAGTTTCATGAACAGACATTACGAGATTACTTGTTTTTAAGTGTAAGCTGGAAGATGTTTTATAAAAAGCTTTATTACAAAGAAATCTTTATCGTCAATGTAAATAGAAATCTTCACAGAATTGACGTGAATTAACTGTCATTTTATTATAGAGAGTACGTGGGAATATGTTATATACCTATTATCCCACTCCCATAATATAAATTGTAAATCGTGTTTTGACACTGTCGTGTTGCATGATTGCTTCTAAGGTATCACATTGATATATGCCGTTAGGTGTGTGTAAAAGTTTTCTTATTAAAACGGAAAAAATTGTGATCAGTTAGCATGTCCTCGACTGTTATGATAAAATTATAGTTGTATTTACTACTATGTGGTATATGATTTATTTTGTGCTACGATTATAGCTCATTCTATTTCATGAATCTCTAGGAATAACAGACGTTTTTTTGAAGCTTTTCAACTTGTTCCTGTGTTAGAAGAAAACCTTTCCAAAATGATTCAGAAAATGCTTTTTTGTCTTTAAATCTACGATCTGTGTTGGTGAATCTAAATATCGTTAAGAATTGAGGAATTGTAAATGGCCAATTTTTTATTGCACATCAGCATATCATTTGATGTCGTTCACAATGTTGTTGGTCAATGATGTTTGTGAATTAGGGCAATATAATGCTACAAAACGCCATAATCAGGGTGTCAAGAATAAATTCAAAAGTGTTACTCAAATAATAGCAAAGATGTGTTTTGGTCGCTTTATTTTGTTGACCGTGAAACGATTCTTCCTGTTTCTGTGGGTTTTTCTTCATTATTAAATCATATGCTTCTCCAAATTATACCTCTTTTTTGCATTGTATATCTTGAATATCTTCGTCGTGTTTTTACCACATGAAGCTATATCATCAAGAATGTTTTCAACCCAGTTGCGTTTTGCATATAATGCCTACTTACAGTAACGTACCCACCAGTGTTATATAGTGTCTTTCTCTCGCAAAGATTATTTGTTCTTCTCCTTACGTTTGCTAAAATTTTTATTCATTTTAAATAAACTATTGGCAGTGCTGCAGGAAAAGATAAAGTTTTCTAGTCATCGTAAACCTTTAAACCACTATGTTTATAATAACAGTGCAAACTTGATTAATACTTTTCATAACATTTGTATTCTATTATTAGTGAACTTTAAAGCCAGTTCCTAAAAATATCTTGCATCATAATTATAATGTTATTTATTTAAATGTGAATCAGTATTTTAATTATTACTTATATATTAATGAAATTTCTAACCATATAAATATTTTCTTGACAAATGCTCATACCTCACACTACATTTGATGGTGATACACTGGTGAAATTTTGTGTTCTTAGTTTCTTGTCTTGTTCAATTATCAAGTATAGGTTGCTATTTAGTCACGTGACGATTATGATTTATCAGATATTGTCTTGAGGAAACGGACTCTGAATCTTCTGCCACTCTTTTCTCATCTTTTGCTTTAGTTTTTGCTTCATTCTCTGTAAGTCTCTGAAAAAGCAAAACAGAAGCAAATTTTATTCGAAAGTAAAATTTAGGATAGTTGTACAAAGCGTGTGCTACAAATAAAAATTTAATTACTTTTTTATGCCGCAACTGTTTGAAAAAAACTGGTCATTGTTGCATGCTGATATTTCAAAATAAATAAAGGCCTACCTCAGATATACTTATGTTGGAGCTTTTCCTTATTGTTCGATGGCAATAATGCAATAAAATCATTTGATGTAGACGATCGTTCTGAGTCTGTTGCTCCCATAGATGATTCTCTTGACAATGATTCACTTGACTGAACATTTGGAGAATGTATGTTTTGACGTTCATAAATTTTCTCTTCAAAGAACATTACTTTTTCCAGTATTTCTGCAGCCATTGGAGTATTTGAACGAAATCTAGTATACCATGCACGACCATCTGTCAGTGATAGAAACTCGGAACTATTTTTTAGATTGGATTCTTTCTTATCAGTTAAAGAACTCTGTGAATCAAACTTTTGTGTTACTGGGTGATTTTCATTTTGTGATTTTTTAAGAAGTTGCTTATCTTTGTCTGTCATAGCTGAAGTTGGAATTGCAACTGTAATAGTTCCGGCTTGTTCGTCAATTTTTTCCAAGGTCCATGGATCATTTGGGTTTATTTTTACGTTTTTTATTGATCTTTTTTTGTTGAAATCCAATTGATTTATATCACTGTACTTTTGACTGTTTTCAAATAAAATTTTTGGTAAATTTGAGTCAGTGACATCTCTCTCGTGGTAATAATTTTTATTTTTCATAGCTGAAGTTGGAATTGAAACTGTGATAGTTCCAGATTGTTCGTTGATTTTTTCAACCGTCCACGGACGATTTGGGTTTATTTGCACGCTTTTTGTTGACTTTTCTTTGTTGAAATACGCTTGATTAAAACCTTTATACTCTTGGTTATTTTTACGAGAAGCTTTTGATACATTTAAGTAAGACAGATCTCTCTCTTGGTCGTCATTGTGAGTTTTCTCTGATTCTAAACTGTTTACTCTTTCATTTTCTTGCAGTTGATACATTGTGTTAAAATATGGATTACGTCCGGGTGATACGTTTTGCTCGGTGGGTGCCATGTTTCTTGTAACATTATTACCGTTATTGTCAAGCAATGATTTTCCTTGGAGCATTTTTGCATCTTCATAGGGAAAGTGATCAGATTGAAATCCATAGTTCTCATTTCCCGTTAAATTTTGATCTAAAATTTTAACATTGTAATGGCTAACGTTTGATGATGAACGAATTTCTGGTATGGCATGATTTTGTGTTTCATTTTCATATCTTCCTTGCTGTTCTAGCACTGATGGATACCAAATATCATGGTGATTTTCTTTGTACAGCTGTGATTTCTGCTGGACGTTCATATTTGCTGGGAGAAAAGGGGATGTAAGAGGAACATTGGAGCTCATTGGAGGATTTTGTGATGAGTAAACGTTCACATTTTCACGATTTCTATCAGATGTCGTTTTAAGCCAACTATTTCTTTCTTGATGAGCATGAATTGTATGAAGAAAATTTGGGTTCATTAGAAGATTTTGTGTAGGATAGATACTAACATTTTCATGATTACCATTCGATGGCGCACTATGCCGACGCTTTCTCCCTTGATAAACATGAGATTTAAAAGGAACATTTGGGCTCGTGGGAGAATTTTGGGTTGAATAGACGTTCACATTTTCATGGATTATATCCGAAGGTATACTATGCCGATGGTTCGTTTCTGTCTGAGATTTATAAGGAACATTAAGGTGCATTGAAGGATTTTGTGGTAAGTAGATGTACACATTTTCATGATTTCTATCCGAAGGCGTGCAGTCTCGACGATTTGTTTCCTGATAATCCTTAAAATAACATTTGCAAAACAAAAAAATTTAATGTTTGTCCATTGAAAAAGTGGGTCATTTCTAGTTTTCATTTCAAATCCTGTGGTATTAATTATGGTTCTTTACTGAATTCAATTTCCTTCATTTTGTTTAACTTTTGTACAATTATAGTGAAAAAATGTAGCGAGAAATATGCAAAAAATAATCTTGAATAAAAGGAAAAGAGTATTAGCTTAATAAAATGCAAGTAATTCTGTTTGATTCAACGCCAGGAATTTTGTGAATAAACGGACCTTTTCTCAAAATTGTTTATCATATCAACATAACTTGTTGTAGATAGTAACAAATAAATTTTGGTTATTATTTGTTACCTTCTAGCTTTTATACGTATATTTTCTATTATTATTTTATACTGTTAGTGAAAAAATAATACCTAAGACTGCACCTGATTATAAACATTCATTCCCTGCTGATTGTTTGATGGAGCCGTTTGATTTAGCCAAGGCATATAGCTGTTCCATGTAGATAAATAAGAGCTGTTTGGATCATTTGGCTCCACTCTCTCAAACGCCTCATTTTGACCATCTGGAGCATGATTTGTGAATTTTGAATGATTTCCATCTTCCCGTTTTTCATTAAATAAGCTTTTTTTTCTTCGACTGTGACTTTTTTCATTCGTTTTCGTTCCTGACTTAAAAAAAGAAGACTTGTCTTTTTCTTCATTTTTTGTTGATTCATTTTTTGATAAATCAGATTGATCCGAGGAATCACTTTCAGATGATTTCTGACGCTTTTGCTTCAGTCTCTTTTGTGATAAGTTTGATGCATCTTTTGTTTCTTCCCTTTTGTTAATATGAATATTATTGTTGATTTCCTTGTTATAATTGCCGTTGTTGTTCTTTGTTTTGATATTTGTAGTATTTTCGTCAAATTCAGTTGTTTGAGAAACTTTGAATGTTTTATCGCTAGTCTTTTTAATTTCGTTCATATTCTCCATTATTTCTTGCAATGTATGTTTTATGGTTTTTACATCGTCAGTAAGCTCCTCTTGAATTCTTCTTATTGAATTTAAATCCATTTTCAAAAAGACAAAGTCAGAATTCTTTTCCTGTTTTTCAAACTTTTTTCCATGCTTTTCACTAAGTAAGCGAGCAATTTTTTCATCTCATTTTGAACTTCTTCCATTGTCACTTGTTCATCCCTGTCCATTGATGATAAACGGCCAGTAGTATTTAAAATTATTTCTGGACTACCGTCCTTTTTAATAAAGTCGTAATATTTCTTTTTTTGTTTTTTCCTCAATGACTTCTGAAGAAGAAGAATTGTTCTTGCTCTTTGCATTGCAGCATTGGCCACTGCATTCTCGTACAATCTTTCGAATGTATTACTCAGTAATGCAATAAGGAGGTTTATTGTTACTATAGCAACTGTACCAATGAATGAGCCACACAACAGCCTTGCCATTAATGGATTAGCACTCTCTAGGTCCTTGTAATCATGATCACCTACCACCATCATTGAGAACATATTGTACAATAATGGACTCACAGTTTTATAACTTTCAACAGGGCTGTTGGAATTCGCCCCGAATGTTATCCAAAACGCACAAGTAAACGGAATGAGAATGATACTGTTTAGAAAAGCCCATTTCAAAATGTCTCCGAATACGTTCCCAAAAATAACGACAAAAGGTCCAGCACCTTCAAATGGTCTAGCATACTTGCATATTCTCAACCAAAGTATCAACAACAGTGGTATTAATATGAGATGATGAATTTTTCTGCTTAAGTCGTTGCTGTAGTGAAAGAATGTCACGTGGGATGCAATGGTAGCAAGAATAAGGACGAGTGCTATCCAGTCAAAATATATCCACCAATCAGAACCCGAAATGAGGGAGAGATTTCTCACAGCCTTTATTTCAGCTTTTAGATATTGTCCTCTTGCGGCCATCTAGGATGACAATATGCCATATCTCGTTCTAGTTCATCAGCACGCCATTCTCGCCATTTTTTTAATTCATGTCGGCTCTTTATTGTATCTGATAAATAAATAAAAGCATTTATGTAACTGACATTTTTACAAGATGACTTTTTGTAATCTATTGGGTCTTTAACAATTTGATGATTGAAAATTTACTTACTAACGACTTGCTTTCTAATCTCTAATATGGTGAACAAAAAGAGAAAGATTCCCACGATTAATCTCCAGGAATTTTGAGCAAGTGGCAGATAAAGATCTCGTCCATTGATTGGCAAAGTTATAGCAAGTACTGTCCAGAGTGTTGTGTAAATAAGATTAATGGTTAAGTCAAATACTGCCCCAAATTTTCCATACATTTGCCACTTAACTCCAACCAATCGTTGCATGACGGGATGCATAACAATGTCAAATCTTTCATTTTGTACAGCAATTTCAAGTGGCGTACGAGCTGGCGTTTTCTTTTTCCTTAACTTGTTCCCTTCCAAATAGTTAAGAAAATACAATTCTTTGCGGTTAATCATATCCACGGAGTGAAACTGGTCTAAAGCGCTCAAAGCTACTTCTGGAATCTTTTCAATAAGAAGTGACAATGCTGAATTTCCTAATTCATCGTAGACACCCGCTGGAGCACCTTTGGCAATCAAAAGTTTTGCTGCTTTAGAACGATTCATCTCAGCGGAAACCTGTTTGAAATATATAAATATATTTTTATACCCGCAAGCTATTTTGTTCAACATGGCATCAACACGAAATAGGGAAATCTTAAAAAACTAAACAAAGTTTATATTTATTATTATATATATATATTTACCTGTAATGGTGTTCTGTTCTTGCTATCTCTGGCATCGATATTACCTCCGTATGTTAACAGCATTTGTAGAGAGCTAATGGCGTCATTCTTAGCTGCAAAATGAATTGCCTCTTGTTCTTCTCCAGTTGTTTTGATATCAATGCGAGCTCCATTTTGTAGAAGAAATTCCACCATGTCAGCATAATCTACTGCAGCAGCAACATGAAGTGGTGATCTACCATACTGATCTTGTTGATTTACGTTTGCACCTATTTATGCATGTTGTTTGAAACAAGGAAGAAACTTAATTTACACATTTGTTTAACCACAGTATAGAGAACATACAGTAGGGCCACTCCATTGATTTTTTTCGTGCCACGCATATCTTATTACGCATGTGATTACCATATTGGCAGCCAGTAAATTGCATTGTGTGACCAATAGGATTGACGATATGGCAAACGGCAGCCAGTAAACCAATTAAATATACAGCAGCCAGTTGCACAGCGATATGGCCCCACTGTATATTTCTATACTGTGGTATAGCGTTCCTATATCGTCGATTTTAAATAACTTTTCACTGAAATTTTGGAGTTTGCTACTATTTTAGGAGAAAAGCCTTTTTATTAGACCCTTTCCTCATATGTTAAGGTTTAAATTAACGTTTATGTTTTTCACCTTGTTTAACTTAAGCTAAGTTCTGGGTTTTTTCTAATTTTTTTAAAAGTTTCCTTACCCAATATTTCTGCTGTTTAATAAACCTAAAAAAGTGCCCAGAGAACGAGGACTTAACATCTTGCAAATATTGCTTTTACAAATTAAAACACCGACAAACTTGAATTAGCAACTCTTGCAATGAAATAATTATTCATTAGTGACATAAAACACAAAACTCTTATTATTTTCATGATACTATTTGTAATAAACATAACAATCAAATTCAGCCATAGTAAGAATTATCAATATACACCCATTTCATTACTAGGTTTAGGAACACTTTCGAAAACCTACCGTGTTTAATGAGAAATCTCGCAACATCAATGTTCCATGATCTAGCAACCTCATGAAAAACCGTTTGTCCTGATTTATCTTTGCTATTGATGTCTGCACCGTTGATAATTAATGATTCAACAAAGTCATAATCAAACTTGTCTTCAAAGTTGTTGGAATTGGCTAATGTGGCAAGATAATGAATTAAAGCTCTATTTCTCACAACTTGTTCCCCTTCCAACTTTTCATCATCGCCTAGTTGACTCTCAAGAACAGCATGCATGGGCTCATTCGTTCTTGTTGTTCCTAAATGTAGTACATGAAGACAACTAAGATGGTTTTTGATCAAGTACAGTAATCATTCCTGAACATACAAGACCAACCAAACTATCGCTCTATTACACATTATAGTCGACTTTCAAAGCTAGCAGCAAAAGTAATAATGTCTAATGCCATGAGTTTCTATTATTTTCGTCATGCTTGGTCTTTTACTTGGCAAACTTATTTCATTTTTGAAAATACCTCTATAAGTAACTAACGAGGTCTGCTTGTAAAATGAAATATCAAATACCTGGTATCTCTCTCAACAACATCTCTTCAAATGGCTTCTTTCTTATAGTAAATTGGTTTCGTCTTGTGTCTAGAATGTCCATTTCTGTTTCTTCTCTTTTTGCTAACTCCATATTTTGTCTTTGAAATAATAGTATAACATGCTTTTATTCATGAATTATGAAGGAGCCTTTATAATAAAAAAAATTCACAAGTAATGATGAATGTGAACTTATCTCACAAGTAGTTTATTGATAAATTTTGCTCATAAAACTATTAATAAATATATTAAGATGGCTAGACTACGTCATTGTTGCTAATAATGAATAATATTTATTCATCGGCGTAGGAGTACTTTAGCAACGAGTACAACTTTCATTTGAAACTTTTTTCACTAGTCATGCATTGTTGAGTAGACATAATTTTGCATGGCATAGATTAGTCAGGTAACACGCAATAACTTAACGCCTTTAACAAGTAGATTTCTTAACAAACGACAAAGTTGAAGCCAAATTTGAAACTTCTAAATATATTTTCAATGTACTGTTACTTTGAAAAATAGATATTTCAAAGAGTTAACCATTAACTTGATCTTATTGTAATTTCATAGTTTCTCATGCTGTATTTATTCCTTTTTAAGTTTACTAAAGCGAGCACAAAAGTGAAATCAGTTATTTGAAGCCAAGTTGCAGATTAGAAAGACCAGATTCACATCGTGTATTCTATTCCAATCCTTATTTAAGATAAAACTTCTAGATTACAATCATCAAAGAAATACAGTCCTGAGAAGAACTGTTGGTGTTGGAATCGAGTAAAGCTATTTCTAGATTGAAATTACGGAATGGAATCCTTTTACTAAAACTGCCCTTAAGGTGCCCTAAATTGAAGAATAAGCATCTGAAAGTATGTAACAATACTCTCAAATTCGAACCATTCGTGTTATAAAACTTTTGCATTTCACAGTTACTCGCGCATCTATACAATCGAATCAACAAATCGAAATGAATAAAGTTTTGTTTTTGAGTATCAGTATACTTATTGTGATGTTCGTTTGTATATTTACGAACTTCAGGAATTGAAAAGACAAAAAAATACCTTTACGTTTGATTCAGTTGTCTTTCCTCAGGTATTGCTTTCGATAGAGCTCCTTTCACTGTTGCAGACAACGTCACACTAATGTCGTAACATTAATTACAGGTTATTATTTTCTATATGTGAAAATTATGCAGATGTTTTACTTGATTGCTTAGAGCCGCTTCGTGCACTAAACTTTTACAACCTTTAGAAACAAAATATAATAAGGAAGTTTATCTCATTACCTTTCGTCTGCAAAGATTTTTTGTAAAGCATTTGGGTTGTATTTTAAAAAATTCAAAGAAATGAATATTGATTTTAAAATTATTACTGCAGGAGAAAAACTTGTGATATCTCCTCAACAGCATTTACAGTCTTTAATGAACACGCAAGAGACTTTGAGATCACGTGTTTTTTTGCTGAATGATCAGCAACATTATGCTGGGTTTCAAAGAACTGATTTTCATACTTTTTATTTTATTATTTGTTTCCTCGTTCTTAAAATATTTTCAAAAACAGATAAAAGCCATGACAGAACTGACGTAAAAGATGTTGTAAACAAATGAGGCTACTGACAATCTATTTTAGACAGTTGGAGCAGGTTAAAGCTGTTTGTCCACTGATATATCATCTTTATTTCATTCCGCGTTTTAACACTTCCATGTGAAAAGGGAATATTATTTTCTCTTTATAATTGTCTTGTCATTTTTTTAAAGTTATCACATCTGTATACTTCTGTAAACTAAGCGTGGAGCTCTGCAGGACAAAATAAATATTTTTTAACTTTAAGGGTCTCACATGGCGATTATTGTATAGCACGTTGCTTACGTGTTAGGTAGACAATAAAGGACTTATTAAAATTCGATGAAGAAATACTAAAAACTACTTGTGGAACGACAAACAGTTGCATGTGAAATTTTTACTGAGCAGTTTGTTTTTGAAATAAAGACCAAAGAATTGAGTAAATTTTAAAAAATCATTACTTTACTTCACTACACATGAAATACTTCAAAGAGTCCAAATTAAAATGAATGTGAAAAACGAATCACTTGCTTTTTGAAAATGTATGAGAAAATTAACTTTTACTCAATAATATACAGTGAAAATTTGTTGAACTTGATTGATGCAATTGAAAAACATTTATTCAATACCATACGTTACGTTGACCTTTTTAGTCATGGGACACAGGGATACATTATTCTTATTAACCAATATGTAAAAATGAGAAATTTTTTAACGTATTATAACTACTTATGTTATGACTGGGATTATGTATCCTAGGAATGTCAAAACGTGAAGACTGCTTTCACGTTCTACACCCAAAAGCAACAAAGTATAATTATATGAAAGTTTGAACCTTTCTGAACCACTTCAATGAAGCTTTTCATGTGTTATGCTGTAAAAATAATAAATCTCAAAGATATTAGCTTTGCATCATAAAATACATATTGCAGTGTCTCAACAGCACCGAGTTTCATGAACAGACATTACGAGATTACTTGTTTTTAAGTGTAAGCTGGAAGATGTTTTATAAAAAGCTTTATTACAAAGAAATCTTTATCGTCAATGTAAATAGAAATCTTCACAGAATTGACGTGAATTAACTGTCATTTTATTATAGAGAGTACGTGGGAATATGTTATATACCTATTATCCCACTCCCATAATATAAATTGTAAATCGTGTTTTGACACTGTCGTGTTGCATGATTGCTTCTAAGGTATCACATTGATATATGCCGTTAGGTGTGTGTAAAAAGTTTTCTTATTAAAACGGAAAAAAATTGTGATCAGTTAGCATGTCCTCGACTGTTATGATAAAATTATAGTTGTATTTACTACTATGTGGTATATGATTTATTTTGTGCTACGATTATAGCTCATTCTATTTCATGAATCTCTAGGAATAACAGACGTTTTTTTGAAGCTTTTCAACTTGTTCCTGTGTTAGAAGAAAACCTTTCCAAAATGATTCAGAAAATGCTTTTTTGTCTTTAAATCTACGATCTGTGTTGGTGAATCTAAATATCGTTAAGAATTGAGGAATTGTAAATGGCCAATTTTTTATTGCACATCAGCATATCATTTGATGTCGTTCACAATGTTGTTGGTCAATGATGTTTGTGAATTAGGGCAATATAATGCTACAAAACGCCATAATCAGGGTGTCAAGAATAAATTCAAAAGTGTTACTCAAATAATAGCAAAGATGTGTTTTGGTCGCTTTATTTTGTTGACCGTGAAACGATTCTTCCTGTTTCTGTGGGTTTTTCTTCATTATTAAATCATATGCTTCTCCAAATTATACCTCTTTTTTTGCATTGTATATCTTGAATATCTTCGTCGTGTTTTTACCACATGAAGCTATATCATCAAGAATGTTTTCAACCCAGTTGCGTTTTGCATATAATGCCTACTTACAGTAACGTACCCACCAGTGTTATATAGTGTCTTTCTCTCGCAAAGATTATTTGTTCTTCTCCTTACGTTTGCTAAAATTTTTATTCATTTTAAATAAACTATTGGCAGTGCTGCAGGAAAAGATAAAGTTTTCTAGTCATCGTAAACCTTTAAACCACTATGTTTATAATAACAGTGCAAACTTGATTAATACTTTTCATAACATTTGTATTCTATTATTAGTGAACTTTAAAGCCAGTTCCTAAAATATCTTGCATCATAATTATAATGTTATTTATTTAAATGTGAATCAGTATTTTAATTATTACTTATATATTAATGAAATTTCTAACCATATAAATATTTTCTTGACAAATGCTCATACCTCACACTACATTTGATGGTGATACACTGGTGAAATTTTGTGTTCTTAGTTTCTTGTCTTGTTCAATTATCAAGTATAGGTTGCTATTTAGTCACGTGACGATTATGATTTATCAGATATTGTCTTGAGGAAACGGACTCTGAATCTTGCCACTCTTTTCTCATCTTTTGCTTTAGTTTTTGCTTCATTCTCTGTAAGTCTCTGAAAAAGCAAAACAGAAGCAAATTTTATTCGAAAGTAAAATTTAGGATAGTTGTACAAAGCGTGTGCTACAAATAAAAATTTAATTACTTTTTATGCCGCAACTGTTTGAAAAAAACTGGTCATTGTTGCATGCTGATATTTCAAAATAAATAAAGGCCTACCTCAGATATACTTATGTTGGAGCTTTTCCTTATTGTTCGATGGCAATAATGCAATAAAATCATTTGATGTAGACGATCGTTCTGAGTCTGTTGCTCCCATAGATGATTCTCTTGACAATGATTCACTTGACTGAACATTTGGAGAATGTATGTTTTGACGTTCATAAAATTTCTCTTCAAAGAACATTACTTTTTCCAGTATTTCTGCAGCTATTGGAGTATTTGAACGAAATCTAGTATACCATGCACGACCATCTGTCAGTGATAGAAACTCGGAACTATTTTTTAGATTGGATTCTTTCTTATCAGTTAAAGAGCTTTGTGAATCAATCTTTTGTGTTACTGGGTGATTTTTATTTTGTGATTTTTCAAGAAGTTTCTTATCTTTGTCTGTCATAGCTGAAGTTGGAATTGCAACGGTAATAGTTCCGGCTTGTTCGTCAATTTTTTCCAAGGTCCATGGACCATTTGGGTTTATTTTTACGTTTTTTATTGATTTTTTTCTGTTGAAATCCAATTGATTTGTATCACTGTACTTTTGACTGTTTTCAAATAAAGTTTTTGGTATATTTGAGTCAATGACATCTCTCTCGTGGTAATAATTTTTATTTTCCATAGCTGAAGTTGGAATTGAAACTGTGATAGTTCCAGATTGTTCGTTGATTTTTTCAACCGTCCACGGACGATTTGGGTTTATTTGCACGCTTTTTGTTGACTTTTCTTTGTTGAAATACGCTTGATTAAAACCTTTATACTCTTGGCTATTTTTACGAGAAGCTTTTGATACATTTAAGTAAGTGAGATCTCTCTCTTGGTCGTCATTGTGAGTTTTCTCTGATTCTAAACTGTTTACTCTTTCATTTTCTTGCAGTTGATACATTGTGTTAAAATATGGATTGCGTCCGGGTGATACGTTTTGCTTGGTGGGTGCCATGTTTCTTGTTACATTATTACCGTTATTTTCAAGCAATGATTTTCCTTGGACCATTTTTGCATCTTCATAGGAAAGTGATCAGATTGAAATCCATAGTTCTCATTTCCCGTTAAATTTTGATCTAAAATTTTAACATTGTAATGGCTAACGTTTGATGATGAACGAATTTCTGGTATGGCATGATTTTGTGTTTCATTTTCATATCTTCCTTGCTGTTCTAGCACTGATGGATACCAAATATCATGGTGATTTTCTTTGTACAGCTGTGATTTCTGCTGGACGTTCATATTTGCTGGGAGAAAAGGGGATGTATGAGGAACATTGGAGCTCATTGGAGGATTTTGGGATGAGTAAACGTTCACATTTTCACAATTTCTATCAGATGTCGTTTTAAGCCAACTATTTCTTTCTTGATGAGCATGAATTGTATGAAGGAAATTTGGGTTCATTAGAAGATTTTGTGTAGGATACATAGTGACATTTTCATGATTACCATTCGATGGCGCACTATGCCGACGCTTTCCCCCTTCATAAACATGAGATTTAAAAGGAACATTTGGGCTTGTGGGAGAATTTTGGGTTAAATAGACGTTCACATTTTCATTGTTTATATCCGAAGGTATACTATGCCGATGGTTCGTTTCTGTCTGAGATATATAAGGAACATTGGGGTGCATTGAAGGATTTTGTGGTAAGTAGATGTACACATTTTCATGATTTCTATCCGAAGGCGTGCAGTCTCGACGATTTGTTTCCTGATAATCCTTAAAATAACGTTTGCAAAACAAAAAAATTTAATGTTTGTCCATTGAAAAAGTGGGTCATTTCTAGTTTTTATTTCAAATCCTGTGGTATTAATTATGGTTCTTTACTGAATTCAATCTCCTTCATTTTGTTTAACTTTTGTACAATTATAGTGAAAAAATGTAGCGAGAAATATGCAAAAATAATCTTGAATAAAAGGAAAAGAGTATTAGCTTAATAAAATGCAAGTAATTCTGTTTGATTCAACGCCAGGAATTTTGTGAATAAACGGACCTTTTCTCAAAATTTTTTATCATATTGACATAACTTGTTGTAGATAGTCACAAATAAATTTTGGTTATTATTTGTTACCTTCTAGCTTTTATACGTATAATTTCTTTACTATATTTTATACTGCTAGTGAAAAAATAGTAACTATGACTGCACCTGATTATAAACATTCATTCCCTGCTGATTGTTTGATGGAGCTGTTTGACATAGCCAAGGCCTATAGCTGTTCCATGTAGATAAATAAGAGTTGTTTGGATCATTTGGCTCCAGTCTCTCAAACACATCATTTTGACCATCTGGAGCATGATTTGTGAACTTTGAATGATTTCCATCTTCCCGTTTTTCATTAAATAAGCTTATTTTTCTTCGACTGTGACTTTTTTCATTCGTTTTCTTTCCTGACTTTAAAGAAGAAGACTTGCTTTCACTTTTTGTTGATTCACTTTTTGTTGATTCACTTTTTTGATTCACTTTTTGATAAATCAGATTGATCCGAGGAATCACTTTCAGATGATTTCTGACGCTTTTGCTTCAGTCTCTTTTGTGATAAGTTTGATGCATCTTTTGTTTCTTCCCTATTGTTTTTTAGAATAATATCGTTGATTTCCTTGTTATAATTGTCGTTGTTGTTCTTTGTTTTGATATTTGTAGTATTTTCGTCAAATTCAGTTGTTTGAAAAACATTGAATCTTTCATCACTAGTTTTTTTTATTTCGTTGATATTCTCCATTATTTCTTGCAATGTATGTTTTATGGTTTTTACATCGTCAGTAAGCTCCTCTTGAATTCTTCTTATTGAATTTACATCCATTTTCAAAAAGACAAAGTCAGAATTCTTTTCCTGTTTTTCAAACTTTTTTCCATGCTTTTCACTAAGTAAGCGAGCAATTTTTTTCATCTCATTTTGAACTTCTTCCATTGTCACTTGTTCATCCCTGTCCATTGATGATAAACGGCCAGTAGTATTTAAAATTATTTCTGGACTACCGTCCTTTTTAATAAAGTCGTAATATTTCTTTTTTTGTTTTTTCCTCAATGACTTCTGAAGAAGAAGAATTGTTCTTGCTCTTTGCATTGCAGCATTGGCCACTGCATTCTCGTACAATCTTTCGAATGTATTACTCAGTAATGCAATAAGGAGGTTTATTGTTACTATAGCAACAGTACCAATGAATGAGCCACACAACAGCCTTGCCATTAATGGATTAGCACTCTCTAGGTCCTTGTAATCATGATCACCTACCACCATCATTGAGAACATATTGTATAATAATGGACTCACAGTTTTATAACTTTCAACAGGGCTGTTGGAATTTGCCCCGAATGTTATCCAAAACGCACAAGTAAACGGAATGAGAATGATACTGTTTAGAAAAGCCCATTTCAAAATGTCTCCGAATACGTTCCCAAAAATAACAACAAAAGGTCCAGCGGCTTCAAATGGTCTAGCATACTTGCATATTCTCAACCAAAGTATCAACAACAGTGGTATTAATATGAGATGATGAATTTTTCTGCTCAAGTCGTTGCTGTAGTGAAAAAATGTCACGTGGGATGCCATGGTAGCAAGAATAAGGACGAGTGCTATCCAGTCAAAATATATCCACCAATCAGAACCCGAAATGAAGGAGAGATTTCTTACAGCCTTTATTTCAGCTTTTAGATATTGAGCTTCTTGCGGCCATCTAGGATGACAATATGCCATATCTCGTTCTAGTTCATCAGCACGCCATTCTCGCCATTTTTTTAATTCATGTCGGCTCTTTATTGTATCTGATAAATAAATAAAAGCATTTATGTAACTGACATTTTTACAAGATGACTTTTTGTAATCTATTGGGTCTTTAACAATTTGATGATTGAAAATCTACTCACTAACGACTTGCTTTCTAATCTCTAATACGGTGAACAAAAAGAGAATGATTCCCACGATTAATCTCCAGGAATTTTGAGCAAGTGGCAGATAAAGATCTCGTCCATTGATTGGCAAGGTTACAGCAAGTACTGTCCAGAGTGTTGTGTAAATAAGATTAATGGTTAAGTCAAATACTGCCCCAAATTTTCCATACATTTGCCACTTAATTTCAATCAATCGTTGCATGACGGGATGCATAACAATGTCAAATCTTTCATTTTGTACAGCAATTTCAAGTGGCGTACGAGCTGGCGTTTTCTTTTTCCTTAACTTGTTCCCTTCCAAATAGTTAAGAAAATACAATTCTTTGCGGTTAATCATATCCACGGAGTGAAACTGGTCTAAAGCGCTCAAAGCTACTTCTGGAATCTTTTCAATAAGAAGTGACAATGCTGAATTTCCTAATTCATCGTAGACACCCGCTGGAGCACCTTTGGCAATCAAAAGTTTTGCTGCTTTAGAACGATTCATCTCAGCGGAAACCTGTTTGAAATATATAAATATATTTTTATACCCGCAAGCTATTTTGTTCAACATGGCATCAACACGAAATAGGGAAATCTTAAAAAACTAAACAAAGTTTATATTTATTATTATATATATATATTTACCTGTAATGGTGTTCTGTTCTTGCTATCTCTGGCATCGATATTACCTCCGTATGTTAACAGCATTTGTAGAGAGCTAATGGCGTCATTCTTAGCTGCAAAATGAATTGCCTCTTGTTCTTCTCCAGTTGTTTTGATATCAATGCGAGCTCCGTTTTGTAGAAGAAATTCCACCATGTCAGCATAATCTACTGCAGCAGCAACATGAAGTGGTGATCTACCATACTGATCTTGTTGATTTACGTTTGCACCTATTATGCATGTTGTTTGAAACAAGGAAGAAACTTAAATTACACATTTGTATATAACGTGGCATGATCGTCACTTTTAAACAACTTTTCATTGAAATTTTTGGAGTTTGCTACTCTTTTAGGAAAAAGACCTTTCTATTAGACCCTTTCCTCATATGTTAAAATTTAACATTTTATGTTTTTCACCTTGTTTAACTTTAGCTAAGCTGTCGGTTTTTATAAATTTTTTTTTTTTCATACCAAAATGTCATAATGCCTATTAAACATGTGAAAATTCCCAGTGGGCGATGACTAAACATCTTGCAAATGTTTCTATTACAAATGAAAGCAAGACAACCTAGAAGTAGAAATTCCTGCAATGAAATTATCAATTAATAACCAAAAATGCAAAACTCTTATTGTTCTCATGATAATATTTGTAATAATCATAGCAATCAAATCGAGCCATAGTAAGAGATATCAATATAATTAAGAAATAAAAGATGTTTGCTGTGTTTGCACAGGCTTATGCAAACCGAGGACACCTTTGGGAGAACTTAAGAGCAGATCAGTGTAAACCCGAGACCGAAGGTCGAGGGTTGCACATGCTTGAGAGTTCACACAAACATCTTTGAGGTTTGCACAAGCCTGTGTAAACGCGTAAAGCATCTTTTATTTCTTTTATAAAATAACAATAATCCGAAAAATACAAACATTTTAATTTTTCTCTAAAATGTATTCATGATCGATTTGCAAATTCTCTTTGAAGGATTGATTGTTTAGATTGATTAGATTGGTAGAGCTCAGACGTGTTTTGCACTGGCTAATGCAAACTCAGCTCTAGAGTCTAAACCAATTGTGTTTATTTTATAAATCTATTTCTTAGCCAGGTTTATGACCAACTTCGAATACCTACCGTGTTTAATGAGAAATCTCGCAACATCAATGTTCCATGATCTAGCAACCTCATGAAAAACCGTTTGTCCTGATTTATCTTTGCTATTGACGTCTGCACCGTTGTTAATCAATGATTCAACAAAGTCATAATCAAACTTGTCTTCAAAGTTGTTGGAATTGGCTAATGTGGCAAGATAATGAATTAAAGCACTATTTCTCACAACTTGTTCCCCTTCCAACTTTTCATCATCACCTAGTTGACTCTCAAGAACAGCATGCATGGGCTCATTCGTTCTTGTTGCTCCTAAATGTAGTACATGAAAACAACTAAGATGTTTTTTGATCAAGTACAGTAATCATTCCAAATCATCGCTCTACTACAAATTGGTCGACTTTCAAAGCTAGCGGATAAAGTATTAATGTCTAATGCCATGCGTTTCTATCACTTTGGTCATGCTTGGTCTTTTAACTAGCAAACTTATTTCATTTTGAAAAACCTCTATAATTAACTAACGGACTTTGCTTGTAAAATAAAATATCAATTACCTGGTATCTCTCTCAACAACATCTCTTCAAATGGTTTTTTTCTTATGGTAAATTGGTTTCGTCTTGGGTCTAGAATTTCCATTTCTGTTTCTTTTCTTTCTGCTAACTCCATGTTTTGCCTTCGAAATAGCAGTATAAAATGTTTTAGTTTATGCATTGCGTAGGATCTTATATGATACAGAAAAATTCACAAGTAATAAGTAATGTAATTATGTGATCTTATCTCACAAATAGTTTTGCGCAACTCCTTACAATGATTTGAAGTTAATGGGAATTGGCAAATGGGAAGCTCTCCGGGATGAATAAATCTATTAAGATATGCATGCCTAGTCTACGTCATCAATTACATTGTTGCTAATGGTAAATAATATTTCTTTATCGACGTATGAATAACCAGTACAACTTTTATTTGAAACTTTTTTACTCGTTATGCGTTGAAATAATCTCGTCAGGCAACACGTAATAAGTAGATTTCTCGACAAAAAACAAAGTTAAAGACAAATTCGAAACTTCTAAATAAATTTACAATCTACTGTTACTTTGGAAAAATATATATTTGAAAGAGTTAATCATTAACTTGATGTTACTGCAATTTTATATTTTCTCATGCTGTATATTTATTTCCTTCCAAGCTTACTAAAGCGAGCACAAACGCGAAAATAATTCTTTGAAGGCAAGTTGCAGATTAGAAAATCCAGAATGACATCGCGTACTCTATTACAATCCTTATTCAAAATAAAACTTCTAGATTTTAATCATTCAAGAAATACAGTCCTGAGAAGGACTGTTGGTGTTGATATCGAGTAAAGCTATTTATGGATTGAAATTACGGAATTGAATCCTTCTACTAAGATTGCCCTTAAGGTGCCCTAAATTGAAGGATAAACATCTGAAAGTATGTAACAATACTCCCAAATTTGAACCATTCATTTTATAAAACTTTTACTTTTCACAATTATTTAATGACCAAATTAGGACAAATATCTTTTGCAAAGTCCTTTCCACATCAACATTCCTCTCAATTTTAACTCAAAGTTCTCAAATAACATTTCTCAAAAAAATAAAACGATGAGTAACTATATCTGTTGCTTGGAGTTGCTATATGATTGGCAAAAACTATTACAGCTACGCATTTGCAATGCCATCGAATCAGCAAATTGATATGAATAAAGTTTTGTTTTCGAGTATCGGTATACTTGTTGATGTTTGTTTTTCTATTTACGAGATTCAGTTATTGAAAAGAGAAAAAGTACCTTTGTTTGATTCAGTTGTCTTTCCTCAGGTATTGCTTTTGATAGAGCTCCTTTCACTGTTGCAGATAATGTAACACTAATGTTGTAACATTGATTACAGGTTATTATTTTTCTATATGTGCAAGCTATGCAGATGTTTTGCTTGACTGCTGAGAACCTTTTCGTACACTAAACTTTCGCAACATTTAGAAACAAAATATAACAAGGAACTTTAACTCATTACCTTTCGTCTGCAAAGATTTCCTGTAAAGCATTTGGGCTGTATTGTGAAATATTCAAGCAAACGAATATTGATTTTTAAATTATTACTGCAGGAGAAAAACTTGTGATATCTCCTCTCAGCATTTACAGTCTTTCATTGACACGTGAGAGACTTTGAGATCACGTGTTTTTATGCTGAATGATCAGCAACATTATGCTGGGTTTCAAAGAACTGATTTTCATACTTTTTATTTTACTATTTGTTACCTTGTTCTGAAAATATTTTCAAAAACAGATAAAAGCCATGACAGAACTGACGTAAAAGATGTTGTAAACAAATTAGGCTACTGACAATCTATTTTAGACAGTTGGAGCAGGTTAAAGCTGTTTGTCTACTGATATATCATCACGCGATATTTCATACCGCGTTTTAATACTTCCATGTGAAAAATGAATATTAGTTTCTCTGTATCATTGTCTCGCCATTTATTTTATGGTATCACAGCTTTATACTTCTGTAAACTAAGCGTGGCGCTGTGCAGGACACAATAAAAAATTTTTAACTTTAAGGGTCTCACATGGCGATTATTGTATAGCACGTTGCTCACGTGTTAGGTAGACAATGAAGGACTTATTAAAATTCGATGAAGAAATACTAAAAACTACTTGTGGAACGAAAACAATTGCATGTGAAATTTCTACTGAGCAGTTTGTATTTTAAAATGAAGAGCAAAGAATTGAGTAAATTAAAAAAAAATCAACACTTGACTTCACTACACAATGCTTCAAAGAGTACAAATTAAAATGGATGTATAAAGAACGAATCACTTGCTTTTTTTTTGCAAAATGCGCGAGAAATTTAACCTTTACACAATAATATACACTGAAAATTTGTTAAACTTGATTGATGCAATCCATATGTTACGTTCATCTTTTCAGTCACGAGTCACGAGTCACATACATTATTCTTAACCAGATACAAATATGGAAAAACTTTTACGTATTATTTATGATATGACTGGGAAATTTTAATACATTCATTGTTTTATTATGTAGCCTGGGAATGGAAAAACACAGAGATTGCTTTCGCGTTCTAAAAGCAACAGAATTACTTGTGTTTTGTTGTAACAACAATATATTTCAAAGATATTGAAATTAGCCTTGCATCACAAAAACATCTTTTAGTGTCTCAACAGTCAACAGCATCGAGTTTCATGAAGAGAGATTACAAGATTACCTTTTTTTTTGAGTGTAAGCTGGAAGATATTTTACAATAAGCTTGGTTTTAAAGAAATCTTTTTCGTCAATATAAATAGAAATTATTACAGAATTGACGTATATGACGATGGAACATTTTAGAAAACTCTTACTTTATTACAGAGAGTGGGAGTATGTTATACACCTGTTTGTTCCATAATATATAATGTCTATATAAATCGTGTTTTGACACATTCGTGTAAAAGGGAAATGTCACTTTATGACAATGTTGCATGAACGCTTTTAACTTGTAATTATCATATTGATATACTGCTGGGTATATGTAAAAAGGTTTCGTATTAAAACGGGAAAAATTGTGATAAGTTAGCATGGCCTCACGTGACGATTGGCTCTGCACGTTACTCACGAGCTGGTTCAAAAATACAGAACTTATATAAAATTGATGTAGAAGTAGCTACTAAAAACTGCATGTAGAACGACGAAAAATTTTATGTGAAACTCTTAAAAACTACAGATAGAATGACTAACAATTTTATGTGAAACTTGCAAAAACTACAGATGGAACAACAAAGACATTTATATAAAATTTGTAAAAAGTTCATAAAGAACAACAAAAAAATAGTAACGAAAACCAATGTTACGAACAAATTAGCATAAAATTGCATTCATTCCCAATTTCCCATTACATCAAGTTTGAGAAACCAAAGTTAAAAAGCTTGTTTTTTAGCTGAAAAATTTTGTCATTTTAGCAACATCTTACATTGTTGTTAAATTATCAATCCTATTTGCACACAGCTATAAATAGTTTTAAGCATAAATAATGTTTTGATATTATTGTAATTTACTCACGTGTGATTTGTATCTTAGATGTAATAAATGTGTAGCAAATATCTACCCACTATTTATAAAGTCAATACAATATAGAAGTTATTATTATTGACCTTTTCTGGCTGATTGCCAGCAACTTCAGTACGTGCCTAAATGAAGAAATTTTCATCTGTAGCGACTGAAAATTTTATCATCAAAAGTTACAAAACTAAAGCCAAACTAACTATTTATTGCATCCCATAAAACATTAAAGATTAAAATACTTCTTGATTAAATTGTTGAGCTGCGTTTTTACTTTAGATTAATGCACAGATTTTTTGGCTCTCGATCGTGCAAACGCTTGTTTCGATCAAATTGTTTATAAAATGGTTAAAATATATTTTTGCTCAATACTGGATGTGCTACAGGATCTTTGGTCAAGTTTCTCAGTCTTTATACATTTGTGAACAAACATCGATGCTTTGTGAAGTACAAATTCTGCTATTTCATTTTCGTCCGTATTATTTGTGAAATACTGAATTGTTATCATTATGTAACTTGTTACCTAATGCCCAATACCAATTTACATTATCAACAGTTCAAACATTTTGAAAGTGACGCTAAAATTTTACCACCTTTTTCTCAAAACACAAAGAGCTTTTGGGTATCATTTGCATTTCACAGAGGGACAGGTATTGTTTATGATCCGCTTCCTCCCTTGAAGTAAATTGAAGCAATAATTGAGATTCAAGCCAATTTTCTGAGAAACGACACTATTGCTCTAAGATATTTTGACCTCATGAAAAACGTTTTTCCTGTTTTGTTTGCCTCATTAAACTCACCGCATACCATTCACTAAATTAGGGAAAACTTGCTTTGAGTGGAGATATGTTGCTCATATTTGGTCACACTACTAGATTTAATATACATCAAAATCGTTTAAGACAATTAGGGTTTTATCTTTCCAACATACAAAATTATTAATGATTTTTATGTGTCATCTTGTTTTTGAATCAAATATGTTCATCATGACGATGATTAATAATATTCTCATTCAAAATTTCAACTAGTATAAATTGATCATTGATGCGGTCTTTCGATCGATTAAATCCCCTCAATTTGTTTTCGTTAAACATCAAAGCTAGCACAAGCATTTCATTGTAATTTTGTAATTTTTTTACTGCATCACACATCACCAATTCCTTTAATTATCAATACGTTTTTAGGTATTCCTAAATGCATTGGTTGTGCAAATACTTTGGCCTATCTTGACACAATTGTGTGTGTTTTGCTAATACCCCAACTAGAGGTATTCAATCATTGCCGTCAACACTTTTCCATTATGTAAATATATTTTTGCTTCCACGATTGGAAATATACATTTATTTTACAGACTTTTGCGAATTTTAATTGAATATAGTCCTGATTATAATCTTTTAGATTCACAGGTGAATTTATGCTGTACGTAATTACTTCTGTGCTCGGGTATTTTTTGATGCATGCGCTTGGTGGCAGTATTTGAAAGATTCTTTATTAAAGAATTGACTAAACAATCTTAGCTTTAGCTACTTTATCATTTGTATTGTATTCATTTAATTTTTGCAATTTGTTTGTTGCGCAGGTTTATGTTGTCAGCGACTATACTTCAAATAAGATAATTCAAGAATAAAAATACTTTAGACAGCAGGCTCCAATAATTCTTAAAAGTAGATATTAACTATTTTTAGATCCAAAAGTACATACTGTTGGGATAAAATTATAGTTGTATTCACAACCATGTGGTATATAATTTTTTTTTGCGACAGAGAAGAAATTTGTAATTAAGTATTTCGTCATGTTAATCTTTCTTTAACATAGATTAAGACTATAAATAAATTATGCATGTTTATTTGGGAGTTTCACCTCAGCCCTCCGCCTCAGCTCTCCCCACCCTAATAAAAAAGTCTTGTAACTTACACTGTTTTCTTTTACAACAGTGTATACAAAAAAGTAGTCTTCATTTTTCAAGTATGTGTGATTTAGTATTTAGTATTAGATATTGTATATTTTGCATTTTTTACCGCCACCAAAGTAATGTAAACATAAGTCATGACAAAAAGACAAAAAACATGAATGTCTACAAAATGTGCGTGCTTGGGTCTGCGCAACGTAAAGTATGATGCGATATTATTCTGTACTTTTCGTAAAAACTTAATTATCCTTCATACAACGTAATACACAGACTTAAAGCGTGCGTCAGCTGTTTTAAATTCATGCTTTCAAAGCACTAAAATTATGAACTTCGTGGGAGATAATTTTGACGTTAACATGGAAATTACGTTTCTGAAATTTTATCCATTTCGTAACCAATAACCTTTACAAATAACGTCTTATTCTTCACACGATCTTTACCACTCATTATTCTACATTCATGCATGTCCCTGCAGTGATTTTTCTTCGATACACAGATCAAACAAGTAACAACGACATAGCTATATAGTCTTTATGCATTTCATAATTATTGCAATGTTTGAAGTTGAATGTATCTAATTTCATCTGTTGAAGAGTAATATTTTATTACAAAGTAAAATGAGGTAATGCTTGTCATGAAATCAAATTTAATTGGACAAGCTCTGACAAAGTACACATACAAACAGAAGATTTTATGTATTGGATGTGGTTCCGTCAATTTTACCTTGAATGCACTCATTGACACAAAAACGCAGATTGAATATTTTAATGAATGTGTTATCTCACTTCTAGTTTTTTTTATTATGAAATTGTCAATTTTAATGAAAGTATTTAAATAGTTAATTAAGAAAACTCGACGGAACGGAAAGAAATATTGTTTTGATAGGCTGAGACTTATAAGAACCCCAGGAGATTGAAATTCTATGTCAATATATTCTATTTTCGAATTCATTAGCATACGCAATATTAAGTTTACATAATTGCATTTAATCTGTTTAATAATGAAATGCTTTCAATAAGGAATAATTTAAAAAGCGCATGTGCACGTAGCATTTGTCTTGAGAGTATTTATATTGTATCGGACGTGTATGTTATCACTATAGACAATTATTGTTCAGCAAAGTAACGTTAAAATTGACCATGGCATCTCAGACTATGTTGGCTTACCAAACAACCTACATCAAAGATGAAGGTGATGTTGAATTTGGCTCAGAATGCCCAGTATTTCCCTCAAATTGTCGCTACAAAGTCACATCAGTTACTATCAACGGTAGAAGCATTACAGCTTTAGTTACTGAAGACGAAGAGTTGTTGTGTTTTCCTCAACTAGTTGATTACTTCTTAAAAGACCATGTGGCAGGCATGCCTACAATCTATGCGAAAGTCAAACGAATGGGTATAATCGCTAGAAGTTGCAATCTAGACCAAGTCCGACTTATGAGAAGTATGGGCGCAATAGGACCTGTTGTCAACCGTTGCAAATTGATCACAATGGATGATTTTAAGAGACTGTATGAAGATTGTCTCTTGTTTAGGTATGTTTAGACGAAGCTTCTCATTTCTGCTCTGCTGATTTCACGCATAACTTGTATGTGTATGATGAGATGAGTGATAATCATTTATCAATCGCTTGCGCGTCTTTCGTTCGTTTTGTGATGTCTTCCAAAATTATAAATATTATAAAGACTTCACATATTTTGAATAATATATTAATACAATCATCGTGTGTTTAATTTTCGTATGCGTTGCTTAGCTAATATCGAACGAGAAAAGCATTGGGAACTTTGTGGTTGAATCCTGACATTGATTCTACATTAGTTTTTATTTCTTCCTTGTGGGAAATTATGATTTGAAAAAACAGAATAAGATTCATGTTGTCAATTATTTATTATTGAAACCGGCGGGCTGTCCTTTCGGTAATATCTGTTGTACTGTATTGAGTGAGTCGCATTCATTGGAAAAACAGAATGTAGAAGATAAATATGAAGGGACAAACGCTTTTCATAAATATTTCATCCAAATTCCCACATATGTGACATATTAGCCATATTTAATATTGCGCTCCATTCTTGTCGTAAACTATGTATCATATTACAATGAATTATTTAACTTCAGAATGACAAATAGGATTCATGATTTATTGAGGTAATTAGGACTTCTCATGGTTACTGGGAATCGATGCGATAAATTGCTTGTATTTCATCAAAGAAATATTTAAAAATCATGAATAAAAAGATTGTACGAATTTATACAGGCTTACAATGACTACCAGATGAGATAAATTAATCTATTTGTGATATGAAAAATGTGAGTCTAGTTTTCACGGAGTTGTAATAAATTGTTGCAATATTTTTTACATCAAATCCAGCAAGCATAAATTTGATGTTCCTTCTTTTTAATATCCTGCCAGTTGCTGTTGACAAATATTTGAAAAGTGCTTTATTACTTTCGTGAAGAGAATTAATATATATCGCCATGCTAATTAGCTTTGTTTTGAATAAAAATATTTCAGATGATTACAATCTATATAATGGCATTTTTGTATATAATATTTCAGTTATGTTTATGTTTTATGAAATAGGATTTCCACAAGAGCATTGAAGGATTAGAAAAGCAAAAATATTCATACACTACTAAACAAATGTGCCTTTATCTTTTAAACACGCGGGAATATTTGTTTTAAGTTGCTGCCATTTAATGACCGTAGAAATAAAGTATTAATATCTAATCACTAATGCATTTGACGCAGGTGAAGGGTCATGAGTATGGCGCCTTATTTCTGCTATTTGTCTGAGCAATGATAACCTTAATTTTGTCTATTATGATTCAAAGTTTCTTTCAAAAATATACAAACTTTATATGTTCACATCATAATAACTTATGCCATAAAGCCCAACTCATATTTTTTCCGGATAAAGTATGTTTACTTATGTAGGTTATCAAAGATGCCGATAGTCAATTATATGTTTCGTAGTGAGTAATTTAATATGAATAAGATAATCATAAATTCATTCTTTTCATTCCCTTTTCGCAAAAAAGCTAATTGCCGACTCTCGCCAATACTTTGTGAATGCTGTAGTAATAACAACAATGAATAACGAAAAACTGTTTTGCGGTATTTTCTTTATTTCTCATTATGATTTGTTTTGTCGGCATAAAAATATCATTTGTTGCTGAATGCCTAAATTTTTGAATCGTTTTCACATGTTTTGATAAAGTTTTAAATGGCCTTGTAATGTCAAAAATTGTTGACTAGAATTCACATTAGATTTAAAACATTATCTGGAATTGTATCGCTACCATACAGTCAAACAAATCTTTTTCCTTTTCACTTTTAAAACAATCAACGATCACTTTTAACTTATTTATATGTTGTAAAGCATTTAGTGTACTGTTTGTTGCAAATGCATCTAATTTTTCAATGTTTTTGTGTCATCTTAATTGTTAATATCATTCCGATTTTTTTCACACTCTGATGTATGTTTTACGGGGATGGTTTGATTAAGTTTGTGTTTTTTCTGTTTTTTTCAAACCAAGTTTTCACAAAAATCCTTTTGAATTTTAGTAATGTTTTTCATTTCAAATACGTTTCCTGTAACTTTAGTGTACATAGAAAATCTGGGCGGTCCAAGTATTTTGATAAATATCTTTGCAAAAATTTCTGTAGAGTTTTCTTGGATTATCGGGGATTTTGAAGGATTATATTATAAGTTGATTGTGTAGGAACGCACAATTTTGCTGTTCAACAAAGTATTTGACCATTCTGAATGTTTAGCTAAATTTGGGATTTGTAAGAACGAAAACTATAGTTTATCAAAACTAAGCATCAGTTAAAACATTAAATAGTATCTAAAATTAATTAACATGTTTGAAGAACTTCTTGTTCAAATGAGCGCATTTTAATTTATTTATTTGATCTATTTATTTATTTGATTATTTATTTATTTATTTATTTATTTGTTTGTGATGTATTTTATTCAATAGATTGCTTATGACACATGTTAACCAAAAATGAAAACTTAGCTATAAGTATTAATTACAGTGGCTGTCATTCAAAGGCTTCTTTATCCAGATAGGCGAGGATAAAATATTTCACTTCTGCTGGCAGCGAATTTCAATACTGAAAACAAGTGTTCTCTCACTGAAGATCAGAATATTTTGATTCACCTATACTCCAAATCTAATCTATATTTTCCATAAGCTTCCTGCAAAAATAAAAGTATTTCCTGCGAATAATTATGTTCAAAGTTTCTGATTTTTGTTTCCTCGCGCTGAAGGACTTTTCCTGCCCCTCCCCCCTGCATCCAGAGCGCATTAGAAATACATTACAGACAGAGAAGTGTTACAAACTCATGCATAGCTAGACTGAGTTGCATCTCATATCATTTTCTTACATGATGTTTTATAAATAGTCTTTTATTATTATTTATTTATTTATTTTTGTTTCCCTGATCCAGAGGACCTGGCCGACGAAAACGTATTTCAACTGATTCAAGTAGTGGCTGTACTCCAGTAAAGATAACTATCAAACGTCCATATCTTGAGGAAAACGAGGAAGATGATTCTTCATTTGGTGTTGGAAGAAAACCAGAAGAAGAAATGGTTGTTAATGTGTCTTCACCAATAGATCACCATGGGAGTTATTTTACCAGTGAATTTTCAAAGCCAAATGATGGTCACTCTCAAACTTATCGTCGCTCTAATGGCTTTTCTTCTGAAGATAAGCTTGGTTTGCCATCTATGATCTATAGCACATTTTCTCATGCACCTCCAAATGTTGCAACTTTTGTACAGACCTTTGATAGCAGAACAATCACTACAACATCACCAAGAACGACATTAATAACACCTATAAATGGTGCAACGTCCCCAGTTAATGGAACATTTGATCATCAATCTAAAGCTGATAACTCTGATGTTTGCGAAAATGACAGCAACATTATAGATATGAATGATCAAGGCTCAGCTGTCACTCCAATATCACCAAGAAGGTCAAGTTCGGCTTCAGCACCGACTACTCCAAATAGCATTGCGCCTTCAGGTTCATAACTTAAAAATACAATTCTTGTTTTATTCTTTGATTGAAACCTTGCATGACCATTTTATTTTTTTAGACTCTCAGAAGGCTTCTCCAATTGTTTGTGGAGTTTTAAAAACTAGTGCTTCAACTAACGTGATATTTTCTCATATGAATGGAAACAATCCCAACTGCCCACCGAGATACTTTAAACAGTCAAGCACACAAAATGGAAGTCTCCCAATTCTTCCTTTGAGTCATGTAAGGAAAAGAGTCTTTAATATATCTTATATTATACAAAACACAATAAGACAAATTTCATAAGTACTTCATTCTTTTGTTGTTTTCTAATAGATGAGACCGCAACGTGAGAAATTGACATCATCAGGTAATATGAATGAATTTTATTTGTTTTCATGAAATATTTATAACGCGAACAATTTTTCTAAAGAAATGTACTGTCTGGTTAATTGAATTCTAGAATTCGCGATTTGTGGATATGAAGAAATATCTGAATATGCTCTTTCACATGCATGATAGTAATTGAGCCCAACAATAACACCCAGAGGCGCAACTAGAACGTTAACTGGGGCGGGGAGCTCATATTCATATATTCCGTTGCGTTCTACTGATTTCTTTTGAAAGTGATTTGAATTTCAAAAGAAATCAGCAGGGCACAACTAAATGTATGAATATACACCACCACCCCCACCCCCCAATTAACGTTGTGGTTGCGCCTCTGATAACCCTACTCGTCCAAAAACGTACGACTAACAGCGGGAGTGAATTAAACAAAATAGTTGATGAAAATGTTTAGAACATATAGATAAACTTCAGTTAAATGTAATTTTAACCTTGATTAACAACGAACGAATATTCAGCCACTCAACCTAGAAAAAAATTATTTTGTTGCGTCGTGTTAACAATTTCAATTCTATTTTACAAATTGATGTCTGAGTTTCCCCCATTATATATACGTGTGTTCTCTGCTTTCGATGCTATACTCGTATCTCAAAGCGTAGTTAGTCTTTGAGTCATTTGCCTGTAATTCTATTATTTGATCTTTGTGATTGCCTGACCATAAGAGAAGTCTGTGAAAATGTGAAAGTATTTTTCTTCACCGCTTTATCTTCGCCTCCAGAAACATTGCTTGGCAACATTCAAGGATTGTTGAAAGTAACTAGTGACAACATACGCATGGTAGAAAGGCAAATGATGGTCGATAGAGGTATAATATAGAATAGATGGGTTCATTAATCATGAATTATAGCTAGAAATCATCAGTAATTTCCATTTCAGATGAATTTACTAAAGAATTACAAAAAGAATCCGAGGATCGTATCAAAGCAACAAAAATGATCTCTGATTTGCAAAAGGACAAAGGTAGCAACTCTATGTAACAACAATGTACTTGGTTTGGGTATTTTACCATTGGTGCTTTCAACATAATATTAATATATACTAATATTTAGGACTATAGAACTGTAACTTTCACTACGCATGCATATTTGTTGTACTTTGCCTTAATTAGCATTGTTACAAAGAAAGATTCGCCGATTAAAGAAAACGACGCGTAAACTAAATAATCATTATCAAGGTATTTTGCAGTTTGAAAATTTCTTTAAGATTGAAATTGAATTTTGATCGAAAAATTATTAGAACCGTCATAAAATAAGTGAAATAACATCAATTTTATGCGTATTCTTTTATTTGCACTTTTGTAGCTGCGGAACAACGCTGTTTAGCGTTAAATCGTGAATTAGAGGAATCATCTTATGCTTCTTTAAGAGAACAAAATGGTTGGAATAATATCATTTGTAAAAATCAAGTTTGTAATCGAAAATATGAAAACTTTGATGTTTTATTTTTGTTGTCTCATAGAGTTGTTAAAACAAGAGCTCGAAAAGGAAAGACTAACGCGAATTGACGCTGAAAAAAAACTCGAGGGTAAGCACTATTTTTATATAGTTTTGTGAATAATCAGAGAATTATGAAATTATAAATATCCATGCTTGGATATTGATAATCCAGGTATTATACATGAAGTAGAGATTTTTCAGTGAAAACACGAGCATTTGAAAATTTAATCAAGTTTATCATCTTTCTTTGTTTGAATAATTTTCAGTTACTGTATTTCCTCTTTAGGAGCTCGTGGGGAATTCAAAACTTCGTTCATAATTTTTTGGAGAATCCAGAACAAAACTCTGGCGATCTTGTTCCCGTGTAAATATATGTATTATAAGGCAGAGAGTCAATCAAAGTGTAAAGAACATTGAACTTTAATACTTGTTTGAGTGTTATATGCTGTAATGTCGATTATTTTTTAACTGTATCATTGACGTTGAATTAAGCATTCTATATAAAATATCATCAATATATTTTTCTCAAAAATTTTTCTTTGAAATAGCTACTGCAGCGGGTTGTAGAAAGCTCAAATAGCGTGGTCCACTGGCTAGGGGCTTTTTTCTGAATATTATTTATGAATGGTTATCTGTGTCAGGAACCTGTACCAATACTTTACATACATAAAACTATATTGGACTTAAGAATCGAATTAACGTTTTTCTCTATGGCTTTCTAAGTTAAATTGAAATTGTGAATTTATAACATTGATAGCGCTATTTGGACTTCATGCAGCCAGTGCATGGGACTTTGTAAGATATTTTTACCAAATGGAGCCTTCGAGGAAGCTTTTCTGTAAGTGTAACTCAGTGTGACTGTTATCTTTATCATAAATGGTAAAATAAAATACATTGTGAAAGTTAGATAACAGGATTAAAAAATTGTAAATACTATTAAACTTATATTCTTTTATACTTTGAAAGACATAAATATATGTATAATGACATATATATGTATAAAATATGTAGGATGTCAATAATGTCATTTTTCATCTTCAGTCTTCCATCAGTTTTCCGTGAGCTGCATTTTACATTGTATAGGAAGGTCTGTTGTGTAACATTTGTCTTACATGAAGTTGATCGTGGCAGCTGTTTCAACAGAAGTGACAGGCTCTGGCAGAGTCAGAGAATGAAAGTGTAAAATTGTCGAATTGTACGACTTTATAGTTTTATTGAAGTTGATTTTTACAAAGTGCTCGTGAGTAAGTATTAAGAGAAATAAATAATGGAAGCTGATAATGAAAATCGTAGCAGTGAGCAAACATCGCCAAGTACAAATTGGAATGCTGTTAAGGTAGGAACTGTGTAGGAAATGTCAGCAATGAATGACAATATGTGAATCGACTTTAGTTTAATCGACTCTAGTATATTTTCCAAAAAAAACACTACTTCGTTATAACTGAGAGCAGTACACAAATATTATGTATATACGTATCCTACATATCTTTGTAATCGTACGTTTAATATGTCATTTTTGTGTCAAATTGTACGTACATCTTTTTCTTTTCGGCAAGCACAAACTTATTTTGTGCCTTCAATGTGAATGAGCAATCCTAGCTGACGAATTCATTCGTATAAACATCCATGTTTGTATATTTTCTTCTCAATATTAGTGAAAGTACCTTTATGGAACTGCTCAATGAAATCTACTTTTGAAATTCATGGCGATGTTTAGATCACAACGAAAATATGATGTATATTATATTCAAGTTTAAACTAGTGGATTTTCATGGATTCCATGCTCTTGGCTGTAAATTAACCAGCACAAGTTTTTAGATGTATTTCTTAGCTACATAAATTTTTATTGAGTCTAAATTATTAAAGTTGCCAGCTATATGTTTGATAATTGGTTTAGGATGTTTTGTATTTTCCTTCTCTTCTAGTGATTTTATTTATAATTATTGAAAGGATTGAAGATAACTTATGTTAAATATATAATATGAATGATCCATGTTTTCCTCATGAGTTGCCATCAACTGTAATCTAAATTTAAAAACTTCCTTTTATCTAAGGTATTTTTTATGGAGAACAAGATTGATTCATTACTATGGATGACAAGAATGTTTACTGTGATTAATGTAATCTGGTATTTGATACCAATTTTTAGGTATGTGTACTTTTTCAATGTTATTTTGTGATTACATTTGCTGAAGTAATATCCTTGATGCTATTAATTACATTTCAGTCCTTTTGCAAGCCTTACATGTTATAAAAGAGCTCTGATATGTAATGCTGCAGTCTCAGCTTTACGTCTTCATCAAAGAATACCGGTTGGTCACATTTTTGGTTTCTATTTTCTTATTCTTACTTTTTGTTTTTGATAAATGTGCTTGTTAGAGATCACTCTTTGAAGTATGCTATCAATATGGTTGCTTAATTTAACAATTGACTCAGAAAACACACCATAGAGTATCAAAGTCTTAGTTTTTCAGCCTGATTGAAAAGCTCTCTTTGTCTCCTAGTCTTGATTTATGTGCATAAATGACTTTCTGTGTTTTTCAGAATTTTCAGTTCACAAGACAATATTTTGTCGAATTATTCCAAGAAGACAGTTGTCATTATCTGCTTTATAGTTTGATGTTTCTCTATACAGCTATTCCTGTCACCGGTATCCTTAAAATAATCAAAGAGTAATATGTCTTATAAAAATTCCTTTATGGTTTGATTCTTTTTATGTTGGTTGTATCACATTCAATAATTTCCTATATTTTCTATGAGTAGAATTTGATTACCTACAACCATTTGCTATGATTGAGACAGGGTCTTTCCATGTTCAGTGCACAAATTAATGGTGTGCAATGTGCAATTTGCACATCATTTTAGCTAAAATGAAAACAATTCCACATCACTTTTTCAAACGATGTGCAAAAATCAGCAGTTTTAACAGAAAACACTGTCGTAAATCATATGAATTTGTTCATGTTTAAAAATATTAATTTAGCAATTAGCGCTATATAATAATTAACGTAATATTGATTTGATTATGCCTCTAAAGAAACACTTTTGTCAAAAACTTGCACATCATTTTTCCTCAACTAATTCGCACACTGCATGTTGCATATACAGACTTGTAGATTGTTCTTATTGCCCTATTTAGGGATGTAAGGAAACTAGGTACTCTTATTGAATTGGACATTGCTCTGTTGTGTTGTAAATGTTCAGCCTGCTAATGTAATATTCACCTCATAAGAAAATATTCTGTGAAACTTATTGCTTTAATATGGCACAATCTTCAAATAGTTTTACAATACAAGTTTCACTCTGAGTTAGTAAATCAAGAATATGCAATGTTTTTGTCTATACTATGCAGTGTTTCAAAATGTTCTTGACTATCGACATTAGCTGCACTCCTACCTATAGGGATATTTGCTGTACTGCATACTTTATCATTCAGTAAGAAGTTACTTGATGTAAGTATACAATATTGGTATATCAATATGTAAATTTAATGCATGTTGTGCCATACAGCAGTGATTTAATGTACATGCATGGTCAATGGTACAATCAATGCTAATTAATGAATTAAATGGTATGTTGTATAGTATTTAATACATAGTATAGTATGTGCATGATTTCATGACAATTCTTTATTTTAGATTTTAGGTACAGCTGCTGTCTTTCGAGTGGGAATTCTTCGGTATTGTACAAATTTGTACTTTTTATGTAGCCTTCAATTTCTCCTTAAAGTATTTGACATAAAATACTGTTTTAAATAACAGAAATATATAGAAATGTGTCATAGAGATTTTCAGCAAAATTTTCGTTTACATTGTGTAGTTGGGCACGTAATGGAATAGATAAAGTACAGACTAATCAAATTTCTTTACTTCGAATGATTGCATCAACGGAGATAATGATAATGCTATTGACAATTGCTTTAGTTTTCAGGTAAGTTATGTAGTACTTACGTATGTAAAGACGTTTAACTACCTATTAAGGTGCAAAAAAACTTTTTGTTGTGCTTTCAGTGGAACTGCTGGCCTGTTATTACCGTTTATGTATTATAAATTTTTGACATTTCGCTACGCCTCAAGGAGAAATCCTTATTCAAGGTAATTTTTTCATGGCTTTTTATTACAGATGCTGCCCTTACAGTACATATTCATTTACCTTGTTTTGGTGACGTTGCGCTGACAAGGTTTTTGTCCATAGAACTTTTTGTTTGTTTTTTTTTTGTAGACTTGTGTTTGGTGAATTTAGAATCATGTTTCAACAAATGGCTATGAATGCAAAATGTCCTGGATTTGTTCGTAATTTAATATTCTCTTTTATTCGTTTTATAAGCAATCTTGCTCCGCCTGTTGTTACCGCAAATACTTAAAACATCACTATTTATGCCAACAATATTATTGGAAATAATGAATCAAATAAGCTTTGCGCAATGAGTTACCTTTCTTGCATAAACTTTTAATGTTTAGAATTCATTGTACATTGTACATATGATTAAGTTATAATGAATAAACTCAGGTCTACTACAAAATCATGATTATTGTGGAACGAGATTTTTATGTTGTTCAACATTGATTTCTGTCACCAATTGCTTTCCATTGAACATTGATTCCGTTTTATCTACGTCTAAAAATGTCAGGGGAAAATTATGTTTTTATGTAATATTTACGTAAAATGTACCAATACATTTGTAGGGTTGATTAGAATTTTTATTTTTTACTTACAAATGCCGCAAAGTGTACCTTCATTTTCTGCGGAAGTCAATTTTAACTCTTCTAAACTCTGTGTCGCTTCTTTGGTCACGTCGGTGAGATAACTTTCAGCACTTTCAAAATATACAGGTTTTCGTATGCTTCGCTCTCCAAGTGATGGTTTGATACCATAGCGTTCTAAACAAAGGAGCAGGCCAAGGTCACAAACAGACAGCTACTATGGATATTATAAAAATGATAAATAAAGGAATCATAATTATTGAACTGCACCTGGATTATCAACTCGTTCTTGCAAACGTCTTTCTAAATGTTTATTAATGATCGTCTCCGCCTGTTTAGACGAATGACGAATAGTATGAATAAATATAAATAACGAATTCCTTCTTCAGCAAATGGAAACACTCTTTAAATTGTAACGACAGTAATGTACTTTGATGTACTGAATACAGATATAAACTATTTCATGATTTTTCATGACATATGAATCAAGTTCAAGGTATTCATTGAAACAATTGTACACAATAGTGAAAATATATGTACAACTTGACAGAAAAAAATGGAGAACGTTCAACATCTTTCAAGTGTTTAAAAAAGGTACACACTTTGAGCAACATGAGTGATGTGACATTAAACACAACAAGTAAGTAAAAAGATTTCATATGATATATTATTTAAAAGTGAAAAACGCAAAATAGTGAACAGCTGATTACCAATCACATTACTTTTGCAACAGCATGATCAAGAAAAACAAACCTTTTGGGTACAAGTGATTTTATCTGGTTCTGTACAAAGTTCAGAGTTGGAAATATTGTTTTTGATAGACTAGAAGAAAGTAAATGTAATTCACACCATATTAGATGAAAAAACCTTTTGTTTATTTAAAACTTACACAAGATGATTAATTTATAGTCATACAAACCTGTGAAGCTGTAGATCGAGCATGGAGAGGCAATGTCATCTGGTAACCAAAATCTGTAAAATCACTTTCAACATTTGATGGTAGGCATTTCAAGCTATACATAAAAACAAATCAGCATTTATTTTTTTCAACTGAATCACCTTGTTTTTATAATATAACTGCTTCAAAAGCGTGCATAGACTTTTATACTCCTCACCTATTGGCTGGGACTAGTTGTAAGTTTACAAGTGTGTGTGGCAATACTGAGGGAATATTTTACCTTCTATTTGTTAAAAAGGTGTACACTTTTTGAATGAGTAGATGTGCAGCCTTTGGTTTGCAATGAATCACACCATCAATCAATTCTTTTGAAATATCACATGAATGTTTCTGAAAGAACTAAAAAACTACATTTCTAAGTTTTATTTTGAAAATATCTTATTAAAGTACTACATCAAACTTCAAGGTCTTGTGTAATATCAATCTTACTCGTCTAAGCTGGGACCAATTTCCTATTTTAGGTTCAAGCGATGCTCCATTATTGTAGGAGTGCATTGCTATTTCTTGAGGATAGTACCATGAAAATATTTCAGCAATTAAATATCCATTAGAAAAATCTCTAAAAGATAAGATTTGTATCAAAGAATGTAGATGTTACGTGTTTGTAGATGTAGATCAACCATGTTAGTGGAGTCATGAGAAGGAAGGTTGATGTTGACTGAGGTTTTAACTGACTAGTTTGTTGACTAAAGTTTTCTCTGACAATGACTACGTCTAAGGATTTCAAAATGCCAGTCTGCAGTATAAAGTAACAACAACAGTCCATCTCAGGACTCTAAATTTTAATGATCAACATGCACAAACATGTCAATATCATCATACTCAAACCATTCACTTTAAAGAATTACTGATGATTGAAAGCAAATGTGGGACAAATGCGTTTGAAAGTGAAAACTAGATAACTTCTTGATGAAATGAAAGATGCAAATAGTTCGTATGAGAAACTCAATGAAAAATCTTTGGTCATAAAGGCTTTATTATTGAGAAGACTTTCTATGTCGAAGAAAAACATTTCTGACAAAAACAACAAGATACTCAAGAAGTTTTGTCATTGTAAGATTTTGAAATATCTATGAAGATGCCAACAGTCATTTGTCAATAGACATACCTTTTGGTATTTCTAACGGGATGGCTTAGATCTAAGCTTTGAATCCACTTTAAGATATCGCGCGGTAGTCCACTCATCTTGATGAGTTACATTTATAAACCAAACCATTTATAAAAGACGTAAATTTCAAATATTTTTCGTAGTTTTCAGACTTTTCATAATATATTTTTGTTGACGTGTTGCTAGGCAACTAAAGCTATTGAGAGCCTGTGATCTAGTTAGATTAAAGGATACTTGATGTAATATACACAATTCGAATTAACGATGACGTCAATAACGTGATCCATAAACATAGTATACGAAGAAAATTATCCTTTCGCTCAATAATAATTACAATGCACTCATTAAATACATGGTATTTATGTTACTTCATGATTTTATATTTGTCAGTTCATTTTATCTTTACGTGTTAGTGAATATTAATCCTTGAAACTGAATATCAGTAATTTACGCAAGGTGCAGTAAAGATAGTTAAGTACATAAGCAGTCAATGATATTTATTCTAATCACTAAATTTACACCAACACAATTTTCACAATTATAACTGTTTTAAAAACATTTCGAGGTAGTTAGCTCTCGAACCTATGTTGCTTTACTCTATTGGCTGGTTATTTGTTAGTCGTTTTGCAATCTGTATGCATCTATTTTCCTAGCTATGTATTTGCAAAGTGTGTCAAGTCAAGTGCTATTTATGCATTTTATAAAGTTTTAAGATTTTGCTGTAATTAAGTGTATCTAATTTTGCATTTGACGTTCCTGAGTTATTTCCTAAACAAGCGAAAAATCCATTTAAGCAGTTACTGACGCCAATTTAGTCAACAAATCAATCAAGGTTTTCGTATCTAACATTTAACGTCATCCAATTTCGAAAAAAGTTCACCATCATATTTTGCAATGTTGATGTGATCCTAAATAAATGACTCTCATTAAACATGGAAATTTTTGGGGGTGAGGGAGGGATGGTGAAGATTTTGTTACAAATCAATACCTGATGTTTGTTCATCAATGACAAAGTTCGCATCACCTTCAACAATTTTTCAAAATTTGGTCGTTCTGATGGATCATTTCTCCAGCAGTCCAGCATAACAGAATATCTAAAAAGCAAAAAGTTTCAAATATTTTTATAAATTTCTAATAATCCGTGCGCGCAGGTATTTTATTGGAAAAACAACAGATTTTTATGATTACTTCATTGGTTGTCGTTTACTTACAAAGCCTCACTAACGTGTTCAGGACAAGGCATTCTATAGTCGTCTTTTAACATATCCATTAACCAATGTTCATCTTTTCCAGCGTATGGCGAGCCACCTTTATTTAAAATAAGGCTCACTTGCATTTATTTATTCATTCGAGTTGTTTAAAGGATATTTAGGGACTGTTTACATGATCCCGGTTAACCGGGATTCAGTGAGGCGTGAAATGATTTCGAGGGATTAATAGGAGAGCAAAACTTCAAGGTTAAAAAAACTAGAACTGTTTGTTAAATGCCACAAATCATTCCTGTTGTAATTCTCAAATTAGGCCAAATTGGTTGTTTTAATTTCAAATGTTTTGCGTAGTTATTAAATCGGAATATTGTGAAATTGCTCGAGAAGATTTATATGATTATAAGTATTGAATCGCTTCCATTCGCCAAAATCATTTGACACTTGGCTAAATCCCGGCTGCCCGGGCTCATGTAATCAGTTCCTTAGTGAAAGAACTGCCCAATCAATTTGTAGTTTAATTATTCATGTACATATTTATTTGTAACTTACCAATTGTCGCTATTTCATATAGAAGAACTCCGTAACTCCATCTGAGAAAGAGAGTAAATTAACTAAGAAATCGATAGAAACACTTTTGGTAAAGTAAACACTTTCTAAAATTTTATTTCATGCTTGATATCTACATATAGCTATACTTACACATCACTTTGAATAGTTCGTACTTTATCCTTAACGACTTCAATTGCTGCCCATTTGATTACCAGACGATCCTGCAGAAAAAATTTAAATGTTTTCACTAGCACAGGTTTCGATAAAAAATAACTACTTGGCATAAAGGTACTCCTTTGACAGTGTTGGGTCTTTTCATTTCTCACCTTTTTTCTTGTGCCGTAGGTATTTTTGTCAAAAATTAAATGATTTTCGCCGATTCCTGATAGTTTGCATAAGCCTTGTCGATCAACCATAACATTTCTCGCAGCCAGGTCGCCATGCATTATCTAAAAGTGTAGGTTCAACTCATGACTAATTTGATCGTTCCATTAACCTATTTTAATTTTGATTGGTATAACTAATATTTAATTGATCGTGTCATTAACCATATTTGCTATTGGTTGAATTGATCAATTTTGACATTGTTATATGTTTACTAACTGGTATTTTGACCAATTATAAAATTGGTCGTGTCGCTTACCGCTTCTAAATTTGGTTAAAAGGACTAATTTTAATTGCTTATAACCAATTGAAATGGGTGATTTGAAACAGGTTGTCAAAAAGAACTGCTAATTAAGACGATAGCAATGAGACAAAGTTAAATGCTTATCTTTTTGTTTTAGTTATAACTTTGCATTGTAGACAACCAATATTTGACGTGTGTGAAAGTCCAACATGACTAGATAAAGCCCGTGCTGTTGTTTTTTTGACACCTGTGTATAAACTTTAAACTACTTATGACATAATTCACTCTTAAAACTTACGTTATGGCGTTCTAAATGCGCCATAGCTGAGGCAATTTGCTCCGCGAACGACATGAGTTCAAAAGATGTTAAATCATTTGCTCGTGATTTATCTTCTTTATAATGTATATCAACTATTCCTCTGCTGTTCCTCATATATCCTAATAAATCACCATGAGGGACGTACTCCATGATCATTGTTATAGGTTCTAGGAAACATAAATTTGAAGTCATTGCACATGAGAATTAATCACTTTTTTCGTGCCAGAAATATTTGTGTATTCAGTCACTGCTTCCTTATTTTACTCTTGATTTTATTGTCTTGATATAAACTTGGAACAGTGGAATATAGCAAATCAGTTTTTACATTCCCAAATTTTTTTGATTTAACAAAAGCAGTTTAAAAAAAATCGAAATAAAACATGATTTTAAGATGTGTAATTTAAAAAACGACCGCTTATGTAATTTAAATAGCACCAACATCATAATAGTTCCAGAAGTACGCATGCAATAATCTAGTTGTTAAAAAGAAACGGCATTGGACTTTTAGGAAATCTTTTATTCAAACAACAGAAGAATTTATGTTATATAATTTAAACCAACTTTTTCATCTCACCTTCTTTGGTTATGCATCCCAGTAAATTTACTATACCATTATGAACGGGAACCTTCTTCATCGTTTCCATTATTGATAAAAATTCGTCTTTCAAACTTTCATTTGATTTTTCTACCAGTTAAGAAATTGATAATTTGTTTTGTATAGCTACAGCAAAAGTGTCGATATCGATGTCGTACTGACCTTTCAAAATTCTAAGTAAAACAGAACCGTGATCTCCATCTTTCTGTAATCGCACCGAGCCTTTGCATATTTTTCCGTAACAGTCTTGCTCGATTTCATTAAGGATTTTGATATTGTTCTTTGAACATTCCCATTCTGTCCGGGGATCTGTTGTAGATTCCTCACTTCCGCTTAAAGGTTTTGCTCGCAATGGCTTTAGCTCATTTTCGTTAAAATGTGGCCATTTTCCTTTGTTTCAATCTATCAAGGAATTGTTTAAGAAGGGTTAATATTTCATACGTGTTTCTTCTTATAAGCTTGCTATAAACTCATAATCAATTATGTATTATAAAAGCACTTATATAGCTTACCAATGCAATTTGATCTTCGCTTAAGTGCTTGAGTGATCCATTTCTTGGCGCTTTAGACTCCAAAAGACTGTCCATCTTATTATTTTTTATAATATCTTGAAAAGGAACGAATTTTTCAATTCAATAAAAGTTGATCTACATACTTATATATGTCATTGTGTGAAGAACGTTTTATTAAAATGTTTTTGAAAGCATTGCTTTCTTCATTTTTGTTTTAATAACCAAAAATGTGCCTTGGAGAATCATGAAATTTATTAGGAGATGTGATAAGTAATTTGCTTGACGACACATTTGTCCGTTTATATCATCTTTCCTCAATGAAGATATGCCAACCTTGTTTGTGCTTTTTCCTCCTTCTCATGAAAAATATCACAGCGATAATGACAATTACTAATACAGCAACTATTCCAACGACTATTACTATGATCAACGTCGGTGATGAGGAAGTACTATCTAAATATATAACAACATAATGCAATTGAAAAGTTAAAGTTTCGACTTTCCTGCGTACGTTTGACTTGTTTTATCAGCAAAATTAAAGTATAATGTAAAATTAAGGTGAATTGTTTAGACAATTTTTGCTACAATTGTTCTTCCTTGCTTGCTCTATTGGATGAATAGGAGAATTTAATGTGTTAATTTAAAACTTATAAATGTATTGCACACTACCTTACCAAACAGTTTTTGTCATCAATTTTTGCATGAATTTGATTTTTAAGAAATTTGTCTCAGTTGTTGATATTTGTTAGATAATATAAGCGACTAGTATAGCTATATTTCTATAACTCCAAGTAAAAGGCTTTCGTGCGAAAAATGAAACATTACGCTCAATTGTCAGGCTGTCTCCAATGAATTAATTTAGCTATATTTGATATTTAACAATATAGATTTTTTTTTACCCATTTTGAACTCAATTCCTTCTGACTCCTTGCAGTCTTTAGTACTTGCACAAACACGGAGATATGCTTTGTAAGTTTTTTTCTCTTTAAGTCCTTTAAATTTTAGAGAGTTTTTTTCGACTTTACCGCTTTCTTGGATTTCACCTCCTTCATCTTTAACAATAACTTTGTAGAAAATCTTTTCTGACTTCAGTTTTCTCCACTCAAATTTTGCCCAATCTTTGGATGTCTCAATGACTATTAGTTTTGGAACTTTAGGAAACTCTAATATAAGAAGAGAATCACCGAAAGTTTTACACATGTAATTTACACACACTGCAAGTTTTACATACGTAATTTACACACGTAATTCACATCTTTATGCAACTTAATGTATAGTCATTTATGCTGGAACACTCACTTGTAGTTGCTGTCAGGTAGAACGGTTTGCCAAAAACGACTATGTTCTAAAATTTGGTAATTAAAGTAAACAAATAGTTTAAAATTATTTAAATTTTCATTTGCAAGTGGAAAGCATCATTTTTCTTCTAATGCAATATATATGTTGTGTAAAAAAGATAAAAAGATATAATATCTTGAACATATGGCTAATAGACATTTCAATGATTTTTATTATATGTTCGCCGCCAGATCTCAACAATATAGCAAAAGTAAATGGTTTGAAACCGGGAGTATCGTTACATGTTTGTAGATGTAGATCGTCCAGGTTATAGTATAGTCCTGAGAAGGACTATTTCTGTTGTTGTTGACTACCGCTAAGGTTTCCGAAACGTCAGACAACAACAACAGAAACAGTCCTTCTCAGGACTATACTAACCTGGATGATCTATATCTACAAACATGTAATATAGCTAAAGTTGATTTTACTGGTTGTTTTCGTCGAGTCCATTTAGGAAATGTATATATGTTTGTCTTCCCTGATTTTTTTTGGGAGAAATCTTATTTTTGTCCTACGTATCTGTTTTGATCTATAAGAGATAACAAGTGACTGGATTGATGTGTGTCTTCCTATGTACCTATCGTTAAATTGCGCAGAAAATGGGACTTGATATCGTTAGTATCCTCGTAAAATGTGGATTATGAAAATCTTATTTTGCAGTTTGTCTGATTTTTATAATAATATTGTCACCTTGTTTGTATAATTTTTGGCCAAAGCTCTCACGTAAATTCTATATTTCTCCAACGGTTGAAGCTCTTTGTTGAAACGATAATCATACCATTTCCCATCACCCAGAATAAAAGTTTTCGGTAATTTATTGCCTTCAAATCTTGCTGCTGCATAAATATTATGTTTGCTTTTGAATGAATCGTTACCATAGACTTTGGGTAAAGGTAGCGGTTGATTTGTCGTTTTTCCATCTATGACTTCAACAAATATTTGATACTCTCTACAACCAATGAACGTTTATTTCATCAAAAAAATGTTTGTCTCATTATCATCATGTTTATATCAGGTACTGAACACAAATATTTTCAGAATAGTAAAAATAAATATAGTTTATTTTGTTCTTAGTGAATAGTGTTATTGCATGAGATGAGTTCGGAAATAATTTCGACTTTCAGTATTGCTTATCCTCAAGACTTTTCGAAACTTTTACATAAGGAATAATATTAGCTGCATGCAATTATTCATCTTTGTGTAGTAATTATCACTCCTGCATGGACACATAAATACATATAAATGCATTTACTTACAAAATACGTCGTTTGTTCTTTGAAGAAGGTTTAAACCTCAAAGAAATGTTTTGATACGTTGAATGATCGATTGACATATGTGGAGGTTGTGGTTCTAAAATGTAAAATAACCATGGAGTTCACCATTAACGGTGTTGTACTCAGTTTACCGCTGTTCAGCTATATCACTGTCTCATGGAGGTCTGTAAAAAACTTTAGTGTTTAAACATTGACTAGCAATAACATAGAGTTGTGGTATCTTATTGTTGAAGCTTTCTCACCTAATGGGTTCGTTTTTTCTATTAGCAGTTCTGACGCTTCTCCTTCACCAAATTCGTTCGTTGCTGTTATGAATATGGAGTAAGTTGTCAGTTGTGTCAGGTTTTCTATGATATACTCGATGATCTCATCGTTAGTGGTTGATATGTTTTCCATGCTGGATGTTTTTTCACCATCTGCATTGAAATGGATTGTGTAGTGTAGTACTGGTTTCGATACCAACTTAACCGCTTTCCATCGTATTAATATTGCGGAGCTGCTTATAACTCTCGAACTGTTAATAACTGGAGCCTTAGGCTTTGCTGTCAAAAAATGATGTAAGCTTACGTAGATAAATTATTATACGTATCAACGAGAATGATAACAAAAACGTCTGTTACAACCATGGCAACAGAAACTATACTTAAGTTTAAAAGCATATATATGATAGTACAATTTCTTTGGGACAACTGTTGTTGTTGCTGTAGAAAACTTTAGCATATGAAGTTACATTACACATCATAACATGGCGTTGCATCATACATGGAACAAAAATGAAAATAATGCAATTTTATACTCACGGTTGATAAAAACGCTGATCTTCTTCCTTGATACAGCAACACCTTTGCCCACTTGACATGTATATTTTATGGTTTCACCTTTTTTTTGTAAGTTACATTTTTCGCAAATGTTTTTTATTGTCAAAACGCTTTTCACTTTGACTGACGTAAGAACTTTGGTATTAATCTCAATTTTGTTTGGTATTTCTCCTTAAAAAAATAAATTCAAATAATTGTTACCTGAGTTATATTCTTAGAAAAATCGACTATAATCAGACACGTGACTTTCAGCTATCAGCAATAAATAATTCGTACTTATTTTCGATCTTGATTTACTCCATGTAATGTTTGGCATTGGCGAGCCTTCTGATGTACAAAATAACGTTATTTTGCTTCCATAGTATGTGTTTGTGTTCTCACTTGAGTCGATAATCTTGGGCACAGCATCTACTTTAGAAAAACTGACTGAATTTTTCAAAAAAAAAGACAAAAACTTAACAAATAAAAACATTGAAATGTTAAAGAAAGTTATTAATTATTTGGAATATTCATTATTTCATTAAAAGTATAGCGAAGTTATTTTAAAGAACAGAAGGCATAACAACATGAAACTAGAGTTCTGAATCAGTTATTTAAGCCTTGCGTTAAGCTAATTTCGTTCAATCCCATCAAATGTACCAGTAATGTCTTCACTTAACTAAAGTATGTGATATGCAGTGCACATTATCCGGTATTAAGTATCCGGGCTTAGAATTTTACCCGATGGACATTTAAATTCACGAGCAATCGTCAAGTTTTCATTTGTCATTAACAAATTTCTTTCAGAGTTTAATCATAATCACAAATAATGTTTAATGCTCACAAATATTACATTTTATGATAGACGTTTTATACTTTATCGGTAAATAATTGAATATAAATATCAACTGCCTTGAAATAAATGAAAGATTTATTACAAAAAAAAACACAATTAGAAAATTAAGTCGAATCTTTTTTAAAGATTTGCTGGAGAAGTGCCTGATTCCGTATAATATCATGCGCTTATCCGTGTCATAATCATGAAAACAATTTTGAAAATTGTTCATAAATAGCTATTTCCGTTCATCAACGGGAGTCAGTGAAAGATTCCTACAGTAGAACCCAGCCATAAAGCAAATAATAGTGTGTTTAATTGTTCTATTTATCATACTTTCGTAAAAAATATTTATTCAATAAGCGATCAGACGACGGAAAGGATTGTTGTGTCAAAGTTAAAAATAAAGTTATCTAATCCTTGGACGACTGCCATCCTGACCTCGTTAACATTCTACTTAGTTATTGTCTTCAAGTATTTATATTTTAAAAGGAAAATCTGTGATGAAACCAGACCTGGAATATTTTATCAAACTTTATTCCTATGAAATGAATGTTTGCCTGTTATTATTTATTTTTTCAGTCTTACTCTTTGCGTTTTCCTGATGACATTAGCTTTGAATTAATAAGGAAACCACGCTTCCTGTAAAGTTGAATATGATCCCTTCGTTTTAGACTTACGTCTTGGAGAGAAGTCAAATCTTGTGGCGTTAACAGACATTAATCACACTGCGCAAAATACGAGATTGTTCACAAAGCAAAAATTAGATCTTTGACTTATAATTAATCAAGCAACTAACAAACTAACTTATACAAAAATATCTGCATAGAATGCGTCAACTGCTATTTTGAAAGGTATGCTTGGATATGTTGTTTTAAAGAAATCTATAACCTATAATATTTTTCTTTCAAAAGCAGAAACCAGGAGAAGAGTATAGATTTCAAAAATTAACTATCATAACCTGCTTTAAAGTCTGTGACAGTAATACGTTCCGCCTTGAAATCCACAAGAAACATTAATTTTAACATATGAATGAAAATATTGTGTCGGAGGTAATATATATACATAGTGAACAGACAACGCTTTATCACTTCATCTATACGTATACATTACAACCTAATTATATCAGTGTACGTCTCTATCATCGCTATAAAAAATAAATTAAAGCCTTTTGCGTTTGTGCTTTTCCACTCTTAAAATCCCACTATTTTTATATTCATCTAATTCATTCAATGTTTGGACGAAATCTTAAACTGTTACGAACATATAAACTACCTTTGAAATAAAGAGTGTGTTATCACACATCTGCAGATATAAACAAATTTCTCAGATTCTTTTTACTTGCTTTATACTTGCGACAAGTAATGAATGTAAGCTTTCCTGGTAGAACCCACAACAAACTTTTACTTAGCTACGGTTATAACGTTAAAATAATTCAAATTTTCTATTATCTTGAGAAATGCCATCATATACACATATTAAATTTAAAAATTCTAAATTACAAAATTCACATCATAAAAGTTATATCGTTTTAACATTTTTTCCTTACCGACAAGATTACCAAATGAGAACACAATGAGAGCTAAGTAAAGCTGTTTCATAAAACGTCTTCTTCGCTGTTTTACGAAAAGATTTTTACATGGCGACAAGCTCTTTGTCATTTTGACTGCGAAGCTTTGATTTGGTTTAGCAGATAGCTAGACTGTTGTAACTGAATGCCTACATTTTCACTTTGTTGGCAGGATTTTGTGTTAATCGTGTGATAAAATTGGATCTATGTCAAATGATGAACCAATTAAAACACAAGCCAGTTAACCCTTGATTATACTATACTATCTTCTCTCATTATCCTCTTTGTAAGACTTACCTGGGAACAACACCTTGTTTTGCTTATCTTGAAATAACCAAATTCTCAAATGGGAGAGTGTTGTTTAAATTAAAAAGTATGTTTTATATTCAAGACAGCTTCAGACGGAAATTATTTCACTCGGGAAACTTGTGCACAACTAATCAACAGGGTGATGTTATTATAATTTAATTTAGAAATAACAATAAACTGGTCAATGACGTTGTAGCTGTTTTAAAGTAAAAGTGTATGTGAAAAAGTTTCGTGAAGCCTGTGAAGGAGTTAGATGCAAATTTTGTGAAAATTAAAAAAGTTTAGGGAAAGCTCTTCAAAATGATTTTACTAATTCAGCTTATTTGAAGATAAACAAACCTTGTCATCGGAAGCAGCCGATTCGCTACACTAAGCTTATCAGGAAAATATTTTTGAAATAGTTCATGGGATCAATGAAATTAGAAAATTTTCAAGTCTAGCATCAGATCAACTCTCAAGACGCCACTCACATAGTTGATTGTTCTCTATGTCACTGTATCATGATAAAAAAAGATCGCGAGATTATGGCCAATAAAAGAATAGTTAAAATCACTATGAAAATAAAGATAAATCAAACTGATTGTTTATTTTATCTTAATCTTTGTGACAACGCCAATAATGCGATTAATGCATGCCAAAATTCATGTATGACTATATAAGCGCCTGAGAGGCCTCATCAGTCAAAGGATTTTGCATCAACTGCACTTCCGGTTTAAAATTCTCTGCTCATTTACAAGGATTTAACTTATATAAATGTTCGTATAGATTTTCAAGCATGTGTTACGTTTTTTATGTTTTATAAAAAAATCTTAAAGAAACCCCGTCGTGTTTAGGACTATAGAATTCCGTTTTAGTGACCTGCTGTTCTTTTTCAGGAACTAAAAATGAATTTGCTGCTAAGATGGTTGATGGGAATGGATGAAGTACTTCGTTACTACGAAATCTCTTTTTGTTTTATTATAGGAAAACTTGACGTAAATTTGTTTCTTCGTTAGAAAATGAAGGCGTTCCATTTCTTTTGTCTGTTTTTATCATCACTGTGGGATATATGATTAATTAAATACATCTTTCTTTACCTGCTGTGTTACTACACCCAGATACGACACGCCCTTCTCTTATTTTGATTAAAATGCAATAAAGTGATAGGGAAATAATGGGTTTGCATATCGGAAAATCGGTATATCTGTGTAGCTATATGTATACTTCCTCGGTGCTCTACTTTAGCAAACAGGAACATCAAACCTTGAAAAGCGGTCTTTTAGTTATATTTATTGCATATAGATATTTTTGTTAAAAGGCTTGCAAGGCAAAAGTCTCGTGCTTCCTTTTTTTTAACGACTTTCAAAGCTGAGATTAGAGATTTTAATAATTGAAAATTTAAAAATGACAATGTTAATAGATATTACACATTTTAGGTAACAAAGTACAACTCTTTTTGTTTTAATTCGAGAACTTATTCCGATGAAACGTTCTTACCATTTATCAAAGCAGAAAGAGACATTTTTAACTCATCAAGGTGATATCGTTCTTTTAAAGGTAAGAAAATGTGTAAGAAAACCAACGACAACATTTTTGTGAATAACATCAACAGTTTCATGCATGATAAATTCAGCAATTCCATTGTCAACTGTTCCATTGACAATGAATCTTTTTTGATGGTTGTTGACAAAGCTTCGTCGAACACTTTGTTTCAGTTTTTGTATGTAAGACATTATCTTTTCCAGAAAATTCAATCAGAGAAAATGGTTCATACAAAACATTGTATTTATTTGCCAGTTGAAATTTGGGACACTAATTTAGACCAGTCATTTACTCCATTGCAGTCAATATAAATTTCCTAGAAATTGCCGGATTACGATTTAAAATAAGCTGCAGATCTAGAGGTTGCAATGTCAGTAAAGTGATGAACTTACAGTAGTATCGTCATTTTTGATTTTTACTTTAGCCGTATAAATGACCTTTAGTTCCATTTTTGTTTGATGTTCATTGCCCGCTGACTATAATCATGACATAAATGATCCAGATCAATCCATAATTCGCATTAATTCAAACAATAATGTGAGCCCACAGTCCCACACATGCATTTGGTTTTATGTCTATTAGCTACATGGTCTATTCGTATACGTGATGGTTTTTGACTATTTGTGACCAAAATTTTACTGGGTTATCAGCATCGTATTAGTATATAGCTACCACACTTCTCCTAAAACAAGATTGAGAATGATATTTACATCATACACAGAAACACGGTCACCTCCCATAAAATGAATTTTGATTGGTGAAGAACAGAGACGGAAAATGAAGTTGGATAATTTTGTATCCACGAGTTAAAAGACTTTCACTTTGCTCCATTTGTTTGAAAATAAATTAAATCTCAAGGATTTTACTTGGGAAAGGTGTAAAGTATGGCTAGCTTTTACTTTTATTTAATATTCTTTCTACGTTTTTGTTTCCTATTTACGCTTTTCTAAAATTGTGTCCTTTTTCCTTTGTTCCTTTTCCTTTCCTTGTTTCCTTTTATGAAATTGTGTATTTTTGTATCCACGAGTTAAAAGACTTTCACTTTTGCTCTAATTGTTTGAAAATAAATTAAATCTCAAGGATTTTACATGGGAAAGGTGTAAAGTATGGCTGGCTTTTACTTTTATTTAATATTCTTTCTACGTTTTTGTTTCCTATTTACGCTTTTCGGGAACGCATTTTGTGCTGGTAAGTCATACCATATATATAATGTTGTCATGTTTATTTGTTCAAATGTATAGCAATTCAAGCTCTATGAAGATTGTAATTGTTTACTTCCCCTATAAAGACTTTATTATCGTTTTGTTTCTGACTAGAATAAATGCAAAGCCCATTATTAAAAGTTAGTATTTGTGTCAGATGAGTTTGAACACGGGTGGTTTTATAACTAGCTATCGTGTATCAATCAATACTTTAGAGCAAGACTTTAGTATGTCTTTTTCTACTTCATTGTTAACGAATATTCGAATTTGTTTAAAATATCTTCATGATTCAAAAATATTTACATTTGTGTATATTATTAAAATATTGTTTAATGTTGATTTACTACTTTATCTACACGTAACAGCATGAAAAATCTCACATTCGACATATATGTCCGCAAAAACGCGTAATTTTAGTAATTAATTTGGAAAACATGGCCATTTATATCATTTATTGAATTGCTAGTATTGCTGAGGTTTGTAAAGTCGTTCAATAATGATATTAGAACATTCTGACAATGTTTTTGGTATCTTTGAAAACTTTATACATTTACTGAAAACTTTATGATGAACGATAAATTAATTTGTCTTATTACACTGCATAAATAATGAGCTTATACTTCATATATGAGCTTATACCACATTCATCAAGCTTTTCAGTAGCTAATGCTGTTATTTTATAGAACAAGCCCAGCAAACATCTTGCAATTCAGTGAAACGTGTATATAAATGTTTTGAAAATATGATACAAAGCTTTAAAAAATTGTTCATTATAACATTTTGTTTCTAGATTGTTTCAAATCAGTCACACCTATTATTCACAAGACATCTTCCCCACCGTTAAATTCAAATTATAACATTGACAATATTGGTTATTCAAGTACAATACCATGGGTTGGTTCAGGAAGAGAAAGTTGGTTTAGTTTACGTTTTCCCTACCCAGTTATCATAAAGCAATTATTATTGAAGGGAGGAAAAGTTGACATAAATGGTGATGGTAAACTTGAGGATTGTTATGTTACAAGATTCGCAATGCATTATACAGTTGAAAATGGTGAAACAAAGAAATATCCCGTATGTCATAAACAATGTTTACATTAATACTGTATTTTGTGAATTTGATTTATTATGATATTAATTGACAAATATACGTGAATTTTAAAGTTATCAAATTCTTTAATTCATATTATTTGCCAATGGATCTTATATTGTTTTTAATGGCTTGATTTAGTTGAATAAGCTCATTTAGAAAACTTTTAACGGCATTAATCATGTATTTAACGTTTATTTTTCTATGAATGATGAGCTTTGTTATTTTTTCACTAGAAAGTGAAAGACAATACTGGTCTTCGTTATGTTAATCTTTCCATTTCTGACCCAGTGACAAATATCAACATAACCATAAAGAAATATGTGGGTTGTGCAGCTGTGAATTTGGATGTGTTATCTTGTGGTATGTTTGTTTTTTGTATAAAAGTCAAAAAAAGTTTATTGGTTTTGTGAATGTTATTATGCTAATGTATTTGAAACGATAGTCAAAAGGATGCCATTTTTGAATGGCTTGCATATTAAATGGGAAATATTGAAGATGAAGTTAAGATGAAGTTTATTAAATCTTATTTTTTGATGCCTATTCTTCCATTTTCATTGACAGGTCATTGTTCTAGACTTCCAAATATTAACAATCAAATTTTGACCTGTTCTGATGATTTTCAAAAATGTACATACAAATGCAAGTCAGGATATGAAATGAGAAATAAGTTAAATGATGGAGTGAGAATGTGTCAACTAAATGGTGCATGGTCTGGTGCTAATATTAGTTGTGGTACGTATAGTCTGTGTCAAATAGTGCTGTTATTAATAGTGCTGCAATGAAGAGAGTGCTTGAACTTGTGACTGTTGTTAAAAAATCTGGCATGAATCTTGTTGCTCATGGTCTACATATCAACAAACAACAACAAACAACATTTGTATACCGGCCAGTATTAATCCCCGCCAGGGGGGTTGACCGGTCCATGAACTTTTCTACGCCAAACGTCTCTATCTCTCGCCATATCTCTCGTTATACCCATCGCCTTCATATCACTGTTCACAGTATCCATCCATCTCCTTCTCGGTCAACCTCGTTTGCGGACTCCATCAACATTCATATGCAACGTTCTACGAATTTCAGCACTTTCTTCCCTCCTTTCCACATGCCCAAACCACCTCAAACGCTGCGCCTTACCCAATTCTCGATACACTCAACACCAACTCTTTCTCTAATCTCTTCACTTCGAATCCTATCCATCAACGTTACACCACACATCATCCTAAGCATTCTCCTTTCCGTCGACGCCAATCTTCTCAGGTCCTCTGCTTTCGGCGCCCAACACTCTGCTCCATATCCCAAAACACTTCTAACACATGCCTTGTACAATTCTCCCTTCTGCTTCAACGAAGTCGACTTTCCGCACAACATTCCCGACAACTGTGGTATGAATGCATTATGACATTCCTTTCACGAGAAAACATGATTCCCGACAACTCTCTGAAGCTCCACCACGCTGCTTGAACTCTGTTCCTCACCGCTTGCTCGCACCCTCCACCATCATTTAACACATCGCCCAGATATTTAAACTCCGATACACCTTCCATACTCACGTCACCCAGTTCAAACCGTTCAATCGCGACTCGCCCACCACTTCGACACGTCCCGCACTCAAAATCAGTTACTCTTGTCAATGCACCACGGACACCTGAACATCTTCCATGAACCCACTTACTGCATTTCCCACATTATCGAATCCACCTAACCTTTTCCACACACACCCATGGCCATTTATCACTGTCCTTCACCTCCACCTGCCTCGAGCATCTCATGCCCTTCGTCTTTGCCTCATTCACTTTCAGTCCCTTGACTTCTATTGCCGTTTCCATTCTCGGTACCATTCCATGACTTTCTGCTTCGACTCCGCCACCAAGACAATGTCATCTGCATACAACAAACACCATCCTTCTTTTCTTCTCACTTCCTCTGTCAGTACATCCATCACACAAGCAAACAGTAACGGCGACAAGACTGAACCTTGATGAAACCACCAACTTTACCTCAAAACACCAGATCTAACACCTTCCTCCGTAACCACGCCTCTACACCTTCATAAGTCTCCATAACTGCCCGAACCATATTCTCTGTCACACCTTTCTTACGCAGCGTACTCGATCACCTTTCTCGGAACTCTATCAAACGCCTTCTCCAAATCTACAAACACCATATACAATTTCTGTCCTTCTCCAAAATTTCTCCTGCAGCTGCCTCAACACAAAACACGCATCCGTCGTTCCTCTCCCCGGTATGAATCCATACTGCTCTTCCCCATCCGAACAACTTCCCTCAACCTTCTTTCAAACACTCTCTACTATCTTCAACGCATGCTCCATCAGCTTAATAGTCCTGTAATTCCCACATACCGTCGCTGCTTCTTTTCCTTTGTACAGCGGGACCACTAGACTCTTTCTCCATGTACTCGGCATCTTTGAGCCCCTCAAACCTCGTTCGCTACATTACAACCTCTCACGCATAGTTCATTGTCCAACATTTCGCTACCACTTCACTCGGTCCCGTCGCCTTTCCTTTCATCTTGCAGAGCCGCCGCCACCTCATCAACAGTCACTGTTTCCCACGGCCCCAAACTTCATCCGCTTCAACTTCTCCATTCCACTCATTCTCTACATTCATCAAACGGTCACAGTACGCCCTCCACACTTCTAACCTGTCTTCCAATAACACCTTCAACTCCCCATCGTGGTTCTGCACGCCGGAGCACCCAAAATATCGTTCCTCTCCTTCTTGCTCCTTCTAGCCGTTCTAAACAACGCTTTTCGTCCATTCTCCTGCATTTTTACGAGAAGCTCTTTCTGATGCCTTTCTATCGCTTTAGCCACCTCCTTTCGCGCCTTTTCGAACCGGATGTAATCGATCCTATCTGCTTCAGTCCGCGACTTTTCCACCTTTTAAATGCCAACTTTCGCGCCAATCATTTCGCTGACTGTTGATCCCACCACCATGCCTGTTCTCTCCTTCTACACCGCCTTTACTTCTTCAACATACCTTCTCCGCTGCCGTTAAAACACCTTCCAAGCACGTCCATCGCTCCTCCACCGTCTCACCTCAACATTCAATGTCGCAATTTCGTCACGGAAACACTGCTTCCCTTCATTCGATCGTAACTTCCATAGCTTAAGCCTGCCTTTACCCTCAACCTTTCTCATCTTCACCTTCCTGATTCTCCAGTCCATGACCAGCAGCTTGTGCTGGATCACACATTCTTCTCCTGCAATCACTTTTGCATCCTTCACGTTTTTCCGCTCTTCTAAATTCACCAGTATATAATCCACCACCGTCCTACTGTCGCCAGATTCATACGTCACAAGCTTGCTTTCTTCCTTTATAAACCACGTATTCACTACCACCATCCCACAACTCGCTGCTAACTCCAATATCGCCTCGCCTTCAGCATTCATATCACCAACTCCAAAACCTCCATGCGCACAGTATCCTTTTCTTACGCTTCCCACATGACCGTTCCAATCACCAAGCATCACACATCGCCCTCTAATGTCTGCTCTCACTGCATACACGCTGTCGTAGAACTTTTACTTCTCCTCCATGGTCTACATATGCATATTTGTAATTTTTGTGATACCACTTGTAAGCTCTTTGATTTATGAAAGCCGCCTGTTTACTTCTATCAATATCTTTTACATATTTTGAAGTAGCACTACATGTTTGAATAAATTTTTGACATTGAAATTTTTTGAGTGTTTTTACCAATGATTTTTATTGATATGACTTTTATTGATATGTATATTAATTAATGATTTAAGAAATTACTCTAGTAACTAAGATGCACAACAGATCTATCCATTGGGTTAATTATGCTGTTGTATTGGAAAAATAAAATTTTGAAGCAACTTTTTATTTAATTTCTCTTCCAGTATAGAGCATAATACCTATGTCATTCATTAATATCCCTTAACTCAAATTATTTGTTGTTATTGTTGTCATTCAGTTGATGTAAACGAGTGTAAGAATAATGTTTGTGGAAGAAATGAAGAGTGCATCAACAAACTTGGTACTTACAGATGTAATTGTATGGAAGGTTACACAGGAAAACCTTGTGAAGGTAATGTATACTTTACATACTCTATATACAATCAGTTTATTTTATATTTAATAATTTCTTATATATTTATCATTTATCTTAATTGAATATTAAGACATCAATGAGTGCAATGGTCCCAATATTTGTAATGTAAACGCCAACTGCATCAACATTGAAGGAAGTTACAAATGCCAGTGTAAGGATGGCTATAGAGGTGATGGATTAAACAATTGTAATGGTAAGTCCTAACACACACAAGTATCACAAAATGATTTAACAATATTCTTTTCCCAAGACTACTTTACATGTGTTTTGTTCAATATTTTAAATATTGATGAGTGTACACATGATGGATCAAAAAACTGCCTTGGTATGGACATGCTTACAAAAATTTAAATTTTAAAAAACTTTAAATTTTAACAATGATGTTAGTAATAAATATGTGCATTTTTTGTGTGGTAATATTCTTATATCAGTATACAGCATTTGTATTTATCAGTATATTTTATATTTATAATTTATCTTCAATAACTATTTTAAGACATCAATGAGTGCAATGGTCCCAGTAACTGTCATGTAAACGCTTATTGCACCAACACTGATGGAAGTTACAAATGCGCATGTAACAATGGCTTTAGTGGTGATGGAAAAAGGAAATGTGAAGGTAAGTTCAAACATAAAAATAAATATCCCAAAATGATTTTATTGTATTCTTGTCCCAAGACTAATTTAAATGTGTTTTGTTCATGCATAAAATGCAAAAAAATGTAAAATGCAAAAAAAATTGAATAATTATTGGGTCCTCTCTAAATGTTGGCCAAAAGTTTATGTTGAATTATTAGATTTTTGTCAGACAGTCTTTAAATATAGTACTACACTGTTCGTTGACATTGGTGGAATGAGACCCTTGAAATAGATCATTGTCTTGAGATTCATCCTTCTTACATCCTCTTTGTTTTATAACTTGTGTAAAGAATCGGGATTTCTCACCAAAATGACCTAGCCCTTCCAGTCAGCCTTCCAGACTGTGTGTTTGTGCCAAATGTTTGCTGATATTCTAATATTTAGCAGTAAGACATGGATTAAATTCCTCTTAGGCTTGCAGCCATTAAAACTTGCCTCCCTAATAGAACAAATATGTTAATACCGTGTTCAGTGTTTAGTGTTCAGTCTGCATCTTTGCTGTTATCTGTGAACTCGTCTTCAAGTGATTTGCAGCGAAAAAGACATTGAAGCATGCAGCAAGCAACCGGTTGCTCATTCTTTCTTCTGGAGAGCAAAACCACACTATTTGCTTTTGTCAATTAAACATCTTCAATAAATCTTAGTATTTTTTATTTGAAGTCCCTTTGTAAAATTTTTAAATTCTGAGTGGTTGAAACTGCTCAATCTGGAATTTCTCAATCAATGAAAAAACGTTATGCAAAGTGAACTATAGTTCACTTTGATCCATATATATTAGACAATTGTTTTATTTGTAGTTTTATCAAAATCCCATTTCTTATTTTTTCACATGGTATTTTTTATTATCTATTTGAAGACATCAATGAGTGTGATGCTGACCCCAATATCTGCAATGTAAAAGCTTACTGCACCAACACTGAAGGAAGTTACAAATGCCAGTGTAAGGATGGCTATAGAGGTGATGGATTAAACAATTGTGATGGTAAGTCCTAACACACACAAATATCACAAAATGATTTAACAATATTCTTGTCTCAAGACTAATTTACATGTGTTTTGTTCAATATATTTTAGATATTGATGAGTGCAATGAGAATAAACACAGATGTGTTTTTCCTGAATTGTGTAAAAATAATGTTGGAAGTTATACGTGTAGCAGTTATAGTGGTTATTCTGGTGATGGAAGGTCATGTACAGGTAAAGTATTGTTAGAAAATTTCTAATGCCATGAAACTACAAATATGCAACTACAGAAAAAAATGCCAAAAAAAATTTAATAATTATTGGGTCCTCTCAATCAGCGAAAATTACATCGTTAAATGTTGGGCAAAGGTTTGTATTGAATTATTAGATTTTTGTCAAATAGTCTTTAATATATTACTACACAGTTCGTTGACATTGGTGGGATGAGACCCTTCAAATAGGTCATTGTCTTGAGATTCATGCTTCTGGATTCGGGATTTCTCACCAAAATGACCTAGCCCTTTCAGTCAGCCTCCAGATTGTGTGTTTGTGCCAACTGTTTGCTGATATTCTAATATTTAGCAGTAAGACGTGGATTAAATTCCTCTTATGCTTGCAGCCATTAAAACTTGCCTCCCTAATAGAACAGATATGTTAATACCGTGTTAAGTGTTCAGTCCGCATCCTTGCTGTTATCTGTGAACTCGTCTTCAATGATTTGTCGTGAAGAAATGACATTGAAGCATGCAGCAAGCAACCGGTTGCTCATTCTTTCTTCTGGAGAGCAAAACCACACTATTTGCTTCTGTCAATTAAACATCTTCAATAAATCTTAATATTTTTTATTTGAAGTCCCATTGTAAAATTTTTAAATTCTGAATGGTTGAAACTGCTCAATCTGAAATTTCTCAATCAATGTAAAAACGTTATGCTTTTGGTACAAAACTGCTATCGACATTTGTACATAAATCCTGAAATATGACAGTTGCCAATCACATTCGGCATAGGAATTATCGATTTTGTGAATCATAATCCCTAATTGTAACATTTTTTCATACAGCGCACCTGTAGCTAGGTAATTTTCATAAATGAACACGGCTAAAGTATGTGGCCCAAAGCATAATTGTTTCAGAACTTATTCTAATCAATGCAGAAACGTTTTTTCTTAAATTGTGATAAAATACGTTGTTGTTATCACTTACATCAGCCCAAAACTTTCACTAGACAAGAAATTAACGAATAGTTGGCAAATAAATTTTGAGCGCATCTGTAATCTGGATTTATGTTGCAGTTGTGTCAAAGATAATTTTTTAGGCTTGCCAAAAACAAAGAAACGTTATAGTTCACTATGATCCATATATATTAGACAATTGTTTTATTTGTAGTTTTATCAAAATCCCATTTCTTATTTTTTCATATGGTATTTTTTATTATCTATTTGAAGACATCAATGAGTGTGATGCTGATCCCAATATTTGTAATGTAAACGCCAACTGCACCAACACTGAAGGAAGTTACAAATGCCAGTGTAAGGATGGCTATAGAGGTGATGGATTAAACAATTGTAATGGTAAGTCCTAACACACACAAATATCACAAAATGATTTAACAATATTCTTGTCCCAAGACTACTTTACAAGTGTTTTGTTCAATATATGAAATATTGATGAGTGTACACATGATGGATCAAAAAACTGCCTTGGTATGGACATGCTTACAAAAATTTAAATTTTAAAAACTTTAAATTTTAACAATGATGTTAGTAATAAATATATGCATTTTTTGTGTGGTAATATTCTTATATCAGTATACAGCATTTGCATTTATCAGTATATTTTATATTTCTCATTTATCTTCAATAACTATTTTAAGACATCAATGAGTGTAATGGTCCCAATAAATGTCATGTAAATGCTAACTGCACCAACACTGAAGGAAGTTACAAATGCGCATGTAACAATGGCTTTAGTGGTGATGGAAAAAGAAATGTGAAGGTAAGCTCAAACATAAAAATAAATATCCCAAAATGATTTTATTGTATTCTTGACACAATAATACATTTGTGTTTTGTTTGTCATGAAACTAAATATATAAATTAGAAATTGTGCTGGATTTCATGCATTTGAAACTTTCCTTCACATAATTAAAAATGCTCAGAACTATGTCTTTTAACTTGACTTTGTGACATTTATCTTTATATTGACGATCCGCAGTTTCTTAGACTCTATTTGAATCGTATATTTTTATAATTTCGTTGTTATCTTTGCACATCGTTTTGTTATTACGTTCAATCAAAATGTTGTTGTTCAGTCCAACAGAAAAAGTGGTCCACGCAATAAAAGATCTTTGTCAATTTTCAAACCATTCTTTATTTGTTCACATGATGTTTGAATGTGGTCTTTAATTGATAATTTTAAGATATTAATGAGTGTGAAGTTGGCAGCTTTAACTGTGATGTTAATGCTAAATGCATCAATCTTGATGGAAGTTACAAATGTCTGTGCAAGAATGGTTATAGAGATGATGGAAAAACGAATTGTGTAGGTAAGGACATGCATGAATGACGAGTGACAAAATGATAATTTTTGAGAGTCGCCTTTTTAAAGTCATAGATTAACATAAACACCATCAACATTTTTACATATATGATAATGATGCTCTCTAATGTTCATTGTGAAACACATAATCATAAAGAAATATGTGGGTTGTGCAGCTGGGAATTTTGATGTGTTATCTTGTGGTGTGTTTGTTTGTTTTTGTATAAAAGTTAAAATAAACTTTTTATCTGTTTGGCGACTGTTATTATGCTATGTATTTCGAAAAAAGTCAAAAGGATGCCCTTTTTGAATGGCTTGCACACTATATTGTTCTTGACCTCCAAATATATATAATCGAATTTAGACCTGTTCTGATGATTTTTAAAAGTGTAAATACAAATGCAAGTCAGGATATGAAATGAAAAATAAGTTAAATGATGGAGTGAGAATGTGTCAACTAAATGGTGCATGGTCTGGTGCTAATATTAGTTGTGGTACGTATAGTCTGTTTCAAATACAGCATAATTAAAACTTCATCTTAAACCACTTGCAAAAAGAATATCTCAGGTTCAAAATCAAATTTAGTTTAAAGATGTGAAAGTTTTAATTTTTTTGATTATTTGTAACAAATTTTTGAAAATTTGATGATCATTAGTGTGACGTGTAACGTGTCGAAATTGGACGTCTCACAAAACTTTTGCTCATTCAAATTTAATTCTTCCCTGTTACTCTTTATAATTGCATGTTAGTTAGGTTTTGCTATGTCATTCAAACAATCTTTATGCATGTAATATTGAACAACAAAAGTAAGATACACTAGAATGGTGTAAATAACATTCAATTCAGACTCGCTGTGCGGTGTTCTTTAATGTACACCAAATTTTCTGAAATTTTGTTACAAAAGACAGAGTTGAAACTTTCATCTTTTTCTAATAATTTACAGATTTGATAATCTTATTTTCTCTGCGCTAGTGGTTGAAAACTTAAATTGAGGCTTTTACAAACTGCCCTCTCGCTTGTTGAGATTTGCCAATATTCCGGAGTGTTTTTACTGTTAGATAAACAAGACGATGCTAAAATACTTCCACGTGAACCGTGTTTGAACTATCAATTCATAGTCTTGGGACAAGAATATTTTTAAATCATTTTGTGATATTTGTATGTGTTTGGGACTTACTAAACACACAAGTATAAATGTTCTGTTGGTCCCAACTTTTTGTAGATAATGTCAAGACTCTACAATTTTCAAAACTAATTCCAGGCTTTGAACCTTTAATTTTCCACTTTTTTTATCAACCAAATTATGACTTTGTTGACGATGTTTCACTTACTATTTGACACATACAAGACGTTAAACATACCAACATTCTCAACTGTGATTGCGTGACGTATCTGAAACTACAAAAAAGTAATTTTTGTTGGTTAGACAGCAATTGGGTTAAAACCTGGTTCTTAGTCGTTCAATGCAAGCGGAAAGTAAAATTACCATTGACTTGATCATTTCTTTTTGACTACCATTTTGTATTACCATTAGTTTTAGGTTAAACATAACATACAAGAAAAACGTAGGGTTAATGTGATAAAACGCAATTTTTCTTTAAGTTATACTGCATTCTTCTTCACTTTTAACATTGTTGTATGATAACTGTGTGAATACATATAAAATGTATGAATAGTTGTAGAACAAATAGGAACATACAGGTGCTATCATAAGTTAATGTATACTCCTAGTTTTTCATAAATAGTAAATTAAAGACTTTGTCGTGGTGACAAACTCAAAAATTGTTTTAAAAAGAGCAAATACCATGGTGAGTGGTAAAATAATAACAACAATTCTAAAAGAACTGTTTTCAAACCGAATTTGAACTAATTTCCATTTTTTTTTACTTGACTGCAACTAATTTTTATCAATTTTACCTTTAGCAATTATTTTCAAAGTTATGACGTATTATGCTTTCTCGTTTTTCTTTCATGTTAAATAAAATGTAATAAATGTATCCTGAACAATATGTAACATCTTGGATGATGTTGTACTGCCATCCATGATCCATCAGTTTTATAGGTTAAACGTAGCCGACTACAAAAGCTTCGCTTTGTTTTAATAAAACGCATGCAAATTATTTTAAACTATATATACTACTTCTATCTTAATGTAAGTTTTACATCATATACCATATGACAGATAAAACACATGAATATCTATGTAACATAAAAACATATCCTTCATACGTATGTTGTGATCGTTATAAAGATTGTCAATTTTTAGGTAATTTTGACTAAATTAATCATACATCATCAGGGATTGCATAAACCAGCATGTGAATTAGTATTGTATGATTCTTTGACAATTATTGTTTTGAATTGTTTTATAAAATATAATTTCTTATTTGTTCACATAGTATTTTTTATTAATTATTTCAAGATATCAATGAGTGCAACGGTCCCAATAACTGTCATGTGAACGCCAACTGCATCAACACTGAAGGAAGTTACAAGTGCCAGTGTAAGAATGGCTATAGACAAGGGCTGTAAAAATACTTATTTTTGTTACTGGTCACAGTCACTCTGTCAAAGATTACCAAAATAGAAATGAAGAAACATGCTGTACTATATGGACTATATATTTCCAAATTTGAGAAATGACATTTTATTTTTAAATGTTACTTACGAAGCTTCAAAATGATTTTGCACACTAGC